AGTCTCCTACCAAGGTATTCCTTGCTCGGCCTTTATTCAGCGCAATGTGAAAGCGCTTTCGAAAAACTGTGCGGTCACTTCTACGATCTCTTGCCGAATTGGCCCTGGCGGTCAGGCAAGCGCATCTAGCACGACCAGCAGGAATAGTCTCCGAAGCGCATCGTATGGTTCAACATCAGAGTCGTTGTCGTTGTGCGACCGTACACGAACTTGGTCACTGATGATCCGTATTATGCAACGGCCTCGCTATAGTATAATATTTCCGGACGATCTTTGTCCGCGGAGGACTCTGCGAGAGATGGCTCGGTGTGATTCTCCAGGGCAAAGCAGAACCATGGAAACCCTTGATGAATTATTCGGCCTAGTCACCGGGAGATGTGTGACACACCCTCTCTAATGCCAGTGTGACACATCTAGTCAAGGCGAAGAGCTCACTCGCCGTGTTTCGAAGAGACTTGATCGACAGCTAACGACATGTCCTATTTCCGAATATGAAACACTGCTCCTTGCGCACTTCAATACATCGACTACATGATACAACAAATCATTGCCGAGGCCACAGCCACCCGCGAGCGACCATTCTTCATTATTGGAAGATAATCGTATCGACTTGCGCTTGGTTTCCGAAGATCTTCGGAAGTATGTTAGTATGCTCGCTACTGCACGCCGCTTTTGTCGTCATGTGATGTGCCACTGGAATTAGGTTTGACACCTGCCATCGATCTATCCCTGCATGAGTCACTCTATGGTATTGACGCCAAGAATTCTTCTGCCGTTGGAGCCGGACAGCGAGAGGCTCGGTTCTTCGAGGCTCAGCTGAGCGCCTGGGTCGGCCCGTTAAGCAGATGCACTCAACTGGTGAGTCTTTGTGGGGTTCGTCACCATTGATGAGATGCATATCACATATGTGACCCTAGCTAACGGCCGTTGTTCCAGGGAACGATGATCACCTCGGTGACAATACGCACATCTGGAAAATCCATGTTTACCTATCTTCAGAGTATCGAAGGTGACCTTTCGGCGAGACCTCGTTCTACTAGCATCCTCCCTCTTAGAGTTGTTAATGCGTTATTCGGAAACATCACATTCACGAACTGAACGAGCGCGCCAATACGCCTGAGCAGCAACTGTCAAATTTCGAGTGCCAGGAACCTTGAACATCACACTGCGCTGTTGTTTCGATTGACAAACTTCGCTATTGATCGAGCGACGAAGCTGTGTGGTGCGCCTTTTGCGGACTCTGTTGAGTCTGTTCCTGTTAGCGTGCCCTGACGCAAAGACTTTGTAGCGCAAATGACATGGTCATGGTATCCTGTCAGCGCTGTCTTACCTGAGGTTCAAAGCTTCCTCTTCGAGACTGGTATAGGACAACCACCACGATCATGCCACGAGGAATGCGGAGCTTTACAGTTCGGCGTACCGTGTCGCTGGGCCCTAATGCTGTTTCCTACATCCGCCGGCGCTAAATTAACCCTAGGAGAGCTTCACCGGACGTTAGTGCAAAGTGCTACAGCCCGCCGTCGCCAAATCCACAAATCGGTCATAACTGCGCTGATCTCAACAATCACCAAATGGTGAGAAGTCCTTGGCGCATGTCAACGATGCAGTATTCAATTTAGCAAAAGTTTCGCATCTCCGAATCACGCGTTCCTGGATCAAAGCAATGACTAGCGAAGCCACTCCAGCCTATCGAGGTGGCTACAACGCGCTAGATACACTTCGCTCCTGTAGTGGTAACTTTGTTTACAAGTGCTGTTCAACGCAACGGGGAGGCGGCGACTGTGATTCGTTTATTTGTCAGAGCCTAGTCCTTGTCTCAGGTTTTCACTTCGTTGGCTTCGCTGGCCTCGTTGGCTTCGCGCCCGTTGTCCTGTCTACGGGGCTAGATCTGCTCACATCTCTGGGATACCGCTGCCACTGACTAAACATAGATTCACTCACATTGCGAATGACAGACGTGATCTGTTCCAAGATTAATGTTTGGATGACAAGGTAGCGCAGGAAAAGTCGACGTGCTCGAACGATTCCAAAAACATTGTCTGGAATACGTCGCACCAGTCCGTCACAGATATGGAACTTCTAGACGCCTGTGTTTGTCACACTCCGGGCCTGCGGCCCTGGACCCTTCCGTAGAAAATTCAAAGATGTTTTCCAACAGACCATCCAATAGACTATGGCAGACCGGCCGCTGTAGGCCTATATCTTGGACCCTTTCACTACGCCATGCGCAAGCTCCCAACATGAGACCTACTACCTGATATTATATGGCATTGTACGTTCATTCAGCAGGGAACGGTCCGCAGGACATGCTCACGGGGTTGCCTTGGAGCAGAGGTACCATAACTGAACTCCTCTAGCAGATCACCGCCCTCCACTCATGCAAGTTCGATGTCCTACGCCTGTTGGTGCGTACCTGTCGTTTAGCTGCAGCTGGAGTACCGGATAGGCTTTGCATCTATACGATCGAGGCTCTGTCTAGCTCAGTGCTAACACAGTGGGGAGCTGAAGCGGCGCTGCGGTGAACAGCCCATGTGAACATCCGGAACTGTGGTTTTCGGCAAAGTCTGGTCCCGGATCCGACGGACACGGTGGTCGAGCGGTGTGGCAGCCATAGTGAAACACCTCATCGAGATCTCGTGTGCCCACTCGTAGATGGTACACTCCATGTAGGAACAAGTGCCCTACTACCACTGCATTCCTGCGCCTCTGGCTCCGCTGCCCCGTCTCTTACTCTGAGATCGATTGCCCATGCGTTAGCAATAGCATCAGCAGTGAGTGTTCGTTGGGGAGTCGAGCAGTGGCTAACGTAGCCTACTGTGGGCTGAGTTGGGACATTCTATATGAGGGTCGAAACGTCACTTCATGCTACGTAGGATTTACCTTGAATGTATTAGGATGGATTGACGCTCGACCATTTCCCCTATTGCAAACATCAACAGCAGACTGCGTATCTGCCCACCCGTTCCAAGTATGAGGAAAAACTCGAGCGTGCATGATCTCGTCATCATAAATATGGTTCTTCTTCACCTATTACCCGCAGGAGCTGTGACACACTTGCCGAGAGCCTTCTCGCAGTTCTATGATTTCGTTCCTCAACTCGAAAAAGTATACACTGGGCGTAAATTGGAGATCACCCCACATTGTATGCGAACGCGCAGCTACAACTCGACCCCAAGCATTTACTCCACAATCCACTAGGCCGAACGCCAGAGGTCGCAGCCCTGTTCAGTGGGCGCTAGAGCGACGTGCCTCGAATCCACCTCATTGCCCTCTCCACCAGAGACCTTTCAAAATCCGTACTGCGTAATCTAACGTGGAAGCGCTGGCATATTTATTCCAAGGACATCTTCGGGATAACGATTACGTGTTGGGAGAAGGCGGCTTGCAGCTCAATTGGCGCTCCTTCTGTGTGGAACGCTCCGCAAAAATGAGACTGATGCCTATAAGAAGGAGTAGTTACAAAATTCTTCAACAAGCTCCATCCATTCTTGTGTGATGGGCACCCCATATTCTTAATGAAGATGTGAAGACTTTTTTGGGGGGGCTATAGAGTTATAGCCGTCTGACAACGCCTCAGAGCGGGGATATGTGCTGCGGGGAGTCCACAGAACCTTCCGATCCGATGGCAATGTCTCGTGGGCATAGATATGAAGCTATATGACGGAGTCCTAGACATGTTGAACGAGGAAGAGCTCTTTGTTACCGTGGAGCACAGAATTAACCGATGTTGTGGATACCTTCTCTTGCCGGTCCTGACGTCCGCACTTTTGCAATACTTGTAAAAGCGCGGACCTTCAAGCAGAGGAGGTATGCTACAAAGTCATTTCGTGTAACGTAGCACATAGGGCATCTTCGTCTGCTATGCTGACATACTGATGATGCTTGTTGACAAATTCGTCCCCTTTACATATCGAACTAGGCCATGAGACACTGTGTTGCAACGCACTTGTACTGAGCTGTGGTACGCATGAAATGAATCTGATTTCTCTACCCGTTGGGTGGTGGACAGTAATTCTTGTTGTCGGCCTTATCGGCCAGAGCAACAATACGATCACAAGTATGCGTAGGATGTGTTGTCCTTCTCCCACTCGTGGAGGGACTTGGTCCCTTTAAAGAGAATACGGACTTCTACCCTATACGTCAACGCTTGCGTCGATCCCTTTCTAGGTCCGCCAACGCAAATAGATAGAAACCTCACGGCCTCCAACTATAACAGTATCCCCGGGAGAAGATGTTCAGCAACGCGAGATGAAATGCAACTGCTGGTTTGGTACAATGTTGAGACCGGACACGAGATAGTCGTAACCACGCAGCGTCAATAAATAGAAGTCGTGAGATTCGCGTAGTTTGAAAGTGTAGAGTCATTCTGATTGATCGTACTTGTTTAGCGTATCTGGCGAGGCCATAAGACGCTTCGATCCGTGATGTTGATCTGTGTCTTGCTATAATCGATACGAAGATGTCTTCGAGCATTCCAGTCCTTGGAAAGCTTTGTACACGTTGAACAACACTTCTCATCACTGCATGGGGAGTTAGTGCTTCAACGCTCTTTTAAACTGGACGGCTATTATGTGGCCATGAAAGCCTGGACCTAATCCTTACCTTCAGCGGTTTCCCCCAGTTATTGAGGTTGGATAGACTGGGCATCCATCGTGATGCTTTGCCCCCGAAAACGAAGATAGCCGAAGAAAGAGGATAAGGCATGTTCGAATGTTACCCGCGAATGAGACGAAGATGCCCTTCGCTTGCGCGGCATGGTTTTTCTGAGGGCTGTCTTTGGCGATCGTGATCTCTTCACCCACGTGAAGTTGTTGTACGGTTACGGCCGCATTGAGCAAAATGCCGAGGTATTGCAACTCAATAAGCAGTGACAGCGTAGCCCTTAGGATGACCATAGCGTAACGATGCAAGGGTGTAGTTGCGGTCCCGATTGTCTTTGGCCAATGTAGATCTGCATTTGCATCTGGGAATATTAGGCGAAGGCGGACGCAGGTCCGCCGTCAGATGGCCTTTCGCGCGTATAAGCCTGATTGGAAACACCTTCCTAACGGTTTAATTTCGTCCTTGTTCAGCAGTCCTCGCTGGACCCACGTCTTTTCCAGATCATTGCAGAATCTCGCAACTTGGTTGAACTTTGTCAGATCCCACCTGCGCCGCAGCTCATTGCGCGTGAGCTGTACGTGTCCGGGTCGAGCCATGAAGAAACCAATTGAATATACGGGCCAGTTTCCAATGAAGCACGAAGCCCACTCGTTATCATTTTCGTAGCTTTCCAATATCTGTGCAGCCTTCTTTATCTGCCACTTGTCGGGATCAGCAGCAAGCGGTGGTCGTGAGGGAGATTCCACTGATTCAGCCGAATCGTACGTATGCCCGTCCTGAATAACGGGTGGATTAGCTAGCTGTTCTGATAGCAGGGATGCTATCAGGATGAATAGGTAGCTTGCGCTCTTGTAAAAGCTGTGTTTGTGATTCCGCTTTTCGTTCTCCGCGAGTTCGTCTGTCTCCTGTTCACGCAGCACTAGACCTTCCCAGACTTCAATCTCACTGCGTAGCTCATTCAAAGTTCCTTGATCATACGATATCGCGCCCTGGTACATCTGTTTCAGTATGAGAGCAAGTCGGAACAGAGTGAACGGTACGCCAAGTACGGGACTATTCGTGCTGTTGCTCTGGCCCGGGAAAACTCTCGATTGGTCGAGCAAACCTTCAGCTCGAAGCCAGAAGTCGAGATCAAAATCGAAGCCCAGTCTGTGATTTATCTCCTCGTCTGACCACAGGCCAGTGGAAGCCAGGAAGATCTGGTACATCACGCTTTCGACAGCCAACCTCTCAAAGGTACTCCGGATGGTCGGGGTCTGCTTGAAGAGCCGCAACGCAAGGACGCGGGTAGCTGCGTTCAGATGCTGAGGGATGTCAAAGTAGGTGCCTCTTCCCATGCACTGGTAATGCATTAGTGGGATGTCGCAGTGAGGTTGGGCGAAGGTATTCATGTACTCACTCCGTGTAGATACAGTAGCATCATCGACATCAAAACGCTGTTGCAATTGGCCAGTGGATCCGCGCGTCCAAGCAAGTCTGATAATCCTCTTAGCGCCTTAGAATAGTAGGTCAAAGCAAGCTCTTGCATCTGGCTATTGGATTCAATGAAGTGAAGGTTTGAGGCTGCATTACAAAGTACAGAGTATCGCACACTTTTCCAGTCCCCCATCAGCTTCTGGATCTCTGAAATCCAGTCATTGGAGAACTCTGTGAGCACTTAGTATACGAGACATCTATATAGTTGGTCGACTTCACCTGGATGACAATTTGGCAAGAGCAAGAGTCCATAATACTGGTTAATAAAATGTCGCGCGACCACACCTTCGAGGTCATAACTTATCGCTCCATGCGCAACAGATTCGGAAAGCCGAAAGACAAGGGATGATTCAACAGAAGCATTTGTAGGAAGCCCTGTATCACCAACTGTCGGCCCTATACCATGTCGAGATCTCTGATGAATTGCGTAGCGGCGATCTACGAGGTCGGCCGAGGCGGGCCAACGGCACTCGCGGTTTGATTGTAAGCAACGATGGCACACCGGCGACTTCTCATCACACTTCTTTCTGCGGCTCCGGCCTATCCCTCGTGTTACTAAAGCATATCTATTTGATATGACTGCCCCGCGCTTACAAGTCAGACACCCTGTTTTGGTGCGCAATTTTGCTGGACGGTAGGGTAAATTTTTCATGGTCTTGACACCAACAAGCGTCGCAAGCGACGTATCCGTTTCGAGGGCAGAAGATCTTTGAATGCGGTGGCACTGCCACCGTTATCGACAACAACAGCGGCTGACAAGGAATCCGCAGCCTCGTGGTGCGGAGATGAACATGTGCCAAGCTACTCTCATTCAGCTGGGGCTAACTTAATGCGTCCAAGTGATTGCACTCGCCGAATGGTCCTTCGATGATCAATTCAGTGACCATGGTATGCTCTCCGCTTGTAGCTACGAATAGAAGAGTGGCATTGCGGACCAGACAATGGCAGAAGATAGTCTCAGCCTTTCCGATGATGTCACCTTAAGATATGATTGACCAGTGACTTGTTCCGTAGGTAATCTTGAGCCTCATCCGAAGTTCGAATTCTCGTTTTCTAAATCTGCCAGAGGAAAATGTCGTTCAAACGCTGTCCGAAACCGACTCAGTGGGCACAGGCTAGCTCTCATAGCAGTCAAGACTCGATTCCACAGAAGGCTAGCCGTGGGGGTTGGGAAAGCCCTCGATGGATTTTGCCTCCTCGATCTGATTTGCTGGGCAAATGTTCCCTTCACTTGTAAAACTTATATGCACCTATACTGTAATGGGTGGCAGAAGCATGTAGGTCTGTAGGCCTAGCCAGATGTACGCACACAAAACAGTGCCAGAATATTCAGTCACTGGGTATCCAGCTTCGGTTGGCAGACGTGCTGCAATGGTGGAATGGTGGGTTACCTGTGTCATTTATCAGCCAAACACAAACATCTGCTGATTGGGCCAGCTGTGGAATTCTTAGTTGTTATCAACAATTTGAACGCGTCGTTTCAGTGACAATTCTTCGTACACACACCAAGTGTAACACTACGTGCGTTCATCGTAAACAAAGCAAGACATATACAGGCATATAGAGATCAATCATTCCAGACACGCAGCCCAGAGAATACGAGCCGGCGGAAGTGAAGCGTAATTTTCACGAGTGATGTATACCAGACTTTGCGGATTCCGAAGTACTTATTATTCGCTGTACCCGAGCTCTCGCCAAATATCAGAACAAACTTCATGAGGACCGACGCTGTAAAGGTCGTGCTGCATGCTCATTGAGGGAACAGGTATGGCCGTGACTCGGACACTAGACCGTTTCCGAACAGCAATAGCCTGTGACGGAGCGTAGCATTGACCCAGACCTAGCTTGCATATACATACAGGGTACCGTGTAATGGACCAAAACATTTGCACAGCACCGATACCGACTACTACACTCAGCCAAGTCAATAACATCGATTACCCTCAATATTTGAGGTTGAAGCGAAGCCCCGAAAGAGGCCGAACGATCGTTTCGGCCACATGTGAAGCTCCTTGTACCAAGCCATCGGCACATCCATCACAGCCCAACATAATGAATCACACGAAGGAGAAATTCGGCTACAGCACACACTCAAGGTTTCAATGTTCATCCGGTATGTAATCAAAGCAACTGCCCGAGGGTATTCTACCAAAATGATCCAGAACGCTCACCACGCCACGGCCCCCTGTCTGTACCTGCTTAGTGGAGCAGACCATCATTCTTCTTCCTCCGCCAATTCAGAAACTGGAGTTTGCAGCGCATTTCCAAAGTTCCATTGTCATAAGCGATGTTACCTCCTAATTGGCAACGCAGACTACCAATGACCGAGATGCCAAGTCCAGCAACCCTACCATATACACATCTGTTCTCTTAAAGCTGCGTCATGATGCTCTCTGGGTCGCTGATGATGTTCGGCGTATGCGTCTCCACCGCTTCCTCTGTCAGTGCCACACCGCCTTCCACCTCTACCTCGCTCCCCTCAGACACGCACGAGTAGACCGAATGCATCGAGCCCGAGCTGTCTGACTCACCACTGCTCGAGAATTGGCGCCTAAGCACATAGTTCGGGTTGTTTTGTCCGTATGTATGATCACCGTGCTTGTGCTCCTGCTTCAAGTCAAAACGATCTTTCTGGCGCTTCACGCGGCGCAATGCTCCCATATCAAACTCGCCCATCGCCGACGCATTGCCCGAGTCTCTAGCAGCGGCGGTATGCGGCATAGGGAGCGTAATGTTGGAGCCTGATGAGCTCGAATCTCGCGCCGTAGTGCGGAAGACGCCCTTGAACGCTTCCTTGAGTCCTCGACGGGAAAATAGCGGTAGTTCACGCGAGAGATCTCGACCAATGTCAAACGAGGAACGACGGCCCATCTTGTAGAAGCGGCGGCGGTGACGGCGGGTAGTGTTTAGCGTGTCAATCTCGGATTGCGTGGTCTTGTAGGTGTAGACGCTGGATTGCGAGGGCGTAGAATGCGAATCGTCAGAGAAACCGGAGGATACTAGAAGCGTGCTTGGTGTGTTTTCATCTGTTGGGATGCACAGCGTAGTGGGTATCGGACGACAAGAGATGTGCTTCATGATCTGCGCAGACTTGATTGGCAACAAGTTTGCCTCAGTGGGTTCGAGGGGTCGGACTTCGTCCTTGAAGACGGCGTCGAATGACATTGATATGCGATCTTTAAAGTACGGGCGGCAGGCGTGACAAGCAACTACCTGACAACTTGGGACCGCCTAAACAAGAGGTCAGTGAGGTCTGGTATAGTGAAGCTTCATAGAGGTGATGTCGACAGTTTGTTCCTGTGTGCATTACAGCCCGAATGTCTGGTACTGTTTGCCTCTGCGCTCAAGGGTAGGGCTAGAGAGTCTGCTAGAGACTACTGGACGACTCTCCATTACTGGAACGAATAGAGGATAACTCTCTTCACCAATCTCCCCAGTATACGTACCTCGACTACTTCGGGGAGGCTATTGAGCGCTCCATCATTATTCGGCGGTTCAAGCGCGTTGACGGACACATGCACGATGGCTTCCCTCATCGGAGCGGCCTGTAGCGCTCCTGCAATGACTCCGTTGAGCTCCGTCTTCTTCACCTTCAGCTTCTCAAGTTGCTGATCTGTGTAGAGACCTTGTTCCGCGGTCACAATGACGCTCTCGCTCAGGCCAATGTGCTCCATCTCCCGGCGCAATGGCGACTTAGCCGAATAATTCGCATCCGGCTCATCTGCTGCGTGGTGCTCGAGATAGGCCATGTCACGCTCCTGGCGACAGATGTAAAGAAAACCCAGTGCTCGGTAGTTGCCACAGCTGGGGCAAGAGAAGCCTTCGGAAACGTTGAGCGGAATGCGCTCCATACTGACGTGCGTGCATGCTGGCGCTTTGCGCTTCGGAACGCTGCGTGTCTGCGTTCTTGATTAGCAGGCGCGCGCAAGCTTGCGCTGGGTGAACATACTCGCATCATAGGAGCTGTGGAGCGGCTGACGGTCGCCGTGAACATGTATGGATGCTGGTGACGCCTCCGGTGTTATGGAGAGGCACTTATTCTCGGGTTGACTTTGGATTTACGTAGAGAACGGACGGCCGGTACGTCCACAGGTTTTTTGGTGACTGAGGCAGGAGCCGGAGTGAGGTACGCGGGAGTCGCTTGCACAGAGGACCAACCGGCAGCCCTATTATTTCGTTTGGTGAAGGTATTGATAGGTAGAATTCATAGGAGACGGGCTATAATCGCCGCGGGTGGAGTAATGTTGTGTTGACGGTACGAACATTCTTGGCAAGAGCGAAGGCAAACGGCGACCCGACCCGCGCCCATGCTCGCTCTGAGGGGCAGGTGCGAGCTTCTGGACGGCATGCGAAAGTCGTCGTATACCCACGGCTCAGAGTCGCACCTGCATGTTCGGCCATGGTACTGAAGCAGGTGTCATATGGCTCTGGGCAGCAGGCCTGCGAGCCTGACAGCACGCCATGTTCGACAACACGGTCCAGAGTAACACAACAGTCGATTCGTGCATCCGGAGAACCCCATCCTATCTCTTTTCAGACTGCAAGTTGCCCGAGACAAAGCTGCAAACGCACTGCTGCTGACCCACAACATAAATGAACCGACTTCAGCATGATAAGAGCATACCTACCACGTTGCGCTTTTCACGAGCCATGTGCCGGTTGATTCTCAAGGCCTTCATGAGCTATTGGCAGGTCGATCGCGGTGGCAGGAGACGGACAGGCACCACCGGGCTACCGACATCCTGTGCTCCCGCGATGCGGCCAACGCTCGATCGATCCTGCAGCAGCCCAGCTACGCATCTGGATCGCTAGATAGTGCTGGAAGCTCTCGCTCATACAAGCCATGGACAGATAGGCGATAACGGACGTGCGCATTCGTGGTGTTGAGCTGCCTCACAGCTGTTGCATCAGCCATCTGCCGAGACCGGGAAGGAGCTAGCCGCTTAGGACGACCCGAGGGTGTCGGCGAGCCGACAACAAACACGCCCAGCCATCCTCCATCGTCAGCTCCACCCCCATCTTTGCCCAAGCACCGCGGCTATCTGCACCACCACCTCACGCGCCCACCCGTCCACGACCGTCCGCACCACTGAGCGTGCCCCGCAATGTCGTCAGTCAAGTTCGAGAAGGAGACGGTCACGAAGAGCGCCGAAGGGCTCGCGGGCGCCGCCGCCGAAGCTGCGGGCAAGGGGAAGGACGACCTGCTCAAGAATGTTGGCGAGGCCATCACCAAGGGCGGTGGCGCGAACGGATACCTTCAGGTGGGCGGCGCGTAATTGGCGATTGGCCATGCTGCGTGCCACTGTACTGACTGCTGGCGACAGGCGTACCTCAAGCACCTGCAAGAGAACCCTCTCCGCACCAAGATGCTCACCTCTGGTACCCTTTCGGGTCTGCAAGAGTTTCTTGCCTCGTGGATCGCGCATGATCGGAGCAAGCACGGCCACTACTTCACCTCGCGCGTTCCCAAGATGGCCCTCTACGGCGCTTTTATCAGTGCCCCGCTTGGCCACTTCCTGATCAGCATACTGCAGAAGATCTTCCGCGGGCGCAAGAGCCTCAAGGCCAAGATTATGCAGATTCTCATCAGCAATCTCATAGTAAGCCCATGCCCCATGACGACCTTGCCGGCTAGCTCACAGACTTAGATCTCTCCCATCCAAAACTCGATATACCTTGTGTCCATGGCTGTGATTGCTGGCGCACGCACCTTCCACCAAGTTCGAGCTACCGTCAAGGCTGGCTTCATGCCAGTCATGAAGGTGAGCTGGATCGTTTCGCCAATTTCCCTGGCCTTCGCCCAGCAATTCCTGCCCGAGCACACATGGGTGCCCTTCTTCAACATCATTGGTTTCATAATCGGGACATATGTAAACGCACACACCAAGAAGAAGAGGCTTGCAGCCTTGAGGCGCAAGCACTACGGTGACGGCAGCGGTAGGGATCTAGGAGGTAGGGATCTAGGACGTGGGGATTATGGTAGGGCCGACCTGGGCGGTAGGAGCGTGGCTGGTGGCAGGCCTGGTGATGAGTATCCTGGCGGCAGGCCTGGGGAGTACCCTCCCGGCCCTCCGGGTGCCCGACGCGACTATTAGAATTCTGCTGGTGCCAGCGACAATAGCCTTGTGAGCCCGCGCACCTGCATAAACCACCATGTATGCTTGAGGGTTGGCATGCTTGCCTGAATACCATCACACTGACGATGCCCACGTACTACACACGTGGGATGACAAACGTAAGAGACGGAAGCAAGTTGGCCATGATAGCGTGGACCTCATTGTAAGCGCGCATCGCCACCAGAGAAGCGCCCCAGGAGCCGGGTGCTGTAAGCCATGTTTTGTATATTTCTATGTCCGGTCCGTTTCATGTTACCCCTGCATCTCTTTTCGCTCTGCGTATATGTTAGTAAACTACGTAACTGTCTTCGCCTTATTATGTTGCCTTCCGGGTTATTGCTTTCACGGCTTGGTGTCGTTCGCAATTATGACCATACAACCGTGATGCAGAAAACCGATGGAAGAGCCAGTCGAAGACACAACTTATGTTGACTCTAGGTAACCATCGTGGCTTCTCCTTCTCAGTTTGGGAAAGCTTCCTGGATGCGAGCGGCCTGCGAGCGGGTGTACATCTGTCTGGATTCTGCCATTGACTGACGATAACAGAATTATGTTCTTCCACTTGGCTGCCTCGTCAAACGCTAGAAGCAAACACGTACGTGGATACATACCCTTGGACAGCGCAAACCGTCGGTCTGGTTGTAACACAGCGGAGCACAAAACCACTGCTTGGGTTTTCCATACAAAGCACCGTTCGCGCTCAAGAAACGTCAGAGATCTATTTTGACGTTATATAACCTGCTGCTGGTCGGAAATTGACGCTCATCCACAGTTCTACATGTATGGCTGCACTATCTGGATTAGTTGCACACTATTCGCTTCCGTCGTAATCGTCCTAATGCCATTCTGTCCTCCACGCCTCACTCCATACATCGATCGCTCTTTGGTCGCATCGAGGTACTCGCAGGATCATCCCTATCTGCACGACTCTGATCCTGAGTCTTACCACCAAGGCCTATCGTTGCATATTTCCCGTCCGCTCTCTGCCCTTGCGCTGAAGCTACAGGACCCTCGTCTCAAGTGTGACCGGAACTTGGGATGGAACATCGACTGGGCGGTTGCTTTCCTTGTTGACTTTTTGGATCCGAAGAACAGTCCTGATGCAGCGGCTGTGTTGAAGAACATCCGCGTACGAGCGCAGGCGCTGGAGAAGGAAGGTCATGCGTTGGAGATCCCTTTCCGTATCTTCGGCAAGCTGAACGAAACATTGTTCGCAGGACACTTGAAGAATGCGGTTTATCTTGAGCTCAGGAAGCTACATCCGGACGTGTCAGGGGCTACGCACACTCACGGCTGGGGTCTTGATCCCAAAGTGAAGAGAGTGTCCGTCTACCTTAACAAGGATACTTTCCTGCATAGGTCTCGAGACCTCATCGGGACGCTTATCCACCACATGATTCACGCCTACTTCCTCATCGCATGCGGCCCGCAAGTCGAAAAAGAGACGGCCTACGGACGTCTCGACCACGGCTTCCACTTCGGCAGGATCATGACAGCGATAAAGAAACTTTCAGGTCTCAACGGCCGCCCCCTTGCATCCCTCGACTTCGGCCACACCCTTGGCCAGACTAATCGCCTCTTCTACGACGAATACTATCACCACCGGCGCAGACCGTTCCACCAGCGTAGCGGCAAAGAAAAGTGGTATTGCAGCCACTGCTACTCTGACGTCGCCGCCCTCTCCAACGGCGAACTCGATGCCTGGTACGGCATGGTGTGCAAACCCCTCCTCACTCTCCCCGAACCCCTCCGCAGCGCCGCAGTCCAGATCTATAATCCCCGCCAACACATTCTCGAAGACGTTCCCCGCGCTGAAACCACGCCCTCCGCCGCCTCGAACGAATTCATCTACAAGGACAAGTCCGTACTTGTACCCTTCACCAAATTGGACAACTTCTACAGCGTCCGACGCGCGTTCGAGAAAGTGGGGTGCAGGTACTTAGAACTGAACGAAATCATCCACCAGGACACTGTGCTTCGCTTTTTCGAGCTACTGCACACAGGATCCTACGGCCCGGATGCAAAGCTCGCCCTATCACAGGGAAGGAAAGGTCCGCCGGACATCAAAAGTCCTAGCACGGGGGAACCGAATCTCCTTACCGATATCCGGATGTACAAAATGGGTATCATAATGGGGTTTGACGAGCTGAAGGGGACGGCGCTAGAGAGGATGTATAAGCATGCTGTTACGCACGAGGATCCTATCACCCTACTCCAAGAACTATATGGTTGTGGGGAACCGGACGCTGATTTGAAAGCTTGGACGAGGAAGTTTTTGGCAAAGGTGCCGGAGGGTGAGTGGGATGCAGTGGTGGGAGAACCAAGTAATCTGGCAAAACTGGAATGCGAGCTGATGGGGTGGAAGGCGAGATTTAATGATTTGCTTGAGAGTAGTAGTGCGTTAAAGTACGAGGTGGGCATGGTCAAAAGGGAGTTGGTCGCAAGTGGGCTGTATGCTCCTGCGTCGGGGCCGGGCCATGGAGGACCGTTGACTCTGCCGCCGAGGCATTTGGCACCGCAAATAATGTTGGGAATGGGAATGGGGATGAGGCATCATGGGCATCTGACTTTGCCACGGGTGCCACCAAAAGTGGAGATAGAGAGGAGGGCGGCTGCTGCTGCTGCCGCTGCTGTGGCGAGCGATCCGTATCTGGCGGGAAGCCTGCGCTACGCGGACGATTACGGTGATGTTGCTTCGACGTGGGACGGCACTTGGTGAATGTGCAGGATGGAGAAACTTTCAGGGTAGTTGGATGGTCTTTGGTTTTGTAAGCATTGTTGTCGGTTCATGGCTTAGCGATCTTAACATTGTATAGTACTGGGCCCTGGGTGTTAGAAGCACGAACTGATACCACACAATAATACGAGAGAACTACACTTAGTCAATGAACAATCACGTTTCCAAAACGATTATATACTCCAATCACTGGCAGCTATTCGCGAGCTGCTTGGATGAGCACGGTGTTCTGAATTCTATATTCATCCTACGCCTCTTCTCTTTCACTTCTGCACAAAGATGTCATTTCGCAGATTGAGGTCCTTTTCACCATCTCATCATGGGCCAATCCCCCACGAGCTCATAGGCCGCATCTGCGAGTATCTCTCACGTAACAACCATCACACCTGGGCAAGCCCGAACTGCTCTCGGGTCGCGCAAATTCTACGACGCGGTCGAACGAGCATCAGGCAAGTACGCGAAAACGACAACCTGGACAGAAAGCGATCAGAGACAAAGGATTGGGCCTTTGGAGGACATGACTCAACAGAGCTCTAGCAATTCGTCAGTATCTACGGGCCTCGAAATCTGTTGCCCTACGGTGTGAGCTTTGGACGAACATCGACCTTCAACAGATACAACATCGCAGCTCAGGAACATAGGCTACTCAATATTGTCGTATTGCTGCGACTAAAGCCTGAGCTAGAGTACCCGTATCTGCCTCGTAGATTTGACACATCTATTCATTGGAAGACCACTTGTCCGTAACAACGCCGTACTCCGTACCAATGCGGCCACTTCATCACGATGAGTTTCCGTCTTCCCGTCAATTTTAATCATGGTATCTTAGCGTTCGACATGTCGTTCGATGTTACTCGTTACGAAGGTGTTGTTGGCTCGGTCGTCTAAGATCCGGGGTTGGGGTTCATCTGCACCCGTCAGCAGCCATCTCTGCCGGGCTATATTGAAGTTCCTACCTTGCGCTTTCCGCCGGTCATGGTAACGTTGACAAAGCGGCGGGTGTATGTGAGCCTCTTCTTGGCGCGGCCCTTGGGCGTCTTCTTCTTCTCCTGGGGTTCGACCTTTTTATGTGTTAGCGCCCGGCGGCGGCGGACGCGGGTGCGAGATGAAGCCTACCTTGGGAGTCTGCGACTTGACCTTTCCGGCACGAGCGAGGGATCCGTGAACTTTACCCATGATTGCGGTGATGGAGATATGCTGTCCTGCTGGGGTTGAGCGACGTTGTGGTGGATTCGGCTCTCTGTGGCTTCGCTTGTCGGAGAAACAGTTTCGCCGGTCGCGCTTGCCCCTCACCTACAGATCGAGAAGTGGCGGACGATGCTCAATGACGAGCCGGCTCGCAGGACCTCTCTTAAGAGATACATAATCATCCCAGTCATCCCGTTGAGTTTTTTGAGCAAGTCATTCTGAGTCATTTTCGCAGTCGCTATATGGTCGTGTTTCGCCGCTGCATTGACTCATCCGTTTGATCCTCCAATTACTGTCCATAACCCGCTATAAACATCAGGATTACTTCCCATTAGACACCGATTCGCTCTCTTCTTGGTTCGGACTTGGTTCCTCGCACCCAAGGATTCCCGGTTCGCTTCCAGGCCATGCCCAAGAAGCACCACCCTACATATGCATCGATCAAACCAACATACGTCCACCCATCTCTCCAGAGCTCGCGCAACGCAGCTTCGTCTTCGACGCCATCTCCGCAAACCGTGAACGATCGTATACAGCAGCTGCGACGCGAACAAGCACCGCGCGCAACCGCACAACGTAGAGATGAAGTCACAGAAGTGGTCAGTAATCGTACTGTGCCGCCCGATCTGAGGCGTATACTGCATTTGGCAGAGGTTGACGCGCCGAAACCAAAGCCAGGTAGACGGCGAATACATGACGAAAGACCTCCCCCGGGACCTGCCGCGCCAACAAGCTGGCTGAGTAGGAGTAGATGGGCGCCAGAGTTTCGGAGAAAATCGAGGACTTATCATGGGTATGGCACCGGAGCGGGCCGTTTCTGCAAGCTGGCGACTGTTCATAATGAAGAGTTCAAGGTACGTGGACAATCTTGTGACATGACTGGACATGCACAGTGGGTGACGCAGATCCATGACTTAGGTACCATCCGCGCCATAATGCAAGAAGAAAAAGGACCTTCCAAAAGATTAACGCTCTATCGCGATCAGCGAGTGCAAGGATATTGCTATAATCGCCACCCACTGTGCTTGCATCATCGCACAAAATGTTAACTTGAACAGCGTCTACCACCGCCACGAAGTCTTATCCACCATTGTCTGCGAACTTTCGCACTGCATTGGGAAGAAGTTTCTGTGTATGAGCAACATTATCTTCCTGCGCTACCCGTAGCTTTGAAGGAGGCCCTGCTCAGCTACCTCTCACTATACGGAGAGCGATCATGCATGGACTTCAAATCGTTCAAGATCCTTTTCCAGAACGATCAAGAGGTAGAAGGCGCCTCAGGATCAGAGGATGTACAATTTCTGGATCTCACAGGGTTGCTGAATGCAGGATACACACCGAAAGACTTGGAAAAGTCACTTTCGCGATCAAGCCTAGGTGCTGTTGCAACAAGCAGCATGGCCGACCTCTCCCTTTCCGCAGCAAAACAGCAATCCAAAGCAGCCATCGACGTCGCCGACTCCTGGGAAGACGAAGCAGACGACGGCCTACCGCTCGTCCTTCCTGCAACCCTCACCGTCCCCATCTTCCCCAACCTTACCCGCCTCTCCCTCGCCCATCCCGGAACAGCTGCCTCCTGGACCGACCTCCTCTCGCTCTCGACACATCTGAAGACCCTCACCCACCTCTCGTTAGCGTACTGGCCGCGACCAAGCACGACCCCCAACGCAGCGACAACGTCCATGGTCGCGCGGCACGCGACCGTCTCCCTCGGCGGCTCACACTTCTACTCCGATCTCGACGACGACTGGCACGAGGCAGCCAAAATCCTGCGCCGCCTCTCGCTCAACACGTACTGCCTCAAGTGGCTCGATCTCGAGGGTTGCACTTGGCTCAAGGCGCTGAAGTGGGACTTACCCTCCAACGCAACGCCCTACACGAGCGCAGCTGTCATGTCGGGCAACGACGAGTGGGTGCGTCCTTCGTCCTCGCCCGGCCCAGACTGGAACGGCGCGTGGCGCCAGATCGAGTATCTCAATCTGTTCCAGGGCTGGATACCCAGCGACACGAAGAGTCTGCAGAATATGCCCGCTGGGATTGTGCCTGCGCAGCTGATGCGCTGGCTACGAGAATACGGGAGGAAGGAGGGCGTACAGGATTTGCTTGGGGACGAGGGCACGCATGGGGCTGTAGAGTGGGTGGAGAAGGAGAAGGTTGCGCGGAGTGTGGGGTTCGCGGTGCAGAGTCTAAGGAAGGCGGGTGGGGGGCAGTATTGCCGTGTGGAATATGGATGGGGCGGAGAAATGTAGACTTCACGCCCATTCGACCATTGCGAAGCTGTACATTGTACTTTTGAAGATAGTGACGCTGACCTGCGGTATTTCGGCCCCCTCGCGGAGATAACATGTTCTCCCGAAAATACGAGATGCAGGATGAGAGGGAAGGAACTCCGTCAGCACTGAGAGCCCGGGCCGCTGGGTAAAGCGCTCGACGGACCCGAGTCGGCAAAAGCTTGAATTTCCAACATCTAGATCCTTGCGCACGGTGCAGTACGTTGTTAGCGTCCTTGCGCGGCTTATTTTCTACGATTTGTATTATGCCAGCGGCGGCAGCTCAACAATAACGGTGGGCTCGTGCGGATATTGTCAATAGTTGGAAACAGTTGGCTTCGTGGCGGAATATGAAAACACTGAATAAGGCTGTAGGCAGCGTGTCTTGACTCGAATAACGCCGAGTTGACAGGTAATTGCAGGTGATGGTGACGGGCCGATAGCGAGTAAGCATTGCTAACGCCTATCGTGAGAGATATGGTTTGATCATTGAATGCATCCAGGCGCTTATTCGCGCTTAGGTGCGAATGGATATTACTTCAGTTGTCGCTACGGAAATGGAGATCTACATGGTGTAGCCACAGCGCGGTCGCATAATGTTGATTGGATCCTGAATACGCATAGGATGGTACAGGAGCCTCGTGCTATCAGCTTTCATTGAAGTGTGTTTAAGGCATTTCTCCGAGGTGTTTTCCTATTCAGTTGTTAAAGGCTCATGATGCACGAGTTGTAGGTCGGCTTCTCCCAAGTTGAGACGTTAACTTGGAAAAGAATGGAGAGTGGCTATAGAGAGGAGCATTGTGTAGATAGTGTGCGAAATAGGAATGCTGTTCCTGCGAACCTCGATCGTAGCGAATGAGATAGTGAGACACTTTGGGTTCTGTAGCATGTTTTCTGCGAAAGCCCTCGTGACTGTGGTGGTGTCAGCGAAGGCATCTAAGCACGCCACTGCAATAATGGCAAAAGTCACGACAGATGAAGTCGGTAGCTGTGACACCCAACTGTGTTCCGCAAAGGACTCGGTCCGCTTGTCATGCAGATGGCGCCGATACCCGCTACGCTCATGTGGGCATGTATTCCCGTTATTGTGTGACTTGTCTCCCTTCCTCCATGGGACCCGGGCACGAGGTCTGGTAAAAACTGCGTGGTCCGCTGGATAGGGAAATCAAGTCGACTGCATCGTGCAGAAAATCGGTCAGATGTGCCGAGACGCTCTGCTAGACAACCTTGAACTATCAAGGAACAAAGTCTTGAGACGCTCCACACTCGGCGGAAGGTTGGGGAAGAACGCGTCCCATGCTCTTGGAAAGTCTGGAGTGAAGTCTTGGAGTATTCCTCGAGCGGATTCCGACACGAACGTTCGCCCGACAGCCCTCAGGATTTTGAAACAGCCACCCGTCATGCTCCAGCGGAGGCTTGTTTCCATGCCAATCTATCGCTGCAATGACAACCACGGCAGGTGAGACCAAATGCGAGAAGGCTCACCCCACTCGTGAAGAGAGCGGAAACGACGCACCTGCCCAAAGCCGAAAATGGCAGCCAGAATGCGTCAGTGCATACAACAAGTGCTGATAGGACAAAAGCCGGCCCCGCATGAAGAGACCACGGGCAGCGTTTCGGGTAACGTTGGTGAGAGCGTGTCAGGTAAATAAAGACGACGGCTTCATGCGTGGTGGTATCGTGTGGGATGGGTGCATTTCCCAGCATGGCCAATATTGAACTTGTACGACGGTGCCAGGGTAACCGATAGCGATAATCAATATGCAGGCTGTAGTGCACGATAGATAGTAGACAGTAGTGCATATCCCGAGATCGACGCTCCGTATGTAGTCTGGGTGAATGCAGAAATCGGATGCGGAGCTAACGAGACATGGCTTGCTCAACGGAAGATGTGCAGCGAGCAGGGCAGCTCGGTCGCGAATTACCAAAATAGAGGCCAGGTTGCTGGCGGGAGGAGCGCGGTCAGCAAAGCTTGAAACGCCACAAAGCATGCATCATCACGCTTTACGAGTGCAACCCCGGGCGCTGACTGTGAAGCTCGCATGGGGAGACATTGTCGCGGGGCGGAGGCGTACTGTGCACAGTAGTGCTCGGGCATGATGACGACGACGACGACCGGAAGAGCACATGCAGTCCACCAGTCACTGCGGTAACGAAGCTGCCGTGTAGACTAGAGGGTGCATGGCGTCGCTGCGGACGGGACGTTTATTATCATCTGCATTGGCAAATCATGGCAGGCGGCAGAGACACGCCCAAGCCTGGTGGAAAGTCGTCTAGAAATTGCGCAATGGGGTCCCCGAGCCGGCAGCGGAAGGTGGGCTGCGGCCTCGTCTGTTTCAGCCTGCCGTCGCCGCCATGGCAGCCGCGCAACTGACAGCACGCATCGGTGCAAAGGGCAGCAAGGGAGAGGGCAGAGTGACATGCTGTGTAAGACGGTGGTTCGGTTTCGCGCGCGTCTCTCGTGGCGTAGCAGAAAGGGGCAGTGAGCAGGACAGCCATGGCGAAGACGAGGTTGGTGTCGTCGAATCAGGGCAGTGGAGCCCAGTGGCGGCGCGCAGTGGTTGTGCAGCTCGCATCATGAACGCGTGGCTCTCCAGCGACGCTCCGAGACGGCGTTGGAATGTGGCCCGCCGCGAGACGAGGATGGACAGCGCCATTGCGCGGGCGGTCCACAGGCCGTCGCAGACAAACAGCGATCTGCGCAGGCGAGCGTGGGAATCGCAGCTGTGGTGGGCTCCTGGCTCCGGACAATCTGCGCCCGCGCCCTGAGGCTCTGGGCGCCAGTGCGTGGGCACCCCGAAGCTTAGCGCGCCTCTGAAACTCGCCTCCATGGGAACCCACGAGGCTGGCTGGACAGCGGCCAACAAAAGCCGCGACTCGCACCCTCACTCGCTCGCGCAGTCAGTCGCTCGATTCCTCGCCAACGTCCCGTTGTCCACTCGTTTCCTCCTTGCTGTCCTCGCCGCCTGCCTTCCCAAAGCAGCCCTAATCTCACTTCGCCTGCATCGGGCCTGGCTTCGTGCAACGCGAGCGCCCGCTGCTGCTGATAAGACATTCTGCGCCAGGAAGCGTCTCCCGCACCGACGCACCGACCCGTCCGAATCACGTAGGGCAGGGGCCTGCGCGAACAATCTGCACGCTGCAATCTGCAATCTGCAAGCTACATCCAGCGCCGCATCATCATATAACTCCCGCGCTGCCTTGGCCGTGCCACGTCCAGCTATTTCTTCGCATCCACCTCCACGCCTCCGGTCAGGCACCTCCTCCCTCCACCTCTCCCTCTCCCACGCTCTGGCCACCCGCGGCCACGATGCTCACCTTCAAGAAAGCCCTCGTGCTTTCCCTCGCCGTCGTCACCCTGTTCTTCCTGTTCAAGAGCACCCACTCGTCCACCTCGCCCGCCTCCTACCGCAATGCGAACGACATGCCCAAGCCGTCCTCCATGCAGAAGCCGAAGCCTGCTCCCAAACAAGAGGCCAAGCCGAACAAGGCCGACAAAGCATTTGACACGCCCGACGTCCCGAAGAAGGTCAGGGAGCAGATCCCCTTGGACGAGCTGCACAAGAAGCCCTTGCGCAACCAGCTCGAGTACCAGTTCCCCTACGACGTCGACTCCAAGTTCCCTGCCTACATCTGGCAGACGTGGAAGACGACGCCCGCCCAGGGCCAATTCCCCGAGGCATTCCGCGAGGCAGAAGCCAGCTGGACCATCAATCACCCAACCTTCGTACACGAAGTCATCACCGACGACGTGGCCGTGCACCTGATCCGTCACCTCTACGCCTCCGTTCCCCAGGTCCTCGAGGCCTACAACGCTCTGCCCGTCCCCGTCCTCAAAGCCGACTTCTTCCGCTACCTCATCCTCCTCGCCAGAGGCGGCATCTACTCTGATATTGACACCCACGCACTGAAGAGTGCTGCCGACTGGATCCCTTCGGATGTGCCCAGCAACTCGTATGGCATGGTTATTGGCATCGAGGCTGATCCGGACCGCCCGGACTGGGCTGACTGGTACGCGCGGCGCATCCAGTTCTGCCAATGGACTATCCAATCAAAGCCCGGTCACCCGGTCCTCGTCGATGTAGTTGCCAACATCACCCAGGAAACGCTGCAACGCAAGGCCGAAGGCAAGCTCACCAAGGATCACAAGGGCATCATTGAATTCACTGGCCCCGGTCTGTGGACTGACAGCATCTTCTCTTTTTTCAACGATCCTGCGTATTTCGACATGAGCACCAGCAAGGGCAACATCTCGTACACCCACTTCACAGGCATGAAGCAGCCCAAGAAGGTTGGCGACGTCATCATTCTCCCCATCACGAGCTTCAGCCCTGGCATCAAGACGATGAATGCCGGCGAAGAGGACGACCCAATGGCTTTCGTGAAGCACCAATTCGAAGGTACGTAGCAATCTTACTCGAGTATCGGTGACACTGTACACCCTGAAGTAGTACACTTGATGGGTGTCACTGCTGCCAATATCCGGCGCGACGGAACCGACCTGGCCTAGAGCGCGTTGGACCCGCCACTACACGATGCAGATTTGCTGACTCATGTACAGGCTCCTGGAAGCCCGAGAATGAACGCCATATTGGCAAGGTCTTTAATTGATCGACACTTTTTAAATGTCGCTTCGGAAACATCAGTCGACAGCGAATTTCCTGTATATGATTTGGACGCCGAATACATACTGTCGGATGTGGTTCTAGGACACACAACGGTTCACTAGGGCGAGGATACAGTTACCATTTCCGACGGAGCACATATTCCTTGCGAAAGAGTTTCTGTGAGCTCCGTGGAGGGACGCACAAGCCCAACCGTATCGCCTTTCTCAAAGGCTGCTCATCGGTTTAGCCGTGCCGCAGACGCGGATAGGGCCTATGTTTGAAAATAAGTCAGCAGGTGGACACCCAAAAGCAGAAATTGGGCAGCGGGCGTTTTTCTTTTTGCACTTTTCTTACCTGGTCCCCATATACCTCTTCTTCTCCTTTCGGCAACAATACTTCAAGCGCTGAAGTCGTTGTTTCGAGGCCGCCGAGCCGTTTTCCTTTAGGCGTTGGATCGGTGGTTCGGTCTCACTGTAAAATTATAGACGGAGATCGGATTACATGGTGGAAAAAACAGCTACGCGCGGTACTTAGCATTTGTACAGACTTTGTCTTGTCATAGCATGGTGTTGGTGGCTACCGGATTGGGCAGCCTGGGAAGTTGACGAGCTTGCAGCAATACGACATTGACAATGATACTTTGTTTACGAGCCTCAGTGACGTCCATTACCGAGTTGTACTGATGCTGACTGGCTCGAGATGACCCTTACTGCATGATCTCATTATCACTATTTAGCCAGGCACTGCAGCTCTGCCTACTGGTTCCGCTCACGTCAATCCAGTCTGGAATCACCAAGGTTGCTGATGTACAACATTGTCCGCCAGCTCAAGGTCACTGCGCTCAATTACTTAGATGAAAGCATGCAGACTGAACAAATTCCTTAATGGAAAGAACACGGGTATCTACATCCATCTAAACCTTAACTTTAGAACCAAAATACCGTGGTTCCACCTCACGCCCTGTTCTAGCGCATCATCGCTCAAAACGCGATCCACTTTCGTCGTGTGTCAGGAAGCCTACCTCCTCGAAAAGGCCCCCAGAATCGAATCCCAAATCAACACCACGGTATCTCCCAAACTCGGCCTCTTCTCCAACTCGCGCTTCTCGCGTCGGGAGTGGTGGCTGTGATGCGAGCGGTGGCTTCGCGTCGAGTGGTGGCTTTGCGACGAATGACGGCGCGAAGGCTGCGGTGCAGCGGCTTGGCTGGCATACGGTTGGTTTGCGTACGCGTCGTAGGGCGTGAGGTGTTGTGATGTGGTGTTGTAGGAGGAGGAGCGGTACTGGGGGTGGGGCACTACGGCGGTTTCGGTTTGGGAGGGGTAGCGCTGAGGCTGAGGTTGTGAATGGGAGGGGTAGTGTTGATGTTGTGGGTCGTAAGTGTATGGTTGGGAGGTGTAGGAGGACATTGTAGTTGTTGTGGTCGCAGTCGGCGTAGTTTTAGGCGGTGGAGTATGTCGAGGCCGAGCCGTTGTATGATATATGGATGTGGTTGAGAGAGCCAAGGCAGGCTGGATAGATATATGATTTAATGTTTGCTCGTATCTGACCGGGGCGTTGATCACTCTCAGCTTGCGGAGTTCATCCCGTGTGTGTGCTGCAGCGTCTCGCTGATCCTTTCGTACCTGGGATGCCCTGTTTGCAATTGGCCTCAACACATGCGGAGGTAGGTATATATCTCTTGCTATGTTACATGTCACATTCAACAAAGAGTCTTCCGGATGACACATCTGAGCATATGTAAGATCTCTCATCTGATGCAGCCTAGCCAATTCGCCGCTCGCGTGTCACGAGAACCTTTGCGCAGCCCTGCGCAGCCTGCGGTGACTTGACTAGTCTTCCCCACAATCGCACCGAAAGGCACCCAGCCCAAGGGTGACCTAGGGGGCAGAGCATTTTCCGCAGGCCCTTCGGATGCCTGATCAGACAGGCATCGCAGACCGGTTGGGGAGCAGCGAGGGGCACATGACGTTGACGGCTTGGCGTGAGCGCTGCTTTCGCGGCACCGAGGCTGGTTATGGAGAGAAGGCAGCAGGGCGCCTTGCGTTGAGTGCAGCGGGTGGGGAAGGGCTGTGGGTGTAGATTTGGAGCAGCGCTTGGTTTGCACCAGCTGGGTGTGGTGGAGGTTGGCAAGGCTGAGTGCAACTGCGACACTGTGATGCTGCTACACGTGACGTTTGTTCAGCCCTGGAGGGCATGGCCACGCATAGCATCAACACTGTAAAGAATATGGTGAGTCCTTTCCAAGCAGATCGGCCCTGACCAATTCCTCATTAAAAATTGGCGTTTGGCCGCTAGTCTCCAGGTCTATGTTGCACCGTACGCTTGTGGGGTACACCTGAGCAATTAACCCCGCTTGGAACGGTCTCAAGCCTGAGGGTGTCAGCATTGAGTGACTGTCTTCGGCACACGCAACCCGCACTCCTAAATCGGCTCTGGAAAGCCAAGCAGAAGAGCGAGCAGCAGGGCAATTCAATACGGCTCGCCTTTCTCGTCCCTAGCGAGACCAACCTGCGAATTTTCTACCAGATGCAACTGGACGAGTGTCTTCCTGGAACTCATACAGCACCCGACTGCGATACAGATGGCCAATTTAGTCTTAGGCGAAGCATTCCTGATTTAGAACTTCACAGCGAATATCGCGCGACCAGGCTCGAAGTCCACGGGGCTGCACTCAGATATACCTTTATGGATAAAGCACGGGCTCACCACGAGATCGAGTGGGAAAGGCCCAACAGACCTTTGTTAAACATCATCACGGCCCGGTCGGACAGTATGTCTGGCGAAAGGAATGCTCCACATGTGAAAACATGTTGGGGCAATATGCGTAGACATATTTTTCGGTTGGAGGTAAAGGTCTGGAGCTACTTCCCGCCGTTTCATTACTCGAGCACCAAAGGCTTAGCATCGCGGTAAGACGGCGGAAAACAGTCCTAGAGAAACACCTAGCTGCAATCCATGTGCTGCTCGAGAGGATCGTCAATGACATACAACCGCGCAGTGGGAGACCTTCAATCAGGTATATTTGCGGGTTTGAATTTTCACCCCAACTTCCTTGGTGGGAATTCACCAAGTCCACTTTAACAATAGGCTGCATAACAAAATACTTAACAACAATGGTTTGCCCACAAACTAAGCTACATATAGCTGAGACGCGGCCATCTACTAGCAATGCGAACGTGGTCGCCGAGAGGTTACACGGCACGTGGGTGCTGTCTGTTGGCTCTTGCGTGGGGGCTGTTTCTGCATGTCCCTTTGAGGTATTCGCCCGTTTAGGCACGGCCCCATTGATAGAAACGCTCAAACCTATTTACGTGCGTCCATATCCCTTACCGAGTGACAAGCCTCCATCTAGACAGCGAGTAACCCCACGCAGTCAGACATGATCGTCTGATAGGCCGTGTGGAGGCTGATGTTCTTGTCCTGGGAATGCGGTTGAACTTGGCACTCCTTTGCCTATCGAGCCACGAGCTAGTATCGTGCGGTAAGTAAGTTCTTGTTTTCTCGCTCGTATAGGCTTCACGATCCTTTTCAGTCATGTTTGTATAAGAGTCGCCCAAACCATATAAAAGCTAGTGGGGGCTTAGAAGCTTGATGTTAAGGACGTTCATGTCAATTTATTGCAGGTGGTGGTGCAAATCGGCTTTTATCATTCAATTCCGCGGAACATCTAGCGTCTTGATGACAACCTGATACATTTGCCCATCGGAGCCTGTGATTCAGCGAGGAGCTGCTGGGCGGTGTAGGAAAGAGATGTAACAAAGAGCACACAAGGCAACTTCACTGGGTAAACGCAGGTGCAAGAGTTGATTTACTCTAACCCCTATGTGCACATCCCATTGACATGGCCATCACTCCAAGAATTGACGATTCACCTCTGACATTCCCCACCGAAGACCTTCCATGAATCCCACAGTAAACCAGACTCCAAGGTTTCTGATTGCTCAACAGATGTGGCAATTTGTGCAAGTGCAAGTGCCACCGCCCGGGCTGCTGCAACCACAAGTCTGGCAACATAGAGCGCCGCCGGATTGACGAGCTTGAATGGGCCGAGTGACACGCAGTGCCACATCTTCCAAGGTCGTTGTTGGGGCGATGTCCTCGGCGGTAGGATGGGCCATGATGTTGGTAGCCAGAGCCAGGAGGATGGCGGTGTAGGCAGAAATGAAGAGCATTTTTGGATGCTGGGTCGTTCTTCTGGAGCGACAAGAAGTAATTGCTTGTAGCAGAGGCAGAGTGAAGCTTAAAGTCAAGGCTTTAATGTTAAATATGCCGTAAAGAGGTTGGTAAATTTTTCGAATGGATTGATGTCTCGGTGGCATGATCGTTGTGGGAAATGTTGTGCTCCCTTTATACCACGACAGCTTGCGTCTGAAGCGAGTTTTGCATTTTCGATACTCTTTCTCATCCCGAACATCCTCGTAACTCCAACACGGGCTGCAGATTCCTGCGTTCTTGTCCATGGTCGCGTTGGGATCGGGCATCCATAATACATATCGCGTTGCGGTGTTGTCGATCTCACATTTACAGGGTTCGAGATTGCTAACACGAAAGCCTGTGCAGTAAGATACTATTACTTTCTACATGTGTCAACGTATCTGCATACCTTACGAGAGGGTGTAATAACACAACATCGTGTTTTTGCATACGAATGAGTTCTTGGGACCGATACGAGCTGCGGCACGCTATTGTAGAAATCGTTGTGGCAAAATCTAGCGAAGAAGCCCAAATACGGTTTGGCGGAAGGACGCCTTCTCAAATCTCGCTAAGAGCAGTCGTGCAAACCAACAATAGGTCCTGTTCCCATCGCTCAGGTTACCTGGTTGGTCATAGGGTAATGTGCGATCGACCTCATTGCTACGCTCTCATGCACTTAAGCCTTCTCGACCGGAGCATCCGGCTACATTGCTGCGTGAGGAGGGTAACGTGGGTACATTCATACTTTACACCGGAGCCTGCAAATGTTGGTGTACGAAGCTACTACCACAAAGCGTTAGTTTGAGGTGTCTTTGATTAGCATTGTGTTGCGAATCCACGTAAGGCACCGGTACCGGTAATCGTGAGCAGTCTTTCCCAACAAAGGCAACACGGGACGAAAGAACATTGGTGAAGTAGACTGCGGTGTTCATTTCCAAATAACCGAACAACGACACAGCAGCTCAAAGGAACAAACTGGACTTGGGACAAAGGATTGGGAAGGCATCAAGTAATGGACAAGGCTGTGCATCTGCATCGACCGGTCTAGACCATGCCCGAACAAAGACTGAACCCATCGCTTGTACATTGCACCAGCGACTCGGTACGCCCCAATGGACTCGCATTCCATCTCTGTTCCCAGTGCCCGTCTCACAACGACAGGCAATTACCACGCCTCCGAATCAGCTTATTTTGAGCGTAATGTCATCCTATCGGACTCTTATACACAGAGCTAAGCCTATTGTATGAAACGCTAGTCCGCAAACGGTAACACTAGGTCCATATGCGCGCGTAAGACGGACTTTTGCGCGTCGCAATAGGCAGTAAGGCTGGACGTCATTTGCTTTATAGGGCGCATCTTATACTTTGCAGGCGTAGTGCTCATCTCCGTCAGGCACCTTGCAACACGACGCGGTTGCGATCCGACCTCCCTATAATCTCGCAAGTAAGCTTCGGCATGTCACCAAGTATGGGAAAATGAGATGTCATCAGTAGAGTTCAGATGCAGGAGAGCGAGAGGGTCAACATTTTTTCAAATGTACATTGAAGACTAGTGTAATTGTATGCATGCGCACTAGCGAGTGCGCCTTTGGTATCTATTTACAATAATGATAAGAGGAGGAACGCCAGTATGAAACCCCGTACCCAACTCCGGCGACCATAGGTATATGCGGATATTGGTAAGGCTAAGTTTTTTTTGACTTAGATTGGCGAAGGAGTCTCAACACCGGTGCCGTAGGCGATGTTCATGACGTCCATGCCGGAGAGAGGGTTCATGGCACCAAGCTGGTGAGGGCATGAAGGCTGGTTGCTGACAGCAAGGTCGAGCGAGCAGACCTCGTTGTAGCCGTACTTGCAGCCGCTGGTCTGGATGTTGTACAGAGCGGAGTTGTCGTGAAGCCAGGAGCCGGCGGGGCAGCCGACGTAGGTGTTGATGCTGTTGGCAGCCATCAAGGGTAGCTTGCTTGGGGCTTGTCAGTATATGCGCAATTGTATGGAAAGGCTGAATGACTCACCCATCAGGGGTCTTGATGATCGAGGCGCACTCAGACATAGGAGCGACCTCATACTCGGCAGGAATACCACCACCCATGGTGGGGCCTTCCTTAGCACCAACACCGGTGCTAAGGTAGTTCCAGGCATCGTAGCTGATGTCGAAAGCACCACCGGAGGTATCGATCTGGAGAAGGTTCACAGTACGGCCATTGGCAGTGACACGCATGCAAAGATTGTTGCAGTCGGGCTGCATGGGCCAGTAGGCGACGCGGTTGACGTCGATGAGGCAGCCAAGCACACCGATAGACGAGGAGTAGGCGTCATGAGGAGTGATGGAGATGCCGGTGGCGACGACGGCCGAAGCCAAAGAGAGTGTGGCAGCGATCTTGGAAAGCATTTTGAAATGTGAAGATATCAAATCTTGTGTAAAAGGTGGTCTCGAAAGTTGTGGGGGAACGCTGTTCCTCGTAAAGATAGTTGTTACCGTCGAGGTAGTGATCGAAGTTTTACAATGGGTTTGGGGCTCTTTGAAGGACTGTGATGCGGAAGAAAGTACCGTGTTGGTATGACTAGGTTGGGAAAGAAGATGAAGAAGTTGGGTCCTGACAAGGAGTGTGGTAAAGAAGGAATGGAAGAAAAGACTGCTGGATGGTTTGCATTGGAGAAGCAGATTGAGGGGAAGAGGAAACGTCTTTATACTTCATGACTATGTCGGGGAGACGGATTCTAGACTGGCTTAACCGAAGATGCTTTGACACGCATGCACGAAGACTCAGCACAATGGCTATTCGGAACCACTGTGTTTGAGCCTCTAGGGCAATCTCCGGTATGTGGTCAGACTTTTACTTGAGGGCATACAGGCGTGCTACATCGGAGGTACGCCCAAGTACGTTCTGGCAGGTCGACCGGACTCAGGGTGGGAAGCCACAGCGGCCTTCTGTTTGGCTCATCCGGCCCACTATTGATGCTAGACTACGGCACGATGTAGACGTTCCATTAAATCTTTTCAGAGATAGTGTTCAAAACTACCGAGCAGCGTGGAAGGATTTGCACAAGCTTCTTCCAGGGTCCTTCGGCGCATGGTGGCCACGCGAGAAACGATCGGGTACAGTGACGTGCGGCCTTCCTGTGCCGTTGTTCCAGCATTCAGGGACAACAAAGACATCGCTGATATGGTTCACGAAACTCTTTGAGAAGAGGTCATCAAACGGACAAGGGTCCTGCTTATGACGGAGGGTGTGAAAACGACGTTTGGCGAGACAGGTCCGTGACTGGGCGGACTTCTGTAAATCAAATCGGACTGGGCGGCAAAGACGGCGCAGCAACGGATCGCAATGACGGCTACTTGTGGCTCGTGGCTCGACTCCGGCCCGCATGACAGCAGCTTATCGATAACCTCAACGACGACCGTTTGCCGATCCATGCGCTGGCCGGCAGCGGAAGAGGGAGTGGCGTGGCGTTCGCGCAAATTCTGCAAGGTACGCTTCGTCTTAGCGGACTCTTAGCTCAGCACGGCGTCCTCCCCACGACTGAGCTCGGCACCTTCACCGATAAACTGCCGTGCCGCCTTCTGTCTTGCTTCGATCCTTCCTTTGTGCCGACGCTTGTGCTGTGACTATCTGTTAGAGCCATTTGACACATAGGAACGTGGTGACTGTAAGTGTACCGCGACAAATGGCGGTCTTTCTGTGACGCATCCCCGTAATTGCAACAACGTCTGAAAATACAATGTAGCTTGGAGGCAATAGCAAGCCTCGGAAGGTATGGCGAAAACCCTGCGAGACAACACAGCGGTCGTTCCGGCCGACCTACCCCGCGAGGGCTACAGAAGACTGGAACACTGCGCCACGTACGAACCATGACTACGCGTCAAAACGGCACGCGACGCCAACTCCACCTTCGTCGGACCGCTTACAGCTCAATGGTGTCGAGATACGGTGGCTTTTTTTTCTGTGGGCCAGTCGAAACTTCGTAACAAAGAGTCACTGTGTCCGAACTCACTGAACGTAGCGTGGTCGAACGATGCGCGACAGAGGGTTGTCTGGCATCTCCTGGAATGCTGTTTTTCATACTGAGTTATATGAATGCGCCCAAACAACACGCGCGCCGCGCTGCCATGTGAAGTCACTGTCCTCACCATGTGCTTTCACAGGACGTAGCGTCGAAGCGGTCCGTAGTGGAGCAGTTCCACAGCACCCGCAAAAGTCGGGGAACACTGCCGGCGAGCCTGATCTCCTGGACTACTCGACATCCATGCTGCGCATCGACGTGTTGTCTCTGCTAGACTAGGTTGCTCTTGGCTACAAATCGACACTGTTCCTAGCGTAGCCAATCGCATAGAATCGCTGGCCAGAGGAGGCTGGCAGAAATGAAAAACTAACAGCCAGCGTAAAAGTGAGAGAGCCGATGATCGTCGATCGTTACCAGCCAAACGCTACGACATGTTCAGTGAACGTAGCTTCGAAACGGTCCGTAGTGGAGCAGATCAACAGCAGCCTCCGAAGCCGGCGTACTGTACATCTGCCGCGAGCCGTGCTCCATCTTCTAGAATACTGTGGGACATCTAAGCCGAGTTGCGCGGAGCTAGTAGGTGACAATCTCTCCGGAACGTTCATGACTGAGCGTCGGTGATAAATCCGTATAGGGGTACGTGAATCGATACAACACCTGCATTGGTAGTGTACCAGATGCAAATCTGCATACTATCCGACCGGATGACAATTTGGATTGGGACTGCTCAAGACAACAACTCTGGTAATATGCTGGGAGGGTTGCCCGAGTGGGAACATTCAACCCATTCTAGTGGACAATTTAGCAACACTTGCAAAAACACAAGGTAGATGCACCACGAGCATGATCTTGCGTAACGTCTGAATCATCCATGCCGTGTTGTCCAGCCGTGCCGTCTGTGCAGCACTAAAACGAGCTTCACTGTTTCCCATGCACTGAACGTAGTGTGGAAACGGTCCGTAGTGGAGCAATCCCTGGGGTGCATCCGCCACGGATATAATCTCATGACCTACTCGGGAAGATCGTGCTGAGTCGCGTAGCCATCCCGTATGTACTCCAGGAAGTCACTTGACGAGGGATCCACAGCTGTTTGTCGCTACGTCCGTAAGGAAAGTACAGGTGGCGAAGCGCCAGCGTACAGAAGAAAGCCGCGTTGCCTCGGACGCCTCCATGCCGTACATAGCGTACCATGGTTATCATCAAGGGAATTCTCCGGGGTGGATATTGCCGTTTGGTATGAAAGTCTACGGTACACTACGCTGTGGATTCCGCCGCGGCCACCCCTTGTATGTGCTCCCGACACCTGTGCATCGGGTCTACCAGTCGGCTGTTCTATCGCACCTTATTTCCACATTGAATCTTACTGGGATTCTTCGGGGCCCCGGAAATCCTCTGCACAGAGTTTTGGGAGCTGTGGAGGCCCCACGAACACTCCAATGTGCTTAGCTGCAACATCAATGCTGCTGGCACTGTAGTTGCGCGCTCTCCCATGCCAAGCTATATTATAGCATTCCAATTCCATGTGAAGTATGGTACAATAGGTAGTACGGTGACCACCTCTGTACGGTTCAAACGGCTAAAAACTTGATACGGGCCGTATGCTACACTCATTACTACGGAATGTTGCACACGCTGTTATCGTGGAGGTAGCTACTACAGCTTCGTTCCAGAAAAACTTTATGTCCTTCTACAATATTATCCCCAAGCAACTTTGCCGTCTCCCCTACCACACCGCCTTCCGAAGTAGCCAATGCACACGACGTTGCTATCATAGGATTTCAGAATACCCACCATCATATTCTACCCTAAAGTAGCATCGCACCTCGCCTAGAACAGCTGCCTTCACGACAGCTTGCGCTATGAACATCATTCCAGCTTCCCTCAGAGCCATCAAGCTTCAGCCTTCTGTCATACTCACCATTCAGAAATATCGATCCTACTCGACGATCAAGATTTCGAATAGGAACAGCTCAAGAGAAGGCTGACTAGCGCAATAGCGCGCAAGAAGAGCTTATGAGGAAGATGAAGTCGTAAGGATCCCTACCAGGAAGACTTCCAAGGTCATCGTGCTCCTGCCAGTGACTGTTACATGGACACCACCTGCTCGGACGACAGGCGGCAATGCCAGCAGGGCTGAGACACTCTCATAGTGCAAATATATCAATAGACTTATAGTGGCTGTACCGTCGTGCGCATGCCCGAACGACGAGCATAAAATCCAAATACAGTGTCCGACATGCAGACGACCAACCATGACAAGAAAATTCGAACGTCAGGCACAGATGATGTTCATTATTGCCATCTAACAGTCTACATATCGAAGCGTTGATGCCACACAATATAATACAGTACTAGCCATTATACACCCTAAATGCACATCGTACAGCTCTTCCTCATGTTGACAAAACTACCTCCTGCCCAACTTCCACCTTGCGATTCTCGTCTGTATCTCATCCCACGTAAAGTCCTTCCTCTTCAGCCCTTCTTGTTCGCCCTCTTGCAATACTACGGTCGGTGCTCCGCTGCCATCACCCGTGTTCTTCACCTCTCCACCGAACACTTGCCTAGCTACCCGGCGCAGATCCTGGATAGTGACGGCCTCAATCTTGGCGCACATCTCCTTGACGCCAACCTTGCGACCATGAACCTGGACCTGCCTTCCCAAATCCTCAAGCTCCACCATCCTGGACTCAAGGTTCATGAGTAGGCTGGACCTCAGCTGGTTCTTCGCACGCTGTACTTCCTGATCCCTCAACGCAGCGTAGCCCGTTTCTGAACCGAGAGCGTTCAGTTCACGGCACATGACTTCCAGCATCTGCGAGACCTGAGCGGGTGCGCATGATGCGGCGATTCCGAAGAGACCAGAGTCGGTGTACGAGTGGTTGAAAGCGATGCAGGACTCTATCCAACCATGCTGGTTGAGTACATTGGTGTAGAGGCGTGAGTACATGCCTTTGCCGGGGCCACCCGCGCTGAAGGAGCCGCCACCGCCCAGCAGCGTCTGGAGAGTTGCAAGAGCGTAGATATCAGGAGAGGAGATAGGAAGTGCTTCGAAGGCAAGGTGAATATGCGAGAGACGAGGAAGAGCAGGGTTTAGCGGAGGGGGTATCGGAGGGAGGGTGAGGAAGCCGCCAGTGTAATGCGACGGGACAGAGGTATCTATCGGAGGGAAGTTAAGATCAAAGGAGGCGTTTACGGAAGCGTTTGATGTTGCGGATGTGGAGAGGTTCTTGAAGAAGGGTATCTTAGACAGGAGTTTCGAAGATTGCGGAGGAGCGCCGGTCGGTGTTGGATGCGATGCTGTGAAGGTCGGTTGTTCAGTAATGCTGCTTTCCCCACCAGTCTGGATGAGCGATGGCCCAGTTCCCTTTTGCATGTCACCGAAATGTTTTTCTGCTAGCCGAACAGCCTCCTTATGCTCCACACCAGCAAATGCAACGACCAGTCTTTCCGGCTTGTAGAACTCCTTACGATAGGCCTCCACGACTGCGCGGTTGATGTGCGGTAATCTCTCCTTCGGGCACAGCAGCGGGTTGCCCAGGGTGTTGTCTTTGTAAGCCGCCATGTGCACCAGCTCGGGCAGGATCAGCTCGGGCTTCGACCATATCTCGCCGATCTCATAGTCTGCCGTTTCCAGCTGCTGTTGAACTTCTTCCTCGGTGATGAGCGGGTTGCGAATGGTATCCGCGAGGAGGCCTACGGTGGTCGGCACGGCGGAGTTGAAGGTTGCGGCCTGGTACATGAGTGACTCTCTCGAAGATGCACACTGGATGTTGCCGCCCAATGACTCGATCTTCTCTACAATCTGATCTCCGTTCGCAGAAGCTGTTGACTTGAAAGCTAATCGATCTATGATATGGCTCACGCCCCGCAGCGCATCGTTTTCATATCTCGAACCGGCATCGACGTACACTCCAATGCCGGAGAAGTGCCCTGGGAGGGCTTCGGTCGCAACGCGAATACCATTAGGGAGGGTCGTGATTTCTTCGAGCTCTACAGGGTCCTACAGACATAAGCAAGATGCATTGCGGCTCGCAGTCGAAAGCTAACCTTCTCTTCCGCGACCACCGTCGCCAGCCCACGTCTACCTGCACATGATGCAGACTTTGTGATGGAAGAAGAGGCTTGGCCAAGGCCTCGCGACAGCGGTCTGATTGATCGCGGTCTTAACATTTCAGGAGGCGTTGTGTGGAGCGATGCGGCATCAACACGAGATGGCGTTCATTTCGAAAAACTCAAGATGACATAATCACAGCCACAGGGCTGTCTTGGCGTTGGATAGATCGGCATGGTGTCAAGCCTGAGGCAAATGTCAACGCATGAACTATGGTTTGACGGGTCGACTGAAACCCAGCGTTCCATTGTTCTGACGTCGATTGACAAAGGCTGTTCTCTGTAACGTGAAGTTGGCAATGCAGACTGCGCTGCGTGTCCCGGGCTCACTCGCTGTACAACAAACACGCCGTTCGGCGCTCGCGTGTGACCATGTGTAGACGCATGCCACACCCTCTCATGAACCGAGTGCCATGGACGGTCCGCGAGGGCGTGGTTCAAGTCCCCAGAGGGCATGTTTGAGCATCGAGGGACCTCTGAGTGTAGTCGCCTCGGCCGCTCGGCAGACTTGGCCTATCGTGCAGTATCGCGTGAGCGCCTCTTGCGGTTCGCAAGGCTGCGCCCTCCACTGCGCAACAGCCGATTCAATTCTGAAATCTCCCCCTGTGAGCGCTGCCGGTGTCTGTGTCTGTGTCTATTCGCGCGATATCGCCACGCCGTACTCGTGACAAGCGGCACGCGGTCCAGGCCGCTGACTCTCTGGCTCCTCGTTTGCTTGCTTGGCCGCTCTCGCCCCCAGCCGTCAAGACGTGCAGTGCTTCACGTCCAACTCTCCTGCCAGAGAAGCGCGCTGGCCCCAGAGGAGACCCAAACGGTCGTCGCCCCGCACGTATACACCGCGGCGTGGAGTCCGCCTCCGACCCTTACCACTGCCCACCTCATGTTTACAGCCCCGTCCGCAGCTCCCCCAACTACTTCACTTACGCAGGATCGACCCAGCGCCCTGCGTGCCCTCCTTAGGCACTACCACACCCACCATACGCACGGCCAGCCTCGTGCCCCAGGCATCGCTGAGAGTGCACCTGAGGGGCAGCAGCGCCACCAGACTTCACCGGCACCCCAGACAAAAAGTCGCGCCCGCGCTGCGACAGCAACCCCGCCCGTATTGCTGTCGTCCTCTCCGGCACGATCCCACAACACCGTCCGGCCCAGCGCCTCGCGCACTCAGACCGCGCCAGAGGCCGCTTCCCAACCGCCTCTGATCCCTTCGCCTCCTTCCCTAACCATGACCCGGACTCGCGCAGAAACGGCGGCTCCGCAACTCACAGTCAGGAATCATTCCGGCCCCATCCCCACGACGCCCACCATGGCTTCCATGGCGGCAGACTCAGACCAGGGCGCATCGAACGAAGCTCCGGCTATGAAAGACCTCCCGTCCATAAGGTTCATTATGCACCAGGACCCCCGAGCCGCGAGACCTTCGCTTTCCTTCTCCACCATTACGCGAACACTCCCCGACGAGTCGGCCGTCATAAAAGTTGGGCGGTACTCAGAGAGGGATGTACTCCCCGAGGTACCGAAGGACCAACCTTCTGCAGCCGCCGTGGGCTTCAAGTCTAAAGTGGTGAGCCGGAAGCATTGTGAGTTGTGGTGCAAGAACGGAGAATGGTGGATCAAGGATGTCAAGAGCTCATCGGGCACGTTTCTCAACCACATCCGATTAAGTCAGCCAAACCAGGAGAGCAAGCCGTTCAAGCTCAAGGATGGTGACATCATCCAGCTGGGAATAGACTTCCGCGGCGGAGAGGAAATGATATTCCGGTGTGTTAAGATTAGGATAGAGTGCAATCGAGGATGGCAGCAGGCTCTTAATGCGTTCAAGTGGGTTTCACAGAGCTACACTTTGCAATGAGGCTAACAGTTGTAGCAAACAAACCCACCAGCGACTGCGAAACCTCGGCAAGGCCAAGAAAGAGGGAGACAATGCTTCAACGCACACCTCCGAATGTTCCATTTGTCTCATGTCTATCGCGGTAAGTCATTGCCTGACCGTCCTTGAGGTACTTACACTCATCCATGTAGCCGTGTCAATCACTCTTTGTTGCGCCCTGTTCACACGTGTGGCATTACAAGTGTATCCGCCCCATCCTCAATGGCCCTACGTACCCAAACTTTCTATGCCCGAATTGCCGCGCAGTCACCGACTTGGAAGCCGATGTTGATGACCCAGTGGATCTTGAAGAGTGGGAAGAAGAACCTGTTCAGGAGAATGGCGAGGTCAAGACAAACGGCGGACCTTCGCAGGAAGATCGCCACGTGACGCCCAAGGCCTCCACTAACGGACTTAGTTCGCTTGATGAAGATGAGTGGGCTCCGAACAGTCACATCAGCTTTGGCGACTTGGAAGCCGCGATATCAAATATTACCATTTCAGGGTCCACAAACGACTCCGGGATCGCGCCAGCTGCCGATCCTTCCACGCCACAACGAAGTCCAGTACCTTTCGCTTCCTCATCTGTCACACAACCAGTAGCCATCAACGTCATAGCAGCGAACGAGAGCGTTGGTCTTACGCCTCTCCACAACAGGTCGTCGAACAGTTCGGACGGCCTAAGTCCGAATGGCGCCCCCGAGGGTCCCATGACCCCACGCAACGACGCCGGACCGTTTGTGCTCGACGGCAGTGGCAGCACTGGACGGGCTGCTGGGCAGCGCTTCCGTGACGCAGAGCCAGCAACTCCAGACTACCAAATACGGGCGTGAGTCTGAACTTTGAACTTTGAATCGTTCACATCATCATCTCAAATTGGGCATTTTCTGGCGTTGGCGTTCGACATTCTGGGTACGAATGACACGTAAGCCTGTCTTTAACAGCATCTTTCAGGAATGGCATTCACGTAGGAATGTCTCATTGTTCTCTTTCTGGGCCATTTGTGTAATCCCTACTTTGCTTTCAAGATGGCTTTGGACGATAGGCGAACTTGCGTTTGTCTGTTGTTGTAGGAGGTAGTGGGTTGGAGAGCGAGTATGGGGATAGCCATGGCATCAGCATTTCATACATGATCTGAACAGAAAGGATTCAAAATAAAGGATCATCTACACCTGCGAACGCTCCCACATCCTTCTTAGCGACGTGTTCATACACAATATGCGGAGTTATGGTTTCGGTTCTCACGACGCTTTTCGTCACGTATCCATCTACCACACAGACCTGATTATTTGGTATTTACATCTGCCAATTGCTTCTTATTTCGTCATCGTGCACCCACCACGTTGGATGACAGACCCACCCTTCCCGCGCGGCGTTCGGTACCGGAAATCATAGCGAGGCGTAAGCGTGCCTACATAGGCTTCGCTGAACAATTTTGATTCAGCAGTAGCGACAACAGTATTAGGTGCAGCACGCCGAAATTACGTCCATTCCTATTAGCGTTAAGAAGCGCATTAGACTACCTCGACTCAACATGACTGTCATCAGTCTTCCGTGGATATAATCCCCCTTTATCACACTTATCCCCCAGCTTCCCCTTCTCGAGGAACTCTCTCTTCAAGTAGTCAATCGTGTGCGTGCCGTCCAAACCCCTTTCCTTTACATAATTTTGTTCAATAAACGCCACGGTATCCAGGCCCACTTGGTCCATCAGTGCGCAAGGTCTGCTTTTGCCCTTGATGAACATCTCCGTCCACAGCGCATCGATTTCTTCGGGCGTGCTCACGCCCTCGGACAAAATCGTCAGCGTCTCCCGCTTCACGGCTGCCCAGAGTCGATTGAATATGAAGCCTGTCGATTCTTTCTGCGCGACGTATGGCATGGCGCCTGTTTCTTTTAGGCGGTCTGTCAGAAAATCGAATATTGAGGTTGCGGTGACTCCGCAGGTCATAAGCTCCACCACCATGTTGCCGGGTGGCATGTAGTAGTGCGTGTTCAAAATCCTCTCTTTGGTGGCATCAGACACAGATGCCAGCATTTCAGACGACTTGTAAGATGAGGAGTTACTAGCTAGGACTGCGTCGGATGGCGCCGAAGCTTCTAACGCTGCGAAGGTGGAGATTTTGAGATCGAGCTTTTCAGGGACGGCCTCGATGATGAGCCATGCGTTGGCGACAGCCGGTTCCAATTCTGCCAACGTTTGGATGGTGCCAGAGATCGGGGATGAAGTCTTTTGCTTGTAAATGTCCAAATTCTCGTGGAAGTAGGAGAGGCACTGCTTGAGTTGGTCGGCGCTGGGGTCGCGGATGTGCACGTTGTAGCCTGCGGCAGCCCAGGTACATGCTAAATTGAACGGATGAGTGGACAAGAGGTTGGCGGAGAAGTGGATTGCTTACCGATGCGGCGTCCCAGAATACCTGCACCAAGGATGGCGACTGGACGGCTTGCATAATCGTTTGGGGGGTGCCACGACATTATGGTAGGGTATTTGGGACAGCGATAGAGAAACAGAGTAACAGGCAGTAAAAGAGTCAGAGAATTGACAACAGAGAGATTGATCTACTTATACTTGCTGTGAAGACGAAGTTCCAGACTAACTAGTTTATTATATCCTCGCCATTATTGCTGAGGGTACTCGAGGTATTTCGAACAACAACATCTCTAGAGACCCACCTCGTACGAACCGCCTCATCGTCCATGTGTTGGCAAAGTGCTGCGCAAAGCTCAAAATGGCGCACTTTTAAACGTCGGTGCTGGGCGAGGTTGACCGACTAGCGACCAGGTTGCGATCCGAGCCTTATCCGGATCTCCCGAAAATGCGAATTCAGAGATTGTCGAAGCTGATGAGTTATCTGTGCCGAGGCTCTACTTTCGGTTCGAGCATAAGATGGTGGGGAATCTTGGTGTTGGTGACGCAGGTTTGGCAGCTTGCGGTATCGGTTGATCTTAGTTTCAAGCAGGCCACGATACACTTCAATCATCAGGATAATCCAGCGATCGAAGCCATTAGGTATCCAAATCTATGCTCGACAAGTATGTCTAACCGTCTAACCGCAAAAGCATGATTCTGCCATGGATAGTGCGCCTCGGCACACAATGGAGCAACTGTTGTTGCCTTCAATTGAACATGCCACCCAAATGCGCGCCCTCGTCCTCAGCATCCCCCTGCGCTTTCTGCCACTCGCTAAGTAGAGTCAGGACTTCCCGCCGCGTATCCTCGATGATGCCGTCCATCTTGATGTCGTTTTTGTCGTAGCCGAAGGGGTCCTCGAGCTGCTGGCCGATGCCCTCGATACCGTAGAGCGTGAAGGCCACGATAGCGACGATAGGAACCGACCACCAGACGTAGTCGTCCACGACGGCGAAGGGAAGTACGCAGGTGAAGAGGGCGAGGACTTGTTTCTGGTGGATGCTAGCGCTGCCATCAGCGAGGTGTACGTCAGGTAGGAGCAGGAGTGGCTTACAGATGCGCGACAGGAATCGGCGTCGAGCGAATTGTCTCCATACGCCCGTATGCATCGACTAGAGAATTAATCTGAACGGTCATTTGCGAGGCTAGTGGCGCGTGGAACCAGCCGCGGTCTACGCCTCGTCGGATGTAGCTCTCGACCAGCACGCTTAGCTGGAGCGGCAGACTCAAGCCCTCGTCTTCATACCCTCGCAGGCCGTCCGGCAAAAGACTCTTATACACCTCCTTGGGCTGGTGCAGACCATCCCCATCTACTAGCCCGTCCTCGCCAGCGTCCTCAGACGACGGAGTCGGACGGTCCACATAGCTCGGTCGTCTCGACACAGGCGTAGAATGCGCGTCAAAAGTAGGCGCCCCTTCCAGCGACGCAGGAGGAATATTAAACTCGGCGCGTAGATTATGCTTGATCGCATACAGCACTGCAATAAGCACCTTCAGCACATGTTCCGTATCTCGTTTGTCTTCCCCACCCAATCCCCCTTCCCTGCCCCAAACCCGAATCCCCAAAGCTCCTTCCTTCACCCTCGCATTCACCAGCACTATCCTCGCCAGATTCCTTACACTCGTACCAATAGTGGTGAGGCAATTCCTGCCCGTCCAAAAGCGGTCGTAGGACGTGGAGTTGCGGAAGACGAGCATGAGGCCTACGACGATGGAGAGCGAAGGGATGATGGTAGAAGGGAGCCCGAGGGAGGAGAGCACACGGGTGTCGAGATAGACGATGAGGACGGTGAAGAGGGAGTGCAGGAGGACGGGGAAGAAGACGATGCTGTGGATGGAGCCCTTTGTGAAGCGCAGAACGAGGGGACGCGGCGGGGTTTCTGGCGGAAGGAGTGTGCGAGGGGTAGGTTGGGCGGCGGGAGGCATTTTGGGCGCTATGCGAGAAGTTGAAGTGTTTGTGGGTGAATTGAGATTCATAGAATGGGAGGATGTAGACTGAGGATGTGGGGGTGGAGCGTGGAGATAGGAGGATTGGGAGCTCGGGCGCGGGGCTCGGTTGGAGCTATGGCGCGTCTCATGTTCCTTGATTCAATAAAGATCGTCTCCGCATTTCGAGCTTGGCTGAGTCGTATACTTCAAGATGCGAAGAGCGCCTCAGTCTTTATGCAAGCCGCACGAAGTCAGCGATAAGTAGTGGTACAAGCGTGGTAAACAGGGTCCATCAACAAACGCTAAGGGCGGAAGCACGCCGCACCTGGAGGGAGACGCTTAAAACGCCCCGCTGTGCACCAAATCATATCGGAGCCGCAACCTTCATCCTTGCCGTGCCACAATCGCCAGGCTGTCTTAAGATCTGGTTGAAGCGCTCTTTATGCTTTGTATATTCTGATTAAGTGCTTTGATATGGCTTCAGACGAGCGTCCAGCCTCCACAACGATCCCCTCCTCCGAACCCAAACCTTCACATGCACCATCCGAGCCCTCCAAAAAAGACCCACCGACTCCCACACCACCCTCAGTATTGCAAAGCGCACGGATATACCTCTTCCGCTACCTCGCCCTTTCAACCCGCCGCCTCGACCGCTTCCTGGTCCGCCTCTCCTCCATCCTAGAAAGCCCAGCATCCACCGACGCCCTCCTCGGCACCCTCGGCTACACCCTCGAATTCCTCGCCGCGCTGCTCTCGCGCCTCCTCTCCCTCGCTTCCACAATCGCAGATAAAGCAGACGATGTGCTGCTCCCCGGCGAGACCCTTATCACGACCCTCCCCACCGCGCCCAGCGACAAGCTCATGTCGCAGGTAGCTACGAGTTCTAGAGCCCTTGCCGCCATGATTGCGGACTTTCGAATTTTCGTTCGCATGTGGGGTTTAGCGGGGTTGTATATGTGGGCGAGGGGATTGTGGCATTCGCCGCTTGCCCAGGAGGCTGGGCTGAAGGAGAGGGTGGTGAGGAGGATAACGTGGACGCAGATTGCGAGTTTGGTACTGTTTCAGATGCTGGAGAATGGTGCTTACCTGGCGAGTAAGGGCGTGCTTACGAGCGAGGCGTGGAGTGGAGAGAAGGGAAAGAGGAAGGAGACTGCATGTTGGATTTGGAGTAGTAGATTTTGGGCTGCGCACGTCGCGTTGGAGATAGTGAGGGTTTCCTTGAAGTATTATGAGGGTGGAGAAGACGAGGGTAGGAAGGAGATTGTATGCGACGGTGAGAAAGAAGGCAAGTTGTTGATAGAGCAGAAGAAGAGGGAACGGCGGGTCTGGTGGAGAGATGCAGTAAGTAATGTCGCATACATGCCCATGACGCTACATTGGAGCGTTGAAGAAGAGAAGGGGTTCCTGAGCGATTGGGGTGTTGGCCTCCTTGGGGCTATTGCTGGCGGTTCACTATTCATCGACGCGTGGAAGCAGACCGCACAATAGCCGCACCCTGAATGGACTTAATATGTGCAACATGGAACGCGGACCACGATGTCTTGATCAAGACGATATATTCCGCCATTTAGTACGCTTCCGCTCCCACCATGTGCATTCGTACTAATGGCATTTTAGGCGTTTCGAACGACGCCTAGTCATGATTGGAGGACCCGAAACCCTAGGTTTTCTCCCGCATGTAGATTAAGGGACGACGTTTTGACAGCAATACCATCCTCTCGAGTCGGGGAAAATTCGATCGCGCCATGTGAAGGGGTTGATCTGCCCAGGTTTCCTACAGAATATCATGGGTTCATGAAAGAAGCGGCTGCATTTAGCCGCCTACTTCTCGTCACGTATATAAACCATGTATACCCAACCTCAGGTCCGTAAACGCCTGTCCGTCATCTATCGTCAATCTAGCCAAGATGCAACTCCTGCCTCTCCTCTTCCTTATCCCCTCCGCCCTCGGCCTTGCCTTCCCCGGCGCCGAAGGCTTCGGTCGCAATGCCATCGGCGGCCGCATGGGCTCCGTCTACGTCGTCACCAACCTTGAGGACTCTGGAACCGGTTCTCTCCGTGATGGAGTCTCCAAAACAGACCGCATTATCGTCTTCGCCGTAGGCGGCGTAATCAAAATCACCGACCGCATGGTCGTCTCCAAACGCATTACCATCCTCGGCCAAACCGCTCCCGGTGACGGCATCACGGTCTACGGCAATGGATGGTCTTTTAGCAACGCTGACGACGCCATCGTCCGCTACATCCGCATTCGAATGGGCAAGAGCGGGACTTCTGGTAAAGATGCGGTCACCATTGCTGAGGGCAGCAACATGATCTTCGACCACGTGAGCGTTACCTGGGGCCGTGACGAAACCTTCTCCATCTCCGGGAGTGAGGTGGGAAATATCACAATTCAGAATAGCATCATTGGGCAAGGGCTGGAAACACACTCGTGCGGCGGCCTCATTCAGACTGCACTCGGGAACGGCATCTCCCTGTTCAGGAACTTGTACATCGACAACAAGACGCGCAACCCCAAGGTCAAAGGCACAAACGACTTCACCAACAATGTAGTCTATAATTGGGGCGGCGGTGGCGGTTATATTGCCGGAGACTCTGCAGGCGAAAGCAACGCACACATTATCGGGAACTACTTCATTTCCGGGCCCTCTACCAGCGTCACAGCCTTCACGCGCGGCAATGCCGAGTTCAAAGCCTACGTCGAGAAGAACTTCTATGACTCGGATAAAAACGGCGCGCTCAATGGTGTCGAATTGGGCGCCTCCTCTTCCAACTACGGCGGCGTTGCAATCCAGACGAGCAAATTCAACTTTCCCGCTCCTACCAAGATCTTCAGCGCCGCGGATGCGCTTACCTACGTTACCAGTAAGGCTGGAGCGAGCCTAGTAAGAGATGAGGTGGACACGACGCTCTTTACCCAGGTGCAGAGCTGGGGAAAGAGTGGGGCGACGATTAGTGATGAGGCTACTATGGGGGGCGTGGGTACTATCAATGGTGGTACTAAGCCAACTGACACTGATGGTGATGGCATCCCGGATTCTGTAGAGACACAGTTCGGGTTTGATATCAGTAGCAACGATGCTATGCAAGATAAGGATGGGAACGGTTACGTGAATATTGAGGATTGGGCAAATTCGTTGGTACCGAGTAGCTACTAATAAGTTTATGACGAATATGATGCATCTGAATTAATGTCAAAACAAAGAGGAAGCTTGTGTGCTAAATATCATTGTACTGCGTTGGGCATTGGTGAACGTTATATGACAGTGATCTATGACTCAGGACGGCCACCAAACCAATGTCATTTGAGTTTGAAGGTACCAACATGCTGATAGAGATTTGAGCCAACTGCTACCAGGGTAAACCTACAGTAATCTCGGAGAAAATCGGAAAGAGCGCCGCTTCACCAACCTCTCGACACCATACCCGACTGGCTTCCCCACTCACATCAACCGTGTCATTGGTAACATCCGCATCAGAATATTCACAATATTCGCATGCGCTATCTTGTCTCTGTGTCCTATCTAACTCAAAAGGTTCCTGGAGTGTCATCGTTCCTGTCTTTGCGTTCGACCGAGAACAAGTGGTCTAAACCCAGAAGACCACTCCCCTGATCAATAGGAAAGAAAGCCTTTCAACAACGCTAGATTGTCGGCTCGCCAAAATATTGACTGTGGCACCGGGATACACATCTTTCCTTTGGGCAATTTCGCTTCTTTCTCGTGTATCATCTACATGGATGCAAAGAGTATCACTTTATGGACGTCGGAAGCCTAAGTATTTGATCACCCTAGCTGCATCTCGAAGCGTCGGAGGTAAGCTATTGACATTCACACCATTTTGGAACCCCTCTATGCTTGCTTTTTCTGGTCTTCATGCTGTTAATATCGTCCCAACAACAATTGAAAGCGGTGTAAGGTAATTGCTCTCCACAGTCTTCACATCCACTAGGAATCCAAACACTCGAAGGAGATTCGAGTCTTTCCCGACAATAACTTGTCAATCTAATTCGCAAGTATAGTCTCCTATGTACCCCATGTCGTGCATCGTTGTATCATGTAAGTCATGAATATCGCAGGGTATTACACTTCAGTCCAGATATCTCTTCCATGCTATGCTTTGAATGTACTTCTGTCCCTCGTCGGTGACACCTACAGCAAATTTCTCCCACCGCGCATCTTGGCCAGCACCAATGACCAGGAGCTCATTATCAGTCACCCACCCAAGGAGACCCTTCGTAGGAACTCGTTCCGGAGAGAACTTCCTAAGAACCTCCTTTGTGGCAGCCTTTGACTGTGGGCTCCACCCTCCCAATTCATCACCCATTTCGAAATGCGTTGAGGCGCTGGAGTAGGTGTCGGAGAACTGACGTGGGAGGAGTGGAAGTTTGGCAAGGATGCCGTACTTGTGCGTCTTGTAGTTTATATCTGCAGCCGTCTGGGCGCCATTTGGGACGTCGAAGATGTGTACGGTGGACTTGTCTGACGTTACAGCAAGCATATTGTCACGCGGCGAAAATGCCAGGGAGAAAATAGCAGCTTCGTCTATTCCACGGCGGAATTCGCCGATCTTCGTGCCGGATTCGACGGCCCACAGTCGGATGATTGTCCCTTTCTCGCTCGCGGTAGCCACCATGTCAGCTTTTTTGTTTAACGCAACGGCGCGCAGATGGGTGGTGTGCGCCGGGATGAGAGTAACGCGCGGATTGAGATTGCCATCGACCAGCCTGACGATCCTAACCTGGCCAGCGTTTGCGCCGGGCATGGCCACGATGTTCTCCTCGAAAGAACACAGTCCATACGGGTTTTCCACTGTATCGTACGGATGGATCTTCTGGGGAGGATTCCCTAACTTGTATGTGATGACTTGGAAAGGTAAGACCACGACTAGAAAATCCTTGGAGGCGCGAACGCGGAGCACGGGTGCCTTCAACTCGAGCGAGCCAGAGACCTGTTGTATTTGGTCATTCCAGATTTGGATCTGTAGTTGTCAGCCACCCGCAGATAAAGCATGTTTATCGAGGCAATGTTTTACCTTGTTCGACGGAAAGTGCGGCGACCTGCCTCCTCCGGCCAGGATGATGTAGTTGGTAGTGCCAACCATGTCCGCGCAGCCGATGCCGCCGCTCAGGTCTGCCTGACGTCAGAGATAGTCTTTGACCGTACGAGCGATTATAGTACCTCGGCTTATCCTCTGTTCGCATGTTAAAGATTTGAATACTGCCTTGATCAGCGGAGGACGTTCTAGACCAAGATATGCCATTACCTTTGAAGCCGTGCTCGTGTGCAACGGAGAAGAATTTGTTGTCACCATTGAACGCAGCAGCCAACGCAAAGGGCTGTTGAGTCGGATCGAGAACTGGCCGGGTGTTCATATTGGACTACGTGTGAGGCGTTTATCACTGTGACGAACTATGGGGTGTGTTCTGTATGGCGTCACCTGTGGGCGGCGAGCGGCAAGCTGGGGCGCCGTAAATGAGGTTGAGGCAGAGGTGGCCTGAGGTACGGCGTGGAACACTGGAAAGAGAAGACAGGCATCATTTCCAGCCCATGTCCCCAGCAGTCGTGGTAAAGAATGGGTGAACGCGGCGTGGGGTGAAGGGTCCCACGACTTGGCACGACGCTGGCCATGTCATGCGCCCAAGCTCCTTGACTCTAGCCTAATGAGGTCAGTAGCTCTTGCACGTGAAGCTCTCACATCAACGTTCCTCATCTGTATGCTTTTTATTTTCGTCAATTGAAGGGATCGATTAGAGTTCCGCTATGGAATCGATATGGACGCATCGCATGTTTGTAGAGACTATTGGAAGCTACCATGGTTATATGTCCCAACCGCTTCTGGCGTATCCGGGGAAGCTGCCCGCTCCGGATCATGAATTGTGAAGATGCCACCACCACACTCGACAATTCAGAGCATTAACATGTCTGACAATCGAAGTCGCTAAACAGTCCTACAGACTGAACTTATTCGGGTACAAGCAGATTGCAATTCCAGGTCGCGGCCGCTGCTGCAGGGCGGCTAAGATGGGGCTAGTGTGATGGGGAGCGGCGACCGGGGTGCTGCCCGCTAGCGAGCCCCTTTGCATTGCGCAGGAGAAGCTGCCAACGTCCCAAATTTCCTGACAACACCACCGCACCACGCCCCATCGCGCCGACGTCCAACAAACTTCCGCCCGCCTTGTCCCAATACAACGCGTGGGCTGTCCATTCTGCACACTCGCCCGCACACACTCGCCGGCACTCCACACCCATCATGTCTTCGGTACAGCAACCCCCAGCACCCTGAGAGCTTGCGGCATAAGATATCAACCATGCCGCGCCTGCCTCAACAAATTGAACGCCCGCGCTGATGCCATCACAGATACTCAAGGCGCGCAGGAAGAAGAATGTCAAGAAGGGGATTCAGTTCTGCCTGATGGTCTGCGGTGCCTCAGGAACTGGTGCGTGACCTTGTTTGCTACCATTCGCAGACGCGATGCTAATGTGGCCGTGACCAGGCCGGACGACGTTCGTAAACACACTCTGCGGCAAGCAGGTGCTCGAGCACAAGGATAGCGAGGACCCAAACACAGCCCACGTCGAGGAGGGCGTCAAGATCTCGCCCGTCACTGTCGGTCCGTCTACACCTATCTCCACCGCACCCCGTGCGATACTGACAATCAGCAGAGCTCGATGAGGAAGGCACCCGCATCTCTCTTACCATTGTTGACACGCCCGGTTTTGGCGACCAGATCGACAATGAGGCCAGGTAGACTAATATGCAACCACGTGCACCCACTTAGCTTACATTGGATGCAGTTTCTCAGAGATCGTAGGATACCTCGAGAGACAGTATGATGATATTCTCGCCGAGGAGAGCCGTATCAAGCGTAATCCCCCGCTTCCGCGACAACCGTGTGCACGTCCTGTTGTATTTCATCACCCCTACAGGCCATGGGTATGTCTACTACTGTCACTAATGCAACCGTTCTGACGCCACGCAGTCTCCGCGAACTCGACATTGAGCTCATGAAGCGCTTGTCCCCCCCGCGTCAATGTTATCCCCGTTATTGGCAAGGCCGATTCTCTGACCCCAGCCGAGCTCGCCGAGTCGAAGAAGCTCGTCATGGAGGACATTGAGCACTACCGCATCCCCGTATACAATTTCCCGTACGACATTGAGGAGGATGACGAGGACACGGTTGAGGAGAACGCTGAGCTCCGTGGTCTGATGCCCTTCGCCATTGTCGGCTCAGAGGATGTCATAGAGGTCAACGGCCGCAGGGTGCGTGCCCGACAGTACCCATGGGGTATTGTCGAAGTAGACAACCCGCGCCACTCAGACTTCCTGGCCGTGCGAAGCGCTTTGCTTCACAGCCATCTGGCTGACCTCAAGGAAATCACCCACGACTTCCTGTACGAGAACTACCGTACTGAGAAGCTCAGCAAGAGCGTGGAGGGTGGTGCTGCTGCGTGAGTTTATCTTTGACCCGCCAGGACTTTGATACTAACATGGACAGCGATTCGTCAATGAACCCCGAAGACCTTGCCAGCCAATCCGTACGTCTAAAGGAGGAGCAACTGCGCCGTGAAGAGGAGAAGCTCCGTGAGATCGAAGTCAAGGTGCAGCGCGAGATTAATGAGAAGCGACAGGAGCTACTGGCCCGTGAGAGCCAGCTCAAAGAGATTGAAGCCCGCATGCATAGGGAGCAGAGCGGTCAGCTACAAGAACATGAGGCCGACGAAGCGTAAATGGAGGTTGAGCACGATGGGGCAGCGAAAAGACGTCATATGGTTCCACCTCCAGGGGCGTAGGATGTGACATCGTTTGCGGTTATATATCAGGAGCAAATCTCTGCTGCAACGGGCGTTTGTAATGGTCGGCTCGCACTGCAGACATCGAAGGGCGCGGGAATAGCAGCCAATGGGGGGTATTTTATTCTTCTTGCCCCGAGGGTCACACGTTTGTTACCAGGTAATCGTCACGACCTGACACTCTTCTCTTATGTTTTCTTACTTCGATATCTATTCCCCCTTTTGCATTCCATGTAGGAATTAGTAATCCACTTTGATCAACTAAGAACACCCTGGTGGTCAGATTTGTCTATTGCATAGCACCCTTCGTTTCTACTCGAATGCAGCAAGGTTAGGATGATTCACGGTGGTCTGTGAGGGCAACGAGCTGCTCATCGACGTGTATTCTCGCAGACTCCTTCCACACCATTGCTACCTCGGCCCAAAGTGCAGATCAAGGAGCTCTGCTAGCACTTGGCAGACGCACCCATGGAGACCTCTTGGTGTCGCTGCATTATGAGGGGAACCCGGCAAAAGCTCATGAATGAATCACTGAACACGGGCATCATCAAGCATGGCTTGCTCGGTCGCAAGCTGCTTTCCTGGTGAGTGCATGCCACGACAATGAAGCCACGAGTCCTGAGAAGAGCAAATGACTCTCATCCGTCCTGGCCGCATGTCTCGAAGGCATGTGCCGTACGCCTAGCGGCAGGTATTGACGCCCAAGGGCCCGCGCAATACCCCAGATCGGCATCGCTGCGAAACCACGTACATGCGTTATCTACGCCATGCATGCACCCGACACGGTTGTGTACGTAGGGTCCAGCCTAGCATTCGAACAGTGCTCGGATTCGGCTCCATTGCACCCGAAGACGGGACTCAGCGTTCGAAGGAACACTGTCTGTAGCCCAGCTCTGGGCACCAGCACCAGTAACAGTGACCTTCCTTGACGTTCACAGCAATTGCTCAACGATCTTGTACAAAGCATGGACGAACAAAGAGCCCTCGCCTGACAAGCGAACGGCATGACACATGTCAAGCTCCTCGATCGATATCTGAGCACATTCTGGGACGATGCAGAGTGCCCCTTCCTTCCTTAGATGGGGTTCACCCGAGTCGATCCGGTTCGTGTTCTTCATCTTCGCGCCTAGACACAACGTCCCTTGCACAGATTAGACATGGACTTCGGGTTGGGCGGTCAACCTTGGAACTGACGCCGATCCAAACTGCTTGGTCGAATGGCGCTCTCACACCCAACTAAGGTGGTGCTGAGTCGCTCCTTCCTCCGCTGCGACTGCCCCCGCTTGTGACACCAAAGTTCCCAACATGTCCGGCCTCGATCATGCCACCACGCCTCGCCGCAACATCCACGCCCACAGGATGGCCCCTCCTTCGACGCCATGATCGGACTTCACTTGTGGGAAGCATGAAACCACTCCCAAGGAGCGACCGCACAGCCTGATCGGTCGATCACCCTGCATTGGTACCCAGCCAGAGTGTGCTTGCACATACAGACTGAAAGTCGGGCGCAGTATGCCATATCCTGGCGCCATGCATGCAACTTCAGGTGCATGCTGTGTTCACAAATACAGACAGGCGGAGGAGCCATGTTTACGTCGGTACTTCCGTCCGATGATGCTCTGGGGCCGCGTAGCTTCCCGCATCGGTGAAGACTTGCATGTACACCCGCAGCGCTGGCTTCATCGCTAGAAGCCTGCTCCTACGTCTGATGGGTGAGCGGCCCTGTGTGAATCCTCGTCACATGCATCTATGCAGTCCAGACTTAGCGGCCCACGCAATCACGGCTCTGTTCTGAACGGAAAGCCGCATTCTGAGAGATCTCAATGCCAGACCATGTGCTTTCCGGCATGTCTAGAGAAGAATTGCCACCAGGCAGCTCCGGCAGACCATCGTCCTGGTGGAAAACACGTTGCTAACAGATCCCAGTTCTACTTGAACTCATCGGTGAAGCTTCGAGTTCGATTAGCAACCTATCATATCTATCTCCAGAGCGTGCGACATACGGGGCGACACGCTCGCGACTTATGCAAGTCGTCCACAATGCTCTCTTCCCATCAGTGATTCATCATGAGAGAATTACAATCAGCTTTGCATACTTGCAAGAGCCGAGTCGCTCATTGCCACAGCAGACTGGATTATGCAGGAAAACATCATCCAAGTGGTAGCTATCCGGTGGGGCACAGATCAAGGAATGCCTCGACTGCCGTATCGTGCCCATCTCTACGCGAATAGCTCCCGCAACGGAAGAAGGCGCACCGCTTACGATGCTTGATGCCGGTAGTCCAGGGGATCCCGCTGTCGCATTACCTGCCAGCCTGCAGCGCAGAGGGTGAGCGACCACCAATAGACATAGGATTCGGGCCCACCCACATCGATCGTCTTACAGATCATGTCGTTTACCCTCACGAATCATGATCCCAAGCAGTGCACCTCTCGGACCGCGAGGAATATTCCTGCAGGTCGGCATGCCGACAGCTGTCGACAACCCCCGAGCCTCCTCAGAAGTGTAACGTGTTCCGCGAGTTCTACAGAGATTGGGGAGACATGAACATCAATCGGTGGAAAGATCACGCTGTCCCGGCAATAGTCAAACTGAAGGCTCCTGCAGCGGTACTCAAGCCGTACTCAAGAGTGAATTGCACGATCGAGAACCGCACCGAGTCTATGCACAATCCCCCGATTGGCGGTTTTTTTATGTCGGCCCCCTTGAACCTGTCAGCTATGCTGTCCCTTGCAAAGCAGCATTGCGAACCACAAGGCCATCATAAAAGTTGGCAGCATGGTCGGACCAAGGATATTCCTATCAGCCTCGCTAGCCCTAACTGAGGAGATTCTTGTAGCCGAATTGATGACCCGATTTAGAGACGGTCCGGATGCGTGCATCTCAAAGGCGGCTTGGGTTGACGGAACATGCGGGCTCTTGCTGACTGCAGCGGCAGGAGAACGACTGAGACGGCAAGACTCTTTTGCGACATGCGCACAGATTTGGAGTATCGAATGACAATGGCGCCTCTGAGGCAAGGTGTGATAGGTTTGTTGTTGAGCGTCAGATTCAATATTCTGACGGCACCAGCACATGGTGGGATATGGAGGTGCGAACGGAGGTTCGTCGATCGACAAGTCTTCAACGTCTGTCTCGGATACAGGCCTCTACCCCGCCTGCTCCGGTTTTCTTACGCGTCGTGTCGAGACAGAAAGGCATATCGCGGTTTGCGCGCCTAAATCAAGAAATCAGAGAGGGGTTCACTAGGTGTTCGACTAAGGTAAGGGCAGTAGGCTAACCGCCTGGTACCGGTGCCTAGCAAATAGCGCACGGTGTGGAACTGTGCATTCCCATCGTACCGTTCCGAATGCTGCAGCTGGTTACCGTGCTCGGTTTTGCTACTTATTGGAGGTGTTCAGATCCTCTAACAAGCAGTCTGCGCATGGCTTTGAAGAAGATTGACAATACTGAGGAGTGCCTGGTCTTGTCTGATGCCGGTGGCGACAAAGTTTACGTTAGCGAGCGCTCGGATGGGGAAACATGGCCAGAGCCGCCAGCTGCAGTGGACGGCTTCAGCAATGAACCTATGCGCCGATCCCTGGGAAGGCTGGCTCCACCGGCGCGGCTCTGGGATACCAGGTGTCACCGTGGGTACCGCTGTGTCACCGGGCTCTTGTCCCGGCCTACACGATAGGCGTGCCACAGCGGCACTGCAGAAGTCATGTCGTCTCAAAATTTTCACTCACAAGACGTGCAGCGCTTTGCATCAGCTGATGTAATGACTCCAGAGTTACCAGAGCTCAGCTTGCGAGTTGATGGAGACGATTCCCTGACGCCACGCAAACCGGTCGGCTGAGGACGCTTGCGGCGCCAAAGAAGGCTTACATTTAGAGCTCGACTTGCAAGGATATCGATTGGAAGTCCGTCATCCTTTGCTCTTCGAGTGGACATCAATCGATGGCTGCTCGCAGCTACCCCGGTTCGAGCCGCATCCTGCGTGTTCGTCATGCAGGCAGTAATCGGGGAGACCAGGCACGGCTTCCGCCATGTAGTTGCTGAATCGACTCCACACGTGTGCATGGAGATGCGCGACAAATTGGCCAGCCGGAACTGGACGCGCCCACTGCTCTTGATATGGTCACCAATCCGGTTGCAGATCGGCTAGGCAGTCGAAAGTTCATTTCCTCGCTACCTCAGCCACTTACCACTAGGAGCACGCGAATGCCTGTCGAGTGTAGTTCGACCTCGAAAACGGGACCAGGGGGTCCTGTCTGAACTCAAGGAACTGTGGACCTCCCACAATGCACTGTTCCTCAACCGTGCGCACATTTGCCGCCTCCCCATGGTTTGCACGCGACTCTCGCGGTGTGCTAGAAAAACACGCCTCCTCTAGGTCGTCACATACGGCACACCACGCCCGTATGGCCTTTCGGAAGCACGCCAAGATCTCGACTGCTTTGACCTGCTGCACTGTGCGATCTCCGTTCGCTGGTGGGGACGCTGGGTTCGATTCCTGCATTCAATGTCTTTCATATATTTGCCTGGGCCCACTGTGCCCCTGTTTGCTGTCATCGTGGCCTCAGATGTCATAGTGGTGCAGCACGTCGTACAGCTATACCCTCGGTAGCAGCATCTAGTGTATTCTACTGCTCCTGCACCATAAAGCCACAGCCCTGTCCCCACCCACTTGTTGGTCACTCGTTCCTGAACTATTTGCTTTTCCTTGTCTTAGCTTCTTGATAGTCTCTTGTTGCTTGTTCCCTGGTCCATACCTTTCCCTACATTGGCTCCAGGACGTATACCATGACGAAACCGCAAGAATCGATACCACCGGTGTGTGTCTCACTGTATTTTTTGTGCAGCTGTTTACTGACCCCAATGTACAGGCCGCAGATATCCTCGGCGTAAGACCCACCTTTATCTAAAACGAGAGGGTTGATGCTGATAGACATTCCTGTGATTCTAGACCATCGGAACAGGTGAGTAATTATTCTTGGTATGCGATGTAACGTAGGCTAATGTCCCCAAGTGTGAGCCAAACCTGACGCATGCAAATAATTGACACTGACGAATCTATGTTTGCTTCAGTTGCTGGTGCATTCAAGTAAGTTCATGCCCTTCGCTCAATGCAAACGTGCAATACTCAGACAGCACAGATCCTTCCACAGTAAGCTCACTTGTCGAGAGTCTGAACGAAGGCTCACATACCGGAGAATATGGCACAATTGGCGCCGAAAGAACACCGATGGATTACCGGGGACAATGCTGATGCTGTGGGCATCATGTACATCACCCTGCTTTGTGGCCTTAGAACGGTGGGCTGAGAATTTTAGGCGCTGTACCGTTCGGGGTATATGCTATAGTCCAGGTAAGTCTAGCTGACCAAAAAGCACCGCAGGTTTTAACAAGTCGTAGAAATTTAGTCTGGCACTTCAGCTGCAACCACAGTGTTTCGGCGGTCTCACCCTCATCGCATGGGGCCAAACGCTTTACTACGGCCAGTGAGTTGTGTATCGCTCGAGCAGGAATTGGGTTCGCCTAAAAAGATGCAGGAAATGGAGAGCATGGACTGCAACGGCAGCGACCCTGAGCATGGTGGTTGCTTTCGCCGCATCAGAAGCTATCCTTATCGTTACCCTTCGCGTACGTTCTCACGGCTTTGGAGACTCCAATAGTCTTCATGTTGACAGATCTAGATACCATATTACAAAGGAATCGAGTGGCCCATGATGATGATGGCTATCCTAGCATCGGTCATGCAGTGTCTGGGCCTAGTGATGCCGTACTTCGAACTGGCCAAGCGACAAGGACGTGTCATCGGCATTGGTATGATAATTGCACCTGGGACCTGTGATATCCGCTCACAGGGATAGATTTCTGGTTTCTCCTAATTGACTACTCGGGTGCCTTCTTCTCGTTGATGGCTCTAGGTAAACTACGCCTGCCGTGCTAGACAATTAGGCTGATATTGTGTAGTCGCTCAACATACTTTCGACGTACTCGGCGGGTCCATGTACATTGTAGCGTAAGTGGTCCAGCTGTATAGGCAGACAAAATACTGACGGTCAACAGCATGACCCTCGAGACCGGCATCTTCCTCTCCCAGGCCATATGGCTCTGGCGCGTCCGACATATCCGCCACGAAGCGAAGAAATTGGGCATGACATACGACGAGTACATTGAGGCACACCCATCGAAGAAGCTAGCACGGAAAGCATCCTCCGAAACGGTCGCCGATGTCGAGGCAGCTCACACCGAGGAAACATTACTCTCGGAGAAGTCCCTCTCTAGGGCACAGCAGGGTGCTTCCGTAGGACAAGAAACGGATGCAGATACATACAATGCGAATGCAATGACCGAGGGGGCTCCAGCTGTACCCGAAAAAGCGGTCACTTCGGATAGATAGGCGATTAGACCGCTCCGTTGAAACGAAGTCGCCGCTATTGCTCTTGCATCTGCACCGAGCTGCAGTGCCAGCTGCGCTAGCTCATCCAGCGGAGCCCTATCCAACCGTGCTGGCATCGATGGCCGCATAACACCACTCAGCCAATCTCCCGGCCACGAAATTTTCGACCGATTAACGAGACCACATCTCACTTTCTCATTCAACTTGGACCAAAAGCACGACACATGATTACCAATCTGTTGTATCAACAAGCATGTTAGCATTTCGACTTTCCTATCCAAAAGCGATGCAAGCACAGTCTCACTCAGGTTCTGCGATATCGCCACCATGTGGCATTTGATTTTCTTACTTACAAGCGTGGCGCTGGATGGGATTTCTCATAGGCCTTGGCTACGGTGATGGCATTGCGCTACAAACAAAGAGCTTATTTCGAATTAACGGTGTTCTGGGGTTGTTGTTGGTTTCGTGGCGTTCGCCGTGGGGTTTGCATATACACGGGTTTGGGTCTGTTCCAAAACGGGTGGCTTTTTGATCGTCCCCTTGAAGGACATAGCTTAGGTGGCGTATCTCTCTGCAATGTACACGTCTCGGATGCCTGTGACAATGCAGGCCAGCGTAATTGCCATGCTCTTATTGACCGGTAACTTGGTGGGATCCCACAGATGCGCAGCGGGGTACCCGCGGTCGATCGTAAGCGACAGCGTTGCCTCGGAGCGAAGCGCGGCTGCAGAAGACCGCAGAAGACCATTCTCAAAAGCCCATACCGCGGCCTCACATGGCCCGATTAGGTGCCTGACGCTTACGCTGCATCCGAGCGCACCTGCAGCCGTTCCTGCCCTTTCTTTTGCGAGCCTGACTACTGGACCCCACGACGCATTCACGACTCATACATCGCTTCAGCACAGCGCAGCAAACGTCGCACTCACCGCATTGCGTCTGCACACTACTTCCTTCGTCTAATCTGACTCTTCGTGAGCTGTCATAATCCCGTACGATAGCACGCATCTGAGGGGTAGAGTTCGTCCCAAGGATTCGCAGCGCCTCGAGCGATAGCGCGCGTCGTACCGCCCACCTCGTCATCGAGCAACATGGCGACGGCGCTTCCGTCCCCACCTTTCTACGAGGTCCCCAACCTGAATAATTTCCGGGATGCGGCGCTCGCTTGTGGCGGGCTGAAGACGAAAGATGGGCGGAAAGTTCGAGAGGGTGTGCTGTTTCGGAGTGCCGAGGTTAGCAAGGTTGATGGGGAGGGGTGGAGGGCGGTGCATGATATTGGGGTGAGTTTGACATCGTTTTTACATCATTCGTACAGTGTGGCGTTCAATGGTTTGCAATTCCGCGGTACCCAGCATTGGCAAATGCAGTACCGGAAATGTTGGACTAGGACCATGTGAGCAGTCGGCACAGGAAAGAGAAAACGTGCTTCTGAGACTGTGGTTCTGGAGATACGCTGACGCAGGGTAGGTCGCGCATGTATTTGATTTAAGAAGCAAGCAAGAAGTTGACAAGGGGTGGGCCGGCGTCACTGGCGAGGGGGGGAATAGCGGAGGGGATGTGGCACATGGCTGGGAGGAAAGCTTGAAAGGTGCGGGCGTGAAGAGGACTTGGGTGCCCGTGTTCAAGGTGGAAGATTACAGCCCTGAGAAGCTTGCCGAGCGGTACATGGTATTTCCCTCCGCTCTCTCGGTATTCTATTAGCCCTGTATTGACGTCTCAACACAGAAATATCTCGACGAAGACGTCCAAGGCTTCGTCTCAGCCTACCACGACATCCTTACCGACGGCGGCCCAGCTTTTCGCACCATTCTGCTGTATTTAGCATCCCTTCCACCGCCCAGTGAGGATTCCCAAGCCAAAAATGGCGCCCTCATCCACTGCACCGCCGGCAAAGACCGCACAGGCATGTTCTTCGGGCTTGTTCTTAGCTTCTTGGGCGTGCCTGACCAGCAAATCGCGGATGAGTACCAGCTCACCGAGCCAGGACTCAAGCACATCTACGAGTCTGTTGTACCGCGACTGATGGCGAGCCCAGCGTTCGAGAAGTATCAGTCGGAGAAGCTAGATGGACAGGGCAAGGAGGAGGGGAGACAGGCGGCACTGAGGATGCTAGGGGCGAAGAGGGAGAGTATGTTGGAGGCGTTGGAGATGCTGAGGAGGGAGTGGGGAAGTGCGGAGGAGTACATGCGTAAAGTTTGTGGATTGCAAGGTGGGGAGTTGGAGGCTTTGAAGAGGAAATTGGTTGTAGATGCGTGACCAGTTACGGAAACATAGATTGGAGGATTACATTGAAAGCGTAAATGCGGCATTGCGTATATGGAAAATGGTCGAAGCCCAGAACCTCTAATGTGATGCACGATCATCCTCGTACCAGTGCTGGTGATACTCAACGTACTCTACAAAGCCAGACCTACTCACTGACATCCTCTCCCTACACTTTCACATCTTTCCGTCCTCACGCCTTCTTACATCGAACTCGTTCAACTCACCTTACACATTGCTACCATTCATGGTTCCCCCTCTGTGGCCATTCTTGCTATCCTCCTTCCTCTGCTCCATTTCCTCTTGCTCCTGCTTCTTCTCTTCCTCTCTTCCTCTCGTTGTGGAAATATCAAATGCCACTCCAGTAAAAAAAATCGATAAAACCAGAAGCCCAGATTGAGGAGCTAGATGACGAGGAGAGATAACAAGGTGCAGCGGAAAGTCCACGGAAGCCTGGCGTGTTCATGGCAATCGAAAGGTTCATCAATGACGTCGTGAATCCACCTGCGATATGACAATTTTCTTGAAAATTGTATTTCTTCTGGAACTCATATCTATACATGTAATGGAATAGAGATCCGCATCTCTTGATCTTCTTGTTCAAAACTGGACGAAGACGACGCTTGCAGTCACCCGCGCTCCGCTACAATTTCGCAAAAAGCATGCTCGGACTAGAAACTGTGAGAATGCGAACTGCGGAACAAGGCGCCATAACGGTTCAAAACTCGAAAAAGCTTACGCAAAGATGTGAAGAGGGTGGTTGGGAAGGTAGTGACCAGGATCGTTGAAGCGCAGGCCCTTGTCAAGCGCAGAGATCGAGTCGAGCTCATCCTGCGAAAGATCGAAGCTGGTAACATCGAGATTCTGGGCCAAGCGGTTCTGATTGTTGGATTTGGGAATGACGGCGATGTTCCTGGACAACATTAGCACCTGCTGCACGAAGATCAGGTACGAGAAGAAACCTACCTCTGCGTCGACCATCGGAGGAGCACCTGCGCAGGAGTCCTGTTGTACTTCCTAGAAATGTTCTTTACCGGCTCGGCATCGAACAGCAAACCGACATCGCTCGTCCTCTGCCTGAAAGCCGGCGGCAGCTCAAGGAAACTTTGAGGACCAAATGATGAGTATGCGGTGACGACGATGTTGTGTGTTTGAGCCATCTTGATGAGTTCAGTCTGGACAAGGTATGGGTGGTGTTCGATCTGGAGCGAAGAGATGGGGTGCTTTGCGTAGGTCTGGACCTCGTAGAGAAGCTGAGCCTGGAAGTTTGACACTCCAATGGATCTCGCGATGCCTTGATCCACGGCGGCCTCCAATTCTTCCCAGGTTTCGCGTATAGAGACCTTGGCGGGTTTGACCGTCTTCCCGTCCTCCATCCACCAACCCTTTGGTTGAGGTCAGTCGCCGGCGGTTATTGAAGGGACCAATTTCACTTACAGGGTAGCGGTTCACCTCCGGGTCGACGTACTCCAATGCCACCGGAAAATGCACCAGGAATAGATCAATGTATCCCAGACCCCATGCTTCGTTCTGTGCCTTCATCATCGGCAGCGCATGCTTCTTGCTGTGGTCTAAATATTCGGGAACAAAGTCAGTGTAACGGCTACAAGTGGGAGGTGTAAGGATAGGTTGGTGCCGTAGCTGACTGCTGATGACCATAAATTCATGGCATCCTCGACAGCACAAACACCCCCTTTTTACTTCGGTGACGTACAGTTGTTCCAAAGCTTTGTGGTGACGAAGATGTCATCGCGCTTTACAAGACCCTCCTTGATCGCACGTTGGATACCCTCGCCTGCTTCCTTCTCGTTTTGGTAGTCGTATGCGCCGTCGAAGAGTCTGTAACCCGCTTTGATGGCCTAACAATGGTTAGGAAGCCACTGTTGAGCTGGCCGAAGTACCACACATTGTAGACAGTATCCGCAGCAGTCTCTCTGGGAACTTTCCAGAGACCAAAACCCACGAGGGGCATTCCATGGCCAGAGGCAAGCTTAACAATTGACATAGTTGTCAAATGAATTGGCGAAAAGATTGCTCAAATATGGGTATCTTGGAATGAAAGGGAGGAGACGAAGTTCAAGAAGGAATTAAAAAATAAAGAAGAGCTTCCGTGGCTTTTGTGTCGTCCACCGACTCGAACAAATCTTGGTGAGGGTCCAGTGGGGTGTAAAGCTAAGACTAGCTTCTCATTGGCGGACTCCTAGCATTTCCCAACTAGGATAGGACACAAAAACATTGTGAAAGTCGACACGACGTGTACAGGACGGAAGTCTCTGTATAGAGAACGTACCAACGCAAGATAGATCGAAACTAATCTTGCTTCGCATTGTACATACTCAACATCCTCAAGTCATAATCCTGCAGAAGCCGAGGGTTTAGGGTGACCCCGCATTCTATGACGGTTGGCTGTTTCTGAACTCCGAAGTGTTGCCGGCGGCTATGATTTCCCCAGACAGAAAAATCAGCACTCATCCATTCACGTCCTCGATGCGACGCGACTGAGATAGCCCCCAGGTTGTAGGACGCATAGCCACATGGATATCGGGGGGCAGATCGAGCAGCCTACTGACGCTTCGGCTAAGTCCCGACAGAAAAGATCTCGGTCAGGATGTTTGACCTGCCGAACGCGCCGTCGCAAATGTGAGTGCAGTATGGGAGTAAACCTCGAGCCCGGCTCACGAGACAAAAGGCGACGAAGGCAAGCCCAAGTGCCGAAGTTGCATATCAAAGGGCTTCGAGTGTAGATACGCAGCTGCTTTTCAAATACTGGGTAAGAACAACTTCACTCCCGAAGTATCGACCAAAGGAGGCTATAAGGAACTTCAAGTGAGTTAGCGCTGATTTTGGTTTCGTTATTGCACATGGTATCTGGTCGTGGTCTATTCCTTCTGCTAACAATTTTGTAGTTTGTTCCTGAATATAGCGAGAAAGGCGATCAAAAGAGACCTGACCAGGCAGAGGTGGAAGAAGCGCATCCGGAGGATACGTCGAACCCTGTTATAGAGTCTGCAGGACCGCAACAATCGACGTCGCCGCAGACTGATCGGAGCGTCAAGCGCTTACAAGACACCCACATCCAAAGCCCATCCGCAGAACGTTACGAGTTTGCCTTGCATGGGCTTCTGGCACTTGGAAATGGGAATAGTGGAGGTGATGTCAATGCTGAACCTGAAGTCAACTTTGCGACCATAGACTTTGCGGAAACAGATCACGCAACGCTGCCCAGTCAAACTAGTGTCGCCATGGATCGTATTCAGACAGAGCCGAACCCGATGATCGTTGGAGAATGCCAAGAAAGACCGAAATTGCAGCCTTGGCCTTCAATCAGCACAATATCTTCCGTTGAGATGCCGCAGATGACCGATGAGCGTGTTTTGGAGTTCCTCAAGCATTATCGATACAATATCGCGCCGTGGGTAAGTCTATCTCTCCGACAAGAATAAACCAAAACATGCATACAGTTGGCTTGTGTGTTGTGTGTTTGTGGGCACCGCTGTGTACTCATGATTTGGAGTCGCCATACGACCGTGCGAGGAACCAACTGACTGAAGCTCGTACCAGATGGACATTTGCGACATGAACCAATGCTTCGGCTGCGAGGTGCTCCAGCTGTCCAAGATCTCTTCCCCCGTTCGGCTTGAAACACTGGCGCTTGCGGAAGCTTCCCTTAGTGCTCGCCACCAACTTCAGGATGTTACTGTGGACATGCTTGCGCGCATGCAGCGACAAAAGGTGCCCGCAGGAGAAAAGGTCCACAAATCCCTTCTAATTACCCTTGAAACCGTTAAAGCTGTTGTCACCAACTTATCAGGATTCTGGAATCTCCAGGACAGCGTCTGGTGCACACGACATGTGCTCGAACCGCTGCTTTTCGAGGTCAATCAAGACCCAATCGGAAACAGTGATCCATTAGCACCTGCAGCCTTTTGGCTGATAGCGAGACTACGTAAGTATTGCATTATTTTGATAGGAGAGAAGCAGAATCCTTATTACAAACTTCGATTGAACACTGCCGGGTTCTACCCCAGCAAGTATCATTTGGAGCTTAGTGTTGGACTATCTCTTGCATATTGGCCTCGGTGAAATGCGCCCAGTGTCGATACGGAGGGCGACTTCGCATCTCAGAAGATCTGATGACATTTGCACTCTTCAATTTCATGCCGAGCATTAGACTGACTGGTGTCTATAGAATTGAGTGTAGCATTGATGAGTTCTGCGACAGTAAGGATACCTCTACCGACCGCATCGATCTCGGCGTGGGAATATGTATCTGCTGGAGATGCGGAACGCGTGTTCCGATACGCTCACGATGCTGTAGCCTTGTGCATCGATGCAACAGTCTTCAGTCGTGGAGATGAAGATAGATGGCTCCAGCAGCAGTACGGACTGAATCGCGTTGAACTCTGGAAAACACTAGTTGCTGGCTTCGAAAGATGGTATAAACATCGACCACAGGATTTTCAGCCCATCATCGAATTGTATCCGAGAGACGCTCCGACTTCCGAGGATGGATTCCCCACGCTCGTGTTTTCGAGTGGAGCAACCACGTTGGCCAATCAGCTCTACCACACCGGCATGTTGCTACTTCTTCAGAACAAGCCTCGGTTCATGGATCGGCCGCAATCTCAGTCTCCATCCATGTCCGCTCTGTGGCACGCGCATCGAGTTTGTGGGATCTCTTTGAACAACGATCGATGGGATTGTTGGGATCCAAGCCTCGTAGCTTCTCTTCTCGTAGCTGCGAAGACGATTACTCATCGAAGTCAGCACAAGGCAATCTTGAATACATTGGAAAGCGTTCAGCAATTTACCGGATGGAATATTTCACACCATGTTGAGCAGCTTGCAATTGAATGGCAGCAAGCGGATGGTTGGTGAGCGTTGGGCCTGCATATTGGTGCTCATCTTCGAAATGATCACCAGGATCAGACAACACCCCGTGACTTGTGGCCATAGAATTGCTCAAGGTCGCGAGCGCGCCAACATGCTGTCCACCCTGTTATGGCCTCGATGTGGCGGATAGTTTTGACAACTAATGTCTGCTCGGAGCTATGGCTCAATAGGCGACCCGCAATCCACAGAGGTTGAATGGCATTGTTGAGGCAGCCTTCATGAGGGTTCGCCAGAGAGATTCCGCAGATCCGTTTGGCGTGCCAAAGAATGGAGGTGGTTGGCGAAGATGGAAGCATGGCCCTGAATTTCGGGCTTGCGGATAAGAGGAGTACACAAGCGGTGTGGTAAAGTTGATTCGAAGATATTGCCGCCCAGTGAGCGAAGAACTCTTTTGGGAATGGAAGCGATGCGGTAGTCAAGACCGGTGATATTTCTCGTGGTCGGTTGGCAGCCCAGCCCTCAAGCTGGTGCCAAAGCTTGAACCAACGTTGTTGGAAAGTATCAGCGTTGCAGCCGTTCTCCTCTCCAAGCTCCACGAATTTGTTTCGTTCAGAAATGAGCTCACAAGCCTTGGCGCACAAGTATACTGCATAGTTAGCATACATGTCGGCAGATCCGGCGTTACAAAACATTGACTCGGCGTGTTCTTCTCGGGTATTTAAAGGTAGCCATTTTGCAGGTTTCAGCAGAGTACTTTCAGCACCGTCGGATATTAGAGCACCACAGACATCCATTCTTGCATAGCACCAGAAAATAGCTTGCAAAACATGTCCACTAAATCCATTGACTCCGAATGCGTCGAATACAGCGGCGCATCCCTCGAGATGGCGGCGCCAGTCCTGTGCACTGGCCGAAAACATTTCTAGGCAGCACAACACGACGCATGCAGCAATGACGTGCGTATCCCGGGCCTGAAGCAGTGGGGTTAGAAGTCGAATCGCCTCCTGGTATAACTCGAGGCTGTCGAAAGACGACTGCGTTTTCTCTTTGCGTTCCAGCTGGCGGGCTCCAATGGCGAGAAGAGCATATAGCAGGGGGCATGACTCCTTTGCCAACGCAGGTAGCTGAATGGCAAATGCGCGGTTGCTGTCAAACATGTCCAGCCATGCTGATCGGGTGAATACGGCGTTAGTGGAGACGAATCTATCTCATACTCGGGATATACATACGGGCTACAGCAGAGATGTAGTTTTTTAGATACTGAACCCGTCTACCCTTGGCCAAGATTTGCTTCACACTGAACGAAGGTTCCGCGCTGGTTTCATCATCATCGACAGGGGTACCGGCACGCGTTGGCGCCGCAGAGCGAGCAGTGGTGAACAACAGAGCGCGTAACTCCTCTTGTGATGCTAGATAATTGGGGTCGTGTGCGAATTCATCGATGCCCCAGCTCGTGGCAGGCGACAGGAACGGGTCTATGTTGTCCAGGCCATTGAATTGGCCTTCGGTAGTCGGCGTAGGCAAGAAGCTAGTCAGGAGGTCGTCTGGTGCGGACTCGTCGTGCGTGGTGCATCGTCTTTTGTGAGGACGTCCTTCAGCCATGATGTCTAGATGCAATGGGCATGTTGCAGAAAATGCCGGGGAAAGTGCAGGGCATCTAAAAGGTGGGGAAGTAGATGCACTTGCATAAATTTGGCGAATCATGTGGCAGGCTCGCCCAAGGGTCCAGACCTCGGCTCCACGCATTCATCAGATTAGATTTCTGCCAACTACATTCATCCCGATCACGATGTGCCGATATTTCATCGTCCAACGATAAGTTCGTCGCTTTTCATCAGCCAATATCCTATCTATATTCACAATCCGAACGCCCAGAAATGCGATGATGCTTTACTTCTGACAGCTCGCTTCATAGCTCAACAAACTCATGGCGAAGGACATCGTCCGCCTTGATCTTTTCAAGATATTCGCTGACCTTGGTCGTCATGGCGCCGACCTCAAATCCGAAGAATTTGTAGGCCGCCTTGCCCGGTAGGCTGTGACCGAAACGCTTCACACAGATGGCAGCATTCGCGTACCGCTCCCAGCCGTTGGGCGCGTACGGCTCAATGACGACAGCAGGAATACGGTGCTTCCTCAGTGTGTCACGCTTGTACTCGAGCGACTGGCCTTCGAACAGTCTCCAACAAGGAAAACTGATGACGCGTGCCTTGATGTTTTTGGCCTTGAGCTCCTTCGCCACGTCCACTGCAAAGCAAAGCTCCGCACCGACACCTATAAGTGTAACATCCGCATCCTCGGTCTCTTCCAGGACGTACGCGCCAAGTGCTACGCCGTCTCTTCTTGTCTGCGGCTGCTGTGGCAGTGTGTGTCGGGACGTGGAAATGATAGTCGATGTATGCTTCGCCTCGATGGCAGTTATCCACGCCCCAGCTGTCTCCTCACTGTCACCGGGTCGGATATAGAGGAGGTTAGGCATGGCTCTGTAAAGGTTGGCCAGCTCGATCGGTTGGTGGGTTGGACCGTCCTCACCCATTCCGATGGAATCGTGCGTTGCTACGTGAATAACCTGCAAGTGCTGCAGCGCACCCATGCGGACTGCTGGGGCCGCGTACAGGTAAAACATGAAGAAAGAAGAGGTGATTGGAACAAAGGTATTAGGCGCAAACGCAGCTAAGCCATTGCTCACGGCAGCCATGGCATGTTCACGTACACCGTAGTGAACATACCGGCCGCTGTAGTTGCCCGTTATGCCGCACGTCGTCTTCAAATCGGGCTGATTCATGTCAGTTCCTTTACCGCCAGTGCCTCGACCGCCTGATAGTGGAGCCTGGGTCAACTTACGTTTTGGAAATCAACTTTGCCCTTCCAGATCATGTTGACCGAGGGCGAAAGATCAGCCGTGCCAACCATGAAATTGTTGCATGCCTGTGCAATGGGGTTGAAGACGAGGCCGGAGGATGCTCGGGTAGCTGTGGCCTTATCTGGGAAAGCGTCCTTGGCCGGAATGAGGTCTTTCCACTTCTCGGGCAGGCGACCGTCAACACGCCTGCGGAAGTCTGCGCCGAGCTCAGGGTATTTCTCTTCGTATGCTTGCACCTTCTTCTCCCACGATCGTACGAGCTCTTCGCCTCTTGCTGGGGCATCTCCGAAGAACTTGCGCACTTCCTCGCCGATGACAAAGTGCTGACTAGCATCGAAGCCGTACATCTTCTTCATGTTGGCAACATCGGCGTCACCGAAAGCGGCTCCATGCGCCACAGCATTGCCGGCAACAGCACTTCCGAGACCGATCACCGTCCGGACATTGATGAAAGTAGGTTTAGTCGTCGACGCACGTGCCTTGTACAACGCTTCTACCAAACCCTTGATGTCGAAGCAGCCGTCCTCGATATCAATCACATCCCAGCCACAAGCCCTCATTTTGCCATTCACGTCTTCTGTGTTTGTCAAGTCAACACTGCCATCACAAGTAATCTGGTTATTGTCGTAGATGACGGTCAAGTTGTTCAGTTTGTGGTGACCAGCCAAAGAGATCGCCTCGAGCGCGACGCCTTCTTGAAGGCAGGCATCGCCCGTCTGGAAGGTACAAAGTCAGTGTATGTCTCTAAGAGGTGGGGATGGTGCATTGCCTCGTGTCTTAGCTAAGCGAAGGAAAGAGTCTTTTTCTTATGTTATAAGTAGATGTAGATGGTCTTCTTTTCGCTTGGCGGACAGAACACATCCACTTTGTACTCGGGAGACTTGCCATACACCATGTGTGGTTCGATACGATGTCGAAGTCAGGCTTGTTGTAGGTGGCCTGAAGGTTCTTCGTCGCCATGGCAAGACCGACAGCGTTTGCAACGCCTTGGCCGAGTGGCCCAGTCGTAACTTCGACACCTTCATGTTCGATCTCCGGGTGTCCGGGGCACAAGGCATCGACGCGGTCCGAGTGGTATGACTTTAATTGGTCGAACGTCATGGCTTTGTAGCCTGTAAGATGCAGGAACGAGTATTGGAACAAGCACGTGTGTCCTAATAATTGTTAGTACTTCTGGATTAGATTCGCGGTATGAAAAGCACAGAGGCCGAAGGAAAAACTCGAAATTTCTCAAGGATCAAGGTCAGCTAGTCAACAAGAGACGTCAGTAAGTGCCGTATAGGAACCTATACCTTAGGATGACTCAACCTACATTACATGTATAAAATTTTGATGTAATAATGTATCGTCGGTGTTCACACGCAGAAGGTGGGTGCTACCGCCAGAAGTCCGGCTTACATCTTCGGCCACTGTGAAGCAAAATTGCTCGCTTACCGTTCGACAGGACGAATCGATCACGATTGAAGTACGTTGGAGTGTGGGGTGCGTAATGCATGACATATTTCCACAACGCAACACCGATTGCTGCCATGCCAATGGCACCGCTGTTTGTAGTCAGTCTCTGCAAGATCTATCTTGAGAATTGCCGCCAACGACTTACCCAGGGTGGCCTCCCTTGAATTGTTGGCATAGATCTGCAATTCTGTACGATTGTCAGTGCTATGCCAATTATTTCTGCGGCTAGCACGTACAGCAGACGGAATGTCTTCAAAACCAGATCGTGTTCTTTTGATAGCTTCTTCACTGAAGACTCCTCGATCTGTTCTTCCCTCTTCAGCCCCTCGACTACATTTTTTCCATACTCGGTCTGACCCGTTCCGTTGACCTGCGGAGCTCCGTCGGCGAGATGCATTGTTCGGTCTTCGTCTTGTGGCAGATAGAAGGTCTACAGCGAGTGAAAGATTCAAGAAAGTGAAGAACACTTCGAAGATAATTCTACATATGTTTACACCACTCTCACGTTTGCTGGACCCTCTTGCGCTTGGATTACCCCTCCAGGGAATCCGAGGTGCGTCGAAGTGGGTTGTTCCGTAAGCGGTAATCCCAAGCACTGCTACCTGAAACGGTAGGCTTAACCACCGCGCTCGCCAATCATATTGCTTAGGTATGGTTCTCCGACATGCTGCCTACGCGTCGGTGGGCGTGGGTGGAGAAAGCCGTCCCCATACCCCGCGGACCGCCACCATCTATCTTATCACGGTCCGTTCGTTAAGAGGCGCGACAGCGTGACATGACAAAACTTCCAGCGCGCGTTGACGAAACCTTCTTGCGTACACAGAAAATCTCAACTGCCACGCGGTGACACGTGCTCTTCTGTCCTGACTGCACTGATACCTGTATTCTTTTTGATCTGACCACTGCTCGTAAACACTACACATCTTTTTCTGTTGCTCTCGGAGCGAGGCCTCAGGCACACAGGCCGTTGTCCGCCTAGAGATGTCTCCCGCCGCTGTGAGTATCCAGCGCAATGAAAAGAGTTTTCCAGGACTGATGGGGCGACAGATCGAAAACGACGTGGCCACGAACCGAGTGAATAGCAATGGCGTTGTGAAGTCGAAAAAAACTACGATCTCGACACCTTTACCCAATCCTTCTTTGCAGGTGACGGCCGATCACAACTTGAAGCAGGTGGAAGCGCCCGTCTATGCTCCAGGCATCGGTGAGGTTCTCCTACACATTAAAGCCACCGGTGTTTGTGGGTATGTCAACCGAAGCCGTGCACATTTGAGCACGAGGTTGACGGCGCTCTAGGTCGGATATTCACTTTTGGAGACATGGGAGGATAGGAACATTGGTGGTCGAGGGAGATTGCATATTAGGGCACGAGGCGGCAGGCATCGTGCTTCAATGCGGAGAAGGCGTCACCAACCTCAAGCCTGGTTAGTGTGCTCCTGTCAGCAATAGCTTATGTCTGCTAAAACTGTGCAAGGTGATCGTGTGGCTGTCGAGCCAGGTGTTCCCTGCGGTGTATGTTTCCTCTGCGTGGACGGTCGGTATAACCTTTGTGAAGACGTTCAATTCGCCGGTGTTTACCCCTACGATGGGACCATTCAGCGTTACAAGTGCCACCCCGCAAAATGGTGTCACAAGATTCCCGATAATGTTTCCTTTTCGGAGGGCGCACTCCTAGAACCTCTTTCTGTAGTCATGCACGGCGTGAACACCGCAGGGCTCTCTCTCGGTCGCGGTGCTGTTGTTTGCGGTGCCGGTCCGATTGGTCTCATCGCGTTGGCAGCCGCGAGGGCGAGCGGTGCGCATCCGATTGTGATAACAGACTTGGAGCCCAAGAGATTGGAGTTTGCAAAGAAGTTCGTACCCTCGGCTATCACTTATCAGGTCCAGAGGAACTTGAGTGCGGAAGAAAGCTCGAAAGAGATTAGGAGGTTGTTCAACTTTGAGTACGTGGGCGAATACGGGGCGCCTGAGGTGGTGCTTGAATGTACCGGCGTAGAGAGCAGTGTCATCACAGCGTGCTACACAGCGAGAAGAGGGGGAAGTGTCCTGGTTATTGGTGTGGGGCGCGAGATCATGAACAATCTGCCGTTCATGCACTTGTCGCTCGCCGAGGTACGTCTTTTCTTCAAGGAGCTCACTTACTGTCAATAGTACTGATATATACAACAGATCGATCTCAAGTTCATCAACCGATATCGTGACACCTGGCCAGCGGGTCTGCAATGCCTCGGTGGCGGTATTCTAGATCTCAAACCTCTCGTCTCGCACACATACCCCTTGGAGAAGGCGTTGGACGCGCTGCACACATGCGGAGACTTGAGTAATGGTAGCATCAAGGTGCAGATCCTTGACGAAGAGGAAGATGTGTTTTGAGAAGAAGATTTTCTTTTGTTGTTCACAAGCGGCGCTGGCTGTAGGGATTTTGAGGCAGCATACAAGACACGGCGGACACGGCATTAGACATCAGAAGGCAGAATCGCTATCGAATTGTTAATCTAGGTATGCTAGGCTATCGGAAAAACCCAGTCAATCTTAACAATGCCGCTTTTGGGAACGTCTCCAAACACATCGACTACCAAGATGCAGATGACTGCATCGCCACAGCCTCGATCATACATTGTTCATCCATCTCAAGGAGATCGTTGAACACTCGGCGCTAGGGCTAGTGAACAGAGTTATTAAGTGATGGGGCGTCGTTCGAGACCATCCTGGCCATCAGGCTCTCCACACTCGATTAACATAACACGCACTCAACACCAAGCGTGGGCGAATACACGATGCCGCGCGATTCAAGCGAGCGCTTCTGAGATCCCAATTGAGTCTTGTCTGGATCATGGGTAACTTAAACGGCAGAACATCGGCAATCTAGTCCTTGACCCGACGAATCGGCACCGCATCGGTGGTGGATACATCGGCCCTTCCCCTCAATCCGTCTAGTTCCCGTCGAATTCGCGCAGCGCCAGATCCGGGGAAAGGCCTCGCAAACGCGCAGGCATTCCGGTTCCATCCTGAAGCTGGGGCAGACCATGCGAGTGGCGCATGATAGGATCCATCATCTCCATCTGGAGGCCCGCATCGCTTCTCCAGATATTTAAAGGGCCGAGCATCCCCACGTTCTGAATGACCCACAGCGTTGGAACTTGGGATCGCGGTTCTGGGTAGACATCCAGATCAGATCTACCACCTTCCTCGTCTCCATTGTATCTCCAAGGACTCACTCTTTGTTCCTCCCTCCCTCCGTCACCATGGCAGACAAACCCTCCACCGTTGAGATCAACGAGAACTTCGTCGAGAAGATTGCACCCACTGCAGCGGAGACGGCACAACTTGGTCACCTTGCCAATCAAGAAGATCACGAAGTTGGCAAGCTTGCCGCATTCCGCAAATACCCCTGGGCGTGTGCTTGGAGTCTCTACGCCGTCTGGTGCGTGTTGCTGGTCAGCTTTGAGAATCAAGCTGCAGGCAATGTCATCAGTATCCCCGAGTTCAGGAAAGATTTTGGCAATGCATATACCGCTGAGGATGGAACTACATCTTATGTGTTGGATGCAACTTGGCAGGCTGCCTTCCAGGGAGCGCCAGTGGCTTCGTATGTTCCCCTATCATTCTGAAACATTCAACTTCAATTGAGAGCATGACACTAACAGCTTACAGGGCTGTCTTTGGTGCTCTAGGATGCGGTCAGCTCGCAGACTGGCTGGGTCGCCGTGCCGTGATTATGATTTGCCTGGTCGTAAGCTTTGCGGCTATCACTATGGAATTCGTCGCTACTTCGAACGAGCTATTCTTCGGCGGGAAGTTCCTCAACGGCTTCGCTACCGGTGCTCTCGCCTCTGTTACTGTCACATACATCGGAGAAATCGCTCCACTCGCACTTCGCGGCATGTTGACATGCTTGACCGCTCTTGCCTACACCTTCGGCCCCCTCACCGTCGCTCTCATCGTCAATTCCACCGGCACCTACACTAACCGCTGGGCATACCGCTCCGTATTCTGTGCCCAATATGGCTTCGCAGCCGTAGCTGCTATCTTCGTCTTCTTCATGCCAGAGTCTCCCTGGTGGCTCGTCAGCAAGGACCGACCTGAGCGTGCCCTCAAGGCCCTCCACGGCCTCGGCCACCGCGGCGTAGAAGGCGAGAAGAAGCTCGCCCTCATCACCAACACACTCGAGGAAGTCAAGCGCGAAACTGCAGGCGTCACTTACCTCGAATGCTTCCGTAAATCCAACCTCCGCCGCACAATCATCTCGATCATGCCGCTCTCCATTCAGGCGCTCTCCGGTATCGCCTTCGCTGCTAGTTACTCGACGTACTACATGCAGCTCGCCGGCTTCTCCACCGCTATGTCTTTCAAGCTCCAGATTGTCCAGCAGGTCATTTCCCTGATCGGAAACGTCATGTCTTGGTACCTCGTGGACCGCCTCGGCCGTCGCAACCTTACTTTCTATGGCCTTGTTGTGTTGACCGTGATTCTGTTCGTCATGGCTGGCTGCGCTGTCCCCGGAACACCAGGAGGCTCCAAAGCCGCTGTCAGTATGATTTTGATCTACTGCTGGTGGTACAATGTCACTATCGGTGCCACCGCATACACCATCCTTTGCGAGGTGTCTACCTCCCGTCTGCGCATCAAGACCATCGCTATCGGCCTTGCGCTTCAAAACGCATTGAACACTATGTGGTCATTTGTTCTGCCGTATTTGTTCAACCCTGATAAACTCAATTTGGGCGGAAAACTGGGTTTTATCTTTGGTGGCCTGGCTGTTATTTGTCTGGTGTACCTTTGGTTCTACCAGCCTGAGACTGCGGGTAGGACGTATGAGGAGCTTGATGAGATGTTCATTAAGAGGGTGCCTGCGAGGCAGTTCAAGACGTATCGAACGGATGCCCAAGCTATGGGTGAGGCTGTAAAGGAGAAGGAGGGCATGTGAGATGGACGATTTTTGATATATCGCTGTTTTTCTTTTCTAAAGTATAACGAAGTGCGTGTATTTTAGTACATTAGCGGCATGGTTTGGTCCAATTACACGCACGAACATCGGTACAATGCCATATTGTTCCAGTCTCTCAAAGTATGTTTGTTTGATTACAATTACAGTGGCTGCTTTTATCCGTTCGATAACATTTAAAGCACTAGTATAAGAAGCTATGCTACTAGGGCTTCAACATTAATGATGTACTCCAATTGCGTGCCATTCAAAGCACAAGTGTTTAAAATGAACACCAAAGCGACTCTCGTGCCAATATCTGTGAAATGCAAATGAAATTACCGATATGGACAATCGCTCTTCAATCATCTAATCGCTAGCATAGTCACCGTGACACTACAGGAGGAAGCGTCTGACCGAAGTAGGGCCACTGTCACTGTCAAGATGCACAATTTCGTTCTCTACGAGGTCAAGACCCACGCACTAGGAGACCTCCAAATAAGACAGTCATGCAAACTCTACCTTCTGAGAGCACCCCCCGCCAGCCTTGATTCCACCTTTCCCACTTCTGACGTCCAGATCATTGCACCTTACAACTCTTATAACGGCAACGAGTTTACTGCCACATACTTCGACCTCTGGTTCGTTGCAGATGAACATTGGAACGCTGCACAAATTGCTCCATGTCAGGAAATTGAGCACATCAACGAAGAAACTCTCAAAGTCTACGTTTCCACAGTACAAAGCTGGTTCCGGCAGTGGGTCACAGATGATATCTGCCCGTTGATAAATCGCTAGCTACACAGATCTACATCTTATCGGGCGCGGTGTCTTGCGCGATGAGCTGGAGTTTAAGAGCTGCCGCGTTCTTGGTCATTCCATCTGCCGCTCGCTATACGGTAATCTTGTGGTCGCGGATGGTGTAGGTCGAGACGTTGATCAAGTTCTGTCAATCCAGCGTCGGTGAGATGTGTTGCTGTTGCAACAGGCGTATAGGGAACTTAGCTTTGGTCCCTTCGATCTTTGCGCTTTTTGCTCAGAGAAACGCTCCGTCATCTGCAACTGCGCCCTTAGACTGGCGTTGAAAGCATCCGTACCGCTGTCAAGCAGCGGTTTCGCATCCGGAATCTTGGCAGCGTTGAGGACCCGAACGTCAACTGTTGTGCCTTCTTTCTCGAACAGAATCCATAGCTCATCGACGGCTCCGGTGCCGGACATGTCGCAGGCAATCCCCAATTAGCTTCACCGTTAGGGTTAGCAGATGCAAGGCGGGCAACCGCGTTTTTGGTTGCCTCTGTTCGTCGACTGGGAACAAAGACTTTGCGAGTAGAGGCTTCGAGGAAGGCTTTAGCGATAGCGTAATCAATACCTGTATTTCCGCTGGTTTCGAGTACAGTTTCTCTAGCTTGAGATAACTCAGTGATGAGAATATAGCACGGTAGGGAGACGGGTGGAGAAAGCGGATGAATGTCTACGCTGGTTCACTGGTGTTTGTTTCAATGAATGACATTGAGAAAAGGTTCTGCTACGAGCGGCTGATGGTTGACAATAACTTGGTTAAACAGTGATATATTCTGAGTCGGTGAGGAAAGCCATCGTGTGGTGGCAGTAGGAGGGAAAGCCGCGATGAGCCGCTTGGCGGGAAGTCCTGCTTAGGCCAGGCTCGCAGCATATCGTACTAGTCACCACAGGTTGAATCAACATACTCGCGAAAGAATATTAGATGATGGTGGGACTATCCGTCTATGCTCTAGGGTATGCAGTTTCCTTAGTCCGCATCGCCTTCTCCTGTCCAAATCGGCTGCTCTCACATTCACCTCGGCGCAATCGCAATAAACGCCCTGGAAGTCCCATCCAGTATCCCATGAAAACCTTTTCGCCCTTGCACAAAACAAGCGCTTACGCTCACTCGCCAAAGGGAAACAATGATAAAGATATGGACCTAGAAAAACCAGTGAAGGGAGCTCAGCTCGGCTTATCGCAGCCAATGCGCCCCAGCAGCTCCTTGTGGTCACCATGACCCGGAATGCTGATCCCGCTTGATCTGGTTGATCGTTGAGTCTTGCTTCTCCGTACGGCGGCGGCGCCGTTAGCATTCGCACCTTTCCTGGTCGTGAAGTTGAGCGACTCGACGCCGACTTCCTGCTCCAACGGCGCGGCCGACACATGTTGTGCTTCGTATCCGCTTATGACATCCTCAATCTCCTCATCATCGCCCTCGTCATCGGAACGAACGTCATCTGCGGCGTTGCCCCGGATAACATTCACGACGACCTTCACGATCATGCAGAACCAAAGGAAAATGATCGCTTGCAGGCACAACAAGAGGGCGAGGAAGTTGAAGCGGATTGTGGGATTCCAGCAGACGGGCCCTTCGCGATCAGTATATGCCTTAACAAGGTTAGGCCAGACAACATTGCCACCGAGCGTATCGTAACGCGCCGAGTCGTTGGCGGGCACCATAGTGCCATCGGCGAAGTAGCAGCCAGGCTCCATGTCGATGGGGGAATGCTTGTATACGGAGTATATGACCATTGGGAAGAAGGTTTGGCGGGTGACGAGCCAGACAACGACGAAAAGGCCGAAGAAGATGTCACAGGTTTTGGCGTAGCCCAAGTACTTCAGTAGCTTGGCAGTCTAGAAGAACAGATCAGAAATTTATGCCTTTCACGGGGAGAGTCGCACTTGCCGGCAGTACTATATCGACCAAGTCCATAATGCATAGAATGACAATGCCGACCCGCGTATGGTAGTACCCATACGAGAGGAACAGAAGCGCGATGGTGAAGATGTGGTGGGTAAACATCTCTGCATAGTCTTTGCGCTTCTCCTCGATGTTCACAACCAGGATTTGTGCGATCCAGAAAGCCCATTGAGCGAGATAGTAGAACTTCGACAAACCGCAGATCTCGCGAAACGGCCAGCCTTTCCACATACCATGCAAGTTGAAGAAGTACTCTGAATTCCAGAGAATGTACTGTGCCAAAATCAGCTTCCCATCGACCCAGGCAGAATATTGCTGTCAACGTACCATGCCTAATGACCAGGAGCAGATGCAGTAGCAGACCAGCCAGGCCTGTTCCTGAAATCTGACAAGGCCCTTTTTCGTCCTAATACCTCCTCGCCTAGCTAAAGGAGCCAGGATATAGTCCATAACGGTCACCCGTAACCCTACAAATAGGACGAGCCACAGTGTCACATATGCGAGGTCGTCGGTGCCGCAGCCATATTTTTCGCTTTCGGAGTTGTAGTATGAGAGCTGATAGAATTTTTGTGTATACCGCCGCGCTCGAGGGAAGAAGACGTGCGTGAGGAACAAGAGGGAGATGAGGTTTACCGCTATGCCTGTGCGCAAAAGATTAGACGATTGTTCGTTGTTCCTGTCTAGTCTCGAGTCCAACATACCGATCTGGTGCTCGCATAGCTGCATGCACAGGTACGTGAAAAGCCCGTCATTCTCAGTCCGCGGCTTTGCTCTCTTATAAGGTTTGTGTGTGCCATTGAAGCCGTTCACTTGCTCGTTCTTGGTCCGAGCAATCTCTGCGGCTTTCCCCAGGCCGGCTGTATCTGAGCTGCGACAACTGATCATACTGTGTAGGGCACCAAAGTGCGTGAGGAGAATCGACCGAGCGCGGGGAAGAGTAGGGTATGGGGTAGTGGTTCACTTGACGCTGAACTTCAAGCGGCTGCAGTAAAGCGTCGCAAACAGAAGCTCGATTCTCGTGAATGGAGACCTTTGCTCTGCTCAAGCTGGTTGCAGGTGCCTCGAACCACGGCGATGGCACGGCGGTTGCTGGATCCACGCGTGTCTGGTAACGAGCGTTGGTTCGTTCTTCTTCCTAAGAATGAGCGAACATCGGCGACGGTATGAGCAAGCGAGGCGAGGAGCGCAGCGTGCGGTGACACGATTTAGCGGACGGGTGAGCGACCGTTTAGGCGGGGATGTGCGTTTCGAATGGGGAGACAAGCGGTGAAATTCGGGGCAAGAGTGCGCGGATCGCACCTCCTTTTCCGGTCGTTTTCGCACGCTGCGTAGATGGCCTGCGATTTATATGCGATTTTCAACCCTCAGCTTGCGGCGTTGGAGGCAATTGGTTTTGAACAGGGCGTGTCCACGGTTCGGGAAGGTCACAGTCGCGTCAACGGGCCCCCGCAAATATCGACGGCGTGGTTTCGCGCTTGGGTGCGCGAGCGACAGGTTTCAGACGAAGACGCAACGCAGGTGAAGAGGGAGGCAGCAAACAATGGGACTGACAAAACGGCGAACGACGACAGGAGAACAGACAGACTTCGCCCTGTGCCCCAGCGGAGCTTCTTCTGGGCGGAGCTGGTAGTGGCCTGAGCGCAATTTGACCTCGTCGACTGCTGTTTCGTTTCTCGCCAAAGGAGAAGGGCCCACCTGCAGCCAAGCCGCCTGCGGGCCAGGGTCCACCGCCCATCGTCGCCTGAAGCCAATGAGTCCCGCCATGTGCTAAGCCGTCCGAGGATTGCCCCGCCATCTGTGTGCGCGAGCTGCAGTGCATCCATGAACTTCACGCGGACATGCAGTGGACGGTACAACGACGTAATGTTTACGATGCCATGTACTATTGTAAAGCGTGATGCGGAAATCCCAAACTATACGCAAACGAGGCTCACCAGCACATACCGCAAATTGTAGAACCGAAGCATCCAATCGTGTCCAAACGCCGCGTGTACACCCATGTCTGCCTGCCAGCAAGGTCCGGCACCCATCAGATCACCCTAGTTGTTGTTCTGCGAGTTGAGGATCCTCAGAATAGCGAGGAAGAGGTTGATGATGTCGAGGTAAAGGGAGATGGCGGCCGCAATCTCCTCCTCCACGTGGTAGTGGCGCATGATGAGTTGCGTGTCGACAAGGATGTAGCCTGAGAAGATCAGGGCTGCAACGACGCCGTAGCCAAGCTCCATAGTGGACGTCTTGGGGAAAAAGGCGGACATGAAGCCGAAGAGGATCAGCACCCACAGCGCGCCGAACAGGTAGGGGATCCAGCTTGTGAAGTCGTACTTGGTCTGGCATGCGAACAGACTCAGCGCCACGAAGATACCCAGTGTGAAGATGACCGCCTGAAGCACGATGTGGTTGTCTGTGAAGGCTATCACCACGCTGATCGAGTATGCTTCCATGAGAGTGAAACCGGCGAGGAACAACAGGTTCGTGGGGTACGACTTGCGTTTCCAGAAGGTGAGGCCGAGGAATACGAAGGCTCCGATCAGAGACACCCACATGGGCCACTGATTCTGCTTGATGAAGTTCTGGTACGATTCCGACATCATCGACAGTCCTCCGAGGACAGCCGTGCCGAGAAGCTGAACAGTCCTATGTTACAGTCAGCCTTCGTACTGCGCGCTCCGTGAAATGGGTTTCAACTTACAGTATAGCATAGACCTTGCGGATGAAAGCCATGCGAATATCCAGCGTCGCCTCCGCGACCACGCCTCCAAACTTGAAGTCATCGGGCAAGTTGTCGTTCTCGCTCCTGGGTACGCCAGATATGAGAGCTTCGCGCGTCGGGTCTGATTCTTGGTAGCTCGGTGGCGCCTGCGCAAACGAGGGCTCCTCGAGCGAGTCTCGCTGCGGAACGTTCGTGTATTTCGGACCGGCCATGTCGGATGCTCTCGCGATGATGGTATAGCGATAGCGGTCAATAGGAAGCGCAGTTGACGTAGGAATCTAAGGGCGTTGCGGCGAGAGAGCTGGGTGGGCTGTGTCCCGTGAATAAGGCAGGCGTCACTTCCACGCCAAGCCTCAGTGACATAATCGCGTGGTTCTCGCGGTTTCCATTCACACCACCTTCCATGAACATCTCGGCGCATCCCATGTCGTGCGTGTATTCATACTCAATGAAGAAGCGGTCACCACGTGCAACATCTATAGACGCGTCTGATACAAATCGTATACAACGCTGACAAAGCATTATTCCCCTTCACAGTCTGACAAGAGCGCAGTATCCTCCAAGCATGCGGCGCCCGAACCAGGACACCGCACTCTACAACGGCCTCCTCACACCTCTTCAAGCAGAAGTGGCCGCGACCTCTCTGTCTACCTGGCTTCAGTGCTACATTATGTGCTAAACATAATTTAATTTAATGCCAGCACATAATCCCCAATTCACTCAGGTATTTCGACCGATTCATCCCCAAGTTTCACACAAGCTTGTACGTGAGCATTTCGCAACAGGATGGATATTATTCATCATCACTGTCTTCCTCACCCCTCATCATCCTCCACCACCGACTCTGCTCCTCAAGCCCAGAGCCATCAACCAAAAGTTTCCACTTCTTATAAAACCACCTCGAGCATTCCCAATTGCGCTTGTCCCTCACAAGCGACGCAGCACGACCAGTTGAACCATGCCCAACGCCCCATACCATCAGCCCTTCATTCTCCATATCGCTCTTCAACTCCTTCTCATCGAAAGCTGGCGGATCCGTTGTCAGAAGCATGATGGCCCTATCGCGGAAAATGGGAAAAGGTACTACATCCAGATACATTCCGTGAGCATGCGATCGCTGCAGGGGCGTCGGTGATAGGTCTGTTATGATGGTTGAGGACATTATGAAGCAGGGTTTGCGGCGGACGGGACGCTGGACGGCGAAATCGTAAGAAGAAGTGGCGAGTGGAGTGAAGGATGAAGGGTCCGTGAAGGGCTCTTGCGATACGAGGATGGAGAACTGTGTGTGCCAGTACCAGGGCGAGATGTCGTCTTCTTTCTGGGCGAGGAAGACAGGGAGGCCGAGGTAGAGAGCGTTCTGGATGCGGGCGGCGTAGAAGCTAAGTTTCTGGACGGTGAGGTGGTTTGTGTAGGGAGAGGGCAAGGATAGTCCGGAGGGGGTGGAATTGCTGTGAGCGAGGTGAGCAGGGTGTGGTTGCGCCCATGGAGGAGAACTTAGCCGCGATAGGATTGTGCTAGTCGCTGAAGCAGTATGTTCTCGTTCACTGGTAAGAGCATTTGACTCTGAGATGGTTGTGCCAGTGCTCCAAGGGGTGTGCTCTTCTGCCCTGGGAGAAAAATCCAACAGAAGCATGTCCGATAGAAGTATGGGTTCCGCAGATATGCTCTCCTCAATAGGCTGAAAGAGGGAATCGGGGAAATTGGAGTTGCATGACACTTGTTGCCCACCGGATGCTTGTGGTGCAGCTAGCAAGCCTCCGATATTCTGTATGTCGTCGCCAAGCTCAACTGGACCACGGACGACTTTCCTCCGTTCTCCTGCAAGCAAGGTCAGCCACACTAATACCATACATGTGTGGTACGTGACATACGGTATCTGCGCTGCGCTTCGCGATTTTGCCTGCGCCTGTCTTCGGTGAGCTTTCGCTTTCGTAGACATGTTGTAGAACGCCGGGTTATAGCTTCTCCGGACGCTGTTTGAGTGTTCATCATGGTAAACGTTGCTTTGAAACCTCCTCTTGATGTTGCGCTGGAAGTGTTTCTTCGCTTTTCTGGGACAAGGCGAGAGGGAGAAAGGTAAGCGTAAGCCATTCGCGTTAGCAGTAAGCCCACAGATACGCTAGCTGTCTAGAGCATAGCTCAGCATCCTTCAGACCCGCCCTTGAATGTGAACGGGACCGATCACTACAATAACCCTGGGCTTTGTATGGTCTGCGTTCGCAAGGTACGTCTCGGGGCAGATTTCCGCATAAACAGCCGCTTGGCCCTACCGTAGCATGCGTTAGTGACTCGTAATTGTCTTCTTGTTTGGTTTACGCTACGAACGTCTGAACTTCCCCAATCACGTTCAGCGTCTATCAAGAAAGCTGAGGATACGTACTAAGTAAGACAGCCTTCCAAATTGAAGCGATGAAATGAATACCTTCTACTGCTGTAGGCAGCTTTGAGGCCGCCCAACGGGGCTTCGGAAGGAAGTGAAGCTTAACGTAAGCCTCGCATGGCTTAATGCGGGTTCTATATGGCTTAGTGAAAGTGAACAGATAGTGGCCCATCTGGGTACAGTATAAAAGGTGTGAAGGTTCCCTTGGGAATTGTGCAGCTCACGCGTTACCGTCAATTCATCGGTCCACCTGTTTTCACCCTCGTCCTTCAACATGCCCATGCCGTCTAACGACTACCCTGTCTTTACGAAGACTTTCCACTCTTCTGTTTATGGAAAAATCAATCCGGAAAACGCTGCTCTTTCTGCCAGCGGCAAAGTTGTCCTCGTCACTGGTGGCGGACGAGGCATCGGAAAGGCTATTGTTATTGCTTTCGCCAGAGCCGGAGCTCGCGCTATCGTTATCATGGGACGTAACGCAGCTACTCTTCAGGCTGCGGAGACAGAGGTCTCAGGCATTGCCCAGGCCACGGGTCACTCGACAGTTGTACGCAGCTTCACAGCCGACGTCGCCGATACTGAAGCCGTCCTCGGTGTCTTCAAAGCTGTCAGTGATGAGTTTAAGCATGTCGACATCGTCGTCAACAATGCGGCAGGCCTACATCTAGCCACTCTCGAGGCCACCAGCATTGATGACTACTGGAAGACGTTTGAGATCAATGTCAAGGGCACTTTGAATGTAATGCAAGCTTCGCTCAAACTCGGGTTCGACCGCGACGGAGCCTCTCCAGCGACATTCATCAACGTCTCCACTGTCGGACTGATGATGCCCACTTTCCCGACATGGTCAAACTACGCTGCAACCAAGCTCGCAGGCTTCAGCATGACGCAGTACCTCGCAGCCGAATCAGGCGGCAAAGTTCGCGCCTTCTCAATTCATCCAGGCAGAGTTGGGACGGATATGGCGAAGGATAACAACATTCCGACTTTTGAGGAGCCAGGTGCGTTCGTATCCCTTTCGAGGCAAGATATTGCTGCTAATTGTGATCAGAATTGCCGGGAGCGTTCTGCGTGTGGCTCGCTGCTACGAAGGAAGCAGACTTCCTGCAAGACCGTTTGATAGCATGCAATTGGGATGTCGATGAGCTGTTACAAATGCGCGAGGAAATCGAAGAGAAGGGACTGTTGAAGATGACGTTCGCTGGATTGCATATGTAGACCGTAAGCAATGTACGCCGCCAAGTATGCATCTGCATTCCGCATGTCAATGAGTCAGCGCAGATGTACGAGTGAATAGAAGCGGATCCACTGCTGTAGATGACGATCGCGGGGCTGCGCACTAAGTAAACTCGCTACGCCGTATATAGTCAGTGCTAGTACTGAATAGGGTGAGCGCTCGGGATGAAATGCCATAGCGATCTGGGCCAACGTCGTCTTGCCCCTCAATTATAACATACTACAACCCTGCATCACGAAGGCATGCAACGACTATAAGTCTGACAGCTCTTTCTCAAAGATCGAACAGAAGGTTATTTAGATTCTTACCTGCCTCCGAGATACCGATTTCATCGATTGCAACTAGCCAACACATACAATGTCCAGCCTTCCAAACAAGCCGCACGCTTTCAATCCGCCAGGTGTTCCTGAGCCCCCACCCACCTACTCACAAGTCTCCGTCACACCCCTGATACCCACCTCGAAGCTCATCACGCTTGCTGGGCAGGTCGGTCTCGATGGCAAGACGCACGAGGTCGCGGAAGGCTTCGATGATCAAGTCAAGCTCGCCTATCACAACATCTTGAATGCCTTGAAAGCAGCGGGTGCGACTCCTCGCGATATCATCCACGTGAAGCACTTTATCGTTAAAGACACTGGTCGTGTCGGAGTTGAGAGCGAAGATGAATTGACCCGTGTGTGGGGCCATCATTGTAAGCAACCCCTAGGGCGTAGGCTCTTGATGCTACCACACCCTTCTCGTCCTTCCGTATACGACCTGTTATTGACATTCACTCTTTATATAGGGATTGAATTTATGGATAAGGAAGGCGAGGGACATCGTCCTCCGGACACGGTGCTGGGTGTTGTAGCCTTAGCGACGAAAGACCTGTTATACGAATGCGAGGTATGGGCGATTGTACATGACTAGAAGACTAATCCGAATCAACTGAAGCCTCTATCTAACCATGCCGAGATGGTTTGGTTCAATTTTCGGATGACAAAACAGAGTACTTTTCCAGAGTTTCTTTTGACCACGTTTGAACACGACCAACAGCACTCAGTCACGAACTTCTGATTTTAACTTTGGACACTGCCAGCGCTGTTCAACGGGTCAGAATACATATCTCGCTAATTTGTAGCAAATTCTTTACCAAGAGCTCAAGGCATTCCACACCCATACCGTGCTAGAGCGCCTTAAAAAGCGTGCGCAAACAATGTTTGCGTATTGCAATCACGCGTGTTGAAATACGTTCACCTTTGCCATTCACTCGTAATTTTTATTGTACACGTAAATCATGAGCCGTCGAAGACTGTCACCGTTGTAGAGTTTACTGGCTTGTGTATCATGGCAAGAAGGACATTGCGGGAGCTGCTGTGCATTCGCCACGACGGCGCTAATCGAATCTGTAAGTTGAGCTTGAGTTGCACCAACAGTGCACCGCATCTAGCATGGCACGTGGAGCAAGCGCAGCCAAGCCGATCTGTTCGTGAGCTCTGAAGCGAGTTGTAAACAAGGCTGGTGGCCAGACTTAGCTTTGGACTCGTTTCAGCAAACTAGGCCGGATTGGCCGACTATTAATGCAACATCTCTACGATGATGACCGACAACTGCTCGGATGTGGCGATCGCACCGGCAGTACCTACACGACACTGAAGAGTGTCTCAGACCAGAAATGGGGCTTAAGATTGACAGTAACACTTCTCATGGGTTTGCGCTATTCTTCGGTGCCCGGTGGTTCTTCAACCAGGAATATTACCCACCAGAGTGCCATTCTTGCTTTGCCAATTCATACGCATTTGTTACTTCCACTCAACTACTTCATTTCTGTTCTCCAATTCCGCAGAATGGCGCAAGATCCTAACAGTCGTAAGGCGCACTCCGTGAAGATAAGTCCCGGGCATTGTCTAGGCCCATCACCAAATGGCAGGTATTCCCACCCCGGCCTCACTCTTTCCCATCTCTCCGGTAGGAACTCCTGTGCGTCTGGACCCCAAAATTCAGGATCGCGCATCATTGTACGATAATCGCCCTCAATCACGTCGCCCTTTCGGCAGAAGAGCAGTTCGTTGCCTTGGACGTTCACCAGTAGGAAGGATAACATCCTAAGATACGATGAAATCAATCATGTATATCAGGGAAACTTATTAGATGAGATGGGAGGCTCACTCGAGACAGATACGTTGGTTCCATTGACAATAGGCGTCAGGCGATGAACTATACCGGATCAGTGTCTGCCGTCACAAAGGTAAAGGGAGACCTACTCTCACGAAAGACATTTTGCAGGTATGAATACGAATCAAGCAACTCGTAAGTTATCGGCTGATCCGCGTGACCTATGACGTCTTTGCGAAGTTTGTTCCAAACTCGTGGGTGTCTTGCCAGGTGAAAGAGGATATTGCTCAGCGCAACTGTAGCGCTATTTTGGGCAGGACTGAACACACTCAGAATCAGTGATTGAAGAGTATACCAATCTATCGTAAGTTTCGCTGCTTCGTCGAGGAGTCGTAGGTGATGTCGCTCAGTGCGACGTTCTTGTCCCTTGTCCAATCTTTCCAGCGCTTCCACCACACGCTGGTTACAGAAGTTGGTCACTGTTCTGCATGCAGCGTACCACTTTGCAATCGCGATGGAGAATCTTAATCGTCTCAGCAGCATCCTGAAACCCGTTCCGCGTTTGTGCATACTCGAAGGCATCCACGACGGATACGTCCGCATCGTCCAGTGCTTTGAGCGGTTTACCAAATATGAACTCACTCGATGTGTCCAGGATCTACTCGGCTGTCAGCGACACAACGATCTAGCAATAATTGGCAAACTACTCGCCAAGCGCTTGAACAGCGGCATCAAGTCTACAGTTGTCCCATCACGTGTTAACAACCCCATGAACCTTTGGACATGGTAATTCAACCGCTCTATATTCGCGGTATGAACAACGTCAGGCCTACTCCGGATAGAGCTGCGCAGCTGCCCATCTCTCCCCATCAGCAACAATAATTTCGTTGCCCTACAGATTTTCGCCAAGGTGATAACGGAGCAGTTCTATACCGAAACATTTAAAGTAAATGCACTGGTATTGTTTCACGACCTCATTGATGGTGTCGTAGGTAGCAGTCCCGAATGATTGGCTCCTCCGTGTTTTGCTTTTGAGAGACCTGGAGAGGCTGCTGTTGCTCTCGGGGTATTTACCTGAGGTTAGAGCTCGCATTTTATTGATGAACAAGCCAATTCTACTATCGGATCGAGGTGATAATAGCTGTGTGGGTTTCTGTAGCCTCTCTGATGCTTGCGAATAGCGTGCTGGATGTAATCGACGATCTTCGCACCAATGAGGCAGGTGAATGGCCCCAGGAGCATCTGGATCAATGAATTCAACATGTTCCTAGTAACTTCGGGAACAGAAAATTGTTGTGAGCAATAGTGTGAATTAGAGGTTTATTTGAACTGTAGTGCAGAGCTGCGCCGTCGACCCGTGCCGCAGAGCTACAGCCTAAACAAGCGACCCCGGCGGAAGAGACAAGGAAAGCACGTCAAGAAAGGAACTAAACATTATATTATATCATGATTTAGTATGAGACATTGATTATATATATACGTGGCGACGTTGCAGCCGTTGATAAAGCGGATCAAATCAATCAAGCGCTGGTAGAGTTTGTGCCGTTGAGCGCGCTGAGGATAACATCAGCTGCCTTCTCAGCGACGATGTAGGTAGAGACAGCAGTGAAAGTTCCAGGGATCTTAGGGAACACACTGGCGTCAACAACTCGAAGACCCGCGGTGCCGCGGACCCTGAAGCTGCTGTCAAGAACTGCATTCTTGTCGTCATCAGCACCGATGGGACACGTAGAGGAGGCGTGATGGCCCCACACGGTGTCCTTGATGTAGTCGGCGATAGCCTCGTCGCTAGTCACGTTGGCACCAGGCAGAGTCTCGGTCATGTTGACTGCCTGGGCTGCAAAGGACTTGCGGGCAAGGCTGATGGCTTCGGTAATAGCGGTGATGTCCTTCTCGTAATCACCGTTACCAGTGTCGAAATAGTTGTAGGTGATCTTGGGAACATCTAGCGGGTCGGCAGACTGCAGGGTAACAGTTCCGGCGGTGTTGCGTGGGTGCGACTTGAGGATAGCCCAGGTGAACCAGTCGTGGTCGTGGGTGGCATTGTAAGCATAACCGGGAAAGTAACCGCGGAAGTTGACAGGACCGCCGAAGATGAAAGTATCCCACTCGTCATTCTCAGCTTGGCTGCTCTTGAATAACATGGTAGCGCCGAGACCGGGAGAGGCATAGGTGCCACGCTTCTCCACAGCATTGGGGTTGTTCCACTTCTCGAGGCACTCGTCATTCTCAGACGCGTCGAAGGTACATCCGTCAAAAGCAGTGAAGTTGCTAGGAGCCTTACCCTGGACGTTTGTCTCGTAGTGGTCCTGAAGGTTGGTGCCGACACCAGGAAGGTCTGAGATGACAGAGATGTTGAATTGCTTAAGCTCATCCGCAGGTCCAACACCGCTAAGTTTGAGCAGCTGAGGGGAGTTGTAGGTGCCTCCCGCAATAATGACTTCGCGAGAAGCGGAAGCTGAACCAGGGGTACCAGTAGCACCCTTGGACTTCGGGCTTGCCTTGTACAGGTACTGACCATCAAGGAACTCAACACCAGTTGCGCGAGGAGGAGTAACAGACTCGTCAAAAGTAACCTTGGTGACATGGCAGTTTAATCTGACATCGAGAGGGTACTTCTTGGTTCCGTTCGAGTCCGTAGCCTCGCTTACTTGAAGGACGAATTCGCGGGCGCCGTTACGCTTTCCATCGGCGGTCGAGATAGGAATTTGGTACAGAGACGAAGACTGGTCGCGCGCGAGGGTGTTGGCGTTCGCATCACCAGCAATGAGGGTGGCAAGGTCAATAACGGAGCCAATGAGACCTCCGAGTGCAGCAGCCGCACCAGTGATAAGGCTCAAGAGCTTTGAGTCCTCTGTAACGATTGTGATGGGTGCATACTCTATCGAGAGCCAGCCGTCAAAGCCGTGGCCCTGGCCTGCATCTACTGCAAGGTAGTTGTTGTCCTCCAGCTTCTCGAAGTACTTGCGCACGTTATCAGGTGCCCACGAGTCATCTCCAGTGATGTCGGCAATGTACTGGAAGTCGGACTGATGGGGATACACAGCAATAAGGGCATTGTGTGCGGTGCAACCTCCCAGGCTGCCAACACGCGGGTAGAGGGTACCCTTCAACTTTGAGCCCGCCGGTGGTGACAGGCCCGTGTACTCGCCACCATCGGGCGTCTCATACGATGTCTTGAAGTCGCGGGCTTGCCTCTCATCATCGGCATAATGATGGACGTAGAAGTTCCAGGCTAGGGCGGGGTCTTCGGAGACGCGAGCGTTGTATGCGGGGACGGTATAGTTGATGTTGGCGCCCTGGTCATCACCGGCTTCAATGAGTAGGGTTTTGTGACCCGCAAGCGCAAGGCGAGCCGCAAGGGGACCTCCTCCCGCGCCGGAACCGACTACGACATACTCGTAGCCGGTGAGATCTTCAGCGACTGCAAACGATACGAGTGTCGCAGCCGAAGCGAAAAGATGCTTGAAAAGCATGATGAATGAATGGACAGGCTCTACAGTTGGTCAGTGGGCGCAGGAAAGCAGCTTGTATTGAGACATACAACTGCTTTGAGAATGAGTGACTGAAGGTTGGTCTTGCAGAAGCCTGGCCGCGTAGCTTTGGCATCACAGCTCTCTTTATATGAGCATGTCGCTTTAGTTGCACTACTCTACCGACACCCCCCTTTCACTAGTACTTCTCATCATCAGAACGTCTCCTCATTTAGGTCTTGTCAGTCACTGCATTAGATCCATACCTATGCCGATATGGGCGACGCATACTCGGAGCTCATGCCGAGCTTGGTTGGCGATCGACCCAACCCTGGAAGTCTGTGTGCAGTACCCATGCGCGGATGCATAGTCAGTCCTTCCCGCAGGGGTCGCACTATGAAAGACCACTTGCGGGCTTTGCGGCCCTCGCCGCGCACCCGCATTCCTGGGGTCTTTGCCTGTTGAAGAAACGTCGAAGCGCAACTCCCGTACCATGGATGCTACGCGCATCATTGAATCCTTCCGTGGAAAATGCGATCCTGCAGATATCGCATTCAAGAACACGCATGCCTCCGCTTCGCCAACGTCCTCAAGATCAACACTTTGAGGGTCGTAGCATGGACGTCACAGGTGGTCGAGACTGTGTGTTGTCCAGGCCCCATAAACTACCTCGGCAGACAAGGGTGGTCGGCGCAATTTTGATTCAGGGTCGGGAGAGCGTGCGGTCAAGCGACCATCCTGTTCAACATCCAAATCCCGGAATGGTGGCCGATTGCATGCAGGCGCATGGATTCTTCCAATCGTTCGGCGTGGCGAAGTTCGTCCGGTAACGCCTACGGCCAGGTCTGGGGAAGGCGGTGCGAGCTTAGTGGCAGTTGAAGCCACGCGACGTTGTGATAGAGGGCTAATCTCCGACGTTGCGTACTCTGCGCTCAGGGCTCCGAGGCGATTGCGTCCTCCTGAACGAGAGGAGAAAAGATCTCAAAGGAGGCGGAAACACAGGCAATGCCGCCGGGCAGATCCGGCCAAATGGTCTGCGAGAATCTGCTCCAGCAGTTGCTTGAAGCCATCGCCGACCAGTTCGAGAGAGTGGCGAGTTCTGTCTACTCGTGTTGAGACGGTCCGATTACCATGCTCTTGGAAGCCATTCATTTCATCCTGTGACAATTTGTCTTGCGTGCGGCTCCTTCGGCAGCAGCACATGCATCGCGTAGCTCGCCATTTCAACGTGAATCTGTCGAACAAGGCCTTGCTCGGCAAGCCTGCAGACCCGGACGATCTATATCTAGCTCACACCTATGAGGCTGCGGCTGACGCTGCAGTCTGACGATGCGGCAAAGCTTCGTTGGGATGTTCTTGGTGGCCCACAGGGCTCGAAATGAAGATGCGCAGTTCTCCGGACGCAGGAGCCAAGACTATCGCGCGGAAGGAGGCTGACGTGGTAGCTTCGCAGAATGAGATTCAGACGGGAGAGTTTGGATTTGGTATCGGATGTACACAGTAAAGTTGGCGTGGTCTACGAAGTATCATGCAGGTGGATTCCAGGAGTTCTGGCCATACGACAACCCTCCGCGGCCACGTCCCATGCCCGCGCCTAAACCCTATCAGAACAGCTTAGATCAAGGCACCAGTATGCTTTCGCAATTGATAGGCACAACGTCGCTAACCGTTGCAAACATCTAACCCGACTTACACATTGTCTACTCGCCCTATGGCGTCAATTTGGTGTTTAATGAAACAACACTACTTTTGACTGGGACATCTCGGAAACGCGCATGCACAGGTGGTAGGCTCAAGATTGTGATACGTACAACAGTGTGTTTCTTATTCTGTTTGGTCTGCATAATATGTTCACGAAGAACAAGTGGGTTTTGAATGCAAGGTCGAGAGTTGCTTGCTTGACGACGATCAGTGTCTCGTGCCGCTCTTGCGCCGAATTTATTCCACTTGCCCACACGTAACCTACTCATTCTTCGGCTATCAACAGGTTGAGCCCAATCAAAACCATCCGAGTGGTGCGGTGACGACAATCAGAGCAACAAGATCACAATCTCTCGGACGTGTCTAGCATTGTTGAGATTGAGGTCCTTGTGCGAGAACCCAGACGATGGATCGAGAATTTACAGAACGCCGAGACAGGTAGCACTACGAGTATTGGATTCAAGAGAAGACTAAAGATGGTGCAGTCCTTTCATTTATGGTAGGAGCTTCCAAATTCATGAGGGGCGTTTCATGTGGCCTTTGGAGGAGGTGGGTCTTTGGCTCCAGGTATCATTTCAAGCTGCAGAACGACAAAAACATCGAGTTCTAGAGCAAAATGCAGCCAGGCCACTCTTGGAAGTCGGCAGAGCCTGTTGGTGTTACCATTGCTTCGTTGTGGGCTTATAATACGGCGTGGCAGATTGACTATGGCGTTGTCCTTCTCCTTCTGGGACCGCAAATCGTATCTCAGCCTTCGTCTTCCTTCTAGTATGTAATGTTATGTTATGCATCTTGCCTTCACCCATATCATTGTGCAATGACCCAACCAGTCATCTTCGAAATATTACAGTGGAACATCACAGGAAGCAAATGCGTGGCAAGCAAGTGAGGCTTTGAACGTCCTTATTGTTGGATCAATTGAAGTGATCCGAGATGGCTATTCGATTCCATCAGACTAAACCAAACATGTAAATTCCTACCCGTATTTTCTAGCGCAAGCCGTAATCTGATAGCAGTGAAGCCCACCTAAGGTCCCTCAAGATAATCAAATGCATGTACAAAACAAAAGTCAGCTGGAAGGGACTCAAACCATGCAGATGCCCCAATCCTAACCAGTATAAGGCACCGGGAGCAAGATCATGTCCACCTGAACCTTCCGACCCTGCCTAGAGAAGCCTTCCTTGAAATAATCCTGCAAGTCCTTGAGAGGAGTCAAGACACTGCCAACCTTCACAAAGTGACCAACAAGCTCGGAATTAATCAGTATTAACTCCAACACCGAAAGTACCTTCAACTCGAACACATCCTCCAACTTGTAGTGCGCAATGACCTCGGAAGCTCGCATCACCCGAAGTTCCTTGCTCTTTTCCAATAGGCCCTGATTCTCGAGGGCGATCCGATCCTTTTCCTTCCAGACAGAAGTCGTCAGGCCAGCAGTGTGGAAGGTGAGTGAGAGCTTCTCAAGGTGGATGAGGCCGTTGCAGACGTCGATGTAGGGATTGGAGGTGCGGTTGTCGCGGATGCCGGCGAATTGGTAGAAGTACGGGAAGGAAATGGAGGTGATAGCCTTCCAGAGGTTGGGAAGTTCGGTGCAGGCGAGGAGACGACGGAAGTACTCGACATCGGGGAGGCAAGAGAGGACGAAGGTGAGAAGCGAGATTTGCCTCAGAATCGTGTTGCGCCAGAATGGAGGGTTGGAGATGGCGACGGTGGGGTCGGGGATGAAGGAGGGATGGTGGAGGGGAGCGATGTCCTGGTTGACGCGGTCACGCTCCTGGGAGATATTGACCTTGGAAGTGGACATGTTGAGGATTCTCAAGTCAGGTTCAGTACTTGTACAGGTCAGCACCATCCGAAATCAAATGGAAACTGGGTTACAACCCTAGAGATGGATCCCATTCAGCTGGAGTGGACTTGGAGGTGTTACCGAGTTAAAAGTTGAGAGAGGATGCGGAAGCCTAGGTGAAGGTGGATAGAGCTGGAGAAGTGGAGCAGAGTTGTGAAGATGATGATCTGACATTGGGTAGACAGCAATGAGGTTTATATAGACAGGACCCAGCAGTCACTTGAAGGGGGTGCCTGCTCAACGGCAAACGCAAACTCCCTCAGCAAACAAACGCGCCATGTGGGCGAAGGTCAATTTCGAAATCATTCGTAATAGGAACAATAATCATTCTATTCAGATCGCCGAATCTTTCGCCATGTACATGCTCATGCTATCTACACCTGACCATCTATCAGGTCAAACACCACTCAATGCAAACGCAAGGAAAATGATACAATGTGGGGTACCTCGAAGGGAAGTAAAGAACAATCGTACAAGACAGTCAAATGTTAGTGCCGCCAGCCCAGATGGCTCGCACAAAGGCAATGAGGCTGATGGTCGCGAGCCAAGGATGACCGCACCGGGCAAACGACCTCAGACCGCATTGTTGCTCTGACCGCGCTGGAGCCTCACGGTCCAAGCACCTAGCTGCTTCGAGTCGTTGAACGGCAACAACTTGAAGACTTCCTTGATGTTATCAGCCTTGGTAGTGAAGCCCTGAGCGATCCAATCCTGTAAATCCCAGAAGGTAGCCATCGTGCGTGGGGTGCAGCGGACGGGGCCATCACGATGCCATTCGCAGATCATGGTGAGCTTCCGAAGGCGGGGTAGGTCAAACAGAAGGTCAAGCTCGTAATTTGCGGCGACCTGTTCCGGCGTCTTGACACCAGGCGTGCCGTTGAGGAAGGCGAGCTGCCGGTATGCGGCACCGTGTTCGGGCATGTGGAGCAAGTCGAGCTTGATCTGAAGCGTGAGCTGCTCGACGTTGCGGCATCGGGCTATACAGTCGAATAGTTCGCGCGTGCGGGCCGGCGACGTAGCGAGATCTGCGAACCTGGTGAACTCCATGCATTTCACACTGTTCCAACCTTTCTGGCCTGGGAGTTGCTCTAGTACGTCCTCGAGGTAATAAAGGTCAGCAAGCACGCTTATCTCCATAGTACGGTCTTGGAGAAAGACTGTCGCGATCTCGTTGTACACGCCGCGATTTGTGTAGGCCAGGCCAGGAAGTAGCTTGAGGTATGGTTTCCGGTCAGGCACCGCGGTCAGGTTGTGCAGACGGTTTTCTCGCAACGCCAATGTAGTAGGACAATCCGCGAACAGCAGGTGGTATACGTAGTTTCTAAGTTCACCAGGGAGGCCCTCGAAGTTAGCAATTGGGTTCAATGGCTGCGCGGTCGGAGCTGCTGACGTTGGCGGTGCCGAGTTCGTGCCAACAGATGGCTCGAATATCACACGGCTAGGCACAATGGTAGATTCCGTTTCTCGATGATCGGGACGAGCACGCACAGGATATGTACCCGATCGATCAGACAGCCGACGGGAAGAAGAGCGACCTGTGAACATATGTCAGATCACCAGACCACTCAAGCACGATGCACTTACCGAGCGAGAGGTTGATGTTCTCCATAGTCGTCTTGATGGACTCGCCGCGCAAAAGTTGCTGAAGGTTAGCATGGCTTCGTGTAGTGACCACTGGATTGGTTTTCTGCGATATCAGGGGCAATGTAGTGGAGTCATAATGCTTATCATCGCGAGATGATGGGCCGCCTGGAGCGTTGTAAGGGTCTAGTTCCTGAAACGCCGGCTTGAGCTCTGCATCGCTTCGGTCCCGGAGTTGGTTTTGATTTTCTGAAGGCTCGCCGGTACAGCTGGACTTTGTCGAAGCTTGCATAGCTGTCTGATCTAGCAATGTTAGCACGAGGCTCCCAGGCTCCGAGAAGGACGATGGGCGCATACCTAGAACTTGAGATCGTTGAAGGTTAAGCAAGCGGGAAACAATGGATCGAGAAGTTAATATCAGCGGACTATTCCAAAGGGTGCCACGGGTGCTTATCTTCAAAGCACGGTCAGTCAGTTGCCGAGGTTTATCCCTGCACGACTCGAGGAGCAGTGACGGTGATGGTGAATGTCACTCTCTGAGGTCGGCAGTACTCTCCAGTAACGCTATTCGGGAAAACAAAAGCGCGACTGACTATGTGAAGTTGGAAGACACTAGGATAATTCCGAGCCGAAGCGTGGGGGACGGTAGAGCGTGCCTATCAACGACGCGTGACTGACACGTTGACGCGTGACCGCCTATTCTCCATCCCTCTCTCAGCTCGCACGTGCAGCATTCAAAGGTCAAGCGATCCGGCACAAGCAAAGGTGACTGTGCGACAGCATAGCCACAGCATGTCCCTTGATCTCGGGCGGCGCGCTTCTTTGATGCACCAGCCCAGACCAGTGAAAGCTGAATCGAAAGTCCTGGATAGAAGAATGGCAGAGGGTAAGCAGCCACTGAAGCGATTAGAGATGCTCCAGAGGAGATAGCTCAAGGTTGTGTGACTGCAATTTTCGTTCAACGACCAAAGTACTGATCCCGCGGCAAGAGAAAGAGAACCCCATCGAAAGAACATCTGCGAAGACATCGAGAGATGTCATCAGATCTCCGGTAATTGTACCGTGGTTGAACGATCCAAGGCACCGCCAGAGGCACAACTGCTGCTGGAAGCGTGAAGCTGTGCCCAACGTCATCGGCCATGTCGTAGTAGAAATCAATGCTAGGCGTCGTCCTACTGTAAATGGAGCCGAGAGAGCCCGCGTTTACCAGATCCTATCTCTTGCCATTGTATTACTGCGGTGGTCAGTCAACAGAGGAACGCGCCGATGCGTACGCGTTACACCGGACGTGTTCGCCACGGTGCAGCAAAAATGGGAGTCGTGCTACGTGTGCGCAATCTTGTCAGCGGCCCCCACACCAGGTGCGCCTATCACGCATCGGCATGACCGCTTTCCAGATCCATTCCGACGCCGAAACATGGCGACGCCGCGCATCCTGCAGCTGTTGGCGTGTACAATGGCGCGCTGACGGCGCCCCTCTCCCCTCTCCTTCACTCATGCGTCTTTGTTCCTGTGCGGCCTCGTTGTGCTTTCCTTCCCCAGACCTCGCGCATCATGGCGGCGGCTGAGACGCTCTCTGCGCGCGCCTCGCTCGAGGAAGGAGCGCCCCTCCTATCGGCCACGGAGCCCGCCTCGCGCGAATCCTCACCCGCACCGCTGCCCGAACGGAGCACGAAGAAGAAGCCGTGGAAATTCCTCGTCTTCCTCGTCTTCGTGCTCATTACCATTGTCGACGTAGGCGCCTTCCTCGCCGAGCCGCCCAAAACCCGCGTCTTCGAAGCGAACATCTGTCTGCGATGGTACGAGGAGAATGACCCCTCCAAGGTTGGCAACGATGGCGCCGTGCCCGAGGCGCTGTGCAAGATCGACGAGGTGCAGCAGAAGTTGGCCATGATCTTTGGCTGGCAGGACACATTCGATGCGATACCGGGCCTCCTGTTGGCGATACCTTTTGGTGCTCTCGCCGATAAATGGGGCAGGAAGTGGATTTTCGTCGCGTCCCTGGTTGGACTGCAGCTCAACTCTGCCTGGATACTCTTCATCTGCTACTTCCGTAGCCTGCCGCTGCAGTTGACATGGTTCTCCTCGGCTTTCTATCTCCTTGGCGGTGGGCCTGTTGTAGCGTCAGCTCTCGGCATCACCATGATTTCGGATATCGCTCCGCCAGACCAACGGTACGCCTGGAGTGGTCATTATGAGTCGTGTGTGTCGCTAATGCCTTGTAGAACCAACATCTTTCTGTATCTCACTGCGTCCGTACTGATCGCCGAAATGCTCGCCCCGATCATGGCCTCCAAACTCATGGAAACGGGCATGTGGCTCCCGCTCCTCCTTGCCCTGGCTATACAGCAAGTCGGTGTCACTGTGGGAATTTTCTTCCCCGAAACGCTTCATCTTCGGGATTTACCTGAGCCACGAGATGGCGAGGATGCCAGCATCGAGCTGCAGGCCAAAGACGAAGGACACGGGTTGAAGATACAGCTGAAGCATTTCAAGTCTGCGCTGCTCTTGCTGACGAGCGATGTCCAACTTGCGCTTGTTGTTGCTCTTTTTGTCGTCAACAGACTAGGTAGACAGGCACTGACCTTGCTAATTCGCTATGCTTCGAAGCGCTACAACTGGGAGATCGCAAAGGTATGTACGTGTTGCGTACTGATGGGAATCCTTGGCTAACAATCGGAAAGGCAGCTTATCTATTGTCCTTCCGCGCCGCCACTAATCTTGTTGCCGTGGCAGTCTTCATACCCATTGTCAACATTATCCTCTTGAGATATCTGCGTTTACCTGTTCACTGGGCTGATTTATGGTTGACGCGCGGCTCGCTGCTGATCACAGCTGCAGGGTTTCTTGCAATTGCTCTGGCTTTCGAGCCTGCCATACTCATCTTTGGTCTCCTCGTATTCAACCTTGGGACGGGGTCGAGTGCCGCGATGCGCTCAGTCGCGCTGCATGTTGTTGGCGGTCAGTCAAGTCCTGATGTAGGAAAGCTCATGAGCTTAATCGCTGTCTCTGAGAACATCGGTGTCATGTTGGCCGGTCCACTCCTCAATGAGGCTTTCACAAAAGGCATGGATCTTAAGGGAGCTTGGTTGGGACTTCCATTCTTCGGTGTATTCGTTTTGTACGTTCTGGCCACGATTGTGTCATGCACCGTTAGCGTAAAAGACCGGGATATGGCCTATGTTGAGGTTGCCACGGACGAAGACGAGGCAGACGTTGTCAATGGAAGAAGCTCCGCGCTAGAGGACGGGCCTTCAGTAACACATACAACAGAGCAATAGCCTCGACTATTGATATCTTTCTACACATTCATCTCTAGAGTCACGGTTACCAAGGTGCTTCCTGGGCGATAGTTTCTGGTACTTGCATCGTTGTTGAGGGCTCTGGTGCTCCTGCCCCCATCAATCGTGCATGTAAGGAAGGATCCCAAGGCGGGTACCTTCCACCTTCTCGCCGTAACTCGCAGACACGACAGGTATTGCTAATCGCTCCTAACGACAGAAGTCACGATGAGGATCCGCACCTACGTCGTCTGTCCTGGGCACATCCTGAGTTACCCTGGCCGAGTCTCATGTTTTCTCCACAGCACGTCTTGTCTACAACGCTTTAGTATAGCTTCGCTACGCCAAGTTGCACCGGTTTACCGCACTTTGTTCACGGCGATCAGTCTTATCCCACGCGCAATGCTCAGTCGATCATCCAGCGATGCCGGCACACATCTCCGCCGCTCCAAATCTGTGTCAACGGTCCATCGACACCAGCCATTTGGCCCCGAACTCTTAGATCATCGCATTGCTCAGTACCATGCTGTGGCTGCAGCTACAACTGCCTTCGCCCGAGCTCACGGTCAAGGTGCAGAGGAGCGGTCGAAGAAGCGCAGCTCGGAACTGTCACGTGCCAAAAGTACGTCCAGTCGCAAGTCACTCACTTCAGAAGGCAGTCATTTCCCGCCTAGAGAGTCCAGCGTCCACTCTGCCAACCGTTTGAAAGCAAGTCAAGCTCCGACCACACAGCAGCCTCGAGTTTCGAATGTGATAACGGAAAAGTTTCCAGCCTTCTATCCCACGCCCGGGAGCGACAGACCCTTGTCAGCCCAGCCATCTGTCACCTTCAATGAGAATATTCGACCGAGCTCTCAGCCAAGATCTCATCGACCGAGTGCTGCATCATCCATTACCTCGCAGCAGATACGAAAAGCCCGCTCGATGTATTACGCAAGCAGCGTTCAGACTGGGTCTCCGATCGCTCGTCCACCTTCAAAATACTTGACTACACCTCCTTCCATTAGCGTTAGCAACGCACCAGAACTCTTACCACCAATTTTGCCGGCTCGAAATGCGGTGCCTTCGCCCCTCGCGTCGCCTCAGATATCGGTTCTCGTGGAGCCCGGCGCTACGATCAACAATGCTCGAGACAAGTACCTTCAAGGCTTCCAGCAGCAGCATCGTCAAGTCAAACATCGTCCATCTTTATTCCTCGCGCCGTTCAAGAAGAGGCACGATCGAGCAAAAGCCAAAGAGCGACCTATATCCGCAGGTTTATTGTCGACATCCTCAAGCAGTCGCCAGACGCCGCTCGAGCCGATGATGGAGTCTTTCGATGATTTTGGAATGCCGAAGCAGAAGAAGGAGAAGCGGTCGCTCTCCAACTCGATCAGAGATAAGTTCAAGAAGGTTTTCAGGCGAACGTCAAACAACACGACAACAATGCCCGTTCAGCAGATCGAAGCTAGCCGAGATTACTTCAATTACCAAGCTCCTCCTGCAGCAGTGTCCAGTAAAACCTTCGAGGTGCCGAGTCCCGATGACGAGACGCTGTTGAGGGTGAGGTCACGCGGCTCTTCGCTGGAAAGGATGCCCTCACCCTTGGCACGGCCAGGATCGCGCGGCAGCACCCGAAGCAAGGGGAGTAATCGGAGGTGAGTTGTCATATACTCACTATCAAGCCACGATGTACTCATGGCATGTATGTATAGCCTCCACAGCGAAACGAACGCTACACACCTCTCGTCGCGTGTCACGAGTTGGAGCGATTCTTCGGCAGGCAATACGCTCACACAGCGTGACATCAAACGCCTCACTGTGATCCACGAGTCGAAAGATAGCATTAGTAGCAATGCGGAGCGAAGTATATCGTCCGTCTCCATTCGCAGGAAGACAGTCCCTCTTCCTAGCTTTACAACGTTTAAGGACCCAATGCCGATGGAAAGTCTACTGGAAGAGACGTCTACGCCGGTGGATCCGAAGCGTGTATTTTCGGCATTGATGAAAGAGATAGACTCCACGAAAGCGCGAAGTGCCCAACCAGGTCCGTCCGATGTTTCGCCTGGCGCAGAAAGCGATGTCTTTGAATCCAGCACAACAAAGGAGCTGCATGCGATGGCCTCCCGTGAACTCCAGTCGAGTGCAAGCAGAGAGTGTCGTACGAGTACGAGCAGCGACCAACGACCCGTATCGCGTCGCCGACCCAACACGTCACAGAGCAAAACAAGCTCTATCAGATCGCTGGGCAGATCACTTAAATCGACAATACGTACAGTGACCCCGATTGAGCATAAATCAACGCCAGCCCTGGAACAAATGAACGTAAGGACCAGCCCAAGGCCTGGTACTTCTGCCTCCAGCAACAGCAAAAGCTCTCAACAGGACCCTGCCTTTACATTTAACATTCAGAAGAAGCACACACTAACGTAAGTTCCACATTCAAGCTGGAACCTCCATACCGGAGGGACTTGAAACAAGGGACCACGCTAATCTATCGCAGCGGACAACGTACTGCCGAAGACGTACGATTGCAGACGATCGTAACGCCAAGCGCAGGTCAGCTTGAGCAACGTATGGTGCGATCGAGTGAGCGATGGAAGACGCCTCTGGACGAGCATCAACATCATGGGCCACTACATCATCGATCCCATGCGCGGACCATCTCTGCTTCACAGTTTACTGATGTTGCCTTCCATACACCCACCACGGTGGTTGGCATTCCAGCCTTACCAGAATTGGAAGGCGACTCACCGCAAGACACAGAACCCACCGAACCACAAGTGACACCTGTGAACCCCGTGTCAAGGTCGCCTCGCACGAATCCTGTCTTCTCACCGTTGTCGCCCAGTATCTACTCGCGCAACACCGACGGTATCAGCATTCTCCCCAACGATAGCGTTATGTCCTTCGACGGCACCCATGACCGCCAGACTAACGACGACTCTGGCTCAGCTGTTATCATTACAAGCCATGCTGTGAAGAGCTATGTGATCGGCACGCCGTCACCGCGACACAATACGGAATCAGTAAGATCAAGCAAAGATTGGAAAGCATGGCTATCCCGCGAGGTTTCGGAATTGGGTAGCTCTCTTGAAGGAGATATCACGATTAATGACGGATACACTCCTACAACCCGAAATAACTCATCAACGAGTCGGCATCATCGTGAGCTTACCCAGATTGAAGATGATAGGACTACTATAGTAGCAAGGGCGTCCACGGACACACGGATCCTTTTACCGTTGTCACCAACATCGAGCGAAGCAAAAGATGAATGTGCGGACATAGATCAAAAGCTATCAAGTTTCTCGTATGAGGAACCCTCGTGCGATGCCAATGTCACTCGAAAGGATGAGGTCGTTCCTGCTTCAGACACGAAATCTGAGAAGCGCGCGATGTCTCCACTGGTTCGGACTCCTGCTATCCGTAAGGACAGACACTCTTCAGCTCACAGCCATCGCTCTGCAAAGTCGCGCTCCTCGGTCAGCACCCCAAAATCTTCAACAATGAACGACCGCTTCCCTTTCATTGACACTGGGCGACGCACAAGTATCAACAGTGCACGCTTCAGTCGCTCATCGCGATCCGCTACGGATAGCGGCTCCTCTACTAGATCCAAAGGCACCCCAGTTTCTAAAGTGTATTCGGACGTCTCTGCACCAGTCACTGTAAATTGGGCACCACAGCCTACCCCGAAGACGAACAGCAAGGAAAGCAAAGAGTCAGAAGAGAACAAGGAGAACTTCAAGGAGCGCGTGACCCCCCTCACCACACTGGCGACAGAGCTAGAATCAGTACAGTCTAGGACGGTGTTCTTGTCACCTCTTGCTAGCAAAGAGAACAGGCCCAAGTCAATGCTCCCATTGTCATCTGCTAAGATAGACCGAAGTACGCTCCCGCTCAACGAGTACGCGACTACAAGTGAGGATGCAGTGCCGTCCAAGCCAACGGGCAGCAAACCAGCACAGTCTTCCACTTTGTCAAGCGGTCGGCAGCGACAGCGAATGCGCACAAATCTATCGTCTATTTCCCCCAGAAAGCTCACAACAAGGCCGAAAAGCGCGTTCGAGCTACGTGGCAAAGGCGCCCTGTCTCTGATACCCAACGCTCTGAACGCCCAAGTCGGTTCAGCCGACGAGAGCCCGACAAAGAAAGCGGGCCAATATTCCACTAGGACTCCGGACCCTCTGCCTGTGCCACTTTCAGGGCGCTCCAGCGGCATTGATCAGGACACTCTGCGTATGCTTCTCGAATCGCCGTGGGCTATTTCTGGTCCACCGCCTTCGCCTCGATCCTCTATGGAACACGCGGATCGTTCACGAATAAGGCCAAAGCTACATATCAAGCACAGCTCGAGCACTTTAGCGCTGCAGAGGGAACCGAGCCCTGGTATTGAGGAACAGACCATTGACGCCATAATCGACGAGCGGCCTTTGAGCAGGCGAAGCAACTTCAGCAGTGTCTGCGGAGAAGAGAAAGGCGGCGTGACAGGAAGGATTACTCCTGGGCAGCGGATGGCGGAGAGATACTTGAGAGAGAGGACTGCACCGAGGGGGAGCGGAGCAGGGACACCGTGTAGTGATATTGAGCACAAGAGTGTGCGGAAAGGTCCAACAGGGCAGAAATTGGATAGGGAGGATACGCCGGCATTCTTGTGATCGGACATGTGTTGCACGAGGCGAAAGAGGTGGACCTATTCTGATATTGATATGATGAGCTGGAGCTTGGATAATGGTGATCCTAATGCGGAGGTCTGGAGTCACGCACTTGGATGGGCGGACTGGGAGTGTTCGCAGTTAGTGGACGACCGCGAGGTTCATTTGAACTGCTGCAATAGCATATGATGTAGACTAGTGGGCAGCGCGGGTGTGGTGGATCAGAACCATTTCACTGTATGTTACATTCGTACCACTCTCACGTGTTGAGCATTCTCGAGCTATGACTGTAGGTAAGTAGTACGATTCTCGATATGCTCTGGCACCTACGACCCACTAACAGTGTACTTCGAGTTTCCACCCGCATTTCCCCACCCCTCAGTCGACAGCGTCTGATAGTTATGCGTTCCCAAGTTCAACCCCAGCGCCTTCCACGCATCAAAATGGCAGCTCGTAGTCACAGTGCCACTGCCGGGCCTCTTTGTCTGCCTATTGCTGATGTACTGCCAGAATGTGGAAGTACCTTGGATGGATGGCTGGTTGACTTGCTGGTGCTTCCAAATGTCGTAGACGGAGCCGTCGCATGTTACAGTGCCGACTTTTTGGCCTTGAGCCGACCCGGCGCCGTTGGAGGTGTATTCTTGCACGTAGTACTCGATTAGCGGGTTGGTGGTCCATCCGTAGACGGAGACGAGGACGGTGCCGGCAGAGGCGGTGGTGGAGCCGTCGAAGGTTATTTTGCTGAGGTGGGCGTTAGTAATGAACACCTTGTCACATGCTTCTACTTCTGCATATTGAGAGGGCCTACCGGGTCGTTCCCGTCGTCCACCCCTTGCCGACGACAAAATCGCCTGCGCCCGAGAAGCTGACGCTGTACCCGTTGCTGCTAGGGCTGAAGTTCACACTACCACTCGTTTTGTAGTTCTGGTTGTAGTCCTGGCGGCGGGTGAGGCGGTTCTCCGAGGTGAATTCGAAGTCCGGGGCATCGGCGCTTGGGTCTGCAGCCGGGGCGGCGAAAATGCCAGTCGCAGCTGAGAGGGCGAGCGCGAGCGTGCTGAAGGCGACCATTGTGGGTGGTTGATCAAAGCTTGAATGATTCTTGTGTAAAGCTTGAAGTCCGCTTGAGAGGAACAAGACTTGAACTTATATATGCCAAGGGGCTTGAGGGTGTCGGGGAAGGGGAGCTGTTGTTCTTGGGTATATTGGTTTTGGGCTTCATTATCCTAGTTTTCGTGATCATAGTGGAGCGGCGGTCGTGAGATTTACCGATATCCTGGTCTATGTATCTTTTATTCATCTAGGTAGATTCAGGAGTTTAGGTCATGCTGGGTCACACTGGTGCAAGGAGCCGCAATGATCTGGGGTGCATGGGCGCGAAGTGGCCGCGAAGCAATGACAAGCTTTGTTTCGATATTACTGTGGGGTGGCGTACACGGGTTTGATGAATTGCGGGGTGCATGTAGATTGTCGAGGTGCTATAGCCGTAGTAGGCGGTTTCAGAAATGCCGCGGCTATTTCGATCAACCGTAGTACAGGGTGGTGACTTCACCCTAGTGTGGGAGCGAGGCGCTACATCCTGGCTTTGGGATCAGATTATCGGGTCGAGATGATCATGGTCATTCCGTGTATCTTATGCATGCGAGAGCGGTGGTGTTTTTTCGATAGAATATGTGTCGACTCAAGTCAATGCTGATCGACAAAACCACGTTTAAGGCATGTTGAAGCTCATCATCGCCAGTGCGGTTGGTTAGAAGAAACGTTGTGAAGTTAAGATTACTTTATCACCCCCATTGTGTTTGTAGCTATGGTACTTTTCGCTCCTCCGTAAGAGATCCTCCGTAAGAGAAAGCCTGCTTATAGTGTTATTTCTACTATACGTCCGTAGGGTCTTTTTCGCACGCGCTCTACCAAACACACAAATTTCCTACTTCACTAACGTCGGAGGTTTTGATTTTGATTTTCCAATGTACTAACCAAATCTCTCGATTCTGGTCTCTTTCGTCACCGTGATACCGTCTTTCATCGATTGTCTTAGTGATTGTAGGCCATTTGTCGTCGACACGACAGTGCGCATCCTATCCTGATTGCTGTAAGTATGATTGTGCAATGGACTCGAGACTAATTACACCAGTAATAGACTTTCCACTGTGCCCTGAACTCTACGCCTGAAACGGCCACAAATGCACCTCGTCATCATCACTCCCTGCTCCTTTCACCCTTTTTCCGACCATGATTCCCGGCGGATGAAACGCGTGGCTCGGTCCGTTCTTGCGTCGCTTGCAGTCACGGTCGAGTGACCTTGAGAAGGGCGTGGAGTCAGACATCCCGCCGTTGGACCGATGTCCCGGGAATAGAGATTGGGGCAGGCATCGCGTAAATAGAGGTTTCAGTGCAGGAAGGGCGGCGCAGATCACGCCGGGGTTCGCGTCCAAGAATCCCCATGTATGCCAATCCCGAAGGTACAAAGTCAGTGTACGTCTTAAAGAAGTGGGGATGGTACATATGCTCGTCTCTTAGCTAAGCGAAGGAAAGACGACTATTTGTGTCTTTCATATACAGACAAGGGATCTTCTTTCGCAAGGCTGAAAGAGTACATCTATTGTGTATCGGGGAGGCTTGCAATTTGCGGTACAACGTCCCATGTATAGTCTGGGCTGTTAAGGAGGCCGGGAAGGATGACTGTTCGTTGCATGGCTACGGCGGGGACGCTGTTGCGGGAAAGCAATTTGTCAGCCACGTTTGTAAAGTTCGGAAGCAGCGAAGACGCAACCCGACTAGAAGATTGGGACTTACAATGCACCAGCTCCAAAGATCCTATCAGCGAGGCTCGCTGTCTCTTTGACATTTGCAACTCTAGAAGAACTTTGACAGGGATTGTCTGGATGTTAAAGTCGATGAAGATATTCAAAGAAATCAGAACCATCATCGGCAACATTGACTTAAGATATTTGCCTTTGACCATCGATCAAGAGATCAGCAGGAAAATGGCAACAGAGAGTAGATAGAAGAAGGGTGTTGAGAGGGATCTGGACAAAACAGAGGATTAATTTGACGCGAGCGACAGCAAGAACGATATCTCCTCGTTGGAAACAGAGGTCCAGTGGATTTGGCCACAGAAAACAACGGAGAGTAGAATTCTCATTAGCTGCACTAGAAGAAGGGAAAGGAGAATGGAATATTGACTGGCTAACGTTTACCATTTACGTAAGTAGTAAGCGCAAGTTAAGTGGTCCAACTTATCTCACTATACATATTTTAAGAAACTCTCACCTAACACAGCACATTATACTAAACTGTAGAGCATTACTCCTCTTAGTGCTTAGTACGCTTCTAGAACATCTACTGTTCTTGTTCTGTTCTCTGCAGTTTTCTACATGTACCAGTCTGTCAAGTACATTACGCTCTATATATCTAAAGACATACTATTTCCCGTCTGAGAGGAACGGAACGAACCTCACAGAAATTTTCGACATGATATCTCTTGCGTGTACGTTTCCAGACATTATGGTCCGATGGTTGTAGAAAGCACCGGGAGTACCGCTATTTCCCCAACACATGGTCTCATGGAGAACTCTGCGGCTCTGTGAGTACAGTATGGTTAGTCCGTCTTTGACCTATCTAGGACCCAATTCCTTGGAACTCGAGAGTACATGGGACGCACGTACTCCCCTTCCGTTGTAATTTTCCCCAATGATATGCTACCATGTCATCTTTCTGTCCGAATTTGGTGCCTAGAAATGGTCGATTGAAGGATTTTTTGAGGCTCTTTAACAGGTTGAATACTGGGGGAAAACTTATCTGCCATTGAAGTCCTTTAAGACGAGTAGAACTTCCGCTCGGAAGAGAAGCCGGAATGTTAGACACTGCAGCGTCGCGAAAAAATTCCTATCCAGAGAGGTACACCCTCCTCCCTTCGACGAGTACAAGGGATTTATTGTCAATTTTCCCTTGCTCAATGCGAAAGATCGATCGCGTTATAGATACAGCGCGTCGAGTTGCATTCCACATACGACCATAGGACACTGAAAACTAGGCTTCCCGTCCGCTCAGCCATATATAAGCAGTGTACCGGCGGATTAGTACTGAAGTCGGTGACGATTCTGGAATCCCCGCTGTCGTATGTTTTTGCTTTGGCGCGCATTTTTGTGGAGCTTCGGTTGACGGCTGTCGGGCGTCGTTGGAGCGCAAAAACGCACCATTGCACGCAATAAAATTCACAAGAAGTGCAAAGCTGTTAAAGATGGCAGCAGGCTTTAAAGACCAATGGCTGGTCCCTTAACTGTAATTAACTTTGGTGGACGCTATATGCGTACACCTTGTATACAAACATTCAATGTGGCGGAATAATCACCACCACTCCGCATCAGGGAGCTTTCGTCGCGTACAACGGTCCTTCCTTACTCAGTGCTCTAGCTTCCAGAAGAGCATCCCGTTTCGTCGGTGTGCGAAGCACATCGAGCATATCGAGAAATACACAGCCGAGGCTGAACATGTCAGCAGCGAAGCCGCGCTTCTCTTGCTGCAGCACTTCGGGAGCTGCATATGTGCATGTGCACGGGTTCCAGTCGTCTGTGCATACATCCTCTCGGCTGGGGTAATCGCGTGCGGCGTCGAAATCGGCGGGATAGATGGTAAAAGGACAGGCATTGCTGCGGGACTTAGGCGTTGGCGGGCTCAATATCCTTGTGCTTGACGAGATTATCATGGACAAAGTGCATTGTGGCGGTGAGACAGTGAAAGAAAGAGCGGAGGCTCTGAAGAAGTCCCGGACGGACTTCTCCTTGTTCTTCTACGCAGTGGTCCAAGAATGTATCCAGGTTGTGATCTGTAGCCAGATACAGCCGGATGCAGAGCTCCCTTTTGAAGACGTAGGCTCCGACGGTGCGCACGATGTGTGGATGCCGCCGCTTTCGGAGGTGTTTCTTTTCGTTGACGGCATCTTCCCGCTTGAGCGATGATGTGCATTTGATGCATCTGCGCGCCAAGGTGAGAGGATCGGACTGCACCTTCTCCACGACAGCAGTAGCAGAGTGGCCCAAAGTTTCACCGGGTATCAGTACCTATGGTAGGTAAGTTGTTGATCTTGGCGGCCTCGTAGTTCTCGAATTAGGCGTGCTGCCCGCGGCCAGACTAGTCTGCTCCCTGATCTCCGGTATTAGATACCACGCTAATGCTCTCGAGATGTTGTCTCCAGGGTGAGGATGCAATCGAAGATCCACCGTCGGAAGACGCATCAGAATCGAATTTCCAGGATGAAGCATATCCCCTATGTCCACAACCGATGGTCATAGGCAGGCCCTGGACAACGCGTCCCTGTTGAGGTCGTTGGCCTTCATTCATGGCATCATTCAATGAGAACTTGCGGCAATCATGGATATTCTACATTTGTGCTGTACTCTTGATCGTCGACTCGCACTATACAGCCGTATCCACCTCAGGTGTGATAGGTTTGAAACAATGGGTCAGGCCAGTGTCGTCGTTGACGAAGCCTTTTCCAGTGTTAGTGCATCAAGCCTGTGTTCGCGATCCCTGGGTAACGAAGATACCTGACAGATACATGATGTAGAACATGGTGGACAAACCAAGATGTCGGCGTTGGTAGTGCGTGGAGCCCTGGATATAATCTGATGTTCTCGTGCCAGGTAAGCCTGGATGTTGATCGTTTGGTCTCTCCGTATACGCAACAACCGCACATTACCACGCAGGTTTCTAGTGGAAGAGCCAGGAAGGATGCTCATCTCGCAAGAAAGTTCCGCGGATTGCACGCGGCAAATGGAATGATCCGCAGGATTTCAGTCGAGCGCAATGTAGAATAAGAGTACAGGAACGAAGTCGAATGTATGAATGATGGTGGATCCTGACAAGCGATGTGCTACCGGGATTAATACCGCACTAGTGGGGAACTACCTTCTAGGTGGGCAGTGGGTGGTTAGGCTCTTACGCTCCCACAGGAAGAACTACGGAAGGTGTTGAACTCGTTCCTTCGCCCCAAAGCGATAGGATAAGCTTGTTTGAATAGAATATTAGCCAAGTATTATCACGGTTTTCCATGAAAGAGCCGAAATGCTCAGCTGTCACACTGCAAGCACTGAGACTACGCCACATGCTTTTCTCGTATCCATACTTGTACCTGATAACGAGTACCAGAATTGAACTCTACAAATCAAAACACGTTTACTTTTGCTCACGTGTCCTTGTACTCCTTGTTAAATGCCCTACCAATGACCATCCTCCTTACCTCGCTCGTCCCCGCCCCAATCTCGTACAGCTTCGCGTCCCGCAATATCCTTCCCACGGGCACCTCATTCATGTACCCCATACCGCCCATCAACTGCACCGCATCAGCAGCGACCTCACTCGCCCTCTCCCCCGCGTACAAAATTGCACCCGCGCAGTCCTGCGTCCTGATCTCTGGGTTCTCGTGCGACTCGTCGATGTGTCTGGCCACAGAGTATGTGAACGCTGAGGAAGCGCGATACTTCGTGTACATGTCTGCGAGTTTGCCCTGCACGAGTTGATTATGGGCAATCGGCTGACCGAATTGCTTGCGTTGGTGTGTGTAGGGCAGGGCGTTGTCGAGAGAGGCCTGCATAAGACCCAGCGGCCCGGAGGAGAGCACCAACCGCTCGAGATCAAGACCTTCCATCAAGACCCTTACGCCCTTGTTTACCTCGCCCAGCACGTTTTCCTTAGGCACGAAAACATCTTCAAAGATGAGCTCGCCTGTGTTGGAGCCGCGCATACCGAATTTATCGAGCTTCTGCGCAACGGAGAACCCCTTTGCGGTAGTTTCGACGATGAAAGCGGTTATTCCCTTGGAGGCTGCGTCGGGCTGGGTTTTGGCGTAGACAATGATGGTGTGCGCGTCGGGGCCGTTGGTAATCCACATTTTTGTGCCGCTGAGGAGGTAGCCGCCGTCAACTTCTTTAGCTGTGGTCTTCATGCTCACAACGTCGGAGCCCGCTGAGTGTTCGCTCATTGCCAGTGCGCCGATTTGATCGCCTGAGATCAGGCCCGGGAGGTATTTTGCTTTTTGTTCGGGGGAGCCATTGAGCGATAGCTGGTTTACGCAGAGCTGTGAGTGGGCTGCGTATGAGAGCCCGATGCTTCCTGTGTCTTGCTGTCAGCTACTACCCTCCAAACCAAGATATATGCTCTTTACCACTCGCGCGACTCAGCTCCTCCAGGATTACGCAGTGTGCCTGGTAACCCATGGCTAGTCCACCGTACTCTTCATCCGCTGTAGGGCCTAGAAAACCTGCCTCGCCGAACTTCCGCCACATCTCGTTGGGAAACTGATTTATTTGATCGGTCGTTTGCGCGAGCTCTTCGGGAATTTCTCGTCCTGTGTCCCTTCTAATCAGCATTTACACTCCGGAAAAAAGCGACCCAGGAAAGAGAGGAGAATGCTCACTCGTAAACTCTTGTACACTCGCCCGCAGCTCGTCGAGATCTGCCTGAGTAGGCGGGACGAAGCCTTTTGGGTGCTTGGTCGAAGCATATCGCCTCCCAGCAATAAACAGCGCCCGCGGATGCCGCTGGCTCAATTGTCGCACGCTTCGAGCAAAGAGACTAGATATGGTGGCAGACATCGCTGCAAATGTGCCGAAGGAACCTGGGATCCAAGATGTTCAATCTCGCAATGCCACTGTGGCGGACTAGCAGCTGGGGTGCTTCAAAGCAAAACTTCGCTTTGATAACTGTATACTGGTGCGCGGCAATCGAACTGTGTGTGGGGATGTAAGCTTTCAATTCGCCGACCGTGTACAAATGCGAGTTGTATGACAGCCGCGGCTCACTGGGCGGTTTCTAGCGGCTGAAGATGCGGAGGCGCACGGACCACCTGTAAGTGACGCGTGGGGAAGCTGCGAAGCGTGCCTTGTGCCGAGGCGAGAAGGCGCGGAGCGTTCCGCATTGAGCCTCACAACATTTGGACAACATGCCTGCCAAAACAACACACTGGTATCGACGAACGCGTTGTGATTACAGCTCGTCGACCTTCTTCATAGCCCTCCCATTACACTCACCAACATCCAGTGCCACCAAAAATCTACTCACGCAATTATACGCCGCAATGGTAGCCGTTAGCTCCACGACCTGCTTGTCACCCAATACCTCCCTCAACGCCCCCGCAACCCTGTCATCCACCTCCACACCCACCGTCATCTGATCCGCATACGCCAATACCACCCATTGATCCCTCGTCAACCCCCCCTTCCCCTCAAATTCCACCTTGTCGCCCTTCTTCACCACCTCCGCCGTGAACGCGGTCTCCAGCCCTTCCTTCGAGATGCCGCCCCCAAGCGCGAGCGCGGCGTGCACGTCCCATTCGTGAACGGCGTGATTGAGGACCGCGACGCGCGCGATGGCGAGTTCTTTGAGGGAGTCTGGGACCGAGGTCTTGGTGCGGATTGCGCCGATGAAGGAATTCCAGCCGTCGGCTACGGAGGTGTTGTGCAGGAGGGCGAGATCGAGGGGGATGAGGGGACGTGGGGCGCGGCGGGCTGCTATGCGCTCGTATATGGACTTGTCTTCCTCCGTTGGAGGCTCCTTAGGGGCGTATGAGACGCGCATTTTGGGGGGTGCGAGAGTGGTGAATCCGCGGTCTGCGGGCGGCGATTGGATAGCTAGCTTGAGAAACCGGAAATTTGGGCGTGTAGAAATCGAGATGCGGAGCATAGATAATTAGGTCAGTGGGCTTGTATGGCTTTTAGCTCACAAAAAGAGCTCTAGTTGCTGTGCGGAGCTTGCCCGCGGTCCTTGCCCGCGGTAGCAGATGCGGTAGATGTTTTTCCCAATCCGTCCTCGGCGATATCGGCGGAATCACAGCTTCCTGCAGCAAGCAGGTGCACGCGTGCTCACCTGCACGTTGCAGAACTCTCTGATGGAACAAAGTTTCATGTGAGCATTCAAGTACGTATACATAATGGCGCGGCGGCTCTTCACATGGAACAAGCTGGCGAACGCACCGGATACATGGCACCCAACTCCGGGGACTCATCCAAAACAAGACTTCATGACGTTTCAACTTCCGATGCAACGATCATTCCTCTTTCGTATGCGGTTACAATTTCCGAACACCCCCCAGAGGAACACTCTTCCCATCAGGCGGAGCCAGCCGCACCTTGTAGATGAGGTCGAGCTTCGCCTTCGCTGCCTCTAAGGAACTGAGTTGTTATCTGATTATCGTCTGTCTTGGTAGAGAGGGGAAACATAATCCTGGCATCAAGTGTACGTTACACTATCAATCATTTTCAGAGAAAGGGTAACAAGAAGAAGTGCAGAAACAAAGGCTCAATAATGTGCGTCGGCGACGAGAGCAGTGCCGAATGCTTCGATGCGGGGCAGAGCTAGACAAGGGCTCCTTCCCAATCACGGGCCCTGTCATTGTGGATAAAAGCTTATCCGCAAGCCCCGATGCCCCGCCTTTGCTATGGGTTCGGCGGCAGCAAAACAAGGGACGAGGCGCCATGGACAAAGATATTGCTTCCCCAACTTTTGCCCTGCCATTCAATTGTCCGAGCTTGAGGCGATTGCGCTGGACCGGAGACAACTTGCAACACGATGGGAAAGCATCATCTCATGATCGGCACGTGGGTAAAGCCTGGGGTCATCATCACGGTTGCGTTCGACGACGAGAAGTTGACATTGGAGCTGGTCAAGAAGACGGATATTCCACAAGATGAGCCGATTAGTTGGATGGCTTTCGACGTATGTGCGGTTGCTTCAGCATAGGCAATTGAATGCCAATTGAGTGAACAGGTGGCTGATTTGTGATGGGATCAACAGCATCAAAGGAAAAACATCTACGGCGCAAGCATGAAGAAATGGAGCAGCCACAGGGTCGACAGCCCGAGCGATATTGTGCACACAGGCAGTTTCGAGATCGGCGGACACCGTACGTGTATATGCGCATACACTCTGATTGGAGCTAATTGCTATGGCAGCGAAGGCGAAGGAAGCAGACACGAAAACGCGTGCTATCTTCCTCCTCCCGGCGCGGAAGCCGCCGTACAATGTCTACTGCAACCCATTCTACGATTACGCCGGCTATGGCAACATATTCAATATAAACAGCGACGGCTCGCTGAAGGAGAACATACAAGACTATGAATATTGCGACAAATCCGCGATCCACGGCATGGTTTTCGATCCCACCGAAACATACCTGTACAGCGCCGACATGTGGGCAAATCGTGTATGGTGTCACAAGAAGATCGACGACCAAGGAAGACTTGAGACGGTTGGGTTTACCGAAGCGGAGGGCAAGAAGGACCACCCGAGATGGGTTGAGATGCATCCCTCTGGGCGCTATCTGTACGCCTTGATGGAAGCAGGAAATAGGGTCTGCGAATACGTTATTGATCCGCAAACACACCTGCCTGTTTACACGCACAGATGGTTTCCGTTGATACCACCTGGTGAGTTCGACCATTGATACACGTTTTGGATCGACATCTGATGACTGCATTCAACAGGAATTCCCAACCCGCACATGTACCGCTCCGACGTCGTATTCCTTACGCAGTCCTCGAACTACCTCTTCGCCACATCACGAGCAAATTCCTTTGATCTTACAGGCTACATCGCCGCTTTCAAGATCTCAGACTCTGGCTCTATTGAGCGACAGATTTGCCTAAATCCCACACCGACGAGCGGAGGACACAGCAATGCTGCCAGCCCCTGTCCTTGGAGTGATGAATGGCTAGCTTTGACAGACGATGAGAAGGGCGGGATTGAGATTTACAGATGGCATAAGGAGTTCCTCGCCCGGGTTGCGAGGCTGGAGGTAGGAGAGAAAGGGTTTGGTATGAACGCTATATGGTACGACTGAGGTCGTTAATCGTTATCTTTACGTACATACGGGCCTGCTTCCGTGAGGACCATAACGCCTGGGTACGTAGAGATTTGTAATCCGAAACGTAGATGCGGGACATTGAAAACTGTGGCAAGGATAGAGTATCTTCAGTCCATCATAGACAATCAACTCACACCACCAAAATGCATGAAACAAACATTTGAAGCAATTGTAGGTCTGTCGACGCGTCGCGTTCCGAGTTCCGTTCCGACCTCGGAACAAGCTGGGGAATGAGGGGCAAATGTCTTTGCAGCTCCCCAAGCTAGTGTCCCCGGCAAATGTCATCGGCGGGCTCCAAACTGATCGAGGGGAGCACCCTTATGACGCCGACGGACATGCGATTATCGCTTCGGCTAGGTCTCAATTTCGTCTGGACAAAAGCGTATCCTCCGTAACAGTCTCACAATATCTTCATAGAGCTTCGCAGACGACATTCCACCCACCATGGCGTCCCAAAGCACTACCCGTGGCATCCTGTATGTAACTATGCAACCTAAAGAGGGTCTGCCTCCTGCTCAATTCCACGACTGGTAAGTAACACGCCTATTCGTCAGGGTTCACTTCGCCAGGCATGCTAAGCACATCTCCAGGTACAACAACGAGCACGGTCCCGGCCGCCTTCGCCTCTCCTTCTGCCGAAATGGGTTTCGGTACCGCGCAAACGACCTTCCCGTGTCCTCTGCTGGTACTCAAGAGCAGCCAGAATGGATGGCTATCTATGACATCGATGACATGGATTACCTCACCAAAGATGTGTACACACGCCTACGGAAAGCACCTGTACAAAGCCAAAGAGAACGCGATACCATGAAGCAGTTACACATTGACAGGCGCTTCTACGATGCGGTTGAGGGAGATGAATGGAAGGCCGATGACTTCAAAAGTCTAGAAGATGTGCAAAACGAGGGCGAGGGCAATGTCCTCGTGGCTGTATACTTGTCGTTGAACGATGGCGAAGGCAAAGAAGAAGAGCTGGCCAAATGGTACCGCGAAGAGCACGTGCCACTGTTGTCTAAAGTTCCCGGTTGGCGTCGGACAAGGCGCTTCGTGACGAGCTACTTGGACCTGCAAGAGGGAAGGGGAAAAGTTTACCTGGCGCTGCATGAATACGCGCCGCAAAATGGGCTTGGCGGACCCGAATTCAAGAAGGCTACATCTACGGAGTGGAACGATAAGATCTATGACAGTGTGGTGGAGTCAAAGCGAAGGAGAGTATACAACTTATACTATACTTTTGGGCCGGCACCGCGAGACTTGCAAACCCTCACTTCGTCCGACACCTTCATAGCAGAATCTACGGATGGAGCTACAAAGACGTACCCCGCTTCCTCCATCAAGGCTAATCCGGCCATCGAATCCTTCGTCACCACTGCAGACGGTGTCAATCTATCCTACCGCTTAGAAGGCTCATCCGACCCCAATGCGCCGCTCTTGATTCTTGCAAACTCCATTCTCGTCGAATATGGCATCTGGGACGACTTCGTAGAGACCTTCCTGCAAGTCACAAACAACAAATATCGCGTTCTGCGCTACAACGCGCGCGGTCGTACTGCACTTCCTTCGTCAGCAAACGAGACTGTCACAGTTGACAAACTTGCCAGCGACATCATCACCATCATGGACGCCCTACGCGCAAAGACCGCCAGCGTCGTCGGCGTCAGCCTAGGCGGCGCAACCGCGCTTTGTGCCGGGCTCACCTACCCCTCACGAGTCACCGCCTTCGTTGGCTGCGACACGAATTCCTTCGCCCCAGAATCCAACCCCAAAGCCTGGGGCGAGCGAATCGCCGTTGCTGAAAAGGAAGGCCTCAAGTCCTCATCAACCTCTGAACCCATTGTCGGCAACGAGCTCGCCGAAATGACGACGCGTCGATGGTTCGTCACGGAGAGCTACGCCGATGCTGAGTTAGCGAAAAGGATTGCGAGGGTAAACGAGATGGTGAAGACGAATTCATTGCAGGGGTTCAAGGATGGGGTTAAGGCGCTGTATCAGTACGACTTTAGGGACAGGATGGGAGCGTATAAGGGAAAGGGTGCGTTTTTGGTGGGCGCTGGGGATGGAGTGTTACCGAAGACTATGCAAGGTATGGCAGATTCGCTGGGGAGTGGTGTGGAGTTGAAGATTGTGGAGAAGGCGGGGCATTTGCCGATGGTGGAGCAGCCGAGGGAGGTAGCGGAGTTTGTTGCGAAGTTCTTGGGATGATTACGGGATTTATGAAAGCCAGCGGAATGTCGTTCAATGGCGAACATTGACAGTAGATCTGTTGTGATAGAGGGTTGTGCTGGATTCCTTAATTTGATCGTTTTCGGTGCTGTATACAGACGTTCTCTGTTGGTGAATGTGAGCATAGAGACAAGTTTAAAATGCATAACTGAGGTAAGAAATTGAGTTGGACTGTCCAAACAAAGCGTATATTGATTTGGAACGAACGGAATGCAATACAGATGCAAAGTGTGCGCCCAACTGAAGCGCTTCTTGGTAGCAATCGTTGTTTGAATATTACATTGACATGTCGACAAGTCGACATTCATAGCAGTGGCGTCGTGTGTGGGATGCTGACTGTTCGAAGTCCCAACACGCTTGAAGTCTGTCGAATTTTCCATTCACTCAAGCAATTCTTCAATGGGCCTTTCACTTTCTGTATGAGTGCTTTTTGAAATTGATTCACGTGAAGCTTTGCGGTGGTTGCTACTCGACTGGCTTCTACAGCTCTTCGATTTGATGCATCGGCGTCGTGCTCGATGTGCAATCTTTTTTTGAAGTTTATTACACATTTCTTGATCAAACACCATCTGTATTCGTACATGCCCGCGCTGCAATACCAGCACCAACTTTGAACGCGAGGAGGAACACCAGGCAAAGCATTGTCTAGTGGCTGTCGCCAGTGATACCTGTTACTGAATGCGAAAGTGGATGTGACGCTTAACAACCAGGCACGCCCTCGTTATTATACTCCTGGTGACATCACCGAGAGAAAGCTTGCGTGACTACACTGTATGGCAATTGAGGTCCCTCACCCGTACATCAAACTAATCTACTTTGGGAAAGCGCCTTTGGATCGCGAAAGTGTTTGTAACTCCCGAGCACTAGTTCGCTTGCACCCTTCGCTATCTAGCGTAAAGTGTCATGGACTGTTGTTGACCATTTGCATATCTCCCATACTTCCCGACAGAGGTTTGGATTGTCGCGCGACAGCTTACAAAAATATTGCGGGGATCTTCCGCTCCTCGAACCACACCACAATTCGTCCGTTTGCCACGCTTAGTGATTGCAACGCGAACAGATATCTTGGACTATTATTCGACACTTAACCATTTTCCAAGATCTTGTTTGGAGAACCTGCGCTACACTTGCTTGGATCGAGCATTTGAGATAGATCCCCAACAGCTTCAAGGACTTTCCTGCTCTAGACGAAACTCCCTGCAACAACCATGTCAAACTTCGCCGCAAGTGAGCTTCAACACCAATCATTTCATCTCGAACCCATTCTAACCACCAGTTCCAGTCCTATCCTCCCCCAAAGCCCCTCTGGAAATCCATCCCGTGCCCAACTACACTCCCGGCCCCACCGAACTCCTCATAAAAAACACCTGCATCGCGCTTAATGCCATCGAAGCCAAAATCGCCATCCACAACGTCATCCCCTACACACCTTACCTCGCTATCCTCGGATCCACCTACGCCGGCACTGTGTCGGCCATCGGCTCTTCTGTCAAAGATTTCAATGTCGGAGACAGAGTCGTAATCAGTAAACGCTTCGATGTTAAGGGGAACCAATACGGCGCCTTCCAGCGCTACGTCGTATGTTCCGACATCATGATCAGTCGCGTCCCCTCACACATCGACCTGCAAATCCCTGCGAGTTTGATGATGAATCTAACATGCGTTGTGGGAATGTTTTCTGGGAGGTTGGGTTTGGAGAGACCGCCGCTGGATGGGAGGGAGGTGGTGAAGAAGGCAAAGAAGATCTTGGCATACAGTGGGAGTAGTAGCTTTGGTGGATTAAGCGTGGGGTATCTAAAACAGGCGGGGTATACGGTGGTTACTACAAGTAGTCCGAGCAATTGGAGTTTTGTACAGGGGTTGGGCGCGACTACGATCATCGATCACACGCAGGAGCAAGAGATTCTTGTCAAGCAGCTCATAGATCACGGTCCGTACGATGTTGTCGTTGACTTCGTATCAATTGCGAGCACACTTGCAATTACGGGTCGAGTTGTCGAAGCCCAGGGTGGTGGCAAGCTTTTCACGATGCAGCCTGGGAGGGAAGAGCTTCCAGCTGGTGTGGAAAGGGTGTTTGAACCTTATTCTGAGAGTTTGTATGAAATGAGGAATAGGGAGTTGCAGAGGTGGGTTGTGGATGAGTATTTGCCAAAGGGGATTGAGAGTGGTTTGATCAAGCCATTGCCAATGGAGAAGGTTGATGGGGGTTTGAAAGGGTTGAATGGGGGGTTGAGGAAGATGTTGGAAGGCGGAAGAAGGGTTAGGTATGTAGCTGATCCTTGCGAGTAGGCTGTGGGTATGGTAATGTCAGATATGTTCTTGGAGCACCCTTGAAGCTGCATGAAGACTATGCTGTGCGCTGCCTGCGCAAGGTACTGTCTAACGTTCGTCAATTGTTGAGCCTGTTTATTCCAGAGCACGTCCTGCTAAGCAAGCTTTGACATAGCAAGTGGTCTTCCAAACGCAGTGTAAATCAGTGTTGAGCCTGTCGGACAAATCATAGTATATATGCATTACATCCATCACCCGTGTTCGAGCGGGCCAACGTTCGGACGTCAGTAGCCACTCGTCCACCATCACTATATATGTGCAAGAAATTTTGAGACCCGTTTTTTCTTTGGGACTGTGCTCGCGAGGTCCAGTCGATCAAACAAGCGCCATGTGGTAAAGCCGAAAACACCATTCAGCATGCAACTTCAGGGGGCCGCAAAAATCGCCAATATGCGTGCCAAGACCACCCATACAAGGCGACTCGTCGCAGACTGTCCGGCGTGAGTATAATGTACGTTTCACTCGTCACCTCGACCAGGATCATCGTCGCGGTCATACTTGACGAAGCCCTCGGCCTCTTCCGCCATTTCTTCCACCGCTCCCACATGACTCATGTATTCGTCGTCAAATTCCCACTTCCAACCGTTCGGAATAGGATTTGAAGCGGCGTCGCGTGGAAGTGGCAGCTTGGAGCCATCGTAATAACCCATGTCCGGCCGCACCTCGAATTCCGGGAGATCTGTGGGCCTGAGCGAGCTGGGATCGATTGTCCGACAGGTCAATGCGAAGCGCATTCGGCCTTCGTGGGACACAGAGTGTTCGTAATAAGTCTGGATGTCGGCTCCTACCATGAACACCTGATCGCCATGGCGAAGAATCATGTCGAGGACCACGGGTGTCTTCTCGCTATGTTTGGTGAGGCCGATATCGATGGCAGCCTGCTTAAAGTATTTTTCGCTACCTTTGTCCGGAGCATTACGCAGTACCTCCGTGTGCCGAACAAGTCGCTCTTCGTACTTGAAGCAGCCGGGTATCGGAGGGTGTTGATAGTCATAGATGCCGGCCTTAGTCCTGCCCCAATAATGTAGGGCCTTCATTCGGATTGACATCGTGCCGATATCACCGAGGCTGAGGGTCGCGATATTCGGACCGAGACCAGGCTCGCCATCGTCGTGGTAGCCGATGCTCTGGTCTTCGAAATAACCCAGAATCAATTCCTCGTTGAACTCTTTCTCCTTCCACTCTTTTGCAACTTCTGCAATCGACTTATCTTGATCTCGGGCGAGAATTTGTACCATCATCCAATTAAGCCGGGTGCGGACGTCGCGTATTGCCTGAGCTTTTGCTTCTTCGAATGATACAGACTTTTGTATTCCCGTAGCAGCGAATTTGTAGTGCATCCCAACGTTGAAGTTCATGTGCCGTGTAAAACTGGGATCTATATGCTTCTCCGAACCAAAAGCTCGCCGCTCGAGCCCTATGTCGATACTCTGGAGCTCAACGAACATGTCATCGGGGCCACCGGGCTCTTTGCAGATCGTCTCGTTGGCCAAGCAATGGACGATGTAGCCGGCCTTCGGAATGTCGAAGCGGTTCATGCGGTAATTGTTCGCGTAAAGTGGTTTCAAAACCCGAACGTTACCTTTGGCGGTGTCGCGACTCGGTGTGTAGCCCTCAGTTCGTGGGAAAGAGGGAATTGGATCGAGGATCGAGTATGATGACATGATCTGTTTGGGCGCGAGGCGATGCCATCCGCATTTAGGAGTCTTGCAAAACCAACCGGAAAAGTTTAAGCGCATAACGCAACCGCGACATTTGGGACACACAACGCCTTTCCATCCGCTGATCGAGTAGAGATCTTCAGGCTTTGTGTACTTGGATATCTGAATAGGTTTATGCTCCAATGGATATTGCAGATGCTCATTCTGCCAAGATGTTTTTTGCTTTACAAAGCGAGGATCATAGACAAGAGTGTCTTCGTCTACTTCACAGAGCTGACCTGAACGCGTGGAAAGCTTCCAAAATGCTGGACAGTCCCGCTGAAGGCATATCCAACCATTGAGGTAGACCTGTAAGGATGGTTGTCGGCATGAGATGCACCAGGCGACCTCCGGGCGACCGAGCGAACCAAGAGGCACAGAATCTTCCCGGTCATGTGGTTCATACCATGCTTTCACGATGTTTGGGTTCAGCCTCTCGAAACGAAACCGGGCGCACCTGTGGGCCTTTCTGCTGCCCAGGATCTGCCTCTGCCTCTCCCACCATATGTGTGTAGCTTTGAAAAGGCCAAGCACATTGTAGGGGTGTGGCATCTTTGAAGGTATGAGCGTGTTGTTGTCTTTCGTGATAACGATTATCGGGTTTTCGGCCTTCATGGCGTTCCTGAAGGCTTCCGTCTCTGAGTTTTCGGGTTGGTCCTTGGCTAACACCATTCGTCCAGTCTTCTGATCCTTCGTCATTCCGCCAGGTGCCCGCGCGATGATAATATCTCCATCTACATAGTCACGCGAGAGAGCATTCCCAGCGTATAGATATGCGTAGGCAAGTTGACGGTATGTATAGGAACCACCTTGATACATCAGGCAGTTAGGGATCGACTCGCACAGTGCGAAACGGGTCTGGGACCATACTGGAGGTTGACTATGGGCCTCTGGCTTGGGCACCTGTTGTTCTGCTCCTTCAGTTTGTTCCAGTTCCACAGGCGGCTGAGCATTCTCCATTAGTTGCCGACCAATTGACCAAAGCTCCTCGGAGGCTCCAAGATTCACGGTAACTAGCGAATCCAGCGGCGCCTCTGCAGGCTCAAGATGGAAGGGGCTATCGTACGCTGGGGAAGCCGCGGTATTGGGAGCTTGTGCATTCGGACTCTGAACATTCGGATCCTCTTCTTTTGACTCCCTGCTCTTCTTTTTTGGTGAAGTCTTTGGCTGCGGCGCACGCTTGCGCTTGACAGGTTTTAAGGTGGTCGATTCTTTCAAAGTTGCCATCTTCGGCTTTCCAACCTGTTCCAGGAGTTCGTGTCTCAGCTTCAAGATCACGACCCTATCAAAAGGTTTCGGTGCATGTTCAGCAGAAGGGTCAGGCGAAGGACTTTGAGATCCCATGCCAGCGAATGTAGCGGGAGCACACTTGATTCGCATGCTTCTTCGAGGTTTTTCCGGCGGTATTACAACGGTAAGGGTCGGTGAAGTTGGGGTGTTGGGCTGCTTAGGCTTTTGGGTGGCTCGCGTATGCCTGGTGTTCTTGGGGGTTGGTAGATTTCGACTGGGGCTTCCGTTGATTGAGGTAGGCGAGTACAAGCTCGGTGGGCTCGAAGCTGCTGCTGCCTGTAGCGTGGTCGAAATGGGTGACTCTAGCAGTTGATCTTCTTCGCCTGACTTCTGGCTTACCGGAGGGGTCGGGAAGCTTCGCCTTTGCAGCAGCGAGTCTTCGTACCCTGGTACGGTAACAGACTCTGTCGAATGCGCGGATACCTGGTGGAACGGGCCAGTGCGTTTTTCAACCTGTGTGCCTTGCTCTAGATGTGAAGTCTGTGTGTCTTGGCCAGACTGTGTATGTTGCCCCTTTGGTACATCCTGTTCTGCTTGCATATGTTGCTCCGGCTGCAGGCTCTGCTCCACCTGCGTATGTAATTCCACCTGCGTATCCTTCTCTGACTGTAAGTGTTCTTCCACCTGAAAATCCTGGATGGTCTGTGTGTATCGTTCCGCCGGTACGTCGTACTTTGAAAGTGAACACTCAGAAAGGTCATCCGGATAGTCGCTCAATTCCATATCTGTGTCAACATAGTGTAGCACGTTCTCTTCGCCGGGCCTGTAAGTAGCCGAAGCTGTCTCGCAGTCGGCATTTGCCATTGTGACCAGCGAGGTGTGTCGTAAAGGTGTGTCGTAAAGGTGTGTCGTGAAGGTGCGTCTCCAGGGCTGGTGATGAGAGTTCTTGAAGGGTTGAAACAAGCAACGGGCAGGAGGCGAGCAGAAATTGTGTCACAGCAGACCAGTGTACAATGAATCATGGAGTTTCCGAAGATAGCTACCGCCACTGGAGAAGCGCGGAAAGAAGACGTAAAAGAAATTACAGGGAGGGCGAAGCTTTAGCTATTGTGTAGCTGTAAAGTCTTCTCGGCTGGTGCCTTCATGAGCGCTACAAGCGATTCGGTGCTAATCTTTCACCTCGATCAAGGTGAAGGTGAAGGTGAGTGCTAATGGAAGGGTGGTGGTTCTCGAGGGTCACGCATGCTACCATGGTACAGCCGCGGGGTTGTCCCGCCCGCTAGTAATCCGTCTAGGGGAGCGCATGTCACAAACAGGATGATGAGATCCCGGCTCGGGTTCTCTCACTTTGCTGATTCTTTGAGCCGATGGTGAACGATGAATATTCGTCCGTGTCGCCAACAACGCTTCGAAGGCCAGAGCTGACATACTAGGCTCTTCTAGGTTGCAAGCCTCGGCTATTCCCCAGCTTCCCCAGCTTTCCGTATCAGTTCCCCCGCGCGCCAATGGAGCTGCAGCTCGCCGATGCAGCGTGCACGCTTCCGATACCTTCGGCTATCCTACCTGGGCTAATCGCATCATCTGGAGGCCTTCCCTGTCTTCTTTCCTCCTTCATTCCTCGCTGCGTGCATTGTAGTTTTTCGCGTCTAGTACCCGCGACACCATGTGAGCATCCTAATCGTGTTCGCAAGCTGATCACTTATGCAAATGCAGGCCCTTCTATCCTCCTCCATGGGTCCCCAAGTTACCCTTCGATCCGCCCGATTCGATTACCATCGCCGACTTCATACTCGATGAGAACTATGGGCGCCATCCGCTCGGATACTCGCGCCCGATGTTCACTTGCGGTATGACAGGGAAGGAGTACTCGGCGTTGGAGGTCAAGGAGCGCGTCGATTACCTTGCCCGAGGTCTTGCAAAAGAACTCGGTTGGCGACCGAACGAAGGCACCGAATGGGACAAGGTGATTGGCGTGTACAGCTTGAACACACTTGATACGGTTCCATTAGCATGGGCTACCCACCGCCTGGGAGGCATCCAGACGCCCGCGAACGCTGCTTACAGCGCCACCGAGCTGGAGTACCAATTGAAGAACTCAAGCGCAACATGTCTCTTCACCTGCCTTCCCTTGCTCGAGACCGCGAAGACAGCTGCCAGGAAGTGCGGGATACCGGACAACCGCATATACATCTTGGAGGTGCCCAAGGAGCTCACTGGAGGCAAGGGCACACCTGCTGGCATGAAGACTGTAGATGACTTCATTCGCGAGGGCGCAAAGCTGGACCGTTTGGATCCATTGAATTTGGCACAAGGCGAGGGTGCGAAGAGGACCGCCTTCCTCTGTTATTCCAGTGGAACTTCGGGACTACCAAAGGGAGTCATGATCTCCCACCGCAACGTTATCGCGAACTCGATGCAGGTCAGAGCTTTCGATGCGCCTACAAGACAGAAGCTTCAACAACCCGGCACCCAGTCCGAGTACACGGAGAACGTCCTAGGCCTGTTACCCATGTCGCACATCTACTCACTCATCGTTATCTGCCATGTGTCTGCATACCGAGGCGACGGAGTGATAGTTCTCCCAAAATTCGAATTCGCGCAAATGCTTGGATCAATACAAAGATTCAAGATTAATGCGCTGTACTTGGTACCTCCTATTATAATCCTTCTGGCGAAGGACAAGGCGACGCGTGAGAAATTTGACCTCAGCAGTGTGTGGTGCATATTCACAGGAGCCGCACCACTGGGTAAGGAAACAGCAGATGATCTTCAAAAAATCTATCCGAGCTGGAAGATCCGACAAGGCTACGGTCTGACTGAAACTTGTACCGTCGTGTGCAGTACCTCACCCGACGACATCTGGTTCGGCTCCAGTGGCTCTATACTTCCTGGTATTGAATGCAAGATTGTCACTTTGGAAGGAAACGAGATCACAGGCTATGACCAACCGGGTGAGCTGCTCGTAAAATCGCCTTCCGTTGTTCTAGGATACTTGAACAATGAGAAGGCAAATAGGGAAACATTTCAGGATGGTACGTAATCTCGACATGAAGCATGATTGCCACATACTAAATAGAGTAGGCTATATGCGCACTGGAGACGAAGCAGTCATCCGCAAGTCACCCTCGGGCCACGAGCATATATTCATCGTCGACCGCATAAAGGAGCTTATCAAGGTCAAGGTAGATCATACTCCAATCTTCAGTCTCGCTCCTCTGACAGCATACAGGGCCATCAGGTTGCTCCCGCCGAGCTCGAAGCCCACCTCCTCACGCATCCTGCAGTCAATGACTGCGCCGTTATTCAAATTCCTGACGACAAATCTGGTGAGATTCCGAAAGCCTTCGTTGTCAAGTCCCCTTCTGTAAGCGCGGAAGAGAGCGATCGCATTGTCGCACGATCTATTCAAAAACATGTTGAGCAACACAAGGCGAAATATAAGTGGATTACAGGAGGTGTCGAGTTCATTGATGTAATTCCGAAGAGCCCGTCCGGTAAGATTCTACGACGGATGCTAAGAGACAAGGAAAAAGGGAAGAGGAGACAGACCGGTAGCAAGTTGTAAACTCCGGTAAGTGTTGTAACACTGCTCGCGTCTGAGTTTCAAGATTTGGATATGTTGCAAATTACAATCAGAAACCACTGCAAGGCACTGCCGCTACTAGTGAGTCTGCATATTCAGCCTCAGGTTTGCCGTGACCGCCGCATCTTCTTGCTCAGTCCAATACATGCTCGAACAATCCCGGAGACTTCAATACAAGTTGGGACAGAATCTGCCACGTGATCTTCTCTTATCGATAAGCATGACGTCGGCGTTCTACCCCACCGACGATGCGACCCGAAGTAAAAAGTTCGTGGTGGAAAAGGTAGATAAAAGCATTTCTAAGCATACCGCTACTGCACGCCGCATATAGCCTCAGAGCTCCTGGTGCGCTGCTTCTTGACTACGAGCGGTCCAGCTTCCAATTGTTTTCCATCTTTGCCCCTTGATACCCGCCGAACATCCCGCAACATGGCGATTCCCAACCCCAACGCGCCCCATCATGAGGACGATGATCCGCACCAGGAAAACGAGATGCTCGACGCCGACGAGGCAGATGAGGAGATATCAGACGATGGCGACGTGCCCATGGATTCGGACGACGAGGGAGCCGGAGATGAAGAAATACAGATGTCGATCCAGTTGCAGAACGATTCGGCGGCGCATTTCGATAAGCACACAGACAGCATCTTTTGTATAACGCAGCATCCCGTACACTCAGACATAGTGGCTACCGGCGGAGGTGACGATGCGGGCTACGTATTTGACACGAACTCGGCGCCAGCAGCAGCAGCAGCCAACGGGCAACCGCAAGAACGGGAAGGGCTACAAGAGCTGTTCAAATTGGATGGGCACACGGATTCTATCAATGCAATTGTGTTTTCGGAGCCGAAGGGGCAGTTCGTTGCTACTGCGGGTCTAGACGGAAAATTGAGGGTCTGGCAGGGCGTGCCCGATGGGACAAAATGGAAGTTTCTAGCGGAGACACAGGAAGTCGAAGAGATTAACTGGCTGATCACAAATCCTTCGTCGAATCATCCTAACGTCATTGCATTGGGTGCCAACGACGGAAGCGTCTGGGTGTATCAAATTTCCATCGACAAGGGTAGCGAGTTGCAGGTTCTACAGGCATACTATCTGCACACCGAGACATGCACGGCTGGTGCTTGGAGTCCTGACGGTAACCTACTGGCCACAATCTCCGAAGATTCAAGCCTGTACGTGTGGGATGTTTTCGGCGAGGCGGCTGCACAAGGTCTCACATCCTCAACAAATTCGCAAGCTGTTGTTGGCTTGACAGGTGTGGACGAACGCTTCCGTGTGGAAGGCGGTCTGTACAGCGTCGCCATTGCGCCCTCAGGGTCTTTCGTTACTGTCGGTGGCCCTGAAGGCCACGTCCGTGTTATCGGTCTGCCTCGCCTCGCCGCTATTTCAGAAGCAGGGGCATCATCTGGCGGTCAGGGCGCATCAGCGAAGGCAGGCGGGTCGAAGCAGGCTGCAGCGAAGGGCGGAGCTAGCTCGGCTGGTCAAACCGGACAGATTCTCGCTAGTCTACAGGCTGGTACTGACAACGTCGAGACGCTGTCATTCTCATTACCACCGCTCACGCTCATGGCCGCTGGTAACGTCGACGGCAGCATCACCTTGTTCGACACTGCACATCGCTTTGCAATCCGCCGACGCATCGAAGATGCGCATTACGATGAAGAGTCTCCGCAGGCAGTAGTTAAGGTGGATTTTTTGAAAAAGGAAGGTGCTGGTGCATGGCTACTGACATCTGTGGGCTACGACGGCGTGTTAAGGCGGTGGGATGCTAGGGGTGGCACTGCGGCTGCAGCAAAGGGGCTTGTCGGTGAATGGAAAGGTCACAGAGGAGGCGGCGAGGGAGGCGGAATCATGGGATTTGTTCAAGGCGGAGATGGTAGTAAAGTGATCACGGCAGGTGACGATGGTGTCGCCTTGGTGTTCTCGACACCGTTGGCATAAAGGGAAAAGCGGTTCAAGTTCCGTGAATGCACAAGCAAGATAGATTCCTTCATCAAAGACTCAATATCCACTCGTCCTACTACGCAGGCTCGATCCTCAGACTATCTGCACAGATACTCCCCGCGCCGAGAACGAATCCTGCCGCCCCACCACGATACTCATTATCATTAGCGTAAACCTCCACGTCGCCCATTCTCGCAGAAATTTTTCTACCGCTCACCTTAACCTGGATCTCATACTTCGCATCCAAACCCCACCCCACCCCCACCCTCCCTAGCAACTTCCTCTCTTCGTCCCTCGCTTTCACAACTTCCAAAAACCCTTTCCTCAGCACAGCCCCATACCACCTATTGAGCCCCTGTACTCGAACGATCACCCCGTGCCCATCGCCCATATTCACCATGAACCCCTTCACACTCGCTGTATAATTTTCCCACACCTTCGTGCCAGTGTAAAAAAGTCCCTCCCCCTCATCTTGCGCGAGAAAAAAAGAGGGTCCGAACTTAGTGTGAACTTTATGGATTGAGGAAACCCATTGGTATTGCCACATAGTTTCTGGGACGGAAGAGAGTCCCGGGCCGGTGGTGAGAGGAGGCCGGATGAGTGTCATGCAGGGGCTTCCGGTGTATTTTATGCTGTGGAGGTAAATCGTGCCTGTCGTGGCGGAGAGGGCGGAGAGGGCGATCCCGAGTTGTTGTATGGGTTTGTTTTCGAGAGCGAACGGAATTGTCCATGTTATCGTTTGTTTTTGGCCAGGGGTGAGGGTGATGGGTGGGCTGGAGGACGGGCTGAGGGAGTCGTCGAAGTCGTAGGCTTTGAGAAGGACGCTGGCGTTGATGGGATTGTAGTTTGAAGGGGGAGCAGAGAGGATCACGGTAATGGCTTGGCCCGGGGAGAGGAGCGGACAGGCCATGAGTTCGTAGTCGCGCTTTACAGCGAGAGCGTCGAGGGGTGTGAAGACCTGGGTGAGGACTTCGACTTCGGCGATTGGAGAGTGGAGGGTGATGCCCAGAGCTGAAATACCGTTGTCGAAGGCTTGCGCTACGAGAACTTCTGAGGGCGCAGAAGCGCATTGAAAACCTTGGACGCTGCCCGGGAGGGAGAAATGCCACTGTGCGCCATCCTTAGGTGCGGGAAGCGCAGGAAGCCGCGCTACTTTGTGGGCTATGTTGGCGAGGTCGTATGTTATTCGCACGGCATCGTTGATGGAATAGCCACCGTCGGCGCTTGATATCAGGGCTCGATCGGCCAACGGTCCTCGCCAGTCGAGTCCTTTTTCGTTCTCGAAGCCCTCAAGCCCATTGATGATTCCCACTAGGCAACCAACGTTTCCAGAGTTGCAGTCAGTATCCCAGCCGGAGGTGTTAATTATGTGCATCGCTTGACTGAAATCGTGACCCGCATACAGCAAAGTCATGATCATGATGAGATGGTTCGGGATCATATGGCAAATCCCACCATACTTGTCGTACCCGTAATTATCCTCAATGCGCTGCCTCGTCTTCTCCCAATCCCCGTCTTCTTTCACCCAAGCTCTCACATCTTCCACCGGATTCCTCAGCTCCGAATCTTTAGGAATATAATTCAGACCTTTATCCAAGAGATGCTCTAGGTCAGAAGACACAAACGCCTCCGCCTCCATAACCGCCCACAACACCGCGGCATCCACCGCGCACCCATCATGACTTACCCTCGCCGCCTCCCTCGCAAATTTCGCTGCCATCTCCGCATCACCAGGGCACACCATCGCCCACGCATCAATAAAGATCTGCGCCCCAATCTGCTCGGCTAACGTTTTTCCGTTCGTCTCCATGCTCCCACTCTGTGGAGGCTTGACCCCTCTCTTCAAATTGTTAAACGTCGTATGCTCAGTGCTAATCCCGTGGCCTCCCCACCAAAAAATGGTGCGAAGGGGGATGACATGGTTCAACCAAGTCTCTCCGATGCGCTCGCAGGAGAAATCCGGGTCGAAGGAGTGTTCTTCTAGGGCGCGCACGAAGGCGAACGTGCCGGAAACGTCGTCATCGATTACGACGAGTGGGACATTAAATCTTTCGTGGACATAATGATGGATGGGGCCCAGTCGTTGTTGTATCTCCTGGTAAGTCCAATTCTCGAAAGGCCGCCCAATGTAAACGCCGATCAGTTTTCCTAGGACACCGGCGTAGGTCTTTTCGATGTAACTTGGGGGGGAGGCTAGTCATTTCCTTGTTGAAGAGCGAAATGTGGGAAATGTAGGAGGGAAGTCACGATAATGATGCTCTAGTAAGAAGAGTCGTGGTGGTAATTCCCCACTACTGTTACCTAGCCCCACTTTTACATGCGCTCATGTCCGACAATACGTACCGTCGAATTTGCGTGTAGGGTTATAGAAGACTGGCTACTGTTGTATTTTGTATTTTGTTTGAATGTTAATATTGTCTACCGTATGCGCATCGGGCACAGTGTGAATATATCGTAGATTGCTAAACAATAGCGTTGACGCTCCTTCCAAGGAAGCAGAAGCGGTAAAATACCGAAAACTATACGTCTATCCGAACATTGAACTCCGCGCTATATAGTACAGTTCATACACGCAAAACCTGCTCATACATTCTCCCAGTTTTCTCTTTTGACAAGAGGCAAATTCTCGAAACCATTAGTTTCCCAGAATGGTTTTTCCTTCTTTCCCTTGTTGTTTTTCCCAGCCAGCATGGCAGTCAATCCGCATGGATCGATGAACGTCATGATCCAGCTCTGCTCGCTTTTCCAACCGGGTCCTTGCAGTTCTGTAACCCCATCCTGGGCGAGGTAGATATGGTAATCCTCGGGGTAGGTACAATCTTGGGTGGGATCCGTTCCAGAGAAAAGAGTTGCTAAGCATCAAGCCAGCTTCAAATACATAGAAGAACCATTCGTAGCGGACGATAGGTGAAAGACTCATCGGATCCCAATCGGCTCCAGGATTCGCAGGAGCGCGTGACGCGCCAAAATGTTCAATAGTTCTGTAGATAGTACGAACCATGATTAGGACTGTACTGACGTAGAGAGTCATTAGCGGCGCTTGCACTTTGTTGCTCTTGATATTCTCCCTCCGGCATCTGTGATGGAAGAGTCCAGCGATTCCCGCGAAAATCGTAATGACAAGTATTTGGACAATCAAAGCGGTCTTCATGAGTATGTGTCCAAGATCTTGGACCGACTGCTTTTGAACATTGGGATTCGCAAGGAGAGCGACGCCGAGTGCGTTCAGGATTTCCACGACTGTAGACACCGCGCCAAAGGTAGTAAGCGTGCGTCCAGGATGGAGTGGGGCGAAGTATGGGACATAGTATAGGATTCTTCCAAGAACATGATAGTTTGCGAGCTCTAGAATCGGTCTACTCTTTATCAATATGGGCGTTACACCTGACAACAAACCTTGAGCTGACTTACGGAGCGCAATAGATGCAGATCGTGCTGACAAGGTATATAGTGACGTTGGAGATGTGGAAAGCGCCATATTCTCGTAGTGCGAAACCCACCACGAATAGTAAGCAGCAAAAAGGGTGAAGGGCGGTAATCTTGAAGGACTTGTAGTGGATACATTGCCAAAGATGCCATGCACCCGAAATGAAGAAAAGAGCTGCGAAGACTGCAGGTCCAACCTTAGTTGGCTGGTAGAAGTAGACACTTCCAGAAACTTGCTGTCCGTCAGGCATGGTATCAAGAGCTTGATAGAGCTTGTGAGTAGAGTGATAGATCCGCACGACTTGCGAATCGACCTCATTATATTTGCAGATTTATCCCTATACCTGAAAGTGGAGATATCATTGCATCAAGGTCAGCCACTCAGAGACCTTCGCTGCTTGCAAAGGCTAAGCCGAAAGGGTAATTGATATGGCCAAGAAATGACGCAGCCTCGCGCAGGGCTGAATTGAGTGTTGAAAGGACATCGCGACTGAGGCTGAACAGCACCCAGTTCTCTACGTATGCGACCAAGGACCCTAGTCGTATATACCCCACGCTACAGAGAGTGCGGAAATACCAATTATATAGTGCAAAATAAGCACACCCGGACTGCACTGCAGACCCTATTGTAAGCTTTCCGGATGACAGAGGAAATGAGCGTCTAGGTAAGCAACACATCGGACAGTAACGTGCATACCTCTATCACTACGCGTGAAGCCTCACGTGAAGGGGCCCTGTTGCTCGAATATGTCGCAGCGTGCCATGCTGCCGCTGGAATCGAGCTAAGATGCCAGGACCATGTTCACCGCTCATCTCGCCCGCTCATGATGCATCTGATGTAAAATTCTGGCGGTGGACCAATGCTGCAGCGGATTTGGGGACTATGGGCGGTACCGGACGGGGCGATGCACAGCCGTTCGCTGCTTCGTTCGAGAGGAACATTCGGAGGTAAACCCTGAAGCCCGTCGGTTTTTCGCCCCGAGACTAGTCCTATCCAAGGCAAAAAGTTGACGCACAGGCCATCTAGACATCATAAGCCCCAGTGCCCTCAGCCCTGCACCACCGTTCATCACCCCAACCTTGTGTCGATCCACGGAGGCTTCAGCACCGCTGCCTCCAGGCAAGGAAATAAAAATGCAGAAATCGCTCTCGTCTCTTGACAACGGATGATACATGCAGCCACCTCTACCAGCCTTTTTCTTTATTGGTGCCTGGCACGCTTTTCACCTCGTCGTTTCTACTCCTTTCGCGTACCGTCTTGACAAGTTTGGGGAAGAAGTTTGAAGACTGATTATCGTGTTACTATAACACGCATATAGTGCTGGATTGCCCTGTGCTAAAGCCAGGACCCAGAAGAGGCAATCAGACGGGCCAAGAGTGCTCATACTGTTACCTCACCATGCTTCACCTTAGTAATCAGCGAGACAGCCATCAGATTACTATTGTCAGGGCAGAGTCCCGTGCGATGAACCCTGTCCAAAACACGCAGAAAGCGACCCGGCAATGCTGGGAATGCCTCAAGCGTCGCCTAGTCTGTGACTACACGTTGCCACACTGCAAGAAGTGCATTAAAAAGGGTAGAGAATGTCCCGGTTATGATGCACGAAAACCACTGCAGTGGGTCGAGCCCGGGAAAGTCACGTCGCGAAAGCCGAAAAAGCCGTCTAAGAAATCGGAGCTAGTTCTACGAGTGTGTCAAAGCCGGCCACCAATGGAGGAATCCAAGAGCGACACTAGCTGGAGCATCGAAACGATCAGAAGCGAGGAGGAAGCAACGGTCGACGAAGAGGAACTGCGCAACCTCTATCAGAAGAAACTTGCCGATGTTCGGACTGTCGAGGACATCGATGAGATCATCCACTTCGCGAGCCAGGATAGAATTGAGGAGATTGTTTCAAAGCGTCTAGATCAAGAAGCAGCGAGGATCCTCAAGATGGAGAAAGACCCTCTGAAAGGACTTGAACGTGTTCTGCGCTATTTGCGCTTGGAACAGATCCCAACGTACAATCTACAGAGCGACACATGCGAGGTGGTGCAAGCAATCAATTACTGTATGCTCAACCCCAGACCCCACTATACCAAGCCTTTAGTCTGCCCATACCAGGTGGTACCCTGGGCCAACTTGCAGAAACGATCTATGCGGACCTACGGACTTGGTATTGTGCCCTTTTTGTACGGGCTAATATGTTCTCAGTCAACACGCGCGTGATACCAGAAGTCACGGGCGAAGAGTTTGCTTTAGTCCGCAACCCTCAGATCATGTTCTTTCCGATGACTGCATTGCATCTGTTAACTCCTTCCACACACAGCAGTTTCGTTTGCATCGCTTTGCAGCATTACATTAATAGACTTCCATCCGGAGCGAGCGAGAAAGCACTCTTAGCCAATGGGCCGAAGATCTTCCAATACCGGGGAGAAGCCATCCAGGAACTAAGTAGGAGGGTCGCAGATCCCAGGACCATGTACAGCTTGGCGACCATTACCGATATAGTAGTTTTCTTGACTAACGAAGTGAGTTGTGAAATATATTATTGCGCGAATACCTGATTGCTAACACAAGTAAACAGTTGCAAGCCCAGACGCTGCCGCAATGGCGATCGCACATTGACGTGCTAATGCGCATAATGAAAGTACGTGGAGGCATGATGGCCATGTACCGCAGCGCATACTATATGCATGCAACAGTAGTGCTTTTTCACCTGTAAGTCGTCTTGCTCTATAGTGCCTCAAATTTCAGCTTCAATCTGACAATGAACAGCGTTATAACTATGAGCAACTCTACCAGCCCAGCTCACGATCAGGTTGTATTAGCTCCCACATTGGCAGAGGAGCTCGAAAATGCCGAAGAGATGTACCACGAGCTATTTCCTTATTGCCTGTGTCCCCCGAGTGTGTTCTTCTACATAATTCGGATCTCCAACTTGCGTAGAGAGGCGTCACAAGCGTTGATTTTAGAAGATGATCTGACTGGTCTTTCACAATCGGCTACCAATTTGCTCTCCCAACTCGAGTCGTTTTCGGTCGATGACTGGGCACAACCAGGCTCCAATAACGCAGACTGGCTGGCAATCGGTTCAGCATTCAAGCATGCAGCGGCAGTCTATTGTATCATGTCGCTTCAATCGCTAGCGCTGTTACCGAACGATGCGCAAACAAATCAGCAGCTGGAAAGCCACGGTGACCTTCTGGCATTGCACTTAAAGAAAGTGATTGGTTACCAGCGGACGAGAAGATTCGCCAGTTGGCCCCTGACCGTTGCAGCAGTAGAGGCAGGGTATCGCGGAGAGGCTAGGCGCAAATGGGTTGAAGACACTTGCTTAGAGATGGCCCGTGTCTTGGGAACCAACTGTCCATTGAACCTAAAGGCTGTAATGAGGAAATACTGGGCAAGCGGGAACCCTGGGTGGGAGGAGTGTTTCTATAAGCCGTACGCGTTCATGTTCTGATGATTATAGATTGTACATATCAATTGATGTATGGTATAACTGTGGAAGGCTCAGCGTTGCCCTGCGGAGGTAAGGTGACGGAAGATGAATGCGCGTTATGGTCATATCAGCTCAATACATTCTTGAATGTTACTTGGCCTCTCTAAGTGCCTATCATACAGTTGTTATATTAGTCTGAATAGCGTCCATTGAGCATCCTATGGTTTCGTGCTGAGATGAATCAACATCTGGTACGATGATTGGCCCGCCCGCGCGCTAGTGTAGAGATGGCTAGCTTTACGCCTAGCGACGCAGACCGCCCCTTCGCGTCCGCTGGAATCACCTCTCAACGACTCTTCGGGAGCGCTGCTTGCAACCATCAGTTGGTCCTTCGATCAAGTTCGCTCCTCTATCATCACTCATCTACTTGGATGTGCGAGCGTAAGCTGCGCAGCTACTCACCACAGTAAGTTCGAAGCGAAGCGCGCTTCAACACGTCAGTACAGCGAGTGATGTGCGCGAAGCGGGTAAATATACATCCGCACGAAAGTAGAAGCTACGCCGAATAGCATCCGCGTCGATCGCAGCCATCTCTCACGTGGTTAATATTGCTTGGCTCGGAGAAGCTCCAGAGTTTGACCAGTATGGAAGGTATGTTGCATTATCTCAGTCCTCATCGACTCAGCGCACGGTCACAACTCTTTGGAGGCCCTGTTTATTCTGCTTTGCATTTTCTATGCTACGGTAGTACGTCGTACACGACTATCTGTTGCACTGAGTAATCTCCGTGCTGAAACTGACAACTTTGAAGGCGGCATTTTTCTTGAGCCACCCGAGGGGGAACCTGGCCATGGGCATGGCATCAAACGCTCTAGATCGAGTGACAAGGCAGGCGTCGAGTCGCAAACAGTTCCCAAGCAGGGCAATTCGAGGGATCGTACGAGACCTTGCTCCCAAGAAACGGTGCAACAGGATGATGCGAGCGAGCTCCGTGGAGAAGCTGCAACGACTGCCGAATCAGATCTAGCAGGGCTAACAGATATACATAACCCTGCAGAGGAGAAAGAAGATGAAGAATTGGTCCTTGATGATGACGATGAGGATGTAGACCTGGACGGAGTCGGAGATGGCGAAGGCAAGCCCAAAGAACCAACGGCCAAAATGAAGAAGAAAATGGATGTAATGGCGAAAATCGTGCAGAAAGAAGCCGGTCTTGTAATTTTGACCGTGGAGCAGAACCACCTTATCCCGACCTCCTTCAACGTTACCTGGGACCAAGACAAAACCAAGCTTCTTTGTTCTTACAATTGGCAAGGCACCAACGATGGCACCAATACGATCTTCGTGCCTGGAGGCCCACCCAAGTTCGTTCCGAACAGGGCTTTGCCTTGCGTCTTGGAAGCGGACTCAGGCTTCCAAGCCGCTGATTACAATTACGTGCGAAAGCCTTGGGAACCATTCGCTCCACTGTTTACTGCATTGGGCGTCATGAATCCCGGTTATCAATTTTTTGATATCGACGTTCTGGCCGATCGCAACAATCTCAGGATTCTACTGGAATTCTGCCAGGGGAAAGCAAACGGACCGCTTCGTCTGGACGTACATATGGTGTACAATACTCTTGTCCTCGTTCGCAAGGGCGAGAAGTTTTGGAAACGACAGATTTCTGGAGTCGGAAACAACTTCGAGAAGAATTTCACACGACCTGGAGATGACATGGAGGATGCTACAAGTCACTATAGAGCGATTCGATATCCTATGGGGCCTCTGGAGGTTGTCGTTCGCTTTGAGGCTGATGCCTACTTCGAAGAGGCCGCTTCTGATGACCTTGATCCGACTGAGGCCGACGCTGTGACGGGCGCTTTGCTAGCGGAACGACCACGTTACGACTTCCGGCCACCCGTTCGATTCTTCCAGAAGGGGCACATCGTACCGACAGCTCAGGTGGCAGAACTAAAGACGGTGACTCATAAGGACGAAGGGACGTCCGCCGTCTCGTGTCAAGACCAGCTCTGGTTCGGCCGCACTACTCATCTCTTGACCGGCGTATATAAGATGGAGGATGGAAAGGGAAAGATCCTTCGTATCAAGTACGAAAACGCAAAAGAAAGGGTCGACAGGTGGGAGGAGAAAAATCAAGATGCTCTCCGAAAGCTTGTGGATTTGCTCTCGCGCATACGAACGGCGTTGAAGCAACAAGAAGGACCTGTACGGGCGGGCCTTCTCGTACGCGAGAGTAGAGATGGTCCGCTGATATTGAGGACTATGCTAAGAAAATCTCATATCATTGGTAGGGAGTTCTTCTCGACACACTGGGAGCGCAAACCTGCTAGTGCTCCCCGCGGTCACAACATGAGGGGTCGCTGGAGTGCTGACAGGTCGCATCAGGGTCGACTACACCCTGGTTTGCGAGGCTACCACACTCCATCCGGTGGTGCGCCAGGTAATGAGCACCACTCGCAAGCAAGCTACGGTGCAAATGGTCACCAACAGCACCCTGCTCATGAAGTACATTACAACTGGCAACAACAGGAAAGCTTTGGACCGAATGGTTATCGACGTCACCAGGGTTATGGGGGACAAAATACTCAGCAACAACCTGGCGGCTACGGAGGGTACAGCTTCCAACAGCAGAACGTATACGAAGGACGCTATGACCAGCAACAGCCTGGACGCGGGCGTGGAGGCTGGAGCGGAGGCCAAAGATCAGGAACCTCAAGAGGGTATAATGACGGCCGTGGCCGTAGTCGCGGCCGCAGTGGCTCCAACTATGGCGATCCCACCTATGGACGTCTTCCCAGGGGCTTCTAGCCGTCCCTTGCTGTACCCGAGTCATAAGTATATTGTCTGATCTTGTACGAATCAGCAACACGATCAACTGTACTCACACTTCAGGCCTTTGCAAAGGATAGATTGGGGGCGCATCTATTCGTTATCGAACATAGGACCAGTTCGCATCACCCAGCGAGCACTGGGGTGCAATCCCAAAACTATCTTGGCCAACGAAAGAAACGGCGGACTTGTCTTGCGATCTCTGACAACGAAGAGTTCAGTATCAAGAGTTAGGTGTTCCGGTATTTGTCTTGCTTAGGGTTCAAACAACGTCTCGATCAATGTACAATAGCAGTAGCGTGTTTTGCCTTCGAGGTCTTCGGCCCAGTCCTTCCGCTCAGCCCAAGGCGAGTTCCCTCGGCAGTTGACAGGTAGTAACACTAAGAAGATCAACGTGAGGGGCGTTTAATTAATTCGCTGTACCCATTGGCGCCGCCAAGAGGTTGGAGATCCGGCGCAGTGGTCGCCACATAGTGCCGTGATGGGTTCAATAGCGGAAGCAATATATGACACCTCCCAATGGATCAGGAAGCGAAGCATGTCAGATTAGAGGGAGCGTCGTTGAGGCGCGACTTCGAAAGACAAAAGTGGCCAGTTATTCAATATCACGGTGTTGACTCCGAGACTCTAACCCTACTGCGATCACGAAAATACTCTGTTGACTATGTTCTGGCAAGTAGTTGCGCTTTCTGCGCTTTTCCTGTGTGATTCTTCAGCAGCGCCTCAAATTGGAGGCGGAACTTCAGGCTCTGCAGATTTTCTACGCTTCGGATGCTCGCAACTAGTCGTGGAAAGGACGGACCCTTTGGTCAACCCTGGACTGCTTCCGTCTCCGCATATGCATCAAGTTGTCGGAGGCAACAGTTTCAACATTACGATGGATCCGGATAGCATTGACCCTCCGAAGACCTCTACCTGCACGAGCTGCATCTACACCGAAGATACTAGCAACTACTGGACGGCTTCGATCTACTTTAAGTCGCCTGAGAATGGAACATACAAGCGTGTCCCTCAGATGGCGAACGGGAGGCTCAACAATACCTTGCTCGAACAAGACGGAGGGCTCACAGTCTACTATATGCGCCCATTCTCGGGTACAAAGACAATGAAGATGACTGCTATGAAGCCGGTGAGTACCATCCTGGTGAGGTATGATACAAAAGCTGATCGTCTGAAGGGCTTCCGTATGCTTGCAGGCGACTCCACACTTCGGTCAAAGAGCAACAAGTATCCAGGCATCTGCCATCGCTGTCTGGCTGAGGGTGATCGCGTGCATGGGGGTGCTGGTGCTCCCTGTGACAGCAAAGACACTTCTGAGTTCCCAAGCGAACCTTGCCCGGGTGGCATCCGTGCTACAGTCATCTTCCCTTCTTGCTGGGATGGGAACAACGTCGACAGCCCCGATCACCGTAGCCATGTCGCTTATGCACCTGGCAATAGTGCACTTGCAGGGGACAAGTGCCCGTCTACACATCCCGTCCGGATTCCTCAGGTCATGTATGAGATTATGTATGATACGAGCGGAGCGATGAGCGACCCCAAGTACTTCAAGGATGGCAAGCAGCCGCTCGTATACAGCTTCGGCGACCCGTAAGTATGGATCCTCCGTTATGCATTTAGTCTTATGTGATTATAGGACTGGATACGGCGCACACGGAGACTACCTTTTCGGCTGGAAGGGCGACGCTCTCCAGCGCGCAATGGACAACCTAGGAAAGGGCTGTGCTAGCGAAGATTGCACCAAGATCTTGAAGATCCAAGCCGGCAAGGATGCCATTGCATGCACAAAAGCGCAGCAAGCTCATGAAGATATTGGTAACAGCAACTGTACGTGCTGTCTCTACCCCAATCTAGATATGATTACTAATTTTCGATTTAGGGCTCACAGAAATTCCTGGCAACGTCCAATTCTAGGGATAGTATTCATATTGAAGGACGAACGATATTGTTCAATACAGCTATACTTGACATCTGATTGACGTCCAACCCATTTTGTTCACTCCTAGCGATCTTTTGGTCATACGAGTCAATACTCAGCACCCACAGCCTCCGTAGGGTGTAATTCCTTTCTGTGTACTCTGACTTTCCCCATGAAAATGACCTAGTTACCTCACAGCGGCCTCCAAGCTCGAATCTTGCCCACTGCCAAGGAAACATGACAGGTAGGCGATCAGGTGCGCTAAGGAAATAACCCTCCGCGTAGTTCGTATAAACGTACCATGACGTGAAGACCATCTGCTAGGAGACTGACTCAAAGTTTCTAGAGGTTAGAAAGGTGATCTTTCAACTATTTTAGACAATTTCTCTATCATATACACTCTAAGATGAAGTCTGGTCTGTTTAACTAGGGCGCATCCCGCGCTAGTGTATTGCAGCTGCGTGTCTTAACTCCATTATCTAGGTATACCGTGTTTGAACTTTTTGATGACGTAGTACTGGAGCCTTATGTTCCGATGTGGTGAGGATGAGTGACTGTGATTTCTTCCTTTTACCAATATTTCCACCGGGTGCTTTCCCATGTACATGGTGGTAGCGTGTGAAATCTGCTGGCACATATACATAGGTCTCTTGCATACGTGGACGTCCTTCCATGTTCAGGTCTTATTTCTGAACACGCCTTGTAGAGCGAGTCACCCTTACGTAGACTATCACAAGTCCAGCTTACAAGCGCAATAACTACCAACTACCAAGCCCATAGCCGGCATCCACTTCTACGTAAAAGGTAGAATCTTTCAAATTGGGTGCACTGCACCAGCAAGCCGCGCCTTACGCATCTTTCTCCCTCTCGACAACAAATCCATCCCAGTCCGGCATCGCGTCCCGACATGACTTTTCATACACCACCAAACCCTTTAGGTAATTGAGCATCTCTCTTTTCTTCCCTGGAATATTCGCGCCCATATACCAACTGTTCGTACTTTCTAGCAACGTCATCTTACTCGTTGCCGCAAGATCGTTCGCCCAAGCTTGTGCCGCTTCCGGCGTGGCATCAAGGTATTTGACCTTCTCTTCTCGCATCTTCTTGACCATGTCCACAACGATGTCGACTTGGACTTCCACTATTGTTGGGCCGTTACCGAGGGCCGTTGGCGCTGTGCAACTGTTAGCTATCTCGACACATTGCATTTAGAGTGTAGTTTGGCTTACCTTGCGGCCCATACACCATCCACATATTCGGATGGCGAGGAGCTGTCATGCCGAGATGCGTTTTAACACCATCCTTCCACCGCTCTAGCAATTCCTTTCCATCGGTACCTTCGATACCCATGGTAGAAAATGCACCGGTATAGTTATCGAAGCCCGTTGCCAGCACGATGATGTCAAACGGTATCTCTTTTCCTCCGACTCGCAGGCCTTCTTCCGTAAACGATTCGATTGGCGTTGTTTTCAGGTCTATAACTTGGACATGTTCTTTGTCGCACATTTCATAGTAATCCTGCTCGATACCAGCGCGTTTTGCCATGAAAGCGTTTGGTGGCTCAATAGGCGCAAGAATATCTCGCTTGACTGGATCCTGTATCCTTGCACGCGTCTTCTTGACCCAGAAGTCATATACGATGCGACTGTCCTTGGGATCAAACAAGACGGATAAGAAGTTTCCACCGGTGAAGTTGAACCCGCCTCGTTCGTAAAGCTCCTCGAGAAATTTTTCTGTTTCTTCTTCCGACAGCATTTGTGGTGAAGAGACTGGCGGCGGATTGTATGGAAAACCACCGAAAGAAGCTCTTGCGGCAGTCTTTAAGATGTGATCCAAAAACCCTTTTAAAGAGTCTTGTTCCTCCAAGCTCAGTTTTCGCTGCTTCATCGGAAGAGCGATGTTAGGCGTACGGATGAGCGTGACGAGCTCCTTCGCGTCTTTGGACATGTCTTGCACGATCTGCAGAGCTGTCGAACCGCTGCCGATGACTGCCACCCGTTTCCCGTGTGCATCCACGCCGCCTTTTGGCCACTTGCTGGAGTGTAATAGCGTTTTACTGTACCGGTCGAGACCCTCCCATGTCGGCACGTGCTGCTTGTAAGTCGAACCAGTGCAAAGCAAAAGATGTTTGCACGTAGCCACATGACCCTGCTCGGTTCGTATTGTCCAGCGGCCTGTCTCCATCTTGAAAGTGGCTTTGTTCACTAACGCATTGTACGTGGCGTCCTTGCTAATATCTAGGACTTTGTCAATATGATCGAAGTATGCCTGCAGCTCCCGCCATCCGGGGAATCGTTGTGTCCAGGTCCACGTTTTGTACACTTCCGGGATTGACAGTTGATAGAAGGGAACCTCAGAATCGACTCGAGCTCCAGGGTACGTATTGTTACTCCAAACGCCTCCTAGTCGCTCTGTTCCTTCGAAAAGGTGAACCTTGAATCTCTCAGCTCGTAACCTCCAAACTGCGTACACGCCGCCGAAGCCTCCGCCTACAACGAGGACGTCGACATCGACTTCTTTCTTTGCCGCCATGTCGATTGGAGATGCAAAGACGAAATCCAAGCAATCTGCAATACATAATAAGGGACACATTGCTGTGCCTCACTACGCCCCATTACGCCCCACCTGCTCCTTTGTAAGCATGTCGATCTCAGAGTGTCGAGTCAGTATTATTGAAATCCGCTAACCCGCCAGATCAGAGTTACCTATGGTATCTATCAAGCAGTACAGTACTCTACTACGCCTCTGCCTTTGATCATGAAGCAAGTTTACGCCCCGTAAGCGCCAACGCCAAGGTCTAGTCGTAGAACGGTCTACTATATGAATACGTTTAGATTGTATTTCACGACTTTCAATAAGAGACGAGGTCAGCCGAAGCCTTGTAGGCGCATGGCCGAGGTAATGTTGATGGCAAGGCTGATGCTCTGACGATAGGGCTGATGCCGAGAAGGCTGCCTTCTTGTCAATTATCATAGCCAAGCACAACATCAACACGGGATTTTTGAGTACTCTTCGGATGGCGCGTAGCTCCATAATAATAAGCCATGCTAATGTGCATACCTGCTCAAGTTGTGGAATCATGGCCATGACGTCTATAGAGAGAGCAAATGACAACGCGAGAGCCGCACTCTCCGCGAACAATGTCGACGATCAAGGAGCATGTAGACTTCGATACAATTCCGGACTTCAACATGTGGGATCTATTGCACCAAAAAAGTCGACTGATGCACTTTCTGGAGACTACTTTACCTGTACGTTTCATTTTGCACGACTTCGATGCCTGCTGGCAGCCAGGAAGGGACGGCAACAGGGCAACGTACGCGAGCATCACTCGAGGCGGCGATGTTGGAGGCGGTACATTATTTGCGGCACGTTTTGCTACTTGCATCGCCTCTTGTTGTACCATCGCGGATTCGTGTGGTCTGTTGCGGGCGAGGAATTTGCCGTTGGTAGGCATGAGGGAAGCAACGTACCTGTATCTGCAGGCACCAAGGCCGCAAGCAAGTGCAAGACGCAACCACCTAGACAACCATCTTCGGCGCGAAGTCAAACAGTCCAGACCCTCTATGGACCCTCTGATTGAGCCTCAGCAATAGCTCCCGCGCGCGATACTGGTCGGAGACCTAAAGTGGGGCGCGGAAGCAACCTGCGCCTCCGCCAGCGCTTCCCATCCTCTCATTCTCCTTCGCGAGCGCTGGCTCCAGATCCTCCAGAGCAGTCAACAGGTCTCGTACCTGAATGGCGCGTCTCAAAACCATAGTACCCTTTCGACAAGGTATGGTCGTGTTATAGCCGCCGCAATGCGTCTGTGCCACGGACGCTTGAACTCGCCTATTCGGAGAATTTCTGCCGCAGCGCAGTCCTCATCTCTCATTGGCCAGACCAGCGACTACCCAAGATTTCATGAAACAGAGACAACCAGACAGACGGCTGACAGGAATAGCACCGATTCAGCCATCTGGTTTCTGGAGTGATGCTGTTGAGCACGGAGCTTGGTTGTGTTCTGTATAAGATGCGCTGGTCGCCAGCGAGGAGGGAGCATCAAACCACTTCAGCAACCAACTCATTGCATCTACTCTTGACGAGTTTCCTTTTTCTCTTTCTTTATTTCCTTGAGTACTTCCATTGTCTCATTTGTCCATCTCTCGGTCGTCATTGCGTTCATTCGAAAAGTCATCAGCCAACACGCATTCACTTCTCTGCTGGCAGATCGCGCCCCGTTCATTGCAGCATAAAAGCACTCTGTCCGAATCTACAGCTCCTCAACCTTCAGCACCTTCTCTACAGCAGCCCTTCAACAGCCACTATATTAGCCACCATGCCTGTCCCTAGCTACGGTGCCATGCCTCTGAGCAAGACCTTTTTGCTCGTGCGCATCATGCAGGTCATCTCCATGGTCGTCATCATCGGCATAACTTCCAACTTCATCGGCAACATTGTGAACCTAGGTGTAGAGCCACCCAAAGAGTTCGTGGGAACTATCGCCATCGTACGTACTAGCACCGCCTGTCCAGCCATTGATCCAGCTAACTCTCATCTAGACCTGCATCGCAGCACTCTACATTCTTGTCAGTGTGGCCTACTACTGGTCCGAAGCCCATTTGGGCCTGCTTGTCATGGCAGGCGCGGATTCGCTCCTGCTCATCGCCTTCATTGTGGTCGCCGTCACAGTCGGCAAGCCCGTAAGCTACCTGAACTGCTACGTGATTGGCAAGACGAGCAGTGAGGTGGATGCGGCGTACGCGTATGCTTTTACCACGTCGGTTAAGAACAATTTGAATCAAATGGGTGACAAGCTGAGCCTGGGTCATTGGGCAGGCGTTACTAAGGGCAACTGCTTCCAGGCGAAGACTGTTTGGGGATTGGCAATTGCTATGTGGTGAGTACATTCTGGAACCGGTATTTGAGAAGGGCAAGATCTAATTGAGAGCAGCATTCTGTTCACCACTTCTTGCGCGCTTCTTCCCACGCTGTGGTACAAGAACAAGAAGGCGACCGCGGTCCCCAAGTCCGTTGAGGCTTAGATGCCATGGCAGACTTCCTTGTGCTTGCTGAGGGACTTGTCTCAATGGCAGGTTAACAAGGCGATTTCGATGGACCAGGCATCAAGGTGTCTCGTGCTTGCAATCGATCTGTTAAGCACGGTGTTCGGCCCACTTTTCGTTTCACTACAAATCCGACAAAAAATGCATTGGGAGGGGTTTCGTTCGCGGCGTTGTCTCTTTCTGTTCCGGACATTGAATGTCCCTAATCATAATGGCCTGCAGCCGTCAATTATCCAATAAAAATCTCTGCACCTGCAGCAGTGTGCGAAAAGTCTTCCTTGACGCTGGTGAAAGCGATGCAACGCAGAGAATTGTGCTGCACAGTGGTCAGAGCTCCCAGAAATCCCTGACTCGTGGGGGTTATTTGTGGGGCTTCCAAAGCTCGAAATCGATTGCCGCAAGACCGCATTCTCTGAATTGCAGCAGAAGATGCAGGGTAGGCGTCATTGTTTTGTGTAAAACAGTGACGGATGAGGCTGCCGAGACGCACAGTTTGGTAATAGGCTGCGCTGTAAGGCCATCGTGACCGCGCAAATGACGCGCCTTCGCGGGGAACGGCGATTGCGGGCCAAAGCTCCATGAAAGCCAAGTGGGCCTCATCATCGCATCCCCGCCCCTCACAATTCGCCATTATGCGTTTACGCTACAAGTACTACTCTCTGCCCTCCCTCGCAGGCTTCCCGTCTTCCTGTCGACCGCCGCGCGCCTGCGTCCGTGAACGAGCTTGTCCAGCTCAACGTCATTATCGGTACTCCGAGGCAGCCAACGCCTACGCAGACTACGCTCCAAGAGCTTACAACGAGACCATCAGCTGCCGGCCTAGCGCAGAACTGTCACAGTGCAAGGGCCAGAAAGCGAAGGATAGCTGCCCATCATGTCTTTGACGCATAGGGTGACTACTACGGAGGAGTATGAAGGGCCGTGGAGTCGCGAGGCAAGCCCGGACAGCAGGCACCGCAAAATGTCATTCAATCCTCTAGAGCCTTCAGGCACGTGGACACCTGCCCCGTTTGAAGAGCCGATAGGCGCCTTTGAGGTGCCCAAGTGGAAGAGAATACGTACGTCAATCTGCAACACATGAGAGCCAGCGCTGACAATGGACAGTCCAGGTCCTGTCCGCCGTGATATACTGCCTCTTCGCCGCTGGTGTCGTTTTCGGTTTCGCTGCGATAAAGCCCGTACTGCTCGAGGAGGGTGTCTACAGAAATCAATGCACAAGCAAGGAGCTGGAGAACGATGTACCCGTTTGTTACGGACAAGAGCTCCGGCTCAACCTCATGTTCACCGTAGCAGCAGTCTCCACGAACGTCGTTGCTCTGCCCGTTGGCACCATTCTCGATCGCTTCGGTCCTCGCGTAAGTGGCATCCTCGGCGCCATCTTCGTAACCATCGGATCGGTCCTCTTCGCCTTCGCTAGCGATGTGCCTTTCGATGCGTATATTCCAGGCTATCTGTTTCTTGCCTTGGGTGGTCCCTTCATTTTCATTTCCTCATTTCAGCTTAGCAATACGTTCCCGCAGTACTCTGGCTTGATTCTGGCTCTCTTGACAGGCGCCTTCGATACTTCAAGCGCGGTCTTCTTGGCATATCGACTCATATACCAAGCGACAGATGGGTCTTTTACACCCAAGAAATTCTTTTTGATATATCTCGTCGTACCAGTGTACATACTTCTTGTACAAATTTTCTTCATGCCCTCCACGTCGTATAAGACGGTCGGAGAACTGGCGCAGACTGTGGAGAACACCAACGACGGCGTTGAACATGAATCCGACGACGAAATCGACGACGAGAGAATGGTCCAGCAACTCCGGGACGCGCGGCGTATACACCGCGACAGCATTGTCAGCCAGATCACCGAGCTGCTAGGCACAAAGGATGCGACTGACCAAACGAAAGAGGAGGTCAAGAAAAAGAACATCTCCGGTGTTTGGGGCGCACTCCACGGAAAAACTGCAGCGCAGCAAGTACGCACGCCCTGGTTTATCCTGATCACCCTCTTCACCGTCTTGCAGATGCTGCGGATCAACTACTTCGTCGCTACCATCCGCTCGCAGTACACATACCTGTTCCACAGCGCTGCGAAAGCCAAGGAAATCAACAACTTTTTCGACATCGCACTTCCCGTGGGCGGAGTGATTTCGATCCCGTTCATCGGGCTTTTGCTCGACAACACCAGCACCACCTTCTGCATGTCCATGCTCGTCACCATCGCCACGGCCATTGGTGTTCTAGGCGTCATCCCCGAAACATGGGCCGCATACGGCAATATCATCCTCTTCGTCCTCTACCGCCCTCTCTACTACACTGCCGTGTCGTAAGTCTTCGCCTAGATTCTCACATGAATTTTGTAATTAACTCAATACAGCGATTACTCCGCCAAAGTCTTCGGCTTCGCCACGTTCGGCAAAGTATATGGCCTTATCATTTGCCTCGCCGGCATCCTCAACTTCGCGCAATCCGGCCTCGACGCTGCCACCCATCTGACCTTCCACAACAACCCCATTCCCATCAACGTCATGTTGCTTTCTAGCGCGCTACTAGTTGGGCTGGCGCTGGTGGGCTTCGTGGCGAGGAAGAGCCATAAGATTCACAGAGAGAACATTGAGGAAGAGGCGGAGGGTGCGAGGGAGAGGCTGATGCCTGGGGCAGATGTCAGTGTGGCAGACTATGGGAGTGTGAGCAACACGGAGACGGAGGAGCGAGGGAGGCGTTGAAGGAGGGGAAGGGGTTAGACGTGACTTGCTGATGAAATGCTAATTAACGATGAGACGATTTCAACTCCCTTTCGGCTGGATCTACCACACTCAATATACGACGTGATGGAACGATGCATCGGACGGCCAATTTGTTTTCTTCTGATATGCATGGCATGCACGGCGTTTTCAGAATTTTACCGTGGGCACCATTTGGATTTCGACTCTAGCGTTGCATATTCTCGTCCCAAAAGTACGATATCGCGTGTTTTTTTTAGAATGCATGCTTGTATCTTTTGGTTGTATATGAGAGCAAGAGACTGATTGTGTATTCGCGCTGGTGTAGAGACCGAACATATCAAGAAAGGAAGTTGGGAACGGCGCTTTGAGTACTTGGCAAGTGCATTCGATTGCTGCCGGGTACGATTGTTACAGGTGGAAGGCGCGCCTTCTAAAGAGCTTCCCAACGTTGACAAGAGCCTCAACACGAAATCCTCACGATCCCATGACATTTCCACACAAGTATAAGCCCTGCGATGATTTGGTTTCCGAAATTGCTGGCTCATTATTCGTTCGTGAGATGCACGGTGGGCGATACCGGCTACCGGACGGGTTGTGCGAGTTAGCAGATGGTGTTCACGGGTGAGGTTTACTGATCCAAGGACAGAGATTAGTATTCCGAGAAGGGGAAAGGAGTATGAATACTGTCGAGGCCACTCTATAAACGCAGCTTTGTTTCCGCCAGCAGCGCGTTCTCCATCTACACGTTCTCTCGTTCCAACTCTGTCTGTGAGTCTACCGTGGCGCCATCCAATTTAGCTACGAAAGACTTATTCTTCCGTGAGACTCCGATTGCTATTCGTTTCCTAACTCGCTCAACCTGAACTGAGCAGGGCACAGCCGAACGCAGCACAGCAGACCACCCTCCGCGTCCGTCTACAAAGGCTCCGCATTACGCTCTTCGATTTGGAGCTCCGCCCCCGCTGCCCTTATCCGAGGCGCTGCCCCTCGCCCCTCGCCCCAGCTCCTCGACGTCTGTGCAGCACCTACCCCACCACAAGTATTTGGAATGCCCTGAGCTTCTGCCCCCAGGTGCAGTGTACCTGCTACACACCCCGCTTCCGATACCGCCGAGATGCCTGTATCCGCTGCGGAGTGAGACTTGGTAGGAAGGTCTGAAGCTGCATTGCGTGCTTCAGCGAGGCTCCAACGGGGAATGCGAGATCATAAAGGGTCGCATAGCTATTCCGGGAGCTTCTTAGCATGCGCTATGATTCAACACACGTCATCAGAGGGGCAGGTGTTCCAGTGAGAAGCGAGCTGCTACCGGATCCGCGCCATACAACTGGGGACCTTATGATTTGGAAGGAAAGCTGAGGGTCCGTGGAAATGGAGTCGCCAAATGCATTGCAGATACCTGGGCAGGTTCAAGCTATATAAACAGCGCTCGCTCGCCCGGACACCTTGATGTCTTCCCTCGAACGCACCATACCGAATCAAGTCGTCAGAAGCGAATTGAATCAAATTACTATGTCGAGCTACAAGGGTCACTGCCACTGTGGAAACACAGAGTGGGAAGCGAAGCTGGAGTCGGACCAGCAAGGACACATTCTGTGGTGAGTAGCACCTGTCGAGAGAGGATGTAGAGAAACTGGAGCTAATATGATGCAGCCACTGCGACACGTGCAAGTACCTCTCCGGTTCAACCTTCACCCTCAATCAGATCATCCCTAAGGCCGCTCTCAACATTACCAAGGGCGAGTCTGATCTCGGCAAGGTATGTCGAGAACCAATCATCCCCTTAGGGATTCTAACCACGGCTAGTACACGTATTACGGCGAATCGGGCAAAGGCGTCCATTGCTACTTTGTAAGCAATGTCGGGGTACAAAGTGGTGTTCATGCTAGGCGATTGTCTAAGACTCCAGGCCTTATACCTTTAAGGCTGAAATCTTCTGACATCGGTAGCCGGCTACAACACCTACTTCACCCACTTCTCTGATTTGTGAACATTACACTGACTTTGTGCCCCCACCTTTAGTGCAAGAATTGCACGTCGCACGTATATCACCACCAGGAGGTTATGGGTCCCGATAAAATTGTGCTCCGCACTGGACTGTTGACTGAGGGTATCAAGAACTTCAAGCCTGCCGCGGAGATCTTTGGCAAGGCGAAGTTGCCGTGGGAAAAGGAGGTTGCAGAGACGTTTGAGACGTTGCCACCGTCCTAGATGCCATGAAAAGATTTATAGGAAACTAGCAAAAGCAATCGAAATGGACGAATTTGCCTGCAAGCTCGTGAGATTTGTGGGTGACCGAGTTTCGTGTACCCGTGACTCTCATGCATACATCATCTCGTTGATGTTATAATATCGTACAGCAAGCGGAGTTACGCCGGGGTATGCTATGACGCAATCAATTGCCTTTGGTGGTTTATTATCTTAATTGCGTCCGTAAGACTATTATCAGCACTTCAAATGTAAGTGCTGGTGAAGTAATCTAGAGCAAGACTTGTACGGTGGTATCATCCATTGTGTCTATAGGTCTTTCATTATACATCTCGATCCCATTCAATCCCTCAATCACCCTAATCCGCGAGCGGCGGGAAACTTCTCAAGAAATGACTCGGGCACTCATACCCGCTTGGGTTCTTATCCAGATACAATTGATGGTACGTCTCCGCGTCCCACCACTGACCCGCGGGCAACACCTCCGTCACAACGCCACCCTTCCACCACTGCTTATTCACCTTGTCCGTGATATCCTTCGCCTCCTTCTCCTGCTCAGCATTGTGGTAGAAAATGCCACTTCGGTATTGCGAGCCCACGTCCGGGCCTTGACGGTTCGCCGTGGTGGGATCGTGCATCTTATAGAAGAACTCGAGGATCGTGCGGTATGTGAGTTTCTCAGGATCATATACAACCTGTAAAGCTTCCGCGTCTGTCTTCCGTTAGCATTGCACAGTCTTCCTTTACTGCTCCCATTTTATCGTCCACTATATCTCTGTATCTGGGGAATCACTTACGGCCAGTGCGTCCACTGCACACAGCGCGATAACTCGGGCTCTCTGTGTCGCCACCGATATATCCCACCCGCGCATCCAACAGCCCTTTATTCGCAAAAGTCTTTCTGTACATGTGCTCTACACCCCAGAAACATCCTGCGGCGAGAGTGGCGGTTTGCGCGCCGGCGGGCACGTTCATTGGGGTGGCGGGTGCGTTGGAGGTCATGGAGAATGGGCGGATGAAGCGCGAGAGGAAGGACATAGAGAGGTAGGAAACCACCACTAGTAAGAAAGTCTGGAGGAGCTTCAGATTGAAGCGTTATGAAGAAGTGATTGGAGAGTGGGGGCTTTTGTATGGAAATTGTTTTGCGATTTGAGATTCGCCATCGAGAAGGGCACTGGAGCTTGAATGACGCTAACATCAGGGTGACAAATGCCCCGCGCCGCGGCAATAGCATGCTAGCTTGCTTCCACATTGGGCACAAAGTTTCCGAATCGACAACCCCAACCTCCGATGTGATTCCATCATCTTTACTTCGCCATCATGTTGCTGCGCGCGGTTTTGAGGGTGCGGCGCTCATGTTATCTGTTGTCTGCGCCGGGCTGACTTCGACTACGTACCGTGCACCGTACGCCCCGTTCACCCAAAGCCTGGTGAAAGTCCTGAATTCATGACACAACTCTGATTCCATTATCTTGACATGGCCATGAGGCTGATGCGAGCGATTGCAGAGAGGTGTCTTATTATCTGTCTCTCGTACACTGACCAAGCTGACTTTGCATCGCTCCCGCGCAATACCGAACCGTCAGTTTACCCGGACCCGAAGCCAGGCGGAAGCTTTACGACCCAGGTCTCTTCGAAGCACGGATCATGAAGCGGGCTCTCTTCCATCCTTCCTCACGGCCTTCCTCGTCGCTGTCGTCTGATCTTTTGTGCTTCCGTTGTACGAGCCTATGAAGACCGCGACCCCGATGCGGTGGCACCTGCCACACGTGCACGAGACGCAAAGCTTCCACGTCTCGGCTCGCAGCAGTTGATCAAGAATCTGTCCTTTTCCGGGCTTCAAGCGACTTTTCTACTCGTATCCACTTCTGCCTATCATTCTTTGAGCCTCGATTCGAATGTGTCAAATGTCTCTTCGTAGCGGTGGGCCATTGCCAAGTCGTTCTTCGGGATACTGCAGTCGTCGCTTTCGTGAGTGGCATAGTTGCAATCAATTTTCAATCTATCACGTCCAATTTTTGGAAGCCGGACGGCTTATGAATGCTTGCACCTTGCAAAGACCGGGTCTGGATTCATTAGATGCCTCGTGGTCCGCCTTCGCAGCCCGCGGAATGTAGCCTCAGGGTCCACTGTACGGCTGCAGTTGAGCACAGTATTTTTAGCTCAAGCTCTCAAGCTCTCCAGATCTGCATGGCCCTTGCATGAGCCCAGTTTCGCCAAACATATATTGTACGAGCCACTAACCGTGGTGAGGACGACAAGCTTTAATTTAGGGTTAATCTACACTCCATCTCTGCATGCCGTTTCGAGATCCCAAACATGGATCACCTCGCCAAACGACGACAACAGCTGCCCTCAACTGATTGAGCTATTATTTGCAGCGTTCGGTACCACGATAATATACATATACATCTTCACTGCCATACGAATGGTATAAATGAAGTCTGCTGAGCTTGTGGAGCTGCTCAAGCAGCTTTTTGCTCGCTTCCACCCGAACCCCATCCACAGCTTCTAATTCAAGCATCACCTTCCAGGGTTTTATATTCGTTCATTTCAACCACAATATACTTTCTCAGGCGAACTTCCGACCCGATGAAGCCACAGACCAAGCAAGAGACTCGTTCGGAGCAAGCGACAACACAGGGAGATCACGGCCATTCAAACACGCCATGTCAAAGACTACTCAACTTGCAAACAAGCATGGGCAAAATGCTTTTGCTATCAATACGCTCGGCACATGTACCTCTGGACGAAGAAGATGCGCACTGCTAATTCTTGTTACATAAATTAAAACGCGGTCATCTTCGGCACTCAGTCGCCTCGAACCAGGCTCTGTCTCGTCAGCTATCCGGGCAAAAGATATCAAACCATTGTGTAAGCGCTGCGCGATCAGACGCTAGTTGACTTTGTCAATACGAGTCTAAGCGATAGTCTTTTCTATGAGATGGGCTAGAATCTACTTTCCGCATGGCAAGTAGCATCAGATGTCGTTGGAACACGAGTTCACCTGACAGATCCGAACGAGCTTGACCTATGAGCAGGCTTGTTTCACCGGGCCTCCCGTACTGTATATTGAAGATACTGCTTGGCGGCAATCGTCGCCTCGTAAGCGGGCGATAGCACCATGCAACAGCGACAATGGGCTTCGTGCAGGACTTGACCACGATAGATGCTGAAGACATGGTATTTAAAGACGCTCATATCCCCCAGATTGATCGTCATCAAGCTGCCTTCAATAGTCAATCAGGTACTACTCTTAAGATCAGCATTTTTGCATCTCCCTCATCTATCCCACACATTCACCATGAAGTGGCTCCTTGCTATCGTTCCCGCCGTCCTGGCTGGCACCATCCCTATCAACCCCGTAGATCTTGGCGATGCTCCCCCAGCAGGCCAGGTAAACCATTTGACTCGTGCGCTTGTCAAGAATGTTGCTAATACGACCAGGTCACTATTCGAGGTGTTACCTATGGAGGAACCGGATGTCCTCAGGGCACCGTGAGCTCCCAGCTCTCTGCAGACAAGACCCTAATCACCCTCATATTCGATACTTACATCGCCTCCATCGGCCCCGGCGTCGCCGTCACTGAGCAACGCAAGAACTGCCAGCTCAACATCGACATCCAGTACCCCGGAGGCTTCCAGTACTCCGTTCTCAGCGCCGACTACCGCGGCTACGCCTCCATCCAAAAGGGTGTCACTGGTACCCTTAAGTCGACCTACTACTTCTCCGGTCAGACTGACCAGGTACGTCAACCTTGGTTTCGCGCTCCTCCCGACCTTCCCGTTCTTCATGCAAGTTACTAATGCAAGAAACAGTCTTCGACCGAGTATACTTTCACCGGCCCGGTAACAGGTGATTACCTAAAGCACGACCAAGCCGACTCGACCTCGACTGTCTGGTCACCATGCGGCGCCAGCGGCATGCTCAACATCAACTCGCAGGTGCGCCTGACGACCGCCGACACCAAGGCGACTGGCTTGCTCACCACCGATTCGACCGATCTTAAGTTCACCCAGGTTGCGTACGTCCAATGGCAGAAGTGCACACCCAAGTCAACGTAGGCGCTAAGGGTTTGAAGAAATCTACCGAGGTGGTCGGGTGTTTCGATTCGTGAGTGGAAGGTGCTGGATTTGGAGGAGCTCGTGTGGAGGAAATGCTTTTAGTGGGTATGTATAGGGTAGGGTTAGGTGCAATAGTATTGCATGACTTGTCACGCGGAGTTGATGCTGTGCTTGTGAGGTCTGTGTCTTACTTTCGTGTATCGCTTCAAGTCCAATGCACTAACGTCTGGCTATTCGCGCAACTAGTTATTAGCACCATTACTTCTAGTAAGCTCAAGTAACTTTATACATTGGTAGTGCTTTGCAGTAATATGGACCGCATCCCTAAGGGGAAGGTGATCTCTTTACATTGTGCAGACATTCTATAGTGTAAGAAAACTCAGTCCGGCATCAATGGCGTGAAGTGGAAACAGGAAACATCATAGATCACTATATAGATATACCATAGTAAAAATACCTACACACGTGAATGCGGAGGCCGTCGGAGTGATCGGAGTGGTGGGAGAAGGAGTAAATCGCGCTACTCCTATCTGGCAGGTGCAGCCGAAATCCATCCTCGGCTCAACCCCAGATAAGCGTATCGGCTAGCAGCGCGTCCAGCTTTATACGTGCGCGACTGGTGCTCACAAAGAGCCATGCGACCAGTTGGCCTGATTCGCGCAAGCTGGTTCTTCAAAAGGGCGTCGGAAGCTGCACAATATTCTCGAATTCTTTCTCCTGATTCAAGCGCCAGTAGGAAATATGGGCCTCTCAGAATACCGGCAACACAGGCGTGACTGGTAGCTATCACCCCACTTTACTCCTACCAAGCACAAGAAGCTGAACATCCACAGTGAGCGCAAGCAATCCGAACGCTCCTCCAAGATCGCGACCCTCCCGAAAACGTATCTGTACCCTCTCTCCCCGGAAGAACGCACTATTCTCGGCAAGCCAATCCAGGACCTTGTCCAGGATGTACATACACAGGTCACTGATCCGGTCGACATCTTGCGTGCCTACGGCAAGGTAACACTGAAGGCGCAGGAGAAAACAAATTGTGTGACAGAGATCTTGTTTCCCGAAGCGGAGAAGTGGGCACAGAATGAGATAAACCTCAAGGGCCCGCTGGCTGGTATACCAGTGTCGTTGAAGGATTCGATACAGGTTAAAGGCTTTGATATTTCGATTGGATTCTCGCGACATACTGGGAAACCGTATGCCAAGGACGGACCTCTTGTGCAGTTGCTGAAGGAAGCCGGCGCCATACCTTTTGTAAAGACAAACCTACCCATCACTCTATTGTCTTTCGAATCGACCAATGACGTCTGGGGTCGCACCACCAATCCTCATAACAATAATTACTCGCCGGGCGGGTCTACAGGAGGAGAGTCAGCACTGCTCGCTTTCGGCGGCAGCCGCATCGGCATTGGCTCGGACGTCGCAGGCTCAGTGCGAGTCCCCGCGCACTTCTCGGGTTGCTACTCTCTACGTTGTTCAACCGGCCGATGGCCAAAGATCGGTATGAATACGAGCATGTTTGGCCAAGAAGCCATACCCAGCGTTTTCAGCCCAATGGCTAGGACGCTGAACGATCTGACCTACTTCTCCCGCAGCCTCATCCAAATGAAGCCCTGGAGGCTCGATTATACGGTCCACCCGCTGGAGTGGAGAGACAACATCGAAGAAGAGTACAGAGCAAAGAAGAAACTGAGAGTGGGTGTTTTACGTACCGATGGTGTTGTAGACCCTGCTCCAGCATGTGCCCGCGCTCTCGACGAAGTTGCTTCTGCCCTCGCCGCCGAAGGCCACGAGGTATACGATGTGAACCCGCCGTCGCCCTACGAGGCTCTCCAACTCGCATCTCAGCTCCTGCTCAGCGATGGAGGCAACACCTTCCTATCTGGCTTCCGCACCGGCGAATGGAACGACCCTGGCGCGAAGCAAATGGTTTATTACATGCAACTGCCACAACCTATCAAGTACGTTTATTATCTCTGGGTGAAGTACATCAAGCGCGATCACATCTGGGCCGGTCTGCTGCGGGACTGGCATCCGAAGTCTGCGTATGAGTACTGGCAACTGGCAGGTAAGCGGGAGGTGTATAAAGCCAACTTCTTCCAATGGTGGAACGATGAGGCAAGGATGGATGTCATGATTACGCCACCGAACGCTACACCTGCTGTGCCGCATGATGGTATGCATGATGCGGTCAGCAGCTGTGGCTATACCTTCTTATTCAACCTGGTAGGTCATAAAACCTCATGTCTAAACAGGGCTAATATCTCTGCAGCTGGACTACACTGCTGGCGTTTTGCCTGTGACTCATGTCGACCCAGCAAGAGATCAACTACCGGCTACCTTCAACTTTAAGCAATTGAACGGCGTAGCTAAGGGCGCGTATAAACATTACGATGCTACAAAAATGGCGGGCCTTCCTGTTGGTGTACAGGTGGTAGGACGGAGGCTGGAGGAGGAGAAAGTACTCACGATTATGGAGCGGGTTGAGGATGCGCTTGACAGGCATGGTGGTCGGTATCAGTTACTTGAGGTCGATTAGGTGAAGAGTACGCTACCCGCTGCTGATACTTGGTTATGTCCTACTTCAATGTCAGTGGTACCTAGGTAGTTACCAGAATGTTCACGTGATCGGACCGTCGGCTACGAAAGGAGCTAGCTCGTTGCTAATGTAAGCTAAAGGCTCCGAAATTCATAGACTAGACTTTAGACCTCGATTAAACGAGCTCCTTCGGCGCCACGGCGCGGCCGGCGTTGTTCGCATATGAATCGCTTGTAGATAATGGTTTCCTTCCCGTGTTCTAGAAAGGCGAATTGGACCGCACCAGAATTACCTTCCTTCCCCGCAAACATCTCCCTGGGGTCAATGCAGTGGCTACATAGCCTATTCAACATGCTCAATCTTCGTACCTTCACTTCTGTAACATATCTGGCGCAGATTGCTGTTCTGGGAGGCAATGCGCAATACAACAGCTCTCAGCTCTTGGACATTGTTCCGAAACGCGAGGTCCTTTACGTAGGCGGGAAGTACACGAACATGACAGCAAGTTTCAAGTTCTGCTGGTCCCAGGTGGTCCTAACAATGATAACCAGGACCCTACGACCAATTCCACGTCAACGGCCATGATAGGGCAAATATACGTTGAGAAGCTCTCTCCTAATCCAGCTCCCGCAGTCCCACGATTACCCATTATCTTCATTGCCGGCGCCGCTCAGACAGGGACGAATTTCCTTGAAACGCCAGATGGGCGACCAGGATGGGCATCGTACTTTCTGTCCAAGGGTCACACAGTGTACCTGTCAGATCAACCTTCACGTGGCCGCTCCTTCTGGCTTCCCGGACAGGGGAACATGGGATACATTGGCTCACCCGATACCGTCTCCGATATCTTCACCGATGTAGCGAACAACGGCGACCAATGGCCACAGGCAAAGCTTCACACACAATGGCCCGGTAGCGGACGCATTGGCGACTCCACTTTCGACAATTTCTACAGAAGTCAGGTGCAATTGCAGACTGACCGCTTCATAAGCGAAGAACAGAATGCGCAAGCCTACTCAGCTCTGGTAGACATTGTTGGGAAGTGCTATATCATCAGCCACTCACAAGCTGGGGCATATGGTAACATGAGACAGACAGTACTAGGATGAGGCAGCGACTAACAATAAACAGGTTGGAGGGTTGGTGATATGCGCTCAGACGTGGTGAAGGGCATTATTCAGCTGGAGCCATCTGGACCACCATTTACGCTTCGCCCACCGTTCGGAAACGAGGCAGCTTTCGCATTCGGGCTTACGGATCTTGCCATTGCGTACGAGCCGTCGGCAGGTACCAATGGTTCAAGCATTGAGACGACTATAGAGGCAGCAATTGACGCGGATCACGACGAGTGCATCATGCAAAAATCTCCAGCCAAGCAAGTCACGAACCTGGCCAAGATTCCGGAGCTTGTTGTTACTGGCGAAGCGTCGTTCCATGCGCCGTATGACTATTGCACTGTGAGATATCTGGAGCAGGTTGGCGTCGAGGTGGAGTATGCGGATCTGGGGAAGGAGGGAATTCACGGCAACGGACACATGTTCTTCATGGAAAAGAACAACCTCGAGATCGCAGAGCGGGTATATCAGTGGCTGCAGAAGCACTGAGGCATAACAAACAATCACGATGCATCACTACGTGCTATTTCCGAGCCCGTGAAGCGCGTGGATAGCGAGCACGAGCTAGGTGCAGGGAAAAACGCGAGGCTTGAGCCGCTCGGTAAACCCAGCCAATCAATCGGCCGCATGGGGGCATGGTGTTGAGCTAGCGGGCCGCAGAGTTTCGGACAGTCACCGACCAACATCGTCGTGGGTTAGACGAGCACTTTCACGAGTGCACAGGGTCCCTCTTCAGGGTCGCGTGGGCTCGCTCCAAGAGGCTCCTGATGGTTCGATTGTTACTTCCTCCACGACCTGTGTACGACTTGGACCGACAGGTGGACGGCAAGCGTTCGGCGACGGCCAGAGGGTAGGAAAAAGCAAAGGTGCGCTAGACGGGGCCAAGTAAGGACCGCATTACGCGGCACGCTCGAGCTGATGCGCGCTGGTCTTACGCCTTTTGGCACGCTTCGCTCAGCCGCTCACAGCTGTTCCTGTTGCAGATGGCCATGGCAAGGTGTGCAAAAACCTGGTCTGATTCGAAGCTCCACCTCGGCATCAGCCTAGCCCGTCCAGACATGATCCCGATGCAACAAACAATGTCGAATCCGTGCAGGTGCAACAAGGCGGTCTAGGGTCAGTGTTTCTGCCCGTCATTTCCACCCATCGCACCATAAAGATACTCGAGCCCCCACCGCAACCGCGGGAGAACCCGCAACCAAGCTTCTACACAGACGTACGCCGACCTTCGCACCCGCACTTCCCACGACATCAGCCATGGCCGCTTCGAGCGCGGGCTCACCTTCGCCCGAGTTCCTGGCCGAGACGAATAATCCATACCTGGACCAGCGCGTCAGCATTGCTTTCATCGTAATTGACACTGCCTTTTTGATCTTGTTTTATGCGAGCCGCTATTACAACCCCAAGGCTGTCGGGACGCCAATGTTGGTATGCAATACCCTGTGCTACATACTTTGCCTGGGAAGCGCAGCAACCGGAATCTGTGGGTTTTGCGCGTTTTCCTTCTTTGTTCCCACGTACAGCGGATTAAATACAGCTTTATATGTACGTACCGAGAAAGACATGGACGTGTGGAAGGCGCCTATGTCTCGTGCTGGATGAGAAAAAGCCAGGCATCGTTAAAAGCTTTGGTACTTGTGTTACCCCAAGAGTAGCGATGCAGTACACAAACTCTTGACTTAGCACTTCACCTTGACCTTGTGCCGGAATGGGACTTGGCCACTGACACTCGAACAGTGATGACGCAGGTAGGAGGTGTAGGGCACCACGCTGCTGCCGTCCCGGTAACCACCTTTCAAACCTGGCTGCAACTCTCCAAGGTTCTCGAATTTACGTACACACCGGCCGTCATGTTCGCCAAGCTTGCTGCTCTATTCTTGTACTACCAAGTCTTCGAAGTGCAGCCCTACCGTCGGATTATTATCGGCATCGGCGTAATTATCGTCGCTCAAGGCATAGTAGCGTTGATACTTGCATTCTCCATATGCCGGCCTTTTCGTTACTTTTGGACCCAGGCAGTCGATATCAACGATGGATCCTGTGGAGACGTGATGCTTTTTTATAAAAGCTACAGCATTCCCAGTTTAGTCACCGATGTCATGATGCTCGTGCTTCCATGGCCGATCCTTATTCATCTTCACATTCCCACGGCGGAGAAAATCGGTCTGATAGTTACTTTTCTGGCTGCGTCTCTGTGAGTGCACCCTGGCTACCCAGCAGTCTCCGCGAAACGCAGAACACTGACCAAAACATAGGGGCATCATAACATGCACCTTGCGGTTCGTTACGTTTTTCACGACGCCTCTCTTTACAGACCCTACTTGGTATGCATCAGGCGGTCCAATGATCTACGCCCTTGTCGAACCATCCATCTACATGATTGCTAGCATACTGCCCACCACGCGCCATCTGTACAGGCGAATTCGCAAGAAGGCACGACTCACGGCACATATGCGCAGTGCGAAAAGCAATAGTGCGCCGCATGACAGCACTCCCTCTCGGTCGGCAGATGGTGAGCATGGCGAGAGCAGAGAAGCGGCGGATCACAATCATACACCGCATCACAGCTGGCACGCACAAAGACATTCAAGCCAGGAGGAGCTGACGTTGGGGCAAATCGCTGCGGAGGGAAAGTCGGATAGGCCGGCTCCGGATACTAGGCCGAGAGAGATGGTGCGGAAGAAGATTGGGGTGCGAGATCGGGGTAGACCGACGGTGTAAGGTCGAAGTACCGGATTCGTGATTGTTAGCGATTTATGCATTTAGCGTTAGATACCCCCTATAGCAGACTTGGAATGGAATATCCAAATACCCATGTAAAAGGCAAGAAGAAACATATACTGGCGTGGGCAATTTGATTTGGAGTGGCCGTTTGTTTGACATTAGCAAAGTCGGATCCGGCTGAAGTGACGACAGAGATCGACAAGTACAAACGAAAATCCACTTTACACATGCACTCTGGTAAAGCGTATGAGCGTTCCTGCCAGCGCGGTATTGTGGTACCTAGGCTTTAGCCTGCCGAATACGCTAAGCGCAAGTACGCTTCATACGGCTCTTTATGCACACAGGAGCTTCAATGTCTGTGGTACACTTACATACTCACGCCTTCTCAAACTCACATATATTCCTTTCCGCGTTCCTTCATCGCTCAAATATGTACCGACTCGAACATGCTTTTTTGTTCTATTTCAACATGCATTTTCGTTCTGTCTTGCAGCTCTCTCAGCAGGCGTTGCCTCTGCAACTGTTGCAAAAAGAAAGAAAATCCCTTACACCCGAAATACCACTCACAAACATCACAAATTTCAAGGAGCTACCTTCAGTGTAGTGATGGACATATTGATCTTGTGTCAAGAGGGCTGTCTGAACCAGGCCCAGATCAAGGGGATTGGGTACGCCGGTGGTCCAATGTGGACCAATTATGGCTGTTTGACCCCAGGAACGCATCCGAGAGGGATGTGGCATGGTCGTCTTCTATGTAATGGACGGCCTTCTAACATTATCCTTCCGATTCCTTTTCAGGCCAATTAATTGCAGCATTTCCACCCAGAAGCCAACTGGTGGCGACGTGAAGGACGCTTCGTAGCGATCGACGACCGGCCGCTCCCAAACCAAGTCGGCTTCCGATGAAGGAATAATCTTGGTCCTCTTGATGACCTTCCAGCCAATGTAAAGACAGGGCGCTAGGATTAGCATAGCGTAATGCTGGAAGAAGTTGGCGATGTCCCATGGCGTGAAGGACGAGTAGCCGAAGAAAACAACCATCAATATCTCCCATACGAGGGCAACCCAGCCAGCGTACGGCTGACACCAGCCTCGAAATGGAAATGTGTTTCGGTCTACTCCTTGAGCTTTACAAGCGTAGTAGAAGAACAGGTACGTCGAGCTGTTTTGTCAAGTTAACTACTGATCTAGATGTGAAGCATTAGCGGGGACCAAGACGTACCATATATAGATGAAGTTTAACAGTTGCCCAGCAGTGTTCAAACTAGTAAGCCAGGTTAAAGCGACTGATGATCCTTTGCTGATGTTGAGGAATGACAGCAACGAAAAACAACTGACAACGAGTAGGCAGTAGATAGGTATGCCCTGCTTGGTGCACTCTCGAAAGATACGCGGGGCGCGTCCATCGATAGACAAGCCATAGAGACTTCTCATACCGCAGTAGGTTAGTGTATTACCAGCCGAGAATATGCTCGTTATCAATAGAGCATTGACAAGGTCTGGTAGTCCAGTAATACCAAGATTCTTCATGGCTATTACGTATGGCGATGCAGCCGCAGTGCCTAGGATGACGCTCCATTAGCTCAAAGGCGCCGTCTCTCGATTTGCTGTTCTTACCGCTTCCGCTTTGATCGCTTGACAGGATGTCTACAAGTGTCGTATCGTTGTACGGGATAACGATACCAACGCAGATGGCACTGCCAATGAAGAACAGACCAAATCGCCAGTATATAGTCTTGAAAGCGGCCTTGACATATATCCGTGGTCGTTTGGCCTCAGCAGCAATCTAGATGCCAGAGTCAGCCGCAACAGGCCACTTTCGAGCGCCATTAACTCACCATGGTGATATATTCTGGACCGACAATAGTAAATCCCGCAACCCACAATGCCTGTAGCAATCCCCTCAAACCTCCCAAGGTCACCTTTGCTATGCCACTCTGCCATAGGGCCATCAGCTCCGCGCCAGTTGCGAAAGCCGTACGCGTCGTGCTTAGGGTTGCCGCCAACCATGGTGATGAAGGTAAAGAAGAATAGGATGAAAATCAGGATGACTTTTCCACCTGAAAGCCAAAATTCGGCTTCTCCGAAAATACCAACTGCAAAAACGTTCATGGCACTATAGGTGAGAGTGTGAGCTAGAGGTCTATGCAGCTAAGGAAAAGGACGACACGCGTACAGGACGACACAAGCAGCGTTGACAGCAGCTGCCGGAATATCATCGCGCCAATAGCCCAGGACCAGATTCAACGCGACGATCTCGAAGGGGACCGTCAAGGCCTGATAGAGGAAGAAGTTATAGCCTGGATCGAGTCAGTAATCGTCCTAACACTGAACGTTTATGTTGTTGGCGTAAAGCCATACGAACCAGCAGCAAACCCAAAAGCCTCGTCAACCCAATACCCCGCCATCCTTATGAAGCCTCCTGACACAGGATGCAGAACGGTCATTTCGGCAGCGCAGCTGTTGACCAAGGCCATTATACAGCAATAACCGACGAACGAAAGCAGCAAACTGAGCGGCCCGCCCTTGTAAAGTGCTGTTCCAATACTGATGAATAACGCTGTACCAATAGTTCCACCAATGGCCATGAGCTGGATCTGGCGGTTGTTCAACAATCTGCGAAGTTCGTCGGGATTCTCCTCGAGTATCTGCTCGAGCCTGCCTTCATCGTAGGAACCACATTTTTCAGAAGCTTGACCGGTCGAAGCGTTCGTGGGCTGATGGGTCAGGCTTTTCGGCTCGCCTATGATCTGGTCGCTCATTGTGATGTAGGAAAGTATGGGAAAGCCGTGGGTGAAGATCATAAAGACCTTGCGCGCGGCTTGTTATACCATTTCAACATATCAAATGCACCGGAAACGCCAGCCGTAGCTTCGGCGTACTAGAAGATTAGCACCCCGGACAGAGAGTAGACATAGGCTAAGCGTTATCGATGGTTGGGAGCAGTATGATGATATAGTGGCACTGGAAAGGGAGGCTCGCTAGAAGGCCAAGACATACGGCAGCGTCTCACTCGAGTGGTTCAACCCCGCAAAATTCTAGGTTACCTGGGTTTCAGCTCGTGGAGTGAGCATGGGGAAAACCAGGGGGAACACGGCGTTATTAGCGTAAGGCTGAGTCAACCGTGGTTGCGGTTCGTGAAGCCGAGTGTACTCTTTGTTTTCATTGTTCCGCTTTAGGCAAGTAAATACGAATCTCTCGCATACATATACCTGTGTACCCGTAGTGCAGTCTATCAATCGTGTGTAGCACACTTGTTCATCTGCACAGAAGTCAACTGCCTCTACTGCAAATACATCCTCAACGGCGTAGTGAAATGGATAAAATTTGCTCAAGAACCGGCCACGCGAACAGGTTTCTAGCAGAAGAATCGTGACGGGGTTAGATGGAAGGGTGAATGTATCTTCAGGCTCACGTGGTGTTTGCGGGCCATCTCCGCTGAGGAAGTTGCCGAATTTTGCCCAAATGATGTGCATTTGATGTTTCCCAGCGAAGGTACAGCCCTTCCTGCTCTGCGACGACCAGTTGGGGAATAGTGCTCGTACTCTTTATCTCGTTCCGTCCCAAGCGGTCGGTGCCTCACAGAGAGGAATAACTTGCCGATCACTCTACCAAGCGGGATAGAGCGCAAGATCGGAACAGAGGCGATTGGTTTTCATCAGCATGGTTTCATATCGTACCTGATACGATTGTGGCACACTAACGAAGATGACGGCAAAACCCAGTCTCCAGAGTATCAACCCGCGGGTCGCGCCGCGGGAAGGGACAGTGGTAGACAGTACAAAACCTACAGACATACATCATCTAAAAGTTTGGATATTGCGTTGCTCATCCTGGACTGACACAGGACCCAAAAATGTTCAAAAACTGCAAGAGCATTACAACCAATGGCGAATCGCTTCACTACTTCGTAGCATGCCTCCATAACAGTTGTAAGCACGGGTTGATTATTGAATAGACTTCAATGTTTGGGTACTTGAGGATCGGTGGTATCGGCGCATCTGACAATTTGCTAAAGATTGAATGTGCAGGTGTTTTGTAGGAATATGAATCACAATTATCGCTCGCCTACCACACCTGACTCCGTGATGAGATGCGTAAAATAAACTAACTGCAAACATTCGAGGACCTCTTCGGAGTGGGCCGCTTGGAGAGCGATCGAACTGTATTATCTTCCTGACCCACCCTGTTTGGCCAGAAAACCGCCCGCATATTTCGCGATCAACTTTGGACCCTCCTTCTTGATGACTGGTAGCGCATGCGCATAAAACATGTCCTTCGCCTGTCTCTGCCACTCAGGCGCGTCCTTCCTGGAACGAGGTCTATCCCTCATTCGATCATCTCGCACGTCCCTGAGAAGTCGATCGTCGTAGCGAGGATCCCGGTCGCGGCGAGGTCTGTCATCATTGTAGTCTTCTCGTCGACGAGGCCGGTCATCGTACCGCTCTTCGTAGGGATCTCTCCTACGCGGTCTGTCGTCGTAACGCTCATCGTAGTCCCGTCGGCGGGAACGCTCATCGTATGCGTCCCTTCGCCGAGGCCTTTCGTCATGTTCATCGCGCCTGGGTCTATCGTGCCGACTATCCGAGTAGTAGTCCTCAGCTCGTGGCCGTCGTTGACGCTGAGGCTTATTGGGATCATCGTAATCATTGTACGCAGGAGGTGCTTCAGGTGCGCGAGGTTTCGTGCGTGGAGGAGAGTCTCGTCGTCTGCGAGGCGGAGGACTGCCTGAATCATCGTCGGATGGAGGGGGTCGCGGGCGGGGGTCGCGGTACGACTTTGTGCGACGAGGACGATCCTCTGTACTCTCTGAGATGAAGTTCTTGACAGCGTCAAAGGCACCTCGCATACCTCCTCGGTCTGCTTCACGACCGTCTTCGAACCGTGGGCGGCGCGGGCGGTCGCGAGCTGGTTGGTGGTGTCTACCACCGAACTCATCCATGTAGTCCGGCGGAGAGACTTCGGTCCTACGGCGTCGTTGACCACCGTAAGGTGAAGGCGATCGTGGCATCGTGCAGTGTTTGTATGGTCGTGCAGGATCGATTGTAACTGATATGTGGTTATGTGGTGTGGTGAACGAAACCCCACCAGCAGATGGTCGCACGTCCTTCCTATAAGCACTTGGGCAAGCATGACCCGGGCACAAGACCCTGCATTAACGTTCGCGCTCACCCGGACCGCGTGTCGTCATGCTCCACTATTGCACACCGCCCGCCATCAGAATCACGCGCAAGACGTGGGCTGGAATTACCTGCAACAGGTTGTGTGGGCGCGGGCGGCTGTACTCGCGGGCTGTGTCATCGTGCAGGCCGAAGTGGCGGATCATCCCCTCCGCAAAGCGTCTTAAGCGAACCCGGATTTGCCTGAAGGTACTTGACCATCGCCAGTCGCCGCAGCTGTTAGATTAAGCCCTTCATATCTGACAGACATGAAATCACGGAGCGAGCAGGCTGGCAGATGCCTGTTTCCCTCAAACAAGCAGCCAAGACTGATTCTCGAACGGTGGTGTGACCGTGAAACACGAGACTCTGCATGTCCATGTCTAGACGAAATCCTTGAAAGATGTGGAAAGTAGTAGTGGAGCACAGCCTGAGGGCTACAGGAACCGTTCTATGTGAGCTGAATGTAGACTCTAGCACTTGAGTGCTCAGGCATTAGGCCTCAGGCATCATGCAAACTGTGGCGCAGAGGCTGCGCCACGGTGGCAACCGGCTAGCGAATCCTCTCCATGCTCTCTCCATTGACCTCGCCCGCTCCTCTGACCTCGCCCATCCAAGTCGTCCCAAAAACAATGGTCCTTTAACTTGCGTGCTCCCAGCAATCGCCTGGATGGAGCTCGCCCGTCTGTCCCAAGGCTCGATATCCTGCGCCACAGGATATAAAAGCCCGCCAACGCCAGCTAAGAAGAGCATCAACCCAACGAGTTCCAACAACTGATGCCAATCTGAGGCTTTGGCTACGAATACTTCGTACGGATGATCAGGTAATGCAGCTCGCTGTGGGTGTTGCCAGTTCTTAAGCTGTAGTTGGCCACGAAGTGATGTTTGTAGACTTCCAGTTTGCTGAATCAACCTTTCATTATCAACACTGGCAAGTCCAAGACCCAGAACTATAGGTGCAGATACGCAAAATTGTAGAAGTTTGCGATGCTAATCATCCCTGAACCAGCCTCTTGGGAACACCAACGTCATGACTTACCAGCCACATTCTTCGGTCAGAAATAATCGTACATCTTCAACCCAAGGATAAATGACTCTTGACTCAACCTATACCTGACTAAATGGATACCAACAATCAAGCTCTAATCAACGATTTGATAACCTGTGCAAGGTTGTCTTTCGGGCCCTTTACATTGCAGCAACATCAAGATGTCCCCCAAAAAGGCCGCTGGCGCGGCACAGACCGCAAAAGCCATCAACAAGAAGTCACAAGCAGAAGACAAACATGTAGCGGCAACGGATGAGGAAAACACTAGAAAAAAAGACGAGAAACGGGAACCACAGAATGCAAACGCCCAAAAGTCATCGCATAATGACCAGGAAGGAACCAGCCGAGCCGGCCAAAAGCGCAAAGCTCCTCCCATCACTTCTACCAGAGATAGGCCTCCTAAGAAAAATCCACGCGCCGGCAGCCGTACTTCGTCTCGCCAACCCGGCGGCGGAACAGCCAACGACGCAACGGCCAAACATATCCTCAATTTCCTCCTATCTGCCGATGCCCTCCCTTACTGCTACCCCTCGGACGAGCTTGACTCCGCCAAGTCCGGCAAATTCAAGAAAACCTACTCCCTCACCCCGCCCAGTCTCTTCACGCCCTTTGAGCATCTCATTACCGCTCACCTAATCTCAAAGCCCCTATCACATACCCTCGGCATGCGCAGCACCAGGACATTACTCAATGAACCTTACGGCTTCTCTACGCCCGGGAAGTTGCACCATGCTGGCGAAGAGAACATCTGGCATGCCTTGGAAGAAGCGAGAACCCAGCATAGGCAAAAGACTGCAGTCTTTCTTGCAGAACTGGGCGCACATTTTGCGGTGCTTGATTCCAAGATAAACGCCGCCGGCCAAGGTGACAGCGACCCGATGCGGGAGCTAGCCGAGCAAGTCAACGAGCGCGGTCCACGTGCTACAATTGAGTATATCAAGAAGACTGTCAAAGGCATGGGCGAGACCGGCGCGCAAATTTTCTGCCGCCGTGTTCAGGCCTGTGAGGGCTGGGGTAAGGCTTTGTGGCCGTATGCGGATCCGCGCTCGGTCGATGCGCTGCGGGAGATAGGGGTGGAAGTCGCTGATGCAGGAGGTCTGCAAGAGATGATCGAGAAAGACGTGGATCTGGAAGCGATCAAGCAAAATGGTTGGCTGGGTCGCAACAGAGAGACAAAGGGCGATGATGCCGATCGCGAGACCGTGTTCGTGACGGTGCTAGAGAGAGCAATAGGGTGTGTGTTGGAGGGTAAGGTTGGAGAAGTGAGGAGCGCTGCTGTGGCGGCATCAGGAAAGTAACGGTCTTGCATGAAGATCGTAGCGATCGGGCAAGACTGGAAGGTAGGCTGGATTGACTCAACAAAACCAAATCCGAGTGTTGGTTGTCCGCACAACAATCATCGTCAAAGACGGAATTTCACCCATGCGTCGCCTACAATAAATCAAATCAGTTACGACATTATTTCGATTTCTTTTTCTAAACACCTAAACCATCTGCCCGCTCACTCCAATTTCCAGCCCGTCTTCGTGAAGAATTCTTCTAAGCCAGTTAGCTTCCCCCCTCGCCTGCTCCTTCGCCCATTGTATGTCATCCTCCATATTCTCACCGTAGTACCCATAATCCCTAAGAAGCAGATACATATCAAAGATCATGTCTCCGGCAGCTTTGGGCAAATACCCCTTGAATACCTCATCTTCAACTTGCATATGCTTCACGGTCTTGCCAGTGACTTTGCTCATCGTATCCACAATCTCCGTGAGGCTGTACAACCCCTCTGCTGCAGCGAAGAACCTGCCCCCATACTTATCTGGATCCGCGAGAATGGCGCTGACCCAGACCCCCGTGTCTGTGATGTCGATAAGCGGCAGCCGGGTCTCGGGCTGGAACATGTTCGCAAGGACATATGACCCGTCATTTGCTGGTGACGGCCGTGGGACCATGCTCGTTGAGAAATTTTGCATGAAGCTGCCGGGCGCGAAGAATGCGGATTTGATCGGCTGCTTGCGGATGTACTCCTCAATCTCGGCTTTGACGTCAAAATGCTGCGCGTGCTTGAGTTTCCCGCCGCTGATCTTGAACGGGTGCGACATCGAGGACCAGATGATATAGCTGGCGCCTTGTTTGATGGCTTCGTCGACGATGGCGGTAGCTTGCCGGGTTTCTAAGGCGCGCGTGTCGCCGTCGTAGGAGGTGGCGGTGAGGGCGAAGACGAAGTCAGCGCCTTTCAACGCGGCGGAAAGTGAAGATTGATTTTCGAAGTCCGCAGCTACAACATCTGCGCCTTTGCACTTGAGGTCTTGTGCTTTGAAAGAAGAAGTGTCGCGCGTGATGGCGCGGACTGCGTAGCGTTTGGATAAGTCAGAGTCGTTGAGGACTGCGCGAGCGACGGAGCCTCCCTGGTTTCCTGTAGCTCCGAAGACAACGAGGAGTTGCTTAGACATTTTTTGCGGTGGTGCTTGATATCTTGCACAGGGGTGCGAGTGAATCTTGGAATTCCTATAGTAATTCCTAAAGATTGAAGGTCAGGAAGTGGAACTGAGAGGGAAGAGCTGTAGCGTAGAATACATTTCAGACGCAATTGTGTCCCTCTTTATACCTCTACATCTCGCTTTCAGACAATAAGTCCATCATAATAGTACCTTGGTAGTTGTAAAGCGCGTCTATCTCCGGCTAGCTCCGAACCCTGCATAGACTACGCTAGTGTGTGAGTGCCGAGCGGGATGGGCGGCCGCCTTGCGCGCGCCTCGTATAATTCCACCGGAGGAGAGGTGTCCTGCGAGGCCGGTCCGAGCGAAAACGACATCGGGCTAGACTTTGGGCCATCTCCAATGGGGCAGAAATGTTACCAGTCGCAGACTGCTCCCACCGTTGACAGTCAAAATTGGGGTTCGGGAGTAGGGCCCATGGGACGCAAATCTCTAGTGAGGTTGTAAGGGATAGACAAGTTGACGGATAATTTGTTTGAAAGCTTTTGTTCGACCGTTGATCCTCTCCAAACCTCGCTATCTTGGATATCTTGACGCCTTGCTCATTTCTCGTTTCATCATACATATCAGCTCAGCCAACGCAGGGTCCTCTATATTTCCTTCTGTGATATCAAACGTACCGGCGCATCTAGTCCTTCTCCAACCTCACGGCAGGCTGCTCCTTGATCCATGTCAAGTCGACTTTGTGTCCGAGCAACTCTCTGATGTTGTTTACTCCATATTTCATCATCGTCGGGCGCTCCAAGCTCAAACCAAAACCGTAAACGCGCATGTCTTTAGGCAAACCCATAGGCTCCAACATCTCGGGGCGGAAAAGCCCAGAATTTCCAATTTCGATCCAGCGGTCAAGACCTGCATGTCTATTAGATATAATGGTCTCATTTCGAGCGGTAGAACTAACCCTTGTGGAAGCCAAAGATCTCCATCGAAGGCTCGGTGTAGGGGTTATATGCCGGCTTGAAGCGCAAGTTCTCGAGACCCATCTTGCTGAAGAAGTCCTCGAGGAAGCGCATCAGACCTCCAAGGGTTAGGCCAAAGTCCGCAATGACACCTTCTATTTGATGGAACTCTGCCAGATGTGTTGCGTCCACCGTCTCGTTACGGAACACCCGGTCGATAGAGAAGTAGCGCGCAGGTCGCGGGTTCTCGGCTAGACGGTGTAGAACCCAAGTAGAAACGGCGGTGGTGTGCGTTCGCAGCACAAGACGTAGACACTCGTCTGCCGACCAGGGGTATCTGTAACCGACGGAGCCGAAGGCGCCATTCTGGTGAACGTCTTGTACATTTTGCCAGTACTTCTCGAAGTCTCGAGACTTCGGCTTGTCACCGGTTTCGTTGGGCTTCGCAAAAAGCTTTCTTGAACCTGACTCCATGTTGTCCATGGTAGCTTCGGTGATAGCATCTGCACGGGGTTTGTCGGCCTTAGGAGGGTCCGAAATGAAGAAAGTATCTTGGACATCGCGAGCAGGGTGTTGTTGAGGGACGAAGAGGGCATCGAAATTCCAGAAGCCAGAGTCGACGTAGCTAATACCGTCAGGTGTGTAATCCTGTAGGCAGGGAAGTTCACTTACTGGTTGGTGGGCATCTCCACGAAGCCTTGTGAGAAGAAAACGTTCCTGAATTCCTGCCGCACTTTGTTCAACGGATGCAGGCTGCCCGCATCCTGCGACGCACCGAGTGCATTGAAGTTATACGGCTTAAAGTTCGCCGTTTCCCATGCACCGCTTGCCAACATGTCTGCCGTTAGGTCCGTGACCTCGATAGGTATCTCCTTCGCATACTTGGGTCCCTTCTTCACGCTGTAGTCGATGACCTTGGTCAACGTCACGAGCTTGCGCTTCTTCAACTCGTTGAGCGTCTTGTTGTCCGAGAGAGTCTTAGTCTCTTGAATGCCCTTAAGGAGGTCGCGAGTCGCATCCTGGACCGTTTCCGCTACGAGTACGAGGGAGTCGCCGTCTTTCTTAATCCACTTATTCCTGAAGGCATTGCCCTGCCCCACCTTCGCGGATTCGGCACCGACAATGTTCTGTGAGCGGCAGCATCAGTCTCCCAAATGGTCAATGGTAATAAGGAACATGCGTACTGCGATCTCCTTGACTGGCACCTGGCCCGCATCCTTGACGGCCTTCCAGACCTTGTATTCGTGCGAACCGTCTGCCACAATTGACTCGGCTTCCGGTGTGAGAAGCACCTGTTCTGAATCGTGCGCTTCATATTCGACCATAGACCGACTCGCTAATCGGTCTAGTGCTGCTTTGATCTCTGCTTGTCGTATCGACGGAAAGTCTTCGGAAGTTTGGAGGGGTTGTTTCTTCTCCAGCAGATCGAGAACATCCTGAGTGACGTTACGCTCTTCGCTGTTCAGAGGCACTGGCACTGGCCCACGCGTACCGCCTGCCATGTTTGCGTGTGTAATTGAGAATCGAATGCGTAGAGAGTGCGAGGAGCGTTCTGATTCCTCAAGATGCTATGACTCTTTCGGAATATCACAGCGGAAGCAACCACGGAGTTTAGTTTCGCCGACGCCGATTCGCGCCTGCCCCGCCATCTCTTTGGGTACTCGCAATTGTCGAATGATCAGTCACTGTGAATCGCGCGAAGATGATTAGGAGGTATCTATATTGCTACCAGTATCTGACTCGTAATCTACAATCAGCGAGAGGCAGGGAGCTCCTTCGTCATGTACACATATCCATCCCTAATGAGGACGCCATTCGCACCTCATCCGCCTGCATCCAGCGATCGGAAATTTCCAAAACAAGTCAGATGCTGCATGTGTCTTCAATCAATCCAAAAGCCTCCTCCGTGATGGTACGTTGCAAAAGAATGTGCGTGCCATGCTGGCTAATTACATCTTCCTTCGACTTTTTGTTGTGCCGCAAAAGTAAGGTATACGCTGAATAGACCGATTCGGTACACAAAGGAAACGACTGAGAAAGGAAACCAACATGTACATTTGAAGTAAAGTACCTTCTCGCCTGTCAAACGCCGTGCAACGCCGCCCGATGATGCGAAGACACTGCTGCAACTGCAACAGTGTATGATAATCAAACAACGCTGAGTATGCCAGAGCCCATGGAACGAAAGTAGAAGTTGACAAAAAGTCTATGTGGCGGTTTTAGGGCGCCAGAAGAAAGATGTAGCGCCGTGCCAGGATATAAAAAAGTGCATCGAACGTAGAAGAGAGATCAGGGTCATATGTTCAGATTCTCGTGCTTGACAGGATGGAATAGCGTCGGGCGGAGGCACAGCCGGCCGGAACCGTTCTCTTCCTCGATGGGTCCTCCTTGGTCATACTCGCGGCCTCCCAGCCACCGTCGCCACAATTCTGAAGAGAAGCCGGCGTTGTAGTAAAAGCTGTTGCCGAGCTGATTGTGCTCTCCCCATCCGAACACACTGTCGGTAGGCTTCGGCGGATGGTTGTAGGTTCCGTCGAGTGACTGGAGAGGCCAGTTGTGGTCGAAGTAGACAGCGTGAGGGGCGTACACGGCCTTCAGGCCATGGTGGAAAGCGACCGTAGGAGGCCACATCTCCGGGAACATGTGGTGCCGCATAAGGTATGTCTCGCGGTGCATGAGATCGAGCAGGCGCTTCGATAACCTGGAAACGGTGATGATAGCACATCGCCGAGGTGGTTCGGGCAATTCAAGGTCATAACCAGAAACATCGTCGCGGAACACCCAATTGGTCTTGGCTGGGTCGAAGATTGGGTTGAAAGTGATCAAATCGGCATCTTCACCTACACCCCACTGATAGTCGTCGGCCAAGTACGTCCGTGGAGGTTCGGTCTCTGGTGGACTCTCGAGCATACCGGTGTTCTCAAACTTGGGTGGTCCCCAAACTGGCTTCTCATCGCTGTTGTACATTTCCTCCTCGACCATGTCGGTGAAGTTCTTCCAAGATCCGTGAAGCTCGGGAATGTAGTAGCGGGACGCGCGTTCCCACATGCCCTTGCGAGGCTGCCTCCGTGCCCAGTCACCAATCTTGGTGTGGAACTCCCAGTAGTGACCAGTCAAGCGGAGGTCCATCTCCCAATTCCAGTAAAAATCGTACTCGGGATGTACCTGGGAGAACCATTGCAGGGGGAAATGAGCGCTACGGTACACAGAATGGACAGGGGCCTTGGCGTGGTTATAGACGTTGTTGGGAAACGGCTCGGGGTAGTAGAGACGCATCTGCTGCTCGGACCACAGCGTAGCCATGCCCCAAAATTCTTCCGGAAGGTTGTCGCGAATGGTCTTCTCATAAAACTCGTCAGAGGACCAGATCGGAATGCTGTCGTCTTTGACATGGAGCAGAAAATGAACGTCGTACTCGCCGCCGGACTTGAGTGAAAGTTCGTTGATCATGGCGCGAATGGTAAGAATCTGCTGCTCGCTGTACTTGTAGCCAGTCCATGTGCGGAGGATGTAGGCATGGCGAGGGACCTTCTTCTTCTGGACATGTGTTTCATCGCTGTCGCTTTGGGTGACATTCTTGAGGAAACGGGCCTTGTTCTTCTCATAGCAACGCTTTTGCGCCTTGCCCCAACTAACCTTGCCGTAGTCGATTCTGGGCTCGGTGCTCCATATCTTGTCTGCACCGTTCTTCTCCGATTTGTCGGCGAGACCAAATCCGCCCTGCTCGCGGGGGTATGAGTAGCCGTAGGGACCGAATCGACCGAAGCGGTCGAAGCAAACCTTGTCGTTCAATCCGAGCTCCTCGTATGAGCCGAAGGAGGGAGCCGTCTGGTTTTGCGGAATACCGGGATAAGCGTAAATGTCGGGTAGCTCTACCTTCTCGTCCTCGTCGAGGTAGCAGGTGTGAACCTCCTCGTGGTTCTTGAGGTACTCCTTGGAGTCGAACTTGGGATAAGGGCTGAAGCGGACAGGGTCCATTGGCGGCTCCTTGTGCTCCTTGGGCATCTCCGGCCATTTCTGCTTTATGTTGTCCTCAGGGTTGGTGCTCTGCGAGTACTTGACGAAGTTTTGCTCCGACACGTAATCACTATAGGGAACGAGGGTGCGCACGCCGTTGAAGAGACCGCGTAACCTATCGACATTAGCTGCAGGTCCAAGTGAGCGGAAAGCCAAAGTGCTCACCTCGGGTAGTGCTCCCAATGGTACAGTTTCCGGTCGTCGCCCTTGTTGTGGTGGTGCTTCCAGCGGCCCTTGACGATGCCTGTGACGGTCATGGAAACCAGCAGAATCGACACGATGACAAGCATGACGACGCGCGCGAATGACATCCGCGGGCGCTGCAGGCGGTTCGCCCACTGGGGGCTTCGGTACCCCTTGGACCAGGTGCCGGACCTGAAGAGCGGCGATGAGCTCTGCGAGTCGCCGCCGGGCAGCTTCTCGTAGCGCGTCCGTATGAACATCTTGGGCGTCTTGAGATTGAATCGCGAAGACATGGTGGTGGCTTCGTTGCCTGTGGCTGTCTGGTGCGGGTTTTCTACTAGGGCATCCGACGGGCAGCTGGACCAGCGTCGTGGATAGGTTTGCGTGGGCTGAGCGGTATTAGGTGCGGCCTTTTGTGTACGCGGCCGCGCGGGAGGAAGACAAGGAGAGGAAAGCTGCACGCAAAGGTGGTGGAGGTAACGAACGACAGACGGCCCACAGGCGTGTAGGACGACGAAACAGTGGCAGGACGCCGTGGGATTGAAGAGGGAGGGATGGGCAGGCCGCTGTGGATAAGGGTGTCGCGCCGATGGGGGTTAGCGGGCGAGGTGCCGAGAGACGCTAATTTAAACGTGCCCCAATCTCTGCACCGCGCGCTATGGGCAGGCAGATCGGAACAGCCCAGTGGGCGGCGACAGCGACAGACAGCGTTGGCATGCCGTCCGCTACCAGCACTGCGCTCTGCTCGTCGAGCCAGCGTCGACGGCGCGTGAGGGCGCAAAAGGCACCCGGATGCGACAGGCACGCCCAGCTATCGCTCCTATCAACGGGCGCCCGAGCCCAGCTAGCCAATGCGCCCCCGCCACCCGCAAATCACCATCCCGCGACCCTCGACACGGCTGCCAGATGCGACCGCGACGGCCGCCAGCGTCCCAACCATTCACTGCCGCCGTGATGGGCAGCGCATTTCACTCTTGACGTCGTGGAGCCCGCTGCAGTCTCTCTGTCCGCTTCGAGCAGGTGCGAGGCACCCCCTGACACCTGCCGCGCAGCCCTCTACCGGAAAACGCACCCCTGCGCGTTCGCAGCGAGGCCATACCGACGCGTATCGTGCCGTCGCCGTTGATTTGCCGTCGCAGCAAAACGCCTTACAAAGCGAGCAGTGGCAAGCAGATCCTGCCGCGGACCGGCCTCCATTGGCCTGGCCTGCCCTTCCGCCGTGGGACCGATGCATTGAGCCATCCAGTTCCGCGCCCTAAAAATACGACTAGGAAATATTGGCAGGTCCTGCAGCAGCGCCGTTGCGGCACTGCGCCTGTCAATCCGTTCCAAGCGTGCTCCCAGCCTTCTTTCTGCTCGTGCTGTCGCGAAGCGTGTCGCGGCACAAACAGCCCAAGAACCCTGGGTCGTTCCGCTGCCATGCCAGACACGCTGACTGTCGGCGTGGCACCTGTCCTGAAACAGCCGCTTTCGCCCTTGGGAACCGAGTACGGCCTTCGTCGAGGTTTTGCATCCTGTCAGACGCTTCCAGCACCATTCCGGAACCGGGCTTTGCATATGACGAATCTGCTGGCGTCCGCCTCCGAGCCCTCGATCACAATATGATGATCGCTCCACCCTTGCGAGACACCGTGTGGGACTTGTTTCCACGCCCGCATTGTGCACTGTGTAACAGCAACATGCCCGCGTTTTGCAACGCACGCTTAGTCCATGCTTGGAATCTTCGATGCCGTCCACCTCCGCTACAAGTCGTCGTCAGCTGCGCTAAAGTCCCGCTGTCTCGTAACGATTACAATTACTCTTGCAGCTTCACTTGGGCTCTGCATGCCTCGTCGATATCATGAGCTTCCGTGTCAACGTCAGTCGTTCTCCCTGCTGTCCCAGAATGCATGTTCCAGGGTCCGTTGCGTGTCTCCGTGGTCAGCCCACCAACTGCTTGGCGCGTTAAAGCCCATGCTAGGTCAAAGCCAAGCTTTTGCGAAAGCCAGGCTACCATCAGTCCTCTGATTCCCCAGGATTCAGACGCCCTAATTCTTCGGGAAGTTGACCCCCATTCTTTGCCTGTAGGACCTGGCATAGCCGCAGAAACTTTAGGCCTCAATTATTACTCAAGAAGCGGAGTTGCCTTGTCATGGTGCGACTTTAGTCGCAGGGCGTTCGCTCATTAGGATTCCAGGGTACGAGGCGCTCATTTGAGAAGGGGTGTACATCAGAATCTCCAGTAACGACGGTCGGAAATTACCAGCTTACTCTACGGATGATCAACTTCGCCTCACAAGCATTTGACGGACGCCTGATCACCGTCTCCATTCTCCACAGTGGCCGACGTTAAAAATTGGGTAGACTATCCAAACATTGCAATGTAAACCCTTTATCTATCAAGTAAATACAAGAGCCTGCGAAAACCGGTCCAGTCGTTACATAGTGTCGGCAACTGTGTTCTATTACTTCGGCTGAGTAAGCTACCATCTTGCGCCCGCCGAGGCAGCATCATCGTTATTCGGGGCAACTCGAAGTAGCATTCCTCTGGGTTTACGCACTTTAAGACCAGCACCAGGCGGGTTTGGTTGTTCAACATTGTGACAACGGCCTCACCACATCTTAGGCTTCGATTACCTGCAATCACCACCATATTCAAACGCGGACAAGAGGAAATTCGTGTGCTGCATTCTAGGCAATCATGTCGCCATTACTGATACTGTTCTTTTCGCTTTTGTTCTGTTCGACCCAAACGTTATGAAGCCATGCTAGTTTACCAAGGCAACGACGCACGACGCTCCATCAATACCAGGCATTTTCAATCTGGTGACTGCACCAATTTCTCCATTCAGTTTATTTCTTGATTTCCTCCAATGTCTCCGACACCCCTCCTTTCGACTTCTGGTCGTGCAGTAGCTTCTCGTCGTGCATCAGGTGCGAATGCTCTACGAGCACGAGCATCAGCATCGTACCAGTCGCCACAAGACGATTAAGGTCCCAACATGCTTCGTGGACTTCCGAATCTCAAGCTTACCTTTCACTGGGCTGTCCAGGGGCTCAATATGGGAATGCTCAATGTCGAAGTCTTCACCAATAGAACCCGTCCGGTCCCGTGGGAAGTGTCGTTTGGTGGGTGACTCGAGTGGTTCTATCTTGCTGCCCGAGAGCTGGTAATCCCAATCTTCTTGGCTTCAATCCATGGTTAGCCACGGTAGCAAGAAGCGTCAGAGGTTATGAGACCTGCCTCGTCATCTTTGATGCTCCAGCAATTGATTGTAGCTTTTCCCGATCAACAAGAATGGTCTTCCGGATTGTTGTAAAACACATGGGGCAGCAAAAAAACCAAGCTGGGCTCATGCGAATCTTTATGCGCTGGTTGTGGACCCTGACACGATGACATCTTCAAAGGCGGGGTTTCGCACGAGGATCACGAGACCAACCCTCTTACGGGTTCAGAGGGGCGCAAAGGGTCAGCGCATGGACCGCGAAAGCTGGACAGGGCTCAAAGCTTCGCGGTGCAGCTGCGGCAGGAGCATGGTCAATACCCTCGAGCAAAACCCCCATGCGAAGCCATGTGCTGTTAAGGTATATTGAACCGGCATACAAAGTACCTGCAAGACTTAATGACGCCGGACATTACGGAGTACAGAGCCTTTATACACTCCTTTGTACACGCAATCATTGCACCCCCCAGTTCGCGTATCCCATCGATCTATTGAAAAGGTTTCACATGTCTCTCCACCCTTCCAATCATCATGGGTACTTGTATTGATATTGAGCTTCTTATTACTAGGTAGCGGTCTTTTCACAAGCGCTCGCCAATTTCCCTTTAGCCACCTACGAATAACCCCAGGACGACATCGAAGACATTGTCACCACTTCGGCGCAGATGCTGTACCTTGCGTCCCTCCCTAGGCTTCAAATGGACGTCCTTCTCCTCATCCCTGGCGTCATTCTTCGCGTTCGGTCTCTTCTTCCCCGCTGCCGTCTTCTTCACCGTTTCTCTCTGCTCCTCATCCTTATCATCCTGTCTAAGCTTCCCCCGGGCATTCTGGTTCATCTTCACCCACTCCATCCTCTCATGATCAAACCAATGCCCTTTCTTCCTATACACCCTCTGCACCAGACTCTCAGTCCCATACTCCTCAGCCAACAACTCCTGATATGCATAGGGAATTTTAACAGGCACGCCCTCGAATTCAGATGTCCTTAATGGAAAAATCTGCCGGCTAAGGTAATGGTGGCGGTCTTTGCAGTACAGCGTCCCGGGCACCGGCGATGACCGATTCCATCGCACGGTGGTGATGTCGATATAGAGGCCGGTTTTCATGTCAATCCACCGCGCATCAATGACATTGTGGTTATCCGCGTAACTCCCGTTCTTCCAGTGCGGGTTGATATCTAGGAGATACTGTCTCTTTTCCTCGTTTCCGCCATCCTCCCTCTTCACGACGTTTAGCCCTCCCATATCTACGCCGCTCAGCCACTCCGCATCCTTGAAACTGTGCACGCTCATGTTGTAGTAGGACGCAAGGTACGACAGCACGGGCTCCGAGACTTGCACGTCGATGTCGGAATCCCACGGCATGATGCGCCGGTTCCACCACCAGCCGAGGAGTGAGCCGTGCATGATCCAAGTTTCGGCGCCCAAGGAGTGCATCGTGGCTAGATATGTTCGAAGCAGGGCACGCAGATGCTGGTTACGGGTTTCTGGTGGGTAGGTTTTATCGGCGAAGCGACCGTCGTAGTGGGCGTCGAACTACAGCGCCTGTGATTAGCAACATGGTAGTGGAAGGGGGCGATTGTCTTGGAGAAGACAGGGAAAGAAGACGAAAAGGAGTATTGGAAACTGAGGGACATACGGTAGACTCATGGAAGTATTTCTCCGCTGGACCCTTCCATTTGCCGCTCCTATCTTTCTCGTTCTTCGTAAAGACATCCGTACCCCCATTATCGCTGGATGCCGGTGTACCATCAGGATTGAATACAGTGGGCTTGTCGGTAGTCCCCGGGCTTCCATCAGGGTTGAATACGGTCGGTGGACTTGGAAGTGGGCATGCTACCGCGATCAAAGCAAGTATCACGTACGGGATGTACATCTTGCCCAAGTTATGTTTTCTATCGTCACCGTTGACCCAGCATTTTCATAGTATACCAGCTCTCTACCGCTCGCAGCTAGTGTGTTAATGTTTCACCGAGGAAACCTGCGTCTACATACGGTGGTGTGACCAAAACAAGACAGCAAGACATCCAATATCGCTAGGAAGTAAAGCGTCGGCAGGGAGCGCCACAAACATGTGTCGCGTGAGCATCCAGCCTTGTTATGTACCTGAAGCACGTCTTCGGACGGCTCGTCTGTTAGCGCGCTCTACTGCAGGCCACTTACGTATACCCCTCCCATTATAACAGCATCGGAGGATGCAGTCGAGTACGTGTAATCCCAGACCTCCGGCAGGTGCTGTGGCTCCGTTGGGGTCCGTTGAGCCACATGAACCATCTAATGCTTGTACTTCCTGGTAAAATCGCGGTTGATGTGCAGCGTCACTTGCGAACAACAAAATGCGGACACATGGCCGCATCGTGCGTGTGGCGGCGTGAGGAAGATGGCCTAACATTAGCGCAGTGTAGCAGCTAGCGGTGCGATAAAGCTAGCGGTCTGTTCGAGGTCTAGAGCAAGAGCTTTGATACTTTCCGAAGTGAGTGCTTGCGTATGCCATTGAGAGATTGGGGGACAGAATTACGGTGTGCGTTAGTCTCATGCAGACATGGACTACCGACTCCTGGTTCGGGTGCGATTGGATGCTAACGGTGGTTGTGCATGACAAGAGACGGGTTGTTAGGCGTGCCGGCGGCCCGGTAGGCTAGAAAGCTTGATTTTGCAGACAAGCAATGCTAAGCTTTCGCTTGGCACTATTGGACAGACGGGTGTGTGGAACCGTGCAGATCCCATGTTGTGTCTTTCCTGGATTGAGATCGACGGGTGCATGGTTTGTGCGTTGGTGGAGATTGGGTGACGCGGCATGAGTCGTTGACTCGGCAAGTAACCATACGATTCGATGCAGTATGAACTTGAAGTTGTGAGATTGAATGTACAATGTGAACACATTGGTGAGCAAATTGACTGTACGAGTGAGGGTGTATTGCGGACAGGTCGGCACCCTACATAGGCTAAACTTGCACCTGCCATCTGGAGCAGAGCTCCTGCCTACCACAGGGGTCGCGGAAGGTGTCCTTCAACAGAAGCGGAGTATTCGATCATGCTTTCATTTGGGTGTTCGGTAGTACCCCGGCAGTACTGAATCATTCCAAATGATCGCTTGTCTGCATGTGACTGAAAGGCATTGCGTGTATGCTTCTTGCTCCTTGAGCAACTGTTGCAGAGCCCAGCGCAAGTGCAGACACGGAAGACTACTGTTTACTCGGCCAAACATTCTCTTAAAGAACTCTTCCGCATTGCAGAGTTGGCTGTATCCTTCCGAAGCGTTTCCTGAAGCCTGACCTGACTCGCAGCGCTTGCCTAATCTAACTTCAGATACGGTGAGGATTGTATTGGGGTATTTGTCCGACTCTGTCTTTGCGGCATAATGTAGCCGTTTGTGATACAGCTCGGGAGCTATGAAGAATGTGATCGACGTGACCCAGTCCCAATGCAGACGCAATGATAGTCGAGTATGAGGCAGCCCTGCTAAACTTTGCAATTCTTGGTCCTTACGCACCGCGCTTCATGTCGCGCTCCTGGATATTCTCGACGTGTGCGATTGATGCCCACAGAAGCTATGAAGAAACTGTGAGCCAATCAACTGAACATTTCGCCTATTAAGCTCGGGAGCTTGTCCAAGGACACATTGCCAGCCTTTCGAGCGAGCAGTCTTTCGATCGGTCGCGACTCGTCGGCACTGATCATCTTTTATCCTGAGTTGAGATTTTCCCTGGCGGATCGACATGCCACAATAGTCTATTCCTGCTTTTCTTGTTCTTTCTGCTCTAGCTCTGTGCTATTGTCGTCAGCTTGCCGTCTGTTCTTCGCACCCCTGTAGATCCAGCTCTCCGCATCATTCACAACACCTCCAGTCTTCCCTCTTGCCCACGTCAAAGCATCCTGCGCAACGCCATAACCCAGCCCTGCAAACAAGCCCATCCTAATTGTCCTCGCAGCCGTTAAGACTGGAAACTTGTTCCACGCTGACCACAACCCACCCGTGACCATCCCTGCAACCACACTACTCAAGAAGTCCCTACTCTTCTCCACTCCTGTATTCACCTTATCAATATCTAGCTCACTCACACCCTCCATCTCCCCAATCGTCCGTCCCGCCCTCCATGTGCCCCTAAAAACATCCAAAGACTCCTCTACGACAAAGAAGATAGAGGTCCATGCGGCGAGGAAAACCCCTGATCGCAGACCAGCAGTGATGCCGTGCTTGAGCTTGTAGTAGTTTTTGGACTTGTGGTAGAGGTACCAGCCGGGCTGAGAGATGGGAAGGCGGTGGGCGTTTTCGGCGCGGAAGCGGAGAGATGCGAGTCGCGAGGTGTTTAAGTACCCGAGCATGGAGCCGCAGCTGAAGGATGTGAAGGTTGCGAGGAGGAGACGCCGGTCGAAGGGCATGCCTAGGCGCTCGGGGGAGAGCGTCGCGAGTGGACGTGCGGTGGAGGATTCGGATGTAATAGCGTCATTTGGAGATTGAGCCGAATCTGAGTCTAGTTGCGCTGTCGCCATCGTATGTGGAAGTATAGTGATATGTTGTGGTAGCGATTACACTTTACGAGTGCTCGCAAGCTCACGCGGAAGCCGCATGCGCCAAGAAGTTTCCGCGACAGGGATACACCACAGTGGCGCGCCCCTCCATCTGAACTTCTACAGTTCGCAGCCAAAGCCCACAGCTGACTGGTTCCCTCCCGAACAGCGCTTCAGCTTAAAGTTCAACCCAATAGAATTTTCTAGACTTGAAAAAGCACGGTACCCACCCCACAAGCAGTGAGCTGAAAGCTCCAAGATCTCCAGGCGCATCTCCGCCACAAGTTCGAAATGACTTTCACTACACCCTCCGCGCAAACATGGACCCTCCGCCTCAAGTCACAGAAGACCACGGTCCTCTTACACGTTGACCCACTGCAAACCTTCCCTACGATCAAAGAACAACTTTACAAGTCGCTGGAGGAAACGGGTCTCAAGAACGCCGACTCTGAACCGATTTCACTACCTCCCTCGCCCTCAGACATCGAGCTCGGCCGCCCAGTCAATACCAACGATCCTCACAAAGGCTTCCAATTAGGCGAGTGGGAATACTCTTCACTGGAGGAAGAGGGAGAGGATCCGAAAGGCAAGGGCAAGGCGAAGGCAGGACGGCCGAAGAAGTCCGGTACGGTTGGCGCAGACAGTGTCAAGGACTGTCCGAAGGGTGCAGGGCTTCGTGATGGTGCTGTGTTGGCTTTTCGGTGGAAGGGCAATGGGTCACGGGAGGACGAGGACATTGAGATGGCGGATGGGAGGAAGGCGGACATGTGGGACGTGAAGCTGGCGAGCTACGAGGATAACTACGGCGTAGAGAACGAGATGGACGTCGGAGGCGGAAGGGAGTTTGAGGGATGATTTGCCCGGTGAAGGTGAAGCATTACGTGCAAAAGGTTCAAGACATGACGGCGTTTAACAGGCGTTACAAGGAGGCATATACCAGGAAGGATGAGCGAAAGGACTATCACCAACGTGTACGATCGGAGCATACCAGCTGTAGATACGCATGCTCACGGCGTTCAAGCTCCTGTGGGGTTGTTCGAGTGTTAGTCGTATAGGCAAGGGGCACGTACGAGTGCAATAGAACATGCATTGAGTCGTAACACGCGACTGGAACAATAGTGACAACACGCGTATATTTGTGGTACCATTGGTCGATCTGATACCCAGGTGTGGTGTTGCTCACATGCGTTGGCTTTGGTCGTGGTTGCTGGTTTCAGATCCCTGTCTGTTTGGGGCACGGGCCGCTGGTAAACATTGGACTTTCCGACGCTCGCTCTAACAGTTCCGCACGCCTATCCTCACCACCGACCCTCGCTGCCGACACGCTCCTGTCTCTCACTTACAGGAGCTGCGTGGGTATAATAAGTAATACAAATCAGCTTAGAGCACGACCATGGCCGCCGACGGCGCGTCCTCCATTTCCGTCACTGTACGAGTACGCCCTTTCACGATTCGAGAGGCAGCGCAATTAGCAAAATGCGACGACACAACGCTCTTCCTCGGAGATGGCTCATTAGCTGCGGCGCCAACGCCAAAGCTGCACTCGAAAGGAATTCGTCCCGTCATTAAAGTCCTGGATGAGAAGTGCTTGTATGGAGCTCAAACAGCCGGTGTCTGCTCGTATGGAAGCTAACAGTACCCCAGAGTTTTCGACCCACCTGAAGACAATCCCGTGCAGCGATTTTCGAGAACAGTTCTGCCGCAAGGAAAGCGGGTGAAAGACCAGACGTTCGCTTTCGATCGGGTGTTCGATGAGAACACTACCCAGGGCGACGTTTACGAGTCGACCACTAAGCCGCTGCTTGACAGCGTATTGGATGGATACAATGCAACCGTTTTCGCGTACGGTGCAACAGGCTGCGGGAAGACACATACGATCACGTACGTTCATCGACTGAAGATGCACATGTGAGCCACGTCTGACCTTTGACAGGGGAACCGCGCAGCAACCCGGCATCATCTTCATGACCATGCAGGAACTCTTCGAGAAGATCAACGAGGTGCAGGAAGAGAAGGTCACCGAGGTTACGCTCTCTTACCTTGAGATCTACAACGAGACCATCCGCGACCTGCTTGTGGAAGGCGGGAGCAAACAGACGCTGATGCTGCGAGAGGATGCGAACCAGACTGTTTCCGTCGCAGGTTTGACCAGCCACCACCCACAAAACGTAGGCTATCGCTGCCAATGAACACACAGCTACTGACCATGTGAAGGTACAAGAAGTCATGGACATCATCGTACGAGGTAACGAGTACCGAACAATGTCGCCGACTGAAGCCAATGCCACGTCTTCACGATCCCACGCTGTCTTGCAAATCAATGTGTCCTCGAAGGATCGTAATGCCTCGGTCAACGAACCGCATACGATGGCGACCCTTAGCATCATCGACCTGGCGGGTAGCGAGCGGGCATCTGTGACCAAAAATCGAGGAGAGCGCTTGATTGAAGGTGCGAATATCAATAAATCACTCCTTGCATTGGGTAGTTGTATAAACGCTCTGTGCGATCCGCGGAAAAGGAATCATATCCCATACCGAAACTCGAAGCTCACTCGTCTGCTGAAGTTCTCGCTCGGCGGAAACTGTCGGACAGTTATGATTGTCTGCGTCAGTCCGTCGAGCGCACATTTTGACGAGACGCAGAACACGCTGCGATACGCAAACCGGGCAAAGAACATTCAGACTAAGGTGACCAAGAACGTCTTCAATGTCAATAGACATGTGAAGGACTACTTGAAGAAGATTGATGAGCAGCGGGTGCTGATCGACGAACTGCTGAAGAAGCAGAAGGACTCTGATGCAAGTGCATTTGTCAAGTTCCAGAAGCAGACCGAGAAGAAGGATGTCATTGTTCGCGAAGCCGTAGCACGGTTACGGCAAGCTTACGCGGATTCTGAGCCAGACCGGAGGGAGAGACTTGCATTGTTGAAGAACCTGAAGCAAGCTGAGAAGCGCGTATCTCTGATTTCAGCCTGGATAGCCGCGTTCGATCAGGTCCAGGAGCTTCGGGAAAACGAAGTCATGCCTTCACAGGTTACAGTAGTGAGGGACACAGCCGTCGGAATTTCAGCTGAGCTCGAGCAAACGAGGCAACACTGCCACCGCCGCCTGGAACGCTCTAGCTGGACTAGCAAGCTTGACACTGCGCTGCAGTTCGGCTTGCGACAGCTTAGCGAGGTTGACAGTTCCAGCGACAGCCACGATGCTGCTAACGTCAAGCGCGAATACGAGATCCTCAAGTCGAATGCAGAACGGGAAGCCCTGGGTGTGCTTCTGGATCAAGAGAAGGGTGGCGATGCTGCAGTTGTGCAAGTACTCGTGCAAGCCCACATTGAGACGGTCGCCATATTGAATCAGATTACCCAAATGGATGAAGAGGAGGCGGTCCAAGCGGCGAAGAAGATTCTCACCCAGATCATGAATTCTTGCACGAACGCTACTGCGCGTGTCGTTCGACCAGACGGCAATCTCCCCGTTACGGAATTCTTCGCACCAGCCCACAAAGGAACGCCAAAGCGCAGTGCGCGAGTGCCTCTCACAGCTTCAGAGATGCGACCGCTGGCAGCGCCGTCGTTCACTGAAGCACCTCACATAGCGTCACCACCGAAGGGTTCGCCTCGTCGGCCGCGGAAGATGGGAGGTGCGAAGAAGGGCGTCCAGTTTTCTCCCATGAAGAAGAAGTCACCGTCAAAAGCCAAACGTGGCGTTCGGTGGAGGGATGACACTGAGAACGGCACGCTGGCGGAATTCCAAAAGACACCAGACCCAGTAGAGTCGACACCAACATGCTCATCTATCGATATCCCTCCGCCTACGTTCTCCGTGCCGGTCGACGCACCTGAAGCCGATCAGTATGGCGGTTCTTCGCCTATACCAACGCCTCCGAAAACATCGATCGATCTTAAGCCTAAGTCGAGCCGGTTCCAGACGGGGTTCCTCTCGAAGAAATCTGATGGACCCGCTACAAACTTCTCATCGGACTCAGAGACGTCTCCTCTTCGTGAGATCGGTACAAATGCGATCCGCTCTTCTGCATTAAGCAATGTTGAGAATGCGGCCGATATGAACTCTATGGAGGCATCTTCTGGATCGGATGAGGAGAAGTGGAACATGGATCGGTCAGATGCACGCAAGATCGGATCAGCGATGAAGAGACGTTCGTCAGGTGCTCATGGCTCCGTGCCAGCGAGCCGTGCGCATCGTCGTCGTAGTCCCTCTGCCGCGACAGGCAGTCCGCAGAACGAGAATATGCTTCTCTCAGCTGGTGCAGCGCGTCGAATGGTTAAAGGAGAGCGCGATGCTGACTGGAAAGCCAGCGTGCTTAGCCCGCGGCCTGCCGCCATTGTCAAAGGGGCGCCGCGAAGGACGACCATGGCGATGACGGGCGAAGAACGAAGTGCGGGTGGATCGTTAAACAGGGCCCCAATACGAATAACAAGCAACGGCTCGACTGGATCGAGAAGCAGCTTGATGTCTGCTTCGAAAAGTGCTTGGCGATGAAGACCTTCTTTTCGAGTTGTTGACTGACGTTTTAGACACAGCGTTGGCTTTTTGCGAGTTGAATTGCTGGGTTCCTAGGCGGCGTTGTCTGTATGTTGAGATCGCTGAGCATTGGCGATGCGGCGTTTGAATGGAGTGGTCAATGTCAGCTTGTTCTCCTACAATAGTCACTTCACATTCTGGATTTCATCCTGGGTCAAGCATTCTCGGCTGTGGGTTGGTCTATCGGAATTTGCAAGAGCGGGTTTTGGCGTTTTGGAGGGTGTTGACTAGCAAGCTCAATCCAAGACTTGCATGTGTGGTATTTTCCTGTCAATACTTAACGAGGCATTATATGCCTTCATTCCATGTGCCTGCTGTTCGACTGTATGGTCTATTCCTAATGGCAGATGCTATCACGAGGCCTCAGAAATTCCATCAGACCGCGTATCAAGTTTTATCCTTGAGTTTTTGATGGTGTATGGAGTTTTGTCCCTCAAGCGCACCGGAACACAATCTTTTCCGGTTCTGGTGACAGCGGGGAACTGAGCTACCGGCTAACCTCGGCAGCATCCCCGCTTGCACACTCCCGAACATTAGTCGACTCGTCACGAAGCGCATCTTCGGTTTGTCATTCCACACAGAACGCGGGCAGCATTATTAATGACGTGTAATGGCGCGATGTGGGGTATGCTTAGGATTTAAACAAAAGGGGTAGGCCTACACTACCATATTCGGATTTATAAGCGTTCAGTGCATTGTGTGGACTTCAATTGAATGCTCTGAAAAGTCTTGGGGAAAGTAAATAATATGAGCACTATGAAGGAAGCTGTTGTGTCTAAGGGCCCCTCAGTCAAACTCGTGGACAGTCCCATCCCCAAGCCAGGCCCGGGGCAAGTTGTTATCCAGGTTGTGGTGAGCGGTAGCAATCCTAAGGATTGGTAAGAGCCCCCAAATTTCCTTGTTGTTGGTTTTCGAGGCTTTCCTTTGATGATAGAGAAGCTGATTATCAAAATTACAGGAAGATCCCAGAATGGATGGGCCAGACAGCAAACACTGGTGATGACATCGCCGGTATCGTGCACTCGATAGGCGAGAACGTGTGGGAATTCAAGAAGGATGACCGAGTCGCGAGTTTTCACGAAATGATGACGCCCGGAGGTAGCTTTGCTGAGTATGCTGTTGGGTGGCAGGTAAGCAGTTCCAATGTTCTCAAGATCTTTTGTCTTTCGAACGTACGATTGATTCTTGCTATAGCACACGACCTTCCACATCCCTCAAAAGATCTCCTTCGAAGAAGCCGCCACTCTCCCCCTCGCTGCCATGACAGCCGCCATCGGCCTCCACGTCCGCCTTGGCCTCGACGCACCCTGGGTTCCGCACTCCAAGAACCCGGAGACGCCTCTCGTTGTTTACGGTGGTGCTTCTGCGGTTGGTGCATACGCTATTAAGCTCGCCCAGCGCGCGAACATCCACCCCATCATCGCTGTTGCAGGCCGTGGCATCCCGTTCGTGGAGAAGCTGTTGGACTTATCCAAAGGTGATACTATTGTGGACTACCGCAAAGGCGACGACGCTGTCGTCTCAGGGATCAAGGACGTCCTCAAGGGCAAGAAATTGCAATACGCTTTCGACGCCGTCTCCGAGCACAATAGCTACACCAACATCGTGCAAGTCTTGGAGAAGGATGGACACATCACGCTTGTCTTGCCAGGAAAGAAGTACGAAGGTATTCCTGAGACGGTGGACAAAACGATTACTAGTGTGGGCGAGGCGCACAAGAACGACAAGGATTTTGCGTACGTGTTTTTCCGATATATTGCAAAGGGCCTGGATGAAGGGTGGTTCCAGGGACATCCGGCGAAGGTTGTGAAAGGGGGTTTGGAGGGCGTGGAGAAGGCGCTAACGGATTTGAAGGAGGGGAATGCGAGTGCGGTGAAATATGTTTTTAGGATTGAAGAGACGAAGGGGGTTAAGGGGGCGCAGTTGTAGATGGTGGGGCGAGTTGGATGAGGCACACACGTGGAATTTACCTAAGTACATAAAAAATCCTACTCTTCAAGCTAGACAGGCTTCATTTCTTTCAGATATTCGATTCCATATGCCTTTGTGTATTCTTTGACGAGCAGCTATCGTCCGGCTTTGTGCCCTGACAGGGCACCAAGATTATGATATACAAATCTATGTTGCAAGTTCGGTAACCCTAGTTACCACTGGGGCCTCCCTTCCACAGCTGCTGCAATGTCAGGTCGATTACCATTTTAAGTCATTCAATAAGATGTAGCTATAGGCAGAACTTTGATCACCACTTGGCGTACAAGTGTATCCAGATGTCAACGTCTCTTCGCGCGACGAGGGCACTAGCGCCAGGGGCATCAACGAAGCGCACTTGTGAACCATCTTCACAAGTGTTGATCGATTTGAGACTCACGCGACACGATTCAATGATGCTTCTCTTGCAGTAGTGTTTTGTCTGGAGTGATTATCACACGGTTCCCAATTCCACCTCACCCATGATCTCCTTGTCCAGATCCGTGGCTAAGCCCGGGACTAAGCTCCTTGTCATTCAGCTCATGCGCTTTGCTATTATGTGCCAGTCGCCATGATTTACAGGCTCCAGGCCGATCGAAAGTCGGAATGTAACGTGTGTAAAGTAATGAACGCAACAGTGTGATTGTTCCAGTTGTTCATAGACTTGGGCCTCCACGGCACAATCGCAAACGTACTGCGGCACCCTGCGAATTGATGTCAGAGTAAAGTTAACATTTTGACCGAGCAATCACGTGCATGTGTTTTACTTGCTTATCTGTCTATAAGTGTTTCCTATCCAAAGCTGTGAATCAAGTTGAGCGCACAGAAAACCTGATGAATGTCGCTCAAAGTCTATCTGAGATTATATTGATGGAGCCATACAGCCATAAAAGGCTCACAGAATATCAGAACCAGATCAGATACAGAAAAAAGAAAAGAGCGAATATCTTGGCGGCTTCCATCACCTGCGGTCACCCACCCGGGTACACAAGACCCACATAACGCAAGTCGACCCACCATGCGCAGAAAAGATAAAAAAAACATACAACAGCGGGGATTCGCTAATTCTCACGAACTTAACTACTAATCCGCCGGTACCCTGCTTAAGTACAGCTGAGCGAACGGGAAGCTCTGTTCTCAAGGTCCTATGGTCGTATGTGATGAGAATTATTTTTCTTTAGCTTATATAGTACAGCAATTGAGACTGAAACTGCGGAAGGAACACTCGATATCAACCTGGTAAGTGGAGATTGCTCTCGAAATGCAATATAGTCCTCAGCTCCTAGGTCTCAACCCCACCTTACACCCCCCAAGCCCAACACACGTAATACCTAGCTTTTCCCTCCAAGGCTCATCATCCCTTCCCTCTACATGAAAGGTCTGCAATAACCTCACAACAACGAACATGCACTCAGTGAGCGCGAAATTCTGCCCAATGCATATCCTTGGCCCTCCACTGAACGGTAAATACGCCCATCCGGGCCTAAGAGGACTCGAATCGTGTCCCTCATCCAGCCAGCGCGTGGGGTCAAATTTGTGAGCGTCTTCCCCAAACACGTCTGGCCGTCGGTGCATAGACCAGGGAAGGTAGACGACGTAGGCTCCTTTGGGGACGAGAGTCGGTGATTGCCCATCGGGTCCGCCGCCCCGAGGCAATATTGTGTCATGCAGAGCTTGCCGAGAGTTACTGGGTACGATAGGGTACATTCTTTGGCTTTCGTTGATGAGAGCTTTGAGGTACTTCATGTCTTTGAGTTGCTGGTACGTTGGGATGTCGTTTCCAACGGAGTCCTCAATCTCCTGGCGGAGCCGGGTCAGCATTTCTGGCTGTCGAGAGAGTTCCCAAATGAGATTCGATAATAGAGATGCTGTGGTGTCGCGGCCTGCGAGCAGGATGTTGAGAAGTTCGGAGCGGATTACGGTGCGGTTCTGGGTTGCGGAGGAAAGTTCGTCCAGGAAAACGTAGCGTTGGTTTCCAGCATCTTTCTCGGCTGGAGATTGACTCGCAATCTCCTTATCTATGATTTTGTCCGTGAAGTCTGAGAGTCGTTAGAAACTTTCATCGTAAGCTTGTTTTGCCCAAAAGAGCCACCAGTCATGCAAGCATATGGGACGTGAGCTCTTCAAAATACAAACAGAACTCTCAAATAACGTACCTCTGATAGCTTTCGCACATTTCTTGAACTTTCGATCCGGCAAGAACATCCCCAATATACCATACTTCTCGTTTCTCTCACCCATCGGATTTTGACAATATTCGAAAGCTTCGATGAACTCCTTGCACGCAGTATCTTCCCTGCTGTAATCAAGCGCATCCGTACTCCTTCCAAACAAGAACTCAGTCGCAACATCCAGCGTCAACTCATGGAGCAACGGCTGCAAATCCACGGTCGTGCCATCTCTGGGAACAATCTGTAGAAGTCTTCCCGTATGTTTCTCCATTATTGAAACGTCTGCGACCTGCGAGCGCTCAAAACATGGCCGCAGCATATCTCTCGAACGCTTCCACGCCGCGCCCTCGCTCGTGAAGATGCCGTGCCCGAGGTACGCGCTCATCTGCTGAATGCGTTCTTGGCCTAGGCTCCACTGGTCGAAGTTGACGGCTAGCATTGCTTTGACATTGTCTGGGTCATCCGTCCAATAAATTGTCTGGCCGACCATCTTCACAGTCATGGTATGGGCGTTGTTGGATGTAAGGATTCTGGTCCAAGATTCGAGCAACTTGTGCTCGCGGTAGGCTTTCATATTGGAAAGGAAGTGATCAATACCGAATATCGTGTATTTTGAGGTGTATTGCTTTGCGGGAAGACAGCCATGTTGAGTTGCTAGGGCGTGGCGCGCGGCGCCTGTGGTGGCTCCCCAGTAGACGCGGTAGACGATAAGGGCGGCGATGCAGGGAAGAGCGATAGCCTGAAGATAAACCAAAGAAACGAGTGCCATGTTTACAATATTGTTGAACATTCATGAGAGGAGTTGGAAGGGAAGAGAGGGATATGGCAAGGATTCAGGCAGCCAAAAGTGTACCTTGTACTAGCTGAAAACACTTAGTTCGAATTCGTATCTTTGCCATCACCTCCAGCCATTTCCGGTTAGCATCACCATCGCAAAGACATAAAGAGAAGATGGAGCGTAATAATTTGCGGTTGCGAGGTCCCTGAGAAGTTATGCTTCAGCTTTGTGTCGTGAACGTTACCTAGCTGAGGATCTGTCGCGGGGTTGCGTGGCTTTGAACGTTGGCTTGCGCTTACTGTAAGACGACACGTCGGCACTTGACCATGAAGATGCAATACTTCAAGTTCACCATCCCGCAGGCCTTACACAGTCCGTCAGAGACTTGTTCTTATCCGCGCCGGGTACCTTTCACGCCGTCAGCGAGGGACTACAAATCATAGCTTCACCATTGTAGGCAGATCGGACCCCATTTTACTCACATCATGCACCACCGCAAACGCATCCCAATGCTTATCCGCATGCGGCGTATACTCAATCCCATTTACCGTCCCATTTGCTGCCTCCCAACCCCAATAATGCCCCACGAACGCGTACATCATATCCATCCCCGCCGCGACCCCCGAGCTCGTCCACACCTTCCCATCTTCGACCCACCTCGCATTCGGCACCCACTGCACGTCCCGCCCATGCCTCGAATCCGTAGCCCAAGTCCATGCACTCTTGTTAGTCGTCGCCTTCCTACCCTTCAGCACGCCAGCCCGCGCGAGTGTCGTCGCGCCAGTGCACACCGAGAGCACGTACTCCGCTTCGCCGAAACGGCCAGCGATGAATTTCTCCATGGTAAAGTTGTTCTGGTTGTCGAGGACGAAGTCGCCTGTGCCGCCGGGGACGATGATGATGTCGAGGGGCGGGGCATTGGAGAAGGAGTGTGTGGCGATGATTTGGGGATTTATGCCGAATTTGGGATCGAATAACGTGCCGTTAGGACCTATGGTGAATGGGACAGGGGCGCGGGCGCCGACTGGTCCGGCGCTGAAGGAGATGGTCGATAAGGTCATGTTGTGTGAACCCGCGAGTGAGAATAGGATTTCGACTAAGTAGGTGGGGTGTCAGGGCTGGGAAGGGATTGACGAATTTGTGATTCAGATACGTACGGGGACCGAAGACATCGAGGGGTTCGAAGCCTGGGAAGACGATCTTGAGGGCGTCAATTCAAGGATATATAGACGTCATGTTAGGGAAACGTACGTATCCGATAGAGGGTGACGAGTTATCGGTAGTGACACTCTCTGCTTCATAATTCAATGCGGCTCTTAGCTGAGCATGTCCTAACTGCGCAATAGACAGTCCCGCTACGAGCATAGTTCGCAATCCTGGCATGATCATCTTTGCAAATGATGATTGCCCAAAAAAGATGTAATGGTGACAATCAAAACGTCCGAGTGCCGGAGAATCTGTTCGCCCTCGTCCTTTCTTATAAGTACCTCACTAACCCTGCACGAAGTCTTGCTCTCCACTCCACAAATGTTGCGTTTCTCGATTGACGTAAGGTTCGCGCGAGAGTAATCTCCAATAACGACCCTTCACAACGTTAACACTTAGACTAATCCTTCGTCGTTAACCCTGCATGGCTTCTCGAACTCCGCTCCATGAACGTTCCTCTCCTCGATCGACGCAGAAGTTCGCGCGAGAGCAGCTCTTACAAATTAAAGTGCAGCAAACATGTCCCGTGTGTAGCAGAAAATCCAATCACGACTCTTCATAACATTGTCACTTGAACCGATGCTCCGTCATAATGTCCACTTGTTACCATATGGTTATGCGGATATTTGGGACATGCATCTACCTGTAATAGTGATTGGCTGAACACACTTGATGTAGGTCCGAAGGAATTAGCGCATGAGGGGGTTTGCGGTGGTATTGCTTACCGGAGGATTGCAGAACATACGTTGACCTCGATACTGTGTAGTGCACGAAGAGGCAGGCATCAACTACGTTACTGGGTCTGTATTCAACTTCAAGCAAGTTCATAATGCCATATGCCGTTAATAGCATCGAGACCCGACATCTTCTTATGAGAGGCTAGGGCAACAATTTGCGAGCGTAATCAAATGTCATTTCGCAATGACCACGAGGTGGCGGGGAGAAAAGCACGACTGCTGTAGACATCGACATGATGACCACCTCACATATATCACATGCACGGGCAAGGACACGACTGCGAGGGGTATACACTGATCTTGTTAGATCCCACTAGCTCTCGACCATTAGGCGCTACGCATAGCAATCCTGACGCGAACGATGCGATGCAACAACGTGCTCCACGTCCACCCGCGAATCTATAGACATATGCAGTCGAAGATAAATGACAAAATTTGGTATCTCACTTAACACCGAGAAACGAAGACAGAGTCATACATGCATAAAGAAATCCCAGGAACCGAAGATGATTTTTCCAAGTCTCGGAGAGGGTTTACAACATGGCGACGAGGGCAGCGACGGCACCGGCAAGGCCAAGACCAGCCTTGAGGCCAGAGGCAGCACCGGGGAACTCTACAGCGGGAGTAGAAGTGGGGACCATGTAGCCGCCAGTGGCAGAGGTCTTGAGCGACGCGGGGACGGTGAGACCACCAGTGGGGTAGATGACGCTGGCGGGAGGAGCACCGCTGGAAGCGCCGGTGCCGACCGGGGGAGCAGGTGCGTAGACAGTGGTGGTGGTGGTGCACGAGGAGGAGGCCTCAACAGGGGTGCTGCTGGGGGTCTCGACAGCGCTGGAGGGGACAGCGTAGCCGGAAGCAGTCATGGAAGCGGTAGGCATAGGAGCAGCGGAAGAGCTCTCGTAGGCACTGGACGAAACAACGCTGGAGGAGACGACGGGAGCCTCGTTGGAGATACCGAACTGGGTGGAGTACTGGTAGTGACCATCGACATCATCGATGAGCTGGATTCCGTAGCCACCAGGGCCGTCAGTGCCCTCGAGGGAGGTGGGAGGAGTCCAGGTGTAGCTGCCGGAGTTGTCGATGCTCTCAACAATGACCTGGTTGAAGACAGCGTTGGTGGAGGGGCCCTTGAGCAAGATCAGGGAGACCTTGTTGGGGGAGTCGGCAGTCCACGTGATGGTGAAGGGCTTGCCAGCCGGGATGGACTGAGACGGTTAGCGCGGTGTTCCGTTTCAACTCGAGGATGGACTGACCTGGATGAGAGGGGCGGTGATGGCATTGCCAGAAGGCTCGCCAACGGGGGCGTGGTAGGCAGCGGCAAGGCCGGCGAAGAAGGCAATGATGGAGTACTTCATTGTGATTGTTGTGGGATTATGGGATTAGTCGGTGCGACGAAAGACAGACTGAGGTATTAAAGGTAAAGAGCGACGGGGGTGTTAAAGAACGGCTGAAGAAACGAGTCTTCGTGAGTGAGGCTTTGCTGCTTGACGGAGATGGTGAGCGAAAGACGAGAAGCGAACGAGGCAGTGAGGAGGGTGGTGTATATATTGCACCGGGCAAGGATGGCGGGCCCTGCGCGCCTGCCCTGCGCTGATGCCGCCCCGTAGCCAATCTCGCCAATTGTTCCTGCAGTAGCGCGGTGGCTCCTTCCAATCGCGCATGTCGCTGCTGCCTCTGTCGGGCCCCGCTAACCCGCTCCCGCCTAGCAGCGGACTCGGGCCCAATCAGCACCGCCGCCCAGCAGATTGGACGACCAACTCCTGCGCCTTCAGGAGTCGTGCATTTCGGCCTTTTGGCGACGGCTGCAATTTCTCGCCCAGCCGGGCCAATCTCATTTCCAGGAATAGCCCTACAGCGAGCCACCGGCAGCGTCTGACCGAGAATCGATACTTGCGCGCGGCGCGACTGCAAGCCATCATGACATCGCTCGTCGACGATGCGCTGCGACGTCGTGAAGGAGCAGCCGGCGCAACAAGCGCGACAGTGAAGCCTGCGAAGAGCCGGCACTTGACCATCGAACATCCTGGCCATGGACTCTCTGGGCCTTCCTCCGCTCTCGGGGCCATCTGTTTGATCACCCTGCCTCTCCGGATTCACAGGCGCCATCCTGCGATTGGCCTGGACCGGAGAAACAACAAGCTTCAGGCTGGGCGTTCTTGCGACTCAGGCCCAGCCCGATAGATCTCCGTGCCCCAATCGATATGCCATAAGGCACAGCACGAGCGCCCCATGTCCACCGTCGAGGGTCGCTCACGGAGACCCTGACGTCGTGCTTGGTGACAGCCGTTTCGTCGCACCGCAGCACAGTCAGCCGGACCAACGGCCCTGTCTGTCACTCCAAACTTCTGAGATTGCGTGTTGGCATCACGCGGGGCCAGTGCGGAACGGCACATGCGAAATTGCGCCCGTATGGTACCTTCCCTACGTACGAGTGCGCCGCTCGGCGCTTTTCTTCTTTGGCCCCATCGTCAACAACACGGCGCAAAGGCAATCTTAGCCTGAATGAGTCGCGTGCTTGCGCAGGCAACACTTTGCATTTGGGACCCAAATTTCATCTTCCTTCGTTATGTACAGGATCGTTTAAATGTTAAGGGCATTGAGAAACCTCACGCGGGAGTCTAGCGAGCGCTAAGGGGTATCCATCAAAGAAGAAGAGTCGTCAAATCGTTACAGTGGCTTAGAAGCTTACGGCGGGGTGAGCGAGCGTCGAAGGTCAGAGAAATTGCTCATATGCACGCTGGCGGCGAAGCGACCATAAGCACGTCATGTACAGAGCTCATGCAGCCAAATACCGCTTAACCACAGATGCCAGAGTCTGTCACCGGTTAGAGCCTGTTCGTCAGGCAGATTTTAGGAAGGTTGGCTTACACTTGCGCGCAGATGGATCGTTCACCGGCTTAGGGAAGAGACCGTTGGCCAACAAATCTTGCATGTCCCATTCCGGTGCACCTGGGGTAAGATCAGCGTGGTTCATACGAAATCGGGGCCGCAACAACTCACCTTCAGTTTTCCAGGTCCAGAAGATCCAGCCTGCAGCCTTCTCGTAACCCTCGAGTTGTGCTTCAATGAAGCGTCCGATGTTGTATTTATCGTCTGATGACAGGTTGGCGACGCTGCCGGAGGACTTGCCTGCGCAGCTGCCGATCGCGTTGTCGTTCTCAAATGTCCCGTCGTAGCGCGCACCCTTGTTCTTACCATTCAACCACTTCGCGCAATCTGTGATGCCGCCAGTCCACTCGCCTGAGATGGTAGCCTTGTTGGACGAAGCCATTTCGCTACCAAAATCGCAGGCCGCTTTGATGTGGTCATCGGGGCTCATGCTGAGCTGGTCAACGTTGAAGACTTCATAGTGGTGCCTGTACAACTCCGCGTTAGCACCCTGCTTCCAAATTGCTGCAGTGGGCAATACTCACGTGTCAAGCAGCAGGTTGGACATGCCAGCGCCCCAGTCATTCCAAGACGCCACACCCTCGAAGGCTTCGTGGAACGCAACGGCCACTTGCGAGTTCTTGAGGTTCCCCCACCCATCCATGTAAAATTGTCGAACAGTATTCATGTCAAGGCTAGATCCCATAGGCTCATTCAGAAGCTCAATCGCCGAGACGGCAGGATGCGCGGCGTGGTCATCCCTGATCTTGTTCAACACCTTTATGGTGTGCGCGACGGTGTCACCCTGAGTCCATTGAATGCTACCATAGCGGCCCGAGTTATCAAAGCCGTTTTGAGAGCCTGGTGCACCATGAAGATCAATCATAACTTTGAGGCCTGCCGCCTGTGCCCAGTCGAGTGCTTTGCCCAGCACCTGGTAAGCGCCTTGCACGAATGGCTCGCCATCGAGAGCAATGACACTCCAATACCCGATCGGTATCCTTACGTGGTTCAAGCCGGCTGCTGCCATCTGGTTGAAGTCGGCCTGCGTTATCCACGAGTTCCAATGCTGCTGCAACTTGCTCATTGCGGCGTCCTTGCCCAGCTCTTGGGTCAATGTGTATTCGTCTACAGCGCCGTTGCCCTCAAACAGACTTGGTGTGATCCAAGGCTCGAGCACAAACCAGCCGCCTGTGTTCACACCGCGAACCTTTGAACCCGCGTAGTCAAACGACGGTGCTCGCTTGTAGGGTGTGCTAGGCCTTGATCAGCGTCTAGTACGTACTAAGGGCAAGATGATGAGTAACACTTACATGGGTGATGCATTGGAGCTCAATGCGAGCAATCCAATCGTCACGACGCTGCTCCAGCTTCTGGGCATGGTGCTGGCTGTATAGGTGAAGGTGGTTGTAGCTACCTATGTGATGGAGACAAGCTCATGTAAAGATAATTGATGAAGCTCTAAGCTATGTATAGGTGTAACAGATGCTAAGGAGCGAGGCAATGGAAGCTTTTAGACGCTCCCGAAGCTCTGGGGGAGCAACAGCCTTATAGGAAAAGCCACGAGGTCCATCCCAAGTTGGTTTTCGCAGATCATCGCGGAGTAAACACGCACTAGTCTCACGAGAAGCTGCTCCGAAAGGCAGACGTCAAGGTTGCAGCCGTGAGTCAGCTCCCAGCCGTCGCTCGAGCTCCAAGTGACGAGAATCATTTCTGCTTCCTCTCGTGGGAAACTTCTCACCAATGACGTGTCGGCGAGTCTAGTATTTTGCCACGACAGCTGTGTCTTTAGAGTTGTGAGGGTCCAGGTCAGCTGCAGGGTACCCCGACACGGCAGCACAGCAAGATCAGGTACGGCGATGGGATTGGCTCATCGCCAAAGCTATGATGTGGGGATCGCCCTCGCGGAACCCAAGGCGGGATGGCGGGGGCCACGAGCATCATGCCGTGGGGAAGGGCCTTCAGCGGACCGTCGATCGTTGCTGTTGCCGTCAGATGGAAACTTGGAAGCTTCGACGGCGGCTGAAGTGCGGTGAGGCTGCCTCATCGCCTTGCGCTGGATGAGGCAACACATGGGAAAGTCCACATGGCACTTTTGCCGGCAGAACCTGGGCATTGCTGTGGTAGTCAAGGAAACAGCTAAGCCAGCTTGCACGCGACTCGTCACAATGCAAGATGGTTCTACGGGACTCCATCTGCCCATGTTTCCGCCCCACGAACGCAGCCTCCTGGGGGCCTTCCACAAGCCAGACCTCGGCAGAAAGCGGAAATAAAGCGTCTTCCCCGCAAAACCAAGCTTTGCGACAATCGTCTTTGCGCCGACGCCGCGTCTAGCAACCGCGAGCTTCGATTCGTCCCTAGAGGCCTCGAGCGTCACTGGTGTATTTCCCCCAAGCGACCATCGTGACCGGTGAGCTCATCCACGGGTACTCTGGTAGGCGAGAAGAGGCAGCGACAGACCCGCGACCTCGGTGAGACACAGTATCTGAGTGTCACACGCTCGGGATGATCATCGGCGCGCAACACCTTGCTGGCCGACGCCTTAAGATTTCCGAGCATGGGCTGCGCTGAGCGCTCAGCTGACCTGCGCTGAACGGCGTGACGACGTCGTGGTGATGACTGTATGGCCGCTTGCAAGAAGCATGTCCAGGGTAGGTATATCTTATTAGTAGAAAGGGAGCGGTCAAAAGAATCCCAGACGACAGGGTGACATCAGACCTGGCCTTCCAAGTATCCACGGTCTTGGGATAGCCTGGGTAGTTACTCAGGTGTGGATGACGGAGGCGAACATCATCAGTTGCTCGCCGCACCTTCGTCATAGTACGCCGAAGTTGCTTTGAAAGAGACGACGACAATGAAGCCGTGGAGATGTCAACTTGCGGGGTGTAGCACATAGCAGTATATGTACTTGCGCACGGGTCCGCATGGCGTGTGTAGCACTCTAGGCTTGCTGCAGCTTTTACAGTGGTGTATAGACCAAAGTGGGAATCACGAAGTAGAGCTGAAACGCAGTCAAGCGATGATCAGATGGAGACATGTGTCAATTTTGCTGACTTTACTCACCGAACCCACATTCATCAGCACTTGTCGGTAAAGTTATCGTGGTATGCGTACTGTCATTTTCGAGCAGGATCCTCGGCACCGCCAAGAACCATCCCTTACGAATGACTAAGGAAGTAAACTGGAATGTTTGCTCCATCTCTACCATCTGCAAACCGCTGATACTATCTCCTGCATGCAACGGTCGCTCATACTCTTTCTATCGGTCGTTCCTTCCCTTCGTCTCGATGTAGTTCTGCGTAGGGCAGGCGCAAGGCGGCTCCGTGGCTGACCTATTAGGTAAGCGTTCCCAGATTGTCTCATCCGGATTTCCCCTCTTTTGTGACCAGCCCGTTTTACGATACCCGTACAGGCCTCCGACATGGGGCGCCACGCGAATCCCGACATTCGACGCGCCTTCGCCGAGTTCCAGGACCAGGACACACCTTCGAAATGCAACAAAGTGCGATGTCTCCACTGCGGTTTCGTGCGCGCGAAGAATACCACGCGCCAAATCGAGCACCTCCACGCCTGCGAAGCCTATCTGGCCTCTCCCGAAGCGCAACAATGGCATGCACAGAATGGCGACGAAAACTCCATGAACGCGGGCATGGCGCCCAACTCTGTGCTCAGCGGCCAGCAGCCCAATCCGAATCTCCAGATCAATCGGAGAGGCCCCAACAACAAGCGCGCCCGTGATGGCCAGCAACTTGCGCCCCATATGAACATGCCACCGCCCATTGCGCCGTCGCTGACTGCCCATCTCCTCACCATATGCGCGCAGCCGTTCACGCAAGCAACACAGCAGCCTTTCCTCTCGCATGCGGGCTGCGGTTCTCTAGCACCCGGTCCGCTCTCACAATGGCTGGTTCAGGATGGCCACTATGCGCGCGGGTTTATACGATTTGTGGGACAGCTGCTTGCTAAATTGCGCCTGCCGCAGACTGCAAATTCGCAGTTCCATCCCATGTATAGGACCATGGATCTGCTTATATCTGCTTTGAACAACATGCGCCGGGAAATGTCCTTCTTCGAGATCACAGCTACGAAATATGGCCTCACGCTTAACCAGGATCCTCCCACGCCTATTACACGAGCGCTGCTGGATCTGTTCGTGAGTGCAAGTAGCTCGAGTGCTTCTTTGCTGGAGGGCATGGTGGTATTGTGGGGTACTGAACACGTAGGTTTGGCCAGAGTCTCAGTGCTTTCCTTTCCTCTTTTTACACGGCTAATGGATATATAGTGCTACCGTACAGCCTGGCAGTACGCGTCCTCGTTCAGCAGCTCTCTCTCCACGCCGAGTACCGATAACCACATCGTTGCCCTTCACCAAGCACTGATACCGAACTGGACATCGCCCGCATTCAGCAAATTCATCGACGCGAGCAGAGCGCTCGTCGACGAGCTTGCCAACATCACTACAGCCCGTGACGGCAAAGAAGAGATGACGCGATGCGAAGAAATATTTCGCCAAATATGTTGGCTAGAGGAGCGCTTCTGGCCGGACGTTGATGGCATGGGCGAAGAGGACGACAGCGCGAGACTCGGTCCTAACCTCGGCCCTATGGGTACAGGCATGGACAACGGAATGAACAACGGAATGAGCAACGCGATAAATAACGGCATGAACGGGCCTATGCAAATGAATGGACCTCAGATGAATGAAGCGCAGATGAACGGCCTACCGAACGGCCTTCCGAGTGGCTCCATACAGATGAACGGTCAGATGAATGGTCAAATGAGCTCCCAGATGCAGCCGCAGATGAACTCACAGATGAACAATGGCGAGAGACCGGCGGGTGGTGATGGGAGAAATAACTTTGCTGGACTGGAGTCTGTGGGTCAGAGCTCATGACCATTCTCTCGCGGGCGGGCGAATGTCAACGGTACATTGTCAGGTCATATTGCGGGAAACGCATCCTAGGTCAAACCACACCAGGATCGAACATGCAGTCACCGATTTGCAGAAGCTTCCGATATCCAGGGAGCATTTGGCCGAAGACGTTGCGTGTTTCCTGAGAAGGCGGTCAGGTAAAGACACCACCACACAGACATAGTTCGGCCTAGCCTGTTGTTTGATTTCATGGCGTTCGGGTTGAAGGCGCATAGGCTTGATCACGGACGATATCCAAATTTCTCATCTTCGGATTGTTGTAATTAGCCCAGAGAAAAGACTGTTGTACACTCTTCATCTGGCTTTTTCAGCTCTACCAATGATTGCCGTGACGATGAAGGCTGCCAATGCACTGCAAGACTACATTAGGGTCCTGCATCCGTTCTTGAACTGATACTTTGCGGTACAACCTATATGCAGCGGTCTTCACGCTGCTATACTCGAGTCGCAGTAAGTACCTTCCGACTAAAGCAAGGCTCCATAGCCTCCTGTGGTCTGCATCATCCCAGGACACCACCCGAAGCTGCGCGCCTTCCCCTCTACACCGCGCTTGATGTCACGACAATCTCATCCGTCCTCCTAATCCCAACCCCATCCTCCCCCTCATAACCCTGGATCGGCAACTTCGCTTCCCTAAGTATACTCTCCTCACTCACATTATCGCTCCCCATCCTAACCTTTGTCGTAGCACCAACCCCAGCCCCCATACCCCTACCGAGGCGCCCGCATACACCCTGCTACTCATACCACTCGCAGCGTCCTTCCTACTCTGCGAATACCCATCCTGCGCATACTCTTTGAGAGGGTAGGAATGGCCCGCCCGGCCGCTGGAGCCAAGCCCGTACTTGGAGCCATGTACGATGCGAACGTAGAGCGGCCGCAGGATCGGGATGCACGCACATATTATGGAGGTGAAGACTTCGGTGGAGGACCAGAGGAGCATGGGAACGGTATCGTAGACGTATTCTTCCAGCGAGGAGAGGGATTGTAGCTCGTAGGTGCGGACGATGGAGCAGATGCCTGCGCTGTGGGAGAGTTAGGTCTGGCGTGTGCGATGGAGGGCTGGGTGGAGATAGTAGACAAGAAGGATAGATGCGAACTTACAACACACCGAGGGAGAGCCCAAAAGCGACGGTTAACTTTTCTTTACGCTTCATGTTGAGGCCCATGATGATGTGCCAGGGGAGGATGGCGAGGATGAAGTCCATAGCCGCGGACCAGGCTTTGATTTTGTTAGTTGTAATCATGGTGGAAGACAGGCTGAAAGACAAGTTGAGACTTACCGCCCATACTCAACCCGACGTGTGTGAAGTTGAGCCAACAGACACCACCCTCTATTGTGGGATCCCACAAAAAGGCGGCAGGCCTGCATTGAAGGAAAAGCAATGTCGTTGTAATGGTACACAGAATGGTAGTGCTCACGATGCAGAACCAGAGCAGCGCCTTGTGCCATTTGAAAATGACGATACGCAAGAGGAACACGGCGACGGATGCCTTCGAAGCTGCGATGCCCATGATACAGATCCCCTGGCCAATGGCTTCCAACATGATCGCTTTGGAGTAGTCTGCCGGGTCGACAGCGGCTCTTTTCCTACCGATACCGTACGTGAGTCCTACCGTGATAAACCCCACATAGCCGATGAAGGTGATCTGGAATCACTCAGCTGTTGTCACAAGCTAGGCATTGTTCGAGAGTCACTTACTAAGTTCACAATCATGAGGAGGTCGTCCCATCCTAAGCTCTGAATGAGAAAGTAGCGAGTGTACAATCTCATACCAATGAAGATAACAGCGAGCACAACCTGAGTCCACATCACCCCATTGAGAATACCGGCAAAGTCTTCGGTCGCCATATTGAAAATGGAGACTTCGTACGCTCTAGGAGCGCTTGGGTTTTTTTGGACTATAACTTTTAGAAACGGACAGGTTCAACGAAAGAAAGCCGTCTGGTGGACCCAGAGCTTTAGAGGCCCTCACTAGATCTCGTGCTTGACCTTGTGCATGTAGAGGTCGTCAAGGGCCCAACGAAGGAGTGTGGCGTTACCGGGCAATGGAGATCTTTAAGCCCCTAAAGAAGCAACAGATCATTGCAAAAAAGAAGGGCCCTTCAACTAGATCGAGGTTCAGAGTTCTAGGGGTATTAAGGCATGCCTAAGACCGATTATTTAGCTGAGAAGGTTCGTCGCAGCGATCTCCCTGTCTCGTTAGTACGAGGCTGATCAAGTTCAGCACCGTTTGCAACGGGAAGAGGATGAGACGTGGAATCGACTCGGCGAGCGGGCCGATAGGATGTTATCTATCTGTTTTCGATGCTGGGGAAATGAGATACCCCGGTTTGAAGGAGGATGTGCCCAAAGGGTGTTCTCGTGCATACAGATCGGCAGGTTGCGACGGTGCGTACCTCCTTGTCTAATGCTTCACTTTGAGGGGACCCACGTTTGCAACCCAGCGGATGGGGCTATGCATCCTTGGTCGTAGGCAAGGCTGGGGGCATCCAACTCTGAGGCATAAAGGCAGTTGGAATCTGCCATGATGGGAAGTGCTGACCGGTGGGCATGATGAAGATTTCCGTAATTGACTCCATCAGGCTGAGGATCAAAACGAGAACTACCGTCTATAGCCCGTTGAGGTAGAAGCATCGGGCCGTTGCAGCATCCTTCAGGTGTGAGGGCCAGATGCATGTGTCCTGCACGGGACAGAATCCATGGTGTCTGTTCCGAACCAGCTAGCTGGGTTCGCATACCCTGTTCGGAAACACTTGGCTGGCCACGCGGTGCGTAAACACAAGCCGAGCTGTCATTCGTGCGAGACAGTCCCAATAATGCAACCAGAGTGAATAGATCTTCCCGCTACAAGACTCCCGGCGCTATGTCACATCTACTTGTCGTATAGTACCACGTCGCTGACACGATGTCGCTGGGACTAAGGATTGCTATAAAAGGTATGTAAATTCGGTTCGGGATGAGAAGACGGCTACAGTAGCAATGCACAGAGATCTGCGTCGTTGGCTACGAATTGAGCAACGCAACGGGCCGATGCGGTAGTGTCCGCACTCGGAGGGTATGTAGGAATGCGGCGTGGTCAGAGGTGTCATTGGGACTTTGGCCCCAGACAAGGACGATTTTGATTGATATGCACCCAAGCGATCCAATGGTGGCCCAACGCTTTCGAACCCGCATACGCACTCCTTGCCGCCGCGACAAGGGCATCCATCAATAAGCAGTTCAATTGCACACAAGCATGGCGGCTGTTTGTCCCTTTCTGTACTCTTGGCGCCGTTGACAAGCTGTTGAAGACGCCATGCGCCTATCCCGCCCACCCGATGGACTCCTTCGCCATCTCGTCACACATGCCCTCCTATATAACAGGGAGGAGTAGCCTGCAAACCTCCGATGTCACTGACCAATCTGGTCGTGCAGAAGCTTGCGAGTACATCGATGCCGTTGAGCAATAGCCGCCCTCTCGCGTGGTCCTCCTGTTCCGCAGCTGCAGGTATGCATCGGGAGATGCAGCTTTCCGATGTCAAAGTCCGCATCCCTCACCGTTTGAGGTCTGCTACCTCCGGATCTTTCATCCCCACACCCCCGACCGACCCCTTAACGGTGAGGAGCCCGGCTCGCTGAGTGGTCGAGCATCACAGCGAGACATGCTACGAGTTGGGTAAAAATCGACAGCATGCTGGTATTCGGCACAGTATTCGGGCCTTTGGGAGTTCAAGGCTTGGTGAACGGACCGAGCCATGTCTACGCATGTGTAGCACATGCTGTTCCCAACGCCTGCCTCATGTACTATGAATTCAGCAGCTTGCCGAGCGCCCGGGCGTACGCAAACGTAGTTCAAGGTGCCTAGCTCCGTACGGGGGCCAGAAATCTGCAGATACCCACGCAAAAGGTGACACCTGCAGCCAGAGTCGTGATTGCCCACTTTATATGCCTGTCTTTCCACGTTTTCTGCTTTTTCGTCTGCTTGTTCCTAGTTCGAGTGCTCGTCTTTTCAATCTCGTCACACACGATTTTGCCTCTATTGGTGTTCCACGACAGTGTCACGTTGAACATGGCGCTGGCATCGCTGCTTCTCCAGATCAGCACGCTTGGACTTGTCGTGCTCATCACCCAATATGTTCTCGCATACTCGCGGTCGCCTCTGAAGAAGATCCCTGGCCCTTTCCTGGCCAAGTTCTCGGATCTCTGGCGTCTCTTTAATGCCTATGAGAAGAAGCACATTACAACGCAGCTGCAACTTCATGAGAAGTACGGCGACTACGTCCAACTGGGCCCAAACGTTGTCAGCGTTGCAGACCCAAGTCTGGTCAAGACCATCTACTCCACCAGGGGAACTTTCTTGAAGGTTCGTACCTTTCATCTATAACGATTGTGGTCACTCACAACAATAGAGTGACTTTTATGCTATCAATGATGCTATGCAAGATGGCAAGATCATCCAGAACATCTTCGGTACCCGCAGCAATGAGTTTCATTCCAAATACATTCGTCCCGTTCAGAAGCTGTACACCTTTCAGAGCGTCAAAGAATACGAACCAGTCATGGCCCGGTCTCTTTCCACCTTCTTTCAAGAGCTCGAGTCACGCTTCGTGGACGGCGCGAACAAAGACAAGACCTGCGATATCGCGGACTGGATATCGTATCTCACCTGGGACATACTGGGCGAAATGACTTTCAGCAAACCATTTGGCTTCATGGAGCAAGCCACCGACGTTGGCGGTATGCTTGAGACCGCCGAGAGGAATATGGACTATCAATCAGTGGTATGTCTTCCCCTGCTCATCCTCCAAACCCACTCCTGATAACGTCTTCAGATCGGCCAAATGCCCTTCCTCGACAAGTGGCTCGCCAAAAACCCCCGCCTCGCCTCAAAATTTCCCGCCTTCGCCGCCACCGCCGGCTTCTGCGTCGAGCGCTTCTTAGAGCGCATGCAGAAACTCGAACAATTCAAGGGAAAACCCGACTTCATGAACCATTTCCTGCGCGCCAAAGAGGAGCATCCCACCGTCGTTACGGACAATGAAGTTATCGCGTACATGATCATCAATGTGCTCGGCGGCGCCGACACGACATCTATCACCACCAAAGCTGTCGTCTACCACGTGCTCAAGAACCCCATTGTGCAGGCGCGTCTCGTTGAGGAGCTGAGGGATGCGAAGCTGAACCACCCTGCACCTTACTCATCGCTTGAGAACCTCCCGTACCTGGATGCCTGCATCAAGGAAGGTCTCCGCATCCATCCCGTCGTCGGACACATCATGGAGCGCGTAGTACCGTCCACCGGCCTCGCGCTCGCCAACGGCGTCACGCTGCCTCCAGGCACCGTCGTCGGCGTAAACCCCTGGGTCGTGCACCGCAGAGCCGACGTCTACGGCGAGCGGCCCAATGAGTTTCTGCCCGAGCGTTGGCTACAGGGTAAGTCTGAGAGTGACGCGGAGTTCGAGGGAAGGATGAGAAGGATGGGCGACGCAGATCTGAGCTTTGGGAAGGGGAACAGGGTGTGTCTGGGACGGCCGCTGGCGCTTGTCGAGATGGCGAAGATTGTCGGAACGTTGTTTGCCAAGTATGAGGCAAGTATTGAACGTATACGAGATTGCGTGAGCGGTACTGACCTCGCGTGCAGATTGAGCTGGAGGATCCAAATGCAGAGTGGGAGGTGCATCCGCAATGGTTTGTCTGGCCGCATAAGATCAGGGTGAAGATGACAAAATACTGAGCTTTCTTCACGTATAGAACGATTGAGGTTAGGCTTGCGTGAGCTAAACTAATGTCAGTGGTTTTTATGAAGTTCTACCAGTGATCTTTGTATTGCCCTTAGTGTTGTAGATGTTTGTTGCGAATACTTTCAGATGTCTTGAATCTTACATGTCACACCTTCAATAATCTCGGACCAAGTAAGGCCTTCATTAGTCAGTTGAGCTGTGTGCCTGTTCAGTACTCGAATGACTAAACCAGGGGCATCTCACCGTAGGCTCAACTTGGTGCACATTGGTCCTAACAGTTCTGACGAAGTGTTAAAGACGCAAAGAAGTGAATTCAAACTTGTCATATTCGACTAGGAGAGGGGAGTACAATACAATTCAAATCACTTCCCAGGCTCAGTGCCTGTCCTTACTTCCTTCACATCCTGTCACCCTCTATGATACGTCTTCTACTTCCTCCTTCCCTGCTGCATAGCTAGAATTTGCACCATCCGAATGAAGATGTTCAAAAAGTCCAACTCCAGCGAAATCGACTCATTAACCGCATCCTTAGGCATAAGCCCCCGCTCAGCCAACCTAGCATGATGCAGCACCTTCTGCACATCATACAGCGTAAAACCACCAAACACCGCCAGACCTCCATACAGCCAGATGTTCTCGGTCCACATGAGCGTTCGTGCGGCAGTGGCAGGGATAACCATGGGAGCGAGACCGGACAGCGCGACGATAGCGACACCAGCGAGTAGCGGGCCACCGAGGTAGAGGTACTTCTCCTGCTTTGCGGTGGCGCCAACGAAGGCGATGGAGCCCATCATGCCGGCGGTGTAGAGGCCAGCGCGAGCGAGGATGGCGGGGTGCATGAAGAAGAGGGGCGAGAGGAGGGCGGCTTGGCAGAGGTTGAAGGCGGTCCAGAGGCCGTATTTTTGTACGTAGCTGTTGTGCCGTTAGTATCTTCCTCTAAGATCATGTATGAGTTTTGCAATACTCACTTGTCCGGATGCGTAGCGCGAGTGCCATACATGGTACCAATACTACCAACGAGACCAACACCAAGGACCAGCCACGGATTCGCAGCCATCAGCCGGAAGCTCCATCCGTTCATGTGCAGTGCGCGCGCTGCGACACCGATGATGCCAATGCCAAGTCCAGTGTGCATGAAAGTGTCGTTCAGGTACCGTCTCTCGAAGTCGGGCATGCCGCCATCCTCACGGGTTTCCCGGTTGAAGATGAAGTTGATGCCCAAAAGAGTGGCGCCGAAGATACCAGCGCCGTAGATGAGTCGCTGTTTCAGGTCGCCCTGAGCCACGGGGTTGTAGGCGGTCTGCTGATACGAGCGGCGGAAGGTAGTGTGGAAGCGGAGGGCATTGCGTGTGGAGGAAATCGAAGGCGTCTTGGGAGTGAAGAAGTTGGGATGCTGCTTCAACGGCGTCTTGTGGAATCCGCGCGCGAGGACGGGTTGCGGTTGCTTAGGTACTGCTTGTCGCAGGGTCGCCGCGACGGCGAATGGCCGTCGTAGTATGAAGGCCATGGTGTGTGTGACGAACGGCGACGATGGGGAGGCGACGAGTTGATGAAATGATGGCAAGCAAAGTATGACGTCCACATGAGTGGCTGCCGCGGCTTAGCCGGCGGAATGCGCGAGAACCAACTCCTCACCAGACGAACTCATCTCGCACATCACCTTATCACCGAAAATACTATCGCAGTGAGTCCTCAATGTTTCTCTCATTTACGCTCCGGTCGACTGCTATTACCGTAAATTGGGGACACTGAGGATGCCGCCACTAAGCCCGCCAATCTAGGGTTGCGGACTCAGACCATGTGACTACGAAACAGCCCTGGAGCATGTACCCTTCTGCAGCTACATCTTAGCTCTAGCAGTACAAGTTAACTGCAGCTCATGCCTTTGGGTAATAGCTGCGGATGCACTCCCTCACAGACTGGTGGAACGGCACCCAGTCCGATTGTCCCAGCCTCTTCAAGTAGCCCTCCGCCTTGTCCTTTGCTAGCACCTTCGATATATCATTGCCCTTGTCCGCTAATCGGATCGTCGTCCTCTTTCCCATCTCTTCCTCAAGCACATCCGCAACCCCAATCCATGTGTACGGCCCCGCCCAACCAAACATGCGCCGGTTCTCCACACCGTGGAGCACAGCTCCTGCAACATGTAGACGCGCCTGATCGCGCACGTCAACGTACCACTGTGGCTCGATGACGTCGAATAGCTCCTGGTTCTTGCACTCATGCAGCGAGCGAACAAAGCCAGCAGTCGAAGAGTACTGTTGTTCTGTAGGCGCAATGACTGGCCCCATGCAGGTCGCAGGAATAACAGTGTTCAGCACAAACCCGCAGTCCGGGTTCTCCCTTACGTACTTCCAGCAAGCCTGCTCTCCAGCAATCTTACTCTGCACATATCCCATGAGCGGCCAGAAGTCCTTCGGCGTGTCGGGGTTCGACAGCGCCTTCGCGATCGACTCGTCGTAGTCTCCTTCAGCGATATCGCAGTGGACATTCGGTTTCGGATACTTGACAGCCCAACTCGAACCCGTCAGAACAAATCTCCGAATCTTCTCCCCTTTCTTATTCGCCTCATGAACAGCTTTCAAAGCGACCAAGTTCAACTTGACCGTGTTACCAACCATATCTGGATCAGACATGTTTGTGAAACCAGGCGTGTGGATCATGGCCGATACCCCTTTTAGCGCTGCATCGTAGCATCCTAGCTGGCTGAGGTCATGCACCTCGACGACATCGAGATGAGCATTGGGATGGCGCTTTGTAAAGTCTCGTTTCATCCAGGCGCTTCGTTCGAGGGAGCGCACGGTGGTGCGCACAGAGTAGCCGTATGCGAGACATTGGTCAACGATATGGGAACCGAGGTAGCCGTTTCCAGCTGTGACGAGGATGAGGGCGCCGGGTGGGAGGAGTGGATTGTCGACTTGAGGGGTCATTTTCAGGTTCGATACTAGGGAACTTCAACACCTGCTTAGTTCTTGTGCAACAATAGCGTAATGAATTTTGTGGTACCTCACGCTGAAAGAGCACAAGGGAAAGTCTGTTCAGGGCAACTGTCGTCCTTTGAATGGCTTTGCTAGAAGCAATGCTCGAAGCGATCCCGTAGAAGGTGTTAGACAGGGCGCAATCCAGGCTCACAAGCTCCAGCATCCCTTGCTGGCTCGCCATGCCTTATACATTCCCACTCCTCGCAGTTTAGTTCGGAGAGCGAGCAACCGACCATGGCGGCCCCTCTCCCCGCCCGTGTGGATCATGTTGCATTAGAGCCATACACGGTATCGTGCGTACATTGGTGCTGACTAGCGTACGCGGCTGTAAGGCAACGGCTTCCAAAGTCGCGGTAGGCTTGTTCTGGGCATACTGACGTCTGGACTTTATGGCGCTGCAATCAGCGTTGCAGGGCGTTCGTGATATGCGAACTGCGGATTGCGACTTGTGCATGGCCTAGTATTTCACATGGAAATCAGTTGCACAGCTGACGGGTACCATCCGATAACCGTACGAGGGAAGACGTAAAGCCGGCCATGTGTAGTACTAAGCGAAGAGACCGTATTCGGTGTTGGCGGCTTCGGTCTCTCGGTGCCCGGCGCTTGGGTTGCATTGGTGTAAACGAGGGTGCGTGTTGGCGGTTGAAATATGTATTGGAGCTCCCTGAAAGCACTCAAATCCAGGCAATGTCACAGAACATACTGTAAGTTCCCCAGTGACCAGTACGATCGCTCAAACGCCGGACACATACCGTGCTCAGGCAGTCCACTTTCATCCCCTTCTGTAGAACTCCATCAGCATGCCCCTTCTACCATACGTAAGACACATCTTGCACGATGCGGTCATTGCACTCCGGCTTCAGCTTGACGTCAAATCGATACAGCCTGTTGCAGCTGCGATAATGAAGACATGCGCTTGAAAACCCATCTATGATGTTGGCAGGTCAAAAGGCACGTCAGTATCGGGACTCCGGCTTCGAACAATTACGTTCCAAATCAACACCAAACGGTAGTCGCAAACGGGCAAGACTCTAATTGCGTGGCTGCGCTATAATATGTGACGTTAACCAAGACAGAGCATCCTACACAAAATTACGTAGCGTTACTAGTGAACCAATCATGGCCTTGCATAGCTTCGCATGCTATTCCTGCGGTTTGCTTCGTGTACTTGCAGAATGCGCATCTCGTGGAAAGAGGTGCAGCATCAGGCAGAACAAACACAGGAGCCAAATGACGTCACCCAACTGTCATTCATTGGCTAGAAAGCGCTTTCGCATCGCGAGCCCCTCTTTCCACAACACCACACGCGCATTTGCAGATCTCGCGGGGGCCGTGCAGCTTCGGTTATCAGCGAGGCCTCAGATCTGGCACTTCTGTAAGATTGGAGATTGGATTTGCGTTAGGACATCGCGGACACAAATCCCCCTTCTGCCGGCGTCTGCCTGTGGGCGCTTATCACTGCTCGCATCGACCCCGCTTCGAGAGAAAATTCAGTACAACAAAGATCAATCGCGTCCGACATGGGTTTCCTGAGTCTTCCACCGGAGATCATCGATGTCATACTCGATCTTAGCCTTCCGGGTGGAATCGAAGGGCTCAGCCTGGTCTGCAAGGCAATATACGGACGCGCACAGTCGCAGGTTGATCGACACAATGCCCTCAAGCGACAATGGGGGCGCACCAGCAATTACAGAACTGGGCGTCTGGATGATACGCTAGGTTTGCTGAACGCGATTGCGCTCAATCCGCTGGTGGCTGAATATATCGAGGTACTGGATCTGTGGGATGAGAGGGGCCTCGACGGAGAAGAAGCCGAGCTGTTGGATTTTCGAGGGGACGAGGACGCCATGGAAAGAGTGAAGGAATTTGTCACCTCTTTGCCTTTCCTAAAGGAAGCCAATATCGATACCGAGGAGTGGTGGAATCGAATGATGCAAGAGGAAACATCACGTACTGACGAGGACAACACTGAAGTCTCATGCACGACTATTACCCTTCTGGGCGTGCTGCCCAACCTGAAGAGCATCCGTCTTGACCCTGGATGGCAGAATTTCTCCCCCGACGCCGAACAGTATGCTCTGCCACTATCTGGGCTCGCCTCCATCGTCAGTAGGGCTTCACAAGCCGAAGGTAGTCGCCAGCGACCCCTAAGTAAAGTCGAAACAATCCTACCTTTCATGAATACAGGCTATGAAGAGAAGGCGGCCCTGCAAAGCATACAACCGTTCCTCGAATTGGAATCCATTTCGGAACTTTACCTTGTCAGTGCTGTGGCGGTCGATGACGGGTATACCGGTTATCCATTCGTATGGAACACGCCTACTCTTGCGCACCAATTGACTCGTATCGAGCTGGCGTCCTGCTGTATAGATGCCGAAGGCATCAGTGAGCTACTCCGCCACACACCGTCTCTTACAGTCTTCAACTACTCGCATGAAACGAAATGGCACGGCTGCGAGCACGATTGGAACGCGGGAGCCTTCGTCGAAGCAGTCGCCCGACATTGCGGCAACACGATCACATCACTGGGCATTACCATTGACGAGCTCTACGGTGACATTGTCAATGGCGTCTCCTCCCTCCTTTCATTCCACAACCTCCAATATCTGGAAGTAGACGTACACATCTTTCGTGGGCCGCCGCTTGAATCGGGTCAACAGCAAGGACACAATGCCATGGTACCTGAAGGTGATACGCCCTGGAACGAAGACGATATCCCGTGCATAGGTAGTATGATGCCGGACAATATCGTCGAGGCGCAAATCAACACTGATTTTCCTGAACCGGACGAAAAAGCGCTGAACAGCTTGCTAAAGAACCTGAGATCCCAGCGCAAGGAGAGACTTCATAAGCTGGAAAGATGTATCATTCGGCAGTACACTGCGGAGAGTGCCCGGGTGTTCGCTGAGAGGGCAGGCGCTACACTGGAGACATTCGATTTTGAGGTTGACGATCCGCGAGCGCGGACCATGATGCCGTCATGGAAAAGAGAGTTTGACGAACGTGTCAGCAAACTCCGGCCGTGACTGAGAGAAAATTAGTGTTTGCTGCGTTGCTTCATGCTTGGAAAAGTATATATGTTGCGTTTCGTAAGTGTAGTGTTAATAATACCATCTTTTCCCAAAGCATGCAGCACACTGAAATTACAAAGATGGGAAGGGTGTCGCTTCGATGAGCTGATTATGGTAATGGTCCTGTCACGCTATTCTTGTATGGTACGTAATCACGTCTTTGCGGCATCACCCAGCCTCTCCACGCATCGATCTTCTCGCCAGCATGGCTTTCTTATCGTCATCAATGACCGAATTGGCTGTGCCTGGTCGTCTGAGATTTATGTAGGTACCTTGGATTTGTATGGATCAGGCTGAGGTGATTGGCTCAGGATGATAGAACGGATACACCAGAGCTACAAATGTACCTGGGTAGCATGGATTCGGGTGGTCGACGACCCAGGAAGGTGCGACAGGTATTTTGATCAAAGGCGGTGGATTGCCACAATATCTTCATGTTCGTCGCAGAGAGCTCCTGGGTGATCTTGACCCCGAGATCAAGGCAGTAGATCGTTCAAGTGTTTATGTGATCGTACCCCGACCCTACTAATGGCTGAGTAAACATGGCGCGTACACTATACCCCAGGAGGCTAGTTTCAGTCCCCTCTACCTACTCCCACGGTGCTCTCTATGCATCTGCTGCCATATGATGGCCCGTATTTGAAGGCTCAAATCTTGATTCGCGTCTGATGTCGGTGTGCTAGACATCTATTGCGGCCGAATCCAAATCCAACAGAGAGAATGGTAGGAAGTTCCTCCGCTGGTGTCACGCTAACGTAGCTGCGGCCGTACACCTTTAGGAGATGCGCCATGGTCGCGTAGCTTCAACTTCAGCCGTGAGGTGACTGTATCGCATGCATACTTATAAGTAAGCTGCTTTCTTGTGTAGTGTTGTCCTGGTACAATTCGCGTCCTTTCGGCAGCTTCCAAGCATTTCTACCATCTTAAATCAAACATCATGTCCCTTCTCACACCCGCACTTCAAACATACAGCATCCTAGCAGCTTCTCTCGCAGCAGGTACACTACGTTCGTTTCTTCCACATGCACGTGCAGCTAAATCAAACGCCAGGCGCGAACCTTAGTACCTCTCTTATCACGTTTCCGGCCCTCCTTCAAGCTACCGGCCCAACCCTCTCGAAACAATGGCTCGTCCTCTACGAGTCCGGCATCCTCCCAGTGACGGGATGCGCTATCACCTCCTCGCTCGGCTTTGCGACTCTCGCGTACCGCGCATCGTTGGACCGATCTCTCATGGCGACGGGCGTCGTGTCGCACGCGAAGCGGAACTTGTACGTGGCGGCCGCGGTCGGCTTATTTGGGCTCGCGCCGTATACGCGGCTGCTGATGTGGGGGACGATCACGGAGCTGTCGAAGAGAGGACAGAGTGGGAAGGGTGAGGAGAAAGATACAAGGGAATTGGTGGAGAGGTGGGGCACGATGAATTTCTGGAGGGGTGTATTACTGCTAGGCAGTGCGGCGGTGGGCACCTGGGCATCGCTGTTGTAGCGCAATGCGTTAAGTTGTCTCAGGAGATGGTATATGAAGTTGATCAGGTGCAGTTTGGAGCCGTACACAGTATGATTGCGTCGTAGAGATGTCTGGAGAAGTCATCGGCAGGGGTCCGCGACGTGGTGCGCGTAGGCGAGATGATTGCAGCTGGTTCGTACCCTTAATGTGATTGACGCATGCTGATTGCCTGCAAGTTTCTGCTCGATGTTCATGTAAACACATTCATTCGACCATCTGCTAATCCTAGGGGTTGCCATCGTCGCACGCTTTTCGTCCTGGACAACAACGGAAGCGGGAGCGCACACGCAGGCCGAAAGAGATGTGGAATCTTCGGACGTTCGGATTCACTAAGGCATCGTGGATTGTCAGCATCACACAATGTGCCATAACATAAGAGTAGCACTGCGAGCGGGTGCGGTGAGTTTCCGCTCCACTTACTCAGAAGCCAGAGCCTCTTGCTAATCGTCGGCAAGGGTGCAGATCCGCTTCCGGGGGCGCTACCCGTCCGAGCCATTCCAAAAGCGACACCAGCGCCCTGCCTCACGTCGCCGTGCAAAGATATCGCATGGTAAACGTCCCTGACGGATTGCGCTGCTTACTAGGCTCGGCAGCGTTTCATGTCATCGGTTCATCTTCGGCCATGCTTGCGAACGCAAAGACACTGGGCGCTGGCATAATTACGGGGGTCCTGCTCGCCGTACTTGTCCAGCGCGTCACGCACTTGCCGAGCGACGACTTTTCTCTAAAGGGAGACTGGGGATCCACAACGCACGCTTTTCTCGACAACATGGCGCTATCGCTGAGCAAGCCCTTACAAATTCCCCAGCTCACCTGGAGACGCGCTGCATACAAAAGCTGCCGGTTCGCGCCGTCTCTACCTTTTTGCCAACAACAGATACCAACCTCACGCCCTTCAACACATCCATTCTCACGTACTTCTTCCTCTACTTCATCAGCAGCAATGGCCTCCACCAAGACCTTCCTCGATGCCGTCAAGGACCGCCGCAGCGTCTACCAGCTCAACAAGAACGCGCCCAAGTCCGACAAGGAGATCGTCGACATCGTCAACCAGCTCGTCCTGCACGTTCCTTCCTCGTTCAACTCACAGTCGACGCGCGTCGTCGTCCTCCTCAACCAGGAGCATGAGAAATTCTGGACGTTTACCCACGAAATACTGAAACCTCAGGTTCCTGAGGACCAGTTCAAGTCCGGCACTGAGCCCAAGCTCAATGGCTTCAAGGCTGCATATGGAACCGTAAGTGCCGCCGGTTTACCACCGACATCCCCATCCGAGAATTCCCTGGAATCATCGAGAAGCGTGGTGTTGTGGCGGTCAGATATCAAATGCCTCTGCCCCACTAGCTCATGCAAGCCCCACCATCGTCATCCCCTGTCACCCCACCATGCCTCGCAGCCTCACGCACACCCATGCTGTGACCTACGGCTAACGCCTTATCCAGATCCTTTTCTTCGAGGACCCCGAGCCCGTCGAGAACCTGCGCAAGGCGTTCCCCATTTACGCGCACCACTTCGGCGACTGGGTAAGTCTCGCAATGTACCATTCCCACTTGTATGAAACATGCACTGACTTTGTACCTTCGGGTTCGGCAGTCGGAGCACACGAGCGCCATGCACCAGTACGCAGCCTGGGTCGCTCTCGAAGCGGAAGGCTTCGGTGCCAACCTCCAGCACTACAACCCCATTGTCGATCAGAAGATCCAGAACGAGTGGAGCGTTCCTCAGGACTGGAAGCTGAGGGCTCAGCTTGTCTTCGGTGGACGTGCGGGCGAGCCTGGAGAGAAGCAGTTCAAGCCCCTCGAGGAGCGCGTCTTCGTTCACGGCGCGAAGAACTAGAGATAGACATATACCCTGTCGCATTTGCATAGCGAGTCAATGAAAGTACCATGATGTAGCATCCGTTGTGCCGGTGAAGTGTTGTATTTGTCCTGGTTCAGAATTGAAAACCTATCCACAAGTTGAAGGTCGACCCGCGTTTGTTGTCAAGTGGTCGAAGTGCTCGTTCCAAGGACTAGTACGGCTCCCCTGAAGATGGCTCGCCTTGATCACGCCTACAATCACCTTTCAACGTAGTTCATTCAAGAGCATGACCATCTACATGAAGCATTGTGATTGGTTTCCGGGCCCCATCGCAAGACATAGCACATATCAATGGGGCAATTTTGGATGGGCGGAGTGCCACGACTCCAAAGTTATCACCTTGATACATAGTAGTTCACTCAGGAGTGGGCAACGATTTTTACACAACTTATACAAGCGCACGAAGAAAGCGTTCAATGCCCTCAGTGCAATAAATCGTTTGCTCTGGTCCTGTTTCCTGGTCCGGTGATCGCCAGTCTAGTGAAGTCTACCACAGTAGCCCCGGGCAGTGCATGCGATAAGCTGTGCACACCGTTGTTCATCTTCGATGTCCAAAACTCCGCCGCAGCATTTACGATCGCACGTCCACCTCCGCATCCATGCGCAGGCGGCCTAACGCGAGCCGCATTCGAGACGATGATCGCTGCACCCCGCCACCCGCCAGCTCCCCCAAACGCTGAACCAGCGAATCCTCTCCCGTGCCTGCTTGTACACCTGGGCAAGGTTGAATTGAAGCGCAAGTTCCGCACTTTTGAAATGGTCGTCGAAAGATGCTGTCGCGCTCGATATGACTAATGTCCCAGCGTGGTCCTGTTCGGGAGCGCTCTTCTCCTTGTGTCTAAGCCGTTTTCAGCAAGCCGTCCGCAGTCGAACAAAAGACTGAGCGTGGGATGACGTCAAGAAAAAGCGATGCACAATCCCAACTGCATGACCGCCGAAAAGCTTTGCGGCTGCCTTGGCAAAGCACCATCGAGATCTCCTGGGCGAAGCTTGGGATCTTGTCAAGCGGTGCTTGCGGCGCTGCGAGATGCGCGGCAGTCCACCCGGCGTGCCACAACGACTTCACGACTCTGGAGCCTCGCCCAACACAACGCACAACAGCCTCTCGCACTGTGAGAGATGATGTGGAGTCTTCCCCAGGCGTATCGGCTTGCCCGGCTCGTGCTCTGAGGCCCACAAATCCGACCGTCTCCAATGCCCATCAGCCAACGGTAACTGGCTACGCAGGCCCATCGTAATGGTCCTTCGCCTCGGTCAGAAAATGTGCAATGACGGCATACCCGTCTGCTCTGCTGACCCCCATCACACATTTCCGCCTACATATGCAGAGAAAACTGCCCAGTCGCGTGCCCTCTTTTCCCCATCGCATCTCCACTTTAGAATTAGCACCGTGTGGGCTCGGGTTGCCTTGCCGCTGTACCTTTTATATTTGACCTCCCCCTTCCCTCATCGCTGCGTCGCAACACCAGAAACTTAGCACCTATAGCTGGGCTACTACCGACCAATCGCAAGGCCTTCTGCCCTCTCCAATATGGCAGACATACGGGCTCCACAACCAGATGCTAGGGCTGGCGCGCTCGGCGATGCGGAGCAGGAGCGAAAATACGACAGCTCGGATGCCGGTACGCGTAACGAGCATGCGACGCATAGTCCTCCCGATGAGGCCGTCTCGGATCAGGATCGCGAATTCTACGACAAGTACGGCACCTACGACCGTTATGAAATCACAGAGGAAGACTGCTACGAGGAGCTGGGCTTCTGCTTTCCAACGTGGAAGAAGTGGACAATACTATCTTGCGTATTTTCCGTACAAGTGTCAATGAATTTTAACACGTCTCTATACTCGAATGCGGTAACCGGCATCTCAGAGGAGTTCGGCGTCAGTGCGCAAGCTGCAAGATTGGGCGCCGCTATCTTCTTGATCACGTATGCTTTTGGTTGTGAGCTGTGGGCGGTACGAACCCCAACAATGTTCCTACCGAGGACGATCTGACCAGATACAGCCTTGGAGTGAGGAGCTCGGACGCTGGCCTATCCTCCAGCTCAGTTTGTTATTCGTGAACATCTGGCAAATTCCCGTGAGCAAACCACAGGGTACTAAGTGGACATGTCTTTCTGGCAGAAGATACATCTCTTTCTCGCTAGGCTGAGACATACACAAGGTATTCGTCCCCCCTGTCTTGACTTACACTGACTTTGTACCCGCGCGTTAGGTGGGCATCGCCCCCAACTTTGGCACCATCCTAGCGTTCCGCGCGCTCGGTGGTCTCTCGACAGCTGGTGGCTCAGTGACTCTTGGTATGGTGGCCGATATGTGGGAGGCCGACAATCAGCAGTACGCTGTGGCCTTCATCGTCTTCTCCTCTGTCGGTGGATCCATCTTGGGTCCCGTCGTCGGTGGATTTGTCGAGCAATTCTTGGCATGGCGTTGGAACATCTGGATTCAGTTGATATTCGGCGGTGCCACCCAAATCGTGCACTTCTTCCTGGTCCCTGAAACCCGTACCACGATCATGATGGATCGCATTGCGAAGAAGCGCCGCAAAGAGAGCGAAAAGAACGGCAAGCCTTTGAACCTGTGGGGTCCGAATGAACTCACTCCATACAAGGAGCGTTTCTCCATGCGTGAGATTCTGATTACTTGGATGAGGCCCTTCCGCATGTTCCTCACAGAACCCATTGTGCTCGTTCTGTCCCTACTCTCCGGTTTCTCCGACGCCCTCATCTTCATGTTCATCCAGTCATTTGCCCTTGTCTATGGCAAGTCTCCCGGGTACAAAGTGGATGCGTGTTTTCTGCCAAGCAAAAGAAAGACCATCTTTATCTGGTTACGACATGAAAAAGACTCTTTCCTTTGCATAGCTAAGACATGAGCTAATGTACCATCCCCGCTTCTTTGAAACATACACTGACTTTGTACTTAGCTCAATGGGACTTTGCCTCGTTCGCAGTTGGCCTATCATTTGTTGCCATCGGTGTGGGCTACTTCCTCGCTTGGATGTCTTTTATCCCTGCCATCAAAAGAAACGAGAAGGAGCGTAAAAACAAGCCTGGAGACGAGAGGGCACAATACGAATCCCGCCTGTGGTGGCTCTTGTTCACGGCTCCGTGCCTGCCTATCGGCTTGATCGGCTTTGCTTGGACGTCTACCGGACCACCGCTGCCGTGGATTGCTTCCATGATCTTCGCTGCGGTCGTGGGTATCGCGAACTATGCCATTTACATGGCTACGATCGACTACATGTACGTATCTTCCACGCCCCCAAACAATGCTCTCAGCTAATCGGCCCACTAGGATCTGCGCTTATGGCCCCTACTCCGCCTCCGCAACCGGTGGCAACGGTTGGGCCCGCGACTTCCTCGCCGGTATCCTTACCCTTCCCGCAACGCCCTTCTTCCAAAACATTCCCTCGTCTTCAAACCCCAACCACCTCGCATACGCCTCCACGATCCTTTTCTGTATCTCCTTCGTGCTCGTCATGGCTGTCTACGTAATCTACTGGAAGGGCCCGGTGTTGCGCAAGCGCAGTCCTTTCGCTCAGCAGCTCGCTGGAGCGAGAGAGGAGACTGGTGGCAGGAGGGTCAGCACTGTGCCTGGCCTGTATGGCTCGAGGCATAATTCTATTGCGCAGGGTAGTCCGGCGCCGGGGTCGAGGAGAGGCAGTGTTATCAGGGGGGCGAGCTTTGCGAGTCAATCGAGGGCGACACCTGTCAACTCGCGTCCTGCGTATTAAGTGTCATGGGCGTGGGAGAAGAATGGGGCGCACGAGTTATATTTCGTGATTCGGGGTACGGTTTTCAGATTCCGATGAGATGTTGTATGATAGTGAGGATGTTATGACTGTACAAATCAGTGCCAATATATTAATGGTGTTTCTGCAATCTAGGATATCTGGGTCTTGTAATACTCATGTGAGAGCGTCCCGATATATCTTAATTTAATTCCACAACTAGAGGTCTGAGCAACGACACACGCTAATGATCAACAGCTACCCAGCATTTCCCCACAGCCCCTATTCTCCCCACCCACATAACCCTCCTTCGCCTCTACCCCTTCCTCTACCCACCTCCCCACAACTCTCTCCACCCACTCCGCTTCAATCCCAATCCAACTGCTCCCTAACCATCTAGGCATCCTCTCAACACAACCATCCCCGACTTTGCCCTCCTGAAGATCTTCCTCATCGGCATACACCAGCGCCCGTACCTTCTCCTCACACTTTTCATTCCCCAAGCTCGTTCTACTCGCTATGGTTATTATTCGCAGATCGTCCGGCGGATGGCACCATTTGTGCGTGCGGAACAGTGCAAAACCATGGACATTGTGGTATCCCATCGGAGCTGCCTTTGAACTGCCAATCAAGAGACGATCTAGCTCTTCTAGATGCTAACATTTGCGTGAACATTCAAGTTTCACATGGTCTGACGGTTCAGAACCTCCAAGCCTGGATTGATAGGCTTGAACGCTGCGCGCACGAAAAAGCGCGTTGAGGGAGATGTCGAGTGATGGGGTTAGCGTTGACGGACTATAACTTCACCATAGATTTAGTGGAACAAGACCACTTCGTAGACTTGCTGTTGAATTTGTCGCGCTTGAAAATGTGTGGGCCAGTTGAGGCTGGGATGCGTTGGATTATACGTCACGCTTGACCATGTGAAGCTAGACGAGTAGATATAGTCTAAACATCGATGGCCTCATCCTATCGGCCTTCAACCACCTCTCCTTATCTATCCTGCGTGACGGTTGCAGGTAATGACTACAAATTCGTTATTTTATTTGTGATCCTCGAGGACTGCCATGCCCCAATCCAAGTGATTAATGGATACCATAAAAGGTATTTCCGGAGAAGATGTACGGATTATGGGTGGATATTCTGTGGCAGCTAGGCGACTGGCTAGATCCTATCCCACGGATAACCTGGAAATGCCCAGACTCGATCCACACTCTGGTATCACTACCAGACCTCCCGAGAAAGATGCAGACAAGAAAAAGTCGTAGAGCCTTGCTCGTTTTGGACTGTGAGGCACGGTTATCTACCGAACAAATTCGAAAAGCTGTTGATGGGTCAAGAACTCACAGCGCCGGAGCGGATAAGATGGAAGGTGGAACCTCAAAAATATGCGTAAACGCGTCGGTAACGAAGGCAGATTACGGAACTTGGTGGGATGTCCTTGTACTACGGAGCAGTGCGACCACTGAGTGGCGATGTTCACCAATACTACGGTAATTAAATGGTAGCGAATACATATTTATGCGATCATCGCAGGGGAACTTGATCGATCAGCTATGGCGGTCATGGTAACACCGAGTATGCGCCACCCCAAGAATCACCTATTAGGGAAGGTAGCGCATCAGTAAGCACTAACAGAAAAGGCTGTAAAAGCTCAACGCAGCGCATTACTAAAGACAACTATTTCCCTAAAGCATGTTTCGCAGAGCATTTGGCTAAAGTTGGTGACATGTTACTTCTGACTATTATAATTCTAACCTGCACATTTGGCATGGTAGTGTCTGGTCTTTCCCTGCCACCGACAACTGGCCCATATTGTGTCGGATCCAAAGCGTGGGAGCTGAACAAGATAACACAAAACGACCCGGTCGCCTCCGACGGGATTGGAAAGTCGGTAATCCTCAATGTCTATTATCCGACACGCAACGAGACATTACCGCGACCATACATATTGGGCGGCCTTGCCACATACTACGAAGAGTATTATAATGTCTCGTCTGGCGCATTCGGCAACGCGACTGCTCGTATCCTAGATGCGGCACCAACCACTGGCTGCGATGATCTCGCACTGCCGACTCTACTCTGGGGTCCACCATTCACAGGCCCACCATCCCAGATGTTTTCTAGCCTCTTTACCGATCTCGTCTCCAAAGGCTACATTATCGTGACCGTCGATCATCCAGGTGAACAACCTTACCTAAAATATCCGAATGGAACCGGGATCACAGGCTTGGGAAAGGATTTTATCCCAACTAGTGAGTTCATCAGCCGGATTCACGAATACCGACTCGAAGATAACTCTGCCGTCCTCAATGCTCTTCCTGTTCTTCGGAAAGAGCTAGGTATACCTCTCAACACTACCCATGTTGCTCTTTTCGGCCACTCCTTGGGAGGCAGTGCAGCTTTAAATCAGCTCCTTTTCGATCGAAACCGAATACATCCGCAGATTCTAGGTTCTATAGATATCGATGGGCAGGTCTTCCCGCCGGCCTTCGCGAACGACTCATCAGCCAACGTTCATACCCCTACCCTTCTACTGATGTCCGACGAGCATCTTGCAACGGGTGACTTCAGTCTGGCACAATTCGTCTCATGGCAGTCCAGATGGGCAAAACACTTAATCGTGCACGGCAAAACGAACCATACCGACTTCTCAGACCTAGCGGTTCTGTTGCAAGGGGATGGAGATACCGGCGGCAATGGCGCGATCAAGGCGCACAGAATGGTCGAGATCACCAGGCGTTTCGTAAGAGCATTCTTCGGCATGGTAGGTAGAATGACAGGAGAAGGTGTATTGAGTGGAAGTGAACAGGTGAATGAAGTATGGCCGGAAGTGGAGTTTAGCAGCAGCGCGCCGAGTTCGGTGGCTTGGGTTTGAGTATACTCCGAAGCTGAAAATCCTTCGGTGACGCGCGAGGTGCCTGTATCCAGCATGAATGCAGGGGTAACATTCTGCAGAGTCGCGGAGGCACCGCGTACCTACTGTTCGTCCAATCCTACCAATGTCTACCCGGCATTGGGCCAGTTGTTCCACAATGGAACGTGACGCTTGTTTCGCGTGTATCGTGTTTGTGCATGACGACCGTTGAGGATCGAGTCTACGCGAACCGCGTAGGAACGACCGAAACACCCGGCAATGTACCAGGGTAGTAGTTTGCGGACCCCCTCACGCGTTCGCGTCCCCATGCCTATAATGTGCAAAACTGTTCAGTGACCGTGACGCGCCACGAACAAAAGACCTTTGAAGAGGTCATAAGCACATATGGTGCGATGAATACTACTTTGAGGCTTCGAAGGGAATCTAACGAATGCGGTAAAAACAAAGACTCGAAGTGATTTGCTGAGGAGAACGATGTTAATAGGAAAACTCGATGCAGGCTAGGCATGATTGATGCAGGCATGAGCAATGGAGGTAAAGCCACCTTTCGGGCTGCCCGACGACGTTCCTGTAATATCCGTGCAATGTACAGTGCAATGTACAGTGGCTAGCTGAAAGCTTTGACTCCGACTTTGTACACATTTTACCTGCGTTCAGAACGCACCTATATAGGAAAGATTTTGACATACGCCAAAAACACTTGAACTGTGCCACGAGAAGTGTTTTAATCGTCCTCATCAGCTTCTCGGCGATGAAGTCATCATTCATTATCACTCTGACGCTTGTCCGCTCAGCATATACAACATGCTACAACAACACTGGTGACTACTTTCACAACCCTGATTACATTCCTTGCGCTGCTTCGAACCTCCAAACAATTTGCTGCGGTTTGAACCGAGTGAACCCACCGGGCGGATACAATCCTTTCAACACCAACTTTACACAAGACGAATGCCTGCCTAATGGCATCTGTCAGAACCGCATCATTGACGAAACTCAAGAACCGTACAATTCCTGGTGGACCTCTGCGTGCACAGAGAAAGACTTTTTGATAGGCAAGTGCCTGGACGTGTGCATGGGAGAAGGGTCAAGTCCATCGCGGATCACACCATGCGATGGCACAAAGAATTCTACGCTATGGTGTTGCGGAGGCGAGCCGGACTGCTGCAAGAAGCCTCAGGCCAAGATCTTCGAGATAGCACAAGTATTTGGGCTACAGCTATCCACTTCGGCGAGTGCCTCTCAGCATAAACCGGAACAGACTGCGACTGCGAAATTAGCGTTTGCAACTTCGACCCCGGCGCGGCCCTCTACCTCAACCGAACAATCAACCACAACCTCAAGTTCAGTTTTAGCCGCATCCTCTGTAACAATGGCGTATCCGACCTCAACAACCAAATCAAGGACAACACAGGATGAGTCCCTCACAAAAGCGGTCGTTATAGGACTTGGTATGGGTTCAGCCATTGGCTCTTGTGCAGTAGTCGCTGCTGCAGTTTGGCTTCTGAACAGGATCTTCCGAAGGCAGGAGAAAATTTCACCAAGGGCGCGTGAGGTTGATGGGCTTCCAATCGTTAGTAGCACACCATCAAAGAAATTTTATGGGCACTGGAGTTCAGCATCTTCCAGCTCCTCTATACCTTCACCTGATAGAGCAATGGCGCAAGAGCTGCCCGCTTCAACGCAAACTGTACACATAAGGCGACCAAGTGCGGCGATAGCACCCGCAGTTGAATTACCGGCCACGTCGAGCCCACGGCGGTGGACCTTTCATAGAAGATGATAGCAGAAGGCAAACCTGCTCAAAAGCTAGCAATACACTCGCTTCGAAATTGTACATAGTTTGAAATAACGGAACTTGATAAAACTATCTAATGAGTATACAGACCATGGACACCAATCCCCCAAAGAGTGACCCACACGCGATGAGACCCTCTGTCTCACTTATTTTTGTATCACACTCTTGACTGTATACAAGTTCAGAACCCCCTTCCTTCTTCCATCCTTTCTGCCCACTGCTGATCATCAGTTGAAAGTCTTCATAGCAGTGGAAAGCCTCCTTATCTAGCTGCTCTTCATCATTCTCGCTCCATTATGTAAGTGTCTCTTCGGAACACTTCCCAGTCTGTGATGAACATTGGCGACATAAAAACTATAACAAAGGCAAGGGGCCGTGTGGGGCTGTGACTTCCCCAGATGTGAAGAGCCTTAGCCAACGCCATGTCCCAAGTCAATCGAGGAAGTGCCGAAAGAAGTTCCTTTGGCCAAGGTTCAGTATTGTGAGTATATCCCAGATGACGTGCGGCGGTAAACGGAAACAAAAGGTATTGACATTCCAGCTGGCTTAGAGTGGTCTGATCAGATGCTAATATGGAACATTTCCTCCATTATCAGTACCGTAAGGCATACCAAAACCTGCTCCGTCAGTAGCAGGATTATCCGCTTTCTGCAGCTCAAAGTTCAGCATCAAATTGTCCCAATCCGACCAGTCCGGCGAATGTTCGAGCATCGGCACATCTAGATCTCCGAGCTGTGAGCCATTGAATACATTTCCGATATTTGCGTCCCACTGGAAATTGTCAATGGGATCGGCGTACCCAATCGTCGATGCTAGATCCTGTGGTAGCACGAGCGAAGCCGAAACCGCTGTCTCTCTTGTTCTTTTGATCGTCGACGCTAGATCCTGCGGTAGCACGGGCGAAGCCGAAACCACCGTCTCTCTTGTTCTTTTATTCTTCCTCGTACGCAATACTTGAATGAAGTAAGGCTCGCCCCCTCTCGGGATGCCACGCGCGGAGACGTATGCGTCCCATGAGGTAAGTGTCAATGTAGCAACGGCAATCGGCAGTGCTTGTCGGGAAGCCTGTGTCGAGAAGTTGGGGTGGAAGTCGAACACCGTCTCCACTTCTTTCCAGGCCTTATCGACCTCCTCACCCTGCGTCCGGTACTTCAGTGCAGACACAAAGTACACAAACGCCTTCCATTGGAAATGCGAGTTGATGTGCCAGAGATAGCCTTGCATCTCTTTCGTGGTATATGCCATATTCTGCCATCGCACCACGGATACCGCCCACCCGAAGAGCAGGTCTTTCTCGCTTTGGGGGAGTTCCGCATCTGTGCCGTCGGGGCAGTGTGCGATAAAGCGTAACATAGCCACAACGCCTTTGGAGAGATATGTGCACATAAAGTGCCATGGTATAGACTTGTCGCAGTAACCGAGAAACTTGCGCTGATACAGCGTCTCTAGCTCATCAATTGCCTTGTCTTTGACCTCACCACTCGCCTTACTACCCGACAGCGTATTCCACACCCCGTCATAGGTGCTCTTCGCATTCGCCGAATTCCTAAGAAAATCTCCAAGATAACAGCGAATAAGGAAGAACATCATTTCCGTAGCGCCTTGGAGTTCTTGTGGGAGCTCTTTCATGTCGGGAGACAGATCGCTGTCATTGAGGTTCGAGGGGCGCTTGACTTCGCCATAGAACATGGTGCCGCCTGTGCCGGCGAGTTTTTGGGCAAAGCCGTCTTGCATCATGATTTGGTACCACAGCCTCCTCCTCATTTCGCATTCGAACGGAGGTAGGCCCAGCGTTTCCGGGTCGCGGTGGAGCCCAATGCGTTGGCCTATTCGGGCTGCTACGCCGGTGAGAATCCAGATAACGCGCGCATCGAAGTTGATTAAGGATGTGTTGTAGAGGACTAACGCCTGTAGGACGATCGGATCAGATGTTTTGAGAAAGCTGGAACGGATGAGAGCAAGGTGGCCAGCGGCTTTGAAGCGCTGGCTGACGACGTCTTTGGGCTCACCCATGATGGCGACACATTCTGAGTTTCCCAGGCTTTCTACGGCAGTGCAGTAGATGCCGAACATCAGACATTCGATATTCTTGGGCATATCATCCAGGCTCCCGCTCGCATTAGAGATGATCTGTTGCACGGAGGGCGCATGGAAGACCTTGATGAGGGGGTTTATGTTGTCCAAATAGACCTGCCACAGCTTGAATATTTGTCCAGGACTTGGATGGAATGTGCGAAGACTGCTAGGTGCTTTCGAGCTACCCAGAATCGAAGCGCCGAGGAGGGCGTCGCCTCTGAGCGTGCTGAGTCCAGCCAGGGTACTCATACCTGGGGTAACTTCAACTTGCTCTTCATCTGATGAATCTTCCAGTATTCTTTTGGGGTCTCGAAATTCGCTTTGAAGGCTGGTCCAGAGGGTATTCTCAAGATACCTGCTTTTACCCCCTTCAGCCACGAGGACGCCAGATCCCTTCTTGCTCTCTTCCTTTACACCCTCTTGAAATCCTTCAACCTCAGCCACGTATTTGTTGATACCAATCGGCTCCTCCTGTCGGCTTGCCGTTGTTGTCCCTTCCTCCTGGCTCACCAGCTCCTCGGGATCCACGCCATGCGCCCTGAGCGTCTTTTCGTATAGCCTCAGTTTAGCCTGGACATCGAGTTCGCGCGCACTCTGTCCTTTCTTGCGTCGCCGTGGTGGAAGAGGAGCCTTGTAGAGGCACTGCACGCGTGCTTTTGTGCAATTAGAGCATCCTCCGGGCGCCTTGTCGCATTTGACTTTTCGCTGAGCACACAGTACACACGAGAAGGCCTTCTGTATTGGCTTGTCTGGCACTGTGATCGCGGATTCAGGCGTCGATGCATCTGGCGAGCTGTTGGCTGCCGGCATTGTTCTTGTATCTTAGCCGTACGGTGTGTGCAATCACATTATCCCCATGGCATATTTAGCGTTTCGTTATATTTTCTTGATCATACATTCTGTAATATGAGTTATCACAAATAATTATTTGAGTGATGCAAGGAAGCCTGGTGTTGAGCCCCGCCAAGATCGACGGTCTGTCAGCAACTCCCGCTTAGTCAGAGGGAGCAGGGAAAGGGCGGGTGTGGAGTAGGGGACGTTGCGAGAAGCTGTGAGACACATCACGATATATTATTCTGAAAACGTTGGACATCGGGGAGCGCCAAACATGCATTCTAGCTGCGAAGTGTCTTCCTTTGCGTTTCAAAGAACCTACTATGAGTTACACCAGATTTGGAATGACATATGCTGTCCACGCAAAGAGATATGATAGAAAAGCGCGACACAAACCCAAGCGCCTAGATCCATACCTATCCGATCCATATGTGATGCGTGCCACGCAGCAATACACCCAAGCACGGCCAGTGCTATATGCAAACATGTTCTAGCAGCGGCGCCCGATTGGCGCAACCTTAAAGTGAGAGGTAGGCACTACTAACATTCGCTTACTCGCGGGCAGCACGCTCCTTGAACTCCTCGAAGAAACCCTCCATCTCCTCAGCAATGAAGTCCTCAATGTCACCAGTGAGCTTGTCGAGCTTCTCGTGGAGGCGGGAGCCAGCGCGATCAGCGGCGTTCTTGGCGATCTTGAATTCAGCCTCAAGATCCTCCTCAATCTCGGAGACGGAAGGGATGGTGATGGTGAGAGATTCCTTCTCCTCCTTCTCGGCCTTCTTGACGGTGTACCCACCCTTCTCGACGATGTCGGTGTAGTTAGAAGAGCCACCACCGTTCCAGGCGAGGATGTTCTTGGTGTTACTGGGGACATCAGTGAGGGCACCGACGGTACCGATGGAGATGAGGTTAGCCTTGAGCTTCTTGGGAGTAATGTCAGCGACGGCGTAGGCAGAGTCCTTGGCAGGCTGGAGAGAGAGCAGGTAGGCAAGGAGACCAGCAATGTGGGGCGAGGCCATCGAGGTACCGGAGATGGTGTTGGTGGCGTGCTCAGAGCCGATCCAGGTGGAAAGGATGTTGAGACCCGGAGCGAAGATGTCATTGCACTTTCCGTAGTTGGAGAAGTAGGCACGCTCATCAAGCAGGGTTGAGGCCCCAACAGTGACAGCGTTCTCAGCGGCAGCAGGAGAGTAGTTGCACGAGTCAGCGTTGTCGTTACCGGCAGCAACAGCGAAGTGGATACCAGCGTCAACAGCGGCGTTCACAGCGAGGTCAAGAGTAGTGGATTTGCCACCGCCCAAGCTCATGTTGGCAGCAGAGCCCTTGAAGCCCTTGCGCTTGCCGTCCTTGGCCTTCTTCACCTGCTCGTTGTGGGCCTGGACAGCGTATTCAACACCCTTGACGACGTCGGACATGGTGCCAGAGCCGTTAGAGCGGAGCACCTTGACAGCGTAGACCTCGGCCTTCTTAGCAACACCGTACTTCTTGCCAGCAACAGTGCCAGAGCAGTGAGTGCCGTGGCCGTTACCATCCTCATCAGCATCGCCGTTGGGGATGGTCTTGCCCCAGTGGGCGCGGCCCTCGAAGTCAACGTGCTTGTGGTTGGTGCCTGTATCGACGACATAGACATCAACACCCTCGCCTCCATCGGCGGAGTAGAGATATTTGTTCCATGTGCCGAAGCTCAAGGAATCGCGGTGCGAGATACGGGCGAGACCCCATGGGGCGTTCTTCTCGGTCTCGTAGTCGTCACCACCCATTGTGTGGACGACGGAGTCCTTCTCGATGTAGTCGACCTGTCACGCGATCCAATATTAGCTTGAGTTCTAGTATGCAAGGTACCAAGGCAGGGAGTCACGTGCTATTGCGTCGTATTGCGTGTCCTCGAGCGGCTCGGAGGCGAACTCGCAGGCTCGCCGCGCAGGCGGCCACTTGAGGCAGCAGCGGAGCTGCTCAACTCGAGACCGTCTCATCCGTTGCTGAGCTCGCGGCTCGCCAACATATGATACTCGCGAGTAGGGAAACAGGGTACTCACATCTGGGTGCCTTCGGATCTCCTCCAGCGTCTCCTCGTCGAAATGGCCGGAGTAGCCCATCATTCCACCGACGATGTTGTATGTGTGCTTGAGACCGTCGAAGATCTCGGTAGTGATAGGGAACTGCGAGCGCTTGCGGAGCTCCATGCGCTCGTCCTGAGCCTTGGTGTGGATGCTCTGCACCCACTCATGATGGCTCTTTGCGTCTTCGTGCTTGACATGCTTTTTGAAAACGACCATGTACGAGTTTGGAACGACCTCTTGGGCGTTCGTCGACGACAGCACCGGGGCGGCGTCGTTGTGGATGGTGCCCACCTTGAAGGGCGAAGCTGCGGCCAGCGGCAGCACGGCGAGGGCTGAGTACCTCATGATGGCGGAGATAGCGAAAGCGCCTGTTACCCCAGGTTACACTTTACAAAGGAAGCAGAAACGGACGAGAGGCAACGAGAAGATGTAAGATGGGGTGGATGATGATGGGGGAGCGGGAGCTGGAGAGCAGACGGGTAGCTATGGTGACGAGCTACTTATACTAGGCCGAGGGTGAGCTTAGGTGCTTGTTATCGGCGCGTATCAGCGCATGCGCACGAGCCCACCTATGCGTCATGTGCAGCTGCGGGAGCCTTGCCCCAGCCTCTCCGCTATCCGCTTTCGGACCCTGCTACGCCTCGAAGCTCCCTCGCATCTGGCGAGATGGAGCATAGCGAGCTGCCGCGGGATGGCTTCTATGCGACCGAGTTGCTGCTTGCACTGAACGCTGCTGCCAGAGGAGCTGTTCATCACCGTGTACCACGCACACAGCAGCGGCGACGGGCGTGCCTTCCCCGGCGGACGGCTAGTGTGGGTGGCCCGCGTGAACAGCCTCACTGTCAGCGCCTGAGCACAAAACGGTGCGCGTGAGACGATAGCGCTGGCTATCACTACCAGCGCTGTGGCCGCGTCGATGTTTGAGTGCGTCCCTACACCACCGTCATATCAGTGCCTGTGAATCATATCGTGCGTTTGGCGGGTGCCTGCGTGAGCTCCGCCGTCGCAGGTCGGGTCCAAGCTCTCTTCCGTTTTGGAACTCCACAATTCGCTCCCGCGACGCAATAAGCACAGCAATTGTTCCAACATTCACGGCTTGACCAGTGCAAGCTGCTACCCTACCTTGCTGGTCTACGATCCTCCATGTCAGAGCAATGACTCTGCTTTTCCCGCTGCGACCTCCTCCATATCTTCGTAGCGGCGGTGCACTCGACTGAACATGGCCGCTCGCCGCCATCGCTCCTCGACGGCTGCCTCGAGGGCACCGCCCATGAACAACCAGATAGCCGAGCTGCGTAGCCTCGCCGACGAGCTCATCCGTGCCTCTGAGACGTCTCCGCCGACAGCAGATGTCCTACAAGCCCAGAGCAACGCCCTCCGCCGCATGCGCCAGCTGTTGATCGACTCCCACGAGCATACGCAGACGAAAGACGCCTTCCGTCATGTACGCGGCTTCGAGGTTCTTCTCTTGACCCTGCGCTCTATCTCCGGATTCTACAAGCCTGACCAGCTCTCCCCTCCTGACCGCATCGACTTTTTCGAAGTCATAAAGAGCACACTAGACGTGCTCTCGGAGGCGCTCAATGACCACTCGGGAAACAGACGTTTCTTCGCCAAGAGGGTAGAGGACAATGGTTGGAGCGCGTTGGAGCAGGCTTTAGGCAGTACCGGCATATTTGGTGGTCAGTCCAAGAGCAAGCGGGATGATGCGGGGCAGGAGCAGCTGTTTGGCTGCCTTTTTGCCTTTGCACTTGGCGAAGAGGCAGTAACACGCATCTTTCGCGACATTGATAAGAAGGTCGAGGAGGCCCAATCGGAGGCAAAGGAGAACCAAGCCCGGGACGAGCAGCAACATGAAAAGAACACGACCGAGATTATGGTCATGAGCCCACACTCGACACACAGCGATGCCGATGTGAACATCGATGCTCTGCGCGCACAGGTGCGAACCATATTCAGCGGCACTGAGGTGCTCCAGAATTCGGATATTGTACCCACCATTCTACACTTCTGGAAGGGGTTGTCTGGCCTGGACGCACCAGGGACGCGCTCGAAGCCACTGTCAGTAGCTGTCCTGCTGGCCATACTGGAGATCACCACCCTATCTTCATACAACAAAGCTGGCGTGCACGTGACCGGGGTGCTCAGCATTATACTCCCCTTGTTGTTCGACAATCAATGTGCACCGGTGGAGGCAGGGCTCTTGCGAGAGCTCGCGGACCAACTGATCGAGTTTGGCATCAACAAGCTAGATGATGCGTACTACCTTTTCCGAAAGGCAGCCACGTCAGAGCATGCTGCAGAATTCTTGCATCAGGGAATGCGCATATCTCGCGGTGCGCCGTTCATCCAGTTCGACCTCTCATTACACGGTTTTAGCGCTATTGAGCTCCCGGACATGGGCCGCTCCTTTCCACCCATTTCCCCCGGCGGCGGCTACACTTTCGCAACCTGGGTCAGGGTGGACAAATTTGATCCCAATTGCCACACCACAATTTTCGGCGCATACGATGATACGCAGACTTGTTTCCTCATGGCTTACTTAGAGAAAGATACCCGTTGTTTTATCTTGCAAACCTATATGGGTCACTCAGCTGGCATAACTCCTAGTGTTCGCTTCAAAAAGGCACCACTGTTTCAAGAAGGCCGATGGTACCACATCGCGGTTGTTCATCGACGACCCAAGGCGTTGAGCCTAGGTGCCCATCAGGCATATCTATTCGTAGACGGTGAATTCACCGAGACCATGAAGGCCCACTACCCATCACATCCGCCCGTATTGGAAAGTAGCCAAGAAAGTTTCGCGTCTTTGTCTTCTAGCCGTGGTCAGCATCGCGTGCTTGCTTTCTTGGGCACGCCACGAAACCTGGCCCCTCGACTTGGGCGCAATGTGTTGACGTCGAGGTTGTCGATGGCTTCATTCCATCTCATTGCCGAGCCATTGTCAGACGAACTCATTGCTGTATATCACAAGCTTGGCCCGCGGTATTGCGGCAATTTTCAAGACAAGCTTGGTTCTTTTCAGACTTACCGTACTTCTGCAGAACTTCATGTGCTCAACGAGATCTTGCATCCTGGGAAAGAGGAGCGCTCCGAAATTGTATCCGCAATACGCTCTAGTGCGGGGCTTCTGATACCTGAATCTAAGATGTTGCTCAGCTTTTCACCAAGCTCTGTAATGGACGACGATGATCGGAACGCCATTGATGAATCGCAGTTAATTCGATCATTATCGAGAGACTCGGCAAAAGCGCTTCATCGATACACAAGGATGCACGGTACGCCCATCATTATCAACGCTGCGGTGCCATCAGTGAACGACGCTTTGTCGCAAGTGCGCGGGTTTGGTAGACTATCCGGCGATGCCGTGGTCGTCGTGCCTCAAGCACTCGACGATGCCATTTGGAGGATAGGCGGCTGTTCGGCGGTTGGTCTAAAGCTGGTACAATCCGCTCAAAGTCTGGGATCGGTGTTGCGTGCAGTTCAAATCCTCCTCGAAGCTGTGGAAGGCAACTGGCGCAACTGTGAGGCCATGGAACAAAACAACGGCTTTGCTGTGCTCGCTGAAGTCCTCCGCCAGAAGGTTGGACATGCTTTGACCGGATATAGCTTGCGTTCTTCTTCGGCTATTGATGTAAGCACTGATGACCGTGAAGCTTTCCTTTTCCGACTGCTTCGGGTCATCTTGAAATTTGTGGGGTACGATGAGCTGCACCCTGAGGAATCACTGATCATAAACCCGTTGGCTTACCGCGTCCTTCTCGTTGATCTGGAGATATGGCGCCAGTCTATGTCTCTGGATACGCAAAAGCTTTATTACAAGCAATTTGTCGACTTTGCCAGAGGTAGCAAACACCACCACTATAACGCAAAGCGATTTCAGCGCATCAGTAAGTGTACCTCCTACTATCGGGTCGTATATAGAGCTAATTAAAACAGGGGTGGTCAAACGGTTGACCGATGCTCTCAAGGGGGAACCGTTCACTCCGGAAATATTCCCACTTTTCCTCGATGCCTTCAAGGTGCTACTACAAGCGAATTTCAATGGCGAATCATCCCGGTCACTGTCACTGTTCGTCACATACGCTCTACATGATAGCCGTGCTTCATACGTAAAGCGACCACTGCGGCCGAAAGCCAGCACCCGCCGTCTCCGGAAAGGGACACCACCTACACTAACACCTGGGACTACGCCACGCTCCGCCAGCCCCGGTCAAGACCCTAGATCGCCTGCTGGTTTACCTCTTGCCGAACTGGGTGTTGCAGTTCTTGGAATGCTCGCCGAACTTCTGTGTGACCCATCAAATCTGAACGAGATCGTACGATTCGCGAAGAACGTCACAGGCAAGGTAAGATCCTGGGGATGTAGGATTGCACGACTATGCTAACGTCTTTAGTGGCTATTGTACCTTCTTGCAGAATCGGACCATCGTGTTGTCGTACTTGCTGCCAAGATTCTGGCACGTCTTCTCGTCGCTAATGGGCCTCACTACGTTAAGAAATTTGGGGAGAAGACCGGTGGCTTCACCATTCTGAAGAACAGGTTCAGACAATGGTGGAACACACCTGGTATCTGGACAATATGCTTCGCGCTCTTGTTCGGTGTAGACGTCGCGAAGATTGATTTTGAACGCGATTTTGATGTCCACAATCTAGTAGAGATCTTCATTACGAAGCCGCAAAAGTCGAAAGTCGAAATCCTTTACCCGGCCGTGTTTGCGGTAATCACTGCCATGCTCGATACTGGTCTGCGCGCTATTGTTCGAGATCCTGGGAAAACAGAAGACGAACCGTCGAAGAGCCATAATGGCGAAGCTACTGTAATTAGAGGACGCCGACGTACCATGTCACTCAATGCGAAGCAACCAACCATAGGTAGGAGAACTCTTTGCGCCTTGATCCATCATAGCTAACTGACGTGTCAAGATACGAAAGTACCACAGTCACAACGATTGAACGATTACGCTGGTGTTCTAAATTCAGCGATCCAGTTCTTGTCTGAATTGCACTCGCGGTCTGAGGCGTTCCGCGACTTCACTTGCTCTTCTAATTACATTCAAGAGCTCCTGTTTGTACTTTATCCGGTTATCGTCTCCTCTGATTGCGTGAGCGCTGAGACAGAGCTACTCTCGCGTGGCTCTGCGTTAACATTTGAAGGCCAGGATGTTGTCATACAACCTCTATCTAAAGCCAACGGCTCTCAGGCACCGGTTGTACGGACCACCACAGTAAACTCATCACCGTCGCCTTCGCCCCAGCGCGTTGTTCCACTTCGAAGAGCTTCCTCGTTCGTCCTTGTCTCCGCTGATAAGGCAAAGAAGGATCCGCAAGTTACTAGGCTCGAAACAATCCTGTCCCCCAGACAGAATGGGCCCGTCGCCATGAGGATAGGAAGCTCGGTTGTAGAGGCGGTTCTTGAAGTCGTGCTACTTGTATACCATGATCAACTCTTCAATCGCAAAGAGTTCCCTGGGCTCGCCTTATTCATGAGGACACCCCCTGGCTTCCAAGAACATCAAGCGTACTTCGAATCCTACGTCATGCGACAGACCATCTCTTCCGTTACCAGCGCTCTGCAGCTGAGCCAGACACTGCTCCACGAGCCGCGGGTGCTTAGCAATCTCTCGCGCTTAGTTACTCATCTCTCTGAGGCCGTCTTTGAAGGTTGGTTTCTCGGTGGCGCGGAACCCTTGCTCGACTTCATTGGCTTCCTTCTAGAATATCTGGAGCGGCCCGATATTGCCAAGATCAAAACGGTCCAGCTGTGTGTGAAGCCAATCAAGACGATCCGCGAGAGATTTCTCAGAGTCATTCTACTTCGCCTAGCTGAGCCCGACAGCTCCGAGGAAGACTCTGCCGCTTCACGTCCCATATTGAAAGTTGTCTACTGGCAGCCAATCATCCTGTCGTCTGAGAACTCGGAATTATTCCATCTACGGCCTATGTGCTATCTGTTGTATACGAAGCTCTCATCGCCTCATGAAGACGTTCGCTTAGCGGCGGTCAACTTCTGGCGCCTTTTCTTTGTGCAAAAACCGACGGATGCGATGGCAATATTAAGCCAAACGATACCACCAGAAAAGCGAAAACTTTACGACGGTTTCCAAAAGCTCACAGAGTTAGACAATGAGTCTTTTTTAACTTGGTTCGAAAAGCACCAGACGGACCTCGATCGGTACTTTTACGGAGCTATGACCAGAGCTTGGGAAGACTACGCGAATGACCAGAACAAGAAAACCGAGAGTACCTCCCAAGAAAGGATCGCGAAGCGAAGAGACAAGCTGAAGCAGTGGCACCACGAGGAACTCACTAGCGAGCATGTTTGGAGCCAGCATGAGAGCACCCTGAACCATTGGCGGTCAAATATCCACGCTTCAGAGCGCACTAAGCACCAGCGCGATCTGCAAGACCAACAAGAGAATGCCACCTTCCTGGCTACCGTCATGTCTAAATTAGATAAACAACTTAGGGGGCCCTGCGCGCTCTTCGAAGACAGTCCTGCCCCCAAGTGGCGGTTAGACGAGACCGAGGGTCGTGACCGAAAACGCTTGCGCATCATCATCGACAGTACAGGTCGAGTACAAACTTACCAGCCGAAGAGAAAAGATACAGATCCGAACTACAGGGGCAAGCTGCGACTGGACACCACTGTTCCATCTGTCTCGGTTGGCGTTACGCCCATCGCAAGCACCAGCACTAGGCCTTCAATATCCATGACTGCGCCGGATGGATTGCAAGATGAAGCAGGCTCCGACAGCGAAGACGATTTCGAGATGGTAGAGGCGCTACTTGAGGATGATGATGGGTTCGAAGACAAGAATCGCAAAGTCATGCGAAGTCTCAACCGTGGAGATCAAGTGCAGTATGTCTGCAACATATCGCGCGTGGTGGGTTTGGAAGCAATTGAAGGCCTCTTGATAGTGGGGAAAGACTGTCTCTATCTTCTCGACGATTTCTTCCAACGAGCTGATGGTGAAATTGTTCGGGTCTGGCAAGCACCCACAGATGAGAGAGATCCGTATGTTCAAGTAATAGCCGGTAAGGAAGCCGTAACTCGTCGGCCGCCACCGAGGACTCACGATGAGACAACGCGACACTGGAAGTGGAGCGAAGTCATCAGTATCTCGAAGCGACGCTTCCTCCACAGAGACGTTGCAATCGAAGTCTTTTTTTGACGATGGCCGCAGCTATCTGCTGACGGCAATGTCGAATATAACCCGCAACGACATTCACTCGCGTCTTATGCAGCGCGCACCACATGTCGCCAAGCCGGACTTGCTCGTCAATCCCGAGCTCTCTTGGCGCCTCGACTCATTACGGAATCCCGAGGAGGCACCGCAAACTCTGAGCTCACGCTGGGCATCCGCTTTCGGCTCTGTATCGTCCCATCCAGTCACGAGAAGATGGATGAAAGGCGAACTTTCGAACTACCACTACCTTATGTTCGTAAACACGCTAGCTGGCAGGACATTCAACGATCTCACGCAGTACCCTGTCTTCCCGTGGATCATCTCAAATTACACAGATGCTGAGCTGGACTTGACAAATCCGAAGAACTTTCGAGACTTGTCGAAACCTATTGGCATTCAAAATCCCCTACAAGAAGATTTCGTCCGTCAAAAGTACGTCGCGATGCTGGAGATGGACGACACCGAGAATGCAGCCCACTACTTGACCCACTACTCCTCGGCCATGATGGTAGCTTCATACCTCATACGACTTCAGCCATTCATGGCTGCATTCTCACTCATCCAAGGTGGCCTGGATCACGCAGACCGTATGTTTTATTCGATTCAAAGTGCATGGGACTCGGCAACAGGGTCCAATATGACGGATGTAAGAGAATTGACACCAGAGTTCTTCTTTCTCCCTGAGTTCCTCACCAATGTCAACAATTACGACTTCGGTTTGCGAGCCGGTGGAGAGAGTATCGATAACGTCGCACTGCCCCCATGGGCCAAGGGCGATCCTGCTATCTTCATTGAGAAGCAGCGTGAAGCTTTAGAGAGTCCGTTTGTGAGTAAGAACCTTCATCACTGGATTGACCTCATCTTCGGGTACAAGCAACGCGGCGAAGCAGCAGTCGAAGCAGCCAATGTCTACGAGAGGACGACTTATCAAGGGGCCATCGATTTCGACTCTATCACAGACGACAAACTACGCGAGCTACATATTAGCCGCCTGAACAACTTTGGACAGACGCCGGTGCAAGTTTTCCAGCGACCACACCCTCAGAAGGAAGATCTCAACCCTAAGCTGCAGAAATTAGACACTGCTGCTGAGAGCCTCCACCGCCTACCGGGAACCCTCCTTGAATCCAACGATCGCGTGTCATCGCTCGCCTACATAACCAAGCACGACAAGCTCCTATGTTCGGCGCCTTTCAGGCAGAACATTCCACCCCTGTATGATCGCTACATGGAATGGGGTTTCACTGACGGCAGCGTGCGATTCTACGACTCGAACTCAAAGAAGATGGTGGGCATCTTTGAACACCTTCATTCTGGCCAGCTCACAGCGTCGTTCTTCGTTGATGGAAGGACATTGATCACAGCTGGAACTGATTGCACGATAGCGATCTGGAAGGTTCACAAGACAGAAAGAGGCACGGTTGAACTCCAATGGACTACTACGCTGTTCGGTCACAAGCGCCCGGTCGTCACTCTTGCGGCGTCACGTGCGTTGTCCGCCTTCCTGTCTGCCTCCTCAGATGGCCGTGTATTCCTCTGGGATCTCAATAGGTTTGAGTTTGTGCGTGAACTTGACCTTGGACCAGCACAAAAACGGGATCCGGTCTCGATACAAGCTGCGAAGATCAACAACGTTACAGGGCACATGACGTTGGCTTGCGGGCCGCGGCTCATCGTCACTACTCTCAATGGGGAAAAGTTGCTGGACCAAGATATCAGCGATGGCGAAGACGACTTCGATGGTATCACCGCCCTCGCCCTTTACGAAGGCGTAGGCAACGAGTGGTGCGAGCGTGAACTGATCTTCACTGGGCACCGCAGAGGCGTTGTCAAGGTCCGTAACTCGTCCCCCCTTCCTTCAATTCCCACACCCTTACTAAACCACCCTTCAAAATCAGATCTTCCACCTCATCCCAGCGCCCTCCTCCACAAACACGCCATGGGCCCTCACCCTCATTAAACAGCTCAACCACGGCGATGCGTCCCGCGAGGACGGCGCAAACCATCTAGCACCCATTACGTGCATCCTCCCCATGCCACACAATGTGTATACGGGCGACGAGGAAGGCAGAGTGGTACGTTCTTCTTTCTTTGATCTCAAGGAGTGGTGTAGTCGAGAGCAGGGTTACCCGGGGCAGGTGGAGTGGAAGGCAGGAGAGAAGACGAGCGCAGAGTGGGGCGGCACGCAGCTCGAGGTCAAGCGTATGAAGATCTTCTGAGCGTGCCGACCTCGGTCGGGCTTCCTGTTATTTCGCGTTTCAAAAGATGGTTGGGGTGAGGGTGGAAGGATGGCGTTGTTGGTGAGCTTCACCACTTGCTTATGATCACCGAATTACTTCATTGGACTGCACTAACGGCATGTGTAGTATGAGTGGGAATGTGTGCATCGCGGGCGTTAGCATCGAAGGTAACGTACATAGGGGGCACAGACATACAAGGCCTTCGGGTTTTAGGTGCGATCGAAAATTTCAGCGCGCATCGCTCTGTATGTTGCTACGGTATGTTGTTATCGGCGTATTTTGGACTTGACTTTTGAATTGTTGGAGTGCGTGCATTGCTCAATGTTCAAGTGACAGGGAAAGTAGAATCTAAATGGAATGCGAAATGATATCCCGCACCGAAGATTTGGTTTTCTCTCTATGTGTTGTGAGAGTTATTGACGTTGAAGTTTGCTATGAGCTTTCTTTCGCAATTTCATCCTTCTTTGCTTCGCCACTTGTCTCCTTGGTCTGCGCATTACCTTCCTCCTTGTCGCCAGATCCACTTCCGCTGCCCTGGTAGTGGCTGCCTTCTTTGCCGGGCTCGAAGATGGTGTTACCTGTGTGTTGGACGGAGTTAGACCTCCACAGTGTAATAGTAGGAAATTTGCGCGGATATGGACGTAGCTAGCATGTGGAGGGGAAATCGAGTCAACGAGAAAGGGAGAAGCGTACATGATGCGCAGTGCGCATAGGATCCGTCTTTCGTCAGATCGGCGCCGGCGCCACATTCGGGACATTTGACCATCTTAAGGATCAGTGGGGGCGCTTATGTGCACTTCCTGGGTTCGGTGTGTAGTACCGTGATGGGTAGATGAACGGTTGGATGATGCAGGGAGGGCACGAGGGGTACATCCTCAGTGCGTCTTGATTGGTGGAGTCTATCGATAACGCGTTACCTCGACGCGAGACATGCCAGAACAACATCGACTACGCTCTACACCACAGCTATTGAACGATGCCGCTTCACTCAGAAAAACTCAGAGATAGATTTTCCCATGGTTGAAGAGAAGAGCCCGGAAAGTTGGGGCACGTGCTTCGTTGTCGCTTTAGCATGGACCACCTGTGATTTCTCGCCGCAATGCGTTGTTGAGCAGGACCGTCTCGTCCGTGAATTCCCCCCTAATGATCAGGAACCTCTACCACGGCCTCCTCGCTCCCGGTTGCCTCAACGTTGCAACGTCGGCTCACTATTGATTTTCTGACCATCCATCAACGACCACTCATGTTTCCAGACGTGGTACAGCAAGCCAGGCGTCGTCTTCATACCCACATCGAGTTCCTCATATAATCCGGAGATCGTCTTCTCCTCGTACACATGCTTGGCGATGATATTGCGGAGTGTCGTGTCGGTGTCCGGGGTCGTGGTGAATGCAACGGTAACAGCCTCGAAGAACTCTTCTCCTGGAGGAAGGAGCTTCAAGCTCTCTTCGAACTTGAAAGCCACCATCTGCTTTAGTCCTAGAAGACCGTACTTGTCGGCGATGGCGTAAACGTTCGCGTGGATGATAGCGTCTCGGTGATTGATGGGTGGCGCGTAGCTATCTGGGGTGTCCTTTTTCCACTGAGCATACAACTCGAATATCGACCTCATCACAGCTATGCTGTCCAAGCTGAATTCCAATTTGATGACCTTGAACTTGAATTTCTGATGGTCGAATTTATCAGTACACATACTGTCCAGAGCCTTCGCTAGAGACACTTACGTCCTTTAGGCTGGGATGCTTCTCAGCCAATGCGGTCATGTGCTTGGCTGAAACTTTCCAACAACTCATGTCCCAAGCTTTTTTTAGAATGCCAGCTAACATATCGGGACAAGGGGAGTCGCCGACCTTCCTCCAATCCATCCTAATCCACCACGGTCCAGGGTCTTTATCTGAGGGCAGCTGGTAGTCCAACTCATACATGAACTGAATCATGCAGCCCACGATGTCGGGATCATCGTTTGGGAGGTTAAGCACGCCTTCGGTGGCTTCCTTCTAGAGCTGAGCTATCGCTTGGCCAAGCAAGGCTTCACTTGAGTACGTACCTTCCCGCCGAATCGAGTAGCCGCGTCGAAAAAGTCGGACTGGGAGCACACGATGGCTTTGTGCACGTCCCAAGTCTTGTTGCCACAGGTGATCTTGAAGTCGGAGTGTTTGCCGGTTTCAAGCAGCCTTCCCCCGTGTTAGCCTCTCCTTGCGGCCGTTGTAAGGTTTTAGGATGCAGCAAGTGCAAGGACTTACGACTTCATCGACTGCATGAACTCATCGTAACCCCGCTTTCGCGCCATGGCGGTGGTGACAGTTTAAGAAGGCGGGCTTCGATGTGAGGTAGGTTGAAGGTTGTTTGCTCGCTTAAGGCCGATGACGACCATCGGGAGGTCTGTGCTTAGCTGGTGAAGGTGAAGGTGAAGGTGAAATGGGAAGCGCGGCAATCAATTTGCTAGCGACGGAAATCTTGAATGCTATGTGCATTATTCAGGCAGTTTGGCGCCGTCCTCAAGTGCAACGATTCTAAACAGCATCAAAAAGAAAGAAAGGCTCGCAAACAAGCTGGGTATCGTGCGTTACTGCATGCTAGACAGATTATTCCACCCCAGCGGACCCAACCCGTCAACACCCGTCGGTGGTGGTCCATTCTCACTATTTTCCCATTCAAAGAAATTCTGCAAATCATTCAAATCAAACATCGGCTGCTCGATATTTTCCATGCCTGGGTAGTACACGCTGCCCAGTTGATCGGTCTGGGAAGACGTTGTATCCTGCATTACTTCCGGGTCCAAAGTTATTGGCCCGGAGGATGTCGCAATTGAGTATGGGTAGGTGTTGGTGGGAGCGAACTCGTTGGTGGTTGGAGGTGGGTTGGACATGTTTATCATAGGGTTAAGGTGGTCCGCAATGGGTCGCTGTACGGGCCGTGGAACTGGTAGATGTGTTGTTTCGGTAGTCGACATTGGTACCGGCGTCGACGGACTGCGCACACTGTTGATGCATTAGCGTGTTCCGTTGAGGTAACATCGAATGACAGACCTTGTTGTTGACCTCACATCCGTATGTGGGTCGACCGGGTCTTGAGGAGGTATGTATGGATCTAAAGGAGCACCTCGCGCAATGCTTTCGCGCACCTTATCAAGCCAACGCTCTGTGGTAACGTACTGCAAGCTAGTCAGGCTACGAAGCTTCACATTATCTGGTCGACTTACGAGAGGTTCCGCGAGCGGGTACATCTGGCTCATTGCCCGAAGAGCGCGGTTGTTGAGCTCCACTAGCTCAAGCGTACGGGTGGTTGTGGTCTCTGCATCTTGCTTCGACCTATCGAGGATGCGAGCAATGTAGTATAGCATTATGCGACTGCTGTTGTAGACGAAAGATGGTAAGATAGGGTCAGCGAGGTATTTGACACCGTGCTGAAGGATAGTCGAAGTGAGCACCGATACCTGTTGCGCATTCTCAAAGCATGCCACCTGCAGCTTTGCCATAAACCCGAACTGTTCCGGAGGAAACTCGAAAGGTTCTCGCATCTTGAAGAGATTCGGTAACGCTATGCGGTGCAAATCGCACAACACATGATGGTACATGCAATGGATGATGAATAGAGCGCCTAGCTGGGAAGACTCCCTACGGATGTAGATGTTATCAGAAGAAAAGGACATCCACTGGGGGTGACTGTATTTCCACTCTTCAATCTCCTTTGTGAGATTCTCAAACTCAGCGTTCGGTACCCAAGGTGGTTCTACATTATCCAGATGTTTGATGTATCGGAGAACGCGCTTCCATATGTAGGCAATTCTGACAAAGTATGCGCTCATGCCCATGTTTGCCCATGGTTGACCAGGAGTGTGCTCTGCTGATGCAGGATCGAGTACTTCGCCCGGGCGCAAGGTTTCGGTCACATGCGGAATCTGCAGGAGAAACTGCCTCTCATTGCATGGTAGTTGAAGCTTGATGTCCCTTTCGTTCAGAATAGTCAGTTGATCAACACCGCTGCCAGCCCAGACATCGACCATATAACAGGCCCACATCAGTCTTCGCCTCGACTCTCTCAATGAAACATCGTTTGTCACACCGGGCTGTTCTTCGGATTCCACGTGGATTTGGAGAGCGTGTGCCATACGCACAATCAGGCCTGTGAGGAGAAACGATCCGGCGTAGTTGCCAAGTCGCGCTTCATGGTCATGAAGCAGTACAAGTACTTTCAATTTCACGACGGATATAGTGCTGTAATCGGAAAAATACGTTTCTTCAGCGATCTTGGCCCACTGGCTACCCGCCGCTTGAATTACTTCGCGGGGAAGATGCGAAGTGGATTCACTGTATTCCAGAGCGTAGACTACACAAGCTATATCAGCCTTGGACGAGGAAAGTGACCTTGGGCCACTAACACTTCGCAGCGTGAGCGGACATGATGTGCAGCAGAGCCCGGTTTGCGCTGTCAATGACAAGGCTCTCATCGAGCATCCTCATGAATGAAGGTTTGTGTCTGAAAGGGATTACTGGTCAGTATCTGACTTCTAGGGCAGGGGAACGTACTGGATTCACTCACACGAAAGCGAAGACGCGGATCGGGTGGACCTGCAAGGTTATTGTACGAACCTATCTCGGGAACAAACTGTGTCTTACATTGTTGAAGTAGGCGTCTAGCAGCTGATGCAATTTCGCTCTTGGGGGAAGTTCTGTCGCAAATAGCCTGCACAAGAGTCATAAGCCGTGATTCTGCCGTGACCAGAGGGCCAGATTTACCATGATAGTGAGGAAGGATAATCTCCTTGCGGGCCCAGAGAAGGAGCACTGCTCGTATGTCGATAAGGCGAAGCTCCTGGCGTGTCCGGATGGTGTTGAGACACGGGTGTCACAGCATGGACCCATGCGGGCTCAGCAGCGTCTGCGTCGTAGGCACAGGCAAGCGACTTCTGTTTACATCTTGAACAGACTGGTCTCTCCCCTGTGCACTTGATCTTACTCTGACGACAAGGGATGCAGACTCGGAATGTCCTCTTGCGCTTGATCCCTGTGATAGCACGGGGCGCAGTGGGGCTCTCCAGCGGTTGGTCGCTGCCATGTTGCACGCAAGTCAACTGCAGTTTTTCGCAATTGAGGCATCCGTTTGGGCGCTCATCGCACTTGACCTGGCATTGGAGTCAGCCAGAGCATGCCATGTCCACGGTACTACTGATCGACCCGGTGGTAGCTGTAGTGCGGGTTACGCCAATATAGCGCGAACGCGGAGCGAATTGAGCCAGAGTGATTCGTAGCTGTGAACCCTACCGGCGGATCTACTTCTCTACAACGGTGATGCGATGCGCCTATTGTTGCTTCTACTTACTTTGCGAGCCCGACAAGTTGCACAAGCTGGAAACGAGTTAGTGTCTCAGTGTGTATCCCCATGGTTGGCGGGCGACTTGTTTCGGGTCGTCGGCGTGGCCAGAGGGCTACGCACCGTTCACCGGCCGTCTCCGCGGCCTTCCAACTTGGGGTGCAGTGCTCTCGAGAGGCGCTACGTCGTCGGACAGGTCCATCCGGTGGACCGATGAGGATTGGGGAGGCATTGTGCGCACAGTGAGGTGTTGAGAGTCTCGTACCCGCCCTGGACCTGTCGGCTCGTCGGGCTTGGCGACGGCCTTAGCCCTGCTCTGGAAACCGGCCACGCGACTATCTCTCTTCACTGACCGCCCGCCTCCCTCGCCCTCACCTACGTGGGTACATGGAGTAATCATTGACCGTGTCCATCAGAGGCTACTGACGTGCGCATACCTTCGCCGATATTCTCAAGGTCAAGTCTGGGCAACCTCGTTGTTTCATTTACTACTTCTCATGACTACAAGCAAGAAGCAAGGTCAACGCCCCTGCCTGCTTCCTCTTGACCGTCTTAGCTAGCGCCAGATATCTAGATTCCGCCCATGCAATGCCGGGACATCCTTGTTTCGTGTCCAAGGTGAAGACTTGGACGACTGCATTGCAATACAGCTTGCCTCTGCTTCCGTAGATATCCAAGCCAGACTCGACGCTCTGGCTACCGCTGGATGCCGCTTTTTTTGTGCTTCAATACCAAGATCAAATTGGCCTGCCCTCGGCTTGGCAGCCCACAAGCCGGTCCATAACGCGGCTTCCAGCTTCCATCATGCCCTGTCAAGTCTTCTGCGATGAGATACTAAGACCCTTGAACCTTTGTGGCGCCCACATCAATCAAAAACAGGTTCGTACCAGGGTCGCTCCGCCACCTCGTCCTCAAGCGCCCGTTTCTTCGGAGGTCGAGCCTTAGCGTCGTATTCCCTCCCACAGATGCGCCGTCTCCTTTCTGTAAAGTCTTTGCGGATGCCCACCCATACCTCACGATCCGTGCAATCAAGTTCGTTCGTCTCTGTGGATATCTTACGGCACGCTGGCTGATTTTTTTCCACCATGCCTGGCAGCGGCTCCAACCAGGGCTTCGGCATCGGCCAATCCGAAAAGTGTACGAACTTCGCCTCTTCCAGTGCCCCTTTCGGATCCCACTTCTCTTCCGGTGACCCCAGATAATTCTCATGCTTCGCATTATGGAACTCCCCGGAAAGCATATCGTATCTCCGATGCGGGATCACCGTACTCGATTTCTCGTACAGCTTGTTCAGAATATCCATGTCGTAATCGTGGCCTTCGTGGTGGTCGATCGCATACCCTACGCGCTTCCATTCGGCCTCGGACGGTTCAATGACGATGAGCTGGCTTGAGAGGAAGAACTTTTCAGGCATCCAATAGGCACGGGGCATGGCTACGGGAGCTGAGGGAAGCAAGAAGAGCTCGTCCATGTGGTCCAGGACTGTGCCGTCCGAGTCGATCGATATCACGCGTTTATACTGTGTCTGATTAAATGCTAGCAGCTTCGTGTAGCTGTCTTGCCATGTCGGGTCCCGCTCGTTCTGAAATGTTTTGACCTGAATTGGTGCCATTTGCACCTTGAATTCATCGCGCGCTTTCACCAGGAATTTTGTCTCAGACTCTGCGCCCTCGTTGAATTTTGCAGGGACTTGCCATTGTTGAGGGTACATCATCAGCAAGTCTGCCTTCGTGTTGTGGCGGCGTAGTGCTTCGAAAATCATGAGAGAGTTGCAGAGGTAACTGGGGTTCGTTACGTATTGGACGTATGCGAAGTCGGACCACTGTATCGAGGACTCGGGAGATGCCGTGTCACCGTCATTGCCCGCAAGATTGCCGTTGCTTCCGGTTGCGGTGCAATTACACACCGCCGGTGCCGATGCGGTTGCGTTATGTGCGTATTCGCGGACGCGTTCGTCTAGGTCAGGATACTGGAGAAGTAACACGCCAAACAGAAGCAGCAAGACAGTCGCGACAACCACCGTTCGTACGCGCCGTAGCATAAGCCAATTGGAGAGCTTGACCGGACTCTTTAGACCTCCTTCCACGTCCTCAGTAGCGAGCGGCGCGTACTTGCGGCGCCAGAACAACATAGCGATAGCCTGGAGGGTGTGCGGGTTAATATTTAGCGACTGGTCGTGTGTTGATCGTGAAATCGTCGGTTGCTGATGGTTGAATATTCTAGGCTGAAGGCGCTGCAGAAAGAGTGAGAAGTGAGCGCGAAGTGAGCGCGATCAAGAAGTGAACCAAAAGGTACGAGTGTTGGTTCAACCACAGCCATCGTCGTACCAGATGTCCATAAACGTGTCACCGTCCAGGTAGCGGCACAGTGCAGGTTCGACTCTCGGGTGTTTGGTGTTTTTGAGGCGCGGCAAAACACCTGTTCAATGAGGCTACGCGGCTTACGCAGCTTACGCAGAAATCCGGCTTCCTGGATGCAGGTTGCATCCGTCCAATATCTATACGAGCGATCTGCAGATACTCTATAATCTCACAGGAGCGAAGCGAACCGCACGCTGAATGGAACGTGGAACATCCAGCAAACAGTTCACTTTTCGTTATCTAAACTTCACCGCAAGTTGGCTCCATCTCAATAATTATAACATCGCTCAGTACGTACAGCAAATCTCACCTCTTGTTCATGAAGTCCCCATCTTTGCGTTATGGGCGCGCATATACTGGTCGACGATCTTATCCCCGTCTTTGGATGACCGGGTTTAACCACCTATCACGCTTTGACCCTGTTGCTTGTCTACATTAAGCAGTAGGTGTTCGAGCACGCTATTGGGCACCTCATGTTCAAGCATCGTTCTTTTCGCCCTTTTTAGGCAATGGTCGAAGCAAACCATTTACATAGATGCTGCTGTGATTGCCGGAGTCAAAAGTTGTCAGTCAAAGAAGCGGAGCGCGAGCGAGAACGGATTGGCTGTGTAGGGTAGGACATAGAGTCGCTTTATAGCATGTCTTTTTTAATTAGTACTCGTACAAGCGGAAGTCACGAGACATGGGTGGGATCACGTGGAGAGAGTGTCGAGGTCCACAATCAATACCGGAAGCCGAATGTGGCTTTACCACATGATCCATATTTCATTCTACAGCCTAGCCCTCGTCTCCCTACTGTCCTTCGCCATCTGTGCCAACTCCCAGCAGATCTCAGAGCACGGCAGCATCTCCTCTCCTACCTTCTTGGCCTCCTGACTACTCGCCTGCCTAACCGCATACCTACTCGCGATGCCCTGAAATATTATACTGTCACGGAACATAGCAAATGCGGTGCCCCACGCAAGTTCAGCAGCCGGGTTCCAGCCAGCCACTTCAGCGTACCACTGGATAACCTGATCACGGGATGGCAATCCAGGTGTCGTAGCACTAGGTGCGAAGGCAGGGCAAGAATTGCGACGCTCGGTGCTGAAGACGGTGTAGGTCCAGGGGGCAACGAGGTTGGAAAGGTCGGAGAGGGGATGTCCTATCGTGGACATTTCCCAACTACAGTATGTATGTTAGACTTATTCTTATTTCCCTCTTTGCAACAAGAAATAGTCAATAGGAGCGCCACTTACTCCAAGATCCCAATGACCCTCGGCTCCGTCTTATGGTACACCAAATTATCGATTTTGTAGTCGCCATGGATGGGCGTCCCCCGATCTCTCGGCTGACTTTTCCTGTCGCTGAAAAACTTCACGAGCTCCTGCATCCTGGGAACATCCCCAACGGCATCGCCTGTCTCGATGTCTCTGACCTTACTTTGGGCCTCTCCCAGCGTCGTGAAGGTTTTGATTTGCCGGTCATAGAAGCCTGATGGCTTCCCGTACGTCTCCAACCCTATCTTCTTGGGGTCCAGCCTATGCAGCTTCGCCAGCGTGCGCACCGCATCGTGCCACATCTCCGTCCTCTGCTCCGCGCTTACCCCGGGAAAATGCGGTTCAGTAACTATGCGCCCATCAAGGAACTCCATGATGTAGAACGGACTCCCGATCACGCTATCATCTTCACACAAGCCGTAGACGCGCGGCACAGGGACGTCCGTATGTTGCAAAGCGTTCAGGATGCGGTATTCGCGCTCCACCTTATGCGCTGTTTTGCTCACGAGTTTCCCCGGAGGTTTCTTACGGAGGACGAATTTGTCATTTTTAGAATCGGTGAGTTGGTATGTTGGGTTTGATTGGCCGAAGCCGAATTGTTTGAGAGATATGGGCGTGCTGATTGTGGGAACTGAGCGCTCGATGTAGTGTTCTTTGCACCATCAGTATGAGGAAAGCGTATATATTCTTAAGAACGTGAGGGCTTACCTAAAGACGTGATATCAATTGGCTGCCTCACTGGACCTGCCATGTTTCAAGTCGTTTATGTGTACTGATCCGAACTTTTGGATGACTCTGTAACATTTGCTTCGATGTCTTGCTAGGACACTGGGAACGAAAAGTGTACGAACGCTGCGTCGCCGTCTTCTGGGACGGTTCTTAGCTCGTGTTCGAGCTCTACGCGCATGCGGCCTCTGGTAAGCGGTGCGCCGACGATTCGCGACATTGCCGCGAAGGTGTAGCTTAGGCCGAGGTGTAGAGGTGGAGCTACACTAGTGTAGCACTGAGCTCTCCGCAATACGCTAGGTAGGTCTAGGCTCGGGAGAGAATAACCGTGAGGTGGCTGTCACGTGTGATGATTCATTAGTGTGCATCTGGCCGAGCACAGGATTGGCACACATGGGATGCTTGACGTGTACGACTGAAGACTTTGTAGAGCTTCGGACGTATACAAAACGAAGAGCAGCTGATGACGGCACAACCCAAGCGTTATGACCTTGCAAGATAAGGATTCATATATACATGTCAAGGATGTTGTTCATATTATTACACTATACCCCAGAACTCCTCCGGCTCCAGATTCCACTTTTTGCAAAGCTCCTTGTACCGCGCCGTGTACCTTTCTGCTCTCTCCCTGAAACCCTGTGCGGTCTTCATCTGATCTCTTCCAACCTGATGTCTATGTGCTGAATCAGGTCCATCAGCTACTCTGACGAATCGTGCGTATGTCCAGATCTCAGGTAAGGGTGTATGTTGCGTCAGACCTTGTCCTCCATAAATCTGCATAGCTTCATCAATGACCTTGAGGAGTGCGTTGGGAACCATGATCTTGCTCTGTGCAATAGCATATCGGCCAGCCTTGTTGCCGTGCAAGTCCATGGTATCTGCTGCGTTGAGGACGACGAGTCTCATCGCGTCGATAGTCATGCGCATCTCCGCAATCCGCTCGATGTTGCTGTCGAATTCGCCGATGAACTTGCCACGGGGTTTCTTACGCGGCTCGTAGCATCGTACCAGTGCAAGCTCGTATGCACGCTCAGCCTGACCGATGAGTCGCATGCAGTGGTGAATTCGTCCGGGACCGAGGCGGCCTTGTGCAATCTCAAAGGCGCGACCAGGGCCCAATATGATGTTCTCCCTCGGTACCCGAACGTTCTCGTAAATGTATTCACCGTGTCCTTCAGGTGCCCAATCATAGCCCATGATGGACAGATTCCTCACTTGCTTCAGACCAGGTGTGTTTGCAGGCACTACCAATGTCGTGTGTCTGTTCCAGGGGTTCTTGTTGTTCGGATCGGAACAGCCCATGAGTATGAATATCTGCATCTCGTCGTTGTATTTGCAATTGCCGTACAGCTTGCGTCCATTGATGATAACTTCTTTGTCTGTGATTTCCATCTTGATCCCCACTTGTGTAGCGTCTGACGAGGCACGGTCGGGTTCAGTCATGCTGTATGCGGAGGAGAAGTCGCCGTTCATTAGAGGATGTAGCCACTTCTTCTTCTGCTCGGGTGTGCAGTATTTGGCAAGGAGCTCGATGTTTCCGGTCTCTGGGGCATGACAATTCAATGTCTGATTTTGTGTTAGCACTCGTCCCGTCGAAGATGCGGTTAATCTGGCTCACCTGAGCGCCCCAGTACACTCGACCCATAATCTCTGCACAGCATGAGTACTCGAGATTTGTCAACCCCGGGCTCTCTTCAAAATGGTTGGGCAGGAACAGATTGAACAATCCCTGTGCCTTGGCCTTCTTTCGCAGCTCGGTGACAATAGCGGGCGTCGTCCACCTAGCCTCCTTCAATTGAGCCTTGTAGATGCGCTCGGCTGGAACACATTCATTTTCGATCCAATCATAAACCTGCTGTATCTTCTCGATAGCAATCCGGCCGAGCTTCGCCTGGACCCATGGCGGGATGCGTGCAAACGCCGGGTTGCCCTCGACCTGGATGCTAGTAGCCATGTCGTCGCTGTGATTCTGTGAGTGCTATTCGGGGTTTAGTTTCGATTGATCAACAAGCAGTCTACAGAAGTGAGGATTATCTGGAGCGTTCATGGTTCCACTATGCCTAATGGGGCTCGCAGGCGTGAATGGGAAGGCCGAGGGTGTTGCGGGGATTTAGCGGATGTCTGGAAGACTTTAAGCGTGGGCTGGGGGAGCTTGGACCCTGGCCGTCCCGCACGCTAGCTGTCGGAACATCATGTCCACCATCACCTAGAGTTGAAACGGATGACGTCTGATTGGATGGGAAGTTGGTGAAGAGGACTTCGAAATGTTCGCGACGGAGGGGCATACGCTTCGACACACACGCGCTGGCCGACGATGACTTCTGAAGGCTTCGCGAAACCATGGGTAGAGGTGCGTAGAACCGCGCGATTCTTAATCCAGAGATACTGATGAATGGTAGTTCGAAGAGGAGTTTGGAGAGCGCCCATTGCTCCCCTTTGACTCTGTCGAAGAATGCCTGGAAGGCTTTGGGAAGATCGGTGCAAAAATGGTTTCCCAGTACACCTTCCCACCACCCGATCCTGCCGTAAAGATCGAGGACAGGACTATTGACGGTGATTTAAAGGTGCGTATATACACACCAGAAGGATATTCTGGAGGCAGACCGGTCGGTGTATACTACCACGGTGGAGGCTGGGCCATGGGCGACATAGACGGCGACGATTCGTTTTGCAGGTCTATCTCCAAGGGCGGCAACGTTGTACTCGTATCCGTTGAGTATGGCCTCGCGCCACAGAACAAACACCCAGGCCTGATAAACGACTGCTTCACGGGGCTTCAATGGACACTGAATCATGCCAAAGACCTAGGCGGCATCGATGGCAAGATATTCACGGCTGGTGTATCTGCAGGGGCCCAGCTTGCTATTGCGATAGCTCTAAAAGCACTTGATGAAGGACTGGGCGACTCGTTGGTTGGCGTGGTGGCTCAAGTGCCAGCAACTATCCATCCTGACGGTATTCCAAAGGAATTAAAGTCCAGATACACTTCTTACGAGGAGCACGCCAATCACACCATCGACACCGATCGAGCGATGCGCACGTTTTGGAGTCAGTAATTCCTCTACACCTTAAGATGTTAGCTGATGGTAGCACACAGAGGCTTTTGGTACCCCGCCTACTGACCCATACGGTTCACCGTTACTTCATCCGAAAATCAATGATCTGAAGAAAGTGTACTTGACAGTAGCGGGCCACGACACTCTACGAGACGATGGTCTACTATTCAAGGAGACGCTGGACAAAAACAAGCAAGCAATACTTTTTTCCGCGCTCGAGAAAATGCTAACACGCAAAGGGTACCGTATAAGTTCGACTTCTATGAAGGATATCCACACTACCATTGGACATGGCCATCTTCTAAGCTCGATAAACCAAGAGACGAGTACAACGCGAATCTTGCGAAAGGTGTACAGTGGGTGGTGTCATAATAACTCCGTGTATTTCGATAGAGACTCAATGCACCATCACTATCACAGTTGGCGATCTATCTCTTGATCACCTTTTTACCTTGCTTTGCCTATGTTCTCTACTATTTTCTCGATATGCGGATGACTCGCATCCTCCTTCCCGCCATTCTCAGTGTCCCTCATCTCTCCGTCAACGGCACTCTCTTCCGATGCTTCAAGATCTGTCATTGAATTTTCTCTGCGCGAAAACCCATATCTTTTCCGATGCTGTAACGAATCAAAGTCCCGCTCATTTCTCTTTCGCGCGTCAACTTTGGCCTTCGCCCACGCCAGAACGCGTCCTGCTCTCGTCCGGATATGAATATATCCTCGGTGGCTGCTTGCAAAACCTATGAGTGCAAACAGAGGAAGGCAGACTGCCACGAGCACAGTGCCAAATCTTGCAAAATTTGCATCCTCGGGCATGTTTGTCATTCCAAAGACACCGGTGATAAAGGTCAAGGGGAGGAAGAGAACACTAACGATGGTGAGGAGCTTGACGTTCTCGCCTTGCTGGACTGTTCTGCGACTTTCAAGGACGGAAGTGCCGTTGAAGAGTGTAGTTTGTAGAGAATTAATTTGAGGGATCAGCGCCTCGTTTGCCTCCCTGATATTTTCTAGTTCCCGTTTGACGTTTTGAAGATTGGTCTTGAAATATGTCATTTGTTCAACAGTGTGTTCAGACGGTGGTTGGCATCCTCTCTGTATCGGTTCCCCTAGATCATTTCGTGGGTAATTCGGCCATAGCGTTACAAAATGAGGTGAAGATCCATTCCAAAACCCCTCTAGCACCTCAATCATGGTTGATATGGAATGATTAATCATAGGCAAAACATGGAGTGCCCAGAAGTACCGTCTTGTCCAACTGAATGACGTATCATCAAACAATCGCTCATCCCGGAGTGATTCCTGGAAGATGAAGTCCTGGGACGGCGTCGCCAAGTGAGCGATTGTTTTATGAATCTCGTTGCAGCGCCTGACAGCGTCTTTGAATTCGGTAAGTACGGCTGTCAGAAATGCGTCTGTTCCATCAAGGAATTCAGATCCAGTTTCAAAGGCGTTGGGCGTTGCTCTCCAGTCTGGGAAAAACTGCAGATTCAACACTTGCCAGGGTGATTTAGCACGCTCTGTTCGACTTGTAACGAGAGATATTTCATCCAATTTCGTTGCCCACGGTCGGTTACCAAGCAATACCAATACTACGGCGGTGTTGCAGCGAGTCAAGCGAACTCCAGTAGCAGCGTGAACGTCCTCATCATGAGGCTGCCATTCCATAGGTTTGCAATCTTCACCGATAATTGTGTAATATGAGAGTGAGAAGGTGATTTGACTGACGTTGCCGTTACCTGAGTCTTTGCGGGTGTAGCTCTGCTATATCGTCAGCACATGTAATAATAAGCGAAAGTACCTACCGCCGAGGGCTCGTGTGCTCCGAGCACATGGAAGACTGAGTGCATGTCCATGAAAGGGCTGTGAGTGAAGTGTAAGGCAGCGAGAAGTATCGGCGAAGGCTCGCGAGCAATCCTACGTATGTCAAATATTTGTGTAGCTAGCTTTCACTTGGAGCACGCTCACGTGACTCTGCCTCTAATCCCAGTTGTCTTTAATCCAGAATACCGTAGGTACGGCGTATCCTATGCCCGAATCAGCCCCTTATGCGAATAAGACGTCAGAATCGGATCTTGGGTACACTTTACTTTGATATAACGCCATTGCTCCAGAGCCTTCGAGGTAGGCACATCGCTGTCAATCACTGCAGGTTCCGCCACCCCATCCGGAGCAACGTCGTACACTTGAAAGTAAGAGTAATGCGAGCGATCACTGGCTGGCCCAGGGCCCGTGGGGAATAGGCAACGCCGCTGAAGCAGGCGCTTGTCCGAGAGCACGTTCCCGAGCATTCGACGCTCAAGTCTTGTAAATATATGCGTTGAGAGGTAGTGGCGCAACTGTTCGTGACCAAATGTTCGATGAGGTAGAAATTGTGCTTCAGACCCGTCCAGCCCGCCATTATGATCCCTTGTACCTGTATGTGCGTCGCTCATACTGGACTGAATGTTTACTGCTCGCTGAATAGACCTGGCCATATATAATTAAGCGCTGGCTCGGACAGTGCGACTGTTGTATTTACGCGGCTGAGGGTGCATTGGGATAAAAACTGGCGTAGGCATCAGGATCTGTCGGAGTGTGGTTGAATAAGCGAATCAGCCCTCGTATACCTACCGCTACTGCACGAACAGACACCAGAGCATGCGAAGCATTCCTTAGCGAGAAGTAGACGCGAATTCACGAATCAAAACATTGCTGATAACTTGAGGAGCGATGAGAACTTTCGGCGCTATACCATTGTGCTCGATGCCGTCCGTGATATGTATTCCCGGCGTCTCCTCTACTGCAAAAGCAAACAAAAAGAACATTGGGAGATGCAATCGAAGTGGGAACAGTAGACAATGAACTTTTGGCCCGAAACCACCGCCTATAGAAGCTACTGGTAGAGTAGCACTTGTTGTACCTTTCGAAAGGCCTTCTCTGGAAATGAGCCCGCACCATCGCGATACAGCTCTATGGGGATCTACGAGTCTGCTGTACTACTCCGACCAAGGCAAAAACGGGAGAGCAGTAAAGTTGTCCTCCGTTGTGTCCCCGGCAATCTACCTCTGTTTTTGGACATTCTTCTATAGTGCCTTTGCTGTATGCATGATTCATGCATGTAGCGTGAAGAGCTCATATCGACTCATGCCGTTCTCCGAGCCCCGCGTCCGTCCCCGCGTCCCCGCGTCCCCGCGCGTCGCAAAACACGAAAGCGAATCATGGGTCAAGTTGCTGTATACAACCAGACGGGGTAACTTTTCCGTCACGCACGGTTGAAAGAAGCTCAGCAGTCCAATGGCTGGGCGCCCGTATGGAACCTCCATACATACCTGTACCGCCACGTTTGAAAACGACCCAATGTTAAATACTGCCACAGCCATCACAGTGCTCAGCACATGCAAAAGCTCACTTAGTTCGGTCTATCAATACTTATCAAGATGAAGGCTGGCCAATGGGATCCGTAAGCCATTTCCGCCTAGATTCCCGGTCATCACTCACGTGCAAACCGTAGGACAATTAAGAAGGTCGTCATCAACGACATACCGAAACCCACACCCAACGACAATCAGTTCCTCGTCAAAATCCAATCCGCTTCATTATGTCACTCCGACCTCCATATGGACATGCGGCCCGACTACCCCGCAACCTTAGGCCATGAAGGCGTTGGTTATATTGAATCAATTGGCAAAAGTGCTGAAGGCAAGGGTTTCAAAGTCGGTGACGCAATTGGCACCAACTATTTTATCGACTGCTGCTTCGAATGCGAGGGCTGCATGGTACACAATCTGCGCTGCGGTACGCAATGTCGGGGTACAAAGTGGGTGTTCATGTTGGGCGATTGTCTAAGACCCCGAGCGTTACACCTCTAAGTCTGAAAATGTTAGACAATAGCACCTGGCCAGAACACCTACTTCACCCACTTCCCTGGTTGCTGAACATTACACTGACTTTGTACCCCCACCTTTAGAGACGGGCAAGTCCAAATTGCAGGGTTTCGTAGTCGACGGCTTCTTCGCCGAGTATGCGGTCGTGGACTGGCAGAATGCAGTGCTGCTGCCGAAAGAGTTGGATATCTCGAGAGCGGCGCCGCTGTTTTGCGCGGGAATCACGAGTTTTCACTCTGTGGATAGCTGTGAGTTGAAAGAAGGGCAGTGGTTGGCTATTATTGGGTGTGGAGGATTGGGACAGTATGCCATCCAGTATGCTAAGGCGGTGAGCGATTTCAGTAGAAGTTCTGTCGCTGTTGGCTAATGGGGAATTAGATGGGCTACAAGACGATTGGTCTTGATATCAACGACTCGCAACTAGAGATGGCGAAGAAGGTCGGAGTCGATGCGGTCTTCAACTCCATGACGAACAAGAACTACGTCGAAGAAGTGAAGAAGCTCACAGACGGCAAAGGGTGTCACGCAGCTGCCGTCTACTCTGCGAGCAATGCTGCGTATGCAGGTGCGCCGGATATCCTCCGTGTTGGCGGCCTCATCATGGTCATTGGCATTGCACCGAAGCCTTTGGACTTTATCACTACATTTGATTTGACTACTGGGAGGTACCGCATCAAGGCAGACAGCACAAGCATCCCGCAGCGGATGAAGAAGGCTGTTGATTTTACAGCGAAGCACAAGTAAGTATGGCCCTAGTTAACGGACAACAGTGCTAACACTTTACAGCATCCAACCAGATGTAGAGTTCAACAAGATCGAAGATTTACCGCGTATGGTGGAGAACATGAAGCAGGGCAAAGCGGAAAAGAGGCAAGTCGTTATCTTCTAACTGGGACGCGTGTTCTCGTATTTCGTTACCCATATGTAGCGAAGCGTAAAAGTCATCGAGCCACTTATTGATTGATATCTCGGAAATAAAGGAAACGTTCGAGTCTTACTGATGTCCGCGGAACGAGAAGTGTGTGACCAGGCTAATGTTGAATTACTCTCAAAGATCAACATTGACCCTGATTCCCCGCACAACACCACTTTTAGCGGCCGGAAGTACAGACCCATTAGTATAGATGGATGGGGTTACCCAATTGAAAGGCAGTTTCATGCAATTGGACGAACGAATGGCATGTCAAAGTTTCCGGTCGATGCATTGGCTCAGAAGGATCGAGCATTCATACAACATCTTGTAGTACTTATATACATTAGCAGCACGCCTTGTAACTGTTCACTTATGCCGTGATCTTGAAACCAATCTTACACTTCTCCCGTACATCATCTTCTCTTTGGCAACCTTGCATCACCATGGTTCACGATAAAGTCAACCATAATTTCAGCGATTCCCGCTTTGAGTGGGACGCTGGGGAGAACTATCAGCCCTGCATCAAGCTCTCCTTCTTTTTTAAGAAGCTCCACAACGTCGACGATGACCATTTCCAAATGCACTACAACCACGTGCACGCCGATCTGACCGTCGCAGCGAAGCTATTCAATGTGGTGAAGATACAGAGATATGTTCAAACTTATCAAACACCGCAAATGAAGGCAAAGATCAAGGCGGCGGGGATGGAGGTCCTGGATTATGACGCTTGTTCGCAGATTTGGGTGAGGGAATGGAAGGATTGGGAGCGGTTCTCTACGAGTCCGGAGTATGCGGCTGGTAAGTGGAGTTGAATTGGTTGTGATCAATGGAGGTTGGCTGATATGGGCAGCGTTGCTACCTGATGCGGATCACTTCATGGATTACAAGACGAGTGGAATCAAGGTGTTTGCTGGGTGAGTCGTTCCATTTCTCTTGAGGAAAGAGACCAGATGGAAAGGCTGACAGAAGAATAGACACGATAATATCATCTTTGGAAAAGCAATTCCTGACTGTGATGCGACGGATGGCGTCACCCGCGATGATAGCCAGGATGAAGATCCTGCAAACATAAAGCGAGAAGACTCTCCTCAGGTCAAGGAGTGAACACTTGCGCCAGTCTCGCATTATATCCCCAACAACAAGTGAAAGACCTGCATTGCCCATATCGTGATTCACGATGCTGTCAATGGCGAATGGTTTACGAACGACCGGCCCTTCCACTGTTAAGCTTCTGATAACGATATGCAATCATTCGTTGAATGTACACATCGATGTCGCGCTCTACCACGCACACTCTTTTATGTTCCAGACTCACATCTACTCACTGAACGACCTGAATATCGAGCTTATGTGTGAATGTCGTAGGATAACAATAACCAGGAGCAAATGATACCCAAGTTTGGTAAGACCAGTGATTCCAACGATGGCTACCCCACGTTCCGGCTCCTGAATCCGTAATTTCTATGCTTAGACTATCTGGTGGCTAACTGACTTTCGACTAGCACGTGGTGAACCTGGAGAAGGTCTCCCAGAATGCGGGGATAGTGGACGCTAACCATCAGTATTACAACAGGAAAGATCTGCACTGTAACAGGCGATATACCGGGCCTGTAAAGTCCTTCGTCTGTTTCTTTCCTTCAGCTAAGCCTACTTTTCAACTATAATGATGGCTGCCGAAGAGGTTCACCATAGCAATGTCCGAGCTTCATCCCTCGAAAAGCCAGACGTTGAAAGGATCGATGTCGTCGCCTCGCCACCACCTACCGTCCTTCAGAATGGTGAAGGCGAATCCGTAATCATCACTTGGAAGACGTGGTTCGTAATCTTCGTGCTGTCCTCCACTTTCGGGCTCAGTTTCTGGCCTGTCCCAACTACAGCAGCCCTGCAATCGAAACTCGCCATCCAGTTCGGCGAGCCCCTATCCTCAGCTTGGTATGTTCCTGCATACACGACTGCAAATGCCATTGGCTTCCTCATCGCGGGCGCAAACTCGGACCTGTTCGGCAGACGATTGTTCTTGCTTTTTGGGAATGCGTGCTGTTGTGTTGGGTTCATCGTCACGGCTACGGCGGGAGGCGCTTCGCAATTCACTGCTGGATTGGCTATCACTGGATTTGGTGGCGGGTTCTGTCAAATGGCAATGTGTAATTATTGCCCCGGGTACGAAGTTGATATGTCTTAGACATAAACAGTTCGTGTTATCTCTAATTTTCTGACTGAACTGACTTTGTATCTGCGCGTCTAGGTAGCATACCTGAGCTTTTGCCAAACAAATTTCGACATATCGGCATCTGTAAGTACTTCCAAATTCCCTTTGGAAAGATTTGCTGACCATGGATCAACGTAAAAAGGTCTCAGTGATGGATTCGTCTTCGTAATCGTTATTATCGGCCCCGTAGTAGGTCGCTATGCTATCGACTCTGGTGGCTGGAAGTACATTTACTGGGGCGGCCTCGTTGCACAGTCCATCTCCTTAGCCGCCCTTTTTGCTTTCTACAAGCCACCAAAGCATCCCAAGGGCATTCCCTGGCATGAAGCTATCAAAGGTCTCGATTACGTCGGCAGCGCGCTCATCATTCCTGGAGTAATTCTCGCCCTGGTCGGCATCATTAACACTACATACAAGCCTAGCTCCGACCCTACCGTTATTGCGCCCATGATAGTGGGATTCATTATGATCGCGGCCTTCGGATGGTGGGAGACTGTGTCGTCGGTGCCGCACAAGCTGTGCCCGCCACACCTGTTCGCTAGTCATAAGGGAAGAGAGTTTACGGCGCCGTTCATTGTGGCTTTCATCGTCACTATGTTTTACTATAGTGTCAACATCATCTGGTAAGTTCCTCCTGTACTAAGCAGAAGTCGAGCTATTTCTACCCTTATCACCAGTCCTGCGGTAACGCAGGCACTCAACACCTTAATAGAGTAGTATGAGTTATAGTTGCGATGTTACTAACTTGGACCAGGCCTACTATGGTCAACGTATTTTATTTGACACCTACAACTTCGCGCACGACCGAGTTGCTACTCACTCTTCCTCCAAACGTCGGTCTGGTGTTTGGCGCCTGTCTCTTGATCGCTTTTGGAGGCGTCATCAAGCACTGGAAAAAGACTCTGATCTTCACTTGGACGGGGATGACGCTGTTTGGCGCTTTGATGGGTCTCTGCACTCCCTTCAACAAGGGTCTCATGATTGCGTTCTGCTGTATCAATGCCAGTAAGCATCCATCAAGCGCCTGTCCTAGCAACGAAGCTGACAAGTTTTAGCGTTCTTTGGCTGGGCTCAATATGAATCCGTCGCATTCACACAGCTCGGCGTTCCGCAGGAAGATCTTGGTTTCTCTGGCGGTCTTGCAGGAATGGCTCGATACGCCGGAGGCTCACTTGCAGTCGCGATTTACACGACCATCCTTACCAACACACAATCAACACGCGCAGCAGCTACCCTCCCAGCAGCAGCGATTTCTGCAGGCATGTCACCTGAGAACGCACAGAAGCTACTCGCCGCTTTCCCACTGGGAGCGACAGCCATAGCAGCTGTGCCAGGAACAACACCAGACGCGCTGGCCGCGGCAAGCTTAGCGTTCCAGTGGAGCTATGCGCATGGCCTGAAAATCGTTGCATTGAGCAGTTTGAGCTTTGGGCTGTTGGGTCTGCTTTGCTGTTTCTACTGTGAGGACTTGGGGCCGAAAATGACGAACAAGACGGAGGTGTTTCTGGAGAACGATATCAATGCTGAGAAGAATGTGTATCATTAGTGAAGTTATTCTCAACGTACGCATTTAATAGCTTAGTCTAGAAGGACTTGGTGTTGAATGAAGCCATTCAGACTTGTTCCATTTATGCTCAAAGAATGCGAGCGTGCCACATGACGACAGAGCAATTTTTCAGCCTGCTTTTACTATTTCCTTGTCGCAGCGAAAACGACTGCTTACTTCGTGATTTTCCAAATTGCAAGCGTCGCCGAGTCATAGTTCGCTCCCTGGGAGCATATCTTGACTGTGCGTGCATAATGTGACGAGGGCAGCTTCGTGCCGTTCACCCTAACACGATTCATGTGCAGTGCGGGGTGAACACCACGCGACTCGCGCTAGAAGCGGAAATCCATGATACACTCTTCCAACCCCCCACCCAGACGTTCGGAAACACCTGGGCAACGTCGGGTATCAATTTCCAGACGGTCCGCGCGCGGGGGCAAAAGCGAGTCATCACCAGTGTACAAAGTTTACAATCCTTGACGGTGCGTGCAGACAGACGAGGCGCTAAAGATACCCTGGTAGCGTCGATCTGTTTACACGGTGGTGGCGGGGTATGGAGAAGATTATGCAGCTGCAGCCGCTCCCGCGGGGTAATGAACTGGTTGGGGATTGACTTAGCGGAGATAACGTTGCAGGTGCATGATCAGTACAGCATAGCACGAATATACTCCGACTTTTTATCAATACTGTTGCGCTGTTCCATACATTTGATCATCAGCAATGTCGAAATCTGCGCTCGTCTTCGGCGCGTCCGGCGTCACTGGCTGGTCTTTCATCAATGAGATCTTGAACGACTATCCAGAGCCCAAGATCTGGAAGCGCGTACACGCGCTCACAAATCGTCCGCTTTCACAGGAGCAATCACAATGGCCGAGTGATTCGCGATTAAACATTGTATCTGGGATCGACCTTCTCGAGGGCAGCCAGGAAGAACTGGAGAACAGTATTAAGCGAAAAATTCCTGAAGTATCTGAAGTCACACATGTTTACTACCCTGGCCTACAAAGCAGGTACAGACATGCAAAAAGAACTGGAGGAAGCAGTAGCTATGTTCAAGCGAAGCACACTCGCCATGGACCATCTTAGCCCAAAGTTAGAATTCTTGGTTTTGCAGACCGGCGCAAAGATGTGTAAGGCCTCTCTCATTTATACGTCGTCTAAATCTAACCTCTCCCATAGACGGTTGCCATCTTCTCGAAAAACACCCCACAGACTACCTCCACGTTCCACACAAAGAGTCGCAGCCACGCCTCAAACAGCCCTACCATGACATGCTCTTCTACCATCCACAGCTAGACTGGGTCGCGGACTACACCAAAGACAAGAAGTGGAAGTGGATCGACACGCGGCCCGACATAATCATCGGCTTCGTTCCGAACCAAAATTTCTACAGTCTAGGTGACCTCCCTGTTTTCCAATTAAGATCAGTCAGAATCCAAACTAATGTGACAAATAGGCACCGTAATGGCAATCTACCTCTCCCTCTGGCGCGAAATCCACGGCCCCAACTCCTCCGCGCCCTTCCCAGGCACTGAGAAGAGCTGGAAAGCCCTCAGCAACGACAGCTCCTCGGATATGATCGCACGCCAAACCCTCTATCTCTCCCTTAACCCCAGCAAGATTGAAAACGGCGGCGGGTACAACGTCGCCGACGCGAAGGAGCCCTCTTCTTGGAGCAAGAAGTGGCCGGCACTATGCTCCTACTTTGACCTCAACGGGACCGGCCCAACATCCGACCCGCCTGAGATGCGGAAGTTCATCAAAGACAACATCGACGTGTGGAAAAGATTGGAGAAGGAAAAGGGGCTGCAGACTGGGCATGCGGATAGCGAGAGGACATTTTCTGGATTCGAGTATTTCTTGATGACTCAATTTGATTTTGATAGACAATATGATATGAGCAAGACGTATGCGACAGGATTTAGCGAAGAGAGGGATACGTTGGAGGCCTGGAGCTTAGTGTTTGACAGAATGAGGAAGGCGAGGATTATACCGTAGAGGGGAGATTCAATGAAGCAGCATACGTTGCCAATAGAGAAGAGGACGAAAGGGCTGATCGGACGCATATCCAACGCGTACTGCCTGTGTGTGATGTGGATGCTCGTACTGAACGAGATCAAACTGCTTGAGTGGTACATCACTGCAGTAGAGACTTTCGTCGAGGTATAATCGTAAAGCATTGTCTTTCAATAATGGTAACAAACTATAACGCTCAGCAAATGTTCCACCCAACGAATAATATCCAATAACAATCTGCCATTCAAACCCTCAATTTAGCATACTCCCAAATCCCATCCCATAGGCCCCCTGCTGCGGCGGGAACCCATCCAAATCACTCCCCACACCAACCCCATGCCCTGAATTCCATTCCCTCCCAAAATCACCGCCTGCGTCACCCAAACTCAAAAAGTCTAGATGCGTCATATCGCCACCATCGGTCAACCCGTTCATCTCAGGGAAATGCACATTCGCTAGGTTGTTGATCGCATCTGAGGTGTCGAGCTCAGCGCCCATCCACGCATTCCGCGGTCCACTGGTCGACAGCGCAGCCGAAGACCCCGTAGCAAGAGAGTGCGACAGGTCCGAAGCGTTCTCTGATATCGGCGGCCAGGCGGAGATCTCTGAGCGAGGCGTCACCATGATGAACCCGTCTGAGCGTTCAGACTCTGTATCCCAGCGGTGAGGCTTTATGGTGAGATCGATGTTGGTGACGTTGGATGCCATGCTCATGCTTCGTTTCTTACTAGAGCCAGTACCAGCACGTGGACGGCTCATTTGTCGCTTTTTGTACATGGGGAGGTCTGTGGCATCGTTTGTGGAGCCGCGCCGGGCTGGGACGAGCGCAGATTTGGGCTTGTATAACTTGAAGTCATTTGCAACAGGTCCGCCGCGGAGCTCGATCATTACAGCACGTAAGACCACGGCCATACGTTCGGCTGGCTGGTAAGTTACGGCCATGTCGTTGAGTGCAGCGGAGAGGCATTCTAGGTATTGCATGTTGTTGTTGCGATCGTTGGGGTCTTTGATGAATGCGAGAGCGGCCACAAGAGCGGTGGCAGCAGTACCCTAGGTTTATTAGTCATTGTTCTGGCAACCAAGAAAATTCATCTTACAGCATGCTGCAGACCTGTGACAAAGATCTGCTTGGTGTCGAAGCGCTGGCGATGCTGCCAGAAGATCCTCGCTACCCGGATAGCGTGCTTAGTGCACACCGTCCTCGACAAAGCAGAGAAGTGATCATCTGGACCATTCCCCTCGTAATCCTGACTACTCTGGTCATCGTACATAGCAAATGGCCGATGAAGCAAAATAAGGGAACTATGGTATTGCTGATGCAACAGGAAAAACGAAAATGGTGCTGTTGCAATATTCGCAGGTGTCCAGCGAAGCTGCTCTGGGAGCCGAGCATACCATGTGCTAAATTCGCGGTCTAGAGCTGCCATACGGAGATACTGATTACGGTCGACAATGGATTCCGTGTTCTGCCTCAGTGGATCCATATTCTCTGTGATCTTGCCAGCGAGTTCCATGAGATCGATGAGTGCTTCGTAGATCTGCGTTTCTAGGCTCTTCTCCGGGCCGACGGGTTTGCATGTGCCCAGGCGCTCAAATTGTTTAGAAAGGCTGTAGATCTCGAGATCGGAGTTCTTCATGCCTGTGGGTCGGCCGAGGAATAATGCCCAGTATCTGCTTCTGTAAGCATTTGTGTCGCATAGATGATGAGAAATTTGCTTACTTATCGTACATGACGCATGCCCACAGAGTCATCTGTCGGATCTCTACTTCTAGCTGTGGAAGGCCAGACAATCGCGAGTCAAGATGCAGGCCAATATCGAAAGCAAGACGAGCAGCTAGACCAGAGTAAAGCCAACCCAGATTATCGCGGCCAACTATTCCACGTTAGCTTTCCAGCCTGCCATATGTCACGATACCACTCACCTCCGCACTCGAGATCTCCTAGCAGCAGCATAGAGACCACCGTCGGAATGCCACCAGGTCTTTCCAACTCATGATCGAGCATATACTTCGCTTCTCGATGCAGCGTACTCTCCATCTGCGGTAGCGAGATCTTCTTGATATCCGGGCGCTCCTTATCCGCGTGTCTAAAGCCAATCGCCAACACACAAACGTGCAGGAAGCCCGAATAGAATTGCGTCCGGCCGGCCTCTCGATCTTGCTCAAACGCATCCTGGTGCAGCACATGAATCACAGTGTTGTAGCACGTCCAGAACATGTCCATGAGATAGTCGTATGTCTCCAATGGTAACGATCTAATGATTTTCTCGGCTCGGCGTGCTTGCTCAGACAGCTGCTGCTCAGAGTCCATCGGGTTGCCGTGCTCCGAGTGTACGTGACAATTCGTTGTAGGTCCGAAATATCGTAGTCGGCCGCTCAGCTGGTCGAAACTGAGATGTCCTCGCGTGGAAAGCAGCCTGCTCACCATGCCGTCTCTTTTGGGTGGTGGAAGCATAGATGGCGAGCCAGCGCTCTCGGCCTCTCCATAAGGACTGGGGATATCATGTTCGATGTGCTCAACCTCTCCGTACTGTTGTGGGCTCTGCTGGCTGCCTGGACTGGATCGGTCTTCTTGGTTCTGTTGCCCATCTGGCTTCCGATCATTTGATGGTTCACCTTCTTGTGGAGCGTGACGGGTCCTGGGTGGATGCTGTGCAGGTGGCGCTTCGACGCCCTGTTCTTTCAGCATGGTTTCTAGCAGCGCAACCCGATCCGTGAGGCTGCACATGTATGCTCTGGAGATTGGTCTAGAGCCTGTCAGCCAACGCGGCTCATTAGGCGGGCGTAAAAGTACCGTCTCCGCTCATCATCGTTCTTAATCACGCATTCTACGCCTGATCTTTTGCATTGTGTGCACTCCTTTTCGCCTGGAGGTACGACGCACTGTCACGTATCAGTAGCGATACCTGACGAGACTAGATGGAGCGTACCCGAATGCGCCGATCTCGGCACGAAGCACAAGCAACTGAAGCTCTGTGTCGTGACTTCTGCGGCTTTGCTTGCTGTGATCCGTTCTGATTTTGACCCTCAGTCGTCTCGCCCTCTGTCTTCAAAGGGCTATTCTTCGATCGTTGCTCAACCGAATTTGTGTTCACGTCTGCAGTCATGATCTCTGTCATAGCTGTTGTTGATCTAGGTATCGTGTAGAATCCGAAGACACACGAGGCGGTCAAAGGTCAAGAAAGGGGAAGGAAATTGCGGGGAATCTGGGGAAGCATGCACGGAGGGTAAAACATGGAAATAAAGCATTGTCCATTCAGTTCGACATGGGCTCCTAGACTTAGCCTCGCACGCTTGACCGAGCTAGCGAGCTGCTGGTGATGCGGCGTGGCCTGATCCATGGTTAACGCGGGGTCCCACCTCCACATGGTCAGTGTCAGTCCGTATGTCGAGGATGTGTCTGTCTTCGGCTTTCGCGAACACCAAAAGTGGTGTGCGGTTCTCGGCCGGAGCCGGATGCTCGGTATCTAGCCCACCTTCAGCGTGAGCCACAAAACCCTGAGATTGCCGTAATAGGACAGCTTCCCCACGGGCAACGCAGAAAGCTTCCCTCGAACCGAACTGAGGCGCATCCTGGCTACCGAATCATTTCTTGTTTGTTGCAGGCATCTGCAGGGCTGGTGCATCATGAACAAGGTCACAGGGAGCGTAGAAATGTCACAGGTCGCCTGCTCGAGCGAAGAAGACGTAGGGAACCCAATCAAAGTCACTCAGGGGCTGTGCCGGCGGCCCCAAGCCATGGATCTGGATGGAATGCGTTGCCGCTAGAAAGCTAAAAAAGCAGAGGATGCGAGCACGAGTCGTGCGGAGGAGGGAGCTGACCGCATCCGGGGTGGATCGTAGTCAGGTTGCGATCCTGTGGGGATCGACACATACGCGCATGCACGCCCTGGTTCGTCCTCTCTTTGTACGGTGCGGAGTCTCGGAGGAAAGCGGTTCGAGCCAAGAACGCCCAAGCTGCCTCGCACGCATTAGTGATTCAGCGCTTCGCTATCTTGCATATGCGGCATTTACAGCCACAACAGTCAAATAAATCATGTGTAGACTGGTCGTATTGAGCGTATTGATTGCAAATGGTACCTCGTAAAGCTACTGAAACAAGAGGATGCTATCGAAATCGAGCATGCTAGTGCGTAGAACAAACACCGAAAGAAATGCTACGATGGGAATCTGAAGAGCGGTCTCTGAGCAAAGGGTGGCGACCTGGACAATGCGGGGAAAACGGAGCTAAAGGCAAGGCAACAGACAGGCGAAGACCCCCAATGACGGCTCGGTGGAACACCGGTATGCCTAAAGTGTATTAAAAAAACCGATACGCGCTTATCGAGGCGAGGGGGTTACGCGACGCTCCACTCGTGGTCCGAGTTCCTGATGTAGACACTCAGCCCTGGAATGTCTTTCTCAACTGTCGCCTTGACGTCTCCGTTGCCCAAGAACGCAAACCTGTTCTTGTAGCGATAGTTGTAGTCGTAGTCCTCCCATCGCGGGTCTTTGATCGTTTTAAGGAAGTGAATTGTGGCACCCGGCCAGAGATAGATCCTCTTCTTGATCTCGCCGTCCTTGAACCAACTACGGCACTCTTCTTGCCACACTGTGTTCCCGTGAAATTCGTCAAAGTGATCATAAATCGCATCTAATGCATCCTGCTTGACAGCCATCGCCTTGATACCCTCGTGTTGCATCTTTCGCATGCACTTAATTGAGTATTCGACGGTGGTCTCGATCGACGGAAGTAACGTGCCGTTAGACCAAGTAGCACCTGGACCAACAATGGTGTAGTAATTAGGGAATCGAGGTGCGCTAACGCCGAAGTACAGGTTCGGGCCCTTAGTCCAGTCCTCTTTGATCGACTTGCCTTCGCCGTTGATGACAGTGAAAGCGGGCTGGAAAGCGACCTGGAAACCAGTGGCGCACACCAGCCTATCAACCTTGTGAACAGTTCCGTCCACAGTTTCGATACCTTCGGGCACCACGCGCTTAATACCCTCAAAGATAGGTGTCACATTGTCCTGCACCAGTGACTCGAGGAAACCATCACCAGGCGAAATTCTTCGGCAGCCAGGAGCAAATTTCGGGGTGATGAATTTCTTGAGATCCTCGTGGCCAGGGCCCATACGTCGGTGCATCTCTTTGGTGATGACATCCCTCATTGTGTTGGAAAGCTCGGAATTTTGGATATACATGCCGAACAAACTATTGATTTCCGCTTCAATGCGCTTTCGGAAATCAAGGTGGTACTCTGGATCATCGCGAAACTTCTTCATGTCTGCTTCAGTGAAGTTGTACTGGCGCTGCCCGGGGTCGACATCCTGGCCCTTCTGTAGATCATTGGTGAGAGCACCAGCACCGAACGGCGGAGAGATCCATGTTGGACTTCGCATAAAGACTTTGACGTCCTTGCAGATCTTTTGGAGCGCAGGTGTGATTTGTACACTGGTAGATCCCACACCAATGATAGCAGTTGACTTGTCCTTGAATTCGACGCTGTGGTCCCAGTTGGCAGAATGAAGAATTGGTCCCTTGAATTCATGGAGGCCTTCAATCTCCGGCCACTTCCAGGTGTTCAAGATGCCTTTGTGTCATGGTCAGTATACAATCTATCCCATGAAGAAAGAGTAGATCCATACCACTGCCGTTGACCAACACGTGTGACCATTCTTTCCGCTGCTCCTTCGTTTTTGGGTTCTCAACGATCAAATTGTAGATACCCTCCGATGGGTCCCATCTCGCCTCGACGATTTTGCTGTTCAATTGCATGTACTTCTTGCTTCCTGGTCACGCGTTAGATGGTAGCCATGGAGCAGAAAAGAGGGGCGGTGAGCCTCTGCTGCGCCAAATCTGGAAGAACATAGAGTGCACAGAGTCCGTATCAGAACCGTGACCAAATATTGACCGACGTACCGTGCCGTTCCGCGAAATTCTCAAAATAGCCCTGAATCTCCGCGCCTGACGCAAAGAACTGCGTCCAATCTGGCTTGGGATCCCAGGTGAAATTGTAGTCGTGCGAAGGGATATCGCAGGCGACGCCAGGGTAAGTGTTCTCATACCAAGTTCCACCAAACATTGAATTCTTCTCGTAGAGCGTCAATTCCCATGACCCTGGAACAAGCATCTTCTCCATCTTGTAGGCCAAGCAGAGGCCAGAAGCCCCAGCACCCACGCATGCCACTCGTAGCTTGCTAGGCTTAGAGTGGTACTGCTGCAGGATTCTATATTCGCCTTCTGGGTTCGCTGGTGGATAATCGTACATGTTGGCGATGCCATTCACGCCATTGATGGGCGTAAGCAGCTCCGAGGGCGCCATTGTGGGCTCTGTCTTAGAGGACGCGTTGGACGAGACGTCCAGAGTTTTCGAGGTGGTGGAGGCAGTAGGAGCGCTTTTCTGCTTCTCGCGCCTCTCGTCTTTCTCGCCCTTGTCGCGAGGAGGGGTGAGACGGATGAAGGTAGATAGTCGTTTGAGCATGACAGACAGTGGCGCACAGCTTATAAGACGAGCAATGAACTAAAGCACTCAGACCACCAGCGCATGACGATCAGACTTGCGTGCTGGAGTCTTTAACCGTTCCTCGGGGCCACGCAGCTGTGCTCAACGGTAACTCGTGTGCAGGGCCATCGGAAGCACCCTGCGAGCTCTGCTTAACGGCATCCGCAAGCTTGGGGGTCTGAGCATGCCGGCGCCATCTTTAGAGGCTCTGGACTTTGCCCGATAGCTTCCAGCCGTCGAAAACGCGTAGCGCACAGTGCATTACTCGCGGACTATGGGGTATCTTTTCGCTGTGGTGGCAGACGCGGAAAAGCAAACGCGGGGTCGGAACGCGCTGGAGGGGTCCAGCGCATCGAGTTCCGATGTCACTTCAGCGGCTCTCATTGGCCGGGTGAGTCGGGGGTGGTCATCAATAAATTGCGATGCTGAAGTGAGATTGATGGTGTATATCGAGTCGAAGGATAGCTCGAACAGTTGTTGTGCGACGAGAGGGAAGACGCACGAATCATGCGCAGGACTGGGGGGAAGTCGCAACACGTTCTCACGAGACTGCGCGCAAACAACACAGTGTATCTACTAGCATTTGGTTGTTGACTTGGGAGCATCAGTTGGGCCAACCCGAGATCTTGAGTTTACTGTCTATCGTTCGGTCACACGAACGAAGAGATGTGGATCACAGCGATGCAAGGTAATTGTAGATTCTAAAATGACATCGTACGTCTTACAGCTTCGCTTTCGGCCTCACCCCGCTCATCATCTGAGCATCTCTCTTCGCCCACTCCTTCACCAGCGCCCTCTTGATCTTACCCGACTGCAGTTTCGGCACCTCATCGACGAATTGTATGCCACCGACCAGCTGTTTGTGCTTCGCGACCTTCTCTTTCATGTACACGTGAATATCTTTCTCCGTCACCTTGCCCTTGTGCTCGTCCTTCAGAGTGATGTACGCACGTGGCCACTCCTGGCTATCTAGCGTGATGCCTACGGCTGCTGCGTCGGCAATAGGGTCGTATTCTAGTAGCACCGCTTCGAGTTCTGCGGGGGCGACTTGCAGAGCGTTGACTTTGATGAGTTCCTAGCACGAAGTGATCAGCACGTGTATCACGTTCATCATGTGTAAGCTTGCATACCTTCTTACGGTCCACTATCCAGAACCAGCCCTTTCTGCAGACGGCAACATCGCCAGATCGTAGCCAGCCGTCCGGCGATAGGGTCTCTTTGGTGGCATGAGGGTTGCGCCAGTACCTTAGGCAGATATTTGGACCTCGAACATAGAGTTCGCCAGGCTGACCATCCACCACTTCCTTGCCATCGTCGTCAAGAAGCATGCACTCGCAGTTGGGGTCGAGCTGCCCTACGCTTCCGGAGCTATATGCTGTCAGCTTGTCAAACTTGATTGAGTGATGGGTACACTCACTCATCAATGGTACCACCTGGCACATGAATGGCACCGCAAGTCACCTCCGTCATTCCCCAGCCTTGGACGATCTCGCAGTCTAGCTTCCTGCTGATTTCTGTCTGCAATTCCTTGCTCAGTGGCGCCGCACCGCAGAGAATATCCGTCACACTACTCAAAACGTACTTGGCCGTTTCCGGCCGCTTGCTAAGCATGACCATGATCGGTGGTGCAATCTGTAGGTGAGTAACCTTCTGGTCCTGTATTGTCCGCAAGAACGCCTCGTACTGGAATTGCTTCATGATGTAGCAGGGTACCTGAAGCTTCTGCGCCATCGCAATAGTGTATAGTTGGCCGTAGGCATGGTACAAGGGTAAGAATCCTACCCAAACTTCGCGCGGTCGATTGGTGTGGTTCCAGGGCTTTTTCAAGTAGCGCATGTATATTGTTTGTTCCAGATTTGCGACGAGATTGTGGTGGCTGACCTCGACGCCCTTTGGTAGGCCAGTGGTTCCCGAGGAATAATTGACTGTTGCAGTGGTGGTAGTCGACTCCTTCTCGGACAGCCGAGGGAAGTTGTATGCATCCGCATCTTCTGCTGATGGCAAAAACTCTCTCCAGTCACGGCAGTCTGCTGTGGGCGTATTTGGCATGTCTGAAAATAAGAAAATGCGGCCATCTGGCAGACCTGACTTGCGCGCAGCTGCTACGGCATTCTTCGCTAAGGAGGGGTGTGCGAGGATTATTGATGCTCGGGTATTCGATATCTGGTGCTTCATTTCTACTTCATGTCAGCAGGAACCGAACAAGTTGCCTTTGTGTAGGGCTGGTCAAAGACCGACCTGATATTGTGTAGGCGGGATTCGCTCCGCTGAATATTCTCTTTGATCCCACAATACCTAAATAAGCCACGGGAACAAAAATGTGGTTTGGCGTAAAGATCATGACTACTTCTCCCTGCTTCACTCCGAGGCGATCCAAGCCAAGCGCAAGCCGCTTCGACCATTGCAACAGTGTCCGCGATGTGAGGTAGTGGCCCGTGTCTTTCGCGTCAATCCATATCGGCGTCTCCGCCAGTGGCTGTCCTTTTGGGTACAGATACTCCAGCAAGCTACATTTCGGAATGTCTAATGTCGGAAATGGGCTTGAGAAAGGCATTTTTGCAATTGGGAGATAATGACCTAAGAGAAAGAAGTTTCGGGTTGGGTAAGTTGCGGAGCCAAGGTCACCACAATGCAACAGGTTCCAGTAGTAGACTGAAGCGTGATCATCTTGCTGTTGCAACTTTAAAGCGCAGTGACAATTGTAGTGGGTAGCTCGCTGCAACAGCCGGGGAGGTCGGCGGGGCACCGACGTTGGAGCTAGGGCCGAGGATATCGATCTCCACGCACCGAGCTACCCCAGCTTTCTGCTACCTACCCCAGCCAATATGTCGCCGACCATTTGCAGACTTCAATACTTGTTGATAGCGAGAGTGTTTGTAGGAGAATAGCATATCATGTCTGATCTTAAGAACTTCGATCGCATGTTCCGCCTCGATGGCAAGGTTGCGCTGGTGACGGGCGGATCAAGAGGTATGGGGCTCCACACCGCGACGGCCTTCCTGCTCGCAGGTGCTAAGAAGGTATGTCGGATCCACAGTCAAAACGGATATCGAGGCGAAATGCTAAATGTCGCTGTCAGGTCTTCGTATCCGCACGTAAGAACGAAGGCGCTCAGGGCATCGACCAAGCCGTCGAGAAGCTCAATAAGCTGCCCGTCTCCGGACAGGCGATTGGCATCGCGGCGAACGTCGCAGACACAGATGACATCGCGCGGCTGGTGAAGGAGGTCCAGAAGACAGACGACAAGCTCGACATCTTGGTGTGTAATGCGGGCGCAACATGGGGAGGTCCGTTCGACCCGACACCAGACTGGGGCAGTAAAAAGGTGCTGGATCTGAACGTGCGGGGCGTGTTCAACCTGGCGAGACTGTAAGACTGCGTCACGTTGGTTGGAGTGATGGATGGCTGACGCGAACCAGATTCGCACCGTTGCTCGAGAAGGCAGGCACGCGCACAGACCCCTCTCGCATCATCATCGTCTCGTCGACTGCAGGCACCACCGTCCCACACGTCGGCGAACATGGCACAATCATGTACAGCGTCTCCAAGGCTGCTGCGCATCACCTCTCACGCCAGCTCGCAGTGGAGCTTGGCCCGCGAAACATCACAACCAACACGGTCGCTCCTGGCTTCTTCCCGTCGAAGCTGGCCAACGGCTTGATCGAGAACCTTGGAGGGCAAAAGTCGCTGGAGGACCACAACCCGCGTAAAAGGCTAGGAGAGCCCGAGGATATTGCTGGTGTCATGGTATACTTGGCGTCGCCCGCGGCTTCCTATGTGAACGGAGAAGACATTGCAGTCGATGGAGGCGTTCGGTTTGCAGCAGGGCGGCAATCACGGTTGTAGATGTACGCATCATGACATGGGAGTCAGAATTTCACCTCTGGGCATATTTTGGCATAACGTTGATTCATTATTTTTCTCCGCACAGTCTGCATGATCTCTTTCCGCACCAGGGCGTCGCACATTTCATCCTCCGACTTGCGGCACGTGTAATTATGTCCCATTTGTCTGCGCCTTCGTCTTCTCAATTCTCGCTAGCTGATTCTCCATGGACGTAAACTTCATCATAGCCTCCATCTCCGAATCACAAAACTTGTTCTTTTCCCTGAAATAAAAGTTATTCCTATTCACCTCTACCGTCAAACCATACGCGTCCTCGGCCTTGATCTTCCTGCCAGTCGAATCTTTCAAATCACCTCCATCTATGACAAGCGTGACAGCCTTGACGAGCGTAGACATTGGCGTAAAGTACTGCTCAGGGAAACTCTTCCATTCCTCTCCAGACATCAAATTTGTCTTGATAGTACCCGGCGCAGTCGCATACGTTCTGATACCCTCAAGGTGGTACGAGAACGAGATGGCCTTGTTGAATTGTATGACACCAGCCTTCGCCGCAGAGTACATGGGGCAAAACTCGGATGGATACAGCCCACCGCAGCTGGCTGTCATGACCAGTGCGGGGCCAGGACCGTCTTCTTTTGGTGACTTGCGGAAGTAGTGGAGCGCTGCATAGCATGTGTTCACGACAGCTTTCAGGTTGATCTCGATGCTTAGCAGGTTGGCTGATGGAGGCGGTCTGCTCAGATCGTGCTTCTCGTAGAAATTGTCGCGCTCGACTATGCCTGCGTTTGCGAAGACGAAGTCTATCCTACCAGACGTGGAGAAGGCGGATTCGAAGGCTGATATGAGGCTGTCGTAGTCGGTCACGTCTGTCTTGTGGAAGTATGCGTTCTTGAGTGACGATGTCACGGTCTTGCCGGCGTTTTCGTTCAGATCAACTAGATGGAGGTCCCAATCCTCGTTGGAACGGGAGGCCAGGGCTTCGGCGACAGCGAGGCCCATCCCCGAGACGCCACCTGTGATGAAGGCGGCTGCTTTCCTCGCCATAGTAAAGGCTTCTACTTGTCAGGGTATCTGGAAAGGTTCGAGAGGAATGAGCAGATGCCCAGAATCCTGATCAACAATGTTCTTGAAAGCTAAGTTGTCCTCAAGGTGTAAACGTTGCGCTATGTATCATTTGCTCGGAGAATCGTGAGTCTTTCTCCGCACTGTGATGGATGGGAAGGAACGCTTCTTCCGGGCGGGAAAGAGGGGCTCATCGTCCCTTCTATGTTGATGTTGTCAACGTGCGACTTTGCAGTGTTGCTGCGCCTTCATCCTTCCAGCGAAGACTCCACCACCAATTTGTTTGACCAAACCCTTGTCGCCTTCTGTCTTGACCTTGGATCGCATCAGACCTTTCGGAACTGCTTCGGAACGAGGATGGAGTGCACTTTCCTGTAGACATGCACACGACGTCATGCACTGCGGAGACCCCAAAGAAGTCGACTCGTGTAGCGCGATTGGCGCGCAGTTAGCGTTTCGGTTGCGTGCGGAAAACAAACCGCGAGCGAGTTGTGCCTCACCCGAGCAGCACCTTGATGCGCGCCACGCCGCGAACTCCACTCCAAATGGAGCCGGCTTGGGTTGCAACCGCGGCCAGTGCGGTATGCACACCGATCATGTTCGGACTTAAGACCTTGAAAATTGACAATTGGCTGCTTGATCAAAGGCGATTAGACGGTTATACCCCTCCACTTCCCCACCTTGTGAGCTTTTGACAAGTTGCACACTTCTCAATTCTTCTTTTCTCAATTGCTGCGTGCATCCACCTTGATACCCATACCATGTCTCTTGCGTACTCAGCCAAGAACGTTCCCAAGCAGGTCTTCATAAATAATGAATACGTCAACTCGAAAAGCTCAAAGAAGCTTTCGCTGTATAACCCCACAGATGGTTCGTTGATCTCAGACGACATACCGCTCGCTGGAGAGGAAGATGTCGACGCAGCAGTTGCCGCTGCCGAGAAGGCTTTCGTCGGGTGGAAGAAGACTAGCCCCACCGAAAGGCGCAATATCATGTTGAAGTTTGCAGAGCTCGTCGAGAAGAATGCTGAATCCATTGCGGAACTCACACGTGTGTCGCTTGGAGCGCCATACAAGGCTTTTGGAGCTTTCGAGATCGGGCTATGCGCAGAAGTACGTCCATGCTACATTTATCTTAGCCATTCCGATTCACAAGCGGTTTGAAAACTAGCAACTGTACTGACACCTGTGTAGACTTTCCGATACAACGCCGGCTTCATCGACAAGTTCGGAGGAGAATCATGGCCACAGGACGACGGTTTCCTCAAGATCGTGCGCAACGAGCCTCTCGGTGTCACTGCGGGAATCGTGCCATGGAATGGCCCTATTGGAACCATCGGTCTCAAGGCCGCACCCGCACTCGCGACAGGAAACTGCTTCATCTTGAAGCCATCAGAGAAGACACCTCTCTCTTCACTCGCTCTGGGTACCCTGATCAAGGAAGCCGGGTTTCCACCAGGTGTTTTCCAGATTCTCTCTGGAGATGGAAGCACCGGTGCCATCATTGCAAGCCACATGCGCATCCGCAAGGTCTCTTTTACAGGATCAATTCCTACTGGCAAGAAGATCCAGGAAATGGCTGCAAAGTCGAACCTGAAGCGTGTAACGTTGGAGCTCGGCGGCAAGTCCCCCGCCGTGGTATTCGATGACGCAAATCTCGACAATGCCGTCACGTGGTGCGCCAACGCCATCACCGCCAACACCGGCCAAGTGTGCTTCGCTGCCTCGCGTGTCTACGTGCAAGAAGGCATCTATGACAAGTTCATCGAGGGCTACAAGAAGGCAATGCAAGCCAAGAAGAGCGAGGTCGGTGACCCAGAGAAAGAGGGTGTCAACATCGGCCCGCTCGTCGACGAAGCGCAATTCAAGCGCGTTTCCGGCTTCATCGAGCGCGGCCAGCAAGGCCAGGGCAAGCTGCTCGTTGGAGGCCAACGGATCGGCGACAAGGGCTTTTACATCGAGCCTACAGTGTTCACGGATGTTGACCCTAACTCTGAGATCCACTGCCAAGAGATCTTTGGTCCTGTTTCCGTTGTGAAATCTTTCAAAACGGAAGAGGAGATCATGAAACTCGCTAATGGTACGGATTTCGGTCTTATGGCTGGCGTGTTCACACAAGACATCAACAAAGCGCTACGGGTTGCATCGGACTTTGAGTCGGGTATGGTCGGTGTTAACTGTGTTAGTTTGATGTTCGGAACTACGCCATTTGGTGGTAGCAAGCAGAGTGGTCTGGGACGAGAGTGCGGTATCTACGCGCTGAGGGCGTTTACGGAGCCGAAGACCATCATGGTCAATTTGACGTACTAGCTGTCTACGCGGATTGAAGTTCATATTTGTTATGGTACACGGATATCAGCATGTTGTTACCATGTGTTCTTATTATCGCAAATGCCCGGCTTCATAACAAAAGCCGGATTGTCTCGTTAACCATTTGGTTCATCAGACACCCCGCTCAGCCTCCACACAGTCGACAAACCTTTCTACAGGCGTAAGACCTTCTCTGATCCATCACTTACCTCTCGCCACCATCCACACCTGTACCACCTGTTCAGACCACATCATCAACCTGAGAGTCAACATTCGATCTAATGTCAATATAAGACCTTGTTCGACGCTTTGGTAGAAGAATGGTAGGGAGCGTTCTGTCATGGTTTCGCTGTGGCTGTACGGTGTTTTGGCGGCTTAGTCGGCGAGTCCTGGTGTGGTCAATAGTGGCAACAGAGCCGTCATGATGTAAATTGTGAGGTAACGATAAGGAGACGACGAGTGATGGCGCGCGTTGAAAGAAGCTACACGAGACACCGTACGAGAGCTATTGCGCAAGACTAGTATCAATTCAAGACCATTCAAACAATGATTGTATGTAGGCCACAACGGCATCGCAAAGCCTCAATCTGCGTATTTGCTACCCTCGGTTTGGTCTTGACAAACCTTCTCCATACGTATAAAGGGCCCTTGCCCTTTACCTGTTCCTTACGTCCACATCCCACACATGTCGACACTGCCTCTGCGACACAGCACTCACGTATTCACATTTGAGAAATCTTTCATCAACTCACATTACCTGTCCCCCAATCACATCTCCATTCCAATTCTCGTTCCACGCACTCCTGCAGCCTTCTTGATAAAGACAGGTTGACCATGTCCGACTTCAACCGCCGCATGACAATCCAGGACGAGCGCTTAACTGAGACTGACAAGCGCCTCAACGGCTGCGATCAACGAATTTTCGAGTTAGAAACCCGCAGTCGTAACAATGAGACCCACGCCAAAGAGCAGGGTGAGCGTCTCGCTGTGTTAGACGAACTCATTCGTGAGAACCTGAGGCATACGAAGGAGACCATTCGGCAAAGGGAGAAGGAGTCTGTCTGTTGGTTCTGGCGTGGTATCGCGTTGGGTGTCGCTGCTGCGGGTATAGGCGCTGCTAGTGCTGCGGGTGTGTGGTGGAAATATTGTGTGTAGTTGATGTGACGGTGGAATTGTTTGTTTACGGGTACTGGAACATTGTTTGAGGTGCCATTGCTGCAGGAGTTGTTGCTGTGATTGTGTGGAGCAGATTTCCCACTCGATACATAGAAAGATTTGGTGGACGATAAGCACGAGACAACAATCTGTGCAAGGAAGCGAAGAAGTCAAGCCGATGGACTTTGAAGATAGAATAATTGAGGAAAATTAGTAAAGTTGTATTAGGCACAGGTCTGAAGCAGTGGAAGCTGATTCGCCGAATAATCCGACTCATCCTTGCATGTCCAACGGTAGCGAGAGCTAAGTAAGCCACGGTACTACCTCATGACACGCATCTCAGCCTTTACTTCACGCCACTCTCAAAACATACATATCGCCATGGCTCCAATCCCTTTGGAAATACCGGATTACATCACACAGCTCTACCAAGATCCACAACGCCACTATCATAACCTCGACCACATCAACCACATGCTGAGCCTCATACCGACCGACCACCCTAACGGACGCGAATTGACATATGCAACTTGGTTCCACGACTGCGCATACGATCCCCAAGCGAAACACGGCGTCAACGAAACAGAGAGCATGCAGCACTGGGAAAAACATGTTGAAGAGCGAGGAGAAGAGCTTTCTGATGTATGTCCATATTCCTCATAATGCACAACATCGGGTCATATGATAGGTACTCTGGGCTGACAATCGACAGATCAAGGAAATAGTTTGCCTCATGATAGATTGCACGATCACTCACACAGTACCTTCCGCCTCTCCAGTTTTAGTACAGAACGAAACAAAGACACACCTAGTACAACGGTTCCTCGATATGGATATGGATATTTTGGCGTCACAACGGGATGATTATCTTGAGTACACCAGAAAGGTGCGGCGAGAGTATGGCTATTTCACGGATGAAGACTTCCGGAAGGGTAGGGCAAAGTTTCTCAGAAGCGAGTTGAAAAAAGAGAGGCTGTTCTATCTAGATGAGAACGAGGGGAAGAATGAGATTGCGCGGCAGAATATGAGGGCGGAGCTTGCTATGTTGGAGGAATGTTTGTGACCGTACGTAAGAGCGGCTGTCTTCCAATTCTTCCAAGTTTGACATTGTACACAAGGTAAAAAGAAAGATTTCGTAAAAGGCGTGTGTATCGTGAACGAGCGTCATCCGTATGTTCTGTAATCTGACGCCCTCGGAAAAGAAAATAATGGTGAATCTAACCAAGCGTATCCAAACACTCCGTATCCGCAGATCTCAGTGAGATGGTCTGATAAGCTGAGAGTTTACGCAGCTCTGAGGTGGTCTACGTCTTTCCTCCGGTGGAAGTGGATGAGGACGTGGTGCTCTGGAGACAATTAGCTCAATCAAGGTTCCAGACATCGAAGGTGACCCACCCTTCTCGGAGGGTTTGTGCTTCAGCAAGGCTCTGTAAGTAGCCAAGCTTTTCAATCCCTTAAAGTATTGTTGTGAGTTGCCGACAAGCTTCGGCTCAATAGCGGCTACCAAGTCTTCGTTCTCCACCACTGCGGATTTTGCACCTGGCGCAGGCTGCAAAGCAGGCGGAGCCGGAAATTTCTTCATGTCAGACTCGACGGTACGTTCTATGATGTTGACGTCCACTTCGCCGCTTGGTCCTGCAATGTTTGGCCCCAAAGCACTAAGCTCGCCCAAGAACACATTCTGCCCGATCGGACTCACAAGCTCACTATCGTCACTTTTATCCGAAGCGGGACTCAGAGGTGGTATGTCGTCGATATCGGGTGGTGCAAGCGGAGGGTTATTGGGCGCATCCCACGTGAGGTCGAAGCTTGACAAGCGTTGTGGTGTCTTGAGGAACTCCCGAGCACTAATCGGTGGCTCTGCATTGCTTGCAAAGTTCTTACACGCTTGCCACCAATGCGATGCTTCAGGTGCTAGTAGTTTGCTGTTGTGTTTCGACGGGGCGTCGTGGCCTTCGGGTGCGCGAAGTGTGGTCTGTGGACCGTCTTTGTTGGCGCTTGCAATCGATTCGTCCTCAAGGGTTGATACCCGATTTTGAATATTCAAGAGAATCGCTCGATGGGTTACAAGTTCGTTCTGAATATCTTGTAACATACCGACAAGTATGGAGTTCGTCTGTCGCAGTTGAGACTTCGTAGTCGATGCTGATACCCGTGAGGAACGCTTGGAGGTGAGATTCATGGTAGACGGTGATTGTAACGGCTGCTTTGAAGAGGACGAACTGGCTTCTACAAGATGGAGTTGGGGCTCTTGAGTGGTGAAGTCTGCCAAAGTCATACCGGAAAGGTGCGTCACGTGGTTAATCGAGGAATCATTGTCCAACGGCGACATATGACGCGGCATTGAGGACACGGGAGGTTGTTGTATGGCTGCCATGATAAGGAAAGCCAACCGAAATGGTGAAAACCGGAGAAGGAAACGCCTGACGCAGGAAAAAGAGATTGGCAATACGACCGTACCTGTCGAAGCCATCCTTCCTGACTTGATGCCTTTAAGCAGTATTCTCGACCCCGCCTGTCACTTTCCACTCCAGACGCCAAGGTACTAGGGGTTGGTATATCACAGACATCTATAACTTTGATTGGACTCGTTGGCAGATCCCGTGGGGAGAAGTAAGGGATTCCGTCCTCCTTGATACTCTTTGGTACTCCGCTGAGCCTCGCCGAGCGCAGCCAAGACCCACGGCCGCCGCTTGACGCAAGCTCGTGGCGGGGAAGAAGGCAGTCCAAACATTGGTGTTGTAAACTCCCATCGTCGCATGTTTCAGTGAGGTTGCGGCGTTTCGTCGCGCGGTTTAGAGTCGATCTACTAGCGTTGCACGTGACGATAGCAACACCTAGGTACCTACTTAGGTAAGGTTTCGAAGGCTTCCACTCGGCACGTTCGAGCAATTTCATCATAATCGTCCATTTCTCCATCCTTGGCGATGCGCCGCATCGAATACCTCACGTTGCACATTGGTAAGCTGCGAAGGTCACCGGTGCTCCTTGCTTGGTACTAAGCGTCCAGGTCTCGGAAAATCAGCGATCTGTGTGGGCATCGATAATGTACAAGTATTATGCGCTGTACCTGCGGTTTAATCAAGGGTTTCGGCTACATATAATAAAGGTAGGAGCGTTACATCTCGTTTTGGGCAGAGGCCGAACCCATTAGGCACACAGATCAAAGGCAGTCCTTATCGCGACCATACCTTGCCCTATCACTCAAGAAACCCCACAGCAGCCCACCACATCTTCGTTAGCGGCCATTTCTCCCCATCCTTCATCACCTCCTCCGCCTTCCACAAATGCGGTCTCACCAAACCCGGTTCTACTAATTCCCACCCCTCCATCACAAGCTTAACGTCCTCTTTTGTTCTCCAGATCACCGGCGTCGGCGTCCGCTTATACACATGAGCTAGTTCATCCAACTGCTTGCGCTCTTCCTCGTTTCTCCCATCCTCCGTCCCATGAGTCATCACGAATGCGCTTCCCTTTACCACATTCGACTTCCAGAAATGAAGAACAGGGTTATACTGAGTAGGTGTCCAGAAATGGATCAGCGCGAACATCATGATCGCGACAGGTTCGTTGAAGTCGATGATACGTTGCGTCTCGGGGTGCGCAACGATAGCATCTGGTTCCAGGGCACTTGCGCGAATCATGCCGACTTGCAGCTCCCATCCTCCCTCACTTATCGTCTTCTTCCCCTGTTGCACGGCGCTTTCTTCAATATCCACATACAACACCCTCGCCTTGTTGTTAACTGCCAACACAGTCTCGTGCGTGCTTCCAGTGGTGGGAAGTCCGGAGCCTAGATCGATGAACTGCGTAACGTCATTTTGAGCAAGCCAGCTTACCGCTCTGCGCAAGAACATGCGGTTTTCGACCGCGGTGGGTATGATGTCTGGGAATTTTTGCGCTACTTCTGCGGCGGCCTGACGGTCGATTTCGTAGGAATGTGTACCGCCGAGGTACCAGTCGTACATGCGTGCCACAACGGGGCGCGTAGGTGTTATTTTGGAGGAGTCGTCTAGCCCATGAGGTTGTTCCTGTGTAGCTGCCATTTTGTCTTCTCGTGAGTTGCGATACTGGAAAGTAGTCCCCTTTTATGATCAACCTCATTGCAAAGGTTCACGTCAGCATGTCCGCGCGAGCTTCTAGGTGCCTACTACCGACCTCCTCTATCCAAAGCGCCAGTAGGGAGCTGCTGTAGAGCTGTACGCGCAATGATGCAGCTTTGTGACGCTTCGTGCATTTGAACGGTGAGGTTCTAGCCAATAGTATGCCGTATGCGTAGTCCGAAGGGCTCGGGATGGTAGTACACTTACAGTACTAGGAGGATTGAACGAGAACATGCCGCATACGGTGAGCAGAGCAATAAAAGTTTGTCTTTGAGTCGAACCGCAAATGGGTGCTGATCTGCCGAGTATAAGCATACTCTTACTCAGCACTCCATAGCTTCTATGAAGCTTGATAGCGTGTGGGGCTCCTGTCATATTCACATGCCGCAACCTCCCTAGCTGCCCGTTTCTTGATGATGCATGGCCTGGGAATGGTCGCTTGCTAAATTTCGTACCTATGGTGACGGAAAGTGCTCAGATCACAACTCACTTTGGGATCACCCAATGGCCGCTCGATATTCACAACATGTCACGGGACGACCACGAAACCATTGCAGATGCATCTCAATTGTTGGTTTACTGACTCTTAATGCGCACTAAGAGTCTCCCTATCTTATGCATCATCATCTCACCATTTCGCCTTCTTCATCGACTTCCATCCCACACCCACAATGCCCTCCATCTGCATGTAGCACATCCCTTCCTCCCCGCCCGCCTCCTCAATCATAACCTTCTTTAGCTCACTCATGACTTCCTTCAGAGTCTCCTGCCTGTTGCTCTCCTTCCAGTGTCCCGAGACTATCGTCATCGGCATCATCATGCTCTCGCAGAACTGCGCCGGCGTCCCACACTCCACATTGCGCTTCTCGACCACCAGTTCCACATCCTGCAACCCCGTCTCTTCGAGCTGCTGCTTCACAAACGCGGGTTCGTGCCAGGCATTGCCTTTCTGGAGGCTGTCCCGGATTTCAGAGAAAGTAGGAAGGAAGGGGGGGTTGGACATATTGTTGACTGCGCGCTCGACGTAGGAGTACCAGCCGAACGAGGCCCAAGTGGTAAGGCCGATAAAGCCGCCGGGTTGCAGGAGGTCGAAGAGTTTCTCGAGTGCACCGAGCGGAAGGAAGAAGATGATTGCGTTAGCGAAGATGTGCGTGAATTGGTTGTTGTTCAGCTGAATATCTGCGCCGTCGACGATTTGGGTGGTGAGACCTGTCCAGCCATTCTTTTCGCCTCGTCCGCGAAGGTAATCTAGCATGTGAGGGCTGATGTCGCCGCCGAGCACTTTCACGTTGCTCCATTTCTCCTTGGGAACGATGTCGTAGAGAGCTGCTGTGACGACGCCGGTCCCGCAGCCGAAGTCTAAAGCGTTGACGGTGCAATTGTGATCGGTAATGTTGGACGCGAGGGAGGCCTTATCGATGATAATGTTGGCGTAGGGACGGGTGGCTGCTTCAGCGCGAGCGTATCTTTCGGCGATGGAAGGGTCCTGCCAACCCTCGCGGACGTTCTTCTGCATGTCATTTGCTTGTTGCGTGGTAGACATGTTGACGTGTTGCGGTGATGACGAAGTTGATAGGGTCGTCGTTCGAGGAGAGAGCAATAGTGGAGACTGAGCAGTGAGCGGGTGTGAGGCGAAGCGTAAACGGGCAATGCTAGAGACTGAGAGCAAACGCTGTGAATTGGGTATCGAGCGAAGTATTGAGTGTAACATAGTTTATCCAGAGTCTTCGTTATACCTTTATATATTTTAGGAAGCTGACGAGTCTTATCCCGTAAAGGGCTAGCGTTGTGAGACGCCGTTGCACTTCGCATACATGCCCTTTTAAGTCACTAGAAGTCTCCGTACCGTGCAAGGGAAGATGAAATGCATGTGATAGGCCCATCTTTTCGATTCATCGTAACGATCAAAGGTAAGGCGCAGCACCAATGGATCAAAACGCGGAGAGTTTTTCGCAATCAAGTATGTAAGCGAACTGAAGTCTCCGACCAGTGAAAGTGAAGCAACTTTCCCGCACCGCAACTCCATGCCAAATGGACGTACAATGTAAACGGCAGTCGAAATAAGTATATTGCTGCAGATCTGTGATAATCATCCAATGATTGATTTCGATGTGATTTTCGAAAGGGTATTTCCGTGACCTAAAAAAATCACTTTCCCAAACGCCGGTGCTATGCTTTTCATCAAACGTGCTAAGGCTCCTCGGATGTCGTGTCTAACCATTCGGCAAAGTAGGCGCAAGTCCTGGCCGTAATGGGTCCCTCATCGCTGCAGAGATCAAAGACTGGGCAGTTTCCACAGGGTGCATCAACGAAGCCGTTGTACTTCTGGTCCGATATGGGTAAAACAGTCCGGTAGGCCGTAGCCGTCACCTTCTCCAGTGTGCCTTCCAGCACCATCATCTCCAACAGCTGCTCCATGTCGGACTCGCGTACCGTCTTCCCTCTCAGGAGTTGAATGCTATTGAGGTACTTGGCGAGGCCCAACGTAGTAGGGTAGAAAGGGTTGCTCCTGTGTACGAGTCGGGAGGCGCTAGGATCGACCGGAGGATGGTAGGGCTGGACTGGCAGAGCCTCTTCGATATCCGGCACGCCCTTCACCTGCGCTTTCTTGTGGGCAATGGCAGCTTGGCGATCGCTGGACGCATAGTTATTCCAAGTGCCGGAGACTCTGATGCAGGTTTCCTCCTGCACTTTGTTCCCTATGACCTTCGCAGCTACTTCTATCAAAGCGCTGTCAAAGTCTCCTTCATTCTGCCACGGGCCGCCTGCGACATCCTCGGATGGCTTGAGGTGCTTGAGCAGATACATTTTACGATTCGGCGTCTTGACACTCATGACAGCTTGGATGAGGTCTTTCGACTCGAGGCTTTTAAGGTACTTAGTCACGGTCGGTTGCGCGAGGTTCGTTTTGGCCCGCAGCGCCTTGGACCAGACGCCTTCGGTGTGCGCATTGTCGATGTGTTGGTAAAGTAGTCGCTCGTCGGGTACTAGGCGTCGCAGCCTGCAATTTCCGTGTTAATATGACATACGCTTGCAGCACAAAGAAGCCGTACTTCTCGGCGATGTCCTTGGGTCGCAGCTTCCAGCATGGCTCGCCTTCGAATTGCAGCGGCTTCAGTAAGTGCCTATTCGACAAATCTCCGACCAAGTTGAGCAGCTCATTCAGATCTCTGGCAATCTGCATGCTCGTGAGGTCGCGCTGGAAAAAAGTGGTCCCTTCGGGTCGCTTCGCGCATTCCTCGTAAAGCATATCTGCGCGACTGGTGATGTCTTCGGCTGCGGGCGCAACGGCATCTTCTGCCTTGGACACCGGCTCGAGCGGCGCTGTTGACGCGGAGGCCATGTTGGTCGAAGCTGAGGTTGTCGCTATCGATCGATCATGGGCGAAGTAAAACGGGGATCTCTCACTGTGGTCCTGCTATTGTTCGCGAGATTAAGCCGACTCATCTTTCTCGAAAGTTTCGCGGTGGGGCACCACGGCACCACCAGCGCGTCCGTGCGCAACACCAAGTCACGTGCAGTTCATCCCTCCGGCTCCAAGGTTCCAAGGTCCTGGACCGCAGGTGCAATCGCCTCTCCGGACCCCATGGGACTGTCCGCTCCGGGCCAGCGTCTGATGTACAGCACACATTCTAAGCATGAGGCTCTGATTAATGCGCGCTGAGACGTCCTCTCAGCCACGATCTCGAAGCATGATTCGAAATCAGTCTCGGTGGATCCATCAACTACTACACATGTGCAGTCTATGTCGAGGATCATGATCATTTGTCGGCATTTACTGCCCTATTCGGTTCCACACTTCTCGCCTCTTGTCTTCCGGCCACTCTTCTCCTTTGCTTCCTCGGCTTACGTATCACGCCGAAACAAGACACGACTCGAGTACGTTGTTCGGCTGCGAATGTGACAAATTTGCCGGCACGCATCCTGTCCTTGTCCAACGCTCTGACGGGGTCCCCAAAGATGCCCCGGGGTAAATCGGGTATGGTTACCCGCACCCAGATCTGCGCCCATCATCTTGGGTTCCACGATGTGCAAGCCGCCTTGCGCCCCAATCCGAGAATCCGCGCCTCAACAGCTCCCATATTTGCGCCTCTAAGCGAGCTTGTGTGCAGCCACCTCCAGATACTATTCTGTCTTTTAGTAGTCGGAACGGTTTCACGTGTTCGTTCCAGCAATCAAATTCCCCGAGCAAGGTGTTGCCTGTTTCGCCGTCCTGACCATGAGCTGCGCAGTTCTCCATAGACAACAACCCCTAGTATAGGCGTACCCACACCGAAGTAGCCGATCACTCCGGACCGCTGGCAAGAATTACTGTGGCTTTGCTGTACATCAAGATCGCCCCAGGCCCTTGGCCCATACCCCTATTCCCCGGCCTTTGTGCTTGAGTCGAAGAGTCACTCCTAGATTTCACATCTACGAGGCCACTGCCAGTCCTTGCCTTAGCCCACCTCCAGATCCTTACGATTCCTTTGCGCACTAATCGTACTGCCGAATCTAACAATGGTCGAAGAAAAGGACATCCACGAGGAGGTTGCCCCACACAATGACCACGAGCTCAATCGATATCCCACGGCAAAAAGCGAAGGTCTTCACCATGACCACATTGCTGCTGAGGCCCTTGGCGGACACACTGGTGATCTACCAAAAGGCTACTACTACGGTTCTCATTTCATCGGAACCGTTGTTGTAAGCAACTATACCATCAATCTTTGATACGTGTTTCCTCTAATGAAACATGCAGGCAACCTGTCTAGCTCAAATATCGGGTTATCTAGGGTGGGTGTTGCCATCCAACACTCTCTCCCTCATCAACCAAGCTATCGGCCCATCTCCGAACCTCATCTGGGTTTCTATCTCTTGGACAGCTGGTTTCGCGATAGGATTCACGCTTGTTGGTCGTCTATCTGATATCTTCGGAAGAAGATGGTTCTTCATAACGTCCTCTATCCTTGGATTAATTGGCAACATTGTTGGAGCAACTGCACAGAGCATCGATACCTTAATCGCCACAAATGCCATCAATGGAGTTGCCGCCGCTGGCCAGCTGTCTTTCCATATTATTTTGGGTGAACTAGTACCGAATACTATGAGAGGTCCAGTCAACGCGTTCGTGCTCTCGACGAGTGTTCCCTTCGCCGTGTTTGGCCCTCCGGTTGCGCGTGCTTTCTACGAGAACACTGCACTTCAGTGGCGATGGTGTTACATTCTTGGCGTCATCGTGAACACATTTGCAATTGTGCTGTACTTCTTCTTCTACCACCCTCCAACTTATGTGAGTATCGACACTTGCCACCTGTATCCGTGTCATTGACTGACAACTTACAGGAAATGCTTCACGTGGGTGGCAAGTCGAAGCTAAAACAACTCAAGACACTCGACTGGATCGGCATCTTCCTCTTTAGCACCGGTCTTGTCGTATTCCTCATTGGGTTGAACTGGGGTGGTGGCAGCTATCCATGGAAAAGTGGCCACGTCTTAGGGGCACTCTTTGCAGGGTTCTTCACTCTCATTGGTTTCTGCTTTTGGGAGGTGTATTCCGGTCTCCAGTACCCTCTTATTCCCATGAAGCTGTTCAAGAATATACAGTACGATGCCAACGTGGCCTGCGCTAGCTTGGCTGCAGTTGTATACTATGCAAGTATGTACACATCCTCGTTGAGAACATTTCGGTCAGTAGACTTACCAGCTTCCAGACACCGTCATCTGGCCCACCATGATCGGCGCCCTCTTCACCACGGATGTCCAAAAGACCGGCTGGCTCTCCTGCGCCGTCGGCGGCGGTCTTCTTCTTGGCCAAATCCTCGGAGGTACAGGTGTTCGCTACCTACCACGCATGAAAATCCAAATGACCGTCGCGGCCGTCATCACCGTGGCTTTTGTCGCAGCCCTCGCCTCTTCCAACGCCAGCACTGAAACCCGCACTACTACGCTCCTGCTCATCGGCACCATCGGCGCGGGGTACATCGAGAATCTGACGTTGAGTTCTACCGCGTACCTCTGGGATCCCGCGGATATGGGCCTCGTCACAGGCGTTTTGGGCGCCATCCGCACAGCCATCTCCGCAATCGCCACGAGCATGTATTCTTCCATCCTGACGACTGAGTCGAGTAAGTACATACCGCAGTACGTGACGCCTGCAGCCCTGTCCGCGGGACTACCCGAGTCTTCGCTCACAGCGCTGTTCGCTGGCATCACTGCTGGCGACTTCTCAACTGTGCCGGACATCACCCCGGAGATTATTAGCGCCACTGGTGTGGCCGTGAGACATGCATACAGCCTTGCTTTCCGGACCGTCTTTCTTTGTACACTTCCCTTCGGTGTACTGTTACTCATCGCGGCTGTACTTTCACCTAATGTCGAGAAGTATCTGACGGATGAGGTTGCAAGGAAGTTGCATAATGGCGAGAAGAGCGAGCCTCCGATGCAGAAGGAGATCGTTGATGAGGCTTAGAGACGTGTCTCGACCGTTAGTATCATGCTTCGCTAGTCGGAAAAGGCCTTTGCATGCCTCCCTTGATTGTGTCTACGCATAGAGCGAAGCCTTTACACATGCGCTATACTTGCCCCGTTTATAGGCGCTTCAGTACATGAGAATGGATTTCCATTTCGCAACGGAAAACATACGGCGCTCTTTCTTGTCAGAACTCCGTTGTACCCACATGTTGTTCGCCTATTGACACCACAGTGCGTACCATATATAAGTGCACCACCGCATTCGTCAACCAGCTGCACTCTCGCCAACAGCATAGGTACCAAACATATCGTGCAAATTGGATGCGTCTCGATGACTGTGGTTGACCAGACGCAAAGGTTCTTTCCTGCATTACACATTCGCTCATTTCACCTCCGCACCCTCATGAAGATTGCATCCCGCGTTGAGGGTCGACAGCTCCCTCCTGCCGAGATAAATATTTGTATATCCACGTATACCACTACTACCAGCCAATGTTTGCGCTCTTGAGAATCCGGACTTGGGGGTGTAACATTGAAACGTGCTCGTGTCCTTCTTAACAGGTGGTGCATTGGAGGGGCTGGCAAAATACATGCTGGCATGCCAACGAGGGCCGGTGCAACCTTGATGGATTCGAACATCTGCTTCTCTTCCCAAGCCTGTATCCTCCTGTTCGAGGTCAGAGTTGTGCCCGCGGGGCCAGACGAGCATAAAATCTCGGCAAAGAGCCTTGAGCGCATGTTGGACAGCCGGGATGAGACTATCGAGGGACCGAAGCCACACACGATGTACACGGCGTCGTCAGTAATCCTGTCCATTGCACTTGCTGGCTGTCCAATTGACTTACTTACCTACCCACGCTCGGTCAGAACCCCACAGGCATCGTCACCGCTCTTGGTCGTAAGAAAGAAACCTACGCCGTCTTCTAGCAGCACAACATCCTTATCTTCGTACCTTCACTATGCCTGTTAGTAGAGTGTTTGGAACAAGATTAAAAATAGCTTTCAACGCTAATGATACACTTTCATACTTCAACAGCAAACGCTTCGATGATTCGTCACCTCACACCACACCTGCAGCCCTCCACATCCCGCGCGCATGACACGGCGCCACAGGTTTGACCTTTCTGAAGCTCTGACTAATTAAGCTTCACGCCTTCGCCAGCTCCAGCAATCTCGTATGCTGCTCCGGATGTGTCTTCTCGACATTTCCCTTCGCCATTTTCTTCACCATAAAGTTTCCATCAATCTCCACCTCCTCAACAAGCTGGCCTCGGGAGACGCGCCACTTCGCAGCAATGGTGAGGGTTCCAACGGGCGGCTTTGCGTTGACAAGCGAGTCGATGCCATCGTTGACGTTGGTGAGGGTGAGCTTGTAGGTCGTCTAAAGTTATTAGGATAATTGCAAAAGAGAAAGATAGTAGGTGGGTTTACCTGGCCAATGGGCTTCTTGTCTGTGACAGAATAGATAGCTTCGGTGTTCTTGTCGCCGGAGACGAACTCGTAGGAGACGAGGCCCGGGCAGAGGGCCGCGATCATGACTTCGTGATTGTGGAGGGTGGCGATGACGGTGCCGGCGTCAACGCCGGAGGGAATGGGAGTGGTGATGGTATGGGACATGATGGCGAATGATTGGATAGATGTGGAGGACTGGGTATAAGGCGTATTATGGACGATGATGAAGTGTTGATTGATGCTGGGATGTGATGATGGGAAAGAAGGAAGAGGGTATCGAAAGCTTTATAGGGCAGACGAAAGGGTATCGCAAGCCTACAGGACGTGTTCCACGCAACACTCACCTCAAAATAGAGGTGTCGAAACCTCCAAGCTTCCTCCGTGAGTATATTTCGAGCTGGAAGTCATGGGCAACGCACACGACGTCGTGACTACTCCGGGTATCATGGTAGCCAAGGCATGTCGAGCACCTCCCCTGGGTCTTGTTGCATTATTTTGTGCCTATTTTTTCTGTCGCAGACCCTCTTACAATTATCCTGGGGACTATCGTTTCTCATCGGTTTCCAATAATAGGCCGTCGTCGTGGCTGAACGTTTCCACCATGTGAGTTATCGGCGAACGAGTGTATTGACGTTTCGCGCCACCGTTTCGCGTCGATCGGTATTTATGGTTTGTGGTTTGTGGTTGTTCGTATCAGGGGTAGCGTGACTCGCGTGGTAGGAGTGGGTCTTGACGTCGGCTCCCCTCTACACAATGAAGCGAGTGTCGACTCGAACACGAGCTTTCTGCGACTTTGTATACTTGCAGAAGCTTATCTATCACGACACTTAATGTACCTTCATGACCCATCATTGCTTCGGCCCGAAGCCCTATGTAGCGAATGGGCTTGGCTATCGCTTCCAGCTAACCTTTTGACATATACGAAAGATGAAGAAACAAACCATCTGGCATCCACAACCTTCACGATGTGTTCGGATCATTAAGCATGGTGCTCTTCCATCAGAATCGAAATGGCATATGATGTCGTCGCACAGGACTGTCATCGACGGATACGGTCGGACGGGCATCTCTTACTGCACGAAGTCGAGACGAAGACGCATCTTCGCGTTGAACAACCCGAAGTCGACACATAACGACTTGAACGGGTGAAAAGTGAGAACGACGGATGGGTCTTTTGAAGTCATCGTGTTGTGTTCGGTGTGCTACACATGGTACGCGTACAGAGGGGCACGCGGCCAGATGTTTGGCTGAGACGATGTGCGTGAGGCTGATGCCTCAAACATGGCGTCCGCGCCTTCTTCAGGTGCCTTCTTCAGGTGATAGAAACCACCATGCGACGCGTGCATTTCGTTTTCTCGTACTCGATGGCGCCTTGACCGCTACTCCATCCTCATCCTCGTCTTTACTTTCAATCCGTTGTCGCGTTCGCAGGAGATCGACACTGCAGGCGTTTAGGGCCCAGGCTCCTGGCGCAGAACGACGTCATACCAGAACCAGAACCAGGGTCATCGCTCTCGACCGCGCATTCCGTAAAAAGGGTGTATACCACGCAGGTACCACGTAAAAGCAACCGCAAATCACTTTCTACGGCACCGCGCGGAAGGTCCGGCGAAAGCTTAGCAGCCATGGCGGAGTACGAAGAACTTGTTGTAAGCAGCCTTGTCCAATCGTGAACCACACGAAGCCTTCCGCGGTACTTATTACTCTCACAGGAACTTGGCTTTGAGGGTGTGGATAAGTTTGCGACTCACTTCCACGATCCTGTAGTTGGCTACGTGGGCAAGCACAAGCCCTTTTCGTCGCATGCCAAAAAGAAGCACGACACCGGACCGTCGGCTGGTCGCCAACAGAAAGAACGGCAAAGGGAACTTCCCGAGGAAGAGAAACCTCCTCCGCGTAAAGACTCGCCTCAAGTACGGGACGATCTTCAACAGCCCTATCTCCCTCCACATCCGCAGTGGCAAGTCCCTCCGCCGCCGCCAGGAGCGCCGCCCGCAGGACTACCCTACCCAGGAGGACTACCACCTGCAATACCATACCCAAGGCCCCAACCCACAGGGCTTGCGCCTTCTGCATTTCAACCACCGCGAGGACAACTGCCGCGCCAACGCTCCTATTCTGAGCCACGCGGCGAGCGGTACGATGGCAGAGCAGTGCCGGACGATATAGGCGAAATTGACTCAGATTCCGACATTGAGCGAGGACCCAAGAGCATGTACTCAGACTACGCACCTGACCGCAGAAGAGAAGGTCGACGGAGAGACGACGATAAGTATGGGAGGACTGTCGAAGATCGCGAGTACTATGGGCCCAGCGCAACAGTTCAGCAGATGGCAGTGCGCACGAGAGGTGCTAACAGACACCAAGGAGGAGCACTTGTGGTAAGTACTTGTAGCACACATCTGCGTTGATCATGTTTGCTGACGTCTCAGCCTCGAGCACCGTCTCCACCCCCAGACTATGGATACCCTCCCGGTGCTTACGCGGATGAAAGGGCTGTACGTGGACGACCACTGCCGCGCCGACAACGTTCTTCATCTTGGTCACCGCCTCGCAGATCTGAGCGGCGTCACAAATCGCCGCCTCAGCGGGTGCGGTCGAACTCTCCAAATCACCACCGCGCGTTGGCTGTAGTTATGGGTGCTTTAGCAGGAGGGGTGGCCGGCAGCAGAGTAAAGAAAAGCGAGTCGGTGCCTAACACGGTCGCCACGGTAGGCGGTGCCATCCTTGGCGGACTCGCAGCCAGAGGGATGGAGCAGGAGTACGACCGGCGTAAAGAACGACGGGCTCACCAGTCTCAAGGGCGAGGCGAGGCGAGGGAGAAAAGAAGATTGGAGCGAGATTACAACCACGACTAGGACTAGCGGCAGCATACGGCTGAGTACGAGTCCAATTGACGAGTGCATGACGGGGTCATGAGGTGGGTCTTGTGCAGACGGTCGGGTGTTGGGAGGGGCATTGTTTGCTCGACGTTCTGAGTTGCATGTAGCATTTGCACGGGCGTTGGCATGTTGGTGCCACCTGCTGAGGACCGTCTACGAATTTACGAACGATATGATGACATGTTTTTTCTGACGACGAATGGTTGGTATCATCGTGAGGCGGTTGCGGCACGCGTGAGACGCAAATTCTCCGTGCGGCACTGGACAGAAGCGAGGCACGCGCAGAGGGATGCGACGCGGCAGGGGTCTCAATGCGTCTTTTTGGCAGCAATTCCTGGTAGTAATAGCCGGCGGCACCGTGCCGAATGGACAAAGGCGGTGTTGTGGACGAGTCGAGAGGACGACACTGGCTCACGAAGGTCGGAAGACGTTGTGAGAAGCAATTGCTGGCGGAACAGCACAGACGCTGTGCCGTCGCGGCGTTGTCTGCACGTTTCAGCAGGGGCGCACTTTCCTTCTCGAAGCCTGGTGGAAGCGGCGACCCACCTGCTGTCCCAGAGGTGGTGCCCGGCGTCGAACGCCAGCTTAGAGCTCCACGCGCAGCTGCAGAGCACCCAGTAACCAGCACACTGCACTGCATCTGCATTGCTCCCCGGTGCCCATCGAGAGCTTGCTCGTGTTTGCTTGCACCACGCTACCACTCCAAGGCAAAGCGCAAGGCCTGCCCGCCACCTTCGCTGTCGCCGTCGCCCACGTCCGAGCATCGCGTACGCCAGTGATCGCTGACGCCCGCGCTCGCTCCTCCACGCACACGCACACGCATGCCCTCGCCCAGGACCGCCAGCCCGCACGCCTCGCTATGAGTCGCCGCTGAAGCCCGCAGACATCCCGCAGAGCCTCGTTCCTTCCGTCCCGCTTCCCACCGGCAGGTGCGTTGAGCGTCACCGCTGCCCCTCTGATCTACGTCCACCAAGCCCGAGAGCCCGCCACGCCTCGCAGCTCGACACACGATGCGCAGATACAGGCCGGGAGGGCCCGCGGGCGGCAGGGCAAACGGCGGCGTCATGGTGCCAGACCCCTTCGCCATGGTGCGCGCCTACGAATCCGACACAAACCCCACCAGGCCCATCCGTCCCTCGCCCCTCACCGCGTCCACCATCCAGGGGCTGCCGCTGGATCTGCTGGACAGACTGCGCTCCTTCCCGCTGTTTCTCTCTGCGCCTGACACCTTTCTCGCCGCTGTGGGAATGCACCTCAAGCCGCAGCTATACCAGGCACACGATACCATACTCACAGAGGGCGAGCAGGGTAAGGCCATGTACTGGCTGGTGCGCGGCTCTGTACGCGTCACCTCGCGCGATGGAGAGAGTACATATGCAGAATTGAAGCCGGGGGCCTTCTTTGGAGAAATTGGCATCCTGATGAACATTCCTCGCACTGCTACCATCATCGCCAACATGCGATCGCTAGTGGTGCGCCTGAACAAGGAGGCACTAGAGAAGGAGCTGCCCAAGTTTCCCGAAGTAGAACATGCCATCATGGACGAGGCCAAGGAGCGCCTGGCGATTCTGGAGCGCAAGAAGAAGGAAGTCGGCAGGAAGCCCGCCATGGGACTCGTGTCGCGACCTATCAAGCGCACTATAGATCGCGTCGATGGCGACGTAGTCATGACCGAGCGGGGCTCCGTGCAAGACGGAGAGGTTATAAGCCAATACAAGAAGCGGAAGTCTCCGAGCCCAGGTCTCGCAGATGTCGCAGCAATGAGCGTTTTCGGCAACGGCAGTCTGCCAGTGAGACTGCTGCTCAAAGAACTGCCCCTGTTCTCGAGCTTGCCATCCGAAATATTGCACTTCATCGGTCTCAATGCACAGCCTTGCCATTACCCTCCCTTTACCGATATTATCAAGCAGGGCACACAAGGGCGCGATGTCTTTTTCATCGTCAAGGGCGAGGTCGAAGTGGTCAACACGCAATCACCTCTAGAAAACGGACATTCCACCATGCATAGTCGAAGAAAGTCCATTGCCGCTGGCGAGCACAGCGTCCAGTCTGTTAAAGCCCGCTTGAGACCAGGGCAATACTTTGGAGAGGTTACCAGTCTATCTTTAGCACCTCTTCGCACTGCGAGTGTTCGCTCGGTATCGTCTGTGGAGTGTCTGATGATCAGTGGCGACGTTCTCAATCAGCTGTGGGATATGTGCGGCGCGGACTTGCGTCGCCAGGTAGAGCAGGTCGCAAATGAACGGCTCAAAGCTGCCAAGGACACTGATACGCACATGTCCGATTCTACAGAAGCTACACCAAAAATTGATTCCTTGATCATAGACACCCTCAAAGCACCGCGTACGCCACGTAAGGGAAGCGTTCCCACCGTCACCTTCGAAGACCTGCCGACTACGATTGACAGTCCAATCACACCATCAAGAAGAGAAGAGAAGATGATGGAGCCTTTTGATCCGGATCCCTTCCTCAATGTAGACCTGGACAATGTACGGTCTCGATCACGAAGAGGCTCGCTCGCTCCACCGCCGCCCGATTCACCTACGGGCTCATCCATCATCATCCCTAAATCACCGTCTCCGAGCTCTACTCCCCTCTCACCATCGCCTTTCTTCAAACATTCGACGACACCTCCAGAAACGACGTTCGAGATCAAAAGACCCAGAGTGATGACACGGCGGCCAAGTAGATTCAATAAAGGGCTTTTGCCTGATTCCATCGTCATCGGCATCTTCAAACATCTGGATCTTTGTGAGCTTATGCGCTTACGGCTTGTAACAACCCACTGGAAACAGCTTATACATAGCTCTCCGGATATTCTCCATACTCTGGACCTTAAGAAATATAATCGTCGCGTCACGGATCGCACGCTGCAGGATATCATTTGCCCGTTCGTCGGTAACCGGCCCACCTTCGTCGATATAAGCAATTGCTTCCATGTAACCGACGAGGGATTCGCTGCGTTGGGGGCAACTTGTGCACCCAACGTGAAGATATGGCGCATGAAGAGCGTATGGGATATAACAGGCCCTGCCGTGCTTGAGATGGTACAAAAAGCCAAAGCGCTCGAAGAAGTTGACCTGAGCAATTGCCGAAAAGTGGGCGACAACCTTCTGGCTCGCGTGATAGGCTGGGTCGTCCCTGAAATAACACCCGCAATGGCAATGGCACAGGCGCAGCAAGCGCAAATGGCTCACCGACGGTCCTTCGGTCAGAAAGGCGCAAATGGGCAGGCCATGCCGCAACCACTGCCTCCTGGCACGGTTGTAGGATGCCCCAAACTGCGGCGTTTGACACTGAGCTATTGCAAGCACATCACGGACCGATCGATGGCTCACATCGCAGTGCATGCAGCGTCCCGAATCGAACAAATCGACCTCACAAGATGTACAACTATTACCGACATTGGCTTCCAACACTGGAGCGTGTATTCATTTCCCCGATTGACGAAGCTGTGTCTGGCGGATTGCACGTATTTAACTGATAATGCGATCGTTTATCTGACCAACGCGGCGAAAGGGCTGAGGGAACTGGACTTGGTAAGTAATCTCTCATACTGCCCGCCTGGGTACAAGCTGTTGCACATGTGGTGCTTCCTGCGTAGACTCGGGCCACAATACATACGGAAAATCTCGCGTATAACATGCTTCCTGGGGTAACTCAGCGCATGATACACACAAGCCTCACCTCCCACAAAACCTCGAGATTACGCGCTAATTCGTAGTAGTCCTTCTGCTGCGCCCTATCCGATACCGCGACCGAAGTCCTCGCCCTTGGGCTTCCAATGCTCACCCACCTCAACCTCGCATTTTGCGGCTCCGCCGTATCCGACACATCTCTCCGATGTATCTCGTTACATCTTCTCGAACTACGCCATCTTTCTGTACGTGGATGTGTCCGCGTTACCGGTACCGGAGTAGAAGCGGTAGTTGAAGGTTGTAGAGACCTAGAACTCTTCGATGTCAGCCAGTGCAAGAATCTGCAAAGATGGATCGAGGCGGGTGGCCCAGAAAGCGTTAGAAGTAGAGGGAGGAAGGTCATCTTCGAGACTGTTGCCGATGGCAAGTGGAGAACGGCGAAGCGGTGACAATGAAGATCAAATCAGGTGGAATGAGATATCTCAAGCTAGGGCTGATGCTCGAAAACGGATCTGAGTACCATGTATGACCGAACATGTTCCCCGAATGTACGAAATACGATATAGAATTGGCGTCAACAGCGATAGGAAAAGATGAGACAGACGATACGACATGGGGTGGCCATGCTGTCTTTTATGGTGTAGCTTTGCGTTTCGCGCGTTCGTTGATGATACCAGCCTCAGCTTTCGTTTGGATCTGGAATTGCTTTCAAACCGATTTGTTGCATTTAGCGCGTATCTAGGTTGCGTTACTTATAGAGTTCTATTATCTGATGTGATACGATGTCACCTTGTAGTCTTGAGTAGTCCTCGACAGTATATGAGCGTTCACGATGTGTGAAAGCGCAGTGATCATGGCGGGCAGGGTGTTTAGACGAGTGACGAGACCAGTAAGACGATTGACAAGTAGTAATTTCGAATATTGCTGATTGGCAGGCAGACTAAAAGAATATTTACATCATCAAACGCTATCATACTGCCTGAGCCCAGTGCCAGGCCGACACAACGCCAGTCATGACAATGCAATCCCCATTCCCTCACAATTTCGGCGGTGCATTCGTGTCCCTACCCGTAAAGCTAACAGCATGAGCTACCTGCACTGTCCCACTCTTATTGATAAGCTGCAGCTTCCTCCCTCTACTCAGCGGCTCGTCGTCGTCCTGGTCGCGGATGTAGAACGCCCAGTCGGCCGTGGGATCCAGCTCCGTCTGTGAGTACCCGTTGCCCATCCAGGCGAAGCGATTGCCGCTGTACTTGACGTCCCAGTCGTCGTGGCGGACTTCCATCATGGCTTCTATGTAATGGAGGGTGGATCCGGGCCAGAGTGCAGTGATGGGCCCGTCGGGACGGCCCTTATACCACGACCGGCACGGGTCTTGCCACACCGTCTTCTTCATGAAGTCGTCTTTGAAGGCGATGAAATCTGCTACGGCTTCGGCTTTGGGGGCAAAAGTGGAGATGTTGTGCGTTTGGAAGCGGTCGATCAGCTTGCACATGTAGTCCGCCTGGCACTCTATCGCTGACAAGACAGGCCCGTTGCCAATGGGGCAGTTCGGGCCCAGGAAAATGAGGTAGTTGGGGAACTCTGCGGCTGCGATGCCAAAGTAGGACGTTGCTTCTTGCGCCCAGGCGTCCTGTAGGTTTGCACCCGACGCGTTGATGACGGGGAAGCGAGGCTTGAACGAGGTGTTGAAGCCTGTCGCGCAGATCAACACGTCGACGGGGTATTCCTCCCCGTTATCGCAGCGACACCCGCGCTCGGTGATTTCGTTGATCTCGCCGTAGACAACCTCGACATTCTCTTTCCCAAGGGCCTCGAGGTACCCCACGCCGGGCGTCAACCTCCTACACCCGACGTGCCAGTTTGGAATCAATCTTTCTTCCAGATAAGGGTTCTTGAGCTTGTCGCTCATCTGTTGGCGGAAGTAGGTTTCTGTGTCGTTGTTGGTAGTGGTGTTCTTGAGGAAGATGCCGAATTGGCCGTTGAGGCCGCGCTCGACGTCTTTGCGGTAGGTGTTGAGGACGCCGGGCTTGGTGGCGAATTCGGTGCGTTCTTGCGCGCTGAAGACGTGTTGTTCCAGCCCTTGGACGGGGGACACCCATGTCGGCTCGCGGATGAAGGTTGTCACCTTATTGACGTGGGGTTGGATTGTCGGTAGGACTTGGATGCCGGAGGAGCTGGGGTATGTTAGTGATGATCTGACCTGTGTGGAGATGATGACGAAGTACCCGTTTCCAATGAGGCCGACGTGACGCCCTCGGAGGTCGATTTTCTCGTCCCAATTCGCAGTGTGCAAGAGCACGCCCTTGTACTTGTCGATGCCAGGTATGGCAGGCCATGCCCAGTTGTTCAAGATACCGGAAGCGTTCACCAGAATGTCGCAATGGTCATCAATGACCTGTCCGCTTTCCAGGTCCTTAATCTGCACATCGTAGCCGCCCTTCTGCTTATTCCAAGTCGCTCCAACAACTTGGCGTCTTGTCTTGACATATTTGTGCAGTCCGTACTTTCTCGCGAAATCATTGAAGTAGGCGAATATCTCCTTGGAACTAGCATACACCGCACTCCAATCCAATTTCGGCTCGAACGACCATGTGTAGTTATGCGAAGGTACATCACATGCGCAGCTGTCAAAACGTTGAATTAGCCTTTTTCCCCAAAGCGGGCACGAGATAACACTAGGTAGGAGCGGGGAAGAGCCGAGGCATTCACCCCAGATTCTCACAAGAATTCAAGCGAAGCGGCCGATACGTACCCAGGATATCTGTTCTCGAACCAGGTCCCCGAGACCTCTGCGTTTTTCTCATACACGGTGAGCGAGTAGTTTGAGAAATGTCGCTGCAGCTTGTACGCCATGAGAAGGCCCGATGCACCGGCGCCAATGCACACGACGCGGACATGGCGCTGTGCATGGATGGGTCCCCGTCGGCGATGCTGAGCATCAGTCTCGGGGCTCGCTGTAGAAGGTACCAAAAAGTCCGCCATAGTGTCAGGGTATCAAGCAAGCGGAAATGCAGAAACAAAACCCAGAGGACGTAGATGAATGCAAAGATGCGCGAGCCATATGTACTTTCTTTATAGCGGACGCACCGCGGCACAGTTGTGGAGTCATTTGGATCCGCTTTGTATCCTGCTATCGAGTCAGTGCGAGTATATTGGCCGGACACAGGCCCGGCGTGGATCTGGGGAAGGCCGATATGAATCGGCGGGGCGTGCCAGCGCAGGTGGGTATTACTCGTGCCGGGTCGGAAATGTTTTGGCGACGGGGACGTGGAGACTAACGAGTAGCGTTTGGGTCCTAAGGTGCTACGACTCGCGCACCAGCACGTCGAGGCTCACCGATGATGCATTCCTGGGGCGTGGTATGCGGTGCAGTTCATGGCTCGGATGCGGATGCTGAGGTTTCCTTGAATTGTGAGGATCACGCATGTGGTGAACCGAGGCCACGTTGCCCCGCATGCCTAGGATATCGCTATGCAGTCCTCAAGGTCGTGGAGTGATACGGTGGATACGGACAACGGCCAATACTGGTTTTGGGTGATGTTGATTTGAAGAAATGTTGTGAAATCTACTGAATAGTAAAACCACCATCGGCTACAAGGGCCGATCCAACAACGTAACTACTCGCGTCCGAATGCAAAAATGCAATGACATCACCTATCTCCTCCATTGATGCAAACCGTTGTATGGGCACCTTCACCCTCTCAGCATCCATCACGCTGCCTTTATCCATCGTGCTCTCGACTAAAGGCGTCAAGACGTATCCTGGACATATAGCATTGATCTTGATTCCCCTGGGCGCCATCGCGATTGCGTCTGCCTTGGTCAAGCCCACCACCGCATGCTTGCTCGTAGCGTATGCTGTTGCAGGAACGTTGAGCGTCGGCCCAACCTTGCCATACATCGACGCAGTGTTCACAATTGACCCGCGATACGCCCTATACGAGTCGCTCCACTTCTCCTGCTTCAACATCTGTCTGATTTGCGCACGCTGACATAACCACACGCCCGTTGTGTTGATGCTCATGACCCGTTCAAAGTCTTCTTTATCGATTTGATCGGTCGTTTTGAGCGCGCCTCCGATGCCTGCGTTGTTGAGGGCGTAGTCTAACCGTCCGAACTCTTTGACCGTCTGCTCGATGCTGTCGTTGACGGCGGCTTCGTCCGCGACGTCCATCTCGATTTCTAGTGTTTTGATATCTGGGTGCATTTTCTTCAGGTGTTGAACTGTGTGTGTGACGGGGTTACGGTCGATGAGAGCGAACGAGCGGACGCCTTGTCGAGCCATTGCGTAGGCGGCATGTTGGCCGATCCCTGTGTTGTTTAACACAACTCCTGCTGTGTGCTGGCCGGGTCTTTGCAAGGGTTATCGCGTGTTTACTTACCAGATCCTGCACCTGTGATGTAGGCGACACCTTTCAGAGAAAACGGCATACTGTGCTGTAGATCCCTGAGACACAAATAGATCAATCTAATTGACGACGCGAGTTCTCTCAGAGAGTGTAATTAAAGGTGAAACAGTTCGCGCGATAGTGATATGCAAATTGAGCCCCCCCCCCGGACCTTCTGATAGCCACCATGGCGGGGCTCACATGCGGAAGCTACAGTTCCAGTTCCGGGCTGGAATACTTACGCGGGGTCTCCACATGGTAGCGGGGACGAGGCGTCTCGGGGCGCTCGTAAATAGCGTTGGCGTAGTCCGCTGTGGCTGGATGTGCTTGGATGTGCTTTGCCGCGGGTTCTCGGAAGCGGAGAAGATTGGGTAAAGATGTACGCGAGTCATGATGGCTTTGTTGAAATGGCAATGCGAGTCAAGCCATGTAGGAAATTGCTGTCGCTGTAGTTGCGAATTGCGAAGTCGGGTTCCGATGACGACTACATTTCAAGTATCAACTGAATAGATGAGATAGGAACTATGAGACAGTAGTCGGTAGTGTGCTGTCCAGCACAAACGTCATGCCGGATTGCCTCGGGCGAGACAATCACAGGAACTGGCAATTAGATGAGCCCCGAGAGACCAATGACTATCCAGACTGCTCGAACTGTAGAGAGCAGCTCAAAGACCAACGATGAAGTTGGTTCAAATTCACGAGATACGTGCCCTGTGCCCAGGTGCATCTGAGCTCACGTGAGCGCGCGTCTGCCAAGCCTTGCAAAGCATGGATCTAGCGTGTCACAACATCAACGTGGCGCACCATGCATCGACACAGACCCCGCTCAATATGCGCTCGTCATGACACCGCGCCCAACCCGTGTCGCGCAAACCTCCACCGAGGTCAAAAAGCTTTACAAGCAGCATGGGCCGGGCTTTACAACCGAGCGACAGCAACGACAGCTGGAACGCGCTGCCGACCTAGAAAAGCGAGCCCTGGGACTACGAGAGCGAGAAGAACGTGGCAAGGCGAACAAGAAGAGGCGTGAAGAAAAGGAAAGAAAAGAAGCGGCGTTGAGGAGGATGAACGGCGTTGGCCTGGCGACACAGTTGATCGGATACAGCTTTACTCAGGCACAGTTAAAGAAGGGGATGGAAGCGTTTCTGGGATACAAGAAGAAGAGCGATCAAGACCGGAAAGAAAAGGAGCTGGAGGTCGCGAAACAGCTGGAGGCTGTGGTTGAAGACGCTGCAAAAGAGCCTTGGGACGACGATGCCGACGATACGTTTGACTTACCCGAGCCGAGTACTCGGGGTGGAGACCAATTCTTGGATGATGATCTAGATGATGATACTCTCCTCGAGATACATGATCAAGTCACGTCAGACCCGGTAGAAGAAACCACCGAAGCTCCGGAGCCGCCAAAGATCGCTTCTTCCGCACCCGTCGCACACTCGCCGAACATGCTGCAATCGTCGAAGGAGGATATCGAGTTTGTCCGCATACACGGACCGATTAATAAAGTGATCGACTCGATTTTGGACACGTTACCGGAGCCTCTGTTTGAGCACCTATCTTTAGATTGCTCTATCGATCCAACCGCCTGGGATCCCTCGCCTGCACTGCTTCACAAGCTGAATCCGCCTGGGCTGCCACCTCACCGGCTTCGCCTCAAAGTAGGGTGTGTGGTAACAGTCCTTCGAGACCTCAATACCAGCAGCCAACTATCAAGAAGCCAGCACCTACAGATAATGCGAGTAGAGCAAGATAGGCTAGAATGCTTGGTGTTGGACGGACAGCTTGAAGGAACGAAAACGTTTTTAACCAAGATTCCATTTGCTGCCAAGCACCGGAACGAGGATATATTTCCTTTCCAGCGCATCCAGTTCCCAATACATGTCTCAAAAGACTTCATTGCGCCAATACACAGTCGGAAACCATCACTATCCGGTTTCAAAAAGCCGACGCCCGTCATCCATACATCACAACCCTCAAATTCCTCAAAGCGATTGGTCCCGCCACCGAGAGCCACTTTGCAGACCAATCGCAACCCGAGCTTCAAGCTCCCAGGCTTGCCAGCCTCGAAGTCGAAGCATGCGCCAATATCAAAACCCACGTTATCCCTCCCTGCGCCAGTAGTGCTTGATGGCTGGGACGACTTTCTCGATAGTGCAACACAAATTGCTCGCGATCTATCCTATGAATCATCATCGCCTTGCCAGGTACCACATCAAAATTTGTCAGACCCAAAATCCCCCAAGTTCCCTGCGGCCATGGTGACAAAATCTTTGCCTCCGCTCTCGACTCAAGACTTCGACTTCGACTTGGAAGACCTAGACGATTTCCTAGTATTGTCCCAGGACGAGATCAAAGACCGAGATGGACAATCGAGGTCCGTAAACCCGCCACTTTTGCCAGGAAAGCCTTCCAGTGCATCCCCACAGCCAAGTAAGAGGCTAAACTTAGGCACAACGCGGCCTCCAGACACCACCGGCCCTGCTCTTAAGCTACACGATCGGCCAACGCTCAAGCGGAAACATTCCGAGGGATTGGTGAAAGCCGCAGGAAGTGTTGCACCAACGATGAAAGCCTTAGCTGCAACAGGCATGCGTGACAGTACTCACCTCGTTAAGAGGCTACAAATGCACTCGACTGGGACGACACCGGTCTGCAATACGGCAAACACAAAATCTGTAAGCAATATAAGAGCGAAACAACTCGTCAGTACCCCTCAGACGGTCTCCAGGCCAACATTTAGTCAGTTGGGGCTGTCCACGCAGGAGGCCGTTTCCTTCTTTGATGTCGACGACGACGACGACGATGATGATCTTACTTTTGGATCACCGCCCATTGCGGTTCGATAGGCCTTCTATGAACTCAGATACCCCTTTTTGGATAAGGGCGTTGAGATGGGGTTTCACGGGCACGGTTTGGGTATCATTGTTTTGAACTGGCTCACACCTACAATGCTATATTATCATTTCGTCATCGTTTGCATGCACCCCGTTGACCTCTTCCTCATCTTCATCGTCGTCGATCTCTTCTAGTGGGTACGTCAGGATGGCGGCAATGCTCCCCAGCGCCTCTAATCTCTTCCCGCTCTCGTGCAAGCTACTCAATACCCTCACCTCACCACCTTCAATGTCTTTCACCCGATCCACAAGTGCAACCCATCGTTTTCTCTCGGCGAGGTTGTGTGATCGGAAAAGCGTATTCGAAATCAGAAGTACACCGCCCCCTCTGCCGACTGCTCCACTATCCACCGCCCGTTCGATTTCTCGTGGTCCGTACGCGGCGCGCCCGTCTTCCAGTCGCATGTGTTTCATGAACGTGTCCATGAGTGCGGTTTCGCGGGTGAACTTGGCATCGGAGAGCTTCGCCGTGCAGGCTGGTGATGCTAGTACCTCCGCGAGGTTGTGAACGTGTTCGCCAGCCGAATGCGCAACGACAATACTCGGTATAAGAACCTGGAGGAATTTATTCCCTGTCCGTACCGCATAGTCCTTGACAAATTGCAGAAAAGCCTGCGCGTAGAAGCCCGCGCTCGCAAGCAACAGCGGCGCCGTCTTCTCTGTCTGCGCATCCCTCTTCGCACTCTCCATATCCCTCTGCAGCGTGCTCAATAGCATATTGTGAAACTTCTCTAGCCCCTTGTTATGCTGCTCCATGTGTCCCTTGCCCTTCCTCGGCACCGACACCTCCACGCGATTCCGCAGTATAGTCTGGTGCTCAGTAATCAAGCAAATATTGGCAATCCCTTCGCCCATAACCACCGCCCACATCTCCGCCCTACTCCCCGTATTACAAGCCTCGGTCAACATCCCCACCGCCACACTATCCCACCCGTCCACCTTCTCAAGCGTGAATTTGCGATTCAACTCTAGGTCCAGCGTATGGTGGCTGCCCATCTTGACGTGCTCGTTCTCAGAGACGACACGCCCGGCGACGTGGAGCTCGTTGCTTGCGAGGTCGAAGTCGCTTGATGTAACGGCGATGGTAAGGTCGAGCGCGATGCGCTGGGAGGTTACGGCACCGGCGCCCATTTCTTTAGAGATGCGTCTGATGGCTTTGGCGCGAATTTGGTCGGTCGGTTGGATTAGGTTGTAGGCGTGCCACATGTCTTCTGGTTCTTCGGGGAGGAGCGTTGCGGTGCCTGCGCCGGTTTTGGCCTCGATTTGTTGGCGGAGGAGCTTCATCTTGAAGGCAGGGTGGAGGTAAGTCGGCGCGGGTACTCGTATTGAGTGGTCTGGCGTAACACAGGGTGCTCAGACACTTGATTCGGCGCTGCGGGATGTTTAGAGTACGCTATGAACGCATGCAAAAAATGCTAGCTGTTGGTGGTTTTTGGTAGAAGGTCGCAAGCGCGGCGCGTTGAGGGGCAGTCGTGACGTGGGAGGGACATATCACTGGTTATCGATAACGCTCAGTCGCTCAACACCGCAAACTCAACTCGAAGAAATCCAGTCTGATTTGATGGGTTCGAAAAATATATAGTGATCATTACACATTTGTATTGCGTCACATTGATTAAGTGGTCAACTTCTCTCAAGACTTCAGGTAGCTTCCGCATACAAGATAGCTTGAGAACGGGGTGGATCGGCCTCAATTGGGGCACATAGAGCGGACGTCAATGGTCAAGCCAGCGTGACTCATCCTCGCTACACAATTCATATGTGGCTACAGGCGCCACGTAGTCTTCCGCGATTTATTTGAGACAAAATAGCCCCGCATTGCCCTCGTTCTCCGTTCGTTTCTGTGTCTATATACTTAAAAATCCAAAATTTTGCCACATTCACCGCCCGGTAAGTTTCACCATTCAGCTCCTGATATGAGCCTGACTAACAATCCATAGCATGGCTTAGTGGTACAGCGTCGCACTCGTACACCAAATGCAAATGCGAAGATCCCTCGTTCGATTCGGGGTGTGGGCATCTTTTTGCTTTCTGCAGCTTTTTCTGTTGATCTTGCATCGTCGACATAATGTCGTCTGTTTGTTGAGCACCTGCATGTTGGTACAGGATGCGTTGAGCTAATTTTTCAGTATCTGATGTACCATCTGAAAGGTGATTTTTGCTTTGTTCTCCGAATCGATGTCGGGTGTGGTCTGGCCATTGCCATGAGTCAAAACGGTAAGGTATTGAAACCGTGCTGCAGTATTCGCAAATATCTTCTACAAGACCGGTACGAAGAATGGGCAACATGCGAGGACAGCGGCTTCCCCTTCTGACCTTGCACAGTGAAATAGACCAATGATCGAAAACGATTGAACAGTAAACAGGAAGCAGACATTCGCACTTGACCTTCCTCAGAATTCAATGCAGAGAGATCTAGCGAACAAGAAATGCGCACGTGAGCTTCCCCAGAAACCATTTTTCATTTTCAAAGATCCAGCCTTGAGCAGAATCATCGGCCTCTTACAAGCTGGTCACGGACAAACCGACCCTTACGTCGTCCCTGTGCCGCTCCCTGTACACCAAGCTTATGGTGAATTACTATTTCTCAGATGATGCTGCACCAATACAAGATCGCTCATTTTCTTGAAGAAGTCGGCTCCACTCATCAAAGCAATCGAAACCGATCATGCCTCTTCGCTGTCATTACTATTGTTCTTCGAACTATCACCGATTTCGCTGCCACTGATGTACTATCCAGATTATCCTCGCTCCTTCCATTCGCGGCTGTATTTACCTATTCCTCTGGGGTCTATTCGAACGTGTCGCAGAAGTAGCCGTTGTTGGGCTTTACGGACAGCCTACTGACTTGTTTCAAGCAAATTTCGTAGACATTCATACCACTGTTAGCGAGAGGGACGCCTGTGCTGAACTAGTAGTCCCACTAGCTGGTACGAACCATCGTCTGATTTCGGAGCTAGAACGACTGCTCACTTTATTGGAGACGCATACATGCAGTAGAATCTCCGAGCGTCATACCGTGCATTGCCCATCAAGCAGCACGACGCGCTGTCTCTCTGTCACACCGCGGCCATCAAAAGTCAGCTCGTTCCAATTAAGACCAATGAAGAAGTCAGTTTGTAAACGCTTACCCAGTAGAAACACTGCACGCCCACGAAGTTCGTCCCCAATTGCTGTGCTCACTGATTTTGTCGTTGTCTTATTGCCTGGAGTAGACCGACCATTTGAAGGCGCCAAAGTCGTCCAGTCCAACTTCTGTAATAGATTTAGGGGCTGATCACACGCGACGGGTACATGCTGCTGAGCACGCTATGTGTACCAAAAAGATTCGCGTTGACATGTTTTGCTCGAAACATCGGCGCCGTGAGCAGGCGCGTAAATGACAATACGACCCATCACATCCTTCTTTAGGGCAGGAGCGTGCCGGGCAGCCTGTGCGCATCAGGATGACTCGCACGATGGATCGGCGGCAGAGCTACAGTGTGTGGAGAAGAGCAAGGTTTCTCCATATTGCGCTAGTCATATTAGGGAAGGGCGTACAAGAACCCCTTTCTCCTGCCGCCCACCAACCGCCCGTTTGTGCAACGTCGGCGAGGCTGGACCATCAGCACCTTTATCGCATTGTGGCACGGTCTGACTGTTGCATATATCCTTGGAACGCGGTGTGCTTCTGGGTCATGGTCTGCTGTCAACGCGCCGCTGCAGAAGGTGTATTCGACTTTTATATGGTAGCCTTTCATCTTCCAGCCGCGATGCCGAACTATGCGCCTGCCACCGGGGGCATGGTCTCTATACAATCCTCCTCGTGTGACTGTGCGTTCATTTTACAACTAGCCAATCCCGCAGGTACCTTAATCACGACCCTGGTCTACAATACCACCCAACGTTAACGCACAGACAACGTTCCCCCGGAATCGCTAGTGAGATGCAAAAACATTATGTCAAGAGGTCGAGACTCGATCCTGCTGATTGGCGGCCATCCTCTACCACGCCACCGACCCTTCTCAACGCGGCTCGGTTGCATTGTTGAGTAGCCAAACATTCGAGCAACTGGCGTTTAATTTCCGAGCAGCCTTGCTCTCGTGGTGTCTATCATCGAGGGCGCGTGAGCAGCCGCTTAATTGCATGCGGGCGCAGGAAGTATAAACAGTCCAGTGTAGAATCCCAATCTTCCTTGTTGTCTTCGCCATCCACCAGCGTACTCCATCACGGTCATTCTTGTCTGTATTCACTCTTTTTAGTACCGACCCAATCCAGTCTTTCTAGCCAAGATGAAGTACACTTTCACCATTGCTGCCCTTGCAGCCTTCACTGCCGCCCAGAGCATCGCCGACCTTCCGTCGTGCTCTTTGTCTTGCGTCGTCACTGGTGTCTCTGGCATTGGATGTTCGGCCACTGACTTTGAGTGCTCCTGCACCAAGGCGGATCAGCTGACTCCTGCCATCACTCCTTGTGTGCAGTCAGCATGCCCCAGCACTGCCGACCAGCAGAAGGTTATCACTGTTCTTGAGGGTATCTGCGCCGCCGCCGGGATTCCTATCGACGTTCCCGCGCCGGGTGCATCGAGCTCTGCTGCCGCTGCTCCCACCTCTGCGGCTCCTGAGCCTTCAGAAACCGAGGCCAGTAGCAGCGTTGCCCCTACTATTCAAACCTCTGGTATGTCATCTCATCCACTCGTCTCATGCATTCGACGAGAATCGACTCACTCACCTCCTCAACAGTCCCGGCTACGCCTTCTCTCACCGACATCGTCATCTCGAGCACCGGCTACGCCTTCCCTTCCGCCACTGCTGAGGAGTCCTGCGTTGTCGTTACCATCACCGTCACCAAGACTTCCAGCTCTGCCGTTGCTCCCTACCCAACTGGCCCTGTTGGGACTGGTGTGCCGCCAGTTGTTCCTTCGGGCACAGGCTCGTACTCCCTCCCTCCACCATATTTCACTGGTGCTGCTTCTGGCATGAAGGTGCCTGCCGTCGCTGGTCTCTTGGGCTTGGCTGCCTTCGTCTTGTAGATTTTACGAGACGAGGTACATGCAATCATGGTTTGATGAACCGAGGAGGGTAGATGTGGGTGATGGGTAGGAGGCATGGGTATATAGTAATGTTTAAATCATGCCACTTTGCATGAAAAACTTGATTGAATGATAAAGACTACTCAGGTGACGTTGAAACGTATTTTATTGCTCATGGCTGGCAGCGCTAAGTCAGAGGTTCCACGTATCCGCCTCGCACATTCGTGTTGCAGCAATCCGCGATGACGTGATGAGACAGCATGACGCGCAAGCGCCATATAATCTTAGATAATTGGCCTAGCGCGGATGCAGGTATAATCATCGGTACGGGAGTGGAGCGAGGTGGGGTCTCACCGAGGTGACGATGACAAGGTTCTCATAGTTGATCTACTATTACACCCACTCGAGCACCACACTGTCCCACAACCAACCTCTCCATTGCGTGCTCTCGGTGACCGTGATATCCACCTTATTGTCACCGGACTTCAGCAGCTCCTTCTTCACATCCCATTGAAGATTTCTCCACTCTCCAGCCTGAGTCGCTCCGCGGTAGGTGTCCTGGCTGCTTACCAGGAGCACAGCATTGGACGAGATATTTCCAATCTTCTCATTGTTAACCAGGATATTCGATTTCGTGCCGCTGGAAAATCCGGCGAGCGATGTGTACAGTCTCGCACCCGTGGCAGACTCGGGCACGTTCTTCAAGTTAAAGTTGATGGACCAGGTGCCGAGATTGGACTGCCCGAAAAACCAATCACTCGAGCGGGACCTATCAACAGTATACGTGAGGTTGCCGGGGGTTTTGGCGATGCGGCCGTGTTCGAATGGAGTAGGGCCGCTGAGAGCAAATCCTCGGGAAGTACGATCGAAGTCACTATTGTGGATTAGAATACGAACCACATTTTAAAAATAAAAACTTACCCAATCTGAAAGATACGCTTGCTCTTATCGGTAACGGTCCACTTGAGAGATTTCAGATCTGTCTTCTTGCGCTTGGAAACGACAACATCGTTCTGCACAAACGAGGTCGTTACATCTGCGATGCTTCCACCGTTGCCCCAAGCATACAGACCATAAGTGCCAGTTCGTACATCATCGATAGTGAAGCGACCTTGCTTGTCGGCATAAGCAGTGTAGTAGTAGTCCTTGCCCTGGTCAGCGGTGCTGAGTGCTGAGTTGCTGTCTCCAAGGAACACGGCAGCTCCGGAGGCTGGTCGCCCATCGCTGAGGAGTAGCTTTCCAGAAACCGAGCCGCGAGACTGGTATGCCGTGTTTTTGAACCACTCGTAAGGCCATGCCTTATCTTCCTGCCTCCAGCGTCTGTCGGCATCGGCCTTGTTACCGTCGTTCAGATACCTGGAAAATCGAATTGTAAGCACATATCCAAGATCTGAGATATGTTGTGTAGTTCGAATGACTCACCACAGCCATGGACCCCAGGTCTTCCCATCTGTGAAGTTATCGCTGGAGCGGGCGAGATAATGAGTACCGTGGATCATATTCAGCTGAACGGCGTCGCCAGTCTTGGACTCACGGTGAACCTACCAATGCTCAGTCTCGAAACAGATGCAATGTTGGTTTTCCTCAATTATACGTACCATGAGTTCCTCTTTCAGATGGTCACCGTTGTAATAATCCTTGCCAGGATTGATGTACCAGCTTCCAACCTCATCACCATAGACACCGTAGTATGTTTGGTCTCTGATAAAAGCAGACCAATCATACTTGGTCAGGAAAGTACCGTCTGCCTTCTGCCAGGTTTCATCCTGGACATTCGTCGCAGCAGCATACTCCGACAATGGAGGTAATTCTCCATCCTTGACATTCGTGTGTCCATTGGGGAAGGAGACGTTGTCCAACCGCCATAGAGTTCGAAATTCGCCGAGTGTGGGAAGAGCGTGGTTCACGAAGTACTGGTACGCGCCAGCTAGGTCATCGTGGATGACCCAATGGAAGTCGCCCTCCTTTGCTGTAAATTTGACGTTGATCCAGTCTCTGCCCGAGTCGGCTATTGCCGCAGAGGTCCAATTGAGATCGGACGCCGCGCCATCTTAGCAGGAGTTAGTTGTAAGCGTGCTCATCTATGGAACGTTAACTTACTGTAGCTCACGTAGTGGCCGGTGGCGGTCGGACCGACACGATCTTTTCCCTTGTACCAGAGCTTAACGCCATACTGGCGACCTTGTGTCATGTTCCATATGCCATTACCAATGATCCAAGTTGAGTTGCCTAATTCCTTGAGAAAGCTTTTGGGTTGTGCCGCGCTCGTTTCTGCAGGGGCAGCAGTAGCGCAAGCGGCGAGCGCAGCGACACCGGCGAGGTGGAACATACCCATTGTAAGTGAGATATGGGGAAGCTCCGCGTGGAGATACAGAGTTTTGGGGTCGTCCCCAAATCTTTCTTATACCATTATACTCATCCCTGCACGAGTATAGCTGTGCCATGTCACTCGGTGGTATTTGTGCCGACCAATAACGCGCTTGCCACTAGCTTCGCGGGGCCCCATACTGATCGACCGAGGGATGGGATACCAAACATTAATCCTGCAATAGGAGCCGTCATATCTCCGAGAACGAGGTATAGTTTATCTTCATTTCCCGGTGTCGAATCGTGAACGGCTTAGGCGCGTGCGTATCTCTGCCCCGAAGACCGGGTTCCTCGCATTTTCGTGCGCATCACGACTTCAGGGGCCGCTTGTCCGGCCCGAAAGGCAATGATGGGTACGGCGGAGGAAGAAAACTAGGTGCAGGAGGTACGATGAAGGAAAAGTAGTCGTCTTGGAAGTGATGAGTCCCAAGTGGGTCCCAAGCTAAGAGGAAGGCGTAGTGCAGCGCTGGGACATGTTGTCACGTTGCACTTACCGTGAAGGAATGCATTGCGCTGACGTACTACTACGACTTTCCCGCCCATTTTGATCTTTGTATCGCCAGATGTGACGATGTCCAAAGAAATCTGTTTCCATGCTTCGAAGGTGCTTCTTTGGAATTGCATGTATAGGACACGAGACGAGCCTCGGCTGCGCGGCGCTACCAACCGTTTTAAAAGCGGACGATGCCCCAAACCATCAAGACCCGCTCAAGACCCTTGTGGATAACCTGCCTTAGCAGCTCGTCCGTCGAATTGGCACGTCACCGCCGCTTCAGTCGGTCAAATAAAACATGTTGGCGCCTTTGTACTTTCCGAGTGCTCGCGTGCACAACTCCGAGGACCACGTACCCTTACAGCAGCCTCGATAATTTGCTCGAGCGTGTTGCGACAGTATGAGGGCTGCAATTGCCTTGGGTAGACTGGCAGCTTTGAGCGCCGTCTCTGCAACAGCAAGCGCCAATCGTAATGACAATGGTACCGACCATGCGGCAAAGCAGCTCCTGCAAGAGTCCATGAATTGGATGGACATGTACTACGACACCGAGGCTGGATACCTATACAACCTTGACTCAAAAGCGCTCCTCCACGACACACGCTCATCCGCTTGGTACTCTGCCGGCTTGCTGGCTCGAAATGAAGGGGACGATGTAGAACAGGCATCGAAGATCGTCGAGAACATAATTGCAGGACAGCACAGAAATGTGAGCTCACAGTGGTATGTCATAGAATGTCGATTCTACTTTTCCCAGATGTGCGACTGGAGCTGATCTTCAAAAGGTACGGTGACTACCAAATCTACCCCGAGGAACCCACCGTAGGAACACCTCAGTATCCACCCGTCATATACAATTCGTGGGACCCCAATTGGCGCGGCTTCGTAGGCACGACATTCATTCTGATGCTTGAAGAATTCCCAGATTTAATTCCACACGACACGCAACTCCGCATACTAGAAAGCCTGCACAATGCGACTGTTGGCGACAGCTACCGCGTAGGCGGCGTAGACTCAGACAACCTCTACCCTTCGTATAGTAATCCAGCCATCATGCGGGCCTTCATGTCCGGATGGGTTGGCCGAAGACTCAATGACTCCAACATGACCACCGCTGGTGAAGCTTATGCCAAAGACATCGTCACCTTGTTCGACCGTGCAGATACGCTATCGGAGTTCAATTCTGGAACATACGCGGGTGTTTCGCTATACGCGCTTACCCTTTGGGCAAAGTACTTACCCCAATCGTCCCTGATGGGCCAACATGGCTCCATTATGATAGAGAAAACCTGGGAGAAACTGGGCCAGCTGTACAATGCAAATCTCAAGAACGTCGCGGGACCGTGGGACCGCAGCTATGGATACGACATGAACCGCTACTTGAGCATTCTGGCCCTTCAAATCTGGACGTTGGTGGGCAAAGTCGAAGCACCGATCAACGCGAAGCCGTATACCATGGGTCACAAGAATGACTTCGCCATCGGCCCGCTTGTAGCTATCCTCGCACCTTTTCACAATACGCTGGTTCCCAACAACACGCTCTCAGCTTTGCACACTTTCCCGGGCACGCACACTGTTTCCACTTCGGCGTTCTCGCCACCGTGGGATACGTACCCGCGCAATATTACCGCGTGGATCTCGCAAAATCTCACCATCGGTGCAGAGTCCTTCTCCGAAAAGGTGATCGGTGGTCCGGCGAAAAATCCGTCCAGCTTCAACCCGGCGGTCGTTCAATGGAGCAGGAAGGATGGAAGCGTCGGGTGGCTGACTCTGTATGCTCAGGTGGAAGAGCTGCAGGCTGTGGCGGGCGATAGCACGCTAGAACTAGAGTATCCGAAGGGGAACAAGAGCAGCACCTTTACCTTCCTAGTGGGTACAAATTCTAAGACCGGGAAGAGGGATGTTGCGAGCTGGAGCGATGTTGAGGGTGTCCAAATTGGTGTCAACGGGACTGTGGATCCCATGTACAGCGTCGCGTTCGCTGGGTACGTCGGTGGTGCAGGAGAGACGATCAAGTAAGTTAAAACCTGGATATGACCGATTCCCCCATTGACTCTTGATAGCGACTTTGAGTTTTGGAACTTCACGTACGGCATGCCGGTAGGCAGTGGTGAGACGCCACGGGTCAAACTTAGCTTCAACCTCCAGTAGCCCCTGTAGCTAGATCATGAAAGGTTTGCATCCTCAACGACGGTTATCGACACTGCCGCTACCGTAACAAACGTTCGACGCAACCTCATCGGACAAGACGCGCCAACTCACTACTCTGCGGTGCAATTACATGCCAAGCTGATGATATCACGGCAGCTTCGCGCACAGCCGCCTTCCTATTGCACACATTTCGGTCATGCCTGATGGCGGTGAGGGGTGCAAACACAGCACTATCCCGCAAATGCGCGTAGCGATAAGACTAGGAACGGGGGCAAAGATCAGGTCGATGCATGTGCACTCTATCTCCCAGACTGAGGTGTTTCGAGTAGGTGAAGCTGATTGGGTGCTTAGATCGAGGTGTGGTCGGTCTCCTGCATGGGGGCGGCGCAGTCGCAGAGACTTGTCAAGGGGCCGTTCTTGCCCAACCCCCTAGGCTCTCAAGTTCTATCGAACGCTCGGGTGCCTTGTGTGCGTTGTATTGTGAGGAATGAATAGCTGAACCCTGAAAGGGCTCAGTGTAGCTGCATGCAAGCTCCTAGGTACCATACGGTAGGTGTGGGCAAAGCCACCTGAACCACTACGCGCCCGTGCACGCAATAGGTGACGGATACAGCGATAGTGTGATTGCATGAATACAGAGGGCTGTGCGATAAGTGTGGCTCCCCAGCCGCGCGCTCCTTTTGCACGTGCATGGGAATTGAGACGTGGCTGAGGACGTTTGTAAAGGCTGTGCAGCAGCGTGCTCGGATGGCTGTGATTCGTCGCAGGTGGTCTCATTGATGTTTTGAACTGATGTCCTGGACATACAAATATGTAGAATTCCAAGGACGAGGCCATAGTGCAGTGCATTCTCTATCAGCCTCCTCAAAGCTGCATCGCTGTGCTCATCAATAATCACCATGCCTTCCCGCACTCGTACTTCTCCACTATGGGACCCATATGCTATACTCAAGATCGACAACATGGGCCGCTGCGCAGGCTGGGCCCGTACCCGTGGACGCAATTGTGCCATGACTGTCGCATTACACAATCAGCAGAACGCCGACTATCTCTTGAACGCCATAAGCACGAAGGAGCCGGATCCAATCGCCCTGGAAAATGATCTCTATCGTCTAGCAGGCTTTCTGCTATGCAGGCGATGGCATCAGAACCAAGCAGATGTCATGGTGGAGAAGTGGAGTGCCAGCATGGAGCGTTTCGCGGTGGTGGAAGAGGAGGAACGTTCGCGTCAAAGACGGGCTTCTGCTGGTCGCTCGTCATCGATTGTATCCGAAGTCTCATCGTATTCCAGGTCGTCCTCGAGGTCTTCGCAACTTTCCGGGACATCGTCAAGATCGTCATCGTCGAGGTCATCGGATGCATCTTCGCGAACAACTTCTCCCAACTTGTCAGGATCCCAGCTTCGAGCGATGGAGTCGTTGATGTCGCAGAACTTGGAGCGTATTGCACAGTTGGAAGCGACAATTGCGGCACTCACTGCTCGAGTCGCACCTACTACTGAAGTCGCCTCTCCAGACCAAGCCGGGAATTCTAGTCAAGCCGCCGCTGCGCCTGCTACTCCGGCCGCCCTCCTCACTCATAGTCGCTCTGCTCAACCCACTGCTCCCGCTGAACGCAGCGGTTCACGAGCACAGCTTCCGCCTTCCGCTTCCTCCTCATCACCCTCCTCATCACCCTCCTCATCCCCAATTCCCACTTCGACTCCCACCAACTCATCATGCACCCTCACACACGTCCGTCGCCGCGCCATTGATGACGAATGTCCTATTTGCCACGAGGACTTCCTCCAGGACGATGCCTTGGTATGGTGCAAGAGCGAGTGCGGGCGAACCGTGCACAAGGCATGTTTTGAGCACTGGGAGAGGTCGTGTCGGGCGGATAGAAGGGTGGTGACCTGTGGAATTTGCAGGACGGCGTGGGAGAGGGAGTGTGGATGCGAGTGATGGAGGAGGAAGATAGATGTAGATGTCTGGCGTTAGAATGTAAGCATATAGTACAGCTGGGAATTCTTTTCGTTTCGAAGTAACTCGGGGGGCGAGGGTGTAGACATAGGCATTATAGAAAGGAATTTTGGGCGTGCCATTCCTCGGTGCTCATGGCTGATCTGTTTCTCAAGAACACTTTTTAATACACTCTCCTAGATTATGAGTTTCTGAATAGCATTGCTGAGCGCTGTTAATTGGAGATGAGATCCTTGAATTAGAGCTTCGTATTCTTCGTTCAGCAAGAACCTCCTGAAAATGAGCCATTGAAGCAATGTGGGAAGTGTTTCCGTCGGCGTCAGACGCTACACTTTGGAGCACACAGCTCGGCAATATCTGAGCAGTGCTTCAGTATATATGCCCTAGTCTTGGCTTCACTCAGCGTACTAGGTCGTCTCCACTTCGAAGGGAATAGTTCAAGAGACGTCTCGCTATCAGCGCCGCCTACGCACACAACGAACGGTCGGCATTCTTGCGCAAGGAAACCACCTTTTGGTTTTCAATCAGACTGCTCGGTTGCTCATCGGCCTGAAACTAGCATGTGGATTCGTCATGCTAACCGAGGCGATGAGGGGCTTGCCAATGTAGGATCAAGCAATAGCGGAAAGGGGCAACAACGAATCGAGTAATTATGATCGAAAGGATATCTGGAGCTCGATTTCTCGTACTGACATCATCAGCCGGACAACAGGAACTTGATCTGACATATACAGCAAGTAGACGTGCGAACTTTTGACAAATGGGACTTTCAAAACCGAGATATGGCTGTTGTTGCTGGTCATTTCTGTAGAGCGGCCTCCTAACGGACTTAGATATCTCCTGCGCGGGCTCCTATTGAAACGTAGAGAAAAGCTCAGAGGATGTGCTCACAATTCCTGCAGAACAAGCGGCCTTCACATATCCGCTGCGTGCATTATTTCCTCCTAGTCAACCACACCTTTTTCAGGGAACCTTTATAAACTACATCTTTTATAACTTCAGAATCAGAAGATGTTTTCTTACCATGCCACCCCTCCCAGCACACGCTACGCCGGTCGCAACTCCAGAGAAAGAACTGCGACTGGTGCATAGTTAAGCTCGACTTGGTCGAAGCCGAGCTCACCTTCACTACCATGCGTCATTAAGGCACCGAATTCCGTTACCCTTCGCCAGGGCCTTTCGAAAGTGGCTCATCTGCTGTTGTACAAGCATTCTCAACAGGCTCAACGAGACAAGACCGTGCAGCTGGGGAAGTCGTGTCGACGTTTTTGCGACCAAATAGCAGCAGAGAGGCTCACGGTAGCGCTTTAGACGTAGACTTTGCGACGTTGATGAACTTGTTCGGAAGGGCATCTCTCAACGCCTCTGCAGCTTCCTCAGCTTACGCGTCGTACGAGAGTCCGCCGTCGTATAAGACGTCTGTAGCATCCACGTAATTCTTTTCCGCTCGATGCGGGACGTTTCGAGGCTTGTTCCATGTCTTCGATATTCGGCTTATCCACAATGATTCAGTCTTTGCAGTCGGCCTCTGTTTCCGGGTCCGGAAGCTCCGGCAACCCCTACGCCATCCTCATCCAGCTCACGCAGCATGGCGGAGGAAGAATCCGAACAGTATTTCGAAAATGAATCTGAAGATGAATCTGAAGAAGGGGCTGAGGAGAATTCTGCGGGATCGGTCGTAACTTCGAAGACTCCCAACAACATCAAGAGGGTAGGAAACTGGAAGGCAGGATCTGCGCTCAAGGAAGGAAGACGGCGAGGCCGGCAACTGATTTGAGCAATTGTTGGGATAATCACTTATGGCGATCAGTGGGAATAATTGCCTCTCGGAACAAGGACATGGCGGGATACTTGGCCTAGGGTCTTCTGGTTGGGTCTCCTTCTGCCCTCTGTCATCGAGCGGACTGCTTCTCACCACGAGGCCCATAGACACCCTCTTTTCAGAAAAGATAGGTAACTAGTTACCCTCTCGAACTGCGCTGTACTGTCTTGTGGTCTCTTCTCTCGATTTCCACAAATATCCCTGCTGACGGCGATTCTTGCTAACGCTGTGCAGATCGCCATACTTTCAGACCGTTTCCATATCTTAGTTCTTAGTCCCCACAACGACTAGCAGTCACTCACACATATCCATCACTCTTGTCTCCCCCACTCGTTCTTCTTCTTCAGCTCCCTCGCAGGAGCCGTAAATTGAGTCTTCATGTCTCCCGCCGTCTTGACCTGCATCTTCTTGTTGGCCTCTTCCATTTGCTTCAGTTGATCCTCCTCGCTCTGCAGCTTCCTCTCGAGGGCGATCTCAAACATATCGCGTCCCTTTCTCTTTCCCTTTAACCCATTGTCGTCGATATCGTAGTAGATGGCCCACCGCAGTCCTTCTCTCCCCCACTCGGTAGTATCATCCGAATCAGCGCCATCCCATTCATCGATTGCGACGAAACCTTCCCAGCCGTCGAGCGTCAGGGCAGATTCGTCTTCGGTCCAGTCCCACTCGCCGACGATTTGGGTAATGGAGGCGCTGCGATTGCCGTATTTGAGCTCGTAGGTTTCGCGGTCGCAGTAGAGCCAGTTCAGCATAGGCGGATCGTCGGAGATGGTGGAGACGAGGCCGCGCTGGGGCGGAAAGCGCTCTTCGTCAGGGTATTGGATGTAGAAGCCGGCGAAGGCGTGGAGCGGCGGATCAAGTTTGGGCGCGGGTGTGGGCTTGGGGTGGTTGTCATCGCGGGGGGACAACCCAGACCTGCACAACGGCCAGAGGTTAACGAGGTCGTTCGCGACGATGTATGGGGGGGAAAAGCGCGTCCGGCGCAAGTTATGAAGAGCAGGCAGTCGTACCTTTCCGTGCCGCAGCACCACTATGCCGTTGTCGACTTCGTCTGCGATCTCATCGTTACTGTCGCAAGACACAAGCGCGTTGAACTTGGTCATGCGCGTCTCGTTGGCGGCTTCTTCGTTTTGCTTCTTCTGATGCTCCACGCCCTCTGCGACGCCCGTCACAACAGGAATGGCGACAATAACGCCGCCTAGGAACAGACCGAGGGGAAGCGCCATGTCTGGCGACTGTGCTTCTTTCGCGGGAGACGTGCAGGGTAGCGAAGGCACATACGGGTGTACACGCGTGGGGCATGTACACTAAAGGTTGGTGGTGTTTGGCACACCTTCTGAACGATGGAGACGCTGCGTCATTAGGGAGGAATAGCTGTTGACTAGTCCAACTCCAGCCTCTCGACCACCAACTCACTCGCACTGCCTCGCCCCATATAGCATCGTTTCCATGACTATCTCTGTAGGTGTAGACTGATCAATGCATGTAGATGCGGAAGTGCAATACTGTGCGACCTTCCATGTGGGGGGTAGATCCTCCCCGGCTTATCGGCTACCTACGCCGCATGCTTCTGTCACAGCGTTTGCCCTCAACACTACCTGGGTTCAATTGACTTGGCGAACAGTGTGCTCTCAACTACGAAAAACCTCGAAATGTCAAACCCGGCATATTCCACGCCAGAATGGTATCTCAAAGCCCAGGAAAAAGACGTAAGCAGTGACATTGGCCGATTGACCATCTACCACCTCGGATTTAAGCAGGCAGCGGAAGGTACCCTATTATTTGCGCCACTCGACTTCTCCAGCGCACCCCGAGAAGTACTCGATGTCGGAACAGCAGATGGTCTCTGGATGCGCGAGGTCCAAATCTTCAATTCCCGCGCCGCCTCAAGGCGAGCACACCTTCACCGGCACGGATATCAATACGTCCTTCTTCCCAACTACCACCACAAAGAACATTACATATGTGAAGCAAGACATCAAAGACCCAACGCCACAAGCCTGGCATAATGCCTTCGACCTCGTCAACCTCCGCATGATCCTCATCGCTGCCGGCTCCGGCGCCGCACAGCGCGCTGTGGTCAACGAGTACATTAAGCTCGTCAAGCCTGGTGGTTGGATCCAGATTGGGGATTGCGATCGCGTCTGCCCGACTCCAGAGGCGGAGAACCCGCGCTATCACGACATGTTCGCGTGCATCCGGGCCGTTTGCCAATCATCAGGCCTGGACCCTCTAGAGGCGCCCAAGATCAAGTCATGGTTGGCGGAAGCGGGACTCGAGGAGGTACAAGAGCGGACGGCGATGCGCGCGGTTGGGAAGCGGAATGTGAACGAGGAGCTGGGGAAATTGGGAATTGAGGCGGATTTGCTTATCGCGAAAGGGTTTGCCATGGGTGCGAAGGGTGAGTCGCGCGTGCCTGGTCTCGACGAAATCTGGAAGGAGTATACTGACCGTGCTAGGGTTGGATCCATCTTTCAAGCCCTTACCGGATGAACGACTGGATTCGCTAGTGCATAGTCTGGAGACCGAGTTGACCGACACAGGAGCGTATTTTCCGATGCGCTTCATCTGGGGCAGGAGACCACTCTAGGCGTACTACATCATACGAGGCTTGGACCGGGATGAAGCGTGCATTCGATAGATTCTGAACATCATGCCTTCATCAAGGTCCTGCCTGGTAGACTCGAGTGAGTGACTATGCCCCAATGCACAATGCTTAGGTGTATCGGGCAATATAGAATGGCATCAGAAAAATTTCATTAGTCCCCTCACACACATTCTCGGATCTACTGATATGGAGTGAATGCTGCGCGATGCGTCCCTGCGCAAGCCCCCCGCACATTCCAGCATCATCATCATTTGTGCCCCTCGCCTACCATGTAACCCTTGGGAAACATGGATCGCGCCATTCCTTGGCACGCTGTGATCATCCACACGCTCCGCGCTCGCCGTGTTTGCGCCCGCCATATCATGCAACTGTATGATCTCCTCATCCTCTACTCCTCCCTTCAGATGCGACGCGTAATGAGGATGCGCGTGATCAGAAGAGCCGTCGATGTTCGACCGCGAGCTCTTTCTGCTGATGATGCTGCTCACAGAGCTCACTAGGCTGCCGAATATTCCGTTGCGGATCAAGTCGCGCATGACAGGGCGAATGGTCGGAGCGCAGGCGGCAATGATGCCAACTTGGATTTCGATGAGGGTCCACACGCATGTTGCGGTGACGCCGACTGGGGAGAGTTAGTTATTGGCTAAGTTTGATCCATTGGATTACTTACGTCCAGAGTCCATGATCTTATCCTTGGGAGCGAACTTGGTGTAGATACCGATGTAGGATCGCGCAGTGCTAGCTCCAACGGACCTCAAAAACAATTAGCCTTTCTCGATTCAGAGTGAATGCAAATACATACAGCAGCCCCACCAAGAATATCGCAGCGATGGAAATCTTTTCCGTTGTTCGAAGATGGAGGGTCCAAATCTTGTGCATTTCGTAAGTCACCGTGTGCAAATGTTTGAGCAATCATCATACCATTGGTATAGGCATGAGCACCGTAATGAAATCAGACACAGTGCCAGATATCAGTACGCCGAAGTCCAACTGCTGGGTGGATCCACACTCCTTCGCCTGAATCGCGGGGTTCATATGGCTTCGCGCGGAGAAGATGCCGTGATCTCCACAGATGGCCATGAAGGCAGTGAAGAAGCTGATCGTCCACAAGACCATGATAACGATCCATGTGATAATGAATGGGCGAAACTTCGGGATGCTAAAGATCTGGAGGTAGAAAAATGAAACGGAGGTCTTAATGAACCCGATGGCGAGGATGCCGGTTACAACGAAGGAGTAATTGTGCTTGCGATCACTTAGCGATCCTCGAAAGATTCTCTCGATGGAAGATACTAACCATGCGTAGTCTGTAGAGGAAATCCACTGCGGCCGTAGGATTTGCTTTCTGCAAAGGGGCAACTCGCACTGCGAACAGGCCATTCGCAGCGCCTATTCACAGTATCAGAATAAGCATCTACCTTTGCGCCTTTCAACGATTCTTTGCTAGCATCCGAAGCAGAGCGGAGCTTTCCTGCCTTCTAACACGAACTGAGGGGATACTGAATGACCGGTGACTCTTCTGGAGACTGAGGTACGTACAGTAGATCTGTTCTATCGCCAGAGCGGTCGACAAAAAACCCGCAACGATAATGAGGTAGTCTGAGGTGTGGAGCGTCAGACCCTTCATTTTGTGCGACACAAATCGCGAAGCGATCATCAGCAGAACCAGTGTCTGGACAATGACGGCCGCAGCGATGAGTCCATGGGGGCTGTCATACGCCATATTGAAAGAGGTCAGAAGTAGGGCAAAACCGCAACTATGGAAGATGTCTCGTGTCGAGGTGTTGTCCAGTCAGTGAAGATTCGACAAGGACGAGAGCTACCGAGTAGCATAGGCGAGGGCGGGTTCGCCGGTGCTCAAGTGATGAAACCCTGCGCACGGGTCTACCGTTTGGTTGTGCGCGGGAAATCGCATCATCCCGAGGTCAACTAGGGTGGTTGGAATTGGTTTTCACTGGTTACAAAGGCATGTCAGCCACGCATTATCAGGAAGGAGGAGGATCATCTCCCATGTTGATGCCCCAGCAATTTGCATAGCTACTGGCTAACGCGCGGCCCGACTTACCCGCTCCGTACGCCACATTGTCAGACGGGAGCTGCTTCTAGCTTGCGCCGCCGTCTTGCATGAGATTCCTCGTACCGGATACGCAGAGGTCGCAGAGTGCACGACTCCTACAAATCCAACACGGGCATCGAGTGCGCAATTGCATGAATATCCTGTCTTTACTCCAGTACTTGAATCTTTCGAACTGTTCTCCTTAGGTCCAAATTAACAACCCGTGATGTGTCCCGATAGACCTGCTTAATCTCTAGAGGTTGCAATTCCCAGTGATATTGTACAACAAGGCTCCACCGAGTAATTAGTCCCACACACGAATAAAAGGAGCGCTAGGACGGATTTGAAGCGGGAACACGGACTTCAGACAGTCATTGGATGGAATCCCTGGAAGTGGCCGGCGTCCGTCTTACATACAGTAAGACACGTGCATTAGCGCCAACAAGAACCACTCTGTCGGTACTAGGGTGGACGTCCAGACCCACGCTGCGCTCGAAGAGCATTCAAGGAACCAGGTGAGGATTATGTGCGGTACTGGACATCACCTTGAGACATGTTTCAAGATGGATGAATGAGTCGATAAGGCTACAGGTTCGCTCCACTGCATACGTTGTTGCTCACGTGACCCAGCAGTACTGACCCGACCTGAAGCCTTGCGTCGATTCGTGCCTCTATGCAGAAAACGCCAATCGCCTCAAACGTCGCCCGGCCTAGCTGGGCACTGCATTAGGTTCATGTCTCAGTTTCTATGGTAGGTTAGATGCCTACTCTAATGAAGTCCCTCCTCCACTCTTCTCAAAATCGCGTCGAGAGCAGTCTTATGAGTAATCGACACCCGCGTCGGCCTGGATCGGAACCAATATGCTGTCGATTTCTGCATCTATGATCATTCAGAATGCGAGCTTTTTCAAGGCTTAAGGTCATTATGTACCATCTGGTAGAGGAGCAGCAAAAGCGCCCAGCATACTGAAAAGTGCGAAAAAAAGTTGGAGTCTCATGTTGTCTGATTTCTGATGAACACTCGAGTGTAGGATTTGCTTGGTAGACGCACCACCCGGAGTGGCCGCTTCTTATACCAAAAGTCATTGAGACAACGTCACCAATCACGCAAATGCTGTGACAGGCAGCAGTATTACTGCATCTAGCTATTGGCCGAAATGTCGTATGTATATCATGCTGTGACACCCTGATGTTCGAAGCTGCATTACTTACTGCGATAGGTTAAGAACAACAGACGGCGTCAGCCTTGCTGTAGTACAAGCGCCGGGCGTACACCCTGTAGACTATTTATCTTCAGGCTTGGCGTTGGTGTAGAAGCCAATCAAAACGCCGTTACTAGGCCAAGCACTCCGTCATCAGGCGCTTGTTTCTCCCTCAGTGCGAACATGCGTCCAGCTGATGGTGGGTCCGGGCAGACAGAAAACCCATCGAGAGAGGCCTAATAATATCAACTTTCAAGATTCAGCCTTGCTCCGCGGGGACTTCGGGGTTTTCCATTTCTTGACTTCAGTCCTCAACTGCTCCTCCATACCTACGCTCGCCAGGATGAAGGAAACACTTTACAACTTTCTCCCCAAAAGGGACTTCGACTTTAATGAGCCGCTGCTGGAAGAGAATCTTCCCTTAGAGGCGACAAAAACCCGGTCATGTCGAATCAGTCGATATCTCCCTTCATTGCAACAAGCGTTCAATGTTGTTGCGATACTATACATAGCACTATCGCTACCAACAATTTTCTCATTCTTGGGGAAACAGAGAGCCCAAATATACTGTCAGTTATTTCCATTATAGCCGGTATCCTACTCGCCATGTTCTGATGAAGTAACAGCGCCTGTAAATCCACTCATAACGTATGAGCGCCAACCATTACATGAAGAGCATGAAGCACTTGAGCTTAAAGGGTTTGTGGGGCACCCAAATGATACTGAGCCGAATTGGAGGCGTCTTCTCGAACGTACGCCATATATCCTCGAATTACTTGGGCTTGACTTAAAAAGAAGCAGCCATGAACTTTAAAGCCACAAAGGAAGAATTGCTCCAGGCCAACATCGACATTGACGACAAGATCGTCAGAGTTTCCGGCGGCGGTTACGTCGGTGTCCTGTCAGTATATCATGAGCTTCATTGCCTCGTAAGACATCCACTTCTTTCCATGCCGAGAGCCCGCTAATGATCTCGCAGGAAGCTTTGAGAAGGTCAAGCTTGAGGTTGGTCAACTCGGACACTCATTCGCCTCACCAACTAATATCTGCAGATCACACTACTACGCCAAGATGACAGCAGCAGGACTAGATCATGATGATCGTGTTATCGAACATCTAAGTAAGTCCACGCTAGCAGCGCTATATCCGATTTTGATGATGAACTGACCGGTTCAGCCCATTGCATTGAGTATATCCGTCGGACCATCATGTGTCACGCTGATGTGTCCGTCTATGCTGCGACGTGGATCGCAGATTCCCATGAGAAACCCAACAAAGATCTCATATCGGGAGGGGAGAGGGAATGCGTGAACTGGGATGTCATCGATACATGGTCACGGTCGAGGGCCCTGAAAAAGAAGGTGTACAAAGTGAAGCCCGGGCCGTTCGAGAAGGATTTACACCCCAGTGAGAGCGACGTATCGTAAATGAGATTTTGCGGGCTTATTATCTGCGAACTACTCTGTACGAATAGAAGCAGCGTTGCTGCTCCACTGAGTATTTGACTGACGTTGTACTCATGGCTGAGATTGCGTGAGAGCGGCGTAGAAGGACCCACAACGACATAGAATATCGTCTAAGTCATTTCTATCTCTTTTATCCCACACCGTTGAGCGATGCTTTTTGTTTTTCTCGTAATGCTTTTAATCCAGATACTACTTATTCAGTATTGAGCTTATCAACAATAACCAAGGCCAGCGTCAACGACGACTGCTCAACCATGGCTGCTCAACCATTCAAACCTGGGGATATACATGATCGACACGCCCCACATCGGGCATCATATTGTTATCTATCATTGCCTCATTTGTGCAGGACTCGAAAAGCAGCGGAAAGTTCAAGGACGAACTGCTCCGTATAGATGGACCACGGGCATCTGGTCGGATGCCGTGTGGGACGGGATTCCTCAAAATTGGAGGTTCAAAATGGAAAGGTATTAGAGAAAGCAGGTAGGGCTCGCATTGGAGGATTTCGAATGTCGTTGCAACCTTCCATATCAGAAGATCCAGAGCATTGCCACACGAGAGTATTTTGGGATCATGATTGGTCTGTCGGTGTCCGGTTTCATTGTTCCATACAACCGGGTTTAGGCTTCGCTGAACCGCGATAAAAGAACCGATAAGCTACGCCGCACTAAGCTTGACGTATTCTCGTGCGAATCAACACCCGCTCGCCAAGCGTGTTGTCTCTGCCTCCACAATCTATTGTATACGATCTGCAAGACAGCCATGTCAGACGTTGATCAATTTACAAGGATAATGTCCGCTCGCTAGAATCTACCACCCGCACCGTTGAGAACGGTTTTCGAAATGCGTCACATTTTCTGAAATGCGTCACGCTTGAGGAATTGTGGCGCCCGACGACTTTCACAGTGTTTAGCTCAACCCCCCGAAATCCTTCTTTGTAACAGCTGCGAAAGTATAGTGGAGCTAACGCATACTCGGCACTCCTCCAATGCAGGGGACATGGGAGAGTCTAACAGCACACGTTCTTGCTCCGACAATAGGTGGCTTGAGGCTCCAGTCAACACCAAAACTTCCCCTGATGGTGAAGGGATCTCTTCTCGGGACGCAACGGATGAAGAGATCAAGGATCTGCCCCACATCAGAGGAAGAGTGTCTATCGCAACATGGATTTTAGTATTCGCGTGTGCTTCAACGAACTTCGCTCGCTACGGGATCACAGCAATCTTCCGTGGGTTGTCCACCCCAGACTGCTCTTAGGCTAGGTTGACAAGCATAGAAAATTACATTGCAAATTCACGCGGAAACCCTTTGCTACCAGGTGCTTTGGGCCTTGGCCAATCTAAAGCGACGACCATACAATCCGCCTTTCTCTTCTACTGTTATGTCACACCCTTACCCATGAGTATCCTCTCGGATACCCGCCTGGGTAGATTTCCAACAATGGTTCTCAGCATGTCGCTTCTAATGCTGGGTTACACAATGATCGTCCTAACTTCAATCCCAACAGTCCTTAATCATGGAGCTGGACTGGGAGGTCTGATTGCAGCCATGATACTTATCGGCTTAGGTCAAGGCGGGATGACAGCTGTTATGGTAGTATTCATCGGCGACCAAGTGCCGGAGTCTAAACCTACCGTTGTATGCATGAAGGACAAGTTGGTCGTGGTCGATCGTAAGGTCACTATCCAGTTTGTGTTCAATGCACTCTTTTGGCTCGGTAATATCGCGGCCATCGCTGAGCTGCCAACTACTCTGATGGAGAAGCACATCGACTTCTGGCCAGCATTTTTTTATGCCGACCTGCGTGATGGGACTTTGCGTTGCCGCGCTCCTATTCTGCAGAAAAAGCCTCATCAAGCTTCCGCCCCAGGGGAATGTTCTTACGCAAGCTTTCGAAGTGCTTCTCATAGCTTGTCGTTCAAGATTCAATCTCTCCGCCGCAGATCCGGTAAACACTGCGCACAATAGGAAAATCACCTGGACTTCGAGCTTTGTCAACGAGATTCGACGGGGCCTTACAGCTTGTCGGATTATGATCTGCTTCACTATCTTCTGGTTATGCTATAATCAAGCCGGAAACAACTTCGTTTCACAGGCAAGCCAAATGAGGAGTGGGGGCATCTCGAATGATACACTGCAGGTCTTCAATCCGATTGCCGTTGTCATCGTTGTGCCTATGATACAATTCCTCCAGAACGCTTTACGTCGGCGCAAAATTAATTTTGGACCTGTCCTGCGCATGGCCATCGCTTTTATATTGACAGGAGTCGCGCTGGCATACGCAGCGGGTCTGCAGCACCTTATATATTCACGTGGTCCTTGCTTTTCCTATCCGCTCGCATGCTCCGCTGCCTCGGGCTCCGGATCCTCGACTTCCGGTGAACAACAGCCAAATGACATCAGTGTCTGGCTCCAAATACTTCTCTACGCAATCTTAGCGATTGGCGAGGCATTCGGACTCGTGGCACTCTACGAATTTTCTTTCTCCGAGGCGCCCGTGAACATGAAGTCGTTGGTCCAAGCAATCGGGCAGCTCACAGTGGCACTGGCTGCGGCACTAGGCATTGCGCTAGGCCCGGTGTCTAAGGATCCGTATGTAGTCATCATGTATAGTTGCTTAGCAGGAATAATTGGTGTTATGGGTGTAATTTTCTGGATGGTATTCAGGAATTATGATAAAGAGTACGAGAAACAAGAAGCTCTGTCGGCCACGAGCCCAAGCACGGAATCAAAGACGAGTGATCAAGAGAAACCGACTGTATAACTTCAGTAGCTGCGTCGAAGCCTTCCTACGGGGACTATATCGAGACAGCAATATTGTGCCCGTAACAACACAGGCAGCCTTCCATCTCGCTGTTGCGCGACCTATCTCTGAAAGCCACCTGCTATGACGTATTCGGTATGTTTAGATGGTCGAGAAATTGGTCACGGAAAGGAGGACTGTCCGCTTCTGGAACCTGCAATACTTGTAGCCCAGTGGGATGGATTGCTTCATCATTTTCGCTTCAGCGTCTGGACTCGCCGGTATGCGTGGATAGAGAAAGTATGATCTGGACAGTCAGTAGAGGAATGACATCTCAGCCGTCTTCCATCAGATAAACATGACACCTTGACCAATTTGGGCATAATATGCCTCTCTTCGACATGTCCATCTTTCATCTTCTCAGTGTGCTTTCAATGTCGTGAAAATGAGCTTACTTCTATGAGAGGCAGAACATTGGGAATCAACGATTTCGGCCATGAGCTCTTCCGAATAATCGGAGTCATCACTTTAGATGTCATCTGTGTAGTTCATTCACAGTCTCAAAGCATTGAAAATGCACAATGCATACATATAGCTGCAACCCAAAGGCTTAAAATACAAATTGCCCTTCACTAGAATATCCTAAAGTAGAAACTCACACTTACGCCTAGCACAGCAGCTCCGCAACCCAGATAATACCGAAGAGCAGGTCCAAGATGTCTCAAACCCCTTTTCCTACGTTCGTCGAATTCATCTTCAATCTGAAGGAGGCCACACCACCCGAGGATTGGTCGTGCTTCTGCCTAGAGGAAGCCCGAGCTGTCGAGGGCAGCAAGTCTCTCGAGGTCACGGAGATTCCGGTGCAGCTATCATGTGGCCACGTCTTTCATTTGGCTTGTCTATATACATGGACCAATGGCAAGAAGGTGAACGAGGATTTGGAGTCTCACAACACCTGCCCGATGTGCCGAACGAAGCTCTTCCAGGGGTACTCTAACGACGATCGGCAGGTTTACATGTGCAATGCGCAAATCTCCGAGTTCTACGCTTCGTTTTTCGAACGTGATTGGAAGAACCGGACTGCGTCTGCATGGTTGACCGGCTCGCTGCAGGAGATGATCGATGGAGCTGGAGGTAGATGTACGATGCAAGACTGGAAGCCTCTGGTTAGCTACCTAGTCCATGCTAACACGGGTAAGGATGGGCGCTTCGTTGGCAATAATTCGATTTGTGACGGCGAAGTGGTGCCTTTCATGTGCGATGAACACCAACAACATGGAAACTTATGGCTCAAGATTTTCCTGGCTATGCGTCTCTTCCGGGAGGGCGTTACCAACAGCTGGTCTCGTACGTACCAGTGGGTCGAGTTCGAGACATATTTCCTTCGAATCGGTAATCAGTATCGAGTGAGGCAGGCTCTTCTCCAGCAGCCAGCGGCCGATAGAGTAGCTGGGGCGATTGCGCGGATTGTTCGGTACGACCTCACCGAATAGATTCCCCTAGGAAAAAAATCGGACGTACTGTTAAGACCCGGCCTAAACATTGCCAGATTTTCTTTATTTCATTCAAATCTGAGCTTTGAGCCTTGAGCTGAGCTCGTTAAAATCGATACATTAACCACGAACAGACTTACATATCATATTTCATAACCCACCGCTGATTGTTTCCTGTGCATTTGAAGATGTGCCAACATGGTTCAGTGACTCCCTTGGGGGAAGAGAGGACAAATGTGAGACGTGTCGTGTTTGCTTGAAGGATCAACTGATGAGTACCATCCATAGGGCATATGGGTGTGGTGTTAGTCACTGATCATGCGCAGCAATTCATCAATATCAACCTCACGGAAGCAATTATGAACGGATAAAGCCCTAACTGTCGTACTTTGAGAGAGGTCAGCAGCATTGCTGTGGTTATATCCCCTGTTGTCTATGATGTCGGGTACAACACGATACGTCTGTACGTAGTGAGTTCCATAGCGCGAACATCTTCAACCTGCAGGACAATATGCATAGTCTGGAAAATTTAGTCTCATCCAATACAGCATATAGCTAAAGACTTACGTGGTTATACTGCGGCGTAACCGCAACGACACCACCATTTCCCCCAATATCCTCAATCTTGACATACTTCGACGGAAACGGTGATTCCCCCTCCACGCGCTCGGTAACATCCAAATAATGGAACCACTTGAACTTCAACTCATCACCATCTGGATCCCAGCTCTTCGAGCCATCCAACACCACCGTGTCGTTGATCTTGTAGTTGAGCTCAATGATCTCAGGCCCACATGACCCATTCACTATCGCAACTGGAGCGTGATTCGTCTCTTCGTAGCTCTTGCCCAGCGTCCACTGCATCCTCGCCGCAAAGTCAAATTGATACTCCCTCCTCCACCTCCAGATCGTTCCGAACGAAGTAAGGTAACTTTGGTTGTTGATACCAACGACCCAGTCCGTCGCATCAGTGAAAACGTTCACTTTTCCACTCTGATCCAGCAACTTCCACCTGCCGCCCCAATTTCCCCACTCGGGGTGATCAGGGTCGCCGAGGCCGTTTTGGATTAGAGGGAAGAAAGCAGGCGTGTCGCCCTCCATGATGAAGTCAAACTTTGGATAGTGCGCGCCTAGCTCTCCTAAGCGGATATGTGTTTGGAGCCACTCGTTAGTCACGAGGGAAGAGTCGGGCCCTCCAATGTCGAAGAAGCGGTAGAGTTCACCTGAAATGCCGTTCCATGTCGCGCGGCCGTATTCGCTGAAGGAGTGCAAGGAGACGATGTAGGAGAGGGTGGGGAAGCGTTGGCGGATCCAGGGGCCTGCGTCGTCTTGGTCGGAGATGGAGTAGATGCGGAGGTTGGCGACGAAAGAGGCGGTGGCATTCGCATCGCGGGTTTGTTGAACGAGATTTAGGGCTTCTGCTAGAACAGCTGCACCACCCCAGCACTGAACGTAAAGTGGGTCTGTGGGTGATGCATCATCTCCGGCTTTAACAAGCGCGAGTGCAGCATCGCTGGTGTTGAGTTGAAGGGAGGCGAGGCCATAGACGGGGTGGCCGACGTGCACTTTCGAGAGGAGTTCTGAGGCTTGCGGGTAGGGTGCGCTTGAAGGGACGTTTGCATTGAGAGAATCGGTGACGTTGCCGTAGGCGGAGATGACTAGACGAACTGTTTCGTCGTCGATTGAGGAGTTCTTCCATACGCCTGGATAAGGAGAGTCGGGTCAGGTAAATTCAACGGTGCTTAGGATCTTGCAGGGCATACTTGTCACAACACCAATGCCCCGAATGTCAATCTCATTCGAGTATGTTAAGAGCCTAACCAAGCTCATCTGATCGTCTGGCTCATTGGACATGTCCGTGAGCACGAACGCTCTGTGTTTGTTTTCGTAGCGGGCATTTTGACACTGGCGGTCTGATGCAGCAGCAGCGAGCCCTAACGAGGCCAGCCCAACGAAAGAAAGGAGCGTCTGGGGCAACATGGTAGAGATTTCAGCGATGGTTAAATGCATAGTCCTTTCGGAGGGCCATGGTGGCACAATTTATAGCTGGTAGATCTAAAATTGATCTCCCAGAGCATCTTCACGCGCTTGTAAAAATTTTGGCGTCGAATGGTGAGTTTATATGCAACTAGTGCAACATACACTCGATGTGAAGACGATGTCATTCCTGGTCCTGGTACATCTCAGGTCTCTCCACGAATACTGTTGCAAGGACGCGGTGATCCGTGAGGCTAGACATCATGGATCCCCGCATTGGCGGGGTGTAGTTCAGTTTTTATTCGGCGCGACGTCCCCGCCTAAAAGGGTAATCTCAAGCGCTCAGGAAGCCGTGGAAGCGTAGGCTATTCTTTCCGCGTTGAGCATTATCGCTACACCCAAACGAGAACCCTTTGAACTGCGTGCACCACGACTACATCTGCCTCTTCAGAGATCCTGCATTCCCGGTCGTCTTGCCGTCCGTGGCACTCATACCTACAACCATTGCGATGATCGATTAGGACTATTTGGTCTTATTCTGTGCCCTTCATGGATTCGGTGGTGTTCAGCTCGGACAATTTCGCCGATGACCATTATTCCTCCTGTTTCGGGGTGATCGAAGAAAAGCTTCAACTATCAGCGAGTGTGGTACCTTGCAGGTCGTCAGACGCTATGAGAGCGATGATTAGCAAGATAGGTGTTAAAACTTCGGGCTAACGTACTTTTGTCGTTGGCAATAGTGCTTGTGATTCGTGATCTACGCTGCGCATGCAATGCGAAAATCAACCGACAAGACAAACACATGCAAGCAAAGGCTGGAAGCGACTTGGAAGCGGGTTGAGAGGAGGGAACTGGTGGCTGCATGACGTTTTCGGTTATGACATCATCACGTGAAGGCGCGGAACTTGCGCGCAACGCGTTCCGCCCAACAAACAACAGCCTCGTCCTTTTGTCTCACCCAACGTGACAGCCCGGCCCCTACGTCAGCTTTAATAGAATCTCCTTAGGGGCGAAAGATTGCTTACCTTCACATTGTGAAACGCCTCGATTTCACATAATTTTCACGACCGAAGCCGCTTTGTATGATGCCTCCAACGGGCGCAACTGGATCCGACACCATTCCGGTGTTGATGCCGACCATGCCAGCTAAGCTGCCCTCCACGCCTGTGTCAGCTTCTTGATTTACACATACGATGCTAGCCCGACCTCCGAGTCATTCGCCATCCGTAGGAGATCCTTCTCATCCGTGAAAATTCATAAAATGATAACAGGCCTGAAAAGCTCCTTGCGACTAGCTTGCATCTCGTGTGACACCCGGTCTGAAACAGTTGCTGGGGAAGTTGTTTGCGGCTCGCCTTGCGATCGGTGACCCCCAGCTACAATAATTGCGCTCTCTCTCTTGCGCGTCCTGTACCGGCTCTATCACTTCCTCTCGAGCCTTCAATGTTATCAGTGGCCAAGGATCATGCCAGAGGCTTGCTGGATCGCCTGCAATCTTCGTTTTGCCCACCGGTCTTTGAATGTTTTCCATGAACTTATCTGCGATGCCATACTGGATATATACTCGGTCGGCACACGTATGTTTGACCAGCACCCCAGCCTCAGAATGTTTTTTTCATACCACACCGATCGGTACAGTGTTCTTGCCTGCCGCTACTTCTTCTTCGATCACTCCTTCTTCCACGTACTCTTCCTCTTGTTGCGGTTTGTGGTCCCTTCCAATCAACTTCCAAAACTTCGCTTCGATGTCAATACCCTTAGCCTGCCATGCTCTTCCTTCGGCACTTTCATCGAACGTCTCCCCTTCCGCTTTCGCCCTGTTTCTGATTCCCCCTTGTTCGCAGCCTCCAGATCAGATGGCTCACCACCATGCTCATCTCAATTGCGCAGCACAGGGCGTACATTGTCCCGAACAGCGCATCAAATTCCGTCTGCGCAACCAGACTCATGAGACTGAAGAACGCCCCACACCAGTCGACTGTCAGGAAGATGAAATCGATACCAATGACCCGACCGCGACGTTTCAGAAGCTCGAAAGGGATGGCAAAGTACGCTCCAATCAACAGAATGAACGAGATGACGCCTATCAGAAGGACAGGCCACTCTTCTCCACGATCGTAGGGTGGCCGGATTGCATATATACGAGCCCCAATTCCACTCCGGCGAAAATTACGAAAAGGGAAAGCAGAAGCAATGTGGCTGTCCATGTCCTCCACTTCCTAAAGTCTTGTGTCAGCTGAGAAACGTTGCTGTGAGAAGGTTGTGATGGCAGTGATTTGGGGCTTCGGCATCTCTACTGCGTATAGAACATACCGACCATAGACAAGACACTGTGCCCAGCTTACGCCGCAGAGACAGCAGAAACACTGGGGCTGCACTATCAGAGGAATATTGAAGTTTTGTGCAATGGCATACGCGCCAAACGGCACACCGCTCACGGTCCACAAAAGCATCATGGAGGCCGGCAATCCCTCTGTACTCTTCGTGCGATAGTTGCGCACGATCTGTGGTACGAGCTGCACACACCAACACACAGTACCAATGGTACCTAAGACGTTGGCAGCCACCGGAATAGACTCTTGAGGCGCCATGACGAAGAGTGATCGAAGGTTGAGACGTGTTAATGAGAAGGTAGGGTCAGTGAAGACCGAAGATTTTTGACCATCGAAAGTACGATCTCTTTGCTAAATGCGAAGGCATGACAGAGCCTGTGAGCCAGGCTGATTAGGTTTACCTATTCCGGTCAGAGCTTTTCATGCTGTGCATAAGTGGAGGCGAGGGCTCTAGTGTTAGCGCCCTCTGGACGGCCAATTACGTGCTCTCGAAAGTTAGTCATCAACCAATCCTCTGGTTGCTCCGCGGATAGAGGTTCCTGTCAACCGTGGTACGTGGATCTTCTGATGTGCAATTGCTTCTCCCTGAAGTCGTGACAGCAGAGTGTGATACTGTTCCACCGTGAGGTCCCTATTGACGAGTCTCGAGAGCTAGAATTTGCTTGTCTCCTCGATACATACGTACGGGGCGCAAATGTGGGTCTCCTACGATCTATGTGGGGTGGAAAGCTTGATGGAGAAGCTGATAGATTTCGAGGCGGCTCGTGAGATGGCGGAAATAATTGGGCCATACCGAAGCTCGTCGAAACGCAGGGTACGCACGTAAGACAGATCAAGCATCTACGTGTATCAGATCAATGGCAATGTGGATGATCTTAAACTAACCAATGGATAACGCTAATCACTTTTGAGATAGGGATCAAGCCCGGAGTGCTCTCTTGTGCGAGAATGCTTTGGCGCTGTGCGATAATCCCATCACCATGCCTCCCTCGCATAGCAAACCCTGCACTGCGATGAACAATGACAAAATTGACATCATACCAACCGCAAATGGTGGTGTGATCGAGATGCTAAATGGCAAACCCAAGCCCACTGCGAGAGCGACGGCTATCGTGTTGCAAGCCACGACTCAACTTCCGATGGTCGACAATCGCTGCATGGTCTTTCTTAAACTACCGAGTATGGTTGAAATGCCATCCAGGTGTGGTTGTGGGAGCAGTCCACTGCCACCGGAGAGGTCGAGCACTTCCACCCATTCGCGATCATCACACCTACATCCGCAGTCGCAAGGCTCTGCCCATCGTTCAATCCGCTCCCAATCCGACTCTAGGCAGCACGATTCCCAACATGCGCTTTGCGAATAACTTATCATCAGAACTTTACCACCTTTCTCCTGGATCCACTTAAAGTGCTTCACCTTGATATCTGGTGTTGCCGCTGAGCCCAGGACCGGGATTCCTAGCTCCTTCGAGATGCGACATGCTTCTCCTGGCTGGTCCCCCGTAGGATAGTGAGTGTATGGCCTTGTGCTTTAAATGTGTCAGTGGTTCCCTTCGCATCTGGTCGAAAAATGTCCTGTAAGGCCATCCTGGCATCGATGGCTCCGTCAACCTCCAACAAACGCAGCTGAGCCTTCCCCGTCTATCTCTAACTGCAACAGGTCGACGCTCTTGCTAGCTGCCCTGCTGAGTTCGACGATAAGCAGGTTGGCGTTGACGCCCTTGAGCAGCTCGACAATGAGTACTTCCTAGTCACTGTCATCTCATCCGGCGCATTCTATAACAGGGGCCTATCGACTACACCTCAAGTCATTGCCCTCATGGCACGTTTAGGGCGCTACCAGATTCTTGTGAATATTACACTGTACGGCCCTGAGTCCAAGGCCATGAGCAGCCCTCTGTTTAGCCGACCGCAAGTTCCCTGAGGTCCTTGAGGTCCTTGTAGCAAAGGCGTATACCCACGATGGCAAGTCACTAGAGCTTGTGCTCTACAATGGCAAGTCTGATGGCAAGCAGAAGCTTGGTATTGAGCGTCTCACTGCTGGCGCAAAGTACACGATTGGAAAGGAGCCGTCGCTGCCGACGCGCAGGGAAAGGCGACGGTTGAGGTGGAGCTGAAGGGTAGGACACATATCACAGTGTCGCTTGACTGAGTTTGATGTACATTCATGAGATGTTGCCAAAAAGTTGATCATATTGGCACGTGTTGGATCACGTAGGTATCTAGCGTCTCATGTTTCTTTGTGGACTTGTTTGCTCACCCACTTCGTACATATTCGAATGAATCTAGATAATATAGATACCGGAAATTCAAAATCGTCCTGCGAGCCAAGCCGGTGCATGGGTTGCGAACTCATAACCAAAAGTGGCATGCCAACAGTTGGAAATGGAAGGAAGAAACACTGTGCAGATGTCAAGAAGGTAGCCAGAGGCTCAAGGACTAATCTTGCACGCGCTTGATATTCCAGTATAACGATAAAGCAGCCAGCTCTTCCCCAATTGTGATCCCCAGATTCTGCAAACTGGGTCACATGCCGCGAACTCGTCAAGGGCCATCTTGACTAACTCAAGACCAGTAACATCTCCCATCTCCAGGATGCATTCACCGTTCTTTTTAAAGTTAACTTTCAAGTTACGAATTTGTTCTCAAAGCTGGCGTTCTTGCCATTTAGTCTTCGGTTACTCCGGTTGTCGTGGAGCTGCCGCCCGCCCACTCCAATCCAGTCTTGCTCGTTCTGGGCTGTGGGGCTGTATTAGTGCGTAGCTTGATGGGCTCTGTGGGCTGTCCACAGGAACGGACTTCTTGTGGGCAGCGGCAGGAGTACGGTCGTGTTCACTGCTGGAGGCAACTGAATTGCCTTCGTGAGGCAGCTCTGTAGGCTGTTCTGACTAGCATTCTCCCTTGTCAAGTTGCTTGTTGACCTCTCTTCTTCCAGTGATTTGTTTCAACTCCAGCCGTAGCCGATTAATACATCCTCACACCGCCATAATTCAAAAGATATTCTCGAGTACGCAAATGAACTCATCCACCCTGTAAACGAAGGATAGCATGCTCTCCATCATGTCTCTCGCCTTGCGCAAAAATCTACCGCCTAGTAGCTACCGCCTCGCGCTCTTGTCACCGAACAACGCGTATCAGTGCCCACCAGCTATTGCTGCATTGGGTTTCTTGAGAAAAGCAAGATTAAAGTATGGACAGAAAAGCGCGGTAGGTTTGAGGAGTGGTGAGATTACGGCTTGCGACCACTGTATCTTGGACAAAACCGTGTGCGCAATGGATGCGCCAGCAACAAGCTCACGACATTTCCCAATATGCCCTCGTAATGCCAAGCGCCCACTTGTGACTTCCGTGGCGGACCGCTCTACCCTCCCCAAGTAGCGGCGGATTAGGTGGCGGGTTTCACGGTGGGGCCCTCATAGCCGACTTCTCCCACTGCCCACGCACGGCAACATGGCAGACCGGGAAGGGCAGCCTCGTCGCAAACGCGCCCGTCTAGCGTGTACAGCCTGCAATGCCCGCCGCGTCAAATGCAATGTGGTGGAAAGCCGACCTTGCCGCAATTGCGTTGCCGCCAACGTACATTGCGAAACACGTGAATCGCGACGCGGAAAACACCCTCGCCAACCACGAGTAACAGAAGAAACGCCAGAATTTAGATCGCGGCTAGATTCAAGTGTTAGTTTGGATGATGGTCCTGTGTAAGGTTAATCAATCATATACCAGTCACGCTGCGATTGGTTGAAGCACTTCGCTGAGACAGACAGATCAACAATGAATGTGATAACACCACGAAATCACGAGGAACTCGCTGCATCTCACGCACTCGCCTCACTGTCGGCACCTTACCAAGGTAATAGGCAACAGCCTCTGCCTGAGCACTTATCCGAAACGGTGGCTGAACAAGGAAGTGCGGTGCCTGAATCCCAACAAGAATCCGCAGAGTCCGTACCGAGAGCGGACAGACAGGAAGACGATGGAGCTGTTTTCCTGGGCGAATCTACGTCTTTGAGGTACGTTACCGAGGAATCCGCACCCTCACTTGAAGCATACAAGCGTCCACGCTTGCGACATTCGGTTCCTAGCGGCGCTCGTGCGGACTCGCTCATCCCTCAGTGGGAATCAGAGCGGAGACGCATCAGAATGAAGACTCTTCATGAAGATGGCGCATTCACATTCCCATCGGCTTCAGTGCGGGAGAAGCTCCTGAAAGCCTACTTCCGCTGGTTCCACCCGCACTTTCCGGTTGTAGATGAGCCAGAGATTTGGGCGTCGTACACAAGTGGCAGCTTGTCCCCTCTATTGCTTCAAGCAATGCTTTTCATCGGCGTAATACACTGCGAAGAGTCCACTATCGACGAACTTGGATGGGGCAACCGACATCGAGCAAAGTATCAGCTCTATTCCCGAGCCAAGGACATCTACGATGCAGAGTATGAAACAAAGAAGTTCATAGTCATACAAGCTCTGTTTTTGATGAGCTTCTGGAGAGCTGGCGCGTTGCTGGAAAAGGACGTCAGGCACTGGCTCGGCGCTGTGATTAGTCTGGCTCAGACTAAGGCGTTTCACCGTTCGGCTCCAGAAAGCGAAAATCACCTGGCGAAAGTTCGCAGGCGTCTTTGGTGGGCAATTTACGTCCGTGAACGCCAATGCAGTTCTGCTCTCGGGCTACCAAATCGTATACGAGACGATGATTGCGATGTCGAGATGCTTTCTGAAGCAGACTTCGAGACGGCTTTTGACACCTCTACGTCCGCAAACAGCATCAGCAGATATATGGCTTATACAATCGGTATGACGCAGCTCGCAATCCTGCTCGGGAAGGTAGTAGATGCAGGGTACTTGCCCAATCGAACACTATCAGCAGCTGATAGAGGCACGATTCGAGAAGATCTAGAGGTATGGAAGCAGCAGTTAAGCGCGTCCATGCAGCTATCAAGCGATACACACTCCAGCTTCCAGGCTAGCATGCTTCACCTAGCATATAACAATCTACACATTCTTCTTCATCGGTCCGCATTCATTGCGGAGGAGGACTCAGATCTCGATGCTGCAAATTTCGCTGTTCATGCAGCGGCTCGCAGTTCACGGATTGTAGAGGACATGCTATCCGAAGGAACTATGGGACATGCGCAGATACACGTCATTACAAACCTGTTCAACACACTTTGTATTCACGTTGCGCATTTGCGTAGGTCTTCTGGTATCACGCAGACTATCGCAGAGCACCGGGCGAAACTCTGTCTGCTTGGCTTGCAAGAGCTACAGCGGACGTGGGAGGTGACAAACTGGGTCAGTGAATGACTTAAAACCAAGATTTCGACTGACACGATCCAGGTGCTGCATCTTTTCTTCCGATACCTCGATCGCACTACAGCGGCACGCCTTGCGATGGAAGCCGACGACGTGGGGATCCTGAGCGCAACTTCGAAAGCTCAAAAGGTCAATGCAATCACTGAGAGCACTGGACCTTCTGGCGCAGAGCCTCAAGCACCGGAAGCCAGCCTATCAGCTATGCCGAATACGCTGCCACTAGGCGGAGATGTCGACAATGCAGTCACACCTTGGTCTTGGACAACGGACGAGGCGAACCAATATTTGTTCTCGCAAATTGAGAGCGACTTCGCATTCGGTGAGGGTGGCATGTTAGACTGGAGCCCGGAAGCGGTATCTCATTTAGCAGGGTTTGATCAGTTCAGTTGATCATTTTGGTAATGCTGTTGAAGATTATTGTGTAATTACGAAACAATGTGCCCCTTCATGCTCTGTTTTCCGAAAGTATCCCAGATCTCCGTGTTCCACTCATCTCCATCCTTCTTCAGTAGTATCCGGTATTGCTCGCCGACGTACAGTGGGCTCATGGCTCGGTATGACATCGATGCGGGTACTGCACCATCTTCCCCATTCGTTGCAGAGTCACGCCAAAGATCGAGCATGTTGATCATGTTTAATGGACCGTGGACCACAGCGTCGCGGTGCCCTTCTACATTCCTACACCATTCCGGCAAGTAGTGTATCTTGTGCGCATTAAACGTCAGTGCAGAGAAGCGAAACAACGATGTGCTAGTCTGCTCAACATCTCGCGTGATTTCGCCCCCAGGAAACGGCTTCGTCTCTGGAAGCGGCGGTGGCGCTTTCGGAGCCGTGAATCCCTTTTGGAATACCCAATTCCTCTTGTCTACGAGCACGACGCCTTTGCCATTTTCAAATGTTTTCTCGACGCCAACAACTAGCATCTCACCACCGGACTTGAGCTTCTTAGGCTCCGCTGAAAGCATCTTGGTAGTCTCCTGAACTTCCTGTCCAACGCGGAGGAGCGACGATTCGTTTTGCGTCCATTGCAGCTCTCCGCCTGCCCACATTCGGCGGGTGAATGGATTAAGGGGATTCACTGTCCTATCGGTGCCGTCGAGACCAAGCTCTGTTTCCAAGATCGATGGGGTGAAGTAGACGAGATGGTAGCCGGGTGGGATTGGAGTTCCGTTCGGTGGAGCTTGCGTTGAGGTAGGCGAACGGCCGAGCGTGATGTTTAGGAGGTGCAATTGGTTCGCATCCAGCAATTGTTTGCGAACTGAAACTGGTTTATCGCCGAATCGGGCGAATATTTCGGAGCAGGCTTCTGAGGCGGATGCTACATTTCGACAGCGCGAAGTCGTAGAAAAGTAGCGCCTTGCGAATGAAGCCATATTAATGCGTGCACATACAGAGCTAGCTTCTTTCCTTGTTTGGTCACCAAGCGTACACGCAATGGCACATTGACGAAGTGGTGTTTCCAGAGGACATTCACGTGTTGGCTCGTCGGTTCGGGTGCAGCAACCGACATAGCCGAAGTAGGACGGGAGTCGCTAATTTCCCCCACGTCATCATCCCATCCCGTACCTGACGCCGTCTCTTAGCTCTATGAAACATTGCAACGGCCCGTACCCGTACCTACCAATGCGCCGGCCTCAGCGCAAACCAACAAGATGAATCGCGTCTTAAGCGTAGATAAGATGTATTGCATTTCACACTGGCAAAATCCACCGAAACCGCCGTAGCGAAATTCCCGCGATTCCCAAGCCTCACGCCCAGCAACATGCAGACTGTTCCAGCAGCTGTGCCAGAGTTCATCCGAGACCCGAAATCGACAGTGGAGATTGTAGAGAACATCACGCTTGTAGGAGGGTTGATAACGGGCGACGTGCAACAAGATGCGCAAGAGAAGAAGAGCGATCTGAAGAACATCAGGACGAAGGCATTGGTTGTGAAAGAGCCTAAGGCAGATTTTGAGATGCAAGATGTGATATTGGATGGAATACGCGAGAACGAGCCCTGGTAGAAATGAAGTACAGTGGCATATGTGTGCCCTAGTTCGCCCACAAAAAGGGTTCGACTGATCCGCCTAGGTTATACCGACATCGTTGTTCAGCAATGACTCCTCCCTGTGATAGACTTTCCACGCCATCTAGGCCACGAAGGCGCAGGATATGTCCGTACAATCAGCTCCTCCGTCAGGAACAAATCTCTTCGAATGGGGGACCCCACCCTACTATCCTTCGCTACCTGCAAAATCTCGCATCCTGCATAGTGCACATCACACGCAAACGTAATCCAGAACGGCCTTCGGCTCTCCGATCAAAGTATACCTGCGCGAAGAACGGATGGCACAAGTGTCAGAAGTCCGTGTTTTGTACAGCAACTTCGGGAAGACGAGAGTCTATGAGATGTGTGTGATATATGCGATCATCCGGACAAGATGGAAATATAGTTGCCGATAGCGTGTGGGCTCCAGGCCGGCGCCGGGACAATGCTGAATGTCCTAATGCCGGTTAAAGATGACCGTGGTATCTGGATTGGGCAGTATAGGGCTGACGGCGCTCATGGCTGCGAAATACCTGGGTGCTGGCCAAATCGTTGCTGTTGATACTGTCCAAGAGAAGCTGGACATGGGCAAACATCTTGGTGCTATCGCTTCGCTCAGGGAACATCTCGCCTCTGTACGACTGTGTAGAATGTACCATGCGACGCACATCGCAAACCCAATATCGAGCCGATGAGGCTTAGCTGACTTCAAGATCGCTACGAGTGACGACGTGCACGAGCTTCGTGGAGTGCGTGCATTGGCTGTTAAAGATGAGGCTGCATATGCAATATCGGCTAACGCGTTAGAACTCTTAGCTCCGCGGTGTTCAGGTAATAGAGTCACGCATTCGTTTTTCACAAGATAGCCACGGGAAGGGTTGTCTCGACCCCAAGAATCGAAGTCAAGGCATGCGTTCTGGCAATAGAAGAATTGCATAAGCTAGTCAACCTGGGCACTGTCGAAATAATAGCAACACGAAGGTTTGGAGTCCTGCGAGGCTGATATCTAGCCGGTTCATATTCCAAGCCTTGCATCTTCCACATCTATGTAAGCACGACCCTCGGTCAACCAGCTATAGATGCTTCCCTGGCTGCCTGCGAGTGGCTCTGCTGGGCTTGCACACCAATCGTTGTGCCGGCCTGATTGCCTCGTTGCCTTCTATATTCCAAAATGAATGGCCATCGCTGCCCAATACAACAAATTCTACTTGGGCGACAAACGGTTGCCTAAATATGTTGCAAGGTAGCCATCTGCTTCCCAGCGAGCTCAGCCGCCTTCATGCGTACATGACATCTACACAATCAACAGAGGGACGATGGCTGTGTTAAATTGTCGTGCGGCTCTGCGTGGTCGTCACAATACAAAAAGACGTGACAGATAAGAGAGCGAGTATCTCGTCACAAGCGCTGGTCTTGATATACTGCTGTACTTCAGCTCCTGTAAAACCTGCCTTTCTTTGAGAGATTCCGAGCGACGGAAGTAAAGCACGACTCGCACACCCAATCAATGCCACCCGCATCAACTCAAGCGCGTGATCCGGGACCGAAATTGCCCCGATTTGCTCTCAGTGTCACATCTTTTGAGAGCAAGACAGCGGACGCTCATGCTGTTGAACGTCCAACCCAAAGAGATGATGCTCGCAACGATGATCACGAGGACGCCGGCGCCTACGCTAGTGAGGCTCTAGGGAAATTGCTCAGAGCGAACAGAAGCCTTCGCCCGGTCGAAGGCAATCCGACCCCAATCGAATTTTGGCCGGAGGATCAACTAAAGGAGCTGTTGACGGAGTCGTGTGTCAAAGATGCTTTCAAGTGTCCTAAACTCACACGTCTTGCGGGCAGTGTTGATACGATCATGGTGACACATCTCAAGATTTTGGCGATTCTGGCTCTCGTAGAGAAGTTGAAATATATCGGAGAATTCATGGAAAACCGTGTCTCCGACCAAGACCTGCCTTTAGTCGAATGTACAACCGGGGACCCTGTGGAATCACATATTGCCCAACGCAAGACACCATGGCAACGGCTAGAGTTCCTAAAGAAGTTGAAAATTGATCAACGACGTTTATTCTTACGCTACCAATACTGCGTGTCGCCTCCTTCTTTAACAATGGGGCCTGACGGAACGTCCGCTAGGCATGAGGAGTTTCCGGACCAGACTATCATGCCTTGGATTTCAGCACTCAAGAAAAAAGAGGAAGGAGGTTATTCCCAAGTTTTTGAGGTAGACGTCCATTCCTACTGTCATGACTTTCGTGAGATCCTCGAATCATTGTCTGTATGTACTTCCGTGCGCTCGTGTGCCAACCATACTCTAATTCAGCCCCACTCTAGATCCCGAGCGGCAACAGATTCGCCGTCAAGAAACTTACGAAGGGAAAGAATCAGACTGCAGCAGATATTCGCGTGAAGTTCGAAAACGAAAAGCATATGTTGGGACGGTTCAGAGGGCATCCGCACTTGGTCACAATGTTGATGAGTTGGACTTTGAAAGAAGAATACTACTTCTTGTTTCCGTTCGCTGAATCCGACCTTGATCGCTACTGGAATGACGTAACGAACTGGAATGCTCTCGGATCTTCTGATTCAGAGCGCTGCTATGAGACTATCCGCTGGATCTCCGAGCAAGTTTACAAGATGGTCGAAGCTCTGGAGCACATTCACAATCTCGACAATGGTCTGACTGCAGACAATAAAAGATTCGGTAGGCACGGGGATCTGAAGCCTGAGAACGTCTTGTGGTATCGTTCTACGAAAGACGTCAGAGGTTTCTTCGTTATAGCAGATCTTGGTCTAGCTGCGTGTAATACAGAACACAGCCGGTCGGGGATTCCCAGCAACACCGTCGCAAGAACCCCGAACTATCGATCACCAGAATGCGATCTGGAGGACGGAAAGATATCTAGATCATACGATATCTGGACTCTCGGTTGCCTTCTTCTGGAAATGGTTTGCTGGATTGTTGGTGGACCTATCTCCAGGAAAATATTTGCGAATGAGCGTACATCAGCATATGTTACGGGCAGCCAGTCTGATATATTCTTTGACGTGGAAGAGAAGCGTGATGGAACTGGCCATGTTATGTTCGTGAAGAGAAGTGTAGAGAAGGTCAGCAACAGACTTAAGTTCCCTGCGTACTGTGACTGACAAAGCTGCAGAAGATTGCCGAGCTACACGGAAATGACTCATGTACGGCGTTCTTGCATGATTTACTCGACCTGATCGAACAACACATGCTGGTAGTTCTATGCAAAGAGGAAGGTCGGATCAAAGACCGCATTGCCTCGAAAGATTTGCTCAACCAGATTCGAGACATCCATGCTAAGGTAGAACAGTCTCAGTCATACTGTTTAAAACCTCTTCCAAAGTTACGAGATCCTGTTCACGGGATCCCTGTCGACGCGATTCTCAGTGCGGCATATTCGAAGATCGCAAAGCATAGTGAATTGAAAGTCTATTCAGGGATCCGAACACGAACGGCGCTGACGGCGGAGGAATACTAGAACTTCCGACCATTTCTGGAGTACGATTTGAGTGTATTCAAATGTAGATCTAATAAAGCCTGTTTCTTTGAACTTCTAATACTCAGCCTCGCGTTTCTTTCGTTAACTCTAGCACAGCCTACGTATTTAGGCACAAAGACACATGACGCTTTAACTGGCTTACGTTGATGCAACTATATAATGAGTACAAAATCAGCTCTCTGGAGCGTCTGTACATACATTGAATCAAGCTCCCAGTAGGAGCAACATCATCAATCGACCCGCCAGAGTATGATCATCCGGCATCACGACTCTGCGTAATGCGAAAATTCGACCGTTTCTTTCATTGTATCGATTTCAGCCTACGTGGCATCAGCACAAAGTGCATCGCTTTACAATATATAGACAACTTACCTGGAACAATCCACGAGGAAGAGTGCACTGGAAGTGACCACGAGTATACTAGAAGGTGGATGAGTTACGTTCAAGGTGCAAATCATCTCATTATGCGCCTACCACAACTATTGCATTCCCTCTACCGAAGACACTAGCAAGGTACGCTTCGATCTGCTGTTGCATATCGTATCTGGCCTTGATTACCGTGGTTTTCATCGTGTATGCTGGGCAAATTTCACGGAAGCGAGGTTGACTGCGTATATCCTGCGTGGGTAGAGAACTGTTCTTTCAGGCGAGTGTGATCGAAGTAAGGATATGGAGTTTGCCTTGAGCGACTCACTCGTGAGTGTACTGGATGCTGAAGAAAGCCAAGTGCTGCTTTGTGTTGCAAGAATCCCGGTGCTTGCCCCGCCGCAAGGTTGAATCGGCGACGTGGTACGACAAGGAGAACGCCAGGTGGGCTGTATGCTTAGGTGCGCATGAGCGCATCATTCTTCGACACAAAACAGCCAGATTGCAACTAATAATCGTCACCGGTGCCGCTTCATCTGTTTGATTCGTTTCACGGGCCATGGCGCGATGCAACGTTGGTTTGTTGTGTTGGTGGACCAAGGCTGACGCTGAAATTCCGGTGAGCCTGATTTGGTTCGCTAAAAGCCGCAACTGCAGCGGGCTTGTCATCGGAAAACCGCCGGATTGAAAGGCCTCCGTCCCCCTTCGCATATACACGCCTCTTACAAACGCTGGCCGGTCCACCATCATCGAAGAGCGGAGAGACTCCATGGACTGGCCCAAAGATTCTGCTTGTTTGTGCGGGAACAAGTCGGCGTTAGAAAAAGTATTCAAGTACAATCCTTCACCGTCTCTTGTCATTGAGATCCTCCAGAGCAACTATGTAATCCTGTCCTGTGCCTTACCGCTAGTTCCTGGTTAACACCTTCCAGTATGAAGCACGCCTATCTGTCTTCGCGACAGATGCAGAGTGGGAACGATGGGCTGAATCGGTAAGTTCAGTATTCCACCCGCAAAGACCAATGTTTGACCGCAATTCTAGCTTGATCACCATGATCGGGGACTTGTACTTGTGTACGTTACTTTTTCGACACGTCACAAATTATGGCTGTATAGAAGCTGACTGCGCCAACCCAAAGCCTAGCAACGCGAGTGGGTTGTCAAGCGACAATGGGCATCAAGGGAACACAGCCCATATCGATCGACGATTGGATAAGCGAGGCAAACAAATATATATCCACGCCATTTGAAACACGTCGAGAGCAGATATTATCACCGCTAGCAGAAAAACCAAAGAAAGTAGAGAAACCAATATCCCGAGGGGTTCGCACAGTTCCTTTTTCAAAACCTACCTTTGAGTTTCTCTCAAACAAGTTGCAGATACACGAGTCCATTACTCGTACCATCAGCCGCTCGGACGTAGCTACTTTCACTGCGGACGAAGTAAATATGCACAAACCTGCCTTAGGTAAGTTTCCATCCGAATACGTCGTTTACAAGCACCTAATTGTCATAGTCTATAATTGCCGCACATCTAATGCTTGGGACATGGATCTGGCTCTCTCGCAAACACATTACCCACAAGTTGGACTGTCACTTTCTATCTTATATGGATGCGATCTGTCGACGAATAGAGAAGTGCTGAAGCGATTGAGATTAATTGGGGAGGAAGCGGCACATCCTTTGCTGGTTCCTGGCATACTCGCTGAAATAGAGCTCGGGAGGAACATTCCGATCGTAGAGGCAGACATCGTGTCCGTGGAAACCAAGATCTTGGAGCTAGATGCTGCGACAACACCTCACATGGAATCGCCATCTCTGGAATCCCTACAGAAAAGAGTCGACAAGCGAAGTGCGTGGCTAGATCTTGCATACTTGCGAAACTCCCTTGTGAACTGGAGAGCCCAATTGTCGAAGATGGCAGATCATGTTGACGAATACAAGACGCAAGGTCAGCAAAGGCTACACTCCCGTGAGACAGGACACGCTCAGCTGGAATTAACAACACCCACTACCTTAGTGCCTTGCTCGCTGGGCTCCGCAGAACTATGCTTAACCACCAAGACGGCTGAGATGTATGATCCAGCAAGTGAGAAGCCTACTTCGGACACGTGCGCATCGGAACGACGTGATAGCGAGTCATGTCAGCTGCCTCACGGCCCTGTTATCGGCGGTCCCAGGTCAGAACAACAAAGGGCATCGATCTCAGCAGAACCGGCGGAGGCACCTATAACAAATGCTGATATGATTATGACAAGCAAAAATCAGTCATACTCAAAGAGTTCTGGCCCGGAGCACGGTGGGCGTTCCCATAGTGAACCTCCCGGTTGCAATCTTCAAATGATCGTTGCTCAAGACGACCAGTATGTACCGCGAGTAGTTGGAGATAGGATAAAACGGAGATTACTAGTTCTACAAGCAGAGTTCGAGGAGATGATAAGGAGCTGTAGTATGAGGTTGGATGGGATGGCTATGGCCACGCAATGGGTATGAGCAAGCGGGCCAGTAGATTGCATTTTGCTGACAAGAAACAGTCACACAGTGAAACGAATGTCGAGATTGCGTCCGCAACACGCCGAGATTCTAGAATCATGAAGTCGATCTCCTTAGTGACCATGATTTTCTTGCCCGGTACTTTTTTTGCGGTAAGACCCAGCAGCCTGTCGCATTTCCACATACTGATGGACAGAGCAGACAGTCTTCTCTATGACGTTCTTTGACTGGTCTGCTGACTCTTCAACCGGGAAGAAAATACGAGTTTCAAGTTATCTCTGGATATATGTCGTCATCACCGCTTTTTTTACGGCAGGTACTGTGGCAGGATGGTATTATTTCGTCATACTAAGAAGGAGAGTCAAAGCTATGAACATGTTCAGCTCGGTGGCATGACCAATGCAGAACCAAGAGCCTTGCGCTCAAGAGATATAATTGCCCTCCAGGAGATCCGATAGAACTCTGTTCTACTATTAACGGGAGGGATAAACATCAGTATTACAAATATGAATTGATAAATGGGGGATCATCGATCCTCTTTACTCTTGGTGCCTAGGCATCCACATAGTGTTTTGTACACAGCCTCGGACCACATCCTGAGTCGCTGCTTTCTTTCTTTCCTCGCTGACGTCGAACCCGTTTCGCCCATCGACGGTAAATTTGGGACCACATGGCTCTCTTCGGGCAACTCTTGACGACCCGCTTCAAATTTGTCATTTTCGTTTGCTTCTCCACTGTTTTGTTCAAGTGAAAGCTGGATACGGTCCTTGTTACGCTCAGAGGAAGTTTCTGATGAGGATAGCTCTGAGTGATCTGTTGCCGTCATGTCTACTGTCTTGCGCAGCTGAGTACAGTAAAGAGGATCTTCTACACATCTTCTAGAGATCGTCGTGAGCTTCTCAACAATAGAATCGCAGTGCGCCCTTTTCTTCGGAGTCATCCGTAGTAAGTAATCCTGAACAAGATCCAGTATGTCTATAACGAAATCGCTGCATCCTTGGGATGTTCTCGGATTCTCGGTCAAAAAATATCGGACGCCCGCCACTGATGCTTTAATTTTGGCACGCCGAGTGCTTTTAGTGCTGGACTCCTCCAAACGGACATCGTAGAATTTATCCATTCTTATGCCGATTGCAGTTTCGTCACTCCGTCTTTGTGAAAAGTTGTCGACTCCTTCCCAACCGTCCACATACCAAACAGCAAACTCCAGCAACACACAGCCCAAAGACCACATGTCATATTTCTGTGAAACAACTCTCAGGACGTCAACCTCCGGTGCTTGGTATGTCTGGGTTACGCCTTTAGCGTTGGCATCAGACTTCGAGCGCTCAGAGTGGAAGTCTGCCAAACCGAAATCGGCAAGCTTCAACACTCCTAAGCTTTCTTGATCTGTCCGGTGACCATCTTTCTTGAACCAAAGGATGTTTTCAGGCTTGATGTCACCATGCCTTCCATGTGTACGGGTATCGAAGTCCAGTGTAAGATCTTGTGGCCTGCGCTCGGATCTCTGAGTATTATGAACATTATTCAACGCGTTACAGAGACCGATCATCTGCTTGCACAGCCACTGAGCAAGTAAACCGGTTGAACGAGCAGTAGGATCGTCAATATAAGTTTTCCAAAAGTCCTGCAAATTGCCATTTGCCCAAGGAAATATCATGTGGAAATGGTTCTCGTATGAGAAGGTTCCTAGGAGCCGTATGATATGCGGGTCTTCTAGATCGTTGAGACGCTTTAGGACCCGCGCTTCGTAGTTGTCCGTTTCACCACGCTGTCTAGAATCCTCTTCATCCCGATGGAGTCGCTTCACGGCAAAATAGGTCTCTTTTCCTGGAGCCTAGACAGATTTAGCCCGATGATGACATTTGGTTTTTGTGTCATACATTGTGGTGAGCTGGATGAATCTTGACGCGCTGTACCTGGGCGTACCCCCCCTGAGCTAACTCTGGTTCCCCTTCGTACATGTGCTCACTTTCCATGAAAGGGAGTCTTTCGTATAGATTGAAGTCGAGATGTTGTATCTTCTGAGTTGAGTCTAGACTCAATTCGAAGGAGGGCGCTAATACCTCCCATTGATGATCCCGAAAACTTTCGCATAAACTCTGTTTCTTGAACATCTCGAGAGGTAGACCATGCCCATATCTATCTTCAATTACGAAACGACCACTCGTTCCTTTTTGAAACTTGAAAGGAAGTTGATGGTCGCAAATTTCGAGCTTGACGAACTGTTCAATCTTTCTTGCCTTCTCCATCAATCCCAATATCGCGAAGATTTTTCGCTTCGTTTGGCCGTCTCGATTTTGGTCTGGGAGGTTACTACCCATCACACTATCTGCCATGGTGACTGCATCATGGTGTTTGTTCCAACGGCAAAGTTCTTTCTTGATATTCTCCACTTGTATTATCCTATCGAACGCATCGATTGGCAGAAACTCATGTTTATCCTCACCCTTGTACTTCCGTAAAGCGCTTCGCAGCTCAGACTCGAGAGGCGACGACTTGGGTGACTTCGTTATGGCCGAACTCCCTAGTGGCGATTCATATGTGGACTCGTCCAAATTTGCTACAACTATAGGAGCAATATTGACCGCTCGTCGAGTGCTCTGGTCTATTATATTATCGTCTCTATATTCCCGGGATACCAAGTCCTCCTCATCTTCCAGAATCTTAAATTGCGATTGGGCAATAGGACTCTAGGAACTTGTGTCAGTGTGCTGCAAGGATTGAGACTCATCCGACTTACGGTGGGGGAGGTGAGTGTAGGTTCCGCGGAGGTTGTGAGATTAAGAGGAGGGGTCAATTCATTCTCGTCTACCTGGCGTTCTTCCAAAGAAGAGCCCATTGTACAAGTCGTCTGCACAGCATGAGACAAAACAGAGAGTGCTATGAGCGAGGGATCAAGGGTCGTGGCCTGAAGCGCCGGAGATTCAGCTCACAAGGCTGGTCTTTTCGCTACCCACCCACACATGGTCCCCAAAGCGGCAGGAGTTCATGCAGCCTGGCCTTCGCCTTCAGCCTCAAGGTTCCGGCAGATGACTTCTCCTCGAACGCCAGTGTTGAAGACGAACCGCAACTGCGAAGCAAAAGCGAGTAAGCGCCACATCCTCACGATCAACCTGAATCACTGCTCAACTTTTACTAGTGTAACGTTTGACGACCAGTATCTGCAGTAGAGGGGTATCGAGTACGTCTGAAGCCCGATCAGATTTCTGATCGCCGAACATCATCAATAAGCGAGGTAGGCGGTGGCCCGTATTTTATTCACGAAGGATTCTGACTGTACATCATGTCGTACAGTGTGCAGCATGGCGGCGCAGCTGGTTGCCTTCGTATTGTTAGGCGACTGTGTGTCCAATGACCTTCTTCAGCATGTGCCACAACACGGAATATCTTCACGGGCCATCGCCTTGTGGCGCGTCGCGCGCAAAATAACTGGAGCTCGAAAAGCCATTTCGAACTTCGACAAGGACTACTTAGGTGGGTGGGGCAATTCAAATAGGGTCATCAGAACCAGTCGCCTGATCAGGCTGATTTCGTGCTGTTGTGGGCTGAGTGCGCATTTGAGTGGGTGGGTGGCTTGCAGTCACTATTGGGCTAAATTGCAGGAGTTGCAGGAGTTCGGACGTGCCCGCGGCGCGGATTGTCTCGTTCAAGCGTCATCTATCAGCCACGATTTTCGAATAAGTCCCAACCCCGCCCCGAGCCTCCACGGTCTCCTCACTTCCCAAATCCTCTATGGCTACAAGATATCGTCACTGCTCTCACCAAAATAGAAAGAAATCACTTGAGGAAAACTCAACGTGTCTTTCACACAAATTGCACGACTTTTCCACGATTGCCTCTTCGTGTCGGTCATGGGAAAAGTACAGTTTCGCGTTCCCGCAAAATTCGTGTCCAGTCCAGATCACTTGCTATGGGCAGTTAGTGAGTTAGCAGGTGCCGAAAATTATTCGATAGAGGTATGGGGTCCTGTCTGCGCACGATATCTGGTCTAAGACAGTGATTAGATGAGGCACAATGTATACAGCATATCTGTCAAAGACAGCATCGAATTTGTACGTGGCTTCAATACTGTCGTTAAAATGCACTGACTTGATCATTATGGAAGGCTGCTATCGTAAACAAATACCTTAGCCGATGATCCTAGCATATATTGCTTTGAGCAGTTGTACCCTTGACGGCATTCGTCAACCACTCACCTTCGAAACCTCCTCTACTAGACTCACCAGGCTAGTGACCAAACAATATATCAGTCGTCGCAAATCTTTAGCAACTTTCATATGTAGAAACGATGGGTACGTCTCGATCATACCCACTTCCACGTTGAAGCTCTGTCTTAAATTTGATGTACTGATCAATTTCATTTGCATCTTGACCTATAGTTGTGTACCTTATTTACTACACTATAACTAATGCTTATGGTACTGTGGCGTTGCTATAGGATTATATAGCTTGAACTACTACCCTTGTGCTAATCGCCCTGAGAACTTCCGTCATGCTCCTGTTATATGTTTTAAATGTTTAGTATAGCAGAGAAGCAAGATGCTAAAGGCGGCGCTATGAGTGTAAAGCGTCAACTGGTAAGTGATACATCAGCTTCCTGACTCACCTTCCAAATGTCGTGACATCTTGCTGTTGACTGGAGGCATGAACGGTCACATTGATCAAAGCCCACAATGATGAGTGATTGCGTGGAATCGGTGGATCTGTGTCTTCGACCATGTAGCAGGGATCGACCATACACTTACAGGCCATGACTTTTGTATGCATGCCAACAATGCGCTTCATTGGATCTTCTGGACTCGTCGTAATTGTGCCTTTTGAGCTTATGACAAGTAGGTCATGTTCGATATGGCTCAGGAGGTCCTAAAGGTATCTAGTGCAAGATCACTGCCCGATTACTTGCTGGATAACCAGACAATTTGTTCGACAGGGCCTTGATGAGGTTCAAGGACTACACTGAATTGCATGTTCTGCGACCCCAACCTTGATGGGACCAGTTTCTTCTACTACTACCCTTAGCTTGAACAGGTAATCACTGTAAATATAATCCTCTCGAACCGAAAGAGACGCGTTCTTCTTGTAGAAAAGACCTGCAAAATACGGTTGACAGTTTCGTATGCATCCGCACGCCGATAGATCAGACGACTTCACAGAAAGCGTTTCATCCAAAGCTTTTGGGTTGTGATTTATTGGCGAACGGTTTAGGCTCGGTGTCCAGGGGTCCCTCCTATAGTTCCACTTGCCAATCATCAGTCAGGTTGAAATCCGCTATCACCAGATCCCTCAGAAATCATGCGGCATTGAATAATAGAGGATGTTCCATGATATTAAGCCCCGCGTACGCCATTGAGACCTTGAGGTTCATTAGTCTAATTGGTGGCTTCTGACGACCCCAAAATTTGTCGAGAGATCCAGTGAGTCGTACCAAAGCGCAAATCGAAGACCTTCAATTCCAGAAAAATCACATCCAGATTATAAGAACAGAAAACAAACATCCCAGTCCAAGCTCCAAGTTTTAATTAGCGAGATGAGATGCCCATGAGGTTCGTCGACCCAGGATCATTGCGAATGGCAGACCAATTTTCCCTGCTTGAACGCGGAGTCCTAGAGTCACAAAATGCCGCACTGGTACGAGCTGTTATCGGAACCAGGACTATCAGGTTCTACGTCGACTTTGGATGCTCCATCAAACCTTCCAATCCTACTCTCTCTAAGAGCATCACCATATCTGCTAAGGATTCTTCAAGGAAATCTTTTCCAATCTCATTGAGGCTACCCGTGGAATAAAACTAGGAGCACGCGAGTTTGCCATCAAAGGAAACTCGCTCGAGCGGAGGCGTCTTTCAGAAGTAGCGTCCTTATTGGGACGGGCTTCCGTCCAACAGGGCCCCCACTTGCGATGTTGGGAAGCAGATCAAGATTCGTATCAACTAAGTTCAAGGACATGTCGTGCTGTTTCCCTATCAGAGCCAGAATGGCTAACTTTCTGAGTTGGCACTTGAACCTCTTTTGCGTGGTAAACCAGTGGATATCGTGTGCGGTCTCGCGAATGCACTGATCAGTTGCTGTTTCCCGCATCAGGCTCTCCGGCCCAGAAAACCTCTGTTCTCTAAGGTACGGAATTTTAGCGGCAACCCTCCATAGCACTTTGCCCGTACTGTAATACTCTGCGCTCTTGCTCAAAACTTGTAAGTATCACTTTGTTCCGGAACTGACAGATTACGATCGGCACGTTACAATGACCGACATCGTGTCTCGTCATGTTCCGCTGATAGTCTCCAGGGTATACGAATGGTGCCAGGTAGTACAATCCTACCAGGGCTGGTATGAGGTATTATATCAAGCTGTCAGGGGCGTTTTTGCTGGTAATAGCTAGCCCGAGAGCGCTCTACAAAATTAAGGCCGACTCTCTCTTTGTGTTCAGAATCTGTGAATGACTAGAATCTTTCGAAGACAGATGATATGCTATGTCTACATTTCACTCTTCTTTCTTCAGCCATTCCAGATTCACAGGCGTAAGCGCCTCGCCACCACCAAGATAGCTAATCAAATTCTCCATTCCCAACCGCTCGAAACCTACATGGCTCTCCACGCTCGCCCCAGCTGTATGACCTAAACATAATTCATTAGCACACTTCAATGTCTTCTGGCAAAGAAGTAAACCTACTCAAGACCATAACATTATCCCTCCCCGCCAACTTCGGATGCACGTTCGGCTCATTAGAATGTACATCCAGCCCCGCAGCCCCAATTATCCCCTGATCCAACGCCTCCACCAACGCGTCTTCATCAATAAGCTTGCCCCTCGCAATGTTTACCAGTCTCGCTCCCTTCTTGAACCTTCGGAATTCTTCTCTGCCCAACAATACACTCCCTTCAAAGGGAGTCGCAAGCACAACACAGTCACTTGATATGAGAAGTTCATCCAAGTTCTCACACCACGTCACACCTCCCAATTCTTGTTCTCTACTTTCTATCCTCACAACATCATGATAAGCAACCTTCATCTGGAACGCCGCTTTCGCTTTCTGCGCGAGCCTGAATCCGATCTTTCCCAGCCCGATAATCCCAAGAACAGTGCCATTAGGATTGTGCGTTACAGCCGCGATGTTCTGATTCGCAGCGTGGAACTGTGCAGGGTCGCAGGAGCGCGCGGCGAGGAAGGACCATGTAAAGGCGCGGTAGGTGGAGAGGAGGAGGAAGATGGCAGTGTCGGCGACGGATTCGGTGCAGGCGGATGCGGAGTTGCAGTAGACGACGCCTAAACATGGAGATGCAAAGTCAGCTGGGGTTACCCACTCAGTGTCCGAAGGCCTCGTACCGTGCTCAGCCAGGGTTTTTGTGTCAACCCAGTCGAAGCCCGCGCCGGCACTGGCGTAGATCTTGCAAGAGGTGGGGAGAAGGGAGCTGTAGTGAACGTCAGCACCATTGTCGCTATCTTCCTTTCTGCTACAGGCACATTGATAACAGTCAAGCCTTCTCATATGGCGATGTGTACGATCCAGCTCCTTCACATTGCGTGACCACATCTTCTTCCTCCAACTCAATAGAAATCATTCTCCAAGCCGAAGACTTACATTAACTCCTCGTCCCAGTTCCCCATCTCCCCGCCCGTGTTCCAAAACGGGCGATACATGCCCACAAAGTCTCCCCATTTCTTCTCCCTCAAAGCCGTCTTGAATTGTTCTCGGCCTATGGAGTAGCTCCGCTCGATGTGGAACCTTTCGCCCAGCTCTTTGTACAGCTCGTGATTCCATCGGATATCATCACCGAGATGCAGGATTGTGGGTTTGGCGGAGGAGGATGATGTGGATGTGGAGAGGGAGGAAGAGGCGATGCTCGTGGCAGGCGCTGGAAGACCTGCGTCGCGCGGTGTGGGCGTTGCTGCGGACATTACGATGTTTTGTAGAAAGAGCCTCTATATGTCGATTTTGGCGACGTCTCCAGCAGCGTGACGTGGTCTATCTCTTTTGCTTTGCGAAAGGTACCATCGACCTCGGGACACTCTTTGAGCTGCGGATGTGCGCGGAGAACTACGTTGTCTTACGTAGAACTGTACAGTCGTATAGATTGAGAGCGGCAGCAACTGCTTACGATACCAGCCTTCCGGACGAGAATCTTTGCGTACAAATCCCAATTGAACAACGAATCGCCATCTACACGTGTACATGCGGCGACTGCCCTGCACTAACCTGAATCAGCCGCACCGAGACGCACTTCCTTTGTCGTGTCCAGGTTCGAGGCCGTTGAGCGGCTGTTCCGTCAGCGGGAGGGGCAGAAAAGGTGGGGTGACTGACAACACTTACCAAAAGCAAGACCTTGGTGCGTGCAAGCCAGCCACAAAAATCAACTTTCGGGAAGCCGCCGAGTTCGATCGAGGTGCCGAGAATTCACGATCTTAAGCTTGTTGAATCAATGCCGGATCTGGCATACCGGGAACACCAGCAACCCTGATGGCGGTACATACAAGCGGTGTGATAAGCTATCAGCACGCCACCCACGTGCTATCCCACGATGTCATCCTTGGTTCAACCATGGTTTAGTTTATACAATCCCTACATTTTATGCACACAGTATACATGTTCTTTTGCTTGCGCATGGCTTTTTCGTCAGATATGAGAAGGATCACTTGATATGCAGATGCTTCACGCGCTACGGGTGTCCCAAGCTGCTAAACAAGGCTGTCCGATCCAACGAGGAAGACAACTTAAGGCGCGACGTGAAGCGATGTCGAACCGGGGTAGTATCGGCTTTGTGCAGCTGAAATTGCCGGGGCAGGCCCTCAAGAGCCGCATCCCACGTCGATAGTCGCTGCAAATATAAGATGATCGCTAAGTGTACCGAATCTGGCACGGAGCTGTAACAAGTCTGGAGGAGGCACGGAGATGAGCGACGACAAACGATGAAGTATAATGCTAAACGTCTTGAATTCGCAAGTGTACGCCTGGGTATAATACATTGCAGCCACCCATAACCATATCATAAACCATCCCAGAAGAGTAGAGTCGTCACAGTATGCCCATCTAACAACACCGTCGTCGAACGTATATCCTTCACATGCCATATACGCCCCTCCTAAGCAGATCTTAGAACCAATGCACCATGCCCAAATGCCCCGCCCCATTCGTCGTTGGCATCGCCTGCGGATTCTCCATCCCGTATTGATTCACCATATCATCCCAAACAGCCCAGTCCATGTTTCCACCGTCCAACAGTGGGCTATCGCTACTGCTCCTGCTGTTGCCTTGCGGGCTGTCGTTGAAGCTACTGTTCACCATATGCGGGCTCTGGGACTGGGGGAAGGCGGTAAAACCCGCGGCGGCTCCATCCTGTTTAGCTCCGTTCTGTAGTGGCGAAGGGTTAAATATGTTGGTTTGCGCGTCGTTGATGGGTGGATGAGGGTCCATGAGGGGATTGACATTCGAAAAGTCTGTGGGGGACGTGGCTGTGCCGGCGTGGAGGCCGCCTATGGTATAGCCGTCCATGATGTCGCCCATGAGGTAGTCGATGCCGTGTTCGGAGAGGGCGTTGAAGGTATCGAGGGCTGTGGCGCGTGTAGTTGTAGCGTCGTTCACTGGTTTCGTATCCTGTGTGTTCTTGCGTGAGCTGTCTGGCGTATCCACTCCGAATGAAAATTCCGATTGAGCTGACTGCGGGCTTCCTGTCCACGTCGGCGGCTGTGCAGCAGGTATTTCGCCCAACTTTGGTGCCGCGGGGCGAAGCATGCGATCTAAATGCTCGGGGTTGGGTTGGCTCGTATCGTGTCCATTGAGCTGATCTGTCAACTGGGAAAAGTCAGTGTAGAAAGGTCCTCCAGTCTTCAGAGCTTGGCTTGCGCGCTCAAGAGCGAGCTCTTTCTGGCGGGCATTCTGAGCCTTAGCCATGAGCTTGCGGAGGGGCTTCCATAGGCAGCCTGCCTTGCCCTTGCGATATGGAGAGGCATCGCCGAGCGGGAACCACCACCGCCCAGCGGTGGCTTCGAGAGCATGCCAGGCGCGGTCAACGGCTTCACCCTTGGTTCGGACGCATAGCTCAGAAAGAAGGAATGCAATGGCGTGCCATTGTACGTAGGTCCGGAACAGCCAGCCCCATTTCATTGTCCGAGCTTCCGTCTCCAGAAGGATGGAATATTCGATGTTCTCGAGCGAGGTGACAAAGAGCTTATCTTTTGTTTCTTGGGGTAGCGAAGCGCCTCCGTCTTTTCGTTGGTGTGGATGATACACGATCAGCCACATCTTGCTCATGACCAATCGAGAAATGGTCGCGGTGACCCAACACAGCGGTATCGACATGTCGCAGTCCTTCAGGTACTTGTCCTCCAATCGTTGGTGGCAATCGCTAATCCACTTCTCTTTCTCGGGTACGGTAAGATTGGAGAAGAAGTAGTTACATCGTCCTGGACCGGGTGGGATGTAGAGAATGCGGCGGAAAATATTGGTCACTTCATAGCGGATGATACAGAAAGTCATATCGGTGAAGCCCTGTCGTTCCTTCGGCCACTCAGTCATGTCAGGATCGATATCAGTGTCATTCACATTCAGTGGCTACAGATATTAGCAAGGTCTGGTCTGTGCGAAAATGCGCACTCACCAACTTTGTGTCGAATTGAGCTTCAACGATTGTGGGATCGCACCCATGGTCTTCCGACGACCGAGCGTCCAAAATGCAGACTTGCCACCAAAGCCGTCTCCGCATTTCAATGTTGAACGGTGTAAGCCCAAAATGGCTGCCGTCTCTGTGGATCCCCAGGGTCTGGGCGATGCGCACAGCTAGACCTGTGAGCGTCCATATCTTTCTCGCGTCGTCATTGCGCCTCAAGAGTATCATAAACACAACGAACGCCTGCAATATTATCATCTCGTCGCAAAATAGGAAGTTTGCCCGGGCAAGACCCTGCTCCAGACCAAAGCGATACCGATGCAACAGCGCACTACGCTCCTCTCCACACTTCTCGGCGCATTCTTTCGGCAACATGCTGGTGACAGCTCCATAGTATATGGCAAACATGAGTGGTTCTAGAGACTTGGTTATCTTCTCGGGTTTCGATATCGCATCGAGGAGCACCGGCTCGAAGGTAGGTATGTGTAGCACCTTCACCAGCGGGTCCACGTTCTCCTTGTATATCTCCCAGAACAAACGAGCGTTCTGTTGCGGCGGGTGTAAAGACAGCATGTCGACACTGGTAGAGCTGTAGCCGAAGATGAAGCCCTGGTGCTGTGCTGAGAAGTTCGAATCGGTATCTAGTTCGTCTTCGTCGTCGGACTGCTCGATGAGGATCGACTTGAGGTCCTCGACCTGTGCTGTGTCAGTGTACTTTCCTTAGGTCTCGTTTCCGGAGTACTGTAGGCAGCGCAACTCACCTCGTTGTTCAAGCTCGCCCAGAAGCTGTTGTTGATGTACCTGCTTCTGCCCTGATCCACCACCAACCGCCCAAACCGTGTCTCCAACCCCTCCACGGTGTTATCCACAACAACACTGGCGCCTTCCATATCACGACCACTAGGACACCCGCCCTGCTCCTCGCCTACAGTTCCATTTGGACATGCACCACCATTCTTCTCGCGCTCAGCATCCTGTTGCTCGTGCTCCTCGACCTGCGCGTTCAGGCTCTGTACCACGCCCTCCAGCCTTCTTAGGCGGTCCATGAGCTCGCCGTCTTGTGGCTTCCTGCTCTTGCGGGGCGCGCGACCCGGCCCGGGAAAGATGCACTCGATCTTTGCGCGTGCGCAGTTGGAGCACGGCTGCTTCTTGTCGCACTTTACTTTGCGCCTGCGACAGGTGACGCAGGATCGCGGGTTAAGCCCAGCAGCACCTGCGCCTGACGCGCCACTGAAGCTGCCGCCGTTTGGTTTCGATACGCGGTCGCTCGCGCTGGCGGGCGCCGCGTGCAACGCATCGTCGCTCATGGTGGGGGTTGTGGAATGTTGCGCCGTGTCGCGGAATTCACTCCTACAATGCCCCTCACGTTGGGATGTGTGTCTGGAGCACTACGGGGAAGAATGGCCAGTTCGGGGTCTTAGCGGGCCCTGGGGAGTGAACAAAGAAGTACCGGGGGGGCTTGCATCAAACCCAAGCTGACTAACTGCCTGCCAGGCTTAGTCCTATCTCTACAATGCAATGCCTCGCGTAGCCGCTGGCGTTGCCGTGCCTCAAAGTCAGGACGAATATCGGAAGAGGGTAAAGTCAGGCAGAAGCCGTGAAGGAAAGAATGCTTAGACGACTATGGGGGAGACGTACACTTGCATCAAGCGTACCTAGACCCGAGCCCGATGACTCCTGCTCGCTCTGTCCCAAGTGCTGACTTATGTTCCGCGCCGTTCGTCATAGGAATAAATAGCTCCATCTGATAAAATCCATGGATGTCACCGGCGCTGTCTGCCTGACGGGGCGCGCGCGCTGACCAAACCGCCTCCCCCGCTTGGACCCTTTCTGCCCTTGTTTTGCCCTTCGTACATCAAGCGAACAAAAGCATGTCTATATAGAATCGTACCTGTACCACAAACCCGAAAGAGATCTCTCAATGCACAACATCACGTACTACACACAGACCACACTTCTCACTGCCCACAAGTTGCACGTACGTCTCCCGTACATCCCAGACACGATGTACGATCAGCCCTGCGGTCGGCGGAGATAGTCGGACTTCCGCTCGGACCAGCCAAGCATTCCGAAGTGCCATCCCGACTCATCTGATCCTGATTGGTTGGACCCTCGACTTCTCTCATCAAGCACGCGGTTCCGGAAGCACCAAGCTTCGATCGGCGGTAGCTTGGCAGGGTCGCATTACGAGAATTTCCTAACTGTCGGTGTTTATTGTCGCGATCGCTCCGAGCATGCACCTGGCGAGGCCAGTCTTCGTGACAGGACGTGTCGGGGAAAGGGGAGTATCCTGAAGGGGAACTAGGTTTTGACCTTGTGGTTGCGTGACGTGTGGTGACGGTATGAATATTGGGGAGGGTTTTGCGGCTTTTGGGAGTAGCTTGTGTCGTTGTACGTTGGGTTGGCCGAGCATGTGCAATGGACCTGGATAAGACACGTGCGTTTGATTGTCAAAATTTGGACAGTTGAGCATCATGTCTACAGTAACGATCCTCGAAGGTTGGGTTGCGCGCTTGGCTTATACTTTGAGTCACACCAGGCCGTCGTGTCAAAGAACAAGATCACACGTGAAAGATATTCTCAGTCCCCCTAGCGTGAACGATTCGATCATCTTGTCTACTACTGTAAAGCATTGCCCCTCATACCAAGAATCATCAACACCCCTAAAACTTACATCAGACGGGTATCTCATAAAGAGGACCACCAAGCTTCCCAAACGCCATGTCAACACCGCGAATGCCTTTCTTGTGATGAAATCTCAATTTCCTCATCTCAGACCTCTCTCACCCCTGCCTCCCGTGTTCCTCTCCTTGCGCCGTCTGGTGTTCTCCACAGTCAGCGTCTCCCTGCTCTCGGCCTCATCTTCAAACTCCTTATCGATCTCCTCCCTAATCTTCATGATTTGCTCGTCACTAAGTCCCATTGTGTTGCAAACCACACTCGGCGCGCCCTCAACATATCTCAGATTCTCGAGAGCCTGTGTCACCAGCTTGTGTAGGTTGTCTTGAGTGTTAAGGTTGTCGTGTCGTTTTGTGTTGTGTAGGTCGGGATACAGTATGCCGCCTCCATTTTCCGCACCCTGGAAAGCCTGGATATACGGGATGTGCGTAGGAAGTTCGTTGTGCAATTCCGTACCAACGCAGACAGCTGTCTCGTGACACCAAGTGCGCGCCACGTTCCGAGGCGTGTACCCGCCTCCTCCAATAAGAAGGAGTGGGCGACCATAAGATTTCACGGTTTCAACGCAGAAGCCGTGGGCTTTGATGTTGAGGTTGAATCTTCCTAAACGGTCACCGCCAAGCGAGTCGGCGCCAGACTGGAGCACAATAGCCGTTGGGTTGTATTTCTCGATCACGGCTCCCGTGACGGTCTTGAATAGCCACTTATATTGCTCGTCGTCGATGCCGTCATCGATAGGGATATTCAGACTATGGCCTTTTCCGCGGTTGGCGGGGTCTGTAGGGCCCATCTCATTGATGTTGCCGGTTCCAGGGAAAAAGGGATAACCATTCCTATCGATGCCGAACTTGTGATACGAGAGGGTGAACACGCGGTCAGTAGATTCAAAGGCGGCCTCGACACCGTCTCCGTGGTGCACATCGATGTCGATGTATAGCACACGTTGGTTCTGGGTAAGGAGAAGTTGAATGGCTAAGACGATGTCGTTGATGTAGCAGAAGCCAGATGCGAGGTTCTTTTTAGCATGATGCAAGCCGCCGGACCAATTGATCGCTATGTCAGATTGCTTATTGTTCAGATTTTGCGCGGCGCTCATCGAAGCACCGCTGTAGATTGAAACGTAGTTCCAGAGGCCGTCAAAAACAGGACAGTCGTTGGACTCGCCGCCAAATCCAAAAGACAAGTATGCAGGATCGTCAGGTTTTGCATTCTGCGGTGTGACTCTAGAAGTGTATTAGCAGGTCCACGCTGTCGGATGATATCATACGTACTGGCTGAGAAACGAAAGGTACTCGCGGTCATGGAACACCTCCAACTCGTCAATGGTCGCTGGACGGGGCTCGTATAAATCCATGGTATACTCCAGACCATAAGCCAAGACCAATTGCTTCGTTAAGGTCAACCGCCATGGTTTCATTGGATGGCTGCTACCGAAATGGTGATACTCGACATGTGGATTGTAATGGAAGGACACGTTGTATCCTCGCGGCTTTTCCAAGCCGTACTGCTCGGCCTCGCGGCGAACTATGGCTTGCTTCTCTTCATCGCTCAAGGTCTTGAACACGGAGAAATCTTCCTGGAAAGTGTCGTTGGGAGAAAGCCATTCCTCGACGATATTGTTGGTGTGGCCATTCATTGGCGCAGGAAAGCCTTGGCCGCGCATCGTTGCTCTCTGCTCCACTGGGTCCACGTTAAGCACCTGAGTTTTAGCGTACGGGGTTTTGAGGCCTGCAGGAGCTCCTTGGGCGATCCAACGATCCACGTCGCCTTTGATGCTGGGTATGAATGGGTCGTAAAAAGAATGTGGGCGGTCTTCTTTAGCTTTGCTCTTTTTCCAAAGATCATGGAGGTTAGCGTTAGGCGCGGGTGGGACTTCTTGCGGGTACGCCTCTTGAATTAACGGCTACGTGAATGTCAGCAAAGGCAAGACCAGAGGAAAGGCGCCACTTTGTCTGCGCTGAAGGTACAGTGGAACTTCAAGAAATTGAAAACCCCGTGTAACCCTAGGCTGCGCACTTTCGAAGGCCTGTAGTTTCGCGTGTGGATTGTAGAGACCAACCTTCTTCGCAGGGTAGTTCGATAGGCCAATAGAATGTAGTGGGGGTAGCACTTCGCCTTTGCCGCGTCCTGACGTGCGTGTGCCTAAAGAGCGTGCTAGGCGTGAATCTGCTTGTATCTGAGTATTCTCGTCTGACGCTCTCGAACCGCCGTCTTCGTCGTCGGCATCGGACCGTCCGTCACGTTCGCCAGAGGAAGAGGAAGAGCCGCTATCATCCTCGTCGTATTCCGACTCGTCATTGGACGACTTGGCGAGCTTTGCACGTGAGAGCATGTTAGCCCGAGGCTTGTACTTTTTCGGCGGCATCTTTTCTAGTTTAGCCACAGGTGCATGCTGGTGCTCCAACATCAACTTACATTGCGCATAGTAACGATCGCTAGATGTGTGGAGCGCGGTCGCTATAGAGTAAACTTCAAATAAAGGTTGTGTGGAAAAGATCTATAGACGCGTCAAAGTTTCGAGACTGGGCCAAAGTACAAACGGCGCACTTGCCTTCACCTGGGCGCTCTCTCGCGACTTCCTACCCACCTTTCCATCGACACCTCATCAGAATCTATCAAAATTTCAACCTGCACCAGTCGAATACATATCCAAGACCCCAACAACACCGTAGCAAATCCGCCGTACGCCAGCCCCGTCCGCACGCGCTAGGATGGCGAACCCGGAGGACGCGGCGACTGTCCTGGAGCAGTTCATTCACGATGGTAGGCAGACTTTTCATGTGACCTTTGCGCATGCTGATGATGCAAACACACAGTCGCGAATTTGCCTGCGGAAATAACACATTTATTTGAAGAAGTGCAGGCGAAAGACGAGCTTATTCAAGAAGCGCGACGTACTATTGCGAGTCGCGACAACAGCCTTCAGAAGTTCATCAAGCTCAACGGCAGCCTGGTGCAGAACCCGAAGGAGGAACCGTATTCAAAGCTTATATTAGAACAATATGAGCGCTCACAGATCTTGCAAGAAGAGAAGATCGGGCTCGTTGAGAAAGCCGCGGCTCTGGTACGTGTCTTCGTCACATATCATCCCTACACGCTCACATTTTGCAGCTGGATCGACATGTCAAGCGGCTAGACATCAAGTTGAAGAACCTGCAGGATGACGGTTCTATTTCCACAGATCCCCAATTGCCCTCGTTACTCCGGGAGTCCTCTGGAAACATGGTACCCCCTTCCTCGTCGAGCACGACCGGCGCGAACACGCCGCTTCAGGCTGTGTCCGGCAACCAAGGCCCTGGTGGTGCAAACCTAGCAAATGCAGCCATCGCCCGAATTGCAAATGCCACGAGTCTCACTTCCAGGATAACCCCCAATTTACAGAACATGACGCAGCAGGCGTTACTAAATCAACAGAGACTCACAAATCAGCAAAGCGCTGCCCAGGCAACAGCGCGACAAGAACGGGAGATGTCTGCCGGCAGTGATAGTAAACGTCGTCGACCAAACTTAAGCACAGGGCCGCTGCCAGGGCCGCCATCGTCGCTGGGGAGAGCATCGTCGATGGGACCAGGAACGCCCAAGCCTGCAACGCCAGGCTCTCGCGCGGGCAGCGTAGGGCCAAGCAGATCTCACCAGAAGCACCCGCTTATGGTCAAGAAGGCGAAACCACAGCAACCACTGCGCAAAGCCGCGCTTACGGCCAAGTCAGGGAGCAACAAGAAGCGCCGCAAGGGCGGGTCACGAGCGTCGCCATCCACGACAGCCGACGACGAGAGCGTGGCCAGCGAAGCAGGCACTGAAGACGAGGAGATGTCTGGTATGGGAAACGGCGAAGGGGATGACGAAGAAGACGAGACAGACAACAGGAAGTACTGCACATGCCAGCGCGTTAGCTTTGGCGACATGGTGGCGTGCGACAACGACAATTGCAAGCATCAGTGGTTCCACTGGGAATGTGTAGGTATCAAAGAGGAACCGGTAGGGGACTGGCTGTGTCCGGAGTGTTCAAAGCTGCCGCCCACCAAAATCAAGCGGGCACCTCGGTCGTGAGCACGTCTCGGTTCGAACGATTAACGGCGGGGTGAGCAGCATACATAATCGATAGGGGAGATACCCGTATCGGCGTATCTGGAGTAGCGCACGGGCGTACATTGTAGCTGCAGGCTACGGAAGGGGCGCAACTGACAACTCGTGGGCGTTGAGGTAGGACTGGCTGGGGTTCACGATACCATGTTATACATCCTTCTGTAATAAGATTGCAGCAATCTGCATAAGAGCGAATTTCCACCTTTGCCGGGGCAATGACGAAGCGCGGCCACCGGTCTCGACTGCGGCCGCCCAGCAAGGCCCGCAATTTCCAGGGTGGGTGCGTGGAGGATTGCGGTGTACTGTAGGTGGACGGCTCACCAAGGTCTACGGCATGCACATTGTCGAGGCGAGCTGTCAGGTACCACGACACGCGCATACGAGTGAGACATGGTCGCAACGTGTGTTCGCAGCACAACCTCATCTAGCGTGCAGCATCGTGAGGCTGCGATCTGCATGGACTTTGGGACGGCGGGAGCGGTCGCGCGGTGCGCCGTTCGGGCCCTGTCCAACCAGGTCTCTTAGCGCTGCCAACGAGATCAACCCGCACGGCCAAGCGTCGTCTGTGAAAGGGGCATACCGACATTTTGAGGTCCCAGTGCCTTTTATCTCGTCACTGCCGCTGCTCCTCCAAGTTCGCTGCAGGAGGCTCCGTGAAGCGCGACGAGAGTGCCCCGTGCTGTTGCTCCCTTCTTTGTTGTTGTTGTCCTCGTCCTTACGCCCCATCGCAGCTGCCGCATCCGCTCCTTTGACCGTTTCGACACACTTTCGCCTGCGTTTCACGATCGCTCTACAGCCAGCCACGAACGCCCCTCGCATGGCCCACTGAAGAGCTGACTACGGACTCCGACACACACTACAACGCGCCCTGCGGCCACGACTGCGGCCAAGCTAAACACGTCAGCACCCCACGATGAACGGGCGCAATGGCACCCTCTCGCCTGTCTCGACCGACAGCACCGAATGGTCGCCCATCGGCCGCTACCAGAGCCTCGACAACCCATATTCGCCCTCACTGCCCCCTTCCAGAAACGGCGTGACCCCGCCTGCCAGCGTCCACAGCAACCTCGATGGGCGCATGTCTGGTGGCATGGCCCGCAACGGCAACCCCTCGCCACCAAGCTCAGTGGGGCGCTCGAGTGATGGCACCGGCCTGTACGCCCAGAGCGTGAGCGACCGAGGCATGAACGACCGCAAGATGATGGCGCTGGAGGATACGCTGGCCGAGCACTACCGCGTGTTGAAGGCCTACCTGGGCCCCTACCTGAATGACGAGAAAGGCAACCCGCGCCCGAGCAGAGCGAAAGACAAGCTCACGCGGCTTTCAACGGTCCAGTTCCAGGAACTTAGTACCGACGTATACGATGAGTCGATCCGCCGCGAGCTCGACCGCAAGCGCGGTGGGCCAGGTGCTCCAGGCAACGAGACCCCCAAGCACCTCCTGCCCAAGAATAACTTCCACCCGAAGCGCAACCAGGCGAGACAGAAGCTGTCCACACTGCCGCTCGAGCGCTTCCGCCAGCTCGCCACCGACGTATTCTATGAGCTTGAGAGGAGGTCGCCGCGTTTTACGGGGGGAGACATTCCAAGAGCAGGTAGTCCAGCTGGTAGCATGGCTAGCAGGACCAGCAGAGGAGCGCCTAGCCGCGTAGGCACACCCAACAGCATGGGCGGAGGTCCGCGTGGTGGGCGTCCTCCCCCCGGTGGATATCGCGGTCCTCCGCCGCCAGGTATGATGAATGGGCCACCTGGTGCGCTACGTCCAGGCTCGCAGCCAAACGACTTGGGTAGACCGCTCCCAAAGACCTTTCAGCAGAACACGATTGTACCTAACAAGGGCACGATGGTAGAGGACGAAGACGACAGCGGCGCGGATGACGATGATGCTTTCAACTTGGAGGGCGCTGCAGCTCGACGACAGACTAACAAGAGCGCGAAGAGTATGGGTGAGGCCCAGGAGAAGATGATCTCGGATCTGGAAAATCAATTGTCAGAAATGCAGGGCAAGGTCGGCTCGCTGGAAGGGTCATTACGTGAAAAGGATGCAGAACTACAGAAGGCAAAGGAAGCAGACAGTATGCGCGACAGTAACACAGCTTCAGAGCGTGCTGAATGGGACGATCTGCGTTACTCTTTGGAAGAGAAGGTTGAAAAAGCCGAGAACTTGAATACTTCGCTTCGTTCGGAAATCGACCGGTTACGGAACGAAAACGCAGATACGGAGCGCAGCCTGCGCGCTCAAATTGCGGACCTGGAAGCAAACCCGCCTCAGAAGGCGTACGACAGTGACAATGATGAATGGAGACTACGATGTGAGGATTTGGAGCGTGAACTCAGCGAACAGCAACAAGTATCAGAGGAGGTCCGCCGGGATGCGCAGATGTTCCTACAGGAAATGCGGGAATTGTCATCCCGAAGTGATGCAGCTGTGGAGAAAGAAGAGCGTCTTGCTGGTCAGGTATCATCGCTAGAGGCCGAAGTCAAAGAGTGGAAATCCCGCTACGCTCGCGCTAAGACGCAGCTCCGCAGTTTGAAAGCGTCGTCTATCGGCCTGGCGTCCCTCGCATCCCCAGACATTAGCAACTACGCGCGCGATGCTACTTTCAGCACACCAGATGGCGCTGTCAAAGATGTACACGTCACAAACTTCCAACTCAGCATAGACGAGCTGCTCCAGGTTGCACGTAGGGCTGATCCGGAGCAGGTGCTCGAGAGCATGAGGCATGTGGTGAAGTGTGTGCGAGCCATCACCGGCGACATTGACAACACCTCCCTTTCGCAGCTCGCGTCCCCAACCAGTAGCGTGGCTGGGGATCTCGCGAACCCTGAAAAGAAACTCAAGTCGCGTGTGAGCGCCACTGCAAACAATCTTATTACTGCAAGCAAGAACCACGCATCATCTGGGGGCCTTTCACCCGTTAGCTTATTGGATGCTGCCGCTAGCCACCTTTCCACTGCCGTTGTCGAATTAGTCAAGCATGTCAAGGTTCGACCAACACCCGAGGACGAATTCGACAATGACGAGGAAGATGATATGCCGATGCCTCTAAAGCCGAATGGTTCATCTACCGTCAACACGTATAACCCCAATACCGCCAACGGTAACCCTGTGGGACTTGGACTCGGCCACCAGCGCCAACGTAGTAAAGGCGGGAGCAGCGAGTCTACCAGATACAGTGCATACAGTTCTCCATACAGCGGTTATGACGACCGGCAAAGTTATGGGGCGAACGGATTGGGTTACGAGAGGGATCAAGGCATGACCGAGTTTAAGGTATACTAACCTGCCCCAACGCGCAAAGCTGGCAAAACGATTCTTACAGGGTCGTAGAATTACCTCGAAGACCAGACCGCTCTTCTTGTCCAAAGCATTCAGCCTTTGGTCAATCTAATACGTTCTAATGCCGTGTCGACGCCCGCCGATGAACAGAAGATCGACGACTACATTCAAGACATCTCGCGTGCAGTTCAAGACACGGGCATTCGCAGCTATGACGCCGTGAAGGAGCTCTCCAGTCCTGCGTTGAAGAAGCACGCCATCCCCGTCGTAGAGGTGCTTGAAGACTGCAGACAGGATATGCTAGCCATGGACATCGGTGAGGGCGGACGGGAGAGGATACCGCCGCTAGCTTTCAAGACTGCCCGCGCCCTGAAGGTACGTCAATCCCAAAGTCCTGCAGTCTCACATACTAATCTCGTTGTAGGAGCTTGTACTTCGCGTTGATCGCATCGAAACCGGCGAACTGACTGTCGACCAAACGCTCAAGAGCGACTTTTGAATGCTGCGCTCGAATGCGCACCCCTTCAGTACAAGCATCTTTCTTGCTTGATCTTTCTGGCTCTGTCCGTAGCACTCATTCTCCTTTGTCCCTCACGTACGTCTTTTGAGATTGTCACGGCGTTTGGACAACATAATCCGCATCGTTGTCGATTGGATACCAAGACAGACGTTAATACGTTACTATTTGACGCTGTTATGCACTGTACCGCTACTTATTTTTAGTGTTTTGTACGGTATTTTGATTTTCTTTGATTCTGCGTTGGATGCAAACGCGATTGAGTATCGAATCTCGTTGGATTCTATGTTTTATACCATGTTTGGGCAGTTGATAGAGTCGTCGGAAGATTGGCCATGGAGGAATCTTGAATTGAGCGAGGCGATGAATACTTGAAGAGAGGGGCGGCCTGATAGTGGCATCGATGGCAAGTGTAGGAGCAGTGAGGAGCAATACATTACCATCGAAATGCTACGGTGCATGTTGCGCTATCTAAGGTGCATTGGTTTGGGTGACATAGTCCTTGCCCCTTATTATATCAAGCATGGTGTTGGAGACAATGTCTCAGCGACTGCGGCTGATAGTTACATCTCAACGCGATGCTCTGAGGTGACGCCTTCTGGCTTGATTTACTTGTACTATTACTCTGCAATCCATAGCACATCGGCCGGTAATTCTAATGCTTCGATCAAACCCCTGACGAGAGGCCAAGTTGAACGCCTAGACAAACATCGCAAGACTGCGCTCGTTGAATCCGTCGCACCTTCCGTTTACCACGCCAGCTGCGACTACTGACGTCACACAACAGTAGTCACACGCGCGTTTCACCAGCCACAAACCAAGGCGCACCACCCAACGCTACCATACGCCCCACTTCAATCCCGCATTACTGCACGTCAAAATCAATTCCACATCCTCTCTACTAATCTCTTATAAAGTCAAAGAGAAGGTTTGTTAGGTTTGTACTTCAGGAGTTAGAATTGCGATTGATCAAGATGGCATACCCAGGCCAAGTTCCTGGCCAGCAAAGCGCGTACAACGATCACATCCTGACCATCACGGATCGAACATGTCCAGATCCATATGTCATCTGGGACAAGGGCACGTTCTACATGACATTCACGGTGGGCGACCGAATCGAAATCTGGGCTGCTGATTCTCTCTTCAATTTCGAGAAGCACGCGCGGAAAGAATGCGTCTGGCGACCACCCCACGGCAAAGAATACTCGGGCGACCTCTGGGCGCCAGAATTGCACTCCCTCCATGGCCGCTGGTACGTCTACTTCGCAGCCGACGACCCAAAGCATGGCAACAAATCCCACCGCATGTTCGTGGTTGCTGGACCGCCTGCGGAGCACGACCCGATGGACTCGTCGAAGTGGGAGTTTGCGGGGCGATTGGAGGGTATGCCAAAGGACCAGTGGGCCATTGACGGCACGGTGATCTCGCTGCATGGGGGACTGTGCTTCGTGTATTCGGGGTGGCCGCTAGGTACAGGGGGCGATGAGAGCAAGCAGGAGATCTACATAATTGAGATGGTAAGTCCGACGCAGTGTCAGGGACACCCGGTGCGGATCAGCACGCCGGACAATCCGTGGGAGTATTCTGGTAGAAGCGGTATCAACGAAGGTCCGCAGTTCTTGTGCAGCCCGGATGGCAGGTGGGCGGGTGTTGTGTATTCGTGTGCGGGAAGCTGGTAGGTTTTCCCTTTGCCAATCTCGACCGCAACGTCTGTGTAGAGATTGAATTGACATGAGATGACAGGACCCACGAATACAAAATGAACATCCTCCACTTCACCGGCGGACACCCGCTCTCCCCACAATCCTGGCAAAAATCTCCTTTCCCACTCATCCAAGCTGCCCGCGACGATACACCTCCTTATGGCCCTGGCCACGGCAATTTCGTCTCCGTGAATGGCCCCACCGGTTCAGAAGTCTGGGGTGTTTTCCATGCCACGGATGCCAAAACGGGGTGGGATGGCAGGAAAGCGAGGATTATGCGCGTAGGATGGGGGACGCAGGGTCCATTCATGGGGAATGGGTACTGTGGAAGATGCTGCAGCGATGTGAATCATTTCCTGCATGGTTGTGATGGCGGGGCATGCGGGGGGAAGGGACATTGTGGTGGGCAAGGTGGGTTGACGGAACCTGGGAGCGGATTTGGAAGGGAGGAGGATTTGAAGAGGGAGGCGAAAGAGTTGCTTGGGAAGGGGAAAAAGGTATTTGGAAAGATTTTCAAGTGAAGAGGTGAGGGTGTAAAGGGGGTGTAAAATCGGTGCTTCGAGTAGAATGGGATGCATTCAAAAGGACTATAGTGTGAACACATTATTTGAGAAATACATGCGCTGGAGTTACTGGCCAGATGCCAAGGAGCAATAACGCGGTAATCCCAGAACGACATAAGCACGAATTGGTGGATCATCGTAATGTTGCGACACTGGCCATACATACGCACCCGCATGTCCCTAGTAGTCACTCGAGCTTCTTGGTACAATCGATGTGACGCTACCAGTCAAGGGGTATGTAACAACCACGGACTTGTCCTAAACGCCCATTTTCGTGCTTTCATCTTGTGCTACAGAACCCCAAGTAACACCGTTTAATCCGGCTCGAAAGAGCTCGCAGGAGTGTAGCCAGCTTGTACGCACTGGAGCTGAGCAAGAGGTCTTTTCTGAAGTAACCCCACAACAGGGGTAGCAGGGCGATTGGCCGAAGTGCCTATTGATCTTCCGCATGACGGTGAATGACAGGAATAGATACGAATTTATCGAGAATGGCTCGTTTGCGTGCCTACTCGCCTGACTCAAAGTTTTCACTACAATATCATCCTGGGAGTGTCTGCCAGCGGATAGATCATTGTCGTGGCGTGAACACTAGCTGTAACGGCGGAACAACGGTCGAGAAGGTCTCCAGCTCTAGCGTATCAAACGCAACACCGTCCTCGCCCGGGGCAAACGCCACATCGAACTCCATCACTAACTTAGATAACGCGGTTCTCATGCTGATATATGCCACTATTTTCCCAGCACACAAATGCGGACCCATGCAAAACGCAAAGAAAGGTGCATCGTCAGTGCCCATTTCTTTCCTGCGCTCATTCCATCGCTCAGGAACAAACTCTTCAGCTTGTGGCCAGTAACGCGGATCTTTCTGTATAGCTTGCATTGGCACCATGACGGTCGTCCGTGGCGGAATGTAGATGTCGCTGTCAATGCGGAGGCCTTTCTCAGAAGTCTCACGTTGGACTCCCAGCATAATCGGCGGCTTGAGGCGGAGCGTCTCGTTTATGAAGTCGTCGAGGTAGGATACTTCTTTGACTTTGGCGTAGGACCAATCTGATACTCCACCAGGCATGGACTTCAAGAGCTCTTCGCGTAGCTTGTGCTGCTTCTCGGGATACTTGGCCAGAAAGAAAAGTTCGTACGCTACGGTTGTGGCACTTGTCTCACTGCATGCCGTCAGCGTTCGCAACAGAGGAGAATAGGTGATAAGCGGCGCACTAACCTTCCGGCAATGATCATGAAGCGGACATCGTCCTCAAGAGCTTTACGAGTTGGTGGCGCAGTGTTATCGCCCTCGTTCGTGGCTTTTAGGAGCCAAGAGAGGATGTCCTGTGGCATATTCTCGCTGTCGTATGTCTGCTCTCGTCAGTTTCGTACATCATCAGGTCAGGGTGAACCACATGAAGCCTTTTACTTGCCTTCTCTTTCTCTTTCAGTTGGTCTGCACAGAAACCAAAGAATTTTGCAAAACCAGATGTCGCACCCGGCAGGCAAGCGGCAAGGACAAGCGACCATGGCGCGTTCCCCAAAACTCCGATCAAGTCCATCGTGTCATGAATGCCTTTGATTGCGGGGTGTTCAGTTCCGCTGTTCATTTGGTCGAAGTCTTTTTGGAATGCCACCGCACCCATAACATCAAAGGAGTAGAACATTGCCCATTCTGTGCTGTTGACAGGTTGGCCACCCCTTTTGTGAATGTTCTGGACCAAGGTGTCTGCCTGGGCAGTGATGCGTGGTTCGTAAGAGAGACAGGCTCCAGCTGTCAGCGCTCAAATGAAAAGTCTAAGTCAAACACAAGCATACCTTTTTGCGAAAATCCGCGATCCCAAGCCCTCCGCCTCAGTCTATGAGCACTTCGATTCCTTTCCATGTGTAGCGACACATAATTCATGTCGGTGCCAGCTTGTGCGTACCAAGTGCTCTTGCGACAATCTGTTGTGGGTCCATACAGAAGAGGAACGGCAGACTTGCGCAAAATGCTGAGCTCTCGTGGTCCGACCCGAACGACGTCGCCATACTGCTTATGCAGCGCTTCTCTATCGCGATGAAGTTGTGTAAACTTTGCAGAGCGATATACGGCGTGGAATTTGGTCAACCTGGCAGCAAATGGACCAGGGAATCTTCGTAGTCGGTGGAAGAATAATCGATACACTGCAATGCTGAGCAATAGGCCCGTGTTGAAGCATGTCGCTATTAGACTCGTCCGCGCTAGTGCTCCGAGAAAGCTCAGTCCCCCTGCAGTCGCGAAACCGGCAAGAACGAGACCGAAGGACGCGCATGCAACCCCGACGAATGGGAGCATTATCTCTTCGAACTCAGCATGGCGGATGGGCACTGCAACGTGAAACAGAATACCCAACACCAAGGTAGCCATGCCTGTTTGTGCTGGGTCTGCGTGTGCCGCGCCTTGCAGCACAGTCGAAATTGACGACATAGCCGCGCCGCTAGAAAAGGCGATAAGAGAATGCTGCTACAAGTACTGCGTAATGTGAAGAGGAGCGCTCGAAGGATGGACCAGAGGGTCGGAAAAGGCGCACATATAGTTCTTTCCACTCGAAAGACAATCCCCCTGTCTATCATGCCAGTCTTTCCATTATCGTGTCATCAATAGCGATTCGGCTTGCTAGAGGACAAGTCCATGCATGAGTATGCAGCTAGTTCGATCCCTTGAGAGAGGAGCGTACGCGGTTGCAGCGGTAAGTAATCGCAGTGGGTCCATTTTTGTTAGATTTCTAAAGCTCCCTAGCTAAGGCTGCTAGCACCTCTTACGAACGTAAAATCTATTTCTTATAGTAAGGCCTTACTACTCAATATTCAAAGGAACTTCGATTCCTACCTTCTAAATTTACGTTATCCATACTCCAGAGAACCCACTGTGACTACTTATCGCTGCAACCATAGTACAGTTTCATCAACCCTGATCGATCCTGCCAATCGGGTCTTTCCCACTCAACAGTCCCCCACACCCCCAACCCGGGGCTCGGAGGCCTAGCGGTTCTGCGTACGAAGGGTCTCCAGGTTGGCAGTGACTAATTCTCATACAATTTTCGTCGTTGCAAACCCTCCAACCCTCCCGCCTTATTTAACCCAACGCTAGGGCGGCGAACCAGGCGGGGACTGAAGGCTACCGACCTTTACACGAGTTGAGAAAACAATTCCACTGATCACCTTGGAAAATGCAGGTAGAAAGACTGGTCACCTCTCAAGTTGCACCATGCACACCTCAACGGTTTGATAAGGCCTGTTCACAATTCGGACCGCTCCTTCATTATGGGAGACGGAAAATGGCGATCGACAAACGCAGAGCCCTTTCAATAAATATGTTACAGGGGTTCTCCAAACCTGAGGAGAATATGGGAAATAGGTCAGCGGAAGCAGCAGCGGCTGGGGAAGCGGCAAGCGACCCGGCCGGTCAACCTTGTCAAACTATCTGGATGCGGAAAGGTCGCCTAGACGAGGTAGCGACAACGTGCCACACTGTGCTTTCGCGCGTTATACTCATACGCCATACCGCCCAACGATGACTAGTACTTGTGCAAGGCACAGCGTATCGTCCATGACAAAACATTTGAGTGGTCTTTTACAGGAGCGCTGTTCCCTGCGTGCGTGCGTGCGTGTGAAAGATGAAAGCTACGCCTCATGCACCGCTTCTTGGACAGGTTTGCCGACGCAGATCTTTAAGAACTCAGCTCACAAGACGAGTCACATCGAAACCCCTCTACTGCTTGATAGAGCAGGATCGGCAACCGTTCGCATGCTTCGCACAATAAGACTTTCTTTTCATATGAACTTGCTGGCACACGACCAGCGATTCCTCAAATTTTCAAAAAGGTCTCCTTACCACAACCGTAAGAGACAACAACAGCAATCATGGTGTACGCCATGCAGTTAGCGGCCTACCTTACTACGTGGATTGCCTACCCTATAGGAATCTCGTCATGCTTTATTCGGCTTTATTGTCGCTTCTTTGTAACGCAAAACTGGGGCCTGGACGACTGGTTCGCAGTGGCGTCTATGGTATGTAGTAGTTCCACACAGATGACCTCTTCACAAACTAATGGTGGCACAGTTAGCCATTGTCGGACAATTGGCTCAATGGCAGCTACTGCTCAATTTGGGCTGCGCCGGGTAGGTTACTACCGTTCCATTCGCTGATCGACACGTACTGATTTAAAACTTCTAGGCCTGAACCAAATCCATGCAACTATATGGACCCAGGAGGGAAACTATTACTGGTATGTCTAGGCTCGATCTCTTTCCCAATAAGTCCTTACTGACGCAGCCATTTTCCAGCTTCTTTTCATCCAGGAGATCTTTTACTATGTTGTTCACTGGTTGATCAAGGCGTCGTTCCTCGTCTTTTACCTGCGCCTTTCGCCTGAAGTGGGTTTTCGTAGGCTGATATGGATCGGTCTGGCAGCGAACACAATAATGCTCATTTTCAACGAGCTCATCTCCATCCTGCAATGCAACCCGGTCATTGCCGTCCTGAAGCCATTTGAGCATCCCGAGGCCAAGTGCCTAGAGAGACTCGTTGTCTTCTTCGTTCCAGCCAGCCTGGTAGGTTTATAAGCACCTCAACTTCATCCGACTCTTTCGCTGATTCAGACCCTCAGAACATCCTCCTTGACATCTACATCCTTGTGCTACCCATTCGCGTAGTCTGGGCACTTCAAATGCCACTTCGTCGCAAGATCGCGGTCCTCTCCGTCTTCACCTTTGGCACATCTGCCCTGTTCGTCGGCCTCGTTCGCTTCCACTCACTTATCTCGCTGAATGAGTTTACGAATACTGCTTACGGGGTCGGAGAAATGTTGATTGTCGCGGCACTTGAATTCAATCTCGCCGTCGTCGCCTTGAATTTACCAGCCATGAAATGTCTTTACCTCAAGATGATGGGCCGGGACACTATGGGTGGCAGCTCGGGACCCAGTAACACCCCAGACGGAAAGAAGGGAGTGTATGGGTTGAGCAGTCTAGGACGCAAGGCACAGAAGCAGAAGCTCAATGATCTGGGAACTATCACAAGATTGGAGCAGAATGTCCCAGGAACGGAGAGCGAGGAAGAATTGTGGCAAAAGGGCCTCAGTGGAAAGAAAAATGATGACGCTGGGATCATGGTAACGAAAGATGTAACACAGGAGAGCTCGGAGTCCGTTGAAGAGTACACGATTGCTGAGAACGCGCGGAAGTCTCTAGTGTGGGGTCCCGAACGGTAAAGGTTGGTATGCACCCGTCTTTAGGCTATCAAGGAACACTTTCCGTATCATTTGTCCTATCTCAATTTGGATCAAGAGGACCTACGCTGCGAGAAAGTCATGGAAATCGAAGCAGCAAAACGCTGCGCATAGTCAACCTCCACATCAGCGAGCACCCGCTCCGATCGACAATCCGTCCCAGAATCGGGGAAACGGCAAGCTACAATGCTCTCATGAGCACTCTTCCGCGGAGGCTACAAGGGGCGTATGATGGTGAGATTCGGGCTGGTCCTGGGACTAATATTTGCTGTGTTGAGCTTGGACATCCAGATGCGCCGCATGGGCAAGGCTTATGGATCTTTACTCAGCTTTGCGAACGACGACGAGATGAGCAAGCCGTAATGGCGATGCGAAACTTGATTGAAGAAACACCTTGGGTATGGAGTTAGTACGACCCATTATCGTGGTAGAATTATACGAAGAGTCGAACAGTACAGTAGTAGGTACTCCGAAAGCACCAGAAACTAACTAAAATTTATCGATGCGATTACAAACGACTCATGAAACCATCGCGATTGATCTTTGCCAGGTACTCTTTGCCGATCTCATCTACTTTCGTCACGCCGGCAAGCCCCATGCACAACCTGATCTCGTCATTTATCAGTTTTAAGCACAACTCCACACCCTCTTGACCGTTGTAGGCCAGTCCCCACAGCACCGGTCGTCCAATCCAGACAAAGTCTGCACCAAGGGCTAGCGCCTTGAAGACATCCGTACCGTGACGGATGCCACCATCGACGTGTACTGGCATCTTACGATCCATTGAGCGAACAGCCTCCACGACTTCTGGAAGCATGTCGATCGTAGCCAGTGCGCCATTCAGCTGCCTGCCTCCGTGGTTAGAGACAATGATGCCATCGACACCATGATGGCAGGCGAGAATGGCGTCTTCGCCAGTGGCGATGCCTTTCACCCACACTTCCATTTCCGGGTGACACTGCTGCTTGAGCCAGTCGATATCACGCTCCCAGTCCAGTGTTGGGTTAGGAGCGTGCGAGTGGAAGGTGATGCGGCCGGTTGGTGAGACCCACTGGGAGCCGTCATGATGGCCTGCTTGGCTGGCTTCCTGCTCTTGCTTCCGCTTACGGGCTATGTTTGCTTTTGCTTCCTTCTCCGACTCAGTACCCTCCCGGTTGAAGTTAGCCGACTTCAAATGTCTCGGTAGACTAAACTGATTTTTGATCTCAAGATTCCTGCGCCCAAGCATTGGCGTATCAACGGTCAAAGCCACAGCCTTATACCCCGCCTTCTTCGCCCTCGCAATCAAATCCTTACTCTCCTCCCTATCCTCAAAAAGATACAACTGCAATAACCCCGGATGCTCCTCCCCCAACGCACCCTTCACATCCTCCAAACTCGTCGTACTAAAACTGCTCAATCCCATAACAACACCCTCCTTCTTACACGCGCGCGCAGTTGCTAGCTCTCCATCCTGATGCGCAAGACGTTGCATAGCTGTTGGAGCGACTCCTAGTGGAATGCTGTTTTTGAACCCGAAGATTTCGACACTGGTGTCGATAAAAGAGACATCTCGCAAGACGCGTGGCCGGATGCGGTACTTTTGGTACGCGGATTTGTTTTCAGCTAATGTGGTACCGGAGTCTGCGCCTTCGTTGTAGTAGTCGCGTGTTTGCTTGTCCATGCGCTCGGCGGCGAGCTTTTCTAGTTGGTCGATGGTGAGGCATTGGAGGTCGTGGGGCTGGACTTTAGACATTGTAACGATATAAGATTATGATAGATAATGTTTGCTAGGTATTCCGCAATGATGATGAAAGACAAGGCAATTCTATCAGATAAGGGAGCGCTCACGATATATCCATTACGAGCATCATCGACTTGGCGATCCAGACCGAGAATCGGCTACCTCAGGCAAGGCGTTTAGATCCGCGATCCGCTCCGCGATCCGCTCGTTACGCGCTTGTGCGGGTTAACGGAATAATGGGAAATACACCCATCACGGGTAGCAAGCTTCCATCATACTAAGCTCCATCATTGCCTTCGAGCGTCGAAGTGAATTCCATACATGCGATTTTCGGGTTGTAGGATGATGGACCACCTGAGATGAAGCTCACGTGATATGACGACTACCTAGGTAATACTGACACACGGCCGTGCTCAGTCACGTCATCGGCACTTCGCTCTACATTTGTTTCTTCTCTTCCCGTTCCACTTAAGTCATCCTGCGACACCGTCGACATGCATTCTGGCCGCCAAAGAATGTAAATATCTAAGCACGGTGCAGTGTTCCTTACCGCCGCTCGGTTATGTGGAGTTCACCCAGGACCCTAGCGGGGTAGATTGATCTACGTACCCATGAGCTAACGTTGACTACTGCATAACAGGTAGCTGTAAACACAGCAGACTGAAGTGATCTGTTATATCTGCAAGCTTACCTCTTTCTACTGACTGCTACGCTCTCCCTAGCCCACAGGATTTTCGTTTTCCGCGCACCATTACTTCCCGCTCAACATGTCCACCGCAGCCCAAGCCCTCCGCGAAAAGCAAGCGCCCATCAAGGCCAATTACCGTAGCGACCCCTCCTCCGCCTTCGTAACGCTCAAGTCCACCGGCAACCTCGACTCCTCCTCGATAACATGCAAGCTCTCCACCGGTGCCGCAGTCAAAGAAGCCTCGCGCACAGCAGGCCTCCACCCCAAAGCCGGCGGCGATGACCCCAGCATATCCGGCGAGCTCTGCTCCGGCGACATGCTGCTAGACGCCCTGGTGGCTTGCGCAGGTGTGACACTTAAAGCTGTTGCGACGGCCCTCGGCATCCCAATCTTATCGGGCACTGTGACTGCGGAAGGCGATCTAGACTTTAGAGGCACGATGGGGGTGGAAAAGACAGCGCCCGTGGGGATCACGGGGATACGGATGGGATTCGATGTTGTTTTCGGGGAGAGGGAGGACAAGGGACATGTTACGGAGGATGAGGTGGCGTCGCTGGGGAAGTTGACGGAGAGGTATTGTGTGGTGTTGCAGACGTTAGTGAATAAGCCTGAGATTAGCGTGAGGGTGGTGGGGAGGGGTGGTGAAAAGGAAAGAGAGGGAGTGCAGAGGGAGTTGAGTTGGGGGCATAAGGCATAGGGCAACCTCTGATCTATATCCACAATTTCAAAGCTAGATCAACCCAGGGAAGCTCATCTCTGCGCTCGCCACATGGCTTGAAGCACAATCTCCCAACATCCCATGCTTTTCCTCCTTACGCCCCTCTCTAGAACCCTCCCACCGCTCATGGGCGGGATCCTTCTGCTCGATACTGGCAAGTGCGTCAGTCGCTTGATCCAGCATCTCTTCAATCCTTTCGATATCTTCCCACATGGCCATCAAAGTTGTCTTGACAGCTCGTGTCTGATCCAGCGCTGCGTACACGAGGTGATGCAGGGTGTCCTTGGAAGGACTGTAATTCAAATTGGGAAACGCGTTTTGAGATCTTGAGGTAGGCATATCGAATTCAAATTTGAGATGCTAGGAGGGAAGAATACTATCCTGCATGCCAGTGGCAGACAGCTTTTTATGTCAGAATGGTGAACCGCGTTTGCTGATCGGCCAGCACTTTTGACAGCAAAGGCATTGAGCAGGGTACGCTGGTGTCGATACTTAAACACATGTACTCTCATCACTAATCAAGTATTGGTGAGGCGAAGCACACATCGCAGATGTCCCTAAGTAATGGGTACGTTGTACTTGTTCTTTGCATGCTCTGATCATGATGTCTGTTTGGGTTTGCCACAGAAAGCCCCTGCCTATCTCAACCACTTCCACCACATTCTATGCCACCTCCCCCTCTCAAGAAGCAACTCCTAGACCCACTCAGTCGTCCTTCTTGCCCTTGTCTTTACGTCGATGCGTGGCCAGGTCCTCTGACACACTTTCTTCCTTTTCAACATATTCATCACTCCGTTGGAGTTTTTCTGCAGAATTTGTGAGTCTCGCCTGGTTTTCAGGCAGCTTGAAGCCGAGTCGCTTGTGCCCCAATCTCACCTTCGTTTCTGAGAGGTCTCCTGCTGGTGGGCCACGGGGTTCGCGCAACGGCTTCTGGGCCGTTTGAGCATGGAATATCGTCGCAGCAGGTCGGTTGTCCCCAGACACAGGAGCGTTGGAGGTGGGAGCGTGGGAGTCACCAGTGTTGAAGGCGCGTGCATGGGGAAATGAAGCGCTACCTGTTATTCCAGCGTCTTGTTTGTATGGCGGTACGTAAGCAATCTGCCCAGCAGTGTATTCGGTCACTCCTTTCGTCGCATTATTGTAGTCTGTCTCCGAGCGTCGGTCATTCAATTCAGTATCTTGCTCTCCCAAGGCCTGCGCTGTATAAAAGGAAGCTGGTCTTGTGCTGGAAGAACTGCCGGATGTGTGAGCTGGCGGTGCTCCAGGTTCACCAGACGGCTGATCTTGACACTCCACGGAATATTCCTGCTCGTCTGGTTTGATGGTATCGGGTTGTCTTGTGTCCGCCATCTTAAGTTTCCGCTGTAGCGGGTAAAATCATCTAGACAAAGCGTTGTACCTTGGAAGCGCGGTACATCACTTCTGATTTATTCTGGTTTCGTTACTTCATGAGTGTCTAAATAGATTTGTTATATGGTCATGCTCTTGTGTGTCACGCGGTGTGTCGATCTAGCAACTTCCCCTGTAATGCTTCGGACCAAGAGTTGCAAACAATCAGCAAATGTCTACAGCAAACTGCAACAATCTTTTAACTGAACTGTAGTCGTTTACCAAAGGAAAATTCAACGACATAATACATCACATGTAACGATCTTTAGCATTTGACATCTTGGTTGCCCTAGTGTCTGCTATGCTGACGCTTTGAAGTTCTCCCGTTAGTAATTCTCCTATTAATCAATCTTCAGCAATACGCGTGCAGCTTCCTGATCGTGAGGAGAGAGGATTTCTTGGAATTCTGCGGCAAGTACGCTTACCAGACCAGTGATTCTTTGGTGGCCTGATTCCCGAACGGCACTTGTTTGTATCGAAGGTTTATGTGAGGAGAGCACGTTGGGTCTTGGAACCCAGTCATAGATGGGAAAGCTACTAGATTGGAAGATGCTGTAAGATTTACTGAGTATGTAATGTAAGTGGTGATGAAGATTTTAACCCTCCATAACTTCTCAAATTTTGGTTATCAGCTACAGCATGAATGACTGCCCAACTCCTGAGAATAATAGTACTCTATAGAACGCATGAATAACTAAATTGAATGATGCTACATTATAACAAGATACACCTACAGCTCTAACAATCATCCTCGATTGCTATAATATTTATAGTGCGAATATGAATATAGTATGTCCAAACACCACCCGCCGCGAAGGCTCTGTTCAACCAGTGAAGGACTAATCGCAATATCGTAAACCAGCACTACCTCGTTTACGAAGAAAAGAGGCTGATTAGAAGTGAGGCGTGTTCAAGGCCATAGCCATGACCAGCCCTGAGATCAGACCAGCACAAGGAAGCGTAATGACCCAAGACGAAAAGATGAAGGCAACCTGCTTCCAGTTCACGGCACGGACGTCAAAGTTGCACAGTGCGACACCGATAGTGGCGCCTGTGAGACACTGAGTAGTTGAGACCGGCAGAGCGAGCCTGGACGCAAGAAGAACGGTGATAGCAGCGCCAAGTTCCATAGAGAAGCCTCGGGTGGGTGACACTTGGGTAATCTTGTTGCCGAGCGAGCGCATGACGTGGTAGCCGTAGACTGTAGTGACGAGTCAGCCTTGACACATGAAAGATGATTGGAAAAAGGGATTTCACATACTCCAGAAGCCCATACCGAGCAGCAGACCGGCGACAACAAGAATCCAGATAGGCGTATCAGCCTTGGAAGTAACCTCACCGCTTGTGTATGTGTTGTAGCTGGCTACCCAAGGACCGACAGCGTTTGCAACTACAATCTTGATATCAGTAGATGAAGCAACAATTCAAGGATTTTGACGTACCATCATTCGACCCGTGAGCAATAGACATCATCATTGCCGAAGCGACTTGAGCGTAGGTCCACAGATGTTCAGTACGGTTGTCGTACACGATAGCACGGGCATGAACGGCGCCGAGGTCTGCAGGAGACGTTAGCAATTTGAAGTGATGAAAGCCTCCTCCTTTCAAGACTTACTCTTCTGGGTCACGACGTCCCGACTGACACCTTGGAATAAAGCGAATTTAGCCCAGTTGGCCAGCTTCTTTGGAGAATAAATGGGTAGATGGCGCACAGGCTCCAGCCAACGCTCTTCCGGTTCAGGCTTCGCAGGGATGATATGTTCGGACAGCCTGTTTTGATTGGGGATAGACAAGCCTCCCTTTCTCTCAGAGGTACCATTGCTGTCACCGTCATCGGCTTTAATCGCAGTCGATATGCCCTCTCCGTTGTTCTCTGCACCCAAATTCTTGGGTTGATCGAGGTCATCCTTCATATGGGTTTTCTCGATATCCCCCGTGTTGGTCTCTATCGAGCTTTTCGCGTAGTAGTCCTTGACTGCCCGGTCGCCTTTTCCGGGAAAGTATATCGGGGTACTGTCGCGGTAGAGGAGAGGACCAAGTGGGATATGCCATACCCGGATGCGCGCGTCGTTCTTGACGAGACGACGGTGGAAATAGGGAATGAAGAAGACGTATGAGAAGGCCACGACTCCAAAAGCCACACCAAGGATGATACCGGCCACTTTTCCTGCGCCCATCTCTTCAAACGACTCTCCGTTAGGAAGCTCATCCATGATGAAGAGAGCTAGAACGCCTGCCGTGAATCCAAGATACCTAAATCGTGAGGATAGTGTTAGTGAGAGTTTGTTAAACCGCATGACTCGAGGACGAGGAATATACATGCTGGTACTATGGGAAATGCACACCAGTAATAACGTACCAAGGAATCAAACGCATGCCCCATTTGAATGGATCCTTCCTCTCTAGGACGAGGTACTTCAGTGTCAGGAAGAGGATAGACGAGAACCCGGCCGCGATGAGAGGAGCAATGGCCCAAGAGGCAGCGATCTGGCTCAGACTACCGCTTGCCCATGCCCATTTCAAGGGCGTTTGCGCCGCAATACCGGCACCTGCAAGAGCACCAACCACGGTTTGGGTCGTGCTATTACGCGAGTTAGCTAGATCGAACGTTGGCGCACTGGTTCCACATACCTCACGGGCATGCCGCAAAGTGTTGCGATCGTCAGGAAGGTCGCGCTGCCAACCTCTGCGCAGCCCATCACCAACATAAAGGTTGGAGGGTTCGGTTGGAACTTTGAGAGTCCAAAGACACCGCTCTTGATGGTTGAGGTTACTCGAGAACCCAAAGCTACCGCTCCGACGAATTCTGTGATACATGCCAAGATTCCCGCCTGCCACATCTTCAGCGTCCTGGCAGCGACGGACGTCGCGTAGGAATTAGCAACATCGTTTGCACCATTCGAAGCCGATGAAAAGATAAAGGCGATTGTGGTCAGCGCTAAGATCCAGTTGTATTTCTGGAGTGCTGGAGCCATGTTAGGCGATTGTCAATAGAAAGTGAGAAGTGATTATCAGTAAAGGCGTCTGATCGAGCAATCAATGCTTTAATAGGGTTGGCAACCCGGCAACGCGGCCCCAGCTCACATGCACAGCTTGGCGTTAAAGAAAAGTGGCGTCGGGCTTCGTAGAAGGCAGTCATGTAGGCCTGAGGCGAACGGCTGTTCGTTCCACTCATAGACATGCCCGAGGACCACATGGGTTGTCTGCGAATCCTGCTGTCATTTTTACTGGTCTACAAGTGTACGACTATCGCGTCATGGCTTTAGTCCTTGTCGTGGATCGCATCGATTTGCAAAACAAATTCTTGGTATTCACGGAGACGCCGTCAAAGCTGACGAACGACAAGTCGAGAAATAGGAACGTGGGCAGCACGTTGCGTCTCTGCCTTGTACCGGGGGGTGGAGTGCCCAGCAAGTCCGCTTGCTTGGTTCGCTTGGCGGGGTCATCCTTCCGCCAGGCTGGTGGTCCACTGCCATATTTGAGGCTTGGTCTACGTGTTTTCGTGGGACTTCCGTGGACCCTCGCGGCGGGCATTGAAAAAGACATAGCGTAAGGAGTGGGAGTGTTTGAGGGTTCTGGCTCTGTGGGACATGGCTTCGTGGAACATGGCCTTCCACGAGTCCGACACTAGATCAGATGGATTAAAGAGAGACATATTGAGGAGCTCAAGACATCTAGTAGGAGGATCAACATTTCGTTTTGTATATCTGGTGATGAAGCGCAAGAAATCGCCGCATGTCGTCCCCTCGCCTGCCAAGACGTCACTAAGCCTCATTGAGTGAGCAACTAGCGCCTGCAAATAGCTCGAAACCCGTGGACGCATCACGCCGCGTCTTTTTCATCTCATCTCAACATTTCGCCCATTGAAAGTCTTCATTGTGATTTTGATTCTTCTCGGGTCAGATTGGTTGGCGCTATGGATGATTTAGGGACTGCACTGGTTTATGGACTGTAAACTTACCTACGGTAGCTGTCGGTTGAACGCACGGCATGAACGCAGATTGGATCCCCTCGGAGGACAGATATTTTTTATCAAAAAATATCAAGATTCCTCTATGGCGATAGTGCAGTAATCCTCAGCAGACTTCAACATTCGTCAACTCGCGCTCCACCTTCACCTTCTCATATCTTTCATCCGAGCCTGTCTCCCTCGCCGCATCTTCGTTGGCCACCACACCCTGCGGCCGCTTTTCCTGGTCCTCGCACAACATACTTTGGTTGAAAGCCTGCTTACCTAGTGGGGGGATATATCATTGGTGGGATTGTACACACATAAGTTTTATGGATTGAGATCCATATGGGAGGTTTCGGTGGGTATGATAAGAAGTCTTCGACGCGTGAGATGTAGTCCAAGTCGAAGGTCTGCCAAATGACGATGACTTTCTCAACGACATGGTCACGCTTTGCAGTCGAGGACTGGATGCCGGTTTCCCTAAGGGCGAAAAGCAGCTGTGACCGGGTGGAACGTCTCAATATCCAGTGGGAGTCAGTGAAACCGGGTTCTGGATGTTTTCGTGGACCATTTGAAGACGCGGCTGTATGTAATGCTGTAATTGACCTACGGTAGCCTCAGCAATGGATTGTGGTCATGTTACAACGTAGCCTATGCCTAGTGGGTTGAGCGTTTGTCCCAGGGCATTTGGACTGATTCGGAGTACGAGAAAGTATTGTGGTGTCCGCCGACTGCCGGATCGATGCTAACCTTGAATAAGTGCTGGTGATAGCTGAAACTATATAGTCAGTCGTGGCACACCAATTACTTGAAGTCAAGACCTACAGAGCCATGACCCCCGTCAGCAAGTCGAGTGTCTAAACTCACGTCAGAGCAGTGCTGAAGCTGAAGACTGGCGGGCGATTTACACTCTTATACTAACCGTATTTTCCTTGTCCTCGTCATTGTTTTCACGAAGCGACTTTCGCTGGCTGGCAAAGTGTTCAGGAAATGTGTAGTCGATATGAGCTATAAATTTAGAGCAAGGAATCGGCTTATAGAGACGACGTACCGTAACATTCGGAACCTAAGAACGTCGAGAAGACGAAGTCCAAAACGCGACATCGGTTTCCTCAAATAGTGTCAGCCCTTCTTCTGCTTGTGTCCAGCACTGAGCTGCACATAGCGTAGATTCGAAACCTTTTCCTTAGTGGGGAGCTTCCAAGTCAACAGTTCTCTGGTGTCCTTGAGGGGTTCCTGGGGTATGTTTCTCGAAAAGTCCTCATTAATCGCCGTCACATGCGTGTAGATTTGAAGATCTGGTCCCGCTTTGCGCAGTCGTTCAAGATGCTGTTCCGATGGTGCGGACACCGTAAATATGAGGAGGTAGTTTAGGCATCGGGCGCTTCGAGAAGTTCGGTCGACAATAGAGAAGAGGAAGAAAGGAAGCAACAGGTCGAGGAAACGAGACACCAACCGAATGCGATAATGCCTCTCGGAAAGACATGCTTCTCATGCTACATGAGAGGCACGGGACGAGTTCGTGATATGAACACGATTTCGTTCGTAGCGAGTGAACTTTGCCAGATGAAACAGATCACAACCGTGGGCGCTTCTCATGTAGATTAAGCAGTCTGATAAGAAATCAGAGGTTTCGTGCGGCTCTCAAAGTCTCGGCTACCTAGTTTCCAAAAAAATAGGGGCTCGAAATGCTCTATTCAATTCCTCCCTCAGATTTGGCTAGGCCCGCAGGTGACGGCGCTGTGGACTAGTGCTGGCGTTTCCGAGGGATGTAGGGGCAGGCCTGGGAGCCATCAAAGCTGTAACATAGAACGAGCTGATGCAGGTGACTACCACAAGTATCCATCACAAATCTTATATCATCCACCTCCTTCCTGGTTCGACTCTAATATCTTTCCCCTTTCATCTTTTTACTGCGCTCTATTGCTTAGGCTTGTGATTATTGGGAGACGAGAGGATCTTCTGACAGCTAATCAGAATGTCCGCTTTTCAGCAACCGAGCCATAGAGTCGACGACGAAGCGTAGATTGTGGAAACTTTTTCTATTGCGCGATCTGTAAGCCTTACTAATTTCTTGAGATAGACGTCTTGTTTCTGTACGTACTTGGTGAGAACATTTGTAGTATGCCGGACAGCGATTGTGCAATGCGGCAGATGTCATCTCGTACACTGACCCTCGATATGGCATTCCGACCATGTTCCCGGCTCTATAGCCGACACCCTTACTAGAACTGAGCTTATCTTGAATCGGAGAAACCCTACCATGAGATAGATATTCTTGAGTTCCGACGATCTTCGTCTGGAGTGGATTCAGCTGCAATCCTTACAACGATCTACGTGCCAATCTGACCAGGCCCTCAACTCAAGTTAGAATTGTGCAGCCCCGAGGTACTTATCGATGGTTCCGGCTCCGAAAAATATTGCAGTAGCCCTCAGATATTATGTCTAAGTGAGCACCTAAGCAATCTTTCCGAGGCGGTACAAAATGCGTGTTGCACAAAGGCATACAATTTGGGTACCCCGTCATCCAAACTTGCTGGGCACAACACTGTATTGAAGTACATGAAGGCTAACGAGGAGATAGGACTGCGCTCACTGTGCTGCATATTTGAAATATTGATCACCACAAGGCGGCCGGAAATACGATAAGTAAATTGGTTGTGGCGATGATCGTGAACCATTCGTTCAAGCTTGTGATATGATCCGAGCTGCAAGCGGAATGTCTGGGCTGTGTTACAGGAGATCCGATATGTTGTACTAGCGTACGTCCAACGCCATGCGGTTTGCGGCTTCCATGTCATAGGTAGATAGCTCGCATTCCGATCACCGCCACCTGTTCATGCGAACGGCGTGCGTTACCGCCTGACTCAAACGGTCACCGTCCGCTTGACCATCTGTCGGAGCTCGTGCGCCGATGTGCAACCACTCCACGTGGGTGGACGGTGGACACCGTCACGAAGAACACGCAACATCGCCTCACCATGCGATAACGATTTCCTACAGCAGTCCAGACACCTGCGCTCTTTGTTTCGACCCTCTTTGTCCAAGTGGCTCAGGGCTTTGTTCGAGCAGGCATTGTATGGGGGCTGTATGCAAGTGTTGGCCGTAGTGAAAAAACGCTGCACAGGCGAACAATGAACAGTCCGACGATTCACCTACAACAATAGATCTTATCTTCACCGCCAGCTTACGCCGCACAATGAGGAGGCTGGGTCGTCAATAGGCGGTAGCTCGCTGCACTCACCAACGTTTGCAATATGCAGACTTCAATCACTCGCTCATCGACCTCACATCTCTCCCCGGAAGTCACAGGCGCTACTCTTGATCCCCAGGTCCTGAACTCGCAGCAACAACGCACGACGCAAACTTCGAGATCAAGGTACGTTATGGATGCCGCAAGTCGGAACACGTCTTTCTCCTCATTGAACGAATCATACCTGGACCGCGCGGAGACGAAGTCGCAACCCATCAATGTCGTCCGCCCCGACATGCGCCGCAGCTCTTCCGCAGAACATAACGCGCTCATGCGACAGATCATGGCCCCGTGGGGATCTCTCTCTTCAACGCCGCCAGGATGTCGCGCGGTCAGCTACAGCAGCTGGCGCCGCTTCTCAGCTACCTCATCAAACCAGAGCAAGTCCCGCAATGAGATGACGGCCTCGGCACTTCTCGAAGTGAATGGCCTGGCACCTGAGTTTGACCCGCCGGTGCTTGAACGATGTAACCTTAGCATCGCCGAGGAGGTGCTGTGCGGAAATCCCACGGCCGAGCAACTGCCAGAATTACCCCAGGTTAGATACAACGTCCGGGGCCAGCGCTACCACCCGCGCTTCCAGCGCACACAATCCAGCCGAACAAGCTCGACAGGCTCCTGGACGACGCTCACGAGCGACGGTATTTCTCCTCCAGGAGCACCAAAACCGATCGCTTTCAAGAAGCAAATGGTCAGACCGACTAGGACGAGCTCTCTCCTTACGATGGGCTTCAAGGGCTCGCCGAAGACATCTCAGCGTACGGAGCCACCGAGAGAAGCGTTGGTCAAGATTGGGAAGGAGTTCGGTATCGAGAGCCTGAGCATTGATGATCTGCCCGAGGATGCCTTCGAATCGGACAGCGAGAATGAAGACTGAGAACACAGGGAGTGCAGAGAAAGTACCTACGATACAAACACACATCCTCTCATGGATCGAGATAAGCAACACGCAGGTCAACAGCACTCATCAGAGTCGTGGATCGAAGGAGTAGGGTTATACAGTGGTCCATCACAGTCAGGAGTGATAACGTTTCAGAGTACGGAAACGAGATTTCCAGAGACGAAGGCGCAGCATTGGTCATTTTAATAGCGAGTGGCAGTTCTTTGTTAAATGGATTATTCAGGGAGTGCGCCTGCATCTGGCGTTCAGTGCCCTGGCCGCGACGCGGTCCAAGCTCCCCATTTTCCATTGATGACGGCGCTTCGGCGAACGTCAGTCCATCAGTTCGCTTGTACATAGCTACGACTACTCAATCGCATAATCGCATACTGATCATGGAGCGCTCATTCCTCAATTGCACGCGATCTCTTTCTAGGTCTTTCACTTTCCACAGTGCCTCCAAAGGAACGATACGAAGCTTCTCGACGACTTTGCGCCCTACACATTCGCCCCAAACTTCGCAGACGCCCTCAAGACACCGCCGCTGTCTCCACTCTACACCTTCGAAAAACGATTCACGTAGATCACACGGCCGCGAGCACCCATCCGACGAGAACACCCAACCGACTGACTTCTCCTCGCTCGACGTTCTGCGCAACACCGCTGCACCCGCAACATCCATCGATGCCTGTACGAGCGAAGGTTTCGCGCTGAACAATAACATGCGCATAGCCGGCTGCGGTGTCCTTCTTGTCGGTGGCGAAGCCTATCGGTGGCGACCATGGTTAAGCCAGCACCGGAAAGAAGGGACTATACAAGACGGCGCAAGAGGAGATGACGCGATGACGGGGCGGCTTTTGAACGCGAAGGGACAGTGGGAGGTACCTGATGAGGCTTGGGGGTTGTTGGACGTGGTGTGGCCGAAGCCTGGTATGGGATAACCCCTACAAACTTTGTTGGAAAGCTTGACTGACTAACGGCTGGCTCATAGATTTGTTAATTATCGGGACTGGACCGCGTGTTACACCTATTGCGCCGGCTATGAGGAAGTATCTGAATGATCTGGGCATACGGCTCGAGATTCAGGATACGAGAAATGCGGCGGCACAGTTTAACTTGCTGGCGACGGAGCGTGGTGTGCAGCAGGTTGCGGCAGCGCTGATACCGATCGGATGGAGAGAAGGGCGGCAGGCCTGAGAAAAGCTCCCGAGGTGAGGAGCGCATGCGGATATCGGTTCATCTCGCACACCCTGTGGATCATTGTAACAACTGTATACGACTTGACGACGTACGGCGGCAAAATATCGATCGTGCCTCGATGCTCTTGTGAGTGTCTTATATCGGAGACAACTTGATGAGTCAACACTACGTGTGTCCTATTCTTTGTGACGTGTTTGCGAATATCACTTGAAGAATCATTTACTACCACATCACTTGCCACAAGTACTCTTTGGCAAACGCCACATCGGTTCCTTCTTATAGTCATATCTTTGCTCGTTGAAGTGCTCAAAGTCACCGATAGTTAATCCATGAAAGGTCCTTTCCGCAGAATGTGGGACAGCATGGTCAGGTGGAGCTTCGGTCCGCACTCAAAGGTAAAGCAAGGTAACGATGAGACAGAGAAAAGCGCTTCAACGCTGCCGACACAAAGTTCAAAGCGTAAGAAACGCACAGATGCCCACGTTTTCACGAACATGGATCAAACGCGTGGTGCACCTTCCCTTCTCTCCAAAAAGGGAAAGAGCGATGCGGCCGCGCCCGTGGTATCACATACATCGATCTCTGGAACTGCTCCACCTCCCACGCGCCACGCGCTCGCTACCAGCCCACCCGAAATGTCTTCACCCAGCAATTCTTCCTCATCATTATCATCCCCACTTTCGTCTCCCTTAGCCGGTCCAAGCCCAAAACCTAGCCGGGATAGACTCACTACCCCGAATACACTCGCTGCTACCACCACCATCCCGGACTCCGACATTCACAACATAGACAAAATAAACGACCACCAACTCACTCCCATCACCATGACCTCCATCAACGCACCTATCTATCCCGTTCCCGACCCTGTCGCAGAAGCGTTCCTAGAGCCGGTGAAGGTGCAACTAAAGAAATTGCGGTTGTCTACTGCGAGTGCGGCGCCGCCGGCGAATATGAGTGCCCATTTCAGGGTAAAGAGCCACTTGCAGTTGGTGAGGGAGCGATTGGAACCAGTGGGCAGTTTCATCGTGAAGGAAGCGAAGGGTGATGCGGGGTTAGAGATGAGAGTTTGGTGCGTATTAAGCCCATGATGTTGAGTTGCAAGATGAGATTATCTTGGACCAATTCAGGGCATTCAAGTCAGGAGAATAAAACCTGACATACAACATAGCCACCACATCGCAAAGCAACACTGGCCGCTTCCCACACCACCCGGCGAGGCTACACACCTCCGCATCCACGAAATGTACCGCAACACGCTTTACAAACGTGCCCAGCTTGCTCTCAGACCACCACTAGCAGTGCAACACGAACCACGAACAAGCACGCCGCCTCCGCCGTTGGAGTCCCACGACGAGGAAGGTAGCCCCGACGAGATGCCTGCCCTTGAAACTTCGACTTCATTTGGAAAGAGCGTGAAGACTAAGATCTCAAATATCTCGAGGAGAGTTACGAGTACGTTTCACAAGAGCAGTAAGTCTATCTCTCTTCTCATGTAGAGTAGCCAAGATGTACTCACACTACTGTAGGTCCGTCCGCCACTCAGGAAGAGCAAGATGACAATGAAGAAGTTGAAGAAGAGGATGAGGTAGACTAGGATCTACAGCTCAGTCTATTGATTCAGGCGGAGTTTTGCAGTGATGATGGAAGACGGGGGAGAAACGGTGGCGAATGGAAGAGGTTGTGCGGACTATGGTCCAGAATGTAAACTCATTGATGTTTTGGGTTAAGAAGGATGTTGGATGTTGTACTGGGAACATGCAGCAGAATATGCAAAAATTGGGAGAATCGGTCTTGAGATTGCCCAGCGTGGGTCCATACGGTGCATTGGAAGCTCATTGCACGTTCGACATTTATCTGATGTCACGCCTCAATGAGGTGACTCGTCATAGTCACATTCACAGATCAAGATGCTAAAAGTTTCTTTCCAATATACTAAAGCATTCCGCTACCATGCAGACACTGGCACCACACAGACTGCCCAGCCAACCCTCAATGCTCTCTAACAGGGCCATTGCACGTACATGGTGCTCCCCATATCGAATTCTTCCAAACTAAACTTAACATTCGCACTATGCCATAACCATAAGAGGAGACTGATCGACTGGAACAATGAAAGGTAGTCCTACGAGGCCCAAAGAAAGTGAGGCAATGAAAAATCTAACGCCGTCCATCATGTCCCATGCATCTTGCGTGAAGAGTATGATTGTGTGTACATTACCAGTCCTTAGTGAGGGCTGGTTGTCATGTCGAGACCTGCTCGCGCAATCCACTGGGCTCGGGCGCCTTTTTATGCCTTCGACCGAGGAGTGTTGCGTTGTCCAGGCTAAGCTCGAAAGCGCCCTTGCTCTTGACCTGGCGTTTGGCTGCTGCGGCCACAGCAGGCGAATGTTGGCCATACCCACGTTCTTGACGAGGCGCGGCAGGTTGCCGTGCTTGGGCTGCGGCGGAAAGGGTTGTGTTGCGCATTTTCTGTTCCATAGCAGAGACATCGGACGCTTGCGACTTAGGAAGCTTCGCAGGAGGATGTTGTGCCGATGAATCATACGGTACCGACTCGTTCGAATATTCGTCGTCTTCGTCCTCGTCAAGCGCATTCAGGGAGTTGATGGCGTTTGCGCCCCGGTAACCTTGCTTGAAATTCTTTCTCCTCTTACCCTCCTCTTCCTGTCGATGTACAGCATATCCAACGTCAAACACTTCTCGCAAGTTGACGGCACCTGGAGATCGGAAGTCCTGGCGTCTGGCTCCCGGTGACTCTAGATAAGCAAAGTTTTGCTGGAGAGGGTTGCCGCTACCAGCTGCCTCGAACGCATTTTGCTTTTGTCGAAGGGCAGGGGTGGCCAGAGGTGGCGCGTCGTGAGCGGCGTAAGTAAGCTCATCTGCTTCCCGAATCCAGGGGTGGTTGAGGAACTGGTTGATGTCGTATCGCTTCTCAGGGTCAACAGTCAAAAGATGCGAGACCAAGTCCTGGGCAGGTTTGGAGATATCGTCCCACCATGGCGACAGGAAGGTATATTGGCCGCGTGCGACCTTTTCGGTAAGCGTCTGGATAGACTCATCGTAGAATGGCGGAAAGCCGCAGAGGAGTGTGTACAAGACACACCCCAGTGCCCACATATCCACACTCTTAGAGTATCTCTCATCTTTTACGATCTCAGGGGCAGTATAGCCGACTGTGCCACATGGCGTCATAGTCTGACTATCCCAGATGACCTTTGACAGACCGAAATCCGCGATTTTGATAAGGCCAATACCACCAGCGCCCTGACCCTTCACAAACTCACCCTCATCTGCCTTGTCCTCGTCATCAGGACCTCGCGGCTTCGGGTTGCGGGTAGGGATGAATGGGGTGGGGTAGAACAGAAGGTTCTCTGGCTTGATGTCACTGAATCATGACGTCAGTGGATGGAAACCTTGGTAAGACGAAGTGGATAGAGACATACCGATGCACTACACCTGCCTCTTCGTGGAGGTACTGTAACGCTTGGGCCACCTGAATGATGACGTGCCGTGACAGATCCTCACTAAAGTACGTCAGGCGGACGATTTGGTGGAAAAGCTCGCCTCCGGGGCAAAGCTCCAGAACGAGGTAGTAGTATTGCCGGGATTCGGAGAAGTCGATGAGCTTGACAATGTTGGGGTGGTCCAGTTGTCGCATGATCTGAACTTCCTTGAGGATGTTCGCTCTCTGTACGTCATCACGTCAGTGTCTGCCTCTCTCAAACAAATGTTGGGGAGAGGCTGATGCTGCCGGGACCGCGCAAAAGGCTCGTAGTTTTGCGCACCTCGACCGTTTTGGGAGCCTTCTTGAAGTCCGGATGCATATGGTTATCGCCCTACACCGACCACACGTGTTGGTAACTGCTACTCACTGTCGAACCAACCGAACCTTCGTGATGCAGGGACAGGATTGAAGAATCAAAGGAGATGGGCAGAAAAGGGCAAGTCCACCGGGGGGTACTAACCTGGCTGGAGTTCATCTCAAACTTGCGCACCACCTTGATGGCGACCTCGCCGTACTGGCCATTGTTATCGCGTGCTCGGTAGACGTTGCTGAAGGCGCCGTCGCCCATCTTCTCGACCAACGACCATCGCTCGAGGCCAGGGTACTTGGGCAGCTTGCCCTTGGCTTCACGCTCCTCTGCCACGATACGCTCGAGCACTGTAGGGTCAATGTCCCTGTTCTTTGAGCCGGCAGCGGCGTTCGCCTGGTGCTTCTGCTTTTCGCCTGCCGCGCGCGCTGCTACGTCGCCGGCCTGTGCGGCGATGTTGCGGTTGTCGATGGCGCCGACGGAGTAGTCGCCGTGGGGCGCCACCTGGTGCTGCTTCTGGGCCTGGTGCATTACGGGCTCGCTGATGCCGGCATGGTGAGGCTCAGGGTGGTGTTGACGCTGCGGTTGGTGCTGTGCGTGTACATTGGAGACGTTTGTGGTGGGCTCGCCATGAGCGGCGTTCCCCCGGGCCTGTTTACCATGGCGCAGGAAATTCTTGAAGTTCTGTATTGCGGCCATCTTAGTCTCGTGTGTGCGATGAGGGGGCGTGTACGGAATTTTGGTGAGGTGAGGGCGGGGTAGCGCTCAGTGAGGCGCTATGAAAGGGAGGCTGCGGCGGAGGCACTGAGGCAGTCCGGAGCAGGCAGGGAGGGAGGCGGTTGGACGTTGAGATGGCGGAGAATGCAGAGCAAAACACGCTTGGGGATTCGTAGAGGTCATGCAGCGCCCTGGCGACGCTGGCAGCCAGAACAAGGTGTGCTCGGCGGCGCTGCGTCATGGATGTGGCCCGTGCACTATGACGCTGCGTTCGACATCATACCCCAGAAGCGCGCCCAGCCTACGCATCTCGTGCGTGCCCGCCGGCCTCGCCCCTGCCCGTCCGAGATTGCCCAACTGCAGGAATGGAATGTCAGGGTCTGGCCGGGGCCTAATTCACTCACCTCAATCACGGCCATCCTGCTTCCCCGGCGGCTGTCTGCGTGCTGCTGCTCGCGGTGAAATAGCATGCGTTTGTCTGCCGTACCCGCTTGTGAGCCCAGTTCAGCGTTCGCTTACGGGAGCTGTATGCCGTGTTACGTCGATGGTGTCGTTTCTGCCCCTCTAATAAAGCCCTAGACGTGAGCAAGAAGGATGACGGTATGTGTTTCGCCGACGGGAGGTCTCGCAGCTGGCCCGTAGCGTTGTGCAAGGGTCGATGATACGGTGCTGGGGACACAGAGACGCAGTCTTGTTCGTTGGCGGTCCTGATCGCTGGCAAGGCTCCGTGCAAGGTATGTAATCCGGCGATGAATTCCAGCTGGGAGGTCCGGATCGCGATGCTGTCGGCCAACGGTGGGGACGAGGCAAAAAGCACAATCGGACAAGAGGTAAGAGAGACAAACCAGCCTCGGGGTCCCGCGCAGAGATATACAGTGCTGTGCTTTTCGCGGCGTTGGGGCTGCCACGCCAGCGAGAGGGCCGAACTCTCGCACGCGTCTGGTTGCGCCCGCCGGCGGTACGCGGAGCGACGGCTTCCCCGGCGTACTTCCAAGGTTCTCTATCGTGAATGCCTCAGCAGGAGCTGCTAGAGGTCGCTCAACGCACGCTAGACGACGTCGGCAGCGCCACCATGCGAATGAAGCCGACATGGCGCTGCCCGACGCGGCCTCATCTCATCGCCTGTCCGCTCATGCGATAGGCAGACGAGCAGGGCAGCCCCCATGAAGACCCTCTTCGCGCGTCACCGCTGACTCCTTTGTTGCAGCAATTCGCCTACCTTGCATGCTCATAAGTTTTTGAGTCCAAGGTCAATTCTGGCGCCGCGCAGATCTAATGCAGGGTCTAGCTGATGACATCATCACATGGCGTGGTGGGGCGAGGCTATCGTTTGCTCCTGTCGCCGCATCTGAAACATAGCCTGACGTTTGGGACAAAGCCAGGCCTCTCCCAGAGCACATCATATTTATCCCTTGGCTAGAGTATTGAGACCCGCGTCGTCGCCCGTTGCTCACGAGCAGGACGACGGTGGTGCTGACAATTGCTAGACGAGATTACTTTGTGCCTTCCCATGCAGGTACGCTAGCGTACAGTCCTTCTGCAAGTGGCCGTTCACCGCACCGGAGCCTCGCATGTGGATACAAAGAAAGTCACGCACGCGCAGACAATCATGGTACGTTCTACGAAGAACGTGGGTTGCGGCTCGCTTCTCTCGCGCCTTAGAATCCAGCGAGGCTCTCAAAGGGAGAGTCAAAATCGTGCTTGCCGGCCTGGAATGAAGTGTGAGGAAGTCTCCAGAAGAGCCTGAACCTTGGTATTACCCCACATGAACCCGTACTCTACCCGAAGCCGGACGACGCTGCGCGTGTTCGGATAACCCTCTAACAGACAAGAGAACGAGTCCCTCTTTTCGGATGAAGGGTAAGCTATGACCCGACTGGTATCATAGTGCCGCTCCCACCGCGTGGAAGTCACATCTCGGACGGCGACGGATGTGGTTTGTCAGGATACATAACCCTAACCCACGGTAAAACCCTCCAAAGTTCATGTACTCGATCTCGCAGAACGACTCGTTCTCAGTAAGCGACAATGGGCGACAATCTTCTTATGAAGGATGTCTGTGCTCGGATGAGTGGGGCGGAATGACTCCGAGCTCGGCACATCAGATTCTAGAGACGGCTGGGACCGCGTTCGAACAACACAACTTGCTTCATATTGTCCATCAAGTGTAGGCAGGCTAATACAAAGAGTGGTGTTTGATCACTGCGGATCAATTAAATCACAAGTCCTGAATACAAATGTTCGAGCACGCTCCCGCACGCTGGCATTACCTCTCGCATGGATGTGTATGTCGACTGTATGCTAACAAATCACTATGCTGTTAGCAACCTAGCCCTAGTCACCCCAAGACATACTGTTGTACAACTGACTTCAGCAGCTTCAACATCGGGCAAATCCCTAATCGACCATCATAAAATTATCATAGTCCATGGGAAGGAAACAATGTCTTCATCAGATGTAGATAAACATATTCTAGCTCAATTTGTTTAGTGCTCACGTGTAGCGCCGACAATGAAGCATTCGAACTGGCAGGGGGGGATTAGCGGCAGTATGCGTCGACGCGTTGACACATTTTGCTGGATTTGCTCGACCACGGCTGTTGAAAGCCGTGCAATGTCAATCCGTTCATGCCGGTAAGCATTCTTGTCTATTGCGTGAAACGTCGAAGTTCATAGTACGTGATGTGTTTTGAAAGAATCGTTGGCAGGCAATGGTTGCGCTTCCATAATTGCGAGGTAGGTTGGTTCGTGTGTTATTGAGGAAGTGAGAGAAAATGTTCGCGACACATGGCACTAATTTACACTTTTCATGTCGGGGGGAGATGCTCCCGCCATTCGCAAAGAGCAGCCCTAGTATGCAAAGGCAAAGCTGTCAGCCTAGCCAACTGAACGTTGCTCACTCACAGCTTAATTCTTCATTTGACGGCAGCATCCACCAGAATGACAGTGCTAGTGGCATCGACCCACCCGTACACGTGCACAGCATGCAGGACTGATCTCCACAAGGAAATCATAGGCACCCACGTGCTGAAGTTTGTACCTGGGCAACAGGTTCTCGGGCCAGTTCGATATCCGACCATCACTGCGACCATACCGTCGAGGTGTTTCCGCCCCGTTGCTCCAGGTTTGGCAGCCAATAGGCAGAACGTCGGGTTTCTCCACGCTCGCTCTTGCCCACAAGCGGAAGGTCCTTCTCCAGATTCTCCACACTTGTCTTTGCTTGGCATCTTGGCGACCATCGTTCTTCCGCCGCCGTCACGAGCATCGACTTGTTTTTCATCGCATGATGGCCGCCGAAAAAACTGCCGATGGCGGGACGATGCGGTGAAGATGGAAATCCGAAGGGGAGAGGATGTGGGGGAGGTAAACTGACCGAAAGGTATATAATGCGAAGATATCGTAAGAGTCTCATTGTGAATACGCCGAGAATTCTCCTTTTTCGCGATGATGATGATGGGAGACCTTTTCAGATGGCGCCGAAGGACGCTTCTCTCGTTACTCTTCACCTCGACATTGGGTTCTTTCACTTCAGCCAGACCAGAACCCATCTCCAAGAACCCAGCCCATTCACTCATGCCACGCTCCTCCAATGAAACTTTCCCGTACCGCGATGCATCATTATGTATCGACGACCGCGTGGATGATCTCCTCCACAGAATGACGATCGAGGAGAAGGCCGGGCAACTGTTCCACCTTCAGATGCAGATGGGTCCCAACGGCACTCTCGATCTCGGCAATGTCACAGCGCGTCGCAACAGTAGCGAAAACATGATCGGCGAGAAGCTGATGACACATTTCAACCTTGTAGGGGATGTTACCGATGTTCGAGTAGCCGCAGAGTGGTACAACCGCATACAAGAACGTGCGCTACAGACCAGGCTTGGGATACCGATCACACTTTCATCCGATCCGAGACATGCCTTCACAGAGAACATCGGGACAGGATTCGCGGCAAATCAATTTTCGCAATGGCCGGAAAGCTTGGGTCTTGCTGCTTTGCGAGATGCCGAGATCGTACAAAAGTTTGCTGAGATAGCTCGCGAAGAATACATGGCGATTGGCATCCGGACAGCGCTTCACCCACAGATAGATCTCGTGACTGAGCCGCGATGGGCGAGGATTGGGAACACCATGGGTGAGGACGCTAATCTGACATCGGAACTTGTTGTTGCCTACCTGAAGGGATTCCAAGGCGAAGAGCTTGGTACGCACTCGGTTTCAACAATTACGAAGCACTTCCCTGGTGGTGGGCCTATGGAGAACGGGGAGGATAGCCATTTGACATACGGAAAGAACCAGACATATCCGGGTCACAATTTGGAGTACCATCTCATTCCGTTCAAGGCGGCCATCGCAGCAGGAGCTCGTCAAATTATGCCTTACTACTCACGACCGATTGGTACTGAATATGACGAGGTTGGCTTTTCGTTCAACAAGGGCATAATTACTGATCTCCTCCGTGGTGAGCTTGGTTTCGAGGGAATTGTCTGCAGTGACTGGGGGCTTATCACCGATACCGTGATTGCAGGACAGGACATGCCTGCCCGGGCGTGGGGTGTTGAGTACTTGAGTGAGCTTCAACGCGCAGCCATGGTCCTCAATGCAGGTGTCGATCAATTCGGCGGCGAGCAACGGCCTGAGCTTATCGTCGAACTGGTGAACACTGGAGTCATTCCCGAAGAGCGTCTGGACGTTTCGGTCCGCCGCCTTCTCCGCGAGAAGTTCACTCTCGGTCTCTTCGACAACCCATTCGTCGACGTTGAGGCGGCAGTTCAAGTGGTCGGCAACCCCTACTTCCGCCGCATCGGCAACGAAACCCAGCGAAAGGCATACACTCTTCTCACCAACAACGACGATACACTGCCTCTTGAGTCCGACAGCACCACCAAATACTACGTCGAAGGTATCGAAGCATCCCACCTCGAAGCCCGCAACATCTCCCTCGTCTCCACGCCCGAGGAAGCCGACCTAGCCCTCATCCGTCTACAAGCCCCATACGAGCCACGACCCGGCGGCTTCGAGAAGAACTACCACGCCGGTTCACTCGAATACAACGCCACCGAGAAAGTCCGACAAGCAGCCATCTACTCCGCCGTCCCCACCATCGTCGACATCTACCTCGACCGACCCGCGGCTATTCCCGAGATCGCCGAGTCGGCGAAGGTGCTACTAGCCAACTTTGGAGCGGGACCTGACGCCTTTCTAGATGTGATATTCGGTGTTGATGGAGCACAGCCTCAGGGCAAGCTGCCGTTTGATTTACCAAGGAGTATGGCAGCTGTGGAGGCTAGCAAGGAAGATGTGCCGTTCGACACAGAGAATCCTGTGTTTCGGTTTGGGCATGGATTGAGGTATGCGGAGGCCTGTTAATGCCTGATCTGTCATGATCAAATAATGAATACGTGAATGACCAAAATATAATGTACTGGGTCCATGTTGCGTGTCATACACTTCCACGAATGACTAAAAACAAAGTCTGCATCACACCACCTCAATATTCCTCATAAGCGTCCAAACTTACGATTCACACCCGTAAATGTCCACCCTTGTTGTTGCATTTGCTGTATATGCCTAGTGCACATCGGACAATAGCCCGTTTTGTTTTTCGAGATCGGGTGGTGGCCGTTAGTACATCTCATCCCACGAGGATCATAGATGTTGCGGTCGTCCGTGGGGTTCTGATAGAGGAAGCCGCGGAAGTCATTGCAGAAATATGCACGCGCGGCGAAGTCTCGGTGACCACAGCCGGTGTAGGTATAGAGGACATCGTAGCACATCTGGTGCAATCGTGGCACGGGTGGGTAGTCGTGAGTAGTTGAGGTGGATGAAATGTGACAGCTCCCAGGCCCTGTTGAACTGTGAGATGCGATACAGGTAGGCTTACTAGGGGCTAAGATGAAGAATGAGTGGAGGCTTTAGCCCCTATATGTGCTCGACGTGGTCCTGTTCGTCGTTCGTCCTGACGAGGCGAAGTGTAGTCGTGGATGGACTTGGTTCACGTTAGCATTCGCATTTAAACAGCACTTAGGTACATGCCCATGGTGATAGCTGTGCGGCATGCTGTCCTGGGCTAAACTCAGATCTGGATGTGTTTGACCACAGGGCGCCTATCACATTGCACTGTGGGCGTGCCAGTGACACATCATCCAAAAGTCAAACTCTCTTCATAACGTGTTCGAAGATAGCCACTTGCATTCAGCAGTAAACTTTGCAAGGATATGCGATCTCCGATTTCGATACTGAAGCTGTAAGATATGTTCACAGCATAGTGACAAAAGTAGAACTCATCGTTGTGGGGCTGGGTCTCGGCTCGAATCCGAATGGCTCATGAAGATGTATTTCCATGCTGTGTCAAGAACACAAACATGGTAAACGTGGCTCGCTTGCCAGTGGTCCGACAAACGGTCGACGCCACTTCAGTCTCGCAGGGTCTTCCGAACCCGCGATCTTACACCAATACTGAGCCTAGACTGGAGGCCTTAGTTAGGGTGGTAGATGGATAATTCTAAGGGGACTATCACGTGCCACATGTTTGTTGTTTCTCGATGGTGGCAAAGGATAAATCATCATTGTGTGTTCAGCAAGCATCGAGAAACCAATCTGGACTGATTGCATTGCATGAACATCTTGCGTAAGGCGCTTGATGCTTACTGGATCCACATTTTCGAGTCGAGTTCCTCGTTACGAAGACGCGTGAGCAAAGTGTTGCGGCATTTCCCTTCCAAAGAAAATGGCCGGTTGCATACGCACCGTTCCATGAACGACACATAGTATTGCGTCCAAGATTTGAGTATCGCATAGCTTATCCTGGTATGACACGGGGCGTGTCGAAGATTTTATCAAGTCGATGTGGAAGCATTGGGTATGATCATGATCGTTATTCATTCATCCCTATCCGCCCTTCCTCTGCCCTACCTCCACACTTTTCCCAGATATAATATGAGCAATCGCCTCCATGTAATCGTATTATACAACCCACTCTAGGGGGCTCAAATAGAAGGTATATGCCAAAATCAAAAAGTAGAAGCCAAACAGAACGTAACGGAACAGAACGAGTCGTGACATCGTATACTCGTAAGCCCCCGAAAATCCAGACCAAATGCTGGACGCCAATTGCCAAAGATGGTCGAAAAAGATAGTTGGTCGTATAGATAAATTACGCACCGCGGTGTTAAGTATGAAGATGCGTTCCACCCGGCGTGCCGGGCTCCACATACCACCGACCCCCAATACTCTTCCTCAAAGCCTCTCGCCTTCTCTCTGCCCTCTTCTCCCGGAACCGCTCTTTCACCCCGCTCAAGCCAATGTATTGCACCTGCATGTTTTTCAAGCCGGGAATGCTCTTCCCCTGTCGCCATGTCCCGCGGTCGGTACGGCGCCTGGGTCGTTCAAGCGTATGCGTACTTGATGACGCCATCGATGTGCGTGACGGTCGTTTCTGGATGCGTGCCGAGTGGCTACGGCGAAAGGGGAGTGTGGGCGGCTGGATGAGAATCTTGGGCGATTCGCGTCTGGGCCATGGTTTGGATACCCCACGAGATGGCAGGTTGATGTGAGGTTTCCGCCTGTTGGTGCCTGATCTTTCCACGCCGAGAGAATTCCCAATCAGAAAGCCATTAGGTTTCTTGACTTTGTTGGTCAGCCTCCTGCCTAGAGCGCCCAACTTCCGTGGCGAAGGCGGCTCCTCGGAATCAGAATCCTCCACGTCGCTTGTGTCGCCTCCGCGCGGCAGGTAACCCTCGTCGCTTTCGGAGTCGCTATCTTCAAAGCCGTCCCAAAAGCCTCGGGGACGCCAGAAAGGATGCAGGCTGCCATCTTCGTCGTTGACTGTGGGAATGTGAACCTGGCCATGGCCGTGGTGCGAGACGCTAGCTGATCGACCGCGCATGCTAGACGCACGGGCGAGGAAAGGCGATATGAAGTTGTCCGAGTAGCGGCGTGCGCGTTGTTTCAGAGAGAGGCGACGCTGTGGATGCGAGTCGGATTGTTTCGGAGGACCAGGGGGACCAGGAACAAGTTGTCTCTCAAGTTCTTCGGCGGGAGTTGGTGGAATAAACTTGATCACAGGCGGCTCCGGCGGCTTGCGAGGATTCTTGAGTGGCGAATCTACCACCGTGAAAGTAGGTAGTTCGATTTGCATAGGCGGAGTCGAAGGTTCAAAAGTGAGGGTAGGCTGTTGAAGCTGCATCTGAAGGCCCTCGCTTGCGTCAAAGAAAGGCGGCGTGGAAGGTTCCTCAAGCTCTTCTACGTTAGGTGTTGCATAATGCGCTTCGTTTGCAATGTGTTCATGCTCCTGAGGCTGCTGGCTTGCTCGTGCGACTTGTTGCACGACCAACAAAGAGTTATTGTTGTGAGGATAGATGCTCACAGCCGTTGCTTCACTGACCTCGATAGGCGTATCCGAGAACTGCGAGAAAGGTGTTGTCTGTGAGAAAAGATGGCGAGCCATGGCGTGTTCATCACTTTTCGTAGTGGTTCGGTCGAAGCTCACGCGACCATTTTCATCAGTATGAAAAGAATGCCACTCATGACTTGATCGGGGAAGTTCCTCTGTATGCACGCGGTCCAAGCTGGGACGAAGAAGTGCATCTTGCGAGTTCGAGGTGCGATCCTGGCTAAGTGAGCTTCGTCTTTCCTCTGAACGCCCGCGCGCAGACAGTGATCCTCGGCGCGCATTTGGCACAGTACCGGTTGACGAAGCCCGATCCCTTAAGTTTTCCTGAATTTGAGGCGATTCGACGGCTGTAGGCTGTGTGCTTTCGGTGGAGGCCAATAAGTGGCGAACCCTTTCGAGCATTGCAGACGTAGGGCGAGTGCTCTGGTCGTCCGGATCATGGACCTCGTCTTCTCCCTCTTTGATTTCATCCGTGTGCTGAATGGGAAGTTCCAATGGAATTTCGGGCAACGATTTGTTGACATCAAGCATTGCATTTGGTGCTGCATTTTTGCGAGTCGGTGAATTTTTGCGTATCAACTTGGGGAGCAAAAGATCGTGCATCTTCTCATCAGGCGACGCTGGTGAAGCTACCTCTACGTGCGCTAACCTCGACGAGGCCTTCCGTTGGCGTCTCGGACTAGGACTTTCAGGCGGTGACATATCAAAAGTGCTGTGCGAAATGGAAGGTGTGCGCGTGCGCGTAACTGCCTCAGGCGCAGATGCGATGCGTTTATGAGAATTTCTGGAAGGTTGATTTCGTGTTACCGAGTTTGACCAGCTCATGATGTCGGCTGCCGGTTGCAGCACGCTCTTGATCGATCGCTGATGGGCTAAAGTAACCGCAGCACTTTCCTCTGCACGTTGTCGGAGAGATGCCGGTGTGGCAGTACGGTCGTACATGGTGGCAGAATCCGAACTGTTGCGTTTTCCCCTGTCTTTGATGCTGGCTCTCTTGTGGACGAGTCGATGCAGCGGGACGTCATCCGATCGCATAGATGTCCGGGAGTAAAGCGTCGTTCCACTTTCAATAGGCGAGTCCGTATCTTGCCTGTATGCCAAATTCTTCCCCGAATGACGCAAGGTATGTCGCCTTTGCGGTTGTGAAGGCGTCACAACGACCATGGCTTCCACCACGGTCGACGCCATAGATGATGCGGAAAATCGCTTTTGCCCAGGGTCGTTGGTCTGCGTATCTACAGCCTCGATAGGCCAATTGATTGCCTTTGCGAAATTCTCGATGGAGGCAGTGTGCGGACTGTGTCTGCTCGCCTCGACGCGCTCGCGAAGGCTAGAGCTTCGCCGCGGCGTCGACCCTGCTACAGGGGATGCGGCTGGTGATGCAGGCTTAGGAACGTCCTGCTTCTTCTTCGGAGACGGCTTCGTGTTCCGTTTCCTGCGCACCGTCACATTCCGCATCAAATTTGTATCCCATTCCCGATTTGGTATGTCCTCCACATCCGGGTCACCCTGACCATCTAGCCCGCTTTCCATCTTGCTCGCCTCATTTTCGAGCGGCGCCTCTACGACCGTATTCCTAGGAGTGGTGTCATCTTCCTCGCGCTCGAAAGCCAGTCCTAAACCTCGGTCCTCTTCCACAACGCTTAACCGCGCACCTACGGGAGTACTCGATCGACTTTCTGTCTCGGATGATATTGGCTCTTCTCTGGCAGTCGTAAAGGACTCGGCGCGGGACGAGGGGTACGTGAAAGGGACCGGGCGTTCCGGAGTCGTCATGGATGCGGTGGCTCTTCTTGGTGGACTGGGATCGGGTGTAGGAGGACTGCGCTGGTTAACAGGGGTACTCAGAGTCGACTTGCGCGACGTCAGCGAGTTGACCAAGCTGTCTGCATGGGGTGGAGGGCTATAATCCGTCGCAGGAAGCCCGTCCTGTGAATTGGAAGGCGGAGTGGGGGGAAGGCCACTCTCTGCTTGGGCTGGAGCTTGAGGCGCCAGAGGTGTCGGTGTGGGTAGCTCGCTGCTGGCTTGCGACTCGGTCTCATCGTCTCGCAACAGCGTCTCTTCCTTGCGCGCAGCAGGTTCAAGCCTGCGATAGTCGTCGCTCCTGCGCGGAAACTGCTTGTGAGAACGAAGATTCGGCGATGCGGCAAAAGAGGATTCCAGCAAAGCGTATGCGTCAGAAGGCGATTCGGACATTCTGGTGAGACAGGACGGCTGAGCGCGCTGCTGGTCAGGCTTCGGATGCGGTGGTGGCCAACCCTCTAAACTTCAACGCCATCCCCTATGCGCGCAAATGAACAGAGTCGCGATGCATGCGACGTGGATACTCGAGATAGGAATATGCGTATGGGCGGTTGAGGCGTAACGTGCGGGCTTGCAGGAGGCGTGGGCGATGGTGACGCAGGTATCCGTCAGCCGAGATTTCGCGCTGCGAAGGCGATGGCGGTGGTGATACGTCGAGATAGCAAGGCTAGGAAAGCTTTGTCGTCCAGGCGATGATGTGCAATATCCGGATCCCCGCAGTGTGGTGGGCTCGTGGTGGAGGGGAGGGTTGGAGTGCAGGTAGCAGGAAGGAGCGGGTTGCAAGTCGCAGGTCGTTGGTCGCGCTTGCGCAGCGCGGCAGGATGGATGCAGCCCAATCACAGGAGCAGCACCGAGCGCACGAGTTTGGGGGCGTGATTCCGCGTGTGAAGAGGTCTATGAACAGGGTAGATTGACAATAAAGCTCGTGTGCGGGATAAGTGGTTCGGCTGGTTCCAAGGTGGCCAGATGGTTGGCGTCATAAAGGCCCCATTCCGCTGCATCGCCAAACCTCGCCCAACAGAGCCCCTCACCATGCAATACGAACGTGATCAGCACGCATCGAAGGACAGTCATGTGCTCTGCTGCGATACTATGCTCCCTCCTCACGGCTGCATGTGGGCAAGCCGAACATCTGTTCGAGGCAGCTTGGCTTCAGTAAGACGCCTCAAGCCGCTAGCTCGCAACCACGGACAACGCAGAGACGTTGCGCAAGCCTAGCGACTGCCGCATGAACCACAGTGTATTCCATCTGGGCTGCGTCTTCGAGCCAGTCCCTAGGTCTACTTGCCATCGTTACACATGCTCTGACTGCACCTACAGAGTGTCGGGTCCGAGTGCTGTGTGACAGTGACGGATTCCCAGCCGTGGTGAGCGTGGGAATACTTGCTTTACCTGAAGGAAAATTGATGGTTGCCATAGTTTTTGATGCTGTTCTGCCCATTGACTTGTTAGCCATGACAGCTTCAACGCCGGCGTCCGCTGTACCACGGCTCCTCTTTTCGGCACGGCACGCCATGCCTTCTCCTCACTGAGCCTGTCGGCATCCCCGGAGCAGTCTCCACGTGGCACGGCATACCGAGAGTGCGGCGCGTACCCGCCTGCTGGACTCTTCCTGCTCAAGACCTGGTGTTCCGTGGCGGGCATCAGACGCGTGTTCACAGCTATCATGCTTGTGCTGCGCTTGCGAGGGAACTTTCAACGCACCACATCTTCTCATGGTGCAACTTGGGCTCATCAACTTCGTGCGCAAGGTCCTTACGAGCTGAAGTTTAAGCCTGTGGATCCTACCAAGCTCATGAGATTCTGAGATCTTGGCACCACACGATAGCTAACGCCGACTGGTTAGCACGATCGACTAGATTGTACGGAGTTGCCCTGGGCGCAGTTCGCAATTCCCGCCGTCTTGCTTGCGGAAAGCATCTGCAGAGCTGCTCCATTGATGCCTCGTCCATGTCCTAGCTCTGTTCTCATGACGACGGCATGTTCGTGAGCGTCGGATTCTCCCTGCTATCAACCTGTTCGGAAGGCAGTGTAGACGCCAAGGCTGGCAGTAAGCGCTGCATGGGCCTGGATGGTGGACCGTGCTATCGAAAGATCCAGGGCTGGCCTCGGGATATCGAAAGGCTCACGTGTGGCACAGTTCGCGGGGGATGAATTGGGAGCCTAGTCAAGTAGTCTTATCTAAGATTGAAGCCTGCCAGCTGCTGTTGCTGCTGGCGTCGAGTCGACAACTCTGCACACAGGTACTTGGAGCGCGCGCAGAAGCCAAACACAGGCGAATGGGAGGTGGAGAGGGTTCCGAAGACGCGCACGTCATCATCTCAGCTGCAACGCCGGCGCGTTGTGCGGCGGTACGCCAGCATCGCGGGAGGACCCTTTCTCCATAGTTTCTACATGCCTAGGGTCTGTTAGTCATCGGCCAGCGTGAAACAGCGGCGACGTTGCACTTGCGCTTTTGTCGGAGCATCGCATTCTAGAAACAGACCTGCAGTGCAATGGCGGGGTCAAGCGGCGTGGGCGTGGGCGTGCTTTCTGATTCTGATAACGGCGCAAACGCCCAGGAACTCAGTGCTTTCTGAGCGGCACCCTACTTGTGCGCTACACCTCGCTACATGTTCACAGTGACAAGCGTGGTGAGACGACGCTGGTCCGCTGGTCCCACACATGCATACTGACTAGTTGCGCTTCCGTCTCCGCCTCCAAGGTGCCCAAGGGTCGCATTGCTACCTCGATATCCCTGGCAACCGAGACGATCCCTCCTTCTTGTTCACAGCACAGCGCATACACAATCCAGGGCGTCGTGCTGCCGCCCAACGCGGCACTGATTGGCGGACCTCGCTACGTTTCAGAGTGATGCGCTCCCGCCGTTAGAGATACCGCTACACCAACACCCTCCCACGCCCACGCAGCAGCCTCGACGTCGCGTGCCCCGTTTCCCCAACATTCCCCCAACCCGCCCTCCGCGCATGCCCACAAGACTCGTAGCGAATACACTGCCACATATAACTCTATACACTGCGGACAACCGTCGCAATGGTCGACGCCTTCAAGGGCAGGTGGAAGGCCAAGCTATTCGCCAAGGACCACGCGGGAGACTCTCCACCAGAAGACCCAAAACCCAAAACGCAGACCTCCTTCAAGCTCAATGAAGATGTGAACGAGTACGCACCCTCTGTGCCCTTTCCACAGCCTATATACCCCAACAGGTGTACCCTACTGACTCCAAGCCTCTAGCTTCCTCAAGCCTTCCACCGAGCGTGCACAAGCCCACAAGGAGGCTGCCGCCTCCGCCTTCCTGAGCACTGCGGGTCGCCCGAAGATCGACGTCGTCAGCGCACAAAGATGGCCCTCCTCGAACGATGTGTTGAACAGCGCAGCGGGGAAAAATGGAGGATTGAGGAAGGGGTCCCGCAAGAAGGGGCTCACCGTTTCCTTCGTGCGCACGCAGCCCGATGTGATCGGCGAGGGCGGCGACGAGTGCGAGGAGCCGTCAATTGAAGTATACAATCGCAAGAAGTCGAACAGCGTTTCGGACATGGATAAGCTAGCAGCGCAGTCGCACCGGGACGATATCGCGCTCGGCGCACGCAGCCCCAAATTCGACGCTCTAGCCAGCCACAATGCGCAGGCTGCGCAGAGAGGCATCGTCACCAGAACGTTGACCAGCGGCGGTGAACTGTCTCCGCCATTGCGGCAGAAGCTCGAGATGGGCAGCATCAACACGCATGCCAGCCCGCCTCCAGAGCCCGCTAAAGGCCTGGGGCACATGGGACTAGGCCAGCGACCAAAGCCGTTGACGAGAGCACCAACCGGATTCGATATCGTAGAGACTGAAGGTCAGACTAATGATCCTAGAAGGCCAAGCATGGACTCTGCATACTCATTCGAGTCGGAAAATATATCCCCAGTACTGTCGAAAAAGGTACCAGAACTCCCACCAATGCAAGAAGAAGAGGAGAATTTCAGACCAAAACCGCTGTCGCGAACACAGACGGGATGGAGCGAACATGCTGGGGACTCCGACAACGAGCCTGCGCCAGCAGTTCCACCACTGCCAGGAATGAAGGAGACCGAGTCAGACTCGCCAATAGATGCAAAGGCGGTGCTTGCTGAGCGCTATCTGCAGAGCGAACCTGCCGACCCCAATTCTTACTCCGCAAGAGTGATACACAAAATGCGGGCAGACGAGGGCAATGCTTTGCATGAAGCTGCACAACGAGCAACCGATCATTCAAAGAGCGATTCCGGCTCGAGTGCCAGTTCGTTTCAACCAGGCTCCGTGCAGTCCAGTGGGTTCGCAGTGGGGACACCACCCGCAACAGTCACTATGCTTGCTGGCAAAACTCCACCACGATTTGCTACCCGCGATCTGGGACCAGCTCCAGAGTCGCCTCAACGCGCATTGGATGTAGAAGATCCCTACAGGTCGAGAGCTCGCGGGCCGTCTCCTGGCAGGGGACCGATGCCTCCAGGAACCCTCCCTCTGGACACTGACCCTCGCCCTTCTTCGTCTTCTTCTGGCCATACCATGCCTTCAGCAGCATCCCGGACGCGCACTTCACCGCATGAGCAAAACTCTGCAGCCACGACTGCGTCAATACAACAAACGCCCTCCACCCTAGAGAACCAACCATTTTCCGCCGTAAGGCAAACCTCCATAGTCCCGACTCCACCGCAGTTCGAGCGACAGGCCTTCGCCTCGCCGCCGCGAGCAGAGCAACCGCCTGCGCCACCACCACACCGTGAGATGCCAGCGCAGCAAACCGCTCCTAGTAACCAACGCCCGCTCCGGCCGCGCCATGATACAGCCACGTCAACGTTAGGTCGCTCAGATACCAAAGTGCAAGCGGAAGGCGCATTCCTAGATTTCGGCGAGCGAGTGGAGCACATGCGTGGGGTCTTCCAATTAATGGCACAGCTGAATGGCCAGATATACGATCATGCGCCAACTGTCTGGCTGCGTGTCGCCAGTTGGTGGTTTCTCAAGGGGCGTGCGGCGATGGAGACAGCCATCAGGAGTCGAGTCAAGACCGCAGAACAGCAGCCAGAACGTCTTATTCAAGCACATGTGGATCTTGCGAAAACATGGTGGATACTCGCCGAAGTCTTTGCTAATCATCCGAAGCTAAGGAAGTTCGGTGATCAACAGATGGCTTCGCAGGCCAATGCAGCTAGGGAGGCCGGGGACGAACACAGTGCAGAAGCGTACGATGCGCACGACGCCATCCTCTCGGCCTTGAAGATGCTGCTAGGATCCATGAAAAGACACCAGAGTATGCCGCCTACACAGGCTCTCATACAGGGTCAACAACAGGACATTTGGGAGACTTATCCCAAATTTGCTCCAGACGCGGCGAGTGTCCTCTCTGCCGCTTCAGCTAAATTGATTGTTGCCGATGGCCAGCAGCCGCGTATCAACCCTATGAAGTTCATGCCCGTGTCGGATACGAAAGCAGACTTCTGTTATTTCAGGATGTTTGCGCAGGTTTCAATGTCGACAGAAGATTTAAACACCGATCGCGCTGTTTTTCCGGTCGTCATTTCTGTACTGAGGTCACGCGACAACTTCAATGTCAAACTCGCGATCAGCAGTCAGACCGAGCTCGTCAATATCATGGTAGGGCCGTCTGCGGATCTTGGTGCCACCTGGAAAGATGTTTCATGGAGATCAAAGAGCCATGGCTTTGCGCTCCAGCTCCGTCACGGGTTCGTTCTGAATGTTGAACTTCTTGATTCCGACTTTCGTAGTCTCTGGAACATTGTCGACCACACGAACCGCGTTGATAGCGCTTTACGGGAACGAAGTGATGAACAGGCTGCATGTGTAATGATGCTTCGCGAAGGAATCTACAAGGATCCGACCAATCCAGCCGCATTTCCAGCAGAGCCTGTTAGAGGCAGCAAATTACTCCTTTTTGAGAAGTTCGATCTGAGTAGCGAGGGCACGGGCAAAAGAAAGCTTCACCGTGGTTACCGAGTAGTCATGGTCACTCATCCCAGAAATCGTACGGTAGGGTTCGTAACCCATGAAGCAGGCACAAAGCAGGAACCATTGAATTTTGCCTACACGACGGAGCCTGATCAAGCCCCTTCGCTAGTCATTCGGTTCCGAGAGGAAATGCCGGACAAGCGGATGAAGATCTGCACCATGCGTATGGTCTTTGGTGACAGCAAGGAGCGAAATCACATTTTCGGGCTCCTCACTTCCTTGAACACCGGCGAATCGGAGAAGATGTTTGCTCAAGTTCCTTTGAAAGCTTACAATATCGAGAGCGCGGACCCGGCGGAAGGTTTCAGTCAAAGTGGAAGCAATGTGCTTAACAAATTACAATGGCTTGAAGCAAAAACTATGAATCAAGATCCCGATGTCTTTGGTTTGGAGTCTGCGCCCACCGTCATGAGCGAAAGCCTGAGAATCTTGTGCAGACACAGCGCTGGCGTTTTTTCGGACCGCATGAACCTTGGTAAGCAATCCGGCTGATTTGTCCTGTGTAATGCTTTTACTGACAGTTTTAGACACGGGAGAGCTGCTTGTTCGATTGCCAACTTCCGGTGCTCCCGAACTTACCTTTCTCAGAAATCCGCAGCGTGACATGGCTATTGCTGTTGATGCGTCGCGCTCGGACAAAGATATACCAGATGCACTGGCAGACCTGCTCCGAACCCTCATTAATGCGTCTACTATAAGGCGGCTGACATTCGCCTCGTATCAAGATCTGCACGCTTTCCAACTTGCTGTCACTGGTTTCTCGGTTCGATTTGATGGGTGAGGATCTTATTACATCTACGCATGCGTGTTTATCACTAACGGTCACTAGTATCGCTTCCACTCTCTCAATCGCTCGACGCCGCATGGTGGTCCCAATCTACAAGCAGTGGACCGCAAACACAATTCGCATTCAGATTGTCGAGCAGGACAACATCGTACAACTTCTCGCTTTCTTCGAAGAGTTCTCACACGCAGACGCCATGAACTTCCAACTCAAGCCGCAAGATGAATTCCAGAAAACTGACAAGGGCGGGAAATCCTCTGTACGGCTTGTGGACTGCAAGTTTGCTTTACCCGTTGAAGAAAGGAAAGGGGAGGGCAAGATGGGTAAAGAAGAGGGAAGGTTGACCGGCTGGGCTGGCATGAAGAGGAGATTCGTCTGTCTGGATCAGATCGAATATCCAGGAGAGCACGACGACATTGTGATATCGTTTGATAGCCAGGAGAGTAAGTGCAGACTCGCCTTTTTCATGTAGATGATGTGCTAACCTATTTCCAGCGCGAGACAAGTTCGCCGAAGCGCTCCCATCGGCGACAGTTTCGCGGAAGTTCACCGTCCGACGGAAGATCTAGTCGTCCGTCTCGACGTTCAACTACTTTCTTTACATCTCGAAACTGCGGAGCAGTCCTTCGATCATTGCTTTAGGGTGCTAGCTCATCTAACATTCCCGAGCATACTTTTCCTTTGTTATTTCAATTTGCGGCACACAACCACCTTGCCTTACAGCATAGCATTAGCACGGAGCGGGGGGCTTCTTCTTTCCAGGGTGGAACGGAAGATATCACAGGGGTGTTTGTGGCGCTTGAAGTTTGTTGAATGAAATTGGCGTGCATGTTGGGACTGCAGTGGATGTTGCTCCCAATCGCGGCGTGGGGACGGTTATGATACCTAGGCATAGGCCAGATGTTATTCTTGTTGCTTTCGTTTAACTTTGATAATGTGATTCTTGAGTCGTGGTGAGTGTCGCCATGGTCACGTGGGCACTGCGTGGTATGACGCAGTGAAGTATGCAAGTCTTGCGATTGGTGGTATTGACGGACGACGCTGGCTCATAATATGGGCCCTGGTAGACAATTTTTCACAGTAAGGTTGCAAGGAGTGCAAATCATTCAACTCAGAGACCGGTTCCTTTTCTGAGTCCCTATCGCGTCGCTGTCGGCGCCCAGAGAAATCGTGTAGGGAATATCTAACTCGGTGGCTTGACGTCGTGATCCCTGCGTCAAGTTACCCACCGACATGTGCCTTTACAGAGTAGCCCGTGACAGTCATGGATCTCTGAGATACTGTTCAGGAAACCATTCCCCGTTGCCAATCAATTGACCGGTCGCTCTATCTTTGAGCTGGTACTCCCAAAATCCACCCTTGTTCCTCGCGAAGCTCTCGACCTTTGGAGGATTACCAATCTGAGTGTTACTGTTCAGAAGTACGACGTTACCCCCTTTTGTGAAGTGAACGCCTTGAGGCACTATTCGTGACCAGTATGGAATCTGTCGTCTGGAAGCCTCCGCTTCTTGGTTCTCGCGCTGTTTCTTGGACCGTACAGGCTCGGATACGATGCTGGTGGGACGTATAGCTTTGCCTGACGAGTGATGATGGTAGAGGCTACGATGCATGATAGGATTCCTCAATGCTTTCGTGATCGTTTGGCGATGCGGATGCGGGTGCACCAGCGGGTTCCTCATTGCTTTTATCGTCGCTTTGAAGCATCCTGGGTCTTCCATCGCCGATCCTCCAATTGCCATGCTCCTCTGTAGCGATGAATCCTTCGTCGAAAAACCACTTTTCCAGTTTTTTGTCAACGTTCCATGTAGCAACGTCACCGGGGTCAGTTCCTCGCCCATTTCGAAAGTCTTCAAGATGCCGCCCAACATGTTCCATCCGTATTTCCCAAGATGAAGGCCCAGTGAAGCGTTGATCGCAGAACAAACATGCGAACTGAGGCGGCGTGCTACAAATGAACTGAAAGTGTGTTCGTTCATTCTCATCTATGCTGTCCTCGGTCACAGGTTGTTCGCGGGACTGGCGACTTGCGTTGACTGGTGCAGCGTGCATCCGCCGTATATGTTGCGAGACAAGATCCTTCCTACTAATTGATTGTGATATACTACTTCATAGTCACAAGGATCCACCGTAGTACTAAATAGGTCGCATCTCTAAGATCATAGCTTGACATGCCGTGTGCTTAGGTGCTTCTTCTTTGCATTCGCCTTTGGTTGAGAGCGTGGGTCCGCATCCGCACGGTATGAACACAAATGGTAGGGACGCCCTTCGCTTGATTCGGTCGATTGAACATTACACACGTTGCTAAGAGGCTTGTGGGTATACGTATGACTATGGAGGACTTGTACGCCGACGTCTTGTCGATTGTTTTGGCACATAGATCGCGTCAGTTAGCTATGTGTACTCAGATTCATCGAGTGTGCCTTTTGGGACCCCTAGCCATCCGGTCAGAGTTTTGGTACTCCATATCTCTGGAGCCTGGATCTCGAAAAGTGAGATGATGTAGATTGGAATGTAGTAAGCCAGGCTCGAGGGAAGAAGCATCTTTTTGAATGGTAGATTCTTGGGGTCCTCCATCATCTCGAGTGAGTTTCTGGAGGCCAATACTAAGGATCTCGGCATGCCGTCCTCTTCGCTTTCATCGTCACCTCTCAAAGGGGAATACAATCTATTCTCTAATGCATCATCTCCTCGTAAATTACTATTAAGTTTCTACAACTGGGACCACCGTGCGAGGAAGGGCGAAAATAGTTTGGATTTTGCTGATAATTGAAAGACTTGACACTTTCCTGTATATCCCCGGGTTGAGTGTAGTCGCAATAGGTGCCATCGACCGTACTACAACTGTGGTCGCGGTCTCTAGTCCAGTAGTATCTCCTCCGATTTTCAGAGGAGTAGCGCTACTTTCAAAGAACAGAGCGCTTTGTGACAGGCTTGGGACAGGTCTCGACTCTTTCAAATGAGATCTAGAATACCGCGACCGTCTATAAAGAACTCTATTGTGCCGCACCACCATCGAAAAAGCAATTAGAGTCAGCAGGTTCTCAATGATGTCTGTACGGCAGTAAACCTGCAATAACGAACGAGATGAGGCCTGCAGTTCCGGTTCTATGACGGTTTCTTTTCCGTCTACGATTTCTTGGATTTGAAATGATTATGTTGGTTCGAGATTTGGCAAAGCTTTACTCGGTCTACGGAGGCTTTACATAGGAAGCCTCGTATATCACGTTAACATGGTGCATGTTTCATTTTGGCTGCAAATGAATCCTGTGGTGGAGAATCTTTTCTGCAGCCCGTTTGGTAAGGGAGACACAGGGAGGATCAACGACAACACTCTGATCTCTAACCTCAAGATTAGTGATATTTCTACGTGGAATAGCTCCGTCTGCTTATTTCGGATCATGAGCCACAACCTCAATCTCAACCTTCATATCATCATCGCCCAACCTCGGCACGCCCACACACGTCCAGATTGGCGAATGGCGCGGCATCCACTTCTTGAATCCCGCCGTCATCGCCTCAAGCGCCTCATCGTTCATTGGCACATGATAGCTGTTTACTCGGAAGACCTGCTCCCAGCCTTTGCCGCCAGCATCGCGCAGGTTCAGGTCTACGTTGGCGAAGGCTTGCTCGATTTGCTTGTTGATTTCGCGGTGAATCTCGCCGGTTTGTGGGTCCCAGCCGCCTAAGAGGGTAGTTAGGAGAGTGTCTAGGAGGATGGTAGGGAATGGCAAGGGGAGACTGGAAAGAAAGGACGGGGGGCTACCTTGTCCGGAGCATTCAATGCGATCACCCACTCTTACAGCTTGCTGATAGCCATGCTGCTTGAGCTTTTGCTCACCGACGCCTTTGTGACTAATACAAGATATTAGTATACCACAATCATGATAATGCAATTCATGGACAGCACGTACGCGTAGTATTGAAGGTGCGACATCTTGAGGATGAAGTTTTGGAAGAAAAGGTTACGTGTAGCAAGCAGTCTCGCGAATGTTGAAGCGGTTGTTCAGGAATGCGGACATTGGTATGTACCCCTCCCTCACATGCAGTACTCTTTCTTCACTTGGTCTACAATGGAACATGACTGTCGTTCGCTACTGCAACTTCACGTCATTGCTTTGAAATCCATCCACGAGCAAGTGGGGAATGCGGAATTCATAATCCTCTGCAACCCTACGTTTTCAACGACCTCGAGCTTTCAGGTCTCGTCAAGATCATCACATAGCTTCTTTTGGTTTCAATGACAGCTGGTGCAATGATGCTGAACAACAGTAATCCCCCTTCTCGCATTCATTACTCCGAGCAGGTGGAATCCTGCTGTCGTAGTCGGACCGGTTTGCTCTGGTACCCCGCTTCAAACTCAACATCTTCCAAAGACTTCATTCGCGCATGTTAACTTGGCAATATTCACAACCGGTCTTCCCTCCCCTCGCACTATCGTAAGCAGAAGTGCCACGTGAGTACCTCCTCCGAAAACGGCCCGATGATCCCACAAATCTATCGGCCCTACATTCACCACCCCACGCGGCCACACAGGCCCAAAACACGTCCGCAACGCGTCGCTTCCATCGCCGCATCGCGTGGCCCGCCTACGTCTTCCATCTTCTCGCCCACCAACACAATTTCGCTTGTTGTGCCCAGGCATATGCCGCTGTAATATGGAAATCATGCACGCATGGGAGTCTAAGCAGGGCTGCAATTCATGCGCGTGGGTGTTGACGCGAGCAAAGAAGATGGATCATGACGTGGGAAGCGGACGTGTGCGTTGTTGCGAGTCATTGCCAGGTACGCGAAGACACTTGCGGAAGGCACGTGCACTGGGCGGTCGTTGCGTGCAGTGGGCAAGAACCCGTTCAGGAAGCCCGTTACACGTTAAATCCACAAGCAGCTCGTCCGCTCGTGTGGAGCGCTTGACTCGGCAGCCTTCCACTCGCCATCCGGTTCCTGGGACCTGCATCTGCACCGGAAACTCGGACCATCCGCTGAGATCGGTATCAGATCCATATCAGCCCTGCCCCTTCTGTATAGCTTCCGACAACTTCAGCTCCCATGACCTCAGGCATTCATGCAGAAGCCAGGCATCTGCTCGCCCGAACAACGATCCTGGGACCCGCCAACCTGGCCATGGTACCCACGCCCTGGCGTGATTTCCACGGCGCATGAACTTCATCTCCAGGCACCGAGAGGACAACGCGCGGTTCGCAAGCTCACTGGTCAGAATCTCAAGGGGATACAAGCCAGGCAATCGGACGGTCTGACAAATACGAGACGGAGGGTTCGGCAACAGGCGGAGGATATGCATCGTGTCCGCTTTTGCATTGCGGTTCTGCTGGCATTCTCGAGATGCGAGTATCAGACGGCAGATGAGCAGGGAGAAAAGCGATTCTGTCAAAATGCAGACAGGCTATGCTCAAACTTGACACTGCGCTCGCTTGCTGACGTGCGAGCCGGCAGTGGGATTAAGCTTTGATCGGCGAACTGCATCAACATGCCTGATAAAGGGGGAACGGCGACGGGACAGATGCGGCGCCACAGAACTGGGGGATGTGGCGTCACACCACCGATTCAACAGCCCTGACTAAAAATATCTTGACCGTGCATGCTGCAGCGGCAATGCGAGACGAGCTGTCAACCTGTCAGACATCAAGAGGTGCTATCGTTCTGACTCGTGGTCAGGAACGCGTTTGATTCGTGGAAGAGTTCCCATTGAGCTAGCGCACCATAGAGAAGAGTGCATGCACGGCGGCCGATACGTGAACGTCTGCAGAGCTGTTCTTCGTTCCTAACGCAGTTGTCTAGCAAACTCCAAATGATGGATCAGAGATAAAGAAGCAGTCTTATCAAGCGCTTTAGGCCAATGTTTGCAAGACGCGGATTGTTGGGCTGGTAAGACTTCTCATGGGTATTCGACACTTTCACCCTCCCAATACTCCAGGGCTTAGTCTCACATCATTGATTTCCATGACTGCTCTTGAGAAGATCACTAGCGTTCGAAATCCGAAAATCCTGGTGTTGAACAGACGGCAGTCGCTCATACAGCGCCTGAGCGGTACGGCCTGTTTCACGTGCTGCACGTGCGACGAGTGGTGTAGGAGAACTGTAGCGCTAGTTCGAAAACGCCCGAAACGGATCGTAGGGGCTTCGTATCAAGTAATCAAAGGACTTGGGAGACGAAGTCACACGGCTGTGAATGGTTTGCAGTGTTTGGAAGCGTGTCTCTGCGAAGCTGTCTGCGCGTTTTGTACATGGACTGAATTTAGAGATTCCTTCATGATGGAAAGGTTTGATTGACTTGAGCTTTGCGTGTGTTCTGGTGAAGACTGAAGTGTGAGTATTGCTGCGCGTTGCCTTTGGCCAGGACCGTCGTCATTATGGAAATCATCGGCCTTAGTCCCTCAAAGCGTGCTGCGTGGTCGCGATCCTGAGGCAACACTTGCCTCAAATAAGGGGCGCATAACAACGAGCCGCGCGCCAAGCGATCAGCCTGCACTCCTCCAAGTCACATCACACCTCTGTATCAGATCTCTCAGAGCCAACTGCAAGGTACGATCGTCAAGGGTGGCACTCATCGGCCAAGTCAATTTTCAATTGTTTTTGCTGCCTTTGGTGTTACCATATCGCTAATACTATTGCACCCTTGGTGTTTTGATTCTGAAGTAATTGAGACCAGCCGAAATACTCCTTGGCGAGGGTGAGTGTTGGCGACTAATCGTCTGTGACCGACACAAATCCACTGCCACCAACAAATCGCACTAAAGGAGTAAGGTAAAATAGGAGTTAACGAAAGTAAGAAGAAAATTCGTCCGAAAGCTGAAAGGGAAAATGATTCCGAAGTAGCCACCAAAGATGTAGTCTATTGAGCGCGGGGATGCTTGTCTTCCGTCAATAAGCTAGCAATGGGCATGTTGTCGCGAGGAGCAGAACTCCAAGTGCCAGCCCTGGGTCGGCCAACAGAGGGTACCGGCATGGGCAGCACGTAAGGCATGCGCTCAGGAGCCGAAACGCCGCTGATGTTCATGGCGCCGAAGTGTTTACCGGCATCATTGCTGATCGGCGAGGCATAGGCGAAGGGCGAAGGTTTCAGTACAGGGTTATGCATCATGCTGCCATCGGGAGAAGCATCCGGAGTAGGTGGGCGGACCGCGTTCGAACCAGAACGCCAGATTTCCTCAAGCTGAGCCGGGGGAAACGTCAGCGCCGTAATCGGCAGCAATGGTAGCCCAAAAGTGTTGACGGCGGGCTTCGTAGATCGCACGAAGACGGTCAGTATCGACAACCTTGGGCTGGTGTGCCACACCAGTGTTGATGCGGAGCGCGTTGTGGGGCTCAGGAGACTGTCGTGGAGTCATGGGACGCGGCTTAGGAAGGAGGATTTTATGCTGGTTGCGACCGGGAGAGGTTCCGATTGAAGCGGCCCTAATGTGTGGGGCTGCCGCCGGTGTAGCTCATGGGCGAGCCGTGGCGGGACGATGGAGAGTACTCATCATTGTCCACTGCCATTGAATAAGCCGGAGACTGGCCGGCGGAGCTGCAAGAAGTCGCCGAAGAAACAGACGAGGTGCGCTTACGGCGATGGCTACCGTGCGACAACTGGTGGTAATGCAGACGGCATGCCAACTCGGTCTTCTTGAGATGTGCAGCAATGTGCTTGTAAGGCATCTTTTGCATGCGGGTTTGCAAAAGGTAGTTCTCCTAGTTTTTGTCAGAAGCTGTCGGCATCGCTGAAGAGAGTGAGAATTACCTCTTCTTCGGACCAAGACCTGTTGCCACCGGAAGACATCTTGCGTGCTCGGAGGCTGGAGCTGGGAGAGTGTGTGTCCATCTCAGCAAGCGGTGAGAGGATCTGAGGCTGATGGTGAAGCATGTTGCGTGTGTATGTGTATGTGTATGTTATGTCGTGAGTGTTGGTGTAGGGACTGGTGATTTGAGAGGATATCGTGAATTCGTCGTAGTGATGCCTTGCGGTTGTCGTCGAGGCTGGCTCGTGAAAGAATGTATTACAAGTGTGTAGGCCCACACGGAGTAATTGCTCAGCAATGTGAATTAAAGAGTGTAAGGCAGCCCAACCAGTGGGGAGTAAAAGAAAGTAATTACAAGGCTGCTAAGAGAAAACAAAGACGACCCGTTGGAACAGTTGCAGTTGACGCCTGGAAATCTTGGGGCATCCGTCATGATATACAGTTCGGACAGTGACAAGAAACGTACCGTTCCCGGGCCAGCAGGCGGCATGGCTGATTGGAGTGGCAGGTTCTGATGTTAGCAGCGTTTTCAAACCCCAATCCTGCAGCTACGTTTTGATCGTCGTCATGGTGGACGTCGGCGTTCGACGCTCAAATGTTTGGAAAACCCTTGACACGAGACATGCTAAGCTTGAAAGGGATGGGACGACAGTTTGGACAAGATCTGGACGTCGGAGAGACAGACGAAAATGCATGAAAGTCCCGCACGCTTGGGGAATAGCAGAGGCAGTTTCAAAACTCGGCGCGTTAGAGCGGGGGATGTGCGGCCGTGCTGGCGAAGCGAGACGTTTGACAGAGTGTTTAAGGGAGTAAACAAGCTCACCCGTAGGTCCGTCAACCACGGGCGCTAACTGAAAAGAAGGGGTGACAGGCGCCGGGGGGAGCCGTGCGCAGTAAGGTTAATCGTGTTCCGAGAGCGAAGGCCTGCACAGAGATGAACTGAATTGCAGCGCAGACGACTTGGACGAGATTCGCGTAGAGAACGAGCAAAGTGAAGCTGAGGACCAAGACGCTACGAAGTCACGATGACCACGCGTACAACGAGGCATTGCAGACGCCGTGAGACGCGCGAAACAAAGACACTCGGAAGCGCTGCGATCCGCCTAGAGCATGACGATAGAGGTGTTCCGTCCCAGCTGTTCCATGACAGCGGCCCATAGCCAGCGTAGCGGCGGTGAGTTGGAGATGTGGCAGTTGAGCGGTTCGCTCAGCCACCTGAGACGCGAGCGCTACCTTGACTGTTTGAGGGATGCTTGGCGGCTCGAAACGCAGAGCACGGAGGAAAACTTGATAAGAGAGGGCGCCCCGCCGTGGGGCAGAGCTGGAAACAGCACTGTTTGTCGTTCATCTTCAGTAGCACAGGCAGCATCTTGTTGTGTGGCGCGGAGCGGGCGCTTGCCATGGAAGGACGGCGACGTCTGCCCTCGCAGACGCAGGGCAAGGCGGTCTCTCTTCGCCGGCGCAGGGTCTGGCTGAATTCTGGCAGCGGTGGCAGCTGGATAATTAGATGCAATCTCGAGACGGGCGACCCAATTGGTGGCCGTGGAGTTGTCGTGATGCTCACAGCGACGTGGTGTCGTTGTAGTGCACGACAGTGAGTGTTGGCTGCCTGGTGCCTTCCCACACCGATGACTAGTGGCAGGTGCAAGTCAGCGGGGGAAGCAGCGACCGGTGCACGCGCCACTCGCACCGCGGCCGCACATGTCTTATCAACACCAAAGATACCCAAAGATACCATCATCACCACTCCGCTAGTCGACGAGGGCCTGTCTCCGTGGCTGAAGCTCGACCTTGGGACCGTCTGCGCCTGAGGGCGCGGTCTCGATCCTCCGTTGCCGTCTCGTTCGTACCCAGAACGGCTTCGGACCCCGCCTTGCTGTTGGTCTACTTCATGCACGAGGTCGTCACGCGCTGTCTGCACCCCGCTTGCTTTGTCGTCGCAACTGAAAAGCCACCTAATTCATACAGGATGAGGCTACCCCGCTTTCTCCTCTGCCGTGTCCTGCCATGTATAGAGACCCCCTCGCCCACACTGACTACACCACGGTCGAGGTACCAGGTACTTGACCTATACTCTAGCTGGCCGGCATCTGGCTAAGAACCCCAAGTATCCTGGTCGTCCTCCACAGCCATGCCTCCCCCTCTATCCTCATTCGTCCGCCTTCAGCCAGCCTGACCCTTTTGTATCTCCATGTACTGATCAGCGCTCGCTCCGGGGCGCGATCTGCCTGTGAATATCATGATGATCAACTCCCTTCAGGCACCTACTTGTCCTCCCTTCTAAGTGCGGGTCTGCCTTTCTAGCCGGAGCATGACCTTGCTCTGTAGGCTCATTGTAACCCCCAAATACGCTGCTAGAGCTGCGCATCATGTCGTGAGTCTACTTTAAAACACAGCTGTACCTGCCCTCGCCTGGTCTGAGCTCTGTGCACTGCGTACTCACTTCACCTTCACCTGCTCGTTGAGTTCGCTGACCTTGTACGCGCTGCGTCCCACAGCACCTCACCGGCCTCTAAACGCAACCTGAAGCCCTCACCCATCGTGGCAAGCGCGCAGCAGAACGCCCAGTTCGCCCCTTCCGCCGAACTGCCGAAGATACAACCCGCGTCCACGGCGCCGCCACAAGAGTCGTCCGGGTCGGCGGCGCAACCCCCTTCGCCAGTTGGCACACGCAAACGCAAGTCAGTGAGCCTTAAACACCCGTCCGATCAGATGGCACACGCTCCGGCAACGGCAGGCGCGGCGGAGAATGTGGAGGCTCCGCCTGCCGCCGACACTGAAGCGCCTGTGCAGGAGCCAAAGGCAAAGAAGAGCCGCACAAACACACCGTGGACGCCAGCAGAGGAGCAGAGGCTGAAGCAGATGAGGGATGCTGGCCACAGCTGGAGCGAAATCGCAAAGGTATAGGACCAGCCAACTGTGCGATACGCACACATTGTGACAGACTCCACTCGAGGGAGGCTGCACTTCTAAAAAAGGCTGGGCTGACTTGTCCTTTACCTCAGACATTCCCTCAGCGAACAGAAGGAAGTGTCAAAAAGCACTGGTACAAGGTATGCTGTCGCTGTTGGCCGTCTTGTACTGGTCTCTGCTGATCACAAACGCTGCAGGACATGCACTATGCCGAGTTCGGGGAAGACGAGGTGGGTCCTGGCTTGCGTCGCAGGCAACTGATGGCTCTCCCAGCGTGTACATGCTAACCAAACAGAAACAGAGTGCAGCACTGCTGGCTGCGATTAAGGAGTACGACGCGAACAAGTGGAAGGTCGTCGGTCAAAAGGTCGGCAAGCCAGCAAAGGTAATTTGACGCATCCTATGGGATCCAGGATGCAGTACAATGTTGACTGACGGCATGCAGGCGTGCGAGCAGTATGCAAAAGAGCATTTTGGCGGAAGGGCCTGACTGATCTGATTTGCAAGGTTTACGTTTACGAAGGACAGAATTTGCATCGTGCCAGGTTGTAAACGCGGTGGTTTTACGTATGATACCAATTCCCTTGAGTGTTTTCTTCTTCAGGCGCATGGTGTACACAGAAAGCTGTGGGCAGCCGCTCGTCTTGCTAGGGTCTTCGGACACTGTTACCGATGGCGAAGTTTCAGGGGTCTCTGGTCAAAAAGGATTCATCACAGCAGCAATGTTCTCTCTTTGGGACTCCCCTACTCTTCTCGGCACCAGGTCGTCTTTCGGAGGATTAATTTGGGTGCAGATTCGTTTGTAAGACGTAGCGAGAGGCCTGCTGCGGATCGGAGGCAGACCTGGGGCGAATCTGGGGTATCTGGATGCAGTGTTTCCGGGTCCTGGGATCGCTGTCCGGCAGTCATTGGTCGAATATAAAGGGTTTTTCTTGGTCTCGCAATCCCGTCGCGTTTGTTTCGGATGTATGCGACGACGAGCTTGACAGGCTACATTTGCCGAGATAGCCTCTTGCCGTTCGTCGATCATTTTGCTTTTGGAGCATCGTTGGCTGTGGCTGCTGCACGTAGCCGACCTTTGTTGCCACAGCCATTGCCGTGCACTCGTGGTCCATTGTTTGCTGCGCCGCCGACGGATCCGTCTTCGCACGGCTCGTGGGACCAACAAGGCAAACTCATCGTCTCCATGCGCTCGCGTAACGGCCACGACGGACGGTTGTCGGCAGCGCCAGATATCGAAGCGAGCCGGACTGGCGCATGCGCATCGTTGGAGGATGCCAGGGACAACCACGTCGACGAGACCGGACGTGCTGCTGAACTCGCGCAAGACGCGGTACCGCGGCCAATACAGTACTTGCCCCGGCCTCGCGCGTGGCTCGCGGGTTCGGGCGCGCGTGTGATGGAATGCGGAGCGAGCTTCCTATCGAGAGTGCGCCGATGCTGAGGCGTGCCGGCTCCATCCCACGTCGACTCCTCAGCCTAAATGGCTAATAGGTGCAGCAGCTGGTCGAGTAGACATCTCCAGCAAGGCGCAACGCAGCGGTATCACAACACTAAAGCTCCGCTACAGTACGTACCTCCGCCGCCATGGCAAGGAAACCCCGGCCTGTTGTGGCAGGTCCACAGGTCGTGCGCAGGTCGGATTGCGCCCGGTCACGTGCACCTTGGTGACATGATCTCATTGTGGGCCGCAGACGTGGGAGGCATTGTGTAAGTGCAACATGCAACACTGAGCGTTCCTCTGCGCTGAGCGGCGCGCGACATCCTTTTCATCCCGTCTACTCGCACTATGCAGTCGAATGAATGCGGGCGAGCACACCCTCGACGCCAAGCATCCCACCAGCCACTCGCCTGAGATGCGCGCCTCGCTTCTGTCTTCTCTACACAGTACATTGCTTCACCCCGTCGTTATGTGAAACCATCCAATACTTTGTGCAGTGCCCATCTGTCCATCTCCCGTCGCCACCACGTTGCTATTGTTGTAGCGTTCCTACTCTGTAGCGCCTTCGTGCGTCATGCCCCTTCGCGTCGACCGTCGATCTGACGGGCACTATAGGACCGGGGTGCTATATGTAGCGCCTGAAACAGCATTGCATGGGCTGATGATGCCTGCGTCAGGGAACCACCAGCCCGCCGACGGCTTCCAAGCGGGTGCTACGCTTCCATTGCCGGCATGTCTCTGCTTTCGCGTCGGGAGCTTCGCCGCCCAGGGCATGAACGCTCTTTAGCATTTCTTAGCATTGCCAGACTTCCTCCTGAGGCGTTAAAGTTCGTCAGAATCAGGCCCCAACGCATGGCAGGTTCTGAGGGGGGTCAGTAATTCACGAGAATTGAGCATGACTTCCGCGGACCCGCCGGTCCTGCGCTTCAAGCTCGCCTTTCGCCTGTCGTCGCATCAATCTAGCATACGATGGTCGGCCAGGTGGCGGCACTGCTTTGGGAACTGCTCATCTTCCCCTGCGCTGGCTAGCCGGTTCGGAACGATCTTTCATGCGCCTACTCCTGGCCACCACGCTTGGACACCCAGGATCGCGCGTGCAGCAGAGCAACGGCGCTGGAGATCTTCTCTGTGCATTCTAGAAGGAGGGCCGCGCTACCATGGCCACCCCTCCCCCGCCACCTGGATTGGACCGCTGTCTTCAATCTTGCGCTGTCAGCCACTCATAACACGGACCCACGGTGCGGTGTCTGTGTACATGCCCTTGCGAATACCCTCCAGATCTAGCGCCAATCTGCTGCCCTGGTTGATCACCGCATTGTGCTTGACGTAGAATCCGCTGAGGCTTGCCAGGACCGTCTCGAGGGAAGGCCCATGTGTCTTTCGTGCTTGGACACAGAGTCCGTGTGGCAATCGCACAGGCTTAGAAGGGACAAGGGCTTTAGAAGGCACAAAAGTGCCCGAAATTTCTACAATGCTTGCCCTCCTATCTTGCGTGAGCAACATGTTATAATGCACAGCGCACCCGTCCGTACCTCGAGCACTACTAGTTTCTCCAAGGCTATATTCGGGCATCCCAACGCTTAACACACGCGATAAGATTCTGCTGGCTGATGGCGCGTCGCTCCGGGCCTTACCTGCTACAACATTTGATATAACAAAACACGAACCTACCCCGAACGCGTACCTTCGGCGGCGCACCCGCGCACCTCAAACTGGGCATCCTTTCTGGTTCAGGTCTCACTGCGGCGGCCTGCCAGAGCAAGCTAGCTCTGGTAGTCTCCATGCATATTCGCAACACTGGCGAGTCCTTCCCGAGGCCATTTCCTCGACTACAGCGTGCCAGGCGACTCCGGCGAGGAACATTCTATTCCGACGTCAAACGTCGAACATCCACACCATGTCCTCCATCACCCCTACGGAAGCCTGCCCTCGGGCTACTACCATCAGCTGCAGCCACATCCGTCTCAAACGCTTCAGCATGCTGGCGCCCATCATCCCGCGTACACAGATATCGAGGCGCATCCACCAATCCACCAGTCGCATCAGCACCTCCTACGCCATCCCTCCATGTCGCACCCATCCCCTTCCTCTTACGATGTGGGCTATCCGCAAACCCCGCAGCAGGCCGCGCAAAGTCGCAAGCGCAGTCGTGCCGAGGAGCACCTCCAGCAGTTAGATCTTCCAAATCCTCTGGCGCAACAGCAACCCGATCCATACGCGTCTGGCTCTATACAAGTCCCGCCATCCCACCCGGGATATTCCCTCCAGCCATTTCAACAACATCCGACCCCGCAATCCGCTGCGGCGCCAACCCACCATCACCATCATCTCCCCAACCAAGGCGCGTCCTCTAGCAAGCGCGTCCGTATGGAGGGCGCACCACCTTCGCCAGCGCAGCCCCATGGGCCTCCCAATGTTGTTGGCCAGGAAGGCATGCCCATGCCAGCTCCACGACCTCGTGGTCCCAAGCTCAAGTTCACGCCAGAGGATGACCAGCTACTTGTCGACCTCAAAGAGAAGAAAAACCTCGCTTGGAAGCAGATCGCCGACTTCTTCCCGGGTCGCAGCTCTGGTACTCTGCAAGTGCGGTATTGCACGAAGCTCAAAGCAAAGACAACTGTCTGGACGGATGAAATGGTGAGTGCCGTCACTTCTGAAACGCAAGACGTCGAGTCGTGCGCCCACAACGTCGGCGATGCTAACCTAAAGGGGACATACAGGTCCAGAAGCTTCGCACAGCAATGCACGAGTACGAGAACGATCGTTGGAGGATCATTGCCTCGAAAGTCGGGAGCGGCTTTTCCCCGGCGGCATGCAGAGACAAGGCGCATGAGTTGGAGACTGGGGAGGTGGTCGAGGATCCTGAAGACGCTGCGTACACGCAATCGCAACTTGGCGCACCTGGCTCCAATGAAGCAGGGCCTTCGTTCCAGTCGAACGATCCGAATGCTCCTTACCAATGACTGGCCGACGAATTTCAGGAGGCGCTGGTGATCTAATGGCAGCGGGACGTCCAAGCCTGGGAATTGTGCTGGTCACGGCCTATAACGCGCATTCGCGTGTGAGGGAACCCTGGGGCTCACATTATAATCACCTTATTTCTACGACGTACAACGAATTTCGCATTTCGCTTCACTACACTCTTTCCGGCACTGACTCGTCTGCACCGGCAGATACCTTTCGAATTAGCCAACTGAGCACGATATACGGTAAAGCATAATGGACAATGCTAAATGGAGGCGGGCACATTTTGGAAACATATCTACTACCGTTCACGATTGCAAAGAGGACATCGGCAATGCCGTCAGCAACGACACACCGAGAACGTCGAAGGCAACAACTCTGCGCTTAGTTTCAGCAAATGCAAATTGGACGCCGAGTGCGTTTAGAAAAGGAAGATAGAGATACCCTGTTTGCGTGGAGTTTGAGTGTGTGTTGTTGCGAGAGTTCGCTTTGGACCTTCCCTTGTACTACTATTTCGTAACACTTAATTTTGTTGATTCATTGTACTCACGCACGATCAGGCGACAGCAATTTTCTCATTATTCATGCATTACTCTCCTTGTTCGTAATCTTCTTAGACTGTGATTTCTTGGCTTCATAAGCCTACCGCGCGTACAAATATTGGCGCTGCGGTTTTGCATACCTTCCTTCAAGCCTGTTTTTTTAAAGCAGTCACGCGGTTCAGTGCAGAAAAGTGTAGGCGAACAATAAGCGCCAATGTAATTGTAATACCATATCTTCTGGAACGCTTAACGGATTCACTTAGAACGGACTTCTTGTCGGACGCGAACTGTGGAGGAAAGCGTTTGGATCCCGTCCTTTGCCAATTGTGTCCTGGACGCCAGGATAGCAAAACACATGTTTGAGTCTCATAGGTTTGCCACTACAATAATTATACTGAGAAGGGAGTGCGCGCCTGCAAAATCCTCCTTGGTCACCTCCGCGTAGTGTAGCTCGAGCACAGACTTACGCGACGTGTGCTAATATCTGAAACTTATTCCCCCCATCTTAAGACCTTTCGTGCTTGGGAATCAGGGCCGCGTATGTCTTCCTGCCTTCGGCTACCCGCTCTCAGGCTCCCGAGGCATCGCTTTCTTCATCGTCACATAGCGGTTTTGAGAAGCGCTGTCGGCATGGCCTGCTCGGATGCATTTTCCGCGTCTCGCGAACTACAAATCATCAAAACACCTCCGATGCCTGACCACCCGAGCAGTCGTCATCACCAAGCGTACCAAAGTCTCAGATTTCAAGATGCGGTGAGGCGTTGACCACGCGCAATCTCTAAACCTTCAAGCTGATGCGCGTGATCACACCGGTGAGGCATGTTCCAAGGTACATTGGCGTGGCAATTTGGGTATCACAGCAGCTGCCTCTTCGCGAGTGACCCGTACTGACATTCGTCCGCACTTGGATCGTTCTTTCCATGGCTGAATAATTAAATGCCTTTGCTTGAGGAAGAACAAGCGTGCAAAGTCACCGTATGGATGCGTGGGTTGACCCCAGCTCGTCCTCCATTTCGCCCCTTCGAACTTCACTAATGATTCGCAGATCCAGTCAACTACTTCCAAGTGAGGTCGAATTTGACTTTGTTTCTATTTACACCACGATCTACCTAAGAGATAGAAACTTCGACCCATCGATGTGGCTTCCCGCGTTATGTTAACGTGTGATGTTATCGCCTTGACCATACTCGGAAACTTATCGTTGGTCTGTTCATCGATATAGCAGCGCTCACCATGGATGTCCCACTGCCAACGAGAAAAACATTAATTCCTGTTTATAATACCCGGTTGCCGCCGCGCACGCTCTCGCCAGGCTCGCCTCAGCGTAGAGGCGATACCTAGGTATTCGCCTCCACAACCGCTCCCGGGCACATCTCTTCCCTGCTGCAGACGCAGACGCAGGGTTCGCTGTGATATTGATAGTAGGAGAAGCCGAACGCAAGTATGCTCGGGTACGATAGTGGATGTTGGGACTCGGTTCGGGTCGCGCTCGACTTCGTGTGCTGCAGCTGTGGAGACGTGCAAGGTACAGAGGCACGACCGGTGAGAGCGAGACACGTCAAGTGCGAGGGAGCTCGTTACGTTCGTTGCTTTCCCGAATTGCGGTACCGAGATGCAGCTGACGACCACTCTCGCCGTTGCGGTTCGCTGAGTTGGGTCCGCCGAAGCCAGCCCTACCCGGTCTTAACATCCAACACTTGTCATATGGGCTTGAATGGCGCCGGTTGCACCCACGATTGGCTCCGCAGCCAGGCGCCAACCTCTCAGTCTCTCCGTGTGATCGCCCCGGCCCATTCGGCAGCTACGGAAGGCGTTGTTAAGTGCTCCCCTCTCTATGGAGCGGTATCCACCGTCGGGGTAGAAGGTGCTCGCCACTCAGCTTGTTTCATTGGGACTGTTTTCAATAGTTCTGAAAATTCTGCGTTGTCCCTGTGGCGAGCCTGCATCTGCCTTGACATAAGCAGACCTCGTCGCCTCTACATTCCAGGGCTGTACGGCACTCCGCTCCCTCTCTTGCCGGCCGTTGCTGTCTTCAAAAGATACAACGAAAGAGACCATTGCCGCAGAAATTGCGCCATAAACATGATCGTCGTTATGTCTTGCTCACAGATGCTTGATCCCAAATATCTCCTTGAGCGCGAGAACCCTTGAGGGTTGGCCATGTGGCAGTGGCAAACGACCCCTCAATCCCACGTTTTCAAGACCTTGACCTGGTAGCTATAGACGAGTTGGTGGCAAACGCTCTATTCATATCCACCTCGTCTACTCACAACGTGCGAACCGTGGTTCCTGGCTGTACCTGGCCATCATGAACGAAAACGGAAAGCAGTGAAAGAGAATGTCGGTTACGACACGAGGTTCTTGGGGCGAGATATCAGTGTTTCATTTACCCGCGCTGTCGTTGGAAAACCAGAGATTCTGAGCATAGGTAATACGCCCGCAAAACCTTCACGTAGCCGAGTCGCTCCCGGTGACCGGGCAGATACGTCAGCATAGCAGCGAGTGCCGATGCGAGGGCTGTCGTGATCGATACAGCCAACTCAATTTCCGCCAGTGTTACTTGAAGCAACGTCTCAAAGCCACCAAGATTCTTCCTGTGGTCTCTGCAGCAACAACAGATTCAGGTGAACACACGGTTCTACCTTATCCCCCGCGCACATTAGATACTTCATACATGGTTGTCTTCATACTTTCCATAGCCTTGCCATGCTTCACGTGCTTTGGAACTTCCAAACTTAACGGCACGGGTAGAGTCACGCTAAGATCGACTTATGCAGATCCTAGCGATCCGTCACGCATAACAGCGCCCTCAAAATCGCCTCTTCTTGCCTGTCCCAACCGTCTTGACAATTCTGTAATCCTCCGCCGAAAATCAATATATCATCTCGTCGATCGCTTTCCGTCAGACGGAAGGAGCCATGCTGAAAGCAGAAAGACCCTCCGTGGGGACGACTTTCCGTTACCGGTAACTAGATGAAAGCAGCGTCGCGTGCTTCACAATAGTCTTGCATCATTCCTTGACAGCAGTGCTCGAGTGAACGAATCACCTCATCGCGTCAAACGCGTCATAATCCTCATCGCGCGACTTATCAACGCCACAAATTCCTCCTCAACAGGGGCCATAAATGGGTGGACCTGTATATAGTGATTTCTTTATCCGGGCCAATGAGCTCGGACAATGGGTTTGCATTATTCGTAATCAGGTTTGTGGCACTATATGGCCTATATGTGGGGCTGATATAGTTGCCTCTTCGGTCAGGCCTAGACTCTGCGGGAATCGCGGGCGCTCCTTCGGAATCCGTTTTGGCTTCACGAGGCGATAAGATTTTGTGAATGATGTTCTTCAAGACTTTGAGACACTCGAAAGCGCAGCTTTGAGGTACGGGATCGAGTGAAGCTGCATCTCGTTTGAGCTTGGTTCGCACACATTGCTCCGATTTCCGGTCTTCTCACTTTTCTAAATTCACGTCGCGCTTCCATTGATCGAAGATGGAAGAGTAACGTGTGTGAGCGCGGTACAAAGAGCAGCTCTCTTAACATCGCAAGCCGTAAAACTCTGCTCAGTTGGTTTGTTCCAGCTTTCCTGAGATGTCACTTCTTTGATTTACTAAATTTACAATTTCTATAGAGCAATTACGTCAGTATATTCGCTGTCGCGTGTATATAAATGCCCACTACATACTCTGAGCTACCACCTAGTCTAAGTCACCCTAAGATGTACGAATCAATGGCTACGCAGTGGAAGCTTCATCGTCGAGGGAGCTTCTGACCAGCAGCATTGTGATTCCAAGATGGAATCAGTTACAAGTGACAGTTGAAGGAACAATGGTCGATTAAGTCGCTGTGAATGAGAATACAGAAATTTATCTCCATTCCACTGTCACCACCTAGGCGTTAAGCATCTATCTGTGCGTTCCGGATCGGACACCAAGGGATCAGATGGGAGGTTGACAGGCTTATCCAGTAACTAACATCGATACGAGTGGGCACTAGTGGCAATGAACTAGAAAGCACCTATGATAGATTGTTTACTTTCGACCCTTGAGATTTTCTTGACTTAGTCTTAAGATGCAAATGACAAAGTAATGCAATGGCCTTGACTAGCATATTGATGCTCCTAGCTTGTTATTCCCAACAATGAGTCTCTGCCCGTCAACTATGTGGGATAGTGCGACATTGGGAAGTCCAAGTATGATCTTAGCTTCACGGCCAACCGGAAAGATGCGACTGCGTATTTCAGTCAGCCAACGAAGCAGTACGGACACACAAAGTGTACTGATATTTTCAAGAGAGCCTTCGCAAATGTTGACCTTACAATTCGCAGGCCGATAATTAGCCCGCGTCATCGCATGCATGCAATGGAGTAAATTGATATTGATCGCTCCATATTCGCTATGTTCGAGTGTACCAAACTAAATATTTGAGCTGCAAGTTCAAATGCTAGCCAGGGCAAGCACCAAGCTTACTTTATCCATATCCCGGCAGTCGCCCAATCACGACGCATGGTTTCTATTTCACCTCGCTTGCCTATTCTGGTTAGTTATAACTAGTCCCTTCTCAACAGCGTCTGCGGGCGCCTTTCCACAACCCGCTCTGAACCTCATCCAAAACATATCTTACGACACTAGCAAGTGTGAATTACCCCGCCTTGCTCGCCAACGCGTAGTCAGTCCGGCCATATCACAAGCAATCAGCCGCCAATGCACGACCAGTCCACAAGCCACGGAGAGCCGCTGCTGCTAATGCAGTACCAAGTGCACCTTGCGTACGATTTACCTTGGATCTAACCCCTTGCAGCCCATGTACAACTCACAAATTCAACGACAAGATCGCGCTTCATGACAGGCTCACAGCCGTCATAGATCCATGCTGCAAAGTAAGGCAATTCAAGTGCCTATAATATCCTTTCTAGGCTATCCCATAGCGCACAGTTTTGGCCTGATAGTTCACCATCGGCCACCTACCTCGTAGACCAGTGCGCCTCAAGCCATGCAACCATGCCAGCGACGATATATGTTGTCTCCAGCACCTGACCACTTGTAGGATCCATAACTGCCCTCCGTGAAGGAGTTCTACTCGCACAACTACCTACGCAATCCTGTCTCCTTACTTGATGAACTTGGCCTTAAATTTACTTTACCGATATCTCAGCGTGATATCCGCGGAAGAGCTCAGATGTACAATGCAAGCGAGTCTTACAGGTAACGCTGTGACAAGATGTAGGGCACAAATCCCTGAAATGTGTGGTCTTTTGCGGCCACATATACTCCACGATTCGCAACTACAAGAGCTAAGATGATGCTCTTTAAATTCGCATTACTTTTCGTCGCCAGATAAATATGGTGTGTTTCTGCAAAGAGGACCAAGTATCGCATCGTATGGAGACACGACATCAGTGCGGTTGTTCGACGTTCTTTGGAATCACGCTACTGGTAGGGGTCAATCATGTTATAGCCAAAGTCGCCTCGTTGGATTTTGATTTCTTATGTATCTATGCACCCGGCGATCACAGCACTGTTGATCTGGCAGGGCAAACGGGCCAGTGGAAAGGCAAGTTCGTCACGTTGGCTTAACTAGGGGTTCGGAGCAGGCGACCACGCTGCCCAAAATCTTGGGTGTCGTATCTCTTACACCATCATACATCAGGCTGGGCCGCTTTTTGCTAGGTCTCGTCGTATTCCGCTGCACACGTATATAAAGTCTGACGTTGAGGGCCTTGTTGCAACGATATTGGGATTTCGCGAACAGTGAAACATCTTTCGGGCACGCTGCGCATGCAAGCGTTGTGTGGAACTCCAAACACAACTCTAGGTATGACTAATAGAAAATTTATGATCATTGGCCGGAGGCGAGTTTCCATGATCTGTCTCAAGAACCGTAACGTGGTGATGCAGTATACCGTAGACTAGTAGACGTACTAGAACAGTATAGATAGTCAATACTATATGCACATATGATGAACCGTAGTGTCGACAAGTAAACATCGAAACACCGACTCGATGTAGTGATACAAGAGTTCTTAGTAATTGAAGCGAGTTCTTTTGTCCCAGAAGCGCCTAACTCACTACATACTCTGCGAATGCCTTGTCTGAGACATTTGTCGCTAGATGCCTATTATTGGAGAACATGACCGCGAATCCATTCTTACAATCTTACTTCTGACCTTCTACGATAGGTATTTCGTCCAGTGTGTACAATTTGACCTTCAGGCGCTGAATGTGGATTCGAATCGTGGTGTCGAGGTGTCGAGGTGTCGAGGTGCTCTCGCACCGGCATTTTAAGCTTCACCTAGTACACCACATGAAAAAAGTCTCTCCACACTTACCACGCTTCTCTCACTGTCCATGTCATACCGACCTTCACCGAAGGCATCAGCATCACGTGTCAGGCATCCACCCGTGGACAGGCAACCGCCCTCACGTGACCCCTTCCCGCCCCACTAGCGCCTTCTGCCAGTCTATATAAACCCGCCGTCCCCCTCACCCAGTTCTGATCCTTATCCCAGTGCAAGGGCTTTAACTGCGGCAGTGAAGATTCGTCTGAGCTCAGTTTTTTGCTAGTTGAAAACTACAACTATGACTGCTTTTGTTGGCCCTTTGGGTCGGCAAGGAATTTTTGACATGTGGTTCGAGAGGGCCCTCTTCATTGTGTCTGCGGCGTTGCTGGAGGCGCGAGGAAGATGTTGGGGGTTCGTCGTGTTCCATTAGCGGGGTAGGGTTGCTGCAAGCTCTGTTAACGGAGCTGCCAGCGTGAATGAAGTTCAAGGGTGGATGGATCGTGTCTCGTTCTAGTGTATAAGGCTACTCGCGCGCTTCATGTGCATAGGTAGTTGCAATGCGATGTCTTCTTAATTCTTGTGGTTGCGCCCTTCTACAAAATGCATTCTGGAACACATGCTACAACACGCCTCCCAATTCTGATGACCTATTCTACGTCCCTCTCGTTCCTGAGGGAAGCTCTGCCGTATGCTGGCCACCCACCGGACTGCTGACCCCTCCAAGCTCGGCTGTGTTTGGGTGCTGCGGCTGCGCGGTGTACCCAAACTTGGCATCTTGCGCGGCGTATGCGCCCTGCTGGGGCTGCGTTGGTGAGGTCGGCGCACCGTACGGCTGCTGTTGAGGCGGCGGAGAAGTCGGTGCACCGTACGGCTGCTGGTACTGTGGTGTGGGCGAGGTGGGTTGTTGAGCGTATCCTTGCTGACTGTATGCTTGCTGGTTGTAGGTATCATTGACGCCTGGGGGCGCCTGGCCGTAGGATGGGTTTGTGAGCTGTGGCTTCGTTTCGGTGTAGTGCTGCTGTACTCCAGAAGGGCCGAGTGCCGCTCCACCGGTCTGTGGGACATTGCTCTGTTTGTTCTTCTTGCTTCGGCGCATGAGAAGGAACACGATGATTGCAATGAGCGCAATTCCAACAATGGGTCCGACAACAGCCCCGGCAATCCATGCCTTGGATCCAGATGAGCCTCCTTTGTCGGAGTCGGACGATCCGCTGCCAGCGGAAGCTGAACGATATGTTAGTACAGTACCCATCAGAGTGTAGTTTTAGATACGTCGGGCTATGTGTTGTCCATCCTCGGGCAACACAAGGTATTCGAATTCATATCATGGGATACTCACGAGACTCGGTAACCGATGCTGGAACATTTCGATAATAACTCCATACTTGCGATTTATCTCCACAGACGATGTCGGTCTTGGGACTAGAGTCTCCAAAGCTTTCGAAGATGAAGGCCGTGTTGCAAACGCTATAAGTCGCATTGTTGTAATTTTCAGTACTGCCGTACGTCAGCACAAGTAAGTCAACAACTCTTATAAATGTAGGCTTACCAGGCAGTCGTGATGGTTGTACCACTCAATGGGTATATTTGGTTGCCCCTCACGCACGCAGTTGGTGCCGGACAGGCTGTCAAGGTCTCCGCGCAGCATTGTGCATAGTCACCTGGTCCACGGTCAGTTCCACCTGAGCTCCGTAGCACGCGGGTCCACTTACCAGACTGATACCATGTATTTCCTGCATCACATTGCTGTGTAGTCCCTTCGAATTGTTAGATGTCGTTTATAGAGAATGGATCGGTACAGCGTACAGGTCCCGTTGTCCTTCACCCATCCAATCCAGGCGGCATCGGCTTGTCTCGGTAGTATCGCAGGAGGTGTGATTGTGGGATCCGCTGGGATAACATTTGCGAGAGCCACACAGACGATGGACGATAGCAGAGTGATGGGCAATTGGAAGATCATGGTCGAGCGTGAACGTTCCCAGGAACCGGAACGATGGACAAAATCGCGGCGTATAGGGCTGGCTGGCACGAGGTACCTATATACTCCGACGGCTTGCACTGACCCACAGCGAAGCCACCACTCAGTCCATGGTGTGGCTCCACAATCAAGCCTCCTCGGCCGTTCAATGACAGCTCGGCGGACTCGTGGCAGCCAGTGACGAGTGGTCCTGTCCTGCACCGGTGAACAGATACGAAGCAGGGGGCACCTTTCTGGGTATAGTGACATTCGGAGATAGGCTAGTCTGGAGTTGTGGCGCATGGTAGCGCCTCTGGGGCCGTATCTTCCATTTTAGGATGTAACTGCACTACTTAGAGGAGACAAATAGACTTGTACAAGCGCTCGTTAGACCTGATTGAGAAATCGCGATGCGTTCAATCGCAGGTTGAGTCCCTGAACTCTGCCGAGAGTGAATGATTGCGTGGCTACCGTTTCTTGCGTTGAGGATGATCAGGGTGTTTAAAACACGCTCAGCGCAATTGGGCAAGGTTAGGCGAGAATACGAAGTTAGCGGGCATTGAAGGAAATAGGACGGCTGTTGACCTCCGGTACTCGTGTTGGTAAATATCGTCAGGTCGTGTGCAACCTGAGGGAGAACATGTCGCGTAGTAGCCGATTCCGATATCTCGATTAAGGCACACGTTCGGTGTTTCTAATCAACCATGGTCATGGTGTGGAGTAGCTTTGTGAAGCCTCAGGCATCAGCCTCGGCGAGAAAAGTGGATCCTCCCGCCAGAAAATCTCCAGCGGCATGGAAGTGGATATAGAGGGGCGCATCTGGGGCAGGGTCTTCTCTTAAAAAAGATGATCAACGTGATAGATAACAGGCTAGCGACGCGGACTGAATATTCGAGCTGCTGAGTAGGAGCGAGCGCACGCCGTCGGTGAAGAGGGAAAGCACGGACTGCCAGTCGCATTCCACGTCGCCTCCTCACATTGCACGTACATTCTAGATGTCGACTGCACTGCTTACACCGGTTACAACTTTTCGACCTTGGCATAACCTGTATACATCATGGTTTCTGAGGCGAAGCGGCACAGGTTTTTCAACAACGTACCTGGACTTAAGCGTCGGAACGGTAACCACACGCGTGGCAGGCAATCGTTGCGTTTGGACGATTTGCCCGACGACATACTCATTCTTGTGCTCGCGCAGTGTCATGTCGACGATATTTTCGCCCTGCGTCTAACTTGCTCTATCTTCCGCGATGTGTTCTCGACTTACTCGGCCCATATCATACCAGCTGTCGCCCGGTGTACCTTTCCGAGGAGTGGCCTACTTCTAGATCCGCAAACTGCTCCCGTCGGTTACACCTTGACGTGGTTGAAGGACCGCATCCCCATGCAACTGGCAGCTATCTTGGTGGACAGATATCGAATCATCTACGAAGAAGAGCTTGTGGGGTTTCGTCTGGGTATTCCGGCCGAAGATGCACTTGGTTCAGAATTGCGCACCAGAGTAGGCACGGGTTGGCGCATCTTACGTCGACTGTCCAATATCGCCAAGGAGGTGTACTACCTAGACGCGAAAGAAATCCTCTCCCTTTTGCAAAAAAAGACTAGCTGGCTGTTGGCGCACACATCACGTTACGAAACCGAAATTGTCCGGCTAAGGGAAGAGCTGATCTTGCGACGACGGCTGGAGTATGCTGGCTCGATGTCTATTCGCGAGGCACAGGACTACGTCATCACATTCACCTTGCTGTCGGGAGCGTGGAGGGTCAGTAAATCCGATGACCCTAGTACTAAGCACCATCCGACATGGCCCTTCGATTTCGGTCACGGTATCGATGCGCCGAGAACCATACGCAAAGGAGAGTCTTGGGTGACTTGGTTTATTCTCCATCTAGGACCGCAGTTGTTCTGGGAACAATGGTGGCTTCTACCTGCAGAAGCACCGGGAACGATGAACCATGTGCGCGAGTGTGCCATCGAAGCCTTTTTCGCGCCATTGGGTCCTAAGGACTATGCCCCGAATCGCGGAGATGGTTTTGTAGACCCGCACGAAGATTTGCACAACATGCAGCGACAGTGTGCGGAAAAGGTGCAGCGAGTTTTCTATGAGAAGAGTGGCGGAAGGGCGCAAACTATGCATATGATGTACTTTCGAAAGTATTTCCAACAAAGGGGGCCTCCTAATAGAGCCCCGGCGATGGAAGAGACCATGGGGAGCGTTCCTTTCTTCATAAACTTTTCCGCCTACGAGTGTGCAGATGATGCGACACCAAGCGTAGACTGATATAATCTCTTTCATGGAGTCATGAAGAAGAGTAAAGAGACATTGATAGGCTAGGAAATTTAGCTCCAGGCTAGTGGCGTGGGGTCGGAGTGGTAGTGCTCTTTCATGCATGAAAGATTCACAAGTGGAAAGGCTGGGCTGTCGTACCCACGGTGCCGCAGCGTTCACGAATTCGCATACTTTCTGAATACGTCGTGAACATGCAGCGTATGCTGCTCACGTAGGCGAGCTGAGCCCCCTGCTGACAGAAAGGAACCTGCGGGCGACCTGCGTTGTGCCGACTATCATGTGAGGCGCTGCGTACTTCAGTCTCAAGTCAAACTGTGTCGCAGTCTGTTGCCTGCTCACCGTTCGAAATGCCGACTCCAGATGCTGATCGTCCACCGAGTGACAGAAATAGGCATTCGAAAACGGCAAGAGCGGTTGGACAAAACGGCTGCACCTGCATGCAGGCGGATATGAAGGATCGGCGGTAGTTGACGGGTCCCAGCCAAATTCGCACGGATTGCAGATGCAGCCTCTGTCTGCCGTGACAGTTCGTGTGGCAAAACACGAAGACAGATGCGGGAAACTTTGTTCTGTTTCATGGAAGTCGGCAACGAAAGGCGCTGCGCTGTACTTGGGCTGTCCTGCAATAAAGGCTGTCCGCAAGCAGATGGGGCGTTCGTATCCATCACGGAACATTTGCCTCATTGGTGGTGGTGCTTTTGCTGATGGCCGCGGCGGAGGCCTGACAGCAGTGCAACACGGCGATGAACGAAGCGACGAAGCACGGCGGGTGGTGAGCGCGCATCATCGGCAGCGATGCACGCCGTGAGGCCCTATCATGCAGACGCCCTGGTGCGAGGTGGTGTGCAGCCCCTCAATGTCATTGTAGCCTTTCGCCTTTCAGCCCTGCCTCGCGTCGTAGCGTTTCGAGGCTGCAGGGGGCGTTGTTCCAGGGCCGTTCTAGTGCAATGGGACCCGCGTTATTTGCTGGCCGTCGTTCGCCTGTCGAGCAGAGAGGCTCTGTCTCTGGCCATGGTGTTCTCAGCCTCCACGAGTGCAGCAGCCTGAGGATAGATATGAACCGCCCGACGTTACATTGTGCGCGCAATGGGGAAATAAGAACGGAGACCTGGGGACTCCAAGTGGACTGCACGTGACGGCTGTTCTATAATTAAACTTGCTAGCTGCTTGTTTGGGCGCCATGGATCAGCGCCCCAGTGTGGGCCAGCAGACGGCAAAGGATAGTGGATGCATACGACGGTGATCTCGCGGCCAAGATCTGACGCTACTCGCTTGCCTCGGACTGAACGCCTTCGCTGCCGCTGGCTTCACTGCTGTCTTCTCCATGGGTAGCTGAGAAAACAACTCGCCGGAATGCTCTGCACACCGTCACCACCGCCGCCCTGAACCACCGCCACGCTCACGTCGCCCATCGCCGTCCCAGGCCGCGAGCTGCCCCCAGAAGATGGTGGGGACGAGAGCACCGCACGAACACGGACCTACGCTGGCCATCCAGACAGACTACAGGGGAAAGGCGCCTGCTGGCCATGACCGCAGAGGCGAGTCTGCGCGGGACGTCTACGGACGCTCGCGCAACGCGTCGGTGAGCTCTGCGGACGAGGAGGACCAAGTCCACACGCACCTGTCGGCCTCGTCTGCCGGTAACACGGACATTTCGTCGTCGAGTGGCATATCCGCGAACTCGACCGCCCGCACCTCGACCATGACTGACGACGACCGGCCCAGCGCTGTGGGGCCTACGAGCCCCTCGCAGCACGCACACCCCGCACTCACCGTCCTCGAACTCGTCTCCAACACGGCCTCCTCGTCGGCCCTGCCCGATGCATTCGACTTCAACGTCTCGCGGAAGGGCAACTTTGTCGCTGTCTACTCGTCGTCCAACATCTGGCTGATCAAGACTACACAGCTCCCTCGGCTATGGGCGCGCACTCTGCAGGTCAAGCGCAAGCCTGTAGCCATCGACATCTCAGAAGATGGCTTCTTGTTAGCAGTCTTGTCGCGACCGTCGCAGGTCGACCTGTACGAGATACATGGCGAGCAAGATCGCCAGATCAAGAAGAGGCGGACCGTGGCTCTGGTGCATGAGGCTGCGTCCGTTGCCATGTCACCCGACGGCCTCATCATGATCACAGGAAACAAGTTCGGCATCGAGGTCACTGCCATTGGCACCAATGCCCCTGAAACGGCTCATCGCACCCTCACAGGGCCAGTGGGCGACACCCTCGAATTCTCCGACGACGGCCGCACGCTGCTCATCACGAGTTACGCACGTAAATCCGCAAATTCCTCCCTCTATCTCTTGCCTGGCCTCTTCGACGGACCGCTCAACGAGGAGGGAGTGCCTATCCCGGAATCGCCAGACACCCTTTGGACGGGTTCGATGCTCTTTCCGGAAACCGCAAAGATAGCGCGGCAAGCCACGCTCCTTCCAGATGCAGACACGGGCCACGTCAGCGAGCTCTTTGCATTCAATGCGCAGGAAGACACATGGGGGGTGTACGATATTGCGACGAAGCGTTTTACCCAGCGGAAGATGTTCTTGCCTGATCAGCAGCGATGGACGCGGTCCGAATTTGTCGACGATGCCATGCCCGCCGTTTCTCCCAATGCCGACTTGGCTGCAGTCTCGCTCAGGATGCGCGGCACTACCAGCATCTGGATTTATCAAGTTCCTGAATGGGATTTCCAATCGACCACCAAATCCGATCTTTCACCTATCCAGCCATGCTTTTGCATCCCAATACTAAGCGACAGCCCCGACACCTATCAGGAAATTTGCGTTCTGCGATGGGTGACGATCAATTCGAAAGTACAGCGTCTGATCGCAGTTGGAAATTCCAGCACCCTGTCAGCGGACGAAGTGCCAGACGCTTCAGCGGGATCAAGAGGTGTCGTGATCGTTCTGGATTTTGATAAGTCGAAGCCTGCTGGTAGTCCTATACCACGACCTACGAAAACCGAGTATGATCTAGATCCGCTTTGCCCAGGAGAGATGCTGCCAGAAGGGTCAATTGACTTTGAGCGTGAAGTGGAGCTAGTGAGGACCAGAACGTTGGCCCAACGTCGAGCTCAGGATGCCAATAACAGTGGTAGCCGCCGGAACTCCAGGATTGGCTCCGCACCCATTCGTGCGCGCACTTCGGCTACCAGAGAACGTCCTACATCCATTCGCCGACCCACCGATGAGGACGAGCTGACCGCCGAAGAAGCCCAAGCTGCTTTCGAGATGCCCTACGACAACCAGCAGCCAAGGTCGCAGATGTCACTTGCAAGAGCCGCTACCGTAGCTGCAGTGTCTCCTGCCAACAGGCGGCATCTTAGAGCCCTTCCTTTCCGACCATTGGAGTACCGACGAGCCGATGGCATGCGAGAAATGCCTCATGAGAGTGATGCTGACAACTGGGTTCCACCACCGCCAGCATACACTGCTACCGCAGAAGCCTCTCAAAGTGTCAGCCTAAGTCATCCCGATGGGGCACCTGTTTCAAGCGCCTCAGGTACCTCAGCTAGTATCACCGAGCCCGCAATACCTCCAGTTCCTGCTCTACCAACGAACCTGGCGCGGTTCATGCCTCCCGTGGCACCAACTCATCCCTACCAGTCTCGAGGAGCTATGCAGTCGCAGTCATCGACCGACCTACCATCGACATGGACAATTTCACCAACCTTCGTCACGCCTCCGCAACAGCGTCGCCCGTCCCTTTTACATCCTACTACATTTCCCAGCCCAGAAAACTCGAACTCAGGTCGGAGGCGTAGTTCTACTGCTAGCCGCACGCCTACGCCACATATTGCTCCTCAAATGCCTAGGGTCCCATCGCAGCACCAATCCGCATACCGCGCAACAGCATCGCACTACAACAACCCAACGCGGCCGAACACCCGCCCTAGCCTTCGAGCACGCAGGGTCATCGAGAGTACAGTCGACCTGCGCCCCCCGCCTATCGTTGACCCTTCCAATGGCCGTAGAGGTTCTGCTCCAGCTGTGGGTCACATCCCGCGCAGACCCCTACCTGCAGGCGCATCGCCTAATCGTGTGAGCATGCCGCCACCGAATGCCAGGCGCAGCCTCCTCCCACGACTGACGACGCGAAATGATGCGACATCGCAATACGGCGTTGGGCCACTCTCTGCGCCGCCAGGCGTGGGCCCTGGACACGCGAGGGCGCCTTCAAGATTGACTTTTAGAGGAAACGCTGGCGAGAAAACGGGTAGTCCGAAGAAGAAAATCAACTGCGTTGTTATGTAGGCGCCGACCTTGTTGATCTGAGATGTGGGATTCGGAGTTGACGTGATATTGAGATTTGTCTGGCGTCGAGGAGTGCATTATATACCCACCGGTGTTTCTGGCGCGTTATCGCGAAGCGGAAGATTTATTTCCTGAGATAGGGAGACGCGCAGGCCGAAGTGGAGAACAGCGACACAGCGAGTAGTCTAGATTGGCTGCGTGTCGAAACGAATTCGAGTTTCTTTTGTGACCACTTACCGTCCTATTGCAACAGGTGAAGACGTATTTGAGATGTCGCGATAACGATGGAAGCGGCAGTAACGCAGGAGTGGCACAGCGTCGATTGCGTGATGTTCCTTCTAACCATGGCGCAATATGCACCAACAAATGCGCAAACCCTGATGGACAGCTCGTCCTATAAGAGAACAGTCTGCGCCTTTTCATGATTTGCATGGTTTCATACTCGATCACAGTCGAATCTGGAATATTGGATGGAAGACGTGTAAACAGCCAGCTCAGCAACCCGTATGAAGCGAGGACAAAAAAGGAACTTGCCAGGGCGACACAAAAGACAAAACTCCAAAAAAGAAGATGAAGGAAGCGGCGAACCAGAATTGAACTGGTGACCTTCAGGAACCACGAGTTTGGTGACTGCAGCCCGCTGCTCTACCACTGAGCTACCGCCGCGGTTGATGTTATTGATGACGATGAATACAATAATATAATATATATTGACAACGAGTTGAAAAGTCAAGAATAGGTGGGTGACGAAGAATTCGAGTGCTAGTGATGAGGCCGAAGCGAGTGGCGAGGGTGGGGCTTAGTGCAGACTTGAGAGCACCAATACCGAGCCGAGGCATAAGCGATTAGACATCTTACTTGCTGGTTGGTTGGAAATACCGGGCGGTTCATACAAGCCGATCGAGTGTACGGTCTCGACGACTCCAGCTGCTTTGGACGCCTCCCGCTCCGTCGCTTATGCTGATAGCTCAACAGGTGACATGTTCAATTCCATCGAAAAGATAATCGCCCAATGGTATGCACTGCTTATTGCAAGCGCGAAGTAAGCGTCATCACTCCAATCCAGACGTCTCAAAAGCTGTCATGATTCATATGCAAATGTATCTATCAGTCCGGTCGCCAGTTCATCACCAACTGCGACCGTGGGTATATCTGTCATGCTCTCCAGCTTCTCGTGCAATTTCACCGTTCCTTCAACTTTTCTTCCTCGGTTTTGGGTTTTCTTTACGCCCATTTACCTAACAAAGACATAATCGCCATGCCCGCGATCAAGCAAAACATGGCGACCCCCGTCCTCAGCACGCCTGCACTCACAAGCCCACCATGCAGCCAATCTCTCGCCAGCATCTCGTGGATGCCCACCCACGCCAGAATACCCGCACTCAGCGCATCCAGCGTGCCAATAGCGATAAGCGTCGAGGGGTCGCTTCCGTTGAACTTGTCGAGGACACCGATGCCGATGGCCATACCGATCGGCGTGACAAGGGTGAAACCAGCCGCCATGAGGCATTTTGAAAGCATGGAGGCAGCCATGGGTGGCAGGGCTGCGATGCAGGTTCCGAGCGCGAGGCCTTCGAACATTTGGTGGAAGAGAATGACGATGAAAAGGGTGATGAAGAAGGCATCGCCCGAGACGACGAGGGTGATTCCGATGACTGTTCCACATCAGTTTGAGCGCAGCAGTTGAAGGGGAAGAGACGTACGGAGAGAGTGGAAGATGATACCCGCTTCCAGCACAAGGACATTGATCTTCGCGTCTGCGTCGCTGTGCAGATCTACGTGCCCGTCGGACCCGTGAGACGTGATAACGGCGCTATTAGCAGGGCTAGCAGTCTTTGCATCGCCGGTGGGAGGGGCAGTGGCTTCGGCGTCCTGTCCGCTTCTTTTGCTCTGCCGCCAGAGCAGGAAGCGCTTGCTAATGTAGTCGACAAGGAACGAGAGGAACAGTCCAGCCATGAAGATGGCCGCTGTAGTAGCCTCATAGGGCAACTCGGGCATGCATTCGTTGCTGAACATGAGTTCCGCGTGTGTGAAGAGCTATTTCGAATCAGCGTTTTGATTTTTTGGATCTCGTGGCCTGAACATACATGCACAAAAGCCGTCGAAATGATGACACCGGTGCCGAACTGCTTCGCAGCCACAAAGACTAGGCTTCGCTGCGACATACGCGTGAACCTTGTCATAATGATTGGTGCGAAGGCCCCCAGACCACTGGTCACAAGTATGACGAAGAGAAGCCCTATACGGAGGGGTTTGTTGTAAGTGCGCTCAATACGCTGGCAGGTAGCCTCTGTTTCTGATTCACTCCCGCCAACACAGTGCCTAAAAGGTTTAGAACGATGGATAGTACCTTTCGTGGGAACAGGTTACTCACGGGACACCTGCATGCTCGTGGCAATGTAATTCTTCATTTGCATCGCCCTCTTCGGTTTCGCCTTCATCGGCATGTTCGTCCTCGCCTTCTGTAGCCTCTGCACCTTCGACAAGGATCTGGACATCATCGCCTGCAGAGTTGACACAGTAACTGCGAAGATTAGCCATGCAAGCTGAGCAGTTGTAAAAATCATGACCCACGTGCTGCTGCCATGCGTATGGCAGTCGGTGTACTGTGCCTCAAACTCTTCGGTTGCTGTAGGTCCTACGACCTCATATTCTGCAGTACCAGCTACGCAATATCTGTATGTGTCAGAAATGCGACTTCTTTGTGGTGGTAAAATCACTTACTGTACGGTAGCATGAGCATGGCAATCTGAAACTGCCGTGATCGAAGGCGCTGCCGCGGAAGTCGTTGTCGGCGCTGAAGTGATAGTCTGTGCAACAACACTTGTGGAAAGTAAGACCAGCGCGGCCGAGGCCACAAATTTGGTATTTGAAAGCATTGTATAGAAGTATGACGCTCCAGTCGTTCCCGTAACCGCGTGTCGAATATTGCAGCTGCAAACAAGTAACGAACAAACACCACCAATCTCGAGATTCAAGAATATAAGTTTCCGCTACTGGGAGTACACTAATGGAGAAATGTCGTTTCCGCCCACGCCAGGTTGCTCTGCCAAGCGCAGCGCATACCATGATGGCCTTCCAAGAACTTGGCGCAAAGAGCTTCATTCGGTCGGACTGCTGAATTCTCTCTCGGGCGCACCGAATCTTGGCATTGTCCTTCCTACAGTGGGGAATTAGCGTCCGCCGTTGGTCTTGGGGTGGGCTTGGCGGTGAATGGGGCGTGGGTAGGACTTCACTGTGGGCCGATTGGGATGCGCTTGAGCCGATACCCGGGTGAGAAAACACACGTTCTAGTAGAAATGTGTGTCATAGATCTATTGCAAAGAGGTAAAAAGAAATGGGTGGGGTTCGCAATGCTAAACGAAGTCGAGGGTATCTTTCTTTAGAGTGGGAGAATAGCAAAAAGACAGGAAGACAGGCAGTACAGCAATCGGACCATGTACTGCGCACATGTCTGAAGAGTCTATAAGTGAATAACGTAGTCTACAAAATCATGTTGTAGTAGGCAAAGAGAGCGCATCTGACTTCCTGAATAGACCACTGTCTCCAATACTGTCAGCTGGTTGGCAGTTGTTGCGGGCTCCACCATTGCTGGGCGTGAAAAACCGTTCCCGTTCGCTCTGGACATCATGGTACTTGTATACCGCCACCTTCGACATTGATCAAGGCTTTCTTGACTTTTCGGTCTTGGCTGGTCGTGATGAGCTTAGCGAATGCTACGCCTCGCTCTTTGGCTTCCCAACACTCGGTATGGATGACAGGGAAGAACCATCACGGTGGTCAAAAGTAGATCCCAAGCAGAAGCCTAGTGGACTATCAGTCTCGGCGCCGAAGTGACGTGACGTGAGGCCGGAAAAGGCAGAATAGCGTGGGTTTACCTTGAAAAGTATAAGAAGCATTGTACCTGCAGCAAAACTCAATCAGCATCGGATTGATTCGCCAACTCAAGACCTACACTCAATCAATACTCACAATGGCTATCATTCGATCGACTATCCTCCTCTTCGCTGCCTCGGCTGTTGCCTCGCCAGCTCTGCTTCCCCGCCAGGCCAGCACTGTGACCGTCACCCAGACGGCGTCTGCTGCATCTCCTACGTCTTCTGCATGGAACTCTGGGGCTGTTGATAACTTCCCCATCCATTCTTCATGCAACGCAACAGAGGCTGCTCAGATCAAGAAGGGTCTTGGGGAAACGCTGACCATTGTGCGACACGCACGTGATCACATCCTGCGATGGGGCAACTCGAGCGAGATCTACCAGAAATACTTCGGCAATGCCAGCACTGGTGAGCCAATTGGCTGGTATACCAAGATCGCCGACGGCGATAAGGCAGGCGTGTTGTTCCGATGCGACAACCCCGATGGTAACTGCGAGCAAGAAGGTGAGCTCTATCCAGACCGTAGCGCGTATTCAAGCACTGACATGATGCAGGTTGGGCTGGCCATTGGCGTGGTGAAAACGCTACCTCGGAGACTGTGATCTGTCCGCTCTCATATGAAGTACGCAGGCCTCTCGAGGCGCTGTGCGGCTTTGGCTGGGACGTCGCCAATGGTGCGACCAACTTTTACTGGGCGTCTGATCTGCTGCACCGTCTCCTTCACATTCCTAAGGTTGGTGAAGGTATTGTCGAGCATTATGCGGAAGACTACGCAAGCGTCATTGAGCTTGCGCAAACAGAGTCCGACCTCTCTGTGAGGGACAGCGATACGCTGCAATTGTTCGCTCTTGAAGCGTACGCACACGACATTGCGATTCCCGGCGAAGGCTGTGCTGGAAAATATACCGCTACAAGCTCCGAGGCTGCGAGTGCAACCAGTGCAGCTGCGAGCTCCAGCAGTGTCGAGGCTGCAAGCGCGACCGAGACGCCTTCGCCCACTCTGAGCGAAGCTCCCTCAGCAACTTCGGCTGCGGCTGCGGTAAGTGTTGAGGTACTGCCAGAAACATAGTGACCATCGCTGACATATACCAGGAGTGCCACACTCACGCTGACGGTGTAGTGCACTGCGTTTAAGTATTATAAGGATTGCGGTGTAGACACCTATGATAGATGATATATACCACGAATGTAATGGCTTTACAAACACTACTCAGAACATTCAAATTTCATGATGTTACGAGAATTCGCTCTTCATATTGACAAGACCAAAAAGTTTACATTCACCCTCAGCTATGGGTGCGAGTGTTGATCCTCTGAATGCTTATTCTTGCTGGCATTCATAAGTTTCCTTCTGAATTCACGGCTGACTCCACAGCAGCCCGTTGAATCATTTGATTCTCCGTTAGCAAGCCCTCGCATGACCTGACACTAAGCTAGTTGGTCTGCAGTCTTGGGGCACTCGCTCTTTATGCCCAGAGACGCTGCATTGTTAATAACGCCACGGAGCGTAAGAAAGCGCTAAAGTCTCCATTTCTGCAACTGCTCAGGGACGTTGAGACATGCTTCAAAGACTCGTACGAACCATATCTTATCTGTGTGCTCAGAGAACGTATCTATCCTAAACACCTCAAGTGGCAGCCACATCGAATTCGAATTGCGCCTTTGCATCGTTTCCGTCCTTGTTCTAGCCACTGTATCCGTTACATTCTGTGCTGGGTTGCGGTTCTTATAATATGTCACGGATATGATGGATGAATGTGGATCAGACAACTGACTCTAGTGGTGCTGACGTGTCTAAATCGATGTCATCGATAGCCGCTGTCGATACCTATTTGAATGGTTTATGCTAAACTAAAAGCTATTTAAGGGAGTTGCTGGGCTGGTGCGGCCGACCTAAATCATGAACGACTCCAGCTGGTTGTGATAGATTGCCAGGCACCAGCGGAACCTCGTGACTGGCTTTGGAGGCACTTGTACCAAGATGATCTAGGTAAAGATCATCGTTGCTGGCAGGCTTACTTGATCCTCGCGATATCCTACTTCGCACACTTCGAAGCACCGAGTCCACTGACTGATCCTGGAACAATGCACGGAGAGTGGGAAGGCAAGACGCGACGATTCCGAATGACACTTCCAGCATACACCAGAACAAAAGTGTGGTAATGAGAACTGTTTCTTTCAGTGTTGCCGAACCTCAGCTACTAGAGCAAAACTTACGGTCTTCATCCAATGATGGATCGAATCCAACTTTTCGGGCCCAAATCACCCAGATCAATCTGACCATAGAAGCAATGACAGCGCTATGCTTGTTAGCTTTGTTAGCAGAAGGTTGTTGCTTGACTCACAGTGCTCCAAGCATGAAGACTAACAACACACCAAGCTTTCGACGTGTGGGCAACCGTAAGGCGGCGACCTAACAATATTAACGTGACATCTCTCGAAAATGATTGAGAAACAGACCGACGGTAAAGGAAGAGCGAGCACGATCACATCGGTAACGAAGTCAGAGACTGCGAACGCAAAAAGAAGCTCCAGGGTATTGACGCAGTTAGTGATCAGACTCGCTGCTGATGTCCACCAGGCAGCGAAGTGTCCCTTACATGCAAACATGTAAGAGAAGCAGAAGGATGCAGTCCAAAGCGAAAGAATGCCTATCATGCCTATGTATACAATGTTGAGAATATCTTTTGGATTACTCTTTTCGATCACGAAGATGCGTCGGTAGAAGAAGAGGACACTCATTTTGATGGCGCCCAATGTAGGCACATATATGAGGAGGAAGATGTACTGGAGCTGCGCAGTCATCAGAGATGGTCGTTCTGCGGATGACGATGCTTACACGGGAAGATATGATGATCTTATCGTTCGACTCGGTGATAGATGTTCTATTACGCAGCGTCGGTACCGGGGTTGAATACGCCAACGCCTTCTGCGCTACTCCTGTGCTGATTTAGAGGTACACGACTCCATAGCCTTCTTTCTTACCAATGAACAGTATGATACCAAGACCACAAGCTAAAACCAGTGATATGAAACTAAACCAGTCATCTGCTCTCAATGGTTGCTTTTTGATTCTCCTGGCTCGGTATCTCAGAACGACCGCAACGAAGTCTAATGCAAGCAGAAGACTGGTCACGCCAACTACCGTGCCTGGTGATTGAGTTGCCATCAACATCGCGGGCAAGAAGAGTGGTAGGCACAGCTGCGTATAACGAAGATGGATTGATCAAGATTTCCACAACAGGAGTGGGCCAATTCGCTTTTAGGGCCACGTCTAGGCCACTCAGATAGCGTTTCAGGGTGGGAGAAGATCTCGGCGGCAGTCATCATTCTTCTCGGACTCCGAATTTGACAGCTGCAATATATTCCTCCGTCTACAGAATTGTGCTACGTTCCGTACAGGAAGGTAACATTGATCTTTATGCTTGCATCGGGCGTAGGACTGACCCAAACGTAGAAGCCTTAGCTTAATCTGCACAAGAGCTGCAACTGATACATACCTTAGTATCCTTTGGAGGGAAGGGAGAGGGAGCGGGAGCGGGCCGTAACGCTGAGGCTAATCTTTTCCCATCTGGTATCAACTCCCTGCATTTCTCGCATACCTAGGCGCAGGCGTTGAAAACGTCAACTCTCAAAATAGTACGAAGTACCGGAACTGACCCATGGAGTTGTCAATTCAGTTAGTCCGGAAATCAAATTATCCAACTAGACAGTACCTCTGGTACATCTTGCACGGAACCGGCTTGTGCTTATTGACGCACCACTTTCTGTATCTATTACGACCCTGTCCGGAGTTCATATGCCTCCGGTTTTAAAGAGTGTATACTCTGATATATTAAATTGCGTGTCATAGATGCGCCCGTGACATGATCTGCAGCATCCGCAAGGCAACCACAGGTATGTTTGCGCCCCGTTGCCTACAAGGTCGCGATTATGCACAATTGAGGCACAGCAGTCGCTTGTTACGCGATTGGACGGATGTTGACTGGAGTTTATTTGCAGGCAAACGCAATACCGACCATATGGACACTGGCTAAATTGTACGCGAACCAAACGGCGCACACAACCTTGGGCCGAAGATCGACCGACCAGAACTCTCAATCACAGCATTGATGTGGCGTAACAACACGCCTAGGCCTCAGCCTTGGGCCTTATCTGCTACTGGAAGAGTTCCGATGGCCGTACTACGTATGTCTATCGTCAGCTATCGTCGTGGAAAGTTCGAGAGGTATCGTGCGGCACCCGGTCCCTCTCACACCTCCGCTCGGTCTTGCTCATCTTCTTTTTGCAAGTATCTTGTCCAAGGCTCGTCGCCTAAAGATGGCGCAATTAAGTTCTACTGTTGTTGTGCTATCCGCCTTACTTTACGTGGGTTGGAAGATTGCATTGTTGGTTGGCTACAAATTAGCACTCCGTCGCCATGGCTGTCAAGAAGCACCCAAGTATCGTCACAAAGACCCTTTCATGGGACTCGACTACTTCTTTGGTTTCATAAACGCCTTCAAAGGTGGATACCTTCTGGATTTCAATAAATCTGGATTCGACGAGTATGGCAAGACATTGTCGGTGAACTCTTTCGGAACGAGAATTTTCAAGACTATCGACCCAGAAGTGTCCAAGGCCGTACATGCAACTTATTTCGCCAACTTTGGTCTTCAAGGTCTTCGTTACGACACGGCCACACATCTTTGGGGTAACGGGATTATTGTGGTCGACGGTCCCCACTGGAAGCATGGAAGAGCACTCATGAGACCTTCTTTTGAAGTGGTCCATCTGGCAAACATGGAACGGCTGCGAAAGCATACGGACAAGTTTCTCAATCTTGTCCCGAATGACGGTTCTACAGTCGACCTTGCCCCCCTCTTCAAAAGACTAGTACGTACTAAGCGAGCCTTTTTCGCAGAATCTTGCGCTAGCCGACGTGGATGAAACTCGCCGGAGCACGATGAACGCTGACATGATCAGATATTAGACACCACCAGCGAATTTATTTTCGGAGAAGCTATGGGCGCTCTTGAAGATTCCAAGCAATGCAAGACTTTCATGAATGCTTTCGAGTACGCCCAGCGAGGCACTGGCATTCGCTCTGTTCTCGGTCGCCTCAAATTTCTTCATCGCGATAAGAAGTGGTGGGAGGCCTGTAAGGAAGTGACTGATTACGCGGACAAGCACGTCGATCTGGCGTTGGAGCGCTTGAGTCGCAGGGAAAACGATGCTCAGTCAAGACCCGAATCAGATCGTATAAGATTGGTAGACGAAATGGCACGCGACACTCAAGATAGAGTCACCTTGCGCTCCCATATCATCAGCGTTTTCAGCCCAGCGCACGATGGAGCTGCCACTGTACTCACCAATGTGGTTTTCCACTTGGCGCGGCACCCCAATGTATGGGATCAATTGAAGAAGGAAATTGAGCCAACGAAAGACAACTTGTTGACTTACGAGCTGCTGAACTCGTACCAGTACCTAGAATGGGTGCTGAAGGAAAGTGAGTCACACCTTGGCTAGCAAAGAAGACAAAGTGCAATGACTGATCAACGTTCAGCACATCGTTTGACCACTATTGCAACGACCAACCAGCGACAATGCATCAGAACTACTATACTACCTTTCGGTGGTGGACATGACGGCAAAGCTCCACTCTACGTGAGAAAGGGTGACCTGGTGGAGATCAATTACCGCGCAATGGGGAGAGACAAGTCTTTTTGGGGCAGCGATGCTGATAGTTTCAGGCCAGAACGCTGGAAACTTGTGCGTCCTGGCTGGGAATATACCCCTTTCGGTGGTGGGCCACGCTCTTGCCCAGGTATGCGTCTTGTCTTCACTGAAAGCGCGTACGTGCTTGTGACCTTGTTGAGGAAGTTCGACGGGCTCACGAATCGGGATCCAGAGATTGAATGGAAAGAAGAATTTCGCCTCACAGTCCAGAGCAAGAACGGTTGTCTTGTGGCACTGAACCCCATAGGTCTTTAGATAAATCAAGCAGCAGAGGCTTGATTCTAACTTAACTGAACAACATTTACTTAAAGGGCCCGAAGAGTATCACATGATCTGGATCAAAATGGCCGTTTACAATACATGTTCTTCAGCCGTTGTAAAGCCAGACTTTGCAAAGAACATTCAGGGTCGGCAAAGGTTATACCGCTATCGGTCAACTGCGCGACAGGATTTGACATCATACTGACAAAGAGGACGCTTATAAACACAAGACTATATTTTCTCGGCTCGATGAGCGTGAAGAACACATCAAATTGGACTAAGTAATTGGATCGCACAATATTATTCGAGGAAGCTGGCAAGCGTGGGATGCTTGATCAGGCTACACCTCCAACCACATTAGAAGACACAGCGTTTCCCTTTATCCCTCGCATCAATCGTACCCTCAGGAACGGGAGCTACAGTATTGATCAATGGTGTATGAACAGTCGGCACGTACATTCTCACCATGGAGACAGACGTCTGGCTCGACTACCTCTGCATCTAAGTCATCTGAATCAGCGAATATCTGCTAAGAAAAACAGGTTTAACGTACTCGGTACAGGTTGAGCAAAGACGACGACAGTGCTAAACAGCATCGTTGCTAGGGTAGTCAACATAAATAGGCGCATTGTGAGTACGAGGGACTGGACGAGTAGAGAGGTGCGCAATTAAGGTAGAGAAGATAGCTTAATAGAAGCTGCAGAACATGTATGAACACAAGGGTCGAGCGTTATATAGTGACTTCATTCACCGAGCAAGTTCTGTAGAGGATCGGCCCCACCGGTCACAAGCAAGACTCACCCTCGCGATCGTGGACATCGATACGAACGGGCGTGTGCATATAGAGTGCTGAAATACCGTTTCCGGAACCAGGATCAGACCTTGCATTGCACGAGTAGTCTATCTCAGGTGGCCAGGGGTGCAGCAGGTAAGGTCCTATTAAAAGGAACTTTTCCCCCGATCTCCAGCCCAACAGTGGGTCGAAGTAGACTGAATCAATCTATTCCGCATGGATTCAATGTCGGATTAAAGTGGCGGCCCGTACCGTAGCGCTCTTGATAAGTTCACTGCGTCTCCAAGGTACAGTAAAACCTGTGGTTCCGAAGCAGCACAAACAGCCACTCTGAACCCAGCCAAAACCATCACAGCCATTCTTTTTCGGTTACCCAATCATCCTCCTCTAAGGTGCAGTTATGGAAACGAATTGTCGGTGAGTGTCATTCCTTGTAAATGATGGATATCATGAGTGCAGCAAGGCCCCCACACCTCATCTCACTCGTGCACCTGGCCGCGCAAAGAGTTTGCCTTGTAGCTTGGGTCATATGTGTGTTATCAAATTCGGACCGGACTTTGCAATCCACAGTGGTGATCGTTAGCTAGCATGCCTGCCATCCGTTGCGGCACAGTCGTGACAACGGCGTCGTCCGGACAGAGAAAATGTCCGGGTCAAAAGCTCATCCGCATGTCCCATCCCACCAGAAAACGCTCCTTCCGCCCGTCGCTTAGCTGATGCGTGTGCGACTTCTTCTAGAAGTTTGAAACTTCACAAACCCTTGGTACATATACCCACAACTCGACAGCATGGAGAACGAGAAGCTCCTGCAATGCGATGAACATTCTGCTTGCAGACTAGAAAACATACGTACATGCTCAAAGAGCCCTATTCACCGTGCTCAGCATAGAAAATTCGCATTGCGGCTCCATATCACACTTTGCTGTCTTCTTTTCTTGAACATAATACTCTTGGCTTCAACCGTCACAATCCTTGCCTTTTCAAACGGACGATATTCCTCAATGGACGAGCCCTACAGTGAGATATCACTCCCAACCCCACATGGAGTCAAACTGATTCTCCGAAGCGCCGGCCCAAGATTCAGTTCAGTATATCGTTGAGAAACAGCATGTCACAACGAACCACTCAGAGTACACTCAATTCTCAGGCCCACCGAGTCCCGAGAACAATCAAGCATGGGAACGATTGATCCAACGTGAGTGGAAATCCCTAGAGACACCTAGAGACAAGGAAGGCACTGACAACACCCTTAGCTACATACTTTTCGGCCACAGATGAGGAAATCCGATTGTCTGGTGACACAGTTGAGGATTCTGTGGAGCTTGCGGCCGGGGGACGCCTTGCAGCTTTAGGTATATATCACGAACTTCATTGTCTGGTAAGGCTGCTTGCGCAGTGACCACACCTCTTACCCGGGAATAAAGTTGCTAAGTTTAACAGAGGAGGTTACGACTTTTCATCTACAAAGAAACCTACTATCCGCATTTGACCGAAGAGAATATAGATTATCTCCACGGACACATGGGTCAGTATCATCCATCTCGTCTTCCTCTTTCATACCATTGGTTCAGCTGAAACTATACGAGCCGATGGTAATAACACGTACTCAGATCACTGCCTCGAGTCCCTTCGCGTCTCGCTCATGTGCAAAGCGAACCTCGGCGTTTACACGTTTCGCTGGGAAAACAACGCAGACCCCGATCGCCCTCTACCGAAATCGAAAGCCGAGCGCAAGTGCGTGGACTGGAATTTATTGGAGAGGTGGGCTTGGTCAAGGAAAGTAGAGCTTCGACCTACGTTACTGAGGGAGACCGGTGAAGCCGAAGTTATCCACATGTGATGCGATAGGTTTATGGAACAAGTTGTGAGGTTAGTGGGAGTGTCGGGGTTTGAAAGGGTCTTACCAGCCAGGGTTTGATACTACACCAATAGTATCATGTACATATCGTAGTGCTGAAGTAAGCATGAAAATTGAATGTCTTTGTGCACTTCTCCCTTCGGGATCGTTCACTCTCGCTGTCACCCATAACACAATGAAGTTTTTGGTGTTCCTCTGGCTCATTCCATGTAAGCTCCTCAACAATACCCCAAGATATATGTCGGCTAAATACAAGCTTCGGGGGACGGACCTCTATATACTCACGTGACATTCAATGAGAGCCCCTACTTTGTATAATCGATTGCGCTGACATTATACAACCGCAAAATATCTGCCGTCTGTTTGCAGGGAATTGACACGGAGGCCCTGTAGGGGCGGGAAGACATCTCCGCTCTATCCAAGGCTGTGGAGATGTTCTTCCGGAATTTTCTAAACAGGGGGTTTTACTCTAGAGCATGTTTGTAGAAGCATCTATTGGCGCTATTATGGCGATCCAAACTGGAGGGCGTTATTGATTGCTCGAAAGCTAGTAGCGATATCGTGGGACAACCTGTACATGTAGATATGGTTTATACTACATCAAAGAACCATTCATATAAGATAAAAGGAACGCCATGTGCCCGATGAAGACACCTAGAGCCGGAGCATAAATCAGCCCGGACGCAAGGCATCTTTGGGTAAAAAGTATACATACACTAGCCCAATTGTCTTAGAAGGCCAAAACCTTTCTTACCGCAGTCACTCCCAACCGATGAGAATAACTCATAGCTTTCAGCCCGGCATCTGACGACACAGATGTTGCCTATCCGGGTCAACGCCAAGTATTGGAAGCCTCCATGATGTCGTTGCAGCCAATGAATATATTCCTCAGCGTTGGGGCCAAGGTGGTTCGCACGGCATTGCGGTGGTAGCACGACATGGCTGGCGTAGAGTTTGTGAAACACTCAAAAAGGGCTGTGGTGGGAAGGAAATGAGGATTTTTCTCTCAGTCAGGGTGGTATCCCTGTCGGACTGTCGGCTCCGGTCTCGTCGTTTTGAACACGACTGGACGCTCCTTTATTAAACGCGTATGATTCGAGCATGAGCGGCCGCCCCCCACCATCTACAGCTCAGCGCCCAGATGCCACTGCATCGCATATCTAATGAACGTATGTTGAGCCTTGTGTCTGGGCACGTTAGTGCCAATGTTGGGGGTTGAGTATGGCGCGCAGGGCCCGGCTGATTTCTAGAACCGGAACGTGTCCCAGTTGTAGAAGAATTGGCAGAACGCTGAACAAAAGAGGTCTGGATGCTCCTTTCTAGGGTTGCAAGTCTGCGAAGAACCTCGCGATGGAGCCCTTCGTGCGAACGCTCGCTCTGGCAACGGGAGGTCGGTCGAGTTAGAGGTCTTCACCGCGTCGACGAATCGGAAGGCTAACCGGCAGTAGGTGCCGCAAGCGCGAACAGCACGTCACTTTCGATCGCAGGAAATACAACATGGGGCATTGCAACTCCTCATATGAGCAGCGACCTTCCCATTAACAGCATATCGGTATCGCCATCGCGATCCGATGTCCCTCCTGTCACTTCTCCCGATCCCACGATCACAGGCACCGCAAATTTATTCGCTTTTTCCACCTCGAACCTTAGCACGACGAGCAACCCATACTTCAACGGCACAGGTAAGCCAACTACGAGTGCTCGCGCTTAGCAATGCTGATGAACTCAGACCTGAACAATGCGACGCAATGCTGGCCAGCATATTGGTCGTACAGCTCGATGACATGGTCGTGGTCGCGAGCTCATGCGATAATCGTCACCAAAACCGTCACGTACACGTCGACCATCGAGTCTAGTGTACCTGAACCTTCTCCAAATAGCACTTATTCTGTTCTTTGCGATGGATTACCTCGCTTTGACTCGGAGGATGAGGCCGCCAACGCGACTGTACTTCTGCCGACTCCCATCTTAACTGTTGGATCATTTTTAACAGTGGACTATACCTGGCCAACTGGGGAAAACTTCCCACCTGCTCCATCATGCTCCATTCGTAATGCTGATGAATGCTCTGCTGCATGGTCCTTGTTCGGGTCCTCCCTCGCCAGCAGTAATGACGCATGGACTACAAGCAATATCCTTACGGTTTCATTAGCCTCACCACCAACCTCCATTATGATCAACGATAAAGTGACGCCACTCACAGCTCCACCAGGGGCTTATCCGACGTTGACCGTTCATGGAGAAGAGTACGGTGCCGAACAGGGTATTTACACCATATCCGGCGGAGTTAATCTCTATGGAGAAATAACTCTTACTCCGGGAGGCCGACAAGTCTTGACATGGAATCAGGACCAGGTCGAAAGACCCTTCGGACCTGATGTTGGAAACTGCTCTCAACCTGAAGGAAAGACTATCCAAAGTCAATGCGCAACAGCACAATGCACCGTAGGAGCCAATAGCGTCGAACTTCTCTACTTCCCCCCACCTTCCACTAGCCGAGATCTGTGTGCAAATACTAGCCCAGGGTTCAATAGCTACTCTGTACCGATATTCTCTTATCCGCATGCTTCCACAATAATCAATTCAACCACGTATTGGTACGACAAAGCTTACGTTCGATACGACAAAGTTTCGGCCTACAAATGGTGCGAACTCGACAATCAACTCGCTCGGCATTTAGTCAGCGTGGGTGGAACTTACTCCGGGCGCCTAGTTGAGATTTCATCCAGTGATGTATCTTCAATCTGCGATTGGAGATTCAATCCTACACGACCATATGGCTTAGTTATTGGCGCCACTGCGAAACCCTTCAATTTTGAAGATCTGGTCGGTGAAATACCGGCTTCTGCATATCAATGCATACCGCGATGCCAAAGTGGATGCACGGATATAATCACGTCCTATTACTTTCCTGGGTTGGCTGTCCCTCCACAAGTGCGCGCCCAGGATCCGGAGTGGGCGAGCTGCGTTCCACAATTCGATGGCGTTCCAGATCCCCCCATTGCGCTCGCATCCGTGCCCAACTTCCTTACCAGTAGTACGCCTTCTGAACCTCGCCCATCCGATCCCCCTACGCCAGGTCAAACACTGACCACGGGAGCGAGTCCTACCGCAATCCCTATCACGCAACCTCCAAGCACCATTAGGTTTACCTCTACAATTTCGCTACCTACATCAAGACCGGCTCCCAATGATCCAGGTGTTCCAGCCGATCCTAATCCGAATGATCCAAATGATCCTGGGCCAGGTATCTCTCGTCCGAACGATCCTTCACCAAAAAATCCAAGTTCGAACGATGCGCTCCCGACTAATGCCGATCCAGTGATTGAGACACCATCACCACCACAAGACCCATCTAATTGGCCTCAGCCAATCATCAATTCGCCGGCAGGCCCTACACCAATAGCCACTATTGGCAACAGCATCATCAACACAGATCCATCTCAAGCAGGGACTATTGTCATCATAGACCCCAACACACCTAGTGGCGCACAAACTCTCACAGCCGGAAGCGATCCCATTGTCATTTCTGGAATCACAATATCTGTGAACCCCACAAGCGGTGCGATTATCGTCAGTGGAGACTCGACGCTACAGCCAGTCGGTATCGTCAACGGTAAACCCGTCTTCACCGACCCTGGGCAACCCGGTGTCATTATTGTGGGAGACCCAGACTTGGGCCAGCCCTTGCAAACACTTAGTGTGACTGATCCTACATTAACCATCGATGGGGAAACACTCACGCTCTCCCCTACTGCAGTCGTGCAATCATCATTTACTGTTGCCGGGATGTCTATTGTCGTGCTCGCTGATGGCACGGTCGTGATCAACAACGCGCATACCATCCAACCAGGCGATCCCGAGATCTTTGTAAATGGCCATAAAGTAGTTGTAGATTCAGACGGTGTGGTTTGGGTAGATGATCAGCGAGTTCAATTGTCTCCTACATCAGATGACCACTCTGATAGCACGACAGCATCACGGAATACGTTGATAGCTCCCAGTCTTGCGGATTCAACCGACTCAGAGACCAACAGTGGGCCAAGTTCGGCCACGGAGGAAGCGCCCCAGAACTCCTCCATAGCGCCAAAAGAAGCAATGCTGCCGCATCTGTGGAATTTAATGGGTCTTGCGGTATTGATGATGTTGGTAGTTTAGATATAACATAAGTCAGAGGAAACTCTGTACTTCTAAGGCAAAAGTCCGATTGTTTACTTTCATTGTGGATGGTGTGAAGCGGTCCCGGTGGAACAGAAGACGGTATGGTAAGAGCGTGCATGGTGGGAAAAATTTAGGTTATGTGGGAACTCTAACTACCTGTGTCGTACTTGACACCATGCGGAGCATGTGCGATCATTGCATGAGCGGCTTGATCTGAGCGGAGTGTCAATGAGAACGGAATCCTTGCCGATGACGACGTTGGACGATTGAACACCGGTGCTGTCATCCATTTTTGTGTAAGCTGCATGCTGGAATCAAATCGTGATCAAGGACAAAAATAGGAGCGAAAGATAGCCGTGATGAAGCATAGATTTCTGTGACAGCTGGATGAAAACATGGCCAATAGGTACCGCGACATCGTCACCCAGGGCCGAAACGCAGCTTCGTGAGTTGCGACGTCGAAGAGGTCTACCGAACAGGGCACGTGCCCGAGATCTGGGGGATTTTGCAACAAGGACAGCGTGGTTAGATTCTGATTGGGCAGTCGTGCATTCAAACGAGATATGCAATAGTGGATGGTCGATCGTTCAACAGGTCTCAAATGTGAGGGTGCGGGGGTCCGCATCTTACCTCACGGGCAAGCTCCATCGGCAAATGAGTAACAATCACTGAGAAGAACCTTATGCAGGTTGGACCAGCCATTAGGACATTCAAAATATTCTAAATGCTGAACCATGTACAAATTGTCACTGCAACGATCTTTGAGAGGAAGTAAGAAGCCTCGAAAAGCCTCAAAGGACACGCCAGCAGGACCTTGCCAAAGTATGAAACAAGATCTTAAAACCACAATGCACTTCCTATGAATTACGCTTTGTTTAGGGTTATGATCGGCAGCTCCAAGTGCCACGAAAGCCTAGCACAGTAGTCTTATGTCTAAATTCAACAAGCACGCAGCAACGTTCGCTTTTCTTCTACAAAAAGAACTCGTCTCCTTTCCTTCGCTTCTGCGTGTCAATTACTCCTCTGACCCACATCGTCATGCGGCTGAAAATCGACGAGGCTGCCTCCAGGCCCTCGCATAGCTCACCCGCCTTTCCTAATCGAGTCTGACACTTGCCCCTTACAGCGACCTATCTTTGCCAACACCATTGGCCCAAGCTGAATAAATTCACTTGTTCTAACCATCGAATCGCAGACAAATATCCGTGATAAACTACATCACGCCCTCGCGTGCCCCGAATGCGCTACTGCTCGCGAAACTCTCCACGTGCTGGGCACCGTGAGTTCGCTGCAATCGTTCTGCGCGCACCGCGCGGGAGAAGGCTTGAGCTGGCGTGCGGTGCGAGTGACGACGGCTGCAACCCCGTCGCCAAAGGGACTGTGTGGAGCGGAATGGTCAAGATACGCCCATCGTGTGAATTCGTAGGCCTGCGGCGTTGGAGGCGCTGCTGAGATAGAATTTTCTGTATTTGCGTTCGTAAGATGTGCTGATGAGTGATGGGGCTTGGTGTAGACTCGGTCAGCGATCGCGCAATCAGCTTTTAAAACGACATATCCGTCCTTCTGATGCGAGGAAGAGCTACAGTCAGACACCTAGCTCGGACAACAGCATACACTGCCGACCAGCTCGTTTCAAATACAAAGCGGTCCTATCTGCGTTCAATCATCGACTACAGTCCTTGTCAGCATGAAGCTTTTCACCTATGAAGCATGGGGAGTACCTCAATCCGGTTTCGATTCCTCCTATTCATTCGTTCGCTCGCACTTCCTCTCGCCAGTCGTCCTAGGCTGTATTCGCGCTATACTCTGCATCTACAGCTTCACCACAATCACCACATGCTATGCTTGGCTTGCCAGTAAGACAGCGACCATCAGCCTCAAGGACGTCAACATCGACTCATACACCGTCCACCAGAGCGACACCGCCATCGGTCAGTCGTTCAGCTTCTTCACATACCTCACCTTCTGGTCTCTCGTATGTAAAACTGTACAAATTTCATGCACGACACACGCTGATATCGTATATCAAATCATAGGGCTTCTACTTCCTCGTCTCCAGCATACACACGTTTATGTACGCCTTCTGCGGATGCACATGGCTCCACAGCTGGCCTCGACCACTGCAGCTCCTGCATAGTCTTTACTATTCCACTGTGACTAGCTTTCCGTTCTTAGTCACCATCGTGTTCTGGGGCACGATGAACTCGGGCTGGCCCACCGGGAGGTTCGAACAATGGATCAACATCAGCGTTCACGGGTTGAACAGCGTCTTTGCCTTTGTCGAGATCATCCTAACAGCTACCGAGCCGCAACCATGGAACCATCTCTCTATTGTCCTGCTAGTTCTGTCCGGGTACCTTGGTCTTGCGTATCTCACGCGTGAGACGCAAGGGTTTTATGTGTATGAGTGGATGAATCCCGCACACGGGAATTGGAGTATAGTCCTGCATATTCTGGGTTATGCTGGGGGCATGGTTGCTTTGTTCGTGTTGTCGAGGTATGCGATCGTGGGGAGGAATATGATTGCTAGGAAGACGGGGGTCTCGAGAGAGGATGAGCACGGAGAGAAGGGGATCAAGCTTGATGATGCGTCGGATACTGGGTCGAGTGAAGTCAGCAGCGTGGGACGGTCAGAAAGAAAGCGCGCGCCGCATGATTCTGTGGTATAGTTGAAATGTGTTGAGAATCAATGATCGTCTTCCTATACTATGATTCTGCGGACGTCGGCTGGGGCTCACAAACAAATGGTAATAAGTGAGAGTAATGATCTTGAGTCTCCCTGGCCATTTTCTCTGCGTCTTTGCTGGCATCACATCGACTCAAACCTTAGTTCCTGAATGGGAATTCACTCTCCCATGTTCCAAGCGCCCATAGTAGCTCTTGCCTTTCATCATGTTCGATACGAGATTTGACTGCCTTTTTGGCGAGCGACTTTGCTCTCTGAGACAAATCACATTGTCCACGTGTGCTTGTAAGGTTGTGAGTCTATATCTGTTCCCAGCATGTCATGGAAAGAGCAGATCCCACGAGAACTCAAACTTCGCAAGCCCACTTACATCACGACCTCGCGTTCACAATGTTCCACCCTCAACTGGAACTTCAACCACCTGATCGAGCCCCTCGTACTTCGGGATATCCAGGTCATACTTCTCCGCCACCGCTGGGCTCAAGAATCTCCCGCCCAAGAAATGCCGTCCCTTAAACCACTTCACCAGCGGCTTCGGCGCAGTCAAGCTGATCAACGCCTCGGGCATAAATCCCTTTCCCGGTCCCTCACTTGGCGGTCCGTCTTCAATGTTCCAGCTACTAGGCGAGTCCACCGCCAGCACCGGGAGCTTCGTGTCTCTCAATGCCTCGATCACCTTAGGGAACGGCTCACGCACCTCGCCCGAGAAAGAGAAGCCAAATATAGCATCGACAATGTGATCAGTAGACTTAAGAGCGGAAGGAAAGTCGTCCGTGAAGGGAACCTTGAGGTCTTCAAGCTGCGTCTTGAGGCGCTGGTAGAGGTCGCTTTTAGATTGCTTGGGGTAGTAGATGGTCGGCTGGTACCCGTAGTGGAATAGGTGGCGGGCTGCGACAAGGCCGTCGCCTCCGTTATTGCCGGGCCCGCAGGCAACTAGTATTCTCTTGCCTTTGTTGAGAGGCTGGAGTTTGAAGACTGCGTTGGTGTTAGTACAGGTGTATGCTTAACAATCAAAAATGGCTTGAAAGTTGTCAAACAGCAACAGCACGTGAAACATACCAGCTTGTGAGACGGAAATTCCGGCGAGTTCCATGAGTTGATCAATTGAAAATGCACCCGTCGACATGAGCTCCTGGTCGAGTGCCGCAGCGCTCTTTGCTGAGAGTGTCTGGATAGATTAGAATAGGTTTCCATCTATCTTGTGGTCCTGAGAAAACGTACCCTAAGAGCCATGTTTGTAGATAAAACCGCGTTCCGCAATCACGTCTGCGATGTTGTAGGTTTGTAGAGTATGTCGGAAGTTCAAGTGAAGAGGTGAGGTGATGCAATTACATCACCGCATCGCCAACGCCCCAAGAAGGTCGTCGCAGCCATAACCTCACAAAGCGAGTCACTGAAACCTTACAAGTGCCCTCAAGACGCATAGGATTATTCCGATCACTCTTCCTAAACAGAATTACAATCAATACTATTCAGCGTGGTCAAACATGGGATGGACCAATCACGTGCCTTCGACGACCGAGACCGGCTTTTCTTCGGCCCAAAAAGTTACCCTCCGCTTCAACCTCAGCCTCCACGCGAGGACCTCGCCCATCAGCCATCCACAGCCCACAATGGTCCTTCGCATACGGCTCGCCCGCTTCGGCAAGAAGCACTCGCCTTTCTACAACATTGTTGTCGCTCACGCCCGGTACGCCCATCCCAGCGTTCCCAATGCCCCCCCCCCCAAATGCAATGCATCGCATCTCTCTCCATTTAGTCTCCAATGGCACATGCACAAGTCGCAGTCCACCGATTACCTATGCGCTTTCTCTGCCTGATCCAAAGTTGTATCCAACGCTGATAGTATGGGAATTAGAACAGCGCGCAACTCCCGCCCCCTCGAAGTCCTCGGGACGTACGACCCTACCCCAAAAGCGCCCCGACCAGGTGACACCCACGGCCGGCCGTGGAAAGACATCAAACTCGACGTTTCGCGCGCACGGTACTGGGTAGGCGTGGGCGCGCAGCCGAGCGATACGGCGTGGCGGCTGCTGAGCATGGTGGGAATCCTGGAGCCGCAGTTTAGGGTGGGCCAGATCCAGGGGAAGGTTGTGAAGGCGGAGACGGCGGCGAAGAGTTTAATTACTCCTACGACGGGCGCTGGGCAGGAGAAGGTGGAGGCGTAGGGGACGAAAGATGGTACAATCAGCGAATCGCCGAATTGGTCAGCGGATGGAGAAGGAGGGCTCGTTTTAAGAGGAGGATGTGAATACGATCTCTGATTAGAGGATGTTCGACACCATGCTGGAATTCCCACCGCATCGGACAGAGACGCATCGGCAGTGGAAGCTCGCAAATGCGATGTACATTTACTGTATTGCATATACCAGGCGTTCAAGCTCAAGACCAAGAGACAGAAAGGAAGATTGCAGATATTCAATCGTAGATGCGATATGTAGCATAGTGTACATTCCAAATGTACAAACAGGTTAATCTAGCTTTCTTTCTTCTGAGGCCGTAGAGATGCGATGCCGGGCCATGTACCAGATTCCCCTCTAAGCCGATTACGACCCAACGCCTTGAAATGCCGCTGCAAGTACCCAAACAGAAAACATGGCCATCAGCCTGTTCGCTCAGTGCGCAGCCACCAGAAAGGTATTCGTCACCAAGCAGGTCACCATCACACACGCGCCGTAAATAGCGAGCGCAAGACTCAACTGCCTCAGCAGGCCCCTTCTCCAATTCCTACTCCTGTGCGCATCGCTCATTACGTATCCCTCCGCATCCGCGCTGTCGAACTGATCCTCGTCATCTTCATCCTTAACCAATTTCTGATGGTGCGCCGAGTCCGGATCCGAGATCTTGTAGTAGAATAATCCGGGGAGGATGAATGAGATAGTGGTAGACCCAGTAGACCCAACGTACGCAAGGACCTTTTCGAGCGAGGAGACGGTCATGGCGGTGATGAAGGAGAGGATGATGAGCACCGTGGAGATGATTGCGAAGCGGAGGTCGCCCATCTCCTTGGGCTTGCCCCCGTGGCGTGGGGTAGGGGCACCCGCGATCAGGTTGTGTCTGCTGGGGCTGTCTTCACCTTGGGCTCGGCGGCGCGGGCGCCATTTGAGGCATGCGTCAATGCTGGCGCGGCAAGGGTGAATCTGGAGCGGGTAGGAGAACATGACCAGGATTACAATGGCGAGACGGCCGATGGTTGAGGCTGCGGCGGCGGGGTACATGTTTACGATGTTGCCTGTGATGTTGTCGCCATAGGAGAGGTAGCCCGTGATGCCGGTCAAGATGTACAGGGCGCAGGCGGAACCGATGGAGGCAAAAATCACGGATGTGGTGCGGAAATGAGAGTTGTTTGAGATTTCGTTCAGGATGGAGAACATCTTTCAGGATCAGTATAGATATTCAAATGTCTCTCTCTCAAGAAAGAAACTTACATTCTGATGGCAAGTATATGCAAATACTATTACGGGGAAGGCAGCGAGTGCAGAGACAGGACCAGACCACTGGAACACTCTAACGCGTCCACGTTCAGCCAGTGTATCGCCCTTGATGTAGTGTGCGACCACCAGAATTACGAGATATGCAATTGAGAAAAGAGCAATAACGCTCGTATATTTGAGCGAATCCAGGCGCCGAAGAAACGAAAGTGGGATAACGATGAGCCTGTATACGTTAGCCCAAATAAGATGAACGCTTGAAGATATACCCACATGAACACGGTTATCCAGAACTGCCTGTCTACCAAGAATGATATCTCCCCAGCCTGGGGCGAAAATCCCTCGACTACTCTGGGCATCAGGTCCCCGATAATAATGAGGTAGCTCACAGCCACGCCGAAACATTTTACTGCAATCGCAGCGTCAAAGAGAATAGACAGGTTCGGGTATGTGAGCTGTGAAAGAGCTGCGAACGAGACATTGCCGCGGTCTATGTATCGTGCGCATCGCGTCTGGAGATAAAGGCCAAAGCCAGCGGTCAAGCCAGCCCACGCAATAACGAAGATTCCCAGGAATATGCCCATTTTCGAGAGCGCCGAGGGCATCGCAAGCAAGCCAGCGCCGAGGACTGCCGTTCGTTAGACTCCCATGGTCACGCGCTGGTGAAGCTGGACCTACTGGTATTGACCAAGTTGATGACGCTCGATATCCACGTTGCCTGGCCGTGATGTCCCGTTAAAGTCTTTCCCCTTCCGCGCCTGCGCCAGTCAGCAAAACCTTCCCATCCCATCTGAAAGTATATCTCACCTCCGCCCTCGTAGAGAGCCAGTGCTTGAAGACATGGGGTCCGTATCGTTCGGCTGCTCAGGACCGATGGCCGAATATGAAGCCATGCTGCCCAGGAAGCCTGCGTCTACTCAGTCGCGCAATCATGCGGTAGCAGCGCGTATCGGTGCAGGTCGGATGAGCAGCGTGCTCTTGGGTCGGCTCTTCGGTGTCGCGGAGTTGTGAATTGAATTAAAGGAACGCCGAGCAGGCACGAGCGCTGCGGAGATGCGCTCGTGCTCACTGACGTTGGGGCGCCATGGACCCCGCCAAGGAACGAGCTGCGCCAGTGCTCACCGCGGTTATCCGCCAGGAACGCGTCCAGTAAACATCGAATAAACATTTCCCCGGACACACTAGGACGCCATGGACGAGTATGAGGAGGCGGTTCTGTTCACATTTGCGCTGCTGGAGTCGCGCCTGACCCGATTGGAGTACATCTTGGGCAACAAGAGGGAGGGCGAGGAGAAACCTAAGACAGTGCCTGAGCGCATACACAAAATCGAGAAGTCGTTGCAGGAGCTGTCGGCCAAAACGACCCTGCTCAGCGATGCGCAAGAGCTAGGTACGTATTTGCTGTTATGAAGGAGAAAATTTGGGCTAACAGCTGGCAGTGAGCAAGCACAAGGACGTCCTGAAGCTAGAACAAGAGACGGAAGATGCAGGTCTCGACACCGAGGAAAAAGCCGTCGTAGTCGTCGAGCGCGCGCCTCAATTCGCTACTACCGCATCGCAGCTCAAGGCATTGGATGACCAGCAAATACCTTCAACTGACGGCTTTACCAAGCTCGCGAAGCTCCTGCCTCGCATCGCCGAAGCTGAGGACCGCCACCTGCAACAGGCGCTGCAGATATCACTGCTTAGGAAGAAAAATGGTCTACTCGTGCAGCGTGTGAAGCAGGTACAGTTCCTCGGCGCTGCTCGCTGCTGGACAGAGTGGCAAGGCCGGCTGCAGAACGTCCAGAAGAATGTTGCGCGCATTGAGTTCAAGAAGCGTCAGGAAGAGGAGGATGAGCTATGAGGTGGAAATGAGGTGGATGTTTCTGCTACGTTTGACAGGAGACACATGTCACAAACCTCGTGGCAAAGGAGCAGGTCCCGCGAATCCAGTCTACTTCGATGATGGGAAGGGAAGGGCGGATATGCTTTGTTCCGCCATCACAATGCAGTAAGGACGTCGCGTTGGACGTGCTGCGGGATGCTGACAGATGGCAGCCGTTTCACGCCAGCCAGGCTTGCGGTCTGCTCAAGAGAAGAGCAGCGTGGCATTAGATTGAGGCCTAACGCCTTGCGTACCGTGCGACAGCTTGGCTCTGATGCTCGCAGAGTCTGGGTCTACTCTCGCCTTCTCAAGACTTCTATGAACGATGTTGCTCAAAGGGGCTGTTGTTCAGGACCTCTACGAAGTGGACTGCGGCTTTTTGGGAAATGGGGGTTTGGTATGAAGACAAGGAATAAGCGAAATTCGCAGGTATCAGCATCCTGACTCGATAACGAGTATTTTAATATCAGAATTTGGTTTCCTGAAGCGACTCGGTTTGTAAGAGTTACGCTGCTTTCAAGCCTTAGGGGCAGGGAAGACGCGCACCCCTGCAGCGCATCGGATGCGGAGCGCGAGCATATCCATATTACCTCATATAGAAATCCTGGAACAACTGACTGCGGGGAAGAGACGATGATATGACGACAAGGTGCCATGTTTTTGCTTGCCAGAGTCACGAGTTGCGGCGAAGGAAGCTGTCGAGTCGCAATGGTGACGGGATGGACTGCTTCACGAGCGAGCAAACGAGCAGTAAAACAAGGCACTGCTGTAGTACTCATGTTAAGCGCCGCTACATCAAGGCGTCGGTGACGATGTGTGATGTGGTGGGAAGCTCTCCGTCTCAGTCGGTGCCTGTTTCATCCTCGTCTCAGGCACAATGGCATGCTATCGCATCCCGCAGCGACGTGCATGCGGAGACACACTTCCGCAGAACTATTTCTTTCTCACGTGGGTGCAGCGTACTGCCATGCGACGACCGCTGCTCCAACGTGCAGGCGTGGACACGGCCACGCTGTAAAGGATTGGCCGTACCCCGAGTTTACAGTTCCGGGATTGACGTCCAGGCGGCCAACGTGTGTAGTGTGCAGTGTAGCAGCAGCAGTGTCACTCACATGCCGAAGCGCGCGCATTGTTGAAAGTGGTACACGCACAGCAGATCGACGTCTCGCGAGAGCAGCAAAAGTGCTTAAAGTTCGTGTAGTAGGGGTCTCCTCCGACGGTGGCTAGCGCATGGCAAGCCGCATGAGATGAGGGTCAACGTCTGCGGAGGCCAATTTAGCCAGGCACGCCGCCACTAGGAGACGCGTATGAACCAGAATGAGGCCGCAATTTGGACTGTGAAAGCGGGCGGTGGGCGCCGGCTAATGGTCCATTCCCACTTTTGACGCAGCAGCACCGATCGGGCGCATTGCTGGCGCGCGCATTTGTGGTTCCTGAAGCCGATCTGGCTTTGTTGGACGGTGATGGATCCTTGCGGGCGACGGCTGACGTGCTGCTAATCTGGGCCTGGGCGTGTCTGTCTCCTTGTGCGTCCGTGGGCCAATAATCCCGAGCGAGGAAACGTCGTTGCGGATTAGTGGGCGTGCTGAAACCGGAGCAGCCACCACTCGAGCACTTCTAACGCTCCTCGTCCGCCGACACTCACTCACGCCCAAGTAATCCATATCGTAGGCTCCATCGACACGCCGTGAGAGCGCTGCGACTGCTCCTCTGGCTCTGCGCCGCCCATAGCCGTCGACAACTCCGCTAGTGCCCCAGCACCGCCCATCGACATCGTGCGCTGCCTTATCACACCTCACACACCGCACATCGCATCCTGCAACGAACGCCCTCCGCAGCCTTACGCACCGCCGCGCTCGCGAGTCGAGTCCTGGTCTTAAGTCGGCATCCACGCTCTTTCCTCCCACCTAATCACCATACTCTATGCCCACGTACGGCTCCTACGGCTCGCCCTCGCTGAACAAGATGGAAAACGGTTACGGCCACGGCGGGCGCACCTCGTTCTCGCTCGGCCGCATCTTCGGTGACCCTTTTGCGCTGGCCACCATCTCCATTGGCTCTGTCAGTATTTACTTTCTGCGTGCGGCTGAGCACCGCCAGTAGACTAACACACGGCAGCTCGCCTGGATCATTGCCTTCGTGAGCTCCATATTATCGGCCGTCCGTCCGGACCCCAAGGAACGCGTGCCGCCGTTTGCCTGGTGGACGCTGGTGTATATGCTGTTTAGCATTGTGGGCGTTGCGGTGACAGTGGCCTCGGACTCGGAGCGGACCTACCACGTCGCGGTGAGCAGAATCACAGCTTTCAGACCCACCATGTATTCTAATTGACACAGATTGTCGGTTTCACGGCCGCTGGCATCGTCCTCTCCTCGTCTGCCGTGAATGCCCTCGTATACTCGCCCGTGGCCGCCAACGAGGCTGCCGCAGCGGGTTTCATCCTGCTCTCCATGATCGCGGTACGTCTTATTTCCAACTATAAAGAATCAAGCATACTGACTAGCCCAGATCGTATGGGTCTTCTACTACGGCTCGCAACCGCAAGCCAGCCACCGCACCTTTGTCGACTCTTACGCCCTCCACAAAGAGCACCCCGCCTCGCGCTCCTCCCGCCAAATGTCCAACAACTACGGCGCACCCCAGCAATCCTCGCTTGCCCCGAACCAGCCCCAACTCTATACCTCCGCGCAGCTCAACGGCTTCGAAACCTCCTCCCCCGTATCCGGCTACCCCGGCGGCCCTGTCGGCGCCGACGCCCGCGGCTCGTCAATCCCACGCTTCGGCGGAGGCATGGGCCAGACGCCGACCAACGACGTCGATCAGCCGCAACAAGAGCAGAGCGTCGAGTACCCCTACCGCGCGAAGGCCATCTACAGTTACGAGGCGAATCCCGACGACGCGAACGAGATTTCCTTCCAGAAGCATGACATCCTCGAAGTCTCGGACGTTAGCGGGCGGTGGTGGCAGGCGAAGAAGCCCAATGGCGAGACGGGGATTGCGCCTAGCAATTACCTCATTCTGCTGTAGAAGGCTGGTTTCCTTCAACTTTTTTCGTTTCTCTGAAAGCGTGTTGCGATGTTACGAGCCGCTTATTGTCATGACCATTTCCTTGCGTCACCGAGATTTTTGTCCTTCTGCATCCGTTGGCCATCCCTAGCTGACGTTCTGTAAGTCCTGCAAGGCCAGATGCGGGCGGGGAGAGCCGTTAAATACTATTCTGGAACCATGTACTAAGTAGGGAGGCTGTGCTTGGAGCTTGTGAAGGGGAGAAAGAAGGAAGTTCATCTGTTGGAATTGGGACTGGAGTTGGAGTTGGCACTGGAAGTCTGAAGGCCGTTTGGCCACGCCCCCGTGTTGCTGCGCGCGAGAAGCGAGATCCCTGCCTACTTGCACGATACCCGGACGGAGAAAGGATATACATAATTCTGAAGACTGAATTTGAAATGTTTTGTACTCTGATCCTGATCCCCTCTGCAGCGCATTGGGCGCTCTGTCGCTACTATCTTTTGCAATATTTGTACTGTGAAAGCAGATCCATCCGAAGCAACCATTTGCAACATATTCATGAGTCGACGCAATGCAGTACAACTAAATTCGCGTTTGGCTGCTTCAGTATACGGGACCGGAGTTGATGGTGCCGAACTTGGTACGAGGGCTGAATCTGTCTACACTTCTAGCGTGCGACGGTACGAAGCAGCAGGCCGAGAGCTTGGAACAGCATGTGAGTTAGGATCGACCAATTGGCTGCACAGGAAGCTGCATAGGCGAAAGATTGATATCGAAATCGGGCCTTCAGGTCCTGATGCCCAACGTGCCTTCCCCAGCTACTCACATCAAGGACTTGATATCTCGATATCGTCCGATAGCATCGCTGATCCATGCCAACATGCTCATGCCATGACTCGTACAGACCGAGACTATCGTGTAACATCACTTTGGTAGAAATGATAATACTACTTCATCCCAGTTCCTAGGAGGTTGCAATGGCAAGCGTACAGAAGGCGTTCCACCAACAAAGATACCTTACTAACTATTACGTACCATATCTTCGGAAGTCCATTCTTAGCGTTCTAAAGGCACATCCATCCAATATAAATACGACTCCTTTCCCTCACTTTACCGGCCACACAACCCTCCACCCTCCATCCACCTTCGCAGTCCCCGCCTCCAGTGCTCCTACTTGTGCCTGCGTACACGAACTTGCTACATTCCACAGACTACATTCCACAGTAGATGGAGGAGCAGGTAGTACAGATCGCCAGCTCCAGCTGTCCGGTTTGCCTTTCGTGATGGTGCGGGAGCCCGGATCGATTCCTGTGGCGACGTCGAGGTCGCGGATTACGCGGTTGAATATCGCTTGGACCTGTTGATGTCAATCCTATAGAGCTAAAGGGTCGGGGAGAGAGAGCAATGGGAACGTACAGTTGCGGGCTGGTACCAACTGACTGCGTGACCGGCGTCGAAGACACGCGTGAAGGAGAGCAGCGTATGTTGGCGTGTTACTGCGGTTGGGCGGGTGGATGACGGGAGTTGAAACGGGACGTAGCCGCTGGAAGTGAAGCGGCCGGTAGAAGAGGGGTAGGGCGACCAGGGCAGGGACAGTGTAAGATTTTCGGCGCCGAGCCCTATGGCTGTTCGTGAGCTTTGTTTGAGAAGGGCAAAAATTGGGGAAGAAGAGGGTATCCAGGCTTACAATTGCATCTCCAGTCTCGGTCGCCGTAGATCATGGCAACTCGTGTGTCTTGGTTTAACAAGTACATCAAGTCATCGCTACCCTTCCTCATAGGATCACCAGTACCACCATAGAAGTTATTAAAGACCGTGCTAGAGTAGAGAGTGTAGTTGAGCCCAGCTGGCACTCCCAAGCTATCCCTAGTGCTAGGCTTGTTCAAGAACGAAGCTGCATATGTTGGTGGGTTCGGATTTGCTGGATTCAAGCCAATATCGAACTGGCTGCGGGCTACTGCGGTGCTGAAGAAAGGACCGAGGAGAGATTTGTTGCAAATACCAGCCGCAGTCACACATGCTGTATTCGTGGCTTCATCCTTGCCTTCGTCTCTTGGGTCATTGGCAGCTCTCAGCTTGCGGCACTCCTGTACTTGATCGAAACATCCACCTGGTCCTTTGGAAGTGCGCACAATCGCGTCGTACTGGGCCTTGGAGTAAAGTCGGAAAGGGGTGCCGTTCGCATTGTTGTACGTGTTATTATAGGGGAGGCTTGCATAGGCTGAGCCTTGAGCTTCGATGTCGATACAGCCGTTTGTGATACCGACTGAAGGAATGAAAATGTCCTTGAATGTCGCACCTGCCTTGACAGGAAGTTTCAAATTGGTGCGAAGGATGTAGGTCGCCAAGGTCGCCACGTACATGCCGCCATACTGTTCAACGAGGTTAGGTGGACGTGTTCGAATGAAAAGCCAATAGTACCACTTACCGAGTTGCCCCATATACTAACGCTGTATTTATCGCCATAATCAACACCAAAACTACGTACGTTGGCAATGTTCAGGTTTCCGTAGCGCCTGTGATTCTTGTCGTAAGGGAACTTACTCGGCAAAGAAAACCTGCAAGAAGTACCACATACTTTTCGCAGCCATCGTCGAGGTTCTCGCCGTTGTATCCGGATTCTGGCTCGGAAACTTCCCCTTGATGTTCGTCATGTTTGACCTCGTAGCGCCCACTTCGATAGCTCCTGACCCAGCCTGCCCCCCAAACACATTGAATACCCCGTCTACAATCTCATCGTAGCTGAAGCCAACTTGATTCGGCTGATCCACATATAGCACATGGGCGTTCTGATTGAAAGAAAACGGGTTGGGGATAGCGGTGTTTCCATCTTTTTGAGCAACACAAGGACCGTTCTCGGTCAGTGCAGCGAAACTAGAAGCTTCGCCAGGACCACCGGCGAGGTACAGTGCAAGGTTTGCTCCAGCAGGATTTCGTGCGGGGAAGAACCAGAAGAATGTCGAAGTGTTGTAAGCTGCCCCAGGAACAACGATGCTATTCCAGCGGACATAGCCGCTGTAGGAGACAACGGTCGAGGTAGAGCTGCATGCAATGGTCTTGAAAGGATGAGTAAGCATACCATCATAGAAAGAGGGCGGAAGGACTCACTTCTTTGTATGAGATGATTGCTCCTGGGATGGCCTGGGAGACTTTACTGGTGAATTGGGACTGGGAGACCTGAGCGAGAAAGCCAACTAAAAAGTGCCACAGATTCATAGTGTACCCTTACAGGGTGTGTGAGCAACAGAGTTGAACATATAGAGGGTGGAGGAACAGCGGTTGGCGTCCGATCCCGCGGTCCAATGAGCTCGGACGTCTTAATTGTTCCACTATCAGACACACCAGCTCGGCGAAGTTACGGTGGGTGGTGCTTATAGCAAATTGTCAGACAGCAAGGTCACTTGAAGACCGAGACTCGGAGGCTAGTGCCTGTGCGTTGCATCTAGGACCTGCTGTGCCGCATTCTCCCCAGCATACCTGAAAGCTATGCGTTTGTAGGTAGAGGCTGAAGAAATTTAGCGATACGTTGTAGTCATCGAACAAAGAAGTTGTGGTAATTGTCAATGGGTTATGTGGTGGCATGTACAGGGGAGTTATGCACGCCCTAGCGAACTATATTGAGGCGCGTTTTGGGACGACTCCACATCAGGAATACGCGCAAAGGCATGATCGATGCATTACTATCCGAGAACTCATGAACAATGATGTTCTCTGAATGGTCAGGCATCCATGCTTCGTGGCCTAATGCCCAACGTTCCAGATGGGGGTCTGAATACACAGGGAATATGGCCGCCTGAAAGGTTCGTGGGTGTGTGCTTTGAACATGGCTGTCTAAGACATGACACGCGGGGCGATTGGCGATACCCGCGGTCAGCCTCGATAAATTAGCTGCTCTTGAGGACGTTCTGGAATGTTCGGTGCAGTCCAGGAAGTCAGCCAAACACGTGTTGTCTCTCCCTATCTACCATAGGTAGGTACGGACGCCACCTGGGCATGTATCGCGACGGCACAACATTGTGAGTACGCCAGAAGTTCAATGTCATCACATTGAACAAGAATCTATCGATCCAAGCCGTGTCAAAAGAGCCTGGCCTGGATATGACAAGGTGTGATGGAGGCAAGTCGTAAGAGAAGGAGTTGTCAGTACGTTTGTAGTTGTCCCCTGATTACGTCATCGAGATGTTCCTAAACTTGGCGCTCACGGACAGGCGACTTCTTCGACAACATATGCCTTCTGGCTTGTTTGGCCATGTTTTAGGCAAAAGCACCCGTGGAAATTAAGGTGAATCACAAGCCCATCGGACGAGCGCAAGAGCAACACGAAATTCAATCTATTCCACACGAACTGCGGATAACTTCATCGAAAAGATACAAGTTCGGGAAGCAACACCACAAAGCCGGCAACAATTCAACAACCCGCATCTAGTCATGCCTTACCTCCCCCGCCGTCCACATCTACCGAATCCTTTACCAGCCGGCGTTGCAGACGCTCTTCGCCGCCGTAATATGTTTGTTGTAAGCATCTGGGAATGCAGAGCTGATGACAGTTAGCATGCTGTCCACTTGCGCGCGATTGACTGACTTACACCTGAACTTTTTGGGCGGCCGTTCCGATTGGAAGGCTCGGCCAGTTGCTGACCCTCTTGAGAGCGTTGAAGAAGAAGTGCGCACTCAGATCCTATCGCGGTCAGCACAACGTTCCCTTTACTGGATGCTGACACCATACCGCATTCATCCTGTCTTTCGTGCTTCCCCATGAAGGTCGCTGTTGGAAAATACCGACAGAGTCATGGTCGTGACCAACGCCATCGTGAGGGTAGTTCAAGGACGCCGGATAATCGGAGTTGGCGAGGATGCGGATACCGGACTCCTGGAAAGCTGTAGTGATAGCGATGTAGCAAGCCTGCTTCTCCTGGCTGGCAGAAAAGTCGCCCTTGGCCCGAGCAATGATTGCACGCGCATTCCTGGTCTGGACAGAGTCCAGGCCTGGAAGGTTTCCTGTTCCACTTGAAGGTATGCAGCACTTAAAGTTGGCCGGGCCAGGGCAGAGCCCAGACTGAGTGGTGCCACCACACTGGGATGTCCACTTGCAACTTCCGCCGGAGGCGCACTTTGGCTTGACGCAGCACTTGATGTTGTCGGCAGTGCCTGGGCAAGCGTTTGAAATGAACGAGCCGCCCCCACTCGAGCAAGAAGAAGTAGAGATGCAGACACCAGGAGCTCCACCGGAGCCAGTGCAAGGGCCGTCTACGGATGAGCGAGGAGCGAGGGCGCTCACAAGGCCCGTGGAGAGCAAGGAGATCAAGAACACAGAGTTGAGAAGCTGCATGTTGGTGGAACGTTATCCGGAAGATATTCAAGAAGTGTGTTTGCAAGTTCAAAGGCTGGGAAGTTTGGCTGAGCTGCTGGATGACGATCGATTCATAATGGTGTTGCCGCTGACTTTATAGTCATCGTGGAGGACGATTTCGGGGCCCAGATGGAAACGCCGCATACGAAGGCATGTACTTCTCGTGATTCGTATCCAAAGCGAACCGCGGTTTACACTTCGCCGACTTTGCTGTATGTTCAAACAAAGGTGGAGCCCCTTTTGTCGTCTTGGTTGTCGTATTCTTGTGTTGAGCATCCATTGCGGAGGTCCGACGTGCCACGTGATTAAATACGAGGCTTCCGGAGATTTGGATCTCGTAATGTGGAGGCTAAAAACCACCATTCTGACCTACCAGGGGCTTGAAGCTATTCACAGCCCAACCAATGACCTCGTGAATTTGGATCTCGTTCGTACTGAGTGGAGTTCGTCGGCGACCTTAGCTAAAGCGTGCTCTTCTCGTATGGGGGGTTTCAGCCTCAATCCAGTACACCAGGGTCTAATTTAAGACCGAAGAAACCTCCTAGCACCGAAAACATCATGCGATCGACCAAAACGCAGCAGCTACAATGACGGCACGACCTGGCACTAGAGTACTTCGCATCGATGGGCGCTCTTGGAAGCCTAAGATCGCCTACTGCGTATCCTGGCCAGGTCTTTCGTACCTAGCTAAGCTAGCCTAGTTCGGTGGGTAGAAGGTGTTCAGAAAACATTTTCGAAACTCTCGCGGCAATGAATTCCCGAAAGGTGGTACACGCTGGGTGTCCGGTACGAGCTGCGAGACAATCGAAACAGCTACTAGATTGGTGGGCTTACTGTAAGAGGCATCTCCTACAGGTACTTCCCACCGAAGATCGTACGACATCTGGACGACGATTTCCGGACCCACCTCTACCGTCACCAAGCGTAGGGTTGCAACGATTGAAAATTTTGTTCAACGAACACGAAACGAGAAATCCACCTTCAGAATTGTCTGAATAACCTCAGAATGAGCCTCAACATTTGCGTTTGACAAGAAGCTAAATCTGTGGTCTTCCGGACTAAATTCTGAGCGCTCTCTGCTAGTTATGGTGCCTGCTGTACTTCCTGTCAACTCGATAATGGTGAAGTGTCCCTTGTATGTCGATCGTAGCTCAAAATTCTCAGCAAACGTCCTGTACATTGGATTAGCCTCCGAAGCTAAGGCATGGACAAAGCTTCGATTGATGATGCGGCAGAGAATTGTGTTCACGATAAAGAGGCCTAGATCACTTCCGAAAGATGACCGAAGTCTTCGACCCTCAAAACGACGGAGCTCATCTACTCGAGCGGTACCCAAATGTCCTGGTGATCAGCTATAGGCACGGGTAAGCGCTTCATTCAAGCCAGTTTTAATATACTTCAGTCTACAGTAAAAGATTATCCCTGATATGCTTCCGACTTTGAGATGTATTGCTTAAAAATCTGTTTTCAATGGAAGAAACACCCAAGAACGACACAAAGCTTCCGTCTACGCAAATACGACTTTCTGCAGCCAAGCATCCAGCAAAGGAGCGATCTGGAGATTGTTCTTCTCCATGAAACTAAAGTGCGCGTTACCATGGATCTTGACCTCGGACAAGTCGAGATAGTCAACCTGCATGCCAGCTTGTTCCATGAAAGCCAGAGTACAATAATCGTAGCATGCATGGTAGCTGGCTTCCGTTACGTACAGCAGAACAGGAAATCTCGCTAAATTAATTAAATGCCTGGCAGGGTCTTGCTGTACAATGCAATCGCTGCGATCGCTTCGAGTCGAATTAATGCGCCTAGTGGGCAACTCTGTGGCAACATCCGTGACCGGAGGGTCGTATGTCAATGGCAGAGTCGCTATTCCGTATGGCCGAGCTGGTCCAGTTCTGATGATCTGGTTCTCGAATGGGGGACCTTCGGGTTCTATGGCTATAACACCTTTCACCCTTTCTGGACGCTGGTCGCCGACGCCCCACCCGTACGGACCGGCTTGCGAGTGTGTTATCAGAATGGCGTCGCCAATCTTATCGAGCAGAGCTACAAAGGCGTTGACGTTGTTCGCGGTAGCCTTGGTGGTGTTGGTTTGCTGTTGGATCTCACCAGCAAAGAAAGCGTCAAATGTGGCGTCCCCTGGTTCACCTGCGCCTGGCCACTGGGAATGAAGACGAGCCTGCGGCCACAGGTTGAATTTTTCTCCGGATGTAAAGTAGGTCTGTACGAAGGTCACGTTACTGATGGACAAAGTACCGTCGCTAGGAACCCAAGGTGAGCGACCTCGCTGTGGCTGATCAGTCAGATAGACTGTGTACCCTAGGCTGAGGAAGTACGACGCCCAGCCTGTACGTCCATCTGGGGTGTTCAACCAGTTCTATGCCCGGTCAGCTGAACAGCGCGGGACTCGAGATTGGGGATCTTACGGCTCCTGTCTGTGATCCGCCTGCCATGAAGACGAGAGGATATTGTTGCTTTGATTGGGTCGGGGGCTCCAGTCTCTCCACATACATCTGGCCTGTCATGACTTTTCCATCCGGCTGCAACAGCTGTCAATTCGCGTTCAGTCTTGTGAAGGTCTCGCAATTGGTTGGCAAAGTTATGGCAAACATCAATTTTCCACGTGTGAAAGTCCTTTGGCGTTTCAATCATTGGGAAAGTACTCACGGCGTCAACGTAATGGCCCCCAACGTAGAAGTAGCTCCTTGAAGCTTGCACCTCACCTGGAGCGAGCGAAATTTCCGAGGACAGTTGGGATTTAAACCATTCAACGGCTTCAGCATGCTTGCCCAGTGGTCCTGCCGCCACGCTCGGCAGTGCAGCTAAGACCGTCGAGATTAGAGCGACTCGCATTATATCCGCTGGTAAACTTTTGAGCGGGCTTTGGTATTGTAAGTTTTCAGCGCTTTCCCAGGCACGAGTAACAAAAAAGGATTGTCTCGGAAGTGCGGTGTAAGACGAGCGATTGGATTCTCACACTACCAAAACTAACCAGGATGGTCACTCAGCTTTTAAGATCGAACAGGAAGGTGTTACGGAGCTGCACCAATCAACCGATCTGAAATTCTTCTGACGCACATCGCCGTCCTCATCTTCTACATGTCACTCTCCAGTATCCTAGATATGCCAAAGTCCCAAAGTTCTCGCCTAGTCAGTGGGGTCGTAGTTCGCGGCAGCCTTGACAGTCTTGCTCAGCTTGGTGTTGATGCCGACAGTGGCCCAACCAAAGATGCCATCAGAAACAGTGCTGCCGAGGAGGACATAATTGAGCACAGGGTCGCTCGTCGCAGCCTCTCCAGCAAAGATCCCGTCCTTAGCATTGGTCGTAAGACTCTGCGTGTTAGTACTGTATGGAGCCGTCTTCTCCACGCTGGTGATGAGCGACTGATCGAAGAAGAGCTGGCCAACGTGCGAGATGGTGCCGCCGGTTAGAACGGTGCCGTATGACTTGACGGTGCTTGAGGCATTCTGGTGAGCGAGGACTGTAACGGTTTGTCAGTCTTGGAAACGAATTGACGAGGCTGACGCGCTGAGATTACCGTGAATGTGCGGGGTACGCCCGGTGTAGTGACCAGGGAAGATGCCATCAAATTGAAGGACACCGTCAGTGTCACTGAACTGAATGCCGCGGAGCATGGGGTTGTCGATGTTGGTCTTGTCATTAGTGTTGCCGTTACCACCAGCATTGACACCGCCGTAGACACCCTGTATTGGTCAGAATGTGCAAGTAATCTCTACGCTGGTGGGAATACACTTACAGTGGAATTGCAGTACCACGCCTCGAGCGCTACGTTCGATACAGGCATGCACGTGTTAGTGTCGATAAGCTGAACATCAAAAGTCAAGGGAACACCCTTCTGACCGTCAGTGATGTCCTTGCGAACCAGCTCGCCAGTGACGTCTGAAAATGGGATTAGCACTTCTCCGTATCCCATGTTATATTTAAGGCTCGACTCACAGTAAGGACCCTCGGTGGTCTCTGGCTGCAAGATGCATGAGTTGTTCGATCCGAAGATATCAGCAGCGGAGCTGTCTGGGGTGACGTTCTTGGTCGACTTGTGGTCTTTGTTCAGCACATCAGTCAAGCTGCGGCGCTCAAGTCCGCGCTTTGCTTGCAAATGCTGAACCTGCTCGATGCGGCGTTTGATCATCATATGATCACGAGCCTTGATGGCATCCGCACAGTGAGAGAGCGAACGGTACTCTTTACTGCTACGGTATTCAGCTCGCTCTGCAATTTCAGCTGCAATATCATGGCCTGGATGGGCAAGCGATGGGGCAGCTGCGAGTGCCGCAATGAAGAGAGAAGTGAAGTGGACCATGTTGATTTCGTGCAAGAAAGCAATAGACTGTGATCGAATCTGGTTGACTTGAGCAGCTGCAGACTTTCCGTGCGAGCAGTTTTCAATTTATATATTCTCGTGTCCCAACTTGAGGTAGAAGTCATAGGGGCTGTTGCATAACCGTTGTCGCTGTGATAGACCCAACAGCAACGGCACCCACCGTGCCAAGCTGCGTTTCACGGTTGTTTTCATCTCCTAGATTAACAGCATCGCGAAGTTGACCGGGTCCTGTGCGGTAAGATAGATTGCACAAACAGTCCTTCCTGCCTAGGTATGCTCCGATTCCTGGAGTATCGTCCTCCGATGCGGCTGAACGACAGAGGACCCACTGCAACCCATGCACCTAGAAAACAAATTCCATGAAGTTGCGTCAGCAGTTTACAAGCGACATGATTGGATTTTCCAATCGGTTACCTTCCTTTACGGCGATGTTGACCCCGTTTATGCCCAGACTTTCCTACCTGGGGTAGCAGCTCGTTCAGCCAATGGGAGCAAAGGCGTCGTAAGCTTCGAGTTGCGCCGTCACGGATTCGACCACGCGACACGTACTGCATGCTCAGAGTACTTTAGTATGTACAGTCCCTTCTAATATCAAGTTCTTGGCCGACACATGTTCATTCCTTGGTCAACCTCGCTTGCTGAAGCTTGAGCTGCACAACATCCTCTCCCAACGTGCGAATCACTGACACTGCGCAGGATAAATTGTCCCCGACTAGATGGCCTTGGAAGCATGCTTAAGTCTCTTGATCAAGACCTCCGGCGTGTCGACTCTACTATACAACCGTCGCAAGCGATGCAGGAAACTGACTTTTGACATCGACGATTGCGGACTACGTCCTGAGACGCGCAATTCATCCGTTGCCATATTTCCGTTGCCGCGCTAATAGCGAGCGCAAATCTTCACCTTCTCAGGAAAATTTGAGCGCCCAGAGTGTGGTCTTTGGCAGCGGTGTAGCAAACCTTGGACGAGAACCCTGTAGGGCATCTGTAGAAGCTAGGACCAGAAATCAGCAGTCGTACACATGCACGTTATGAAGTACATTTCAAACCCTTCAGTGGGTGCTGTAGAAGCAACCTCGCCAGACCACCAACACTCGATGCTTTACGTCCAGACTGGGGATGTTCTGCAGTACGTCAAGTCTGGAATAGAGATTGTTCATATTGTTAGTCATTAAAGACATTGTGTATTTACTTATAAGCTTGCCCAGTCTCCAACTGACAACATGTGGGGATCAAGGCCACGGGGCCCATGTGGAACAATGCTTAATCTCTCGAGGTCAGGACCCACATACCGCTTCACCATCTGCCCGTCCGCTCTTATCATCACATGCGCTTCCGAGAAGTCGATGTACCAGCCGTGGTCCTGTTGGCGGAAGGTGTTCCGCACCAGCTGGCAGGTGCCGCCCTAGGCACTAGCCCTATATAGAGGCTCCGCCGAGCCTGACCAATTCATCACTCTTACACTCAACTTCATGTTTCCTGTACGTTTCAAGCCTACTTTCAACAGGTCCCTCATTCCAGGTGATGCCAAGGACCAAAAGTCATGGTCAACTATCGTAAACTTATCTCCAAGAATCTTCCAATCCATCACCTACAGTCCGGCCCGCACTCGAATGAACACCCCGGAAACATTCTCAGCGCAAATTACGGAAGTGAAGATTTCTTTTCTTTATATTCAGCAACTTCACGACGCATCAACTCTGCAGCATATTCGTAGACTCCCGTAGCGTCTGACAGTTCTAACCGAGGCCTGTTCTTGTGGCGAAAAGTGGCGAGGTATAGGAGATATTCATGAAATGAGGAAGGTGGAGTACGGAACACCGGTTTTTGCGTAAAGGGATAATGCGTGCCTACATCATCATATCGATAGTCTGCATATATCGCACGATAATACTTCCGAAAAGGGGAGCTCAGCGTGAGAGACGCATGTAGCACAGCTCAATGGCAACTCGATGCATGTCACGCGTATCTATTGCGATTTGATAGGGCACTCACATGGAGGGTGAATTGCCGGCGTTACATGTGCGCCGCTTACTGCATCTCAGTGGTCATAACCAAATTGCGCCTCCTGTTTCCATCATCAACAGTCTGGTAGGGGCCAGAGGGTCTGCGTTGGTCCTTCTGCGAGATCGCCCAGAGTCTCGTCAGGATTCCCTACCAGAATCAAATAGGCATGTCATCACTGATGTTAAGGGGAAATGGCTCATGTAAAGGTCTTGTCGCAAGAACTCGCGATTCTCCGTTCCAAGTGCGACTTCTCCTTGTATTTTATGCCCCAAGTAGCTCGTTTGCGAACTTTAGCCGCAGGAGCGCAAATTGAAGCATGAAATTGCAGCCTCGTGAACCTCAAATGGACGCCAAGGCAGTGACGCGTAATACTACCGTTTTGACTTTTTCTACTTCCCACAGCATGAGCGATGCGATGACTGTGCCATGGACGGAAATATATGGTGATCTCTCGTCAATGTTTGCATCTCAACATCCCTCTACCACCGTACGCAAGGAAGGCTTTAGCAGCACGACCGAGTTGCAAATTAGATATGATCACCATATCTTCGGCATCTACGATCTTCACATGAATTAGGTGGTGCGCGTCTTATAGAAACCCACAGTCGTATCTGTGCAGCACGATAAATCCTTATTCGAGACCTCCGAGTCACGGTCCATGTAAGAGTACACCTTTAGCTTGTCTTAATCTCCCATCAATGTTTTCCAATCGCTTTTCGAGTCGCCTCCAGCGGTGGATCTGTAGTTACTATCAGAGAGATGGACTAAAAAGCCCTTGTCTATCTAGTTTCAATGCAGCCGACATGGTGTTATCCATAGACTAGGCAAATTTCTTCCACGCCTGGCACAGATACCTACTAGATTGAGTGTATTGCTTATATGTGTAGACCCACACAGATAATTCATGGAAAATTCACTGTGAGCATGGGGATAGCCGTGATCTCTTTAGAAGCCACCGCTCTCTCCATGTACATGTGCATCCGTGTTTTTATTTGCGATATTACACCGACCCTCCATCAAGCATAGGTGTTCAGGTCTTTTGTTCCATGGGGGATATTCTTGGAAGTTTTAGTAATTGCGAACGTAGCGAAGATCGTGTGGACCAAGGAACGAAAAGCAACGAATTTATATATCGAGTTTTCGCCTTAAACAACAGTCTGACAATAGTGATGCGTCGGAAATTGTACATTACGCTGCCCGAGATCTCTATGTTGTTTCGCACAGGTACGGATAGCCGGGTCCATGAGAATACAAGAACCCCGAGTTTCGAACACCCATGCAGGTATGATGTGGCGATGCTTAGGATTTTGGGCAGGCAGGGTCTCTCCATGAATTACATTCTGGAATCTTTCAGACATCCATGTTGCTCTCCGCTGTGCCCAGAAATTCCCATGCCATGCTGTACTGTGACATTTTAAACGCCCCGAGAAGGCTGCCACATAGGTATAGTAGATGAATCTTTGAGACACGCAAAGAAAGCCGCATGGATAGCTCATTTTGAGACACCGAGACACTCCCATGATTCAAAGCTATCCTTTTCCCAGACACCCGCGTGTTCCCATGTACCGTTTCCGAGAAAACCTTTCGTCACCGCCAGCAGCGATGACGGAAGTGTGAGGAGCAACAGCTTATTGCTAATCTGGAACGTCCACATCTCACTCCCATACAAGAATCGCAGTTGCATCTTGAGAACCCGAAGCAGTCCGTGTAACGTCCAAGCGCAATTTTAGACACGCACGACACTCCACATACGCAGAGCGCAGTGGGTTTTTAAACGCACACACACATACGGTGGTACCCCATAGATCCGTGTGCTGAACGTTTTTGACCCGAATCGAAGTCAAGAGCTGTGAGGAGCAAGAACAGCAGAGGATGCAAATATATATACACCCCAAGTCGTTCCCATGCATCACTGAACGAACATATCTCGGCACAGCTGCGCCCAGCACCGCACGGTGAATGCATTTCCAGATACCCCATGCTTGCAGACCGTGGATCTTTGGGACCGCCACAGCGCAAATGCCCGTGCGTTGATATCGAGTGCATTTTAGACGCCCATTGCCCTCCCCATGTCCTGAAAGAATCCGCCACTTCCATCAACAATCTTGCTATCAGTTTTGATCGCTATCAGCGCAGCGAAGGTTAAAGTGTGAGAATCAAAGAAGATGAACAAGCAGAGGCCTTATATACCCAAATCTCTCCCTAAGCGACATGGGATGCTCGAAGCCTTGAATCCTGGAAGCCATTCGAGCAAGTGACCCACACCATTCACCCACCCGTGTTCGGTCTAGGCCAGCTACCCGTAGAATGTGCGTTTTGATGCCTTCGAGATACGTCAGCGACGGCGAGAAAGCGATACAGATCACAGAATCAGGCCAAAAGCGCACAATGAACTCAAGTTCTTAATTCTCTCCTTTCTTCTCACATCATAGTCACCCATTCATTAATCTCGCACGTGTCAAGTATCCTCCCTCCGCCCCAACCAAATGGTGATGCGCCATGCACCCTAAGGGTCCATCCCCTGGTATTCGACTCCAATCCGATGCACCCGTATCCAATTCCATTCCACCCAAGCCAAGCCCTAATCCTGACCGCATGTCTTTTTCGTCGACATGAACTGAGCTGAAGCGTACAACTACAAGTCACCGTGTTTGGCTGGTCCTGCGCTCCTTCCTTCTTCAACGTGGCCTCCACGATTCAAACAGGTCTTTAGGCCTAAGGGAGGCCAAAGCCGAGGTGAAGCCAGTGGTCCATTCGCGGTGGTCGCGCGAGCAGCCGAGATGGCCGCTCAAATCGGAAATGCTTGTCACGAAGTCCTTGCGAGCGAGCAAGCGACGCACAGGCCAAGCCGGTAAATGCAATGCTAAAGTATGAGTTAAGACATGGTAAAGAAGCGAATGTCGTGAAGTTTATAAAATGCCCAGCCGAGGCTGGTTCGAAAGTCGTGAGGCGTTCCGTGTTCCGTGGAAAGGGTCGTCTCGATCAGTTTCGTTTTGCAAATCTTTTGTCTAACAGTCTGTCCAAATATGTAGGATTCTTTCAAGGCTTCGTCCCCTGACTCTGCGGACGGCTGCCGGGCTCAGGGCTGGCCTCGACACCCTCCATTGGCCCTTCACTCTTCTCGCCGTCCTTCGACTTTGGGAAGTTACCGTCCGCCGCAGTCGGTGTGCCGAGCATCTCTTTCGGATATGGCTCGAGATCCTTGGTGCTGGTCGAGAACGTGGAGATGACTGGCGTGTAAGCCCCGTGCTGGGCTTGAGTGGGGGTTTTGGCTTCAGGACCAGCAGAGACTGGAGACAGCAGCCCTTCGAGGCTGTTTGGTTCTTGCTGTAATGCAGTCCCATTCATCAGTCCGTTCCAGCCTCCTTCGATATCACGGAGCAGCCGGACGTACTCCTCGGGTACCAAGCCGCTCTCGCCAGTCTTCGGATCCTGCGCCACGAGCCAGCCTTGTCCGTGTCGATAGGAAACCAGTATGATTTGTCCTTCCACAAGCGGTAACTCATTGTCGTTTTCGCGTTCGAAGTCAAATAGAGCTACGGCTTTTCCGTGCATTTCCTCGTCAGGCGAAACAATTGTGAACTGGTAATCTCGCGAGAAACGGCTATCATCATTGAGGAAGTTCTCGTTTTCTGACATCTCTTCATCGGAGTCGTACGGTGGCCCCTCGTCGGTGTAGGCACGCTGTGGCAGGGTTGTCGCGAAATGTGAGTCTCGTCGCGATGCGCCGGTTGGGACTTCCAGCGATGAAGACTGCTCTGGTGGGTATGTGATGTACTCTCCGCCTGGCCCATTCGCTTCTTGAAGGTCGTTCACATAGTAGATGTGATTACCGTCGCCGTTCGCCCCCGCGTAAGAACCCCGCTCTCCCGGGAAGCCCCTTCGGCCGCGGGTCTGGTCAAAATTGACAATGTTGGACTTGTGCTTCTTGTGGCGCGTGTGACTAGTGACCACCGGGCTCGATATCTCTTCATCCTCTTCATAAGGCGGGCCTCCCTCATACGCAGTCATCGGCAGCTGCTCTCCGTCTCCCGTGTCCCACGATCCAGTCCCAGCAGACCATCCACGGTCATCGTGCCAGGCAACTGCCGGCGGGTCCGAGAGCCTCCTGCTGACTTCACTGGCAGGTGTAGAGATATCAGAGGGGTGTTCCGGGAGGGGCCCGTAGAAGAGAGGATGCAGCGGCCCATACGCAAAGTCCCGCACTAGGCTGTATGGAAGACTCGAATGGAAGATGGGAAACGCGGTTGATTGTGGTCGTGACCGCGTGTGTATGGACTGCGAAGCGGAAGCATTAGAGAAGGTGGAGAGGCGCTTGTTGGCATACGAGCTTGCCCGTTCAAGCTTGGCCTTGGACGGCGGGGATGTGACGAGCGGAGGAAGGGAGGTGCGGTTTGCGTTTGGCGAGGTAATAGAGGCTGGCTCGCTCCGAGGTGACAGCACGTCGGCGGCCATGGCGGAATGCCTTTGCTTTGGACGGCCTCGGACGGCGACGCCTTCGGTGATGCCAGCGAGGCGTCGCGCGTCGATGGGGGTCTCGGTGCGCGTGTCGGTCATGCGAGGTAGTGTATGTCTATGGTATAGGCTTCGACTGTCAGCGGTGAAGGGCTCGTGTGTGCGTGTTTATGAGTGTAGTCAGTCCCGCAGGCGCGCCAATGGAGGTTGGAAGCGCAGTCCAGCGTGAAGGCACAGGTAGCGGCACCGCCAGTGGCATATGAGCGCGACCAGGCAGTTTTCGGGCGGTGTGTTGCTCGGACACGGCGGGAGTGTACCTGGCAGCGGTTCGGGAAGGCTGATTTGCGAAAGCGCTGGCAATGGTTCGGTGGTTGTTTGGAGAGGGCGGCAGCCAATGGGCCGGGAAGGAGGGCTTGAGATGTTCTGGAAGAACGATGGGGACGAGTGGTGCGCCCGGCGATTGGGAGGCGCGCCCGTCGAGGCTCGCAATATTTGCACAGCAGCGGCTGGGGAAGCGCTGGCTGGGGGTGTTGCGGGGACCTGGCGCTAAGACTTACCCAGTGAACGGCCAAAGGATGGCGGCGCGGCTTGTTTGCAGCAGCGCGGAGGTGCAGAGAGGGCGAAGAGAGGCGGCGCTCGCGGGGGCGGACTCTGAGAGATTTGTCGTGTGGCGAGCGGGCAGATGCGCTCGAGGTGTTGCTTGTGCTGAGCGGCGGGCGCGGTTCGTCGACGATGGATTGACTGCAGGCTGCTATTTTTGGCTCACAGTGCTAGCTCGGCCGCCAGCAGAGCTGTTTCAGGTGGAGAAGGGCAGGCAGCACGCGCGCAGAAGCACGGCGGTATGGTGGACATGAAAAGGTATATCTCTTGCAGGCGTACGCAGCGGCGGCCAGAGCGCTGCGGCGTCGGGGCTCCTGGTCTTCGCGTGCTTGGGTCTTTCCCTCACGAGCGTGGCCTTGCTTCTTTCTGTCTAGCCCAGGCCAGACGCCACCGCGAAGATGAAACACCTAACGCGAAGGGACTCGACAGCCAACAACGAACCCTAGCGGTGAGGCATCACGCGCGCTGCTGATGAAGCAGTTCCGCCGTGGTGCTGACTGAGGTTTGACAGCAAGACGCCTGGGCAATGCCGCTCTGGCGCCGTTTCAGTCGCGGCTCGTGCATCTTGCATCGCACGCAACTTCTGACGAGCGTGACCGGGGACCGCTGCGGGATGCTAGCCGCTCTCGATGCAGCCGCGATAGCAGCCATGCTATCAACAGGAACAGGAAATTACATCAACAGAGACATGGCCTTCGTGAATAATGCCATTGCGCTGCGAGCGACAATGTCTGACATGCGGCTCGCAAGCATGGATTGATGCTGCAGCAGGTGCGATGGGAGACCCCGCAATCGACTGCCATATCAGACAGACAAGGATTAGCGCGCCAAGCTTGCAGACAATTCGCCCTAGCCCAACCTCACACACAGCTCTCTTTCTCTCTCTCATCCGCCTCCATCCTCCTACACCAACAACCATATACCCGGCGGCATTCTGCCTCGTGATCGCCGCTTTCCATACGCGGCTGAGGCTGCGTCAGTCTTTGACGTGGCGTCTCATTGTAAGTTGCCCTCTGCCGCCCTGCCCATTCGTGACGCCAAATGATGATTACCTTTATTGGAGCTGTCCTATTGTCCATGAGGACATTTAATATTACGCACTGAAAATTCTGATATCGCCGTTGAACCTCTGCTGCCAACCCAATACATGTAATTTGGCGAGCTTTCACTGACCGTGTGAAGAATTTGCAGCTCCGCGCGTCGAGGCAGGCACGACCCACTTCACTATCATCGCCCGCACGTTGCTTCACCACCATGTCGGACCCTCGGCTGCGAGCGCGAGCTCAGCAGCAGCAACCACTTGCACCCGCGCCCCCACCTCCTCCACCGCCGCCCATGGAGCCCCCGGTCGCCCTTGATGGCGCCAACAATGCAGCACATGATGACCAAGGAGCGACTGCCTCCAACTCCGACTTTAAGCTCAAGTTCTGTACCGTATGTGCTAGCAACCAGAACCGGTACGTCGTCTCCTCGTTGCTGTCTCCGCGTCTGGAGCTAACTCATGTAGCTCAATGGAAGCTCATCTTCAACTCGCCGCCGCAAACCTTCCTACCATCTCCTTTGGCACTGGCTCTCTAGTCCGCCTCCCAGGGCCCAGCATCACCCAGCCTAATGTCTACAAGTTCAACAACACTACATACGAAGCTATACACCAGGAGCTATCAAATCAAAACGCCCAGCTGTACACCGCAAATGGTTTGCTGAACATGCTCGGTCGCAACCTCACCATCAAATCGTACCCTGAGAGGTTCCAAGACTGGGTGCCAGGCAAGCCAAGGCTTGAACACAAGGACGACCAAGGGTATGCGGGCACGGAGTCTGGCGTCGTGGATGTCATTATCACGTGTGAGGAGCGCTGCTTCGATGCCGTCCTGGAGGACCTGCACAACAAGGGAGGCAGGATGAACCGCCCCGTTCACGTTTTCAACGTCGACATCCGAGATAATCACGAAGAGGCGCTCGTCGGCGGGAAAGGCATTCGCGAGCTTGCGATGATGTTGAACGATGCTGCCGCGCAGGAGATGGAGACACACGGCGACAGTGGCTGGGATAGCGGCGGCGGTAATGCCCGTGCGGGCTTTGACGAGCGCGTACCAGATATTCTTGCTGCCTGGCAGGAGAAATGGCCGAACCTCCCGGCTATCTGGAGTTTGGCTTGGTTTTAGGGAATAGCGTACTACCATGGTACAGCGAGGCGTTTACGACTTTACGGATTCATGATACCCAGCATTGGCACGGCGTCACTCAATGAGACAACTACTTTTTATCGAGGCTTTTTGCCTCTTGCGCAACACTTTACATCTTCGCTCGTAAATCTTTTCGTGTCTCATTCGTCTCCTTGCATTTCTCCATTTCGTCGGCTTAATACTCAAAGTCGATTCTTATATCACAGTGCACATATGTCCGGCATCGTTTAGTACCCAGCGTCAACAACACGCATACAGACGCTGGCATCCAGCATCTCGCCATGACAAGGCCTCCTTCGGAGACGTCTGCTTAGCTCCAACAACGCCACTTGCATCCTTTCTCCGGGCTACATCAAGGATCAATAGCTGTCTTCGTGAGCTTTCGCATATATAATGACCTTCTGGTAATACCAAACCGCCAGTTGAAAACAGGGAAGCCAAACACAAACTCGATCTCCCACAAAACCCCAAGATCAACATATTTCCTCGTCAGCAGCAATTGCGTGACTGGTCACTGGTAACAGCTGTTGCTATATGCAGTCTGGTGATCAACATTGCCTCAAGAAGGGAGGGGCGTCTTGTCTCGTCGGAACGTTGTTTGGGTTGGTAAATCGCTTACAGCATTCTCATTTACCCATCTTGACACCGATTCTCTCTAAGAATCTCTTCGCGGTGCTTACAGGCGGTTTAGCAATCACTCCGACGACACAAGCCATTGGAACTGCAGCTGCAAAGTACACCCAGAAAAGCTGACCTCCAGGCCGAAAGTCGTCTGACATGCTGAAAAGCGACGCAATGTAGCTCAGTGGCAGGAACACGACCGCCAAGATCGTGAGGCGCGTGACATTCTCGGTTTCTGTGAGCGAGCGACGTCCCTCGATCAAGGCAGCAGTTGACGTGACAACCGAGACCATAGCCTCCAGCCGCTCACCATGCTCCGCTACTTCGGTCCGGATGAACTCGAAATCATCGACGAGCACGTCCCAGTCCTCGTTCGGCTGCTTGGGGTCCACGTGGTTTTCGATGAAGCGGACGGTGCGTCGTAGTTTGGCTTGCGTCGAGAGAACGCGTCTTCGCCATCCCTGCAAGATGCGCAGATTTGTGTTCAACTTATCGAGCTGTGCGATCAAATCACCGGAGAGGGTGGTCGATAGCTCGTACTCTCGAACGCTCAGTCCCATGACTGAGATGTAGTTTACCCACTCAGCAGCTACAATCTTCAACGGATAGTATGAGATATCTCGCAACCCCGGCTTCGACGCCGTGAATATCTGAGGCGCTTCTTGGGTCCAGTAATGAACCAGCTCGTCAAGCATGCAGCGGCCTGGTGTTGCAGTCGAACTGTTCTTCTGGCCCTCTATAGTTGAAGATGTTGAAAAGTCTTCGCATCCTCCAAGAAATGGCTTCGTTCTAACATTTGTTTGTGAAGGCCCATGTTTTCTTGACGCGGTGTAACTGTCTGGGACTGGTGCGTCGACGAGCACAATACCTGTACACACTTAACGCACGCTTGATATTCTGGATTGAACCATGTACCAGTCCATTCTTTATCAAGCCCATCTACCACGAGGACCGAACAACCATGCTGTATCAAACCAATTCTTTCTCCACGCATTGCCGGCAAGATAATTGCCTTTCGTGGCTGATTGCAGTCCAAAGTGGAAGACTTCAATTTTGTATCGTTTGGCTGAAACTTTACAATACGGTGGTATTGTAGCGACAAGAAGCTGGACTTCTTGTCGCGGGATGGCAGCGAGCAGTTGTTAGGGCTCTGGCTGCTAGTGCTACGCCATGGTTGATGTAGATAGGAGGCGAAAAACCATGGATCGATGTTGAAGAATAAGCCGAGTGTCTCGATGGTATACTTCGATGCATCTTCAACCAAGAAGATCCGTCCAAAGCGGTCATTTGCTGGCAAGTTCTTGGAGTGATCCGACATCTGCTGCAGTTCGCTACGGAGATTTCTCACGGAGACGTCACGCACAGTAGGCGGCGTCGGTGCACCAACATGCTCTAAGCATACGATGCGGGAGCGATCGCGCGGTGGGCCAGGTTGTTGTAGGAAATCATAGAGATCTGTCAGACAAGGGTTGCGTTGCGTCTGGGCCCAGACTCGGTTGGAATACATCAGGCTCAATTCGAAATATCAAGCCAAACTGCCTGACGCGTTTCAAGACTTTGATATTATATGTATCCTTGAAGGCTAGTACTTCCGGTGAGAGGCTGAGAACTTGTTGCCTAGCTGCGGCGCACGTCGTGTGACGTGCGAGAGATCGATGCGGAGCTGATTCTCAAAACAAGCAACAAATGCCAACTGGGCTGGACGATTTCGATTGAGTACCACAGATGAGCAAGTTTGTGTGAGAACGGGAATTCGTGCCACAACTTCTCGCAGATGAATCGAGCGTGCGTCAAATACATAAGATCGTGAGGCAAGTTGGTTTTGGCCCCTAAAGTATCGTGCCATTTTCAGCGCCGCATAGATCGGGCTAGCTGCACGATCTCGAACTTAGCTTGAGCTACAAATGAGGGCAGCGTCCCTACAACTGCGATTACGGGGTCCAGATTTTGAGACCTCATTCAGCGCGCGACAGCTGGAGTCTCAACGTTCACGGAATTGCCATTGTCCATACCTAATTCTTCCACAATGTATAGACCTGTACTGTACCCTAGGTAAGCTTCGTCAAGTCAACACGTTTGAGACGCAGTCATTTCATGCTGTAGACTCTGCGCGTGAGACGAGGTCCATCGCTGGCATCTAATTCCTACCAAAGACATTGAGGATTCTCTAAATACTTAACTTATTGTCAGCCAGACCAAAACACATAGCGCACGTAAGTCTACTTTCTAGCTACACGTTTCCACACAAACACATCCGTCGTGTATACAAGAGCGGCTGCTCAGGATCATGTGACAAGTACGAAGTTCAAAAGACACGAGGAAAGCAATCGATCGCAAGACGGCAAGCGAAGGGGGATCCTTCCGAGTGCGCGGTCGATCGATAGGAGCTGAGGTATCACTCGAAAGCTGGCGGTCTATGGTTCGACGGTTGAGAAGTAGCATACGAAAAGCTTTGCATTAGGATAAACATAACAATTCAACGATCTAAAATTTCATCGCGATTCATATCTGGTGTTGAAGATTCGGCCAGCACTGACTTGCAAGAAATTAGCGGACCTCGGGAGCGGGTTAAGCGTGCCTGCCTGTTGGGGTCTTAGCGCCCATCCCCACACTGAACCACTGACGTCCGGCGATCGGTTACTGGCGGCTCTGCCTTCCCCAGCTTATCCCCTCAGCCGCGGTACAACCGGGTTTGCTTCTTACGACAGTGTCAAGATCAATGCTGCGCTCTATTACTCTGTCTACGTAGAAAACAACTTAGACGACGCGCCGTTCGTGTACGCCCAAGCTAGGTCGTGACCTACAATGGCTCCCAAAGCCCCCTCCCGCGAGGCATTGACAATGCTTAAACATTCCATCCGGCCTTCAAGCGCCCTCCGTTCGCAGTCGCAGTGCCGTATCGTACATCCCTTCGCTGGCCCTACGCCTCGACTCCAAGCTCGGCCTCAATTCTCAAGGCAATCGCCGCGTGGTGTAGCTACGTACACGCATGCTCATCATGCCGAAGCTGTCTCCGTCTTACCGACCAACGTCGACACCAATGCAGAGGACTTTAAGGAGAATAAAAGACAAATGGAAGAAGCGACCGAGGCTCTTGAACAGCTTCACGCCAAGATCGCGCAGGGCGGACCTGAGAAGGCGAGAGAAAAGCATATCCAGCGAGGCAAAATGTTTGTCCGGGATCGCATCACGGCGCTGATCGACCCAGGAACTCCTTTCCTAGAGTTCAGTCAAATGGCAGGGTACGAAATGTACAAGGGTGAAGATGTTCCGGCTGGTGGCATCATTACGGGTGTCGGGACTGTGAACGGCGTGCAGTGCATGATCGTTGCGAACGATTCGACAGTCAAAGGTGGAACTTACTACCCTATCACTGTCAAGAAGCACTTGCGAGCACAGACTATTGCACAGGAAAATCGCCTACCCTGCATCTATCTCGTCGATTCTGGAGGCGCAAATCTTCCCAATCAAGCCGACGTTTTTCCCGATGTAAATCATTTCGGGCGCATCTTCTACAACCAGGCCACTATGTCTGGTATGGGCATTCCGCAGGTCAGCGTGGTCATGGGCCCGTGTACTGCCGGTGGCGCCTACATCCCCTCCATGAGCGACGAAAGTATCATCGTGGAGAACCAAGGTCATATTTTCCTCGCTGGTCCTCCCCTTGTCAAAGCTGCAACTGGTGAGATTGTCTCAGCAGAGGACTTGGGAGGAGGAAAATTACATAGCGAAATCTCTGGCGTCACCGACTCTCTCGCTGTCGACGACGCCCACGCGCTCGTTCTTGCACGGAGGAGCGTCGGCAATCTCAACTGGCACCGCAAGCAGACTTTCTCTCCCTCTGCGCAACCAACGATCCAGGAGCCGCTCTACGACCCCAAGGAGCTCTCCGGAATTGCGGGTACCAACCTAAGACGACAGATCCCCATTCACGAAATCATAGCGCGCATCGTTGACGGCTCCGTTTTTTCTGAGTTCAAGCCCCTCTATGGTCCCACCCTCGTTACAGGATTCGCCAAAATTTACGGCCATCCCGTTGGTATCGTTGCGAACAATGGCATTTTGTTCTCTGAGTGTTCGCTTAAGGGTGCGCACTTCGTCCAATTATGTGGAAAGCGACAGATCCCCTTGATCTTCCTTCAAAACATTAGCGGCTTCATGGTTGGCCGAGATGCGGAAATGGGTGGCATTGCGAAGAATGGTGCTAAGCTCGTGACGGCAGTGAGCTGCGTGGACGTACCGAAGTTCACCGTCATTGTTGGAAGCTCAGCAGGCGCTGGTAACTATGGCATGTGGTATGTTTTGTCTCAGCTTTGTCTGCTCACAGCTTGAACTAACAAACAACAAGTGGTCGCGCTTACTCGCCTCGATTACTTTTCGCCTGGCCCAATGCGAAAACCTCGGTTATGGGTGCAGAGCAGCTCTCTTCGGTCATGGAAGCAGTTGGCAAGAAAGTAGATCCTGATCTCAAAGCGCGCATAGAGCGAGAGAGCGAGGCCACGTTCGGGTCGGCGCGGTTATGGGACGATGGCATCATTCCACCTGAGCACACAAGAAGAGTGCTGGGTATGGGTCTTCAGATGGCGCAAGGAGGCCAGAATCTGGGCGTCGAGAGGGAAACAAAATGGGGTGTATTCAGAATGTAAAAAGGGTATCGCAGACAGATTGGTAGAAGCTGAGCAAGCGTTTCCAGCCCTTTCCATATTCCAAGTGTCTCCGACTGCTTCCAACGTTCATTTTCACGCGTATGTGTATGTGGAAAGCTAACATAGACCGAGTAGAAACTTTGGAGCACGAATCTAGGGCGAGTGCATGGGTGGTGGGCCTCACAGCAAGCTAAGCGCAGCATGATGTGGCGCAGCAGCCTGGAAGCCGGCCGAACAGCACAGCGAAGCTATTGCATACAACACGCTCTCCAGTATTCCTAGTATTTGGCCGCAAAGTCCCTTCGCCAAGTCCTGCCGATCCACCTCAATTACTCGAAAACCCCAGAAACCAGGACCTAATTGCAAAGATGGCAAATTCCGCCTCGTCCCTGCCACCAATACCCTCGTTCCACCTTCTATGCATGGAAGAAAAATATATCACCGTATTCGAATCCGCGCGACAAACCTACAATCTCCCCACTTCCATCTCCATCACATACCAGAAAGGAACTCTTGCTTCGCTTCCTCAAGATGTCCGATTCGACGCCATCGTCTCGCCCGCAAATTCTTACGCTCGCATGGACGGTGGTTTCGACGACGCTTTATCGCGCGCCTTCTCGCCCAAAAATGATTATCTCGCGCTCACGCGCGTCGCGCAGGGGGCAGTGTACAAGGAGCACCGGGGGTTTCTTGCACCGGGGAGTTGTCTGCTGGTCTCCTTAGAAGATGAGAGATTGAGAGGGAGTAGTGAGAGGTGGGGATGTAAGTGGTTGGCGCTATGTCCGACGATGAAGGTGCCGCAGCGCGTGGACTGGGATCGAGAGGTCGTGTATGAGTGTGTTTGGGCGCTGTTGGCGGCAGTGGACAGGCATAACAAGTATGTGGACGATGGAGAGGGAAAGAGCGAGACAAGGATTCGAAGGATACTGATGACGCCGTTGGCCACGGGTTATGGGAGATGGAGTGCGGAGCGGTGGGCTGCGCAGACCGTATTAGCGATGAAGCATTTTCTTGAAGCGGTTAACGCGGGGGACAGATGGAGCATTATGGGGGCGACGAGGGTTATGGGCCATGTGGGTGAGGTGGAGACGACATGGGAGCTATAGTTGGTATCCCAGAGGATGTGTATCCATTGAAGTGACCAGCGTTATTTGGCCGCATCTCAGGTACAGTATTTCTGTCCTTCAGCAGGATTGATAATCCCAAGCTCAATTAAACGCTGATAGTTCCAATAATCACCCTGCACCCCCTCGCCCTCAACAGGAACGTTTCCAAAGAACTTCGCTGTCCAATAAGCACTCCCCTGCGTGTATTTGCCAAATGCGTACAGTCCCGTGTTGAGGTTCTTTCCACGGTTTGCAAACCGGTTATTCGTCGCGGTCTGGATGGACCACTCACCCACAAACACAGGAAACTTGCCATCCCCGGCAGAAGCTTTAGCATCAGAGCATATATCTATAGTGACTGTATCGGAATCCGTAGGTCGTCCGGCAAAGTAATAGTTATGGACGTCGAAGACCAGGTTGGTACTAGCGGAGAACTTGGGAGACCAGTATGCTTCGCCCTTGAAGCTGCCCTGGAACATGATCGGGAGTTTTGGGTTTGCGGCCGTGACTTTGGCAATGACTGCGTTGATGTACTTCAAGGTCCATGCCGCTCCGTTCTCGCTCAAAGCTGCAGGGCTCCCGAAGGTCGGCAGATCCGGGTTATCGACTGGTTCGTTGATAGGCTCGAAAGTGTATGACTGTGGAGATCCAGAGTTGTGGATGAATGCGATAGCGGCATCCACCGCTTTCAGCGAGTAGTCGAGGTTGGTCTGGTTATTAAACCACCCGAAGTGGCCTTCAGCTTCGCCGAAACCCATGCCGTTTACACCGCCAGGGAGGGAGTGGAGATCCACAACGATGTGCATATTGTACTTGGAGATAGCGTAAGTCGCTATATTCTTGAGAAAGGAAAGCTGATTGCCGGAGTACAGTTGGCTTCCTGGAATCTTGAGCCATGCTGCGTACGTGGTGGGAATCCGAAGCAGAGCGATACCGTGAGCAGCTAGATCGTCGATGTCCGCAGGCTGGATGTAGGTGGCGTATCGGCGCTCAAGTACTGGTCCACATTGCGATCCAAGTTGGGCACAGCAGGTCCATTCATCGGTCGTGTTACCGCAGTTCTGGCTCCAGAAGATAGGGTCGATAACAGCTTCTTGGGCGAGCCATCCACCGAGGTTGACGCCCGTAGCCTTGAAAGACTTCCAGTCAACGTAGCTAGCCTGGGTCTTTGCAGCTATTTTGGCTAGAGTGCTAGATGACAGGAGCGAGACGAGAGAAAGAATTTGATGAAGACGCATATTATCTTGTGTGTCAGGGTACAGTGTTTGGATTTGGCTTTGAAGCTTGGTAGGCAATTGATGAAACTCTGGAAGCTCGACCACATATATATACCGATTTTGAAGACTGTATCATCACTGTCAAATTCGATCATAACGTGGAGAAGCGCAGCCGAGCAGCGAGATACACTTACGACTTTCGAGTCGTCCTAGGCTCTCAGTTGCGACTCAAAGCCGACCAATTGGCAAAGCCTCGCAGGTATTTCGACGCCTTGACTTACCCTTTTGGAGAAGGAGACTAGGGGTACAACCATGATGCTCGGAGCCTATTGTTCCAGCATTAATTTTGCGGGGGCGAAAATCTGGGGTAAAGTGGAGACGGTTGTGCATTTTCGAGGTGGTAATCGAAATTAAGATCGTTCCCCACATCCCGACACCTACACACAACAATCCTAGCTACGCAGCATTACACATTGGTCATGGAGCTCGGGGTAAATACCTCCGCCAGTTCGTAGAAACGACCATTTGCTGCGACGACTCGGTCATCACAGTTTTGACTTCTTCATCTCCCCCCTTAACTTCTCTTGGATCGGCCCTAACAACGCCTTCAATCCTGCTGCCATCTCCGCCTCATTCTGCCCTGTCCCTTCCGCACTCGGCGGCGCAATATTCCACTCGGGTATTACCCTTGTCCCCGCCATGCTAATCTCGAATACCGTGCCACAGCCATACTGCTTCTTCTGGATCAAGTCCAGCATTCCCCGCGCCACATCATCTGGCTTCAGCGCCTTGTTCTCATGGAAAGAATATTGCTCTTTCTTATCATTGGTGAAGAGTGGGGTGTGCACAAGGCCAGGGCAAATCGTTGTGACTTTGACGCCGGTAAAGGACTCAGAGGCCGTCATGGACTTAACGAAGCCGATGATGGCGTGCTTAGTTGCGCAGTAGAGGGGAGCGGCGATGCTGCCGCCGAGACCGCCAATGGAGGCTATGATGCAGACTGAGGCGCGCTTTCCGCGCTGAAGACTCTTTTTGATGGCGAGACGGGTTAATTTTATGGGGTGAGAGACGTTGATGTCGACTTGAGCGTAGCCTTTATCTTGTTCGGGGTCTTGCCAGAAGTTGGAGAAGGTGGGCTCGAAGACGCCGGCGCATATACCTGGATTTGGAGTCAGTGGATACTGAAACAAAGAATTACGTTGTTCAGGAATATAGAAACGGAGCCTGCGCCGAACCTTGCGACAAGTTGTTGTGGAGGACATAATAGAGAGAGGCTTACCGTACGCATCAGGTACATCATTCCATTTCCTCTCGCAAGCATCGAACAATTTCAAGAAATCAGGCCAGTGCGAGACATCTGATTGTACGTATAACACATTGCTCTTTCCTGCGGCGCTCCTTAGTCCCACTCAAGATTCTACGTTGCACGTGACCCACCCTGCGACCAGCTCTCAAACTCTGGTGTCGTACGCAGATCAGCGACCAGAACCTTTGCACCGAGATCAGAAGCTTGCTTCGTCAAGCAAAGACCAATGCCTGCGCTACGTCAGAACTGTGCCTTAAGTATTGCTCGCGCGAGACTGACAGACCTGAAGCACCTCCTGTGATAAGTATGATCTTCTTGCTGTCTAGTTGGATGTCGACCGATTCCATCTCGAAGATTGTTTTACGGCGAACTAGGTATATGAGGAGAGGGTTCGGAGGGTCCGCGACGATACATGCAGGCAATACTTGGGGTTATAGAGCATCGGGTAACGGGTACCGAAGATTCGGTTGGCTGCTTGGATGCGGAGGAGTGGCGTAGAAGTGGATCTCGAGCGGCAGAGATGCAATGAACGATTGAATGTGGTTTAGGCGATGCGGGACAAGACACGAGTCATGGAGCTCTGTTGTGAGAATGGCGGGGCTGAAGAGGCAGGAGGAACCGGGGAAGCTTCCGGAGAGCCTCGGCTGGAGCCATCCGAAACACAATCTCCGACACGGACCTCACAAAGACGCGCGAGAAAGCGAGGGACTGTCGGAACATATCAAATCTCTCGGATTGATACGCATACGCGAAATTACTTTGTTTAGAAACTCCTTGCATGCGCCTGCACGATCTCCCCATCATCAATAACGACATACTCCACCCCAATCGTCACACTAATCGTATCCATACAAATCAACTTCTTCTCGTCTGGCTGAATCACCTTTTGATAATACGGATCCAAAAATGCAGCTTCGAAGTCCTCGTACTTGCGCACCCAGAAGTCGCCCATGCCGTCGTAGCTGAGAGGCGAGCGGCCGGTGGCTTCGAACATTTTCTTGCCCAGGGCTTTATGCTCGGAGGTAGTGTGGTACTGATTGGTTGTTAAGTCGATGTTATGCAAAGTACAGAGGAAGAGGTACTTGGACGTATCTCACAATGCCGCTGCGTCGCAGCCAGTCGGTTGCTAACGGACCGTGCTCGTATGCCCAGTATCTGTTGAATTCGTCTTCTGACATACCAGGGCGGCGGTTTACGAGAACGGTTACACGGATGAGTCCTTCAGTAGACATCGTGTGTGGTGGAGGATGTTACTTGAAATGCGGTGACAAGGATCCCTACTTACGAGCGCAGGAGATACGAGGTAAGTCATTTCAAGGCTGCGAATCGACAGGCTATATCGGATGCCAAAGACGCGGAAGTCATAGCCGAGCGCAAGATCCATTCGAGCTCACGCGCACGAGGTGATCCGGGCAGTAGACATGACCGGAAGATGGAAATCGGCCCAGCATCGGAGTCGGAGGTGGGAGCATTAGGGATTCAAGCTGGTCCAAACATGAACCGAGCCAGGCGACACACGAAATCAACGCGGGGTAGAAGTACCCATTGTTAGTACTCTTCAAGTGCAACTTGTGGTCAACGACACGAGCATAAGGTATCTGTGTCAGCCGTGGGTAATGCTACTTGCGAATGGTAAGTCTACTCTACAACACGGAAAACCGCATAATCCCAATTGCTGATATCTGGTACCTCATGCGAAGCATGTGGGTAGAAGGGTTATTTGAGATTAAGGTATAGTAGTATCTAGCAGTACCAGCCGCCATCGATAGGCATCGCAACCCCCGTGATAAACGAACTGGCGTCCGAGATCAGGAACTCGATAAGAGGCGGGACTTCTTTCTGATCTGCAGTCCGTTTCAAAGCGAGGAAGTCAGTATCCATCTTGGCCCCTCTGATCTCAGAAGACTTCCTAAACATGGGTGTGTCGATAGGCCCGCTGGAAGTATGTTAGCAAAATCTCAAGCTATTCATACAGGGACAACGTACGGGCAGATGCAGTTAACACGAATGTTCCTTGCACCTAACTCTTTAGCCGCACTTCTAGTCATTCCAACAACAGCATGCTTCGACGCAACGTAAGGCATAGCTTTCGCAGACCCGATGAGTCCAAGGATGCTGGCAGCATTTACAATCGCACCACCTTCGTTCATAACCGGTGCTTGAGCTCGCAGACAAAACATGAGGCCCTTGGTGTTGACATTGAAGATGAAGTCCCAATCATCGTCGTCGAGCTCGGCAACACCAGCCGTGTTGTTCTGTCGTCCGATTACACCCGCAAGGTTCGCGGCGCCATCCAACTTGCCGAATCTGGAGACGGTGGCTGATATCCAGTCTTCTACAGACTTTCTATTGCTGACATCGACAATCGTCGCCATGACTTCAGCACCAGAGGACTGGAGCTCCACTTCAAGATCCTTCAGTGGTTTCTCTTGGACATCGGCAAGTGATAATTTTGCGCCTTTGCTGGCAAAGAGGCGTGCAGTCTCGAGACCCATGCCGGAAGCTGCGCCTGTGATGACGATAACTTTGTCTTTGAGAGACATGTTGATAGTGTATAAGCCGAATTGCCCGTTGTTGCTATCGATGCTTTTTTTCAGTGATTGTATGCTGCTGATGTCCACCCATAAGGCCTATGTAGTACATATGAGCTGGCTGTGAACATAACCAGCACAACCGAACATCCATGATGGAGCATCGGGTAGTCTCCGAGATCCCGAGCCATGGTTGTAGTGGGGAAACACGAATAAGGGTGAGCTTTCCCGGGCAGATCGGAGGTTCGCGTACCCCGCAGTAGGACATCGGAGGCTTGGCAGTGAAGTGCACCTCTGGCGACTCGATGCGGCGACCATCACCCCATGCACCGCCGACCACACGCCTCCGCGAACGATGCGCGCCCCGTCACAGCGCATTGGTGAGAAGCTCGTTCGAGGCAGCTTGCTGACTCGATTTGATGCTACGCCCTCCGTGATCGCTCTCTTTAACGCTTTGCCGCTCGCGTCATGTCGTCGCTCTCGAATCTGATCTCCAGCGTTGCAAATAACCACACAAACGGCACTTTGAACGGCATTTCCAACCGTACCTCCAATGGTAGCAGCGGGAAGCGGCCTGTACGCACCGCAGGCGCTTCAAGCGGGTTCCCCGATCGGCTACGCGCCATCAGCCTCTCCGCGAAACTCGACGTAGACGCCATAGTCGGTGGTTAGCTCTCGGAATACATAATGACACTGCATGACGCGCAGAAGATGGATAACCCCAATACCAGGATGTTGCAACGTGCGATTTGCGCGCCTTTGTCCAGACGAAGTACAAGAAATTGGTTGATCGTCTACGCTGGACGCGCCGGGGTTTAACAGGTGGTGCATGGACAACGGTTTGCAAGGCTGTCCAGGCTGGATGCAAGATCTACCATGAGCACTTCGCCAGCCTGCTTCCGCAATCACATGTACAACATCGCGTTGCATTGATCTGGCTTGAGGTTAAGACGATCAACGTATTGTCACCTAAGGATGTAAAGCAGTATCCGCGCGATCAACCGAGCTACGAGACAAAGGAGCGGGTAGATCTGAAGCTGTTAACTACTAAGCGAGGATCCATGGGTGAATTTACTCGAAGATCGTTCAGATATGATTGTAATGAACTAGTTTGGAGGAGGATGGGTCGATGGTCACCGGCTTCGGTGACAAAGCCTCCGATGTGAGTGTTGACCTCTATGTTCGCAATGACGACGAGTGGGACTAGCTTCGCTCGTTACTCACCTTCGACAAGATCAAGCTCATGCTTGATGAGGAGTACGAAGGTGGTAAAATGCACAGCGTTTCGAGAGACCTGGCATTCGTGCTGTCCTTTTCTTGCTTAGAGATCATCTTAGTCGCGGCTTCAGCTCGAAAGGTACGTGCGATACACTAGGCAAGAATGTAGGAGTATATCTGAGCGCGACCTGGATTGATTTCTCATTCGCTTTTTGGTTAGAAGGCGGTCCTGGACCAATTCCTGACTTTGAAGCCCAATTTGTCCGCGAAGTCTTCTACATCGTCCAGTAGTTCTCCGGCATCAAACATTATACAGTACCAGTGGTTACCTAGCGCTACAACCCGCATTTTGCGGAGCAACTCTTACTAAATGGTGCGGACCCTGCTTTCCATCAATTCTGGTCATTGGACAGCGGCACCGCTTAACCTTTTCCACCGAAAATCCGGGGCCCCGCCTTACCCACCCCTTAGTGTGGTCGATCGCATCTCCTCCATAATCTACATGCATGGCTAGGGCGCAGTATGGATATCTCCACACTTCCTTCTTCGCTTCTTCGATTTCCTGAAGCTGAAATCTTCCTGCGCGTAATGAACTCTACCGTAGAAACAGAGGTCTCCGCCAGAAAAAGACGTAGAGCCTCAACGGCGTGCCTACACTGTCGAAAGAGCAGGATAAGATGTAAAGTCGAGACGGGCTTCAGGAGCTGCACACCATGCAGACAAAGTGCTGTTACGTGCACGTTCGATTCAAAGGATGGAAGAAAGAACCGAGCGAATTCTAAGGCTGTTGCAAACGAACTCAAGGACCGTATTCGACATCTTGAGGATCTTCTTCGGCAGACCAGACCAGACCAACTAATCGATGATGCACTCCATTCCCCAGCGCAACCACCACTACAGCAATTTGATTCTCCCCACCCTACCGAATCCGAGTCTGGATCCCAACTCACTCCGACCTACGATGAAGAGCCCCCACCTTACACGGACACAACTCAACCTATCACATCGTCTCAATCCCAGTTCCAACGAAGAGAACAACAAAACAGATCTATGCTAGCCAAGCTCATCCCTCACCCCGTAAAGTTCGATATGTCGGCCGGTCGCGTCCGCTTTTTCGGCCCCACAACAAACATGCACATCCTCTCACGCCCGGCGTCCGACACCTCACGCACCCTCAGCCCTTTCTGGCCCATTTCCACCCTTGTGCGCAGCCTCAGTCCCGAAACGCACGACTACCTTATTGACCTCTTCTTCGATTGTCACAATTCCGCGCTCCACATCGTGCACAAGTGGGCTTTCTTCGACGATCTCAGAACTGATGGCACGCAGTTCTATTCGAATTTTCTGCACATGGCGATGCTTGCGGAAGGATACCGGTATTCGGATAAGAGGAGAGAAGATATAAAGAAACTTGCGGCGCCGGAGGGGACACCTGATTCGAGCATTTTCCATTCAAAGGCGAAGAAGATGGCGGAGCAAGAGTTGGTCAAGCCAGGCGGAATCCCGTCGATACAGGCATTCTTTTTGTTGGCGGATTTGGAAGTGGGGGTGGGGCGGGATGACACCGGGTGGATGTTTGCGGGGATGTCGTTCCGGTTGTTGTACGATGTCGGATTGCACGTTGATCCAAGTGAATTAAGCTTAACGGATCGCGAAGTACAGATCAGGCATATGGTGTTGTGGGCTTGTATCATGAACGATGTGTAAGCTACCAATACCCTGTCTCATTGACTTTGCATGGCTCAGCGACTTATCATGAAGCAGATACTGGGCCTTATACCTCGGTCGTCCGACTATGCTCAAATCCTCAGATATTGCGCCCACTTGTCTAGAGAAGGACTTTGACCGCCTAATCGAGAGCCAGACGCGTACTCAAGCGTACGAGAAGACGATCGAGACTCGCGTCTACGAAGCACTACTGCAACTCATGGATCTACTCGAACCTCTCTGCCAGACTACCTCAATCAGCAAGAATGCAAAACCCTCCGACGCTTACCTGAAAATAGCAACGCTAGATCGTACATTAAACGACTGGTATGCGGACCTACCCGAGCGGCTGCGCTGGACGGAAGACAATGTCCGCACAGCACCATCGAGCTTTTACCTATTACAGTATGTAAGCCATCAGTGAAATAGTGAATATCAGCCTAATCGCAACAGCACACAATACCACACAGCCCTCATCCTCATCCATCGCACCTTCCCCACCCAACTTTCCACCCAAAACCCCTCCTCGCACTCCGGTTTCACAGACCTCAGCACGCTCTCCCACAATCTTTGCGTCAACAACGCCATCCGCATCTCGGAAATCATCTCTTCTTACCGGATTCGTTACCCACTGCAGCGCATCTTCGTGACCGGCCTACAGCACGTCGGCACGGCAGCCACAGCTCTTATGGCCGAGATAAGCATGCTGCAAGGCGAGCAGGAGAGCCAAGAGCGCGAGCGGTTACTTGGTTGTTTGGGTGGGCTGAGCGAAGATATGAAGACAATGAGTGAGACATATCAGCCTGCAGTACTAATGGCGAGCGTAGTCAGTCACTTCATTCGCGGGCCTGGTGAAGTCTCAACCTCAACCACGAATTCTTTACCCCCTCCAACGCAAAGAGATCGCGCCCTCCCCTTCGGCCCAGAGCTGTCCAAAGACCCCGTTCCCCTATGCTTCTCCACCTGCGCAAGCCGCGAATCTGCATCCACTCTCGCCTTTGCAGACCCTGCAGCTCTCTTACCTCGAGACTCCGCCACGCCGCTCAGCGGACAGCCCTCCTTGTTCGATATCAGTGGGGGACTCCCGAGTTTGCCGAGTAGTTGGTTCGAGGAGTTGGATTGGGAGGGGGATAACCAATTTTTGAGCTTGATGGGGTTAAAGGACATGCAGGGGGTGAGTAGCGGGGCCGGAGGCGGGCTCAGGGATGGATTTGAATTGGCGGGTGGAACGGAGGAGTGAGGGTGCGGGGAGTGGTAAGGGATGCTGACATGATTGGGACAGGAAAGTAAAGCAGCTATCTACTTGTAATGCATTCCATGAAGCAGTTTTTTACGCAAAGTCCATCTCGATACATGAGCCAGTGTTGTAGAAAAGCGATCGGACCGAGCGTAAAGGTCAGTGCAGGATTCGGCGTTTTCCTGAGCGAAGCATGATGTTGATCAACAAGATAGGAATGCTTGAATACAATTTCGTAAACCCACAATCAGTGCTCTAGTACTGAACTACGACCTTCACCCCAGACACCCCCGCCTTGTTCTTCTCTAACCCTTCCTGTAGCTTCTCAAGGCCACCCTTCGTCACCTCAACATGATTCGGCTTGAACTTGCCTGTAGCAATCCATCCGTCCTCCCCGCCAAGGTTGTCCGTCAGCGCTGTGATCAGGTACCGCGAATGCGGCGCCAATGCAAGGCCCAGGACCAGCTGAACTGCGACCTGCGGCTCCTTTGACTCGCCTAGCTTCTTCGCCTCCTCATCCACTTGGAGGACAATGACCAACTTCGAGTTCTTCGTGGTTTTGGACTGCAGGACCTTCACGCCTAGCAATTGTGTCTGCTTGACTGAGATTGAATCAAACACAAATTCCAGCGGGAAACCTTCTAGCGCTTTCTGAAAGTCCTCTACGCCGGAAGAGTTACGATCCAATACCACGTGCGCTCCAAGCTCCTTAAGGAAATCATGATGCGCCGTGCTCGCATTCGTAACAATGCGCTCAAAGCCGGACAACCTCGCGAGCTGGATCGCATACTGGCCAACCGACGAACTACCCCCCAGAATCACGATAGCCTTCCCCTTCCCCACCTCACTTCCGCCCTCATCCCACGGCGCTTTCAACCCCTGTCCCGTATTGTGGTAGAACGCAGTCGCGGCCGCATGCGTGGCCAGCACAATGCCCGCCGCCTCCTCATCAGAGATGTTCTTCGGCGTCTTCGCAACAATCTCAGCGGGAAGTTTGATGTACTCCTGGAAGGTAGAGACGTCGTCATTGCCGTATGAAGCCTGGAAGAACACACGCTCCCCAACACTGAAATTGGAGACATCGTCTCCAACGGCGGCGACTGTGCCTGAGCCGTCGGATCCTAATATGGCAGGATGGTGCCAATTGGGCACAAGAAAGAGCCCATGATCGCGGAGCTTCCAATCGATTGGGTTGATTGCGGTGGCCGTGATCTTGATGGCGATTTCGTTGGGATCGAGCTTGCCGAGGGTGCGCTCAGATATTCTAGGCGCTTCTCCAATGGCGTGGATGTAGGCTGCACGGTGCTTTTGGGGAACTGACATGGTGATTTACTTGAGATATTGACCGAGTTGTATTTTGAAATGTCTCAAATACTATACCTGCATTTAATTGAGTGGTGACGCCAAAGGTCATTACGTAATCCACTCTGTATCCACATCGCCCCACAGCAACCCCCTACAGCGGGTATTGACGTCGCACTAGACCTTTCCTTTGGGCTCCGGTATGTCCTTTGCTCGGTTTGTAAGCTCCCTTTCCCCTGGCTACTGGGGTACCGAGGGTCTAGCCTTCACTAGAGAGCGTAACTTCCCTTGCTCAATCATCTGCCGAAAGTCTCAGAGGGTTGATCTTTTTTTTCTGAAGCGCATGCCCGATAATGATCAGCATCGACCGGACGAATCTACGACCGGACGCGTCTACAACTAGACAAACCTACAACCGGACGAATCTACGCCCGAGAAAGACGTTTCGCTGCTCTTAGACACCGTTATGATCCGTTTTGGAGGACGTCGGATTCGTCTCAAGTCGTTCTCATTCAAATGCGTCAACAGTGGCTTCATGTTCGCTGATAGAACTAAACCGCCATTCGCCTGTGTTCATCTTGGATATCCCTCTTAAACTCGACTCAAATGACTGAAGGAACATCAATTATGCAATTACCGCAAGTAATGTCTCACTCCAAATCCGAATGAGAGCATAAATAGGAATAACAGTGCAATCCACCATCGCCGTCTACGAACAGAACCTTTTCGCTTCTTTCGTGGATCAATTTCGTTCCATTCAACGTCAACATCCTCCATATCATCATCATCGAATGAATACCGGCTTGGAGGTATATCTTCAATGCAATCGTACCTCATAGCCCGCTTGAAAAGTTTCTCCCTTCGTTGCTGGCATTCGACTCCAAGGCCCAGGAACAGTCGTTCGGTATCCCCCCATTCATACTCTAGGTTGAATTGTTTGATGTGCGACAGCGCGATGATGACGACATCATCCTCACTCATGGTGTAGTCGGGAAAAAACCGCTCGAGATGATGTCGCTCATCAAAAGTAACCAGTCCCAGTAGGGCAAACACCCGATCCCTTGGGTCTTTGCACTGGGAGTCGCAATGATTAATAAGGAGTTCATAAAGAGGTTGTTGCAGTTCTGGGTGTTTATCTGGATGCCGTCCGGTTACGAGTGGGCCAAGCCGCCCACGAGCCTGACTCATGCTGGCGGTAATCGAAGGTTGACTGGAGGTAATCAACTCCTCCAGCCTGGTGTCCTAACAGGCCCTTAAAGTCGGACCATTCCAGACGACTGTTCCCGCAATACAAACATACATCCTGGCCCAGCAAAAACTCCTGAATAACCCAGAAGCGACCCCAATACGGCCGGTTGGCTAGCTCCTTGACCTCGTCGAACCAATCCAAATGTTCAACTTCAAAAGTCCGGATTGGGGTGCCCAAATATCGATAATTCTCTGCAGCAGGAGGTAGGCCCAGCCACACCGACACAGAACTAGCCTTCCGGTATGTCAGATCCATGGCGCGTACTTGCTCATTTCGTTCTTGATTGTTGGTCTGGTCGATACATATGGCGTCGACCCAGAGACACGTCTGTGGGACACCTTTCCCGTTGCCCAGATGGGGGCCCAGATAGTACAAGCAAGACCATAGGTTGAGTCTTACGAGGAAGGGCTGATCATTGATATAGATACGTTCCGTCGCCTCGCCCTCGCCCCATGTATACGAAAGCGCTGTATATACAGGCGCACTTGCTCGGGGGGTATGAAGACAGTGTAAATGAAAGACGATTTTGTGAAATCGATGTAGGTCTCAGTAAGCGCAAACCATCTTTACGAAGGTTGGGATAATTGAATGCATGTGCCATCCTGGAACCTGTCGTTCGAAGTTTGGCGGTTCTCGTTGTTGGAGTAATCGGCAAAAGACGTTGCGATGAAGGTGGGACTGCAGTACCGATCGCAGTTTGGTTGCCTGCTCAGGAGCGCAGGCGAGGCTGGAATCCTACATATCATTGGATCCTGATACCGCAGCCCTCCTCTTGGTGCGGGGTTAATGCAGGGCTTGCCTGCACCCGCTTTTGACGATCTTGCAATCAACCGACCGATATGTATCAAAATTGATGTTAAGCTCGCAATTGCAGGGAGCGTCTCAAGAGATCTGATTTGAGTGCGTAAGCGGATGCAAAATAGAGTGATCCGTTCCAGCAAACGGTGCTTCGGAGGAACTTTGTCCCACGGTCATTTTCTAAGCCGCTTTCAGCCTTGCGATGCACGGCAACGTGGCAGTATTGACCGGTGAACCCTGGTGGCTGCTATTGGCTGCCTTTGATCACTGCCAGGAAACTGACATATCGCCTGAAGGACACACTACTCAAAATCTATTCACAAATGATCCCATCTATTCCATCTGAACATCGTGAGCTTTTACTTCTGGAGTGCAGAAGTCTGAACAAGGCCTATCACAATCGCTACTTTACAAAACATTGAGCAGTTGCCCGCACCTCGTCTCAGATTTGTGTCGTGGACGATGGTCCTCTGCTCTCGGATCGTTCGAGGTCCATGGTCGTTTTCGGAGTCACCGGAAGCATTCACCGCTCTGAGATCACATCACGACAACTCCACCAAATACCTTTTCCATATCAATCAACTTGATAAAATTGACGCTGATCATTACAGGGTGATTAAGAGCATCAACGGTCTCTCCCAGTTGCCCGCTTTTAAGAGATGCGTGTTAAGTCGGCCGTAGAACCAGTCCTAACATGCCTCTAGCCAATCAAATAACGGAAAACTCCATTTACATTTGCTTTCTTGGGGGCTGTTAGCTCATAATTCGATTTCGCCCCATAGTAACAGCCCCATCAAAAGAGAGAAGAAGCTGCCTTACGATAAGATCAACCACGAGACTGGAGAAAGGGTCAAAGGTATATTTCTTCGCGTACGTCCCCTTGTACACTCATTAAGGGACGGTATATCAGGTAACGATCCAGCCAGTCTCTTGAGGAAATCATAGAGTATGATACTGAACTTATTGAGATTGGGTGAAACGCCGGTATGCGCAACAACTATCGATCCGCTAAACTACCTTCCAAAATACTTCCTCTCAAAATACCGTGCAATAGCATAGCTCACAAATGCGAACGCGAAACCGAGCTCAAAGCCCACATCACCTCCATACGGTACCTCTCCAGCGTGCAGTGCAATCGGCCCGACGAACCAAACCTGACTCATGCCCGTCACCATACCCGCAACACCGCAGCAGAATGCAAAAACGGCGGCAATGCTGGGAGGGAGCTTCGATGGTTGGTCGTAAGTGGAGGGATCATACGCGGACATGCTACGGCGGTAGAGGAGATGTTCGGCAAATGCCACACCTTCGTAAATGGCGAGCCAGTAGCCTGAATGAAGTCAGCACGACAATAGAATTATGAAACCCGACGCGAAAGGCTTACCAATGAAGTTCATGAAGTTCTCGAGGACCTCTTCGAAGTGCGAGTACCCAGGAATCGCAATCGCAATATACACTCCGGTCGCAATGGTCGTCCAAACGAATCTTGGAATGCGCTGCGTCCATCGCCCCAGAACTTGCATAGTCAACGCAACCGAGTAGATATTCGGGCAATTGTTGGCAATAATGGACAGCGCCAGAACGACCAGGCAGAACTTTCCGAAGCCTCCCAACGGCGGGAAAAGAACAGCTGCGAGGAGTCCACCGGTTCCAGAAGCAGTGTAGCCTTCCATGTAGGGGTTGTTTCCGTCGTTGATCGTCGTAGCCGTCATAATTGCAATGCCGAGGAACTCAGTGAAGAGTAGGGGAACCATCAGACCGATCCACACGGCGCCGAAAACCTTCTTCCTCGACTGGGTTACTGGCTGATACACGGTGTAATCCGCAGCGTAGCTTGTCCACCCGGTCGCAAACCCATACACCACGCTGCCAAAGCTAAGCACATTGCCCAATTCTGACGTCCCGGTGCCCATCGGCAAATTCACAAAGGCGCCCGAATGCGCGAATTCTCCCAGGACGATGAGGAAAACGATGAAAGTGGGAATCCAGCTCCAGAACTCGTACGCATGCACAACTTTGTACCCGAAGAAGGTAACGAGCAGCGTTCCCACGGCGATGACCAGGATGCCCGCCCAGCCCGGGACATCGTTGTTGACTGCGTGGAGCAGCTGCGCGCCTACGATGCTGTTTACGGAGCTCCATCCGATGCACGCGAGCACGTTAAAGAAGGCGATGAGCTTGACGCCGTACCAGCCGAACCAGAAGCGGGAGAGGACCATCTGGCGTAGGCCGAAACGTGGGCCGAAAGTGCTGAAGTAGCATACGGAGATAACGCCTAGCATGTTGAAGAAGAGGCAGGTGAGGATGGCGTCGACGAAGCCGAGGAAGAAAAGCTTCTGTGCGAGCAGACCGATGGCGAAGGAGGAGATGACCATGTTGGCAGAGAGCCACTGGTTGAGTTTTAGTTTCACGTGGTTTTTCGATGGGGTTGCTCATGGCGGAGGAAGCATTACCATAGTCCCAACATTCAGCAATGAATGATCGTCGCGTTCATCATCAGGTACGCGTTCGATACCTCTCTGCTCGACATGCAATTTTCCAGCCAGTCGCTGTAGCTTCGCGTACGTGCTGGTACCATATTCAAATGTTTCACCAGGTACTGCGCCATCATGCGCGGACCCAACTCTTACAGCTTCTTTCTCAATGTCGATGGGAGAGGAAGACATTGCGCCACTCGACTTGGCCGCTTGCGCCCGCGGTCGCGAGAAGAATCGAATGGTGGTGTATTGACGCTGTGGCACACTGCAAAGACAGTGCACGCTACGACGTTCCGACCAGGTCTTGGAAGAGGTGATAGGTGTGACAGGTGAGTCGCGTGTGAAAGATGCAGGCCCCGCAACCATACATAAAGCCACTCGAAATCCTCCCGTGCCGTGGGATCTCCGGAGTGGAAGCGATGGAACTAGCGTCGTAGATAGGCCGTCGCCGTCAAAGAGGCGACACCCGTGCCAGTCATGGTACTGGGAGATATGCCCGCCGATGTTGCCCGTCGCGTGGGTAGTTTCACATACAGACGTTCACCACGTCTCCAGCTGTGATTTACATGCGCTGCAGTGTGGCCCTGTCTTCGCTGTCGTCCCATGTTGCGACCACTGCCTCGGGACGCCTTGTCGGCCTCACCCTCATCCCCGGTGCATCCCTATCTATTCTCCACATGGTTGTCCTTTCTTTTCGCGCATTACGCACCTTTCGTCGTTGCTGCGATAAGAATTTGGCCACTGACCAATGAGCAAATGCGGATGACGGGGTCGGGCGGGGCCCGCCGGGGCACGCTATCGAAGCCTCGGCTAGCCATTCACAAGCGCGAGGCTTGTTTGTGTTAAGCGTGCAACGGGTCTCGGCACTTCCTCCTCGCGCAAAGTGGCTGGTGCCCAGAACAAAAAAGGAGGACGAGTACATGATAAGAGAGTAACGTTTGCCTCATAGGAGATGGAGCATTGGTAACCCTATTAGGTGGCATGGGGTGTAAGAAGCACAGGCCCCTGCATTCGATACTCGCTGGACCTGGAAGGTAGGATCTACTCAAGCACTACCTCCACTTTCGGGTTGTCCGACGTCCACTCCATTTTCTTGACATCGAACACCGCACGGCATGCTTCCTCGTACGCCTTCACCTCTAGGCGGTGAATATCGTTCCACATGAAACCGATCCTCTGCCACCGGCTTCCATTCGTCTGACCCTTGAAAGTACGGACGGACTAGACTTGTGTCGTGGTCGATGCTAGCATACTGGCAGTTGAGGATTACACGTCTCACGCCGTACATATCGTGTGGATAAACCTCATGGATATATGGAGGTGTGACAGGGTGAGATTCTAAATTGTGCTTTGGGAATAGACCACCAGACGGATTATGAGACCAGTCGATGGCAATGACCAGTGTCGCATGGGAGTACACAGCAGCCTGTGATCATGTAAGTACGTGTACCCACCGCGAATACATCGCCAGGACCCGGCCATGATCACCTTCACAAGATCGAAAGCTCTTCTCGCAAGTAGAACGTACCATTCGTGAGGCTTCGTGCACCCAATCAGTGGCATTGTCTTGTATAATGCAAAGACTATCGATCCATAAGAATTGGATTCGCAATTTCCTGGCGACCTTCACAGCTTCGAGGAAAGTCTTCGGCGTCGACTACAATGGGATCAGCTCACTATGTTATTCTATTGTCGCTTACAGTCGCCAGCCTGGGTATCTCAGGATCAGACGTACCCCAGCAGTGGCTCAATGCGCCATAAACCGCTCGCTCCAAAGGCCGTGGCGAGTAAAGCCTTAGTAGGTAGCAAAGCTTCATCAGTGCCCTTGCAGTCGTCGTGGTGTGTTCAACAGTTCTCCAACCAAACTCGGATGTTTGTTATGGTGGTGGCAAGAGCTGGAGCTGAGAAGCTCTTAACAGAATACACAGGAAGGGAAGACCACGGCTGTCAGCGTAGTGAGAATAGATGCTCCGTGTGCAGGCACTTTGACAAGCAGCTCGACCCACAGCCGAATCAGACACTCAGCGCGTACATACGGGGCCAAGGGCTATCTAGGGTTGGAATAAAAGGTGGGAGTCCGTTACAAAGTGAACATAGTGCGGAGACACGCGCGAAGATGTGGCTTATATTAGAATCATGAGTCCACAGAATGGAGAGACATGCTAACGGGCTGCAACGCCCCCCGACCGGTCAACAACGTCGCGAGGCGTGTTTCGTGTTCAGTTCAAGTGACTTGTCGCAGGAAGTAGCCAGCGCGCCTCGATCCTTCCTAGGCTGCAGCTGCCGTTCGAACAGCAATTCTCTTATGCAGAAAGAACACAACGGGTAACGTCAAAGCCTCTCAAACGTATCTCTTGTCCCTTTCCGTCGAAATTGAAGATGTAAACAAAAGACACTGGCAATCCCGAACATATTTTGAACTGATAGTATTGCGCTCCTACAGCTTACAACCCACCACGCTCGTCTCTCTCCTACAACACATACACAGCCGCGGCACCAGCGACCGCGAGGAACGCCGCACCGAATTTCGACGCCGCGCCCGTAGACTGCGCAGGAGTCGCAGTCGTACCCGTTACATTGGCACCTGTCGCGCTGGGTGATGCACCCGTTGACGCCACACTCCCCGTCGTCTTCAATGTAGAGCTCGCGCTCGCACCGGTCTCCTTCGCCGCCGCAGTAGTCGACGCAGCCGCCGCCCCGCCGCTCAACTTCTCCTCTCCCGCAGTTACACTCGCCGTCTGGAAAACCACCTCACTACTCGGATACACCGTCGTGCCCGTCGCCGTGCCATCATTCCCGGCGGTAAACATGTCCATCCCCGCATCGGTAAACTCCGCAGCAATAGCGGCCGTGCATGTCATATCCTTCTTCGACGTGCAGTCGAAACTGACCTGCGCGGCGGGGACGCTGAGCGCGTAGACGGTCTTCGCGATGACCGTGATAGTAAGGTCGTTGGAGCCCCAGCCACACTCTGTGTCTTCGGTGCCGGTAGGACACGCGAGCGCCATGACGGTCGTGGAGGCGTCGGCCTTGACGATCGAGGCGACGGGGGCAATGCCTGGGCCCGCATCGCCAGAGCCCATACCCGGGACGAAGAAGGGGATTTGAGTCGCCGCGGTGGCTGTCGCGAGAGAGGCGAGGACGTAGGAGCGCATTGTGGATGGTAATTGATTAATGGTTAAGGTCGTGGCCGTATGTTAATCTTCGTTTTTGGGATGGAACGTAAGTTTGTCTTCGTGTATTAATGAGTGTATGGGTAAGTCTAAAAGAGCGACAACGATCCTCCCTTGAAGGCAAGAATCTCGAAAGCAGATGCGATCACCTTCTCAGCATCGCGGGCGCCTCCCACAATTTAAGGACGAGTTCCTCCTGTTCACGCGAAGTGGGTCCTGGAGTAGAATTCGTTCCAGATCAAAATTATTTTGGCCCCTTGACTAGCCGCTTTCCGCTAACGCATCACGGTTGAACCGTTTGCGCCTTAGGGCAGGTGACATTGAACGCAGCACAGCCCGGTCGCAATCCCTCCTAGAGCGGAGAGGGTTTGGCGTTCAGGCAACGATGCATTGTCGAATCGAACCAGTCTACGATCACGCACTTGCGTCTCGGCCGTAAAAGGGTATCATTTCGCTTGCCACTGGTTTTCTCGATGTCGATAGTATGGGCACTGGCCTGTAGCCCCGTCGGATCACGTTGTGACAGTCAACGCGTGAAGTCAACCATGAATCCGGGTAGAAGGTTGACGTAGATTGGGATGTATATGGACAGGAGCGGTCAGTCGCGGAAAGGCTGTCCTGCTGAGTCGGAACCTAGTGGAGGACGAGGGTTGCATGCTGATTGTAGTAACGACGGGCAAGGTCGGCTTCGAATGGTTGTTCATATGGCCCCGTGGGCCATAGCTTCTTCATAGTCTCTCTACTCAACCTATTCATCTCGCATTCTCCTACGCATTGGTAGTGATCGTGATATCCCACATGGGCACGGGAAAGGGATGCCAACGCAGCAAAGATGCCCACGTCACGTAAGTCCCCTACAAGCTCCAATTCCGCCTCAGCCGACCGCGCTGCGCTCCGCGGATACGGTCCATGGATCTGGAAAATATGCAGGAGGTGAGGAAACCTATCAGGTACTTCCTTGATATGTCGCGCGAGCGCTTTTAGGTCACTGATTCTCGTCGCGTAATTCCAATCCGAGACAAGTGTATGGAGAGATTTGGGGAGCACTCGAGACAACTCTAACTCCATTGTATTCGATTGTGTTTCGAGTCGAGTAACTTCCAAACATTTGAGATTGTCTAGAAAGGCAATATTGCCATATGTTTGAGGAATCCGTAATCTTGTGAGGGAATGCCTATGGAATCTGAGGCCGCTTGTGAGGTCCTGTATGTCTTGGTCTGAGGCCATGAGGTGACCGATCGGAAGAACTGTCCTTTTATAATCACTTCTAGGGGTTTTGAGGACGGCGTCTAGCGTACGAAGGCTATTGACTGCATGCAAAAGTCTTGGAAAGGACTGATCGCGTAAAACACAGTCATCGATGGAGATCTCGTCTACTGTGACTCCCGAGTACAAAGACCAATCTCCTCGATAGCACAAACTCTCTTTCAGTCCCCCAAGCCTTAGGTGCTTGATGTGCCGGACCCCGAACAGGTAAGAAAGGAACGTTCCAAGGTTACGATGCGTATAGACCATCTCGCGTGTGTTGATATGACCAGATTGAAAGTTCTGGGTGATTGCGGATGCCTCGGCGGTCGTAGCTACGTTGAAGTATTCCAAAGCTTGGCCGCGGTGTCTGAAGAAAGCCATCGCAGGTGCAATAACTCTCATACCGACATGCTGTAGATCGCATATTGGGGAACGTTGGTCGGAAATAATAAGTTCTATGGAGTGAACACGTGTGCCGAGTGCTAGCAAGATGGCCAACTTTGCGAGATCGAGCTCGTCTTCGGCCGCGCCGCATGTGGTAGATTCTCGCATTCGGCATATGATGTGGAGAGTTGATTCGGGTAGTCCAGGGTATTCAACCCTTTCAGCCAAATTGCGCAGGATTTCGCATTCACTCTCTCTGGTCCAATCTGCCAGCCACGGCGTTTTACTGCCCCAGTGTAAGGACCCGCCGGATCTCTTGGTGGACTTGGGTCTTTTGCAGTTGGTGTTAAAGTTTTCGTCGAAATAATACGAGATGTGACGGATCTGATCAGCGAAACGCGGATACCTGTATAAAAAAGCCAGGACAATGCATATGTCAGCTGCTTGATGTGGATATGAAGCACGACTGCAGAGGCTGATCTTGTTGAGGACCGGTATCATCAGCTCTGGGGTGAGAGGATAAGCCATGGCAAAGCTCCATCGATCTTCCGTGTAGAGATACCGCACAACCTCCAGCAGTAGCTCGGTCGGTAGGCTAAGCAGTGTGGCGGTGGGGTTCGTGGATGTCATTATAAAAAGTAAATCGCGAGCGCGAGGCCATCCGGGGCTTGTCTTGAGACGATGATGGGGGAAAGAGCAAAGTATTGCTGTCTGTCAGTGCATAAGGGAGAGGAAGAGAGCTGGAGTAGGCGACGGCACATGGCTTGTTTGTGCGCTTGTGTAACGTCGCTTCTCTGGCCCTAGAGAGCGAGAGGTGCGAGACGGGACCTCGGGATTGTCACGCTCACGTGATTAGTTTGCGCATTCTCCATCCTACCACCCCATTGCAAAGGCAGAGCAATATCTGAGCACAGTTCTGGACAACATGTCGAGCGTCTGGGGAAGAACCTGTGGAGCTGTAAGCTTAGACGCGAGGCAAGTCGGACCGAGCCGAAGCAGTGCCTCCAACTTCCGTTTTGGTGCTGCGCCAGCCCCTCTTCACCCCAACCATCTGGCTAATCTTCGGACGACGCATTGTACCACGCTGCGTAACAATATCTCCAACCTCCAGCTCTCGACGATGGGTTCTTCAGTGCTTTTCAGCTGCGCTTTGCCGACCTTCTACCCTTATACACAACCCTCACGGCTTTGTGGCAGCCTCGAGTCTGTGTGACAATGGCGATCGATAAACTCCAAAGCTTCGCGGAGAAGCCCCGCGTCTTCATTCTCAGCGATATTTCGAACGAGCCCGATGATGCCGAGAGTCTATGCAGATATCTCTTGTACGCGAACCAGTTCCAGACCGAGGGACTGGTTGCGTGCACGAGCACATGGATGAAGAACAAGGTGTGCCCTCAGGACATGCACAAGATCATAGACGCGTATGAGGGCGCTGTCGGGAATCTAAATAAGCACGCACATCCAGACGCGCAGTACCCAAGCGCAGAATCGCTTAGAGGACTGATCAAGAAAGGCGCCGAGGTAGGCATTGAACCACCTCAACATGTCCTAAAACGTCAACTGACAGTAAGCAGACATACGGCATGACTGCTGTCGGCACAGACATTCCCCTCTCTGAAGGCGGCGAGCTTCTTCTTGAACGTATCCTCGCGCCCTCCCTCCAGCCTCTCTGGATCCTTTGCTGGGGTGGCACCAACGTGCTCGCGTCCGTTCTCCTCAAGATCGACGAGCAATACACACCCGAAGACTCGGCACGGCTGCTCTCCCGCTTGCGTGTCTATGCTATTTCCGACCAAGACGACACGGGCGCTTGGATTCGCAACAATTTCTCAGACATCTTCTACATTGCCTCCGTGCATGGTTGGAACCAGTACGGCATGGCGGCCTGGACCGGAATAAGTGGCGAGAAATATTATGGATTTGACCAGGGCGGACCAGACTTCAGCAAGATGGAGAAGAGCTGGATCAAGGAGAATGTCCAGATCGGACCGCTGGGAAGCGCGTATCCAGATTACATGTTCATCCCAGAAGGCGATACGCCGACGTTCCTGTATCTCATTCAGAACGGACTGGGAAGTTCAGAGTTTCCAGACTATGGCTCTTGGGGTGGACGGTATGCCAGAACCGACATCAGTGCGGCTGGGCTCAACAGCAATCACTACAGCGACGCTGTGGATCGCGTCAAAGGCTTGGATGGAAGGATACACACGAGCAACCATGCGGCAATCTGGAGATGGCGGAATGCGTTCCAGGATGACTTCGCTGCGCGTATCAAATGGACGATGGAGCCCGACTTCGGCAAAGTGAACCATCACCCCGTGGTCGCTGTCAATGGCGAATTTGGTCTACAGCCACTGCGCCTGGAAGCTGAAGCTGGCGAGACCATTACACTGGATGCGTCCACATCGTACGATCCGGATGCGAACGACAAACTGACTTTCAAATGGTGGCACTACCGCGAACCGACGGCTACACAGTGGTGGGTTGACGCCGAGGTGTCTGAACTCAATATAAAGCCTTTGGATGAGAACAGCACTAAAATCCAAGTCACGCTGCCAGCGGCCGAGAAGTGCGCTGTAGAGCTCATGAGCAGACAGCCGGTCGCGAAAGGCCAGCTGCTCCATCTGATACTGGAGGTCACGGATGATGGGACGCCGGCATTGACGACGTATCGAAGGGTGGTGATACAGGCGACGAATAAGGATCTGAAGGGAGGAGGCAAAGGCGCGGATGCTATCGGGGATATAATGGCTGCGCACTCGTAGATATGCTGCGGCGGAATTGACTTTGTTGTTTCAGCGTCTCGAACATAATCTTGGTCACCGACTGTATTGTATATTCCTATGATATATGGAAACCCTGCAAGTCTTCGCGTAATGTTTGCGATCAGCAGTCTATCTCTTTGATTGACTCATCGAGAACGACAAGCCCGTAGTCGCGACAGGTGGTTCGTAGTATTCTAAGGCTACCAAGCTGGAATGCGAATGTAGTAATGAGCTCGTGGGGGTTGGGACGATGATTACGGGCCCGTGCGCGATAACATTCGAATGGCGGTCATCCTGGCATCCGCGTCATTGTATCCCCGGAGTTTGTGTGGGCTGAGCACTCAGTTGCAACATGTCTACTTGAACAACTCCTTACACTAACAAGCATTGCGAGCAGTTACCATGGACCCTTTAATTGCAACGGTCAGCGACGTGCCGTCTCCGGATGCTACCCAATCCCCATCCTCCGCGGCGCCGCCCGAGCCAGCTCGTCTTTGGGCCATTAGCGACTTGCATCTCTCTTACAAAGGGAATCGCGAAGAGCTCGAGAAGCTCGAGCCCAGACCAAATGATGGCCTGATCATATGCGGCGACGTAGGCGAGACCGTGGAACACCTGCGCCAATGTTTTACAACCGCGAAGGCATGCTTCAAGCAGCTCTGGTGGGTGCCCGGGAACCATGAGCTTTTTACCATGCCCTCGTCGAATGGACGACGAGGCGAAGACAAATACATGGAATGCGTTGAGGTAGCCCGGGAGTATGGCGTGCTGACGCCTGAAGACGATTTTGTGGTGTGGAAGGGCGACGGTGGGCCTTGTGTCATTGCGCCCATCTTCACGCTGTACGACTACAGCTTCCGTCCCGACCACGTAACGCTGGAAAACGCACTCGAATGGGCCAGCGAAGAGAACATTCTGGCTACGGACGAGCATCTGCTACACAACGACCCCTATGCCTCGCGCGTCGAGTGGTGCAACACGCTTATCGAGCGCGCACAGACGAAGCTTGCAGAAGCAGTAATGCAAAACCTGGGCACCCGCCTCGTCATCATAAATCACTGGCCACTACGCGAAGACCTAGTCAATATCCCTCTCGTACCGCGCTTCGTCATCTGGTGCGGAACCAAGCAGACAGAAGATTGGCACAACACGTACAACGCGAAGGTGGTCGTAAGTGGACATTTACACGTCAGGCGGACAGACTGGAAAGACGATACGCGCTTCGAGGAAGTCAGTCTGGGGTATCCCAAGCAATGGCGCGAGTGTCAAGAACGTGGCATGGATATCAACGACCTCCTTCGCGAGATATTACCTGGGCCAGACCCACCGCCACCTGGGCAGCCTGCCACGTTGTGGAGACGATATGGGAAGGGGACAACTGACACGCCCGCCATATTCCTAAAGGGAGCTAAACCGTAATCTCCATAACGGTTTCCCACCGCCTTTGTCCTGTTCTATCGCAAGTACGCGTCGTATGTTGGGGCATTATCGACCGCAGGGATCTTGTGTGCTCGCCCAAGGCGCCTTCGTTTATTCCCCGAATCTGCTCTTGCGGCGCTTTGTCGGGATATATCACAGACACCACCGTCAATAGCCGGGTTTAATAGAAACTCATGAATCGTCATTCCTCTCAGTGGCTGCAGGAAGCATCAACACTGATCACAAGCTGGCTTAGCGAAGTTCCTGACACGCGACTGGAATGCCTTACGATCCTTGCGGCTCGAGCTCCACCAATGCACTCCGCACTACAATTCGATCTTAACCAGGGCGGCGGGTGCGCAAATTCCCAGCTTTTCTGCTCATTCTCAACATGAGTAAGATACTCGGCATATGGGGCGAGGTGCCCGAAGAGAACCAAGAATGGCACCAGAAGATGCAGATACCGGAAGCGACCAAGCGATTGGGAACACGCGCCTTCCATTTCCAGGCCGGAAAGAACATGTTCCCAGAAGACCACGCACAAACTGCGACCTCTTTTACCCTGTACGACCCTTTAGAGTCAACAGAATCGCAGTCCTCAATTGAACAGAGTCTGCCATTGTCAGGCTTGTCGAGCGATGCACTGAAGGATGTGCTTCTGGAGGCGCGATCTTATACTAGCCATTTGGAAGACAAAGCAAAGGAGTTTTCAGGAGGTATGGCGTCTACAGTTCTGTTTCTACACCTATTGACCAAGCACACCAGATTATGCCGACATAGGATGTCTTGTCATGGGCGTCTTCCAACCAACGCCAGCAACGCACGACGCATTCTTCGAATGGTGGCGCGGAGAATTCATACCTTTCATCCAACGTTCGCCGGATTTTCTTCGAGTGCGACTGTGGAAGCTGGATGAGGCTGCCGATTTGCGAGAGCGGACGGTGCAGATGCGAGATCGCAACAACTTACTCGCATACGTTATGGTGTACGAATTCCAATCCGACGATATGCCTTGGGAGGTCGCAGTCGAGATTGGTCAGTCGAAAGCATACCAGCAGCTCGTAGAGCAAGACTTGGTATGTTGACCTATCGAATCGTGGAGTTTCAAGCGAGGCTAACGGGGGTGCAGCAATACAAGTACGGAGTGTACCACCTCAAGAGAATATACGGGGAGACTGGTGAAGTCGAAGCTGAGTTCAACAATGATGTGTATTCTGATGAGGAGGACGATTCAGAATAACATGCTCGAGTATCGATTTGCATCGGCGACAAGGGCCTGACTAGCGCGCAATGGCGCCTCGTCCGTCTCAATGGTTTCGCACGTCGTTTTCCCACGCATCACAGACTGCATTTCTAGGCGCCATATACCTTTACACTACGTATCTCTCTCAATGAAACAAACTTTTCACCCACCTTCCAAAGGCGTCCGACATGGCCTCGGCAAGTGCACCAATGCCGGCGCGGGGTGAAGGCACGCCCAGCCTACCCCTCGCTAAATGCAAGCAAGACACCGCTCAAACCCCTGCCGATCGATTCTACGATTGCTCGAAGTAGACGCGTTTCCGGCCCGCATGACAGCGGACCTGCAGCTTGTTGTTTAGTCGTTTATGCTCCGAGCTGTCACCGTCCTGGCGAGCGGGAGGACGCGTAGTGCATTCTACCACCGAGGGCTTGCGAAAGGTGATCGACCAATTGCTAGTTTTATATGTGGCCATGTGCGCGTATACCTCGCAGGTCGTCCAGGTTTGCTATCACCTCGACGCGGAGCGGTACAGAGCTTTGGGATTAGACGTGAGATTCAAATGCAGGTGCTGAGGACATAAAAAGACCGCGACGGCCACAGTTACGATACTCGCCACGCCGGAAAATCAACATGGTCTCACCCAAGTCGCTCGTCCTTGGACTGCTCGCTGCATCTGCGGCCGCACTCCCCACCGATCTGAGCCGTCGCGCTGTCATCGCCCACGATGCTGTCGTCGGCTTCGCGCAGGCTGTGCCCTCCGGCACCACGGGCACCCTGATGCTCAAGTACAAGCCGTGGCTCAAGGTTTTCAACGGCTGCGTGCCCTTCCCCGCCGTCGACTCCGCGGGAAACACTGGGTGGGCTACCTTTTCCGGTCCATGTCAAACAGGCTATACTGACACACCCTCAGAGGCGGCCTCAACCCCACGGGCGACTCCAACAGCGGCTGCTCCAGCTCCACCGGCCAGGTCTACGCCCGTGCCGCCACGTACAACGGCGCCTACGCAATCATGTATAGCTGGTACATGCCCAAGGATAGCCCATCTTCTGGCCTCGGCCACCGCCACGACTGGGAGAATATCGTCGTGTGGCTCTCTTCTGCTTCTACCTCTGCAACGATCCGCGGTGTGGCTATCTCTGCGCATGGGGATTATCAGAAAACTAGCTCACCGCCGCTTGATGGTGCGTATTACCCCACTCTCTTCCTTTCCCACTTCCTGTGTAAACTTGCTGGGGGATTTTGCCAACGTATGGAACAGGCACCCGTCCCAAGATCGGCTACATCAGCTACTACCCAGTGAACCACCAGCTCATTGCTACGGACGACAAGGGCGGCGAGCAGCCGCTTATTGCGTGGGAGAGCATGACTGCGGCAGCGAGGACGGCGATTGAGAACACGGACTTTGGGGATGCGACGCCCAGCTTTAGGGACTCGAACTTCCAAACGTACCTTGCTGATGCGTTTATATGAGGGGCTGCAAAGGATGATGCAGGTATGGGTGGGGAGATAGTATAGGGAAAATAACACCTTTGTGGAATGCCTCGTGACTTACATATCAGCACGTGGAAACTCCTCACCATTCTACACACTATACCCAGGCAGTAGGTGCATCGTTACCAAAGGTGTGGCGCACGTGGCGCTATCCCCGCTACCTGCCCGCTTGGCTGACGTACCGGCTCACTACTCACGAAAGTGTAGCAGGCATCAACGCCTGGGCGAAAGTATAACCACCGGAAAGCGAGGCTGTGCAGCAAAACTCCGCCACAGCTCTGATACACCTGTCGCGACTCACATTGCAGAAGTATATGACAGCTTCGTTCCCGGACTGTAGCACTCCAACCACATCACCATCACCATGACATCAACACACGACAAAATCCGCCAGGCAGCATCGCGCAACACCGAGCTTCTCGCCGGTCTTCACGAAACAGATTCTGCGCCTTCACAGCTGTACCAGCAGATACAGTACATCAACGACCTCACTTCGCAACTCAAAACTACCGAAAAACAGGTGACGCGCCTGAAGGACAAAACCGCTCTCGAGCTCAAAGACCACAAGAAATACAACGAATCCACCTTCCGACGCTTCGCGCACCGCGCATCCGGCCGCACAGACCGCTTCAACGAGAAGGCCGCGAAAGAAGAGAAGGAGTACTTCGAAGCCATACAAGCGCAGAAGACCGCCGAGGACGAACTATCCTACGTGCGGCAACTGATTTCCGAAGCAGAGAGTAAGAAAGCCCAGTATGAGCGCGATGCCGCCCGCCATGATGACTTACAACGCGAGCTCGACGCCTTGTACAATTCCATCTTCGCAGGCTACACGCCCGAGTTCCCCGAGGAAGATGAAAAGGAGCGCGCGTGCGACGAGGCGAACACACGACTGCAAAACCTCAGCCAGACCCTCGAGAAAGAACGCCATGTTCTGGAGCTCATCAAGAAAGCATGCGGCCGCCTTCTCGACGCGAAACGGCTGCTCATGAGTGCACACGACATGAGTACCATGGACCTTTGGGGCGGTAGTGGGTTCGCTTCCATGGCCAAGAGGAATGCGCTTGAGCAGGCGGACAGCTGTATGCAGCAGGTGCGCATGTTATCGCAACAGATTCAGCAGATCGAGCCGGGAAGGGAGGTCAGGGCGCTGGGGGCCGTGGATGTGCATATCGGGAACATCTGGAGTGACGTTGTGTTTGACAATATCTTCACGGATATGGAGATGTGAGTGTCCCCCGAGCTACTGATGGAAGGAATGAAGGCTGATAGAAACAGGCACCAGCGCATCCAACAAGCAGAAGCGCAGCTTGACCGCGCGCTGGGGAAAGGCGCGCAGCTAATGAAAGAGCAGCAGGCGAGAGAGAAAGCACTCCTTGCAGACGTGAACTATGCGAGCGGTGAGCTACGCGAAAGGAGGGTTGAGCTGCAGTGGAGTCGGGAGGAGGCGTTTCGCAGGGTGACGGGTGGGGAGGAGGTTGGGGAGCGGGTCATGCCGAGCTTGAATGTGGGTGGTGAGGACGAGGCGCCGCCTGCGTACTCGAGAGAGGCTTGAGTGGTGGGGAGAGGCGAGATGTAAGCAATAAGCATAACCGTCTGGGTGATATGAATCCATTAATATTAAGTACGAAGCCCAAACAACTACGTGATGTAAATCAAACAGCTACTACAACATATGAGACCGTGTAGCATGGCCAGTTCCATGTCCATTGACTGTATCTAATTAGAAGAGTACCGGGACGAGGAATCTGTCTTCCTTGTTCTCAAGCTCGGTCTCGTTCTTGGGCACAGCTCGCTTGGTAATGGTACGGTGAGGAGGCTTGCCAACTTTGTCGGAAGATTGAGCGGCGGGCTTGCTGGCGGACTTGCCGCAAGTGCCAAAGGCAGACTGGCAGCCCTCGCCGCAGTGGCCAGGCTCGCTTCCACAGTGGCCGTAAGGGCTGCAACAAGAGCCCCTCTCATTTCCGTAGCATGACCAGGCGATTTGTCCCTCCTTGGGACCACAGGTACCGTCAGTAGTGTTGAGAAGCTTGCCTTGCCACTTTCCAGCAGAGACGGAAGGTTGGGCTACGGGAGCCTTTGAAGCCGTAGAGGTCTGCCCTGAAGCAGGCTTGGCTGAAGTTCCGAAAGTAGAAGGCTTAGGGGAGGCCGCAGGCTTGGAGGCACTAGGCCTGTGTAACGGGCTGGGGCGATGGGTGGGAGTCGGCCCATGAGGACGCGATGGCTTGTGAACCTGCGGAGCAGATGGTTGCTGGGAGCTGTCCTGCTGCCCCTCTTGTGGCTTCTTCTCCTTGTCGGCTTCCTCGGAGGCCTTCTTGGCTGCCTCTATAGCGGCATTTTTAGCAGCCTGCTGCTCAACCTTCCAAGCCTCCTCCTCAAAGGTCATGAAGTCTTCGAAGTTTTCGAAATCCTCGAACTGCTTGAATTTCTCAGACTCATCGAACTCGTCAGACTCCTCGAACTCATCGGACTCATTAGATTCATCGGACCCCTTGAAATCCTCGCCTTCAGGCTCGTCATCGTTGTGAATGTCGATCCCGTGGAACTTGGAGCCGGTCTTCTCAGGCTTGAGGCCTCCGTAGCCACCCTCAAGTCCGGGAATCTTGGTCGGGTTTGCCTTAAACCCCTCAGCGGGCTCTTGACCGAACCCCTCAGTCGGCTTAGGCGAGTCGACCCAGATAGTGCTCGTGATATGCTCCTGAGCCCAGGCGGTAGACGTGTACTCGGTAACGGTAGTCTTATAATGACTCCCCTCCTTAATGCTCCATTTTTGGACGAGCTCGGTCATTCTGGTCTTTTCCTCATCATGTGCTCGAGCGACGACCGTAAAGGTTTTCGTCTCGGTGATCACGGTAGGTGCGACGATGATATCACCGAGCTCGTAGCCGTTGTCGTAAGACTGGTCATACAGCTCGGCGAAAAACTCTGTGACGGTCGCAGTGACGGGGGGAGCAAGCTCATAATCCGTGTGATGGGCTGTGACAGTGGTTTTGTAGGAGGTAATGGTGTCGTATGCTGTGGTTGTTTCGGTGACAGTAGCGGTGACGGGCGGTGCGTAGATGACGCCGTCGTAGACTGGGTCTTTGCCGCCGATTCCGCCTTTGATGGTGTGCTTTGAGGCGGCCATGGCAGCCCCCGAGAGGAGGGTGATCAGCGCGGTGGTGCGCATCCTGTTCTTTTTTCGACTGCTTTGTCACGAAGTGCTCTTGTTGTGTGAAGTCAAGTTGAGGTAGGGACTACGGCATGAGAGGCAAGGTTCTTATTCTTTGTCGCATATTCGAATTTTCTGCGTGGGCTGGTTATTGTGGTTATTGTGGAGACGATCCGGCCATCGAGTATAGGTTGAGGCGGGTTAGGCTTTGGTAATCTGGTACACCCATTGATATGAATAAAGGTTGGGAAGTGCTAAAATCCATGCTACGCATCGAACAAAAATCCCCTAATTAAATGCAAGAAAAGACATTTATCACCAGATCTGTCCTCCTGCATACTACAACCGTGCCGTCCAGTTGAAGCTACCCATTCTCTGATGGCTTGCAGCCCCGGCTTCGCCTCTCGCGAACGCATTGGCGTTCTCGTGTTCGACCAGCTTCAGTGGCCTGTACTTAGCATCCCACATCTGTTCACGAATCCACTCCTCGAGCTCTGCATCGTCTGTAGGAATGTCCTTTTCTTGAGCTAAATCTTCCTTGACAGCTTGTTGGATCACGTTCTTCGCGATGTGAACGCTGATTTCCCGCACGTCGGTCACATCAGGTAGCAGACCAGAACCAGTACCATTGGAGATGGGAGCTTTGTCAGCCAATGCTCTAACCGCAGCTACTAGGAGCGAAGGAGGGAGTAGCTTGGTACGGCTTAGCACCGCGCCAAGACCTATACCAGGGAACGTAGTGGAGTTGTTGCACTCAGCTGCAAGGAGTCAGCAAGCTCTTCCGCAAAGGACGGCTACTCACAAATATCGTATTCTTTACCATTGTGCTTGACAGGAGGGAAGGGCGAGCCAGTAGCCACAAGGGCCTTGCCATCGGTCCAGTCGAAAAGGTCCTGTGGCTTGGCCTCGTGCAGACGGGTGGGGTTGGATAAGGGGAAGATAATGGGTCGGTCCACGTGCTTCGCCATTTCCTGCACGACCTCTTTCGTGAAAGCTCCAGGTTTGGTTGACGTGCCAATCAACACATGCGGCTTGACTTCTTTGATCACTGAACGTAGATCACTATGATCTTTCTTGTCCCAATCGCCATCTTCGCGGGCATATGGAATTTGCGCCGGGGTAAGCTCATCCTTCTTGGATTTCAATAACAGCCCTGGCTTGTCGACACACCTTCGAAAGGTCAGCTTCGTGAGCATGGCTGTTGTTTTGTCACTACGTACCATATTTGCTGGCCTGCCTCTTCTTTCGACTTGCCAGTCTCTTGCGCAATTGCATCTGAAACCTGGTCCGCAATACCGGTGCCAGCCGTCCCTGAGCCGAACATGACGAACCTCGCGTCGCCCCACTCAACTTTAGCCTCTTTGAACGCAGCCATGATCGCCGCCAGCGTAACGGCGCCCGTGCCTTGCACATCATCGTTGAAGCAAGCCATTTTGGGTGTGTATTTGTCCAAGATGCGCCTAGCGTTGTTTAATCCGAAGTCTTCGAAGTGAATGTAGGCCTTAGGGTATCGCTTTCTGCAGGCCTGCACGAACTTATCCACGAACTCGTCATACCTCTCGCCGCGGGCCCGCTTTTGTCGCAAACCAAGGTACAGGTCGTCGTTGAGAAGCTCCTCGTTCTGCTACCAGTTAGTTCGCTGTTGAGGTCAGACACAAATACTCACATTGGTGCCGCAGTCAAGGACAACTGGAAGCGTACGAGCCGGATGAATGCCTGCACACAATGTGTAGATGGCAAGCTTCGCGACGCTGATAAGAATGGCACCCACGCCTTGGTCGCCGATGCCAAGAATCTGCTCTCCGTCACTGACCACGATCAGATCGACGTCGTCTTTCCCACCGAATTGGTCGATATCATCTTCTATACGGTCCATATGTTCGATGTCAAGATAGCATCCTTCAGGTTTTCGGAACAGTCTGGAATAGTTCGCAATAGCATCGCCTTCAGTGGGGGTATAGATAATGGAGAACATTTCCTTCAAGTGGTCTAGAATCAACTGCAGATTCGGTCAGCTGACCTGATATGTGCAAAGGTCGTAGAAATAAGTACCCTGTAATACAATACTTCATTTTGCTCCTTCATGCTTGTCATGAAAGTGTTCTTGGCTAGATCATCTTGTCGCGATTGATACTGTGCGTAAGCTCTTCGGACCTGCTCCTCAAGGGTCTGTACGTTTGATGGTAGAAGGCCGTGAAGTTTGAAGGTGTCCCGCTCTTCCTCTGTGAAAGCCGAGCCTTTGTTGAAGTAGGGAGTGCGGAGCAGAGCATTGCCCTGCAAGAATGGATCAGCCTAGATACAAGACAACTCTTTCGGATTTCGTACAGTTAAAGCTGTCTCCTGCGGTCCAGATGTTGACAAAGGTAAATGTCCGAACTTGGAATTCTTCTTCTCTTGTGCGGAAGACATGATCGCTTTGGCGCGGGGCACAGAAGGGCGATGCAAAGGAAGCGATGGTCGATGTAGAATCCTCAGAGACATCCGACCCTGTTCATGGAGCATAATATGCATTTCGTCTTCTCACGAGCTATTCGTCATCTTTGATCGGCGAGTTACGGCTGCAGAACCGCGCACGACGCGTCCGCCAGCATTTGCGGCATGGTGACGTAGCTAGTCTCTTATCGATAGCAAGCCCGATCTTCCGCCAGCTACCACACCATGGACCATGCTTGGCTGCCTTCTATACACCGGTAGAAGTGTTTATCAGATCCTAGGTGATGAACAAAGAGTTTTTAACGCCAAGGCGTGGAAGTGTACGGGACAGCCGCGCTTGCCGTCAAGGTCGAGTCGGCCTGAGGCAGGGACAACGGAGATTTGATCATCCCTCCTCCAAACCTGAACCAGACACGTCAGGAAATAAGCCAACTCCATCTTTTGCGATTGCCTCTCACTTTCGTGTTTTAAGCAAGTCCTGCATTTCTTTCCACGCCTCATCCAAAGCTTCGTGCACTTCATCGTCGTATGTGGGCCAATGGGTCGGTATTTTGGCTTGAGACCCAAAGAACTCTTCCGCAACCTTCTCCACGTCATCCACTGGTCTCTCTGCTTCTTCAATCTTCTTCAAAGCGATCATAGAATAATCCTGCAGTTTCCGTTTCATCTGATCCTGCTTTTCGAGGTAACGCCTGATGGGATGTACGTCAACTCGGTCGTTGAAGCGCTCAGTCGCCTGGCGATTTTGGCCAAAGTCCTCATCCCAATCCATAATAACAAAAGGATTTCTCAAGACACATTGAGAGACCGATCGGACCGCCATTGTGTAATGTCTGGGGTCGCTGGAGGGGTCAGCCACTGCGAGTCTGAAGGTCATGTGCTCGACGTTTGTGAGGGGCGAATATTCCGGAATATCCTCTAAGCCTTGCATGTCCAATGGTAATGTCCAGGTCTTCGCATCGCCAATGCGACGAGGTAAAGCCATTTCGGCTTCAACGCTCTCCACTAAGCTAGTGTTGATGACCCTACACCCATGCTTTGCGTAATTTTCGCGGCCCTCAAAGTACTTAGTGGTAAGTAATACATACGCTTGCTTTCTTTTGTACGTCAGGTCAGGAAACAACATATATGCCTTTTCGTGTGTGATGAACATGCAATCAAAGGTTGTGGTTGCACCCTCGAGGAGATCAAGGATTGGTGGGGGCTTGGTCTGGCGGACATTAACTCGCAACTCGCCGTATTTCGCGTGATGTTTGCTGTATACAAAATCCCAAGGGTCTTCAAAATCTCCATCTTCATCTTCTGAATCCTCTCTCAAATTGTAGCCCTCGCCTAACAGGAGTGCATACGTCTGAGCGTGACTATGTGGCGGTAGACGAAGGTCCAAATTTGTGGGTACGAGGCCACTACGGTTCAGGAATTCTTCAACAAAACTACCACTGATTATGCCTTGCCAACGGGCCAAAAGCATGCGGAAGGCGACAGTATCGTCGAAGAGATGGCCTAGTCTCGCGTTGATGTTATAGTTGGTATTGCGGAGAGCGCTTCTCATGTCGTGAAAGTCTTTGTGGGTACGACTCAGTGCGATGATCTCGAAAGGTCCGAGGTTCCTCAGTATCTCTTCTTGGATAGTAGCATGACGTGAACCTAGAAGTTGTAGGAGATTCAGAGGTCCCATGGGTTGATCTGGGAGTTGCTCTCCCTGCCCTTCCGACTCTTGTTCGTCTTGAAGTAGCCCATCTCCGGCTCTTTCGGATCCATATGGAACTCCATCTGCATTCGGTAGATTTCCATCGCCTCTTCCTGATCTGTTGCGCTTCCTTCCCGGCTCTTCAACGTTGGCGACTTCTACCACTTGCTCTAGAACATTGGCTTCTCCCGCGGCTTGCTGTTGTGTCTCTGCTTCGCCTTCTTCCGACAGGGCGTCAGGGCTGCCCTGATTACGCTTTCTTTTATGATTTCCAGCAGAAATAGCAGGCACAGGTGGAGCTGGAACAGGATGAGCAGGCGCAGGCGCAGGATGAACAGGCACAGGCGCAGGAATGACAACCGCAGCAGGAGCAGCCGCAGCCGCAGCCGCAGCCGCTTGCCTCGCTTCCCTGTCCCTCTTCTGGGCGCGTGTCTCAGTCATGTCAGACAGATCAATGTGGAAAGAATTGGGAGAATTGTCGATGTAAGTCAGGAGAGAACGCAGCCGTCTGTTATTGGGGAAAGCTAGAGTTACGCACCCATTGATGAACAAAGACCAAGTGAAAGACGCCACTACGCATCTAATTGGGTAACAGCAGATATGGAGAAGAGCAAATCCTTTGAAGAATTCAAAAGTCCCAACGAAAAGGGTTCTAGTTCGAAATGTGCGGTATCGTTGCGCTAGACAAAGAACGTGGTGTCGACGAAAGGCGTAGCCCTTTGTTATGGGAACAGTGCCATGAGATCAGAACATGACAAGGTCTCTTCTTGACTTTGACAAAGCTTATGGTCGGAAGCTGCTGCTTAGTGTAATCGTAAAGGGAACCAGCTGTGATAAAATTTATGTTTTTGTTTTCCAATAGAAAAAGCCCACAGTTCGGTCAGTGAGCGACAAAACCATAATTTCAGGCATTCAGAGTTACCGCACAACACAATGCATTCGCAGCATCTCGAAAAGAACAGTAAAGGGTGGACCCATCACACCAACCAGAGTCGTGGAAGCAGAAGCCTGCGAACTTGGTGAATCTTCTAACACAACCCGTGAAGATATCGCTAAGATCTCGTATGACATTGGATCTGTCCGCATCAAATCTCTAGGAGTGGATTCGCTACCAGCAAACCACGGGCTATAGGACAAAGGGGAGAGGTACCCGCATTCTCCAGATGCTGTCCCCCGCCGGGTCTTTGTGCATCCCCAGACACACAAATCGTACAGATGGAGGACTTCTTGTTTGACGAATATCTAAATACCAGGGTACCGACAGGGATATTGTTGATAGAGTGGGTCGTGAGATCTAACGACTTCAGGAATAGTGCGAAGGATCGAGCTGGTGGCACCAGAGCTTGCGATGCCAACTTGGCATAGTGTGTGTGACATATGGACTGTGTAGTATTGTTATGGAGGTCAAAGATCCACAAGTCGTGATAGCCTTCGAGCGAAATCGTCCTGGCGGTTGACTTGTGTTGTGTCCCCAGAGACTGGAATTTGACGTGTTCCAGCGCCGTGGATTTGGTCGACGTCTCCACTGTGTGATATCGTAGCTTGTTCCGACGTACATAAAGCAGCCACCGTCTTGATCGGTGTCTATCGATTGTCAATCGCGCCTCTACAGCTTTCGCGGAGCATGTGAACAGAAAGTCATGAAGTTAGTAGACAAAGTGTGATCGAGAAGAAGTTGCCTAGCTCCGTTGAACCCGTCACGACCACGCCCCGTGACGAGGCATTTGTTTTCGCGTTCGGATCATTCGCGCATTAAACGTGGACTGGAGCCGGCAAAATAGTCGGTACGTTGAATCCTTGTCCTTGCGTCGTCGTCGACGCCAAATTTGGGCTTGCATACGGTGCGCAGTGGGCAATCCATCGGCAGGACGCCCGATCGCGGCTTCCCCCGCGGCACAGCCTGCGAATCAGGAAGTGGCAGACCTCAACACCAAACCCATTCCCGACGCTCTTTTTGCGCAATCACCTGAGCCCTCACGCTCCGGTGCTCCACGCGCGCTTGGCACCTGTGCTCCGCTCTGCTCTGTTGCTCATACTCGCGGACTTCGCCACCGCCTCCGCTCCTGCATGGGCTGTTCTACTATTACAATCACCACGCCGTTGTTTCTTGTCTCTTGGGGCTCCAGGGACCCACAGCGTGGATACCAAGTATGAGACCCTTTCGGCTGGGCGTGGTTCTGCCCAGAACATTCTGCATCTCCATCTCCACCTCGCGATTCTCACCGCTGGAGGGCCAAAGACATCCATCAGCAACGCCATTTGCACACTCGCCGCCGGATTACCACTCCTAGCAGCAACATCGATGACGGTTGAAAGAAGGCCAACCAAGATCTTCGGCTGACGACTTTGCTTCTCGGCGCGCAAGCCTCTTGCTTGGCCGTCGAGGGTTGTGCTCGGCGCACCAGGATGGCTGAAGCTTCGGCGCATCTGCCGCGTCGTACAGCGGGGACAAAGGCAGACATTGCAGCCAAGAGCCCGGAGGTCGACATGGGCAAGAGCTTCGTCCAAAGTCAGTCGCGGGTGCGCGTTGGCTGAAAGGCTTTTCGACGCCTCGCGCCTTAACAAAAACCATTGTGCATAGGCAAGGCTTAATCTTACTGGAGGTCGACATTGAACGTAGATGTACACCCCTCGCTTTGGGCCGAATCCAGCTGAAAGGTTCCAGGCGAATCCCCACGGGGACTGTGGGAAGGCACGCTCGCGCCAGTTTCCCTGCTAGGGCCATTTCTCCACGAAAAGGACTGATCGACACCCCAGGCCTCCATTGTTCTGTTACCTTGTATGCGCGTTTCCCCATCAGCGCCCGGCCCTCCAACGATGCTTGGTCTTCTTGGCTGCTAATGAGCGGTTACCACCCGCCTGCAACTTGTTCACAACCTACCGCTCTGGGCAACTTGGCATCCCTTGGCTCGTCACATCGCTAGCAGCCCGCGTACAGATGACATGCACGACAATCGCTTACTCGTGTACCATGAGCAACCCCGCCATGCGCGCTTCCTGCAGGTATATAGAGACCCTGGGACTCCGATGCTGAAAGTCCGTACGCCTGGAGCCTCCTCAGCCCTCAATCACCTGAGCGCTCTTCCTTTTCTGCATCTTTATCCGTTGTTGGTTGTCAAGTCACAATGTCTGTAGCCAATGAGCCCGCAGATCCTATCGCCAGAGGCATCTTGCCCACGGCCAAACAGTCCTTGAAAGACTTGTTCGTGTGGAAACAGAGAGTCGTCGTTAGGAACGAATACGGCGAGGAGCACACTGAGTGGCAAGCGCCCGAGCCTTTGAAGAACCCAATCAGCCTCTTTGCTCAACTCAGTGCGAGGGATTGGCTGTACTTCATTGTCGGGTTTGCCTCATGGACTGCCGACGCTTTCGACTTCCACGCGCTCTCGATCCAGACGGTCAAATTGTCCAAGTACTACAACCGCTCAAAAACGGACATAACCACCGCCATTACACTCACCTTGTTACTGCGATCTATCGGTGCCGCCGTTTTCGGCTTTGCTGGAGACAAGTGGGGTCGAAAGTGGCCAATGGTGGTGAACATGGTCATCTTAGGTCTGCTTCAGGTTGCAACTATCTATGCTGCCACTTTCCAGCAATTCCTGGCTGTTCGGAGTCTCTTCGGGCTCTTCATGGGTGGTGTGTTCGGAAATGCTATTGCCATGGCGCTCGAGAACTGCCCGTAAGTTACGTGACTCTTTGAACTCGGCCTCCAGCTAATCCCTGTAGGACCAACGCTCGTGGTCTTATGAGCGGTATTCTGCAACAAGGTTATTCGTTCGGCTACGTCCTGGCGGCGTGTGCAAATCTCGCCGTTGGTGGATCGACCGAATCCTGGAAGACTGTCTTCTGGGCTGGTGCGGGTCTTTCCATTGGTGTTGGACTCATTCGAATTCTGTTCCCCGAGTCTAAGCAATTCGTCGAGGCGCGTAAGGCTGGCAAGCGAGCACAGGCGCCTGGAGTTTTCTGGCTGGAGACGAAGAAGATGATTCGACAAGAGTGGAAGATGTGCGTTTACTGCATCATCTTGATGACTTGGGTGAGTCTCGAGACTGTGCAAGTGGCTACTTTCTCTAACAACGGATGCAGTTCAACTATTATTCCCACACTAGCCAAGATTCTTACACCACGTTCATGAAGACGCAGAAAGAGCTGTCTGATTCCGGAGCAACGCGCGCTTCTATCCTGATGAAGACGGGTGCCTGTGTTGGCGGGACTTTCATCGGCTACTTTTCGCAGTGGTTTGGTCGTCGACGATCCATCATCTGCGCCGCGTTAATCTCCGCCTGCCTCATCCCGGCATGGATTCTTCCTGAGACTGAGGGTGGTCTTTCGGCGTCCGGCTTCATGATTCAATTCTTCGTTCAAGGAGCGTGGGGAGTTATCCCCATCCACCTGAACGAGCTGTCACCTCCGGCCTTCCGATCCAGTTTCCCTGGCATCACATACCAACTGGGCAACATGATATCGTCTCCATCTGCCCAAATTGTCAACGCCATCGCCGAAAGTCACTTCCTCAGGTCGCATAAGAGCGGCGATATTGTCGAGGCTTACGGCCCGACTATGGGCATTGCAACTGCCATCATTGCACTCGGCATCGCGGTTACGGCTGCTCTTGGGCCTGAGAAGAAAGGTCGCCACTTCGAGACTGTTGGCCCGCCCGTTGCTGCGGACATTCCCAAGGACATTGAGGAGGGCCGCATCAGCGAGGAGAAGTCCGAGACCAAAGCGGTTGAAGTCAGCCAGAAGGCTTAGATGACATCGACCAGACTTTTGGAATCATGAGAGGAGGTGCATATATCGACTGTCATGAAAAGATAGCGGAGATCGTTACGACTAGATAGATACCGGTACCACGTGTCGAATAGTAGGTGGCACGATGAAAGAACACATTGACGACCACCGTTTCCACATCCTTTTGCTGTGTTCTTTCTTAGCATCGGATCGCCTGTCTCTATTTAGGCTTTGCCAGTCGAAGACATGCACCACGTTCTTCAACCCTATAGTTCAACAAGAACGATTTCGTCGCGCCTTCGAGATTGTGTTGGCGACCCATCTCTCTTTCGCCCTCCTACTGGACACGCGATCTCAGGGTAATACTCACCAACGTGACTTGCCAGTTTCACGCTCCGCAGCCCTCGTAATCGTCACCCGGCGAACAACTTGATTGGCCATACGTGCAATAGAGTCTTCTGATATTGGTCGCACCCCCCTCGATGCGGCAACTTACGCCGCGCAATATTTCCCCACGCGCAACCATGTGAGCAGGGGCCACTCCACTCCGCTAGTCTAGAAATCCGTGGTGGGCCCGTAAGGCCCGTCCCAAGACTTGCCGAGACTACGCCAATACGCCCCAGGTTCTTGGAAAAGTGTTTCGGTTCCTGGAACGGTGGCATCTCGGCGGTGTTGTAAAGCGCGGGCGAAAGATTCTGCGGATATCTCCGAGGACTGGGAGCATTCGGAACATGGAGGCGGGAGAGGATGGTCAAACCGGCCGAGAGCTCGGCGATGTTCTGAAAGTTGCGCTGCTCGTGCCTTGTGTGATATAGAGGTGTTCTCTACAAGGTGAATTTTCCACGTGTTCATGCTGGAAATTGTGGTGTCTGCCCTTTCGTAGAAGAGTGGGGTCCATAGATTTCTAGGCTAGATGGTCTACAGTAATGCACTCCAAGAATTAGTGCAATAGCTCGGTCAACTGCCGAACCACCCCGCGAAATTTCGCTCCACGTTTTAACCCCGTCTTTTTGCCTCCTGCTTTCCCAGCGCACCGGAACACCATCTGCGATCGTCTTACACACCTGCTGTATCCGGCGCGTCACGAAAATGGCGACTCAGAAGGATGCAGCTATATCGGGAGAAATAGGAGGAAACGCGCGCTCTACCCAGAACACACAGTACGATGCTATTGGCAGCAAATACGGTGACATCAAGAGCAAGCCTGCGGTGCACCCGGAACCGCCGTCTGTGGTTGCGGTGCTGGGCGATGTGCAGGGGAAGCGGTGTTTGGGTGGGTTCCTTTCGCTTTTCTCTGCCCCCACCTGCAGTAGTCTGCGAGCCTCTTTAGGGCTGTAATGGTACAGGTTGAGCCTCGTGTTCATAGCCTAGACTGCCCAGTCTCCCAAGTACGCTCATGCAAGCCTCCGCCCGATCTTCTTCGGGTGCTTGCCCTCCCGTATGCACGTCTCACGCCATGCTCACATCGCGCTTTTAGATCTCGCATGCGGGCTTGGCTTCTACAGCGCGCTGCTCGTGAAGCTGGGCGCTGCATCTGTCCACGGGTACGACATCTCTAGCACGATGGTCGAGGCCGCGCGCAAGGCGTATCCGTCATCGTCACTCCCGAATCTGCACTTCGAAATCGCGGATTGTAGCGCGCCGGAGAACTTGCCTGAAGGCAAACCATTTGATGTTGTATTTGCCGGGTGGTTCTTGAATTACGCGGGCACGGAGAAGGAGCTGACGTCTATGTTCCGCACCATCGCGCAGAATTTGGCCGTGGGAGGGAAATTTGTGGGCGTCACGACGAATGTGACCGATCCGTGGGTGAAAGAGGATAAGAAGGACTTCTATGGGATAGAAGTTGAGGTGTTGGAGAAGGAATATGTGGCGCCGGATACGGGAAGGCAGATTGGTATCAAGGCGCGCGTTACGGTGCTGTCTGAGCCGCCATTTTCCTTTGATGTGTTTCAGTTTAGGAGCGAGGTGTATGAAAGATGCGCACAGGAGGCAGGACTGGAGATCAGGTGGAGGGAACACGTACTGCCGGATGATGAGAGGCGAGAGTCGGGGTATTGGGACGAGTGGTTGAGGAGACCGACGTTCAGTGTCATCGAAGCCATTCATCGTAGTCAATGAGTTCGAGGACGTTGAGGTGAATCAAGAGCTATTGTGACGTGGGCACGGACGCGTGTTGCCTGGCGATGTGTTTCTCTCACTCTCAACCTCAATTTCTGCTTGCAAATTCTACTCCACAAACTTCACACTTTTCAACTCTCTACCTTAAACCTTCTTAGTCGCGCACACGCACACCGCACATCACACTGACAAATACCAAACTTCAGGATGTCTTCTCTCCAGCTCTTGCAGAAGTTCGACACCGCACTTCTCAACCCGCAGCCGCCCACTACAACCGACAACACCTGCATCGGTACCTCCAAGAAAGGAGAAAGGTGCAAGAGGCAACTCAGCTTCTACGCGATCCAGCGTGTCGCCAACCTCGTGACCAGCCTGAGGTATTATCTTCACTTAACCGGCATGACTTTATGTGCTAACAGTAATTGCTAGATTCACCGACCCGCAGATCGTCCAGCGCGAGCACCTCACGCTTGGCGAGGGAGGGTGCGTCTTCGATTGCTTTTGCTCCACGCACATAGACCAGTCAGCGACAGTGATTTGGGCTTGGCTGGCACGGATTGAGGGGGTAGGCCTGCAGAGGAGGGTAGAGGAGAGGGAGAAGAATAGGGTGAGGGTGGAGTTGTGGCTTCAGGGTGTGAATCCGGTGGATGGCGAGGGTCCGCTGCCGGAGTGACGAGGTGCGAGAATGAGGGTTTCGGGGGCCTTAAGGAGAGGAGAGGGGATAGAAGGAGAAGGGGAGAGGTCGTATCGTGGAGAGGTCTTGTGGTTTTGGGATGAAATCTCGTATTGAAGATACCCCGGCTGTAGTCCACACATCCAACATTTCCTTCTTCCTTTCTACCATACTAAGTCTCTTTTGACTTTCCAGCCATGTTGATCTAACCAGTGTACGTGCAAGTGACAGTAGAAGATCCCGATGTCGAGCATGACGTGTAAACGGTGCTACCCTGCTTGATATCCAGAATCTCCGCGCCAGAAACACCAACGGTACCGCTGGAAGTGGTTGCGGAAGCACCTGTGAAAGTAACAGTGCCAAAGTTTGCGAAGGGAACAAGGCTGTTGCCAGAAGAGAAGTCCTCCACAATCCACTCAGCATTAGTCTCGCACAGCCTGTGTTAACGCGTCAGCATTCCTCCCTTGCAAAGTTTCCCAAGTCATGACAGGTACTTACTTGTTTGTCTCGCCGCTGAAGGTCTTGGTCACCGTCTTACCGGTGGTCAAGTTCTGGATGACAGCACTTCCAGCGCTGGTGCTGGTCGCAGTGACAGTCATCTTGATCTGATCACCCGCGCTCACGGTGATACCAGTGAAGTCGTACGCATAGTCGGGATACCACTCATACCACGCATCGAAGCTGACCGTCGAGCCCTTGATGTAGAAATCCACTCCAGTCTGAAGGATGGCAGTTGAGCAAGTGTCGCCGTCGATGCCAACCCAGGCGGAGGCAGCGTACTGGGTAGACGAAGATCCGGAAGAGGGCTTCTTGGGGGTAGGCACAGTGATCGTGCCCGTGACACTCTTGTAGCCGGTGCCGATGAGGACGGCGCCAGCCCAGTTGGAGGAGTAGGAGACATGGGACTCGTTGGCATTGGCGAGGCGGAGCTCCTCGAGGTCAGAAGCCTGGAGAGGGTTGGAGTTGCGGAGGGCCTCGCGGCGGTTGAAACGGGCTGCGGAGCGCTCCTGGCGGGAAGGAACCGCGATGGCGGTGGAGGCCAAGAAGGCGGGGATGAGGGTGGCAAGGAACTTCATGGCGAAGATGATGCTGTGTAGAGCAAATGTAGGAGCTGTGGAAAGGTACCTTGAATATGGGAGCTGAGGAAGAGGAGCTGTCTGCTTCTTGTGTACCTGAAATGTGGAAAATAGCAACCATACTTATAGTTATAACGTATGAATATGTTTACCTTGATGTCCGACAGTAGTGCACCCTAGCAAGTAGATGCCTGTCTAATGAAACATAGGCAGGGATCGTGTTCGATAGTTCACAGGGGCAACACCTTCCTAATCTTCCAGCGCGATAGGCCTAGAAACTCTGGTATCACAGTCGCGCGCGTGATAACAGAAGAATAGATTGAGGGTTACGCAACACCTCCACTGCAGTGGGCTTGTTTTGTTAAGGCCGTGGGTGCAAAATCGAAGATCATCCTGCATGTCCTCGGCTACCGGAAGGCGCATGGGATTCAAGAACGTTGACTGGTGGATGTCATCGTAAAGTTTTGTTCGCTGTCATTGCTACTGGATGGTAGTTGCGCGGTTTCTATCGTGGCGTACGTACGAGAGGTGTCGTGTGTGATAGTCACGACCGGGAAACTGGAGCCTATCAGACATGTGGTAAATGACTAGCAGCCACTGAACGTCCAGCCGTGTAGAAGAAGGGCTCCTATAACATGGAGTTTACTGGCGATAGTATACAGCGTTGTACCAAGCTTTCGCTTCTTCACGCCCAGTGCATTCAAGCATTTTCCAAGACACTTTGACAACTCCGAAATACGGGTGAGCGGTCTCCACATGCACAGCTGTATGATTTCTTTGGTATCTTATCGCACCATGCGTACGAGGGTATGCCTGCGCGGTTGGCATCGGGCGTTATTGAAGCGGATGGCAGCTGTCGGCAAAAGGCTCTCTCTGAGTACGTTGCAAGCATCTTCTGGAACATGGTCCGTTGTTGTGTGATAACCGCTCGCAAGGATTGGTGCAATGTGTAGAAAATGACAAGGATGCAGATAAGCGACGACCATACCTTCCTCATCAAGGCTCCTCCTCCGGCAATGGCGTGCTCCAGGCTTTGCACGCGACATGCAACAACACCTTGAGTTTCGATATCTCGTGATCTCATTCTCGTGATGAACAGCTTTACTGCTAGTCTAGCCCTGTCATCCATGTCCAGCCAGCCTCTCCCTTACTCCAACAACTCCCGTCCCATCATTTCCTCTGTCGACAACATCTTCTCCTTGCTTCCACATGCCTTGCACGTGCACTTGTACCTCGCTGCCATCTCCGCAACCCATTCTTTGCTTCCAGTCCATTTCCGATCCAAGAGTTTGTAGGGGCCATTGATCATGGCGCGACGAACGAGATAGCGAACAAGCGGGGTCAGCTCTGCATAAGGCGCGATCTCGATATCGGTGGAGTTGTGTCGATTCATGACGAACATGAAGATGCGCTCGAACAAGATGTCCTCGTTGACAGTAGGTGGATTCTATTTGGTTTAGCAATCGACGAATACATCTACCGCGTCCCCATACGTACTTGGCGATGGAAAGCCCAGATCTTCGCGGCAAGCACACTGTCTTTGAGCTGCGAAGCGGAAAGACCTAGATCAATGCACGCGTAGTGCAGGAATGGGAGCAGCGTCTCTTCTACCCAACTGGTCTCGAGGGCTTGAAGAGCTGGTGTGCCGGACGGAGCCTGCGGAACGTTCTGGCTTGGAATCACGGCTGGATGCGGCGCAAACGGAGCGGCGGACGTTTCCGCACTCGCCATCGGCGGAGGTGACTTCGAAACGATGGGCACGTAGTATTGAGGCTGCATGGTAGGTTTGGTTGCTAAATACAGCGGGTGGTGTTGCGGATTGCAAAGCTCGTTGTGCAGGTGAGTGGTCATAAAGGGACCGCTTTGGCCTCGAAAATTCTGGCAAGGCTACCAAGCTGCTTTTGCAAACGCATCATCTCGAGCAGTCCATTCTACTCACCACATCGGGAGCCAGAATTATAGTCTACGTGTCGCTTTCTAGTTGTATCCATCTTTATGCGTTCAGCACCACACCTAGCACTTAGCCAAACTTTTGTAAATCCAACATCTCGCAACTCTAATGTAGCCTAGTAACACATGCTCACGTTTATCCTGACGCTTCGAAGGGACCAAACCTTCGCTAGGTATAACCTAAGCATGATAGAGGAGCTAGAATCTAAAGGAAGACCGGTCCTCCGCGTGATCACACAAATGCTTGCCCCATGCAAACATGTAGCTATTCCCAACCATAAAAGAGTGCATCAGAGTGCACAGAATCAATACACGACCATTCAACTCGAAGATTGCAAATTCCAGGTCAAGATGCCGCCCAATCCCCAACTTGTGGAAGATATCATGCAAGCCCGCGATACGCGACTAGACAACTTGTCGAATAGCTCTGGTTCCAAGAACAAGGACCTGAGGGCTCGTGTCACAGGTCTGAAGGAACAACTGCTGCGGCTCGAGGAGAGAATGACAAAGCTGAAACAGTTGATGGACGGCAATTCTGCGAAGGGTCACTCAATACCGGTCAATGGAACGAGTTCAGGAGGCGACAAAGACGTGGACAGCACTGAGATAGGAGTAGGCAACTCGCATGCGATATCAAATACGGGAGCCTACTGTTGATATCGACGCGCATCCCTGGACCTGATGGAGAAGGCACAGTCGGGGGGCGGAGACGTTGTCGTTGCCTCTGGGGTCCATAACAGTGCTGATGAAAGAAGTGTTCAATATGATGATTCTGCTGTAGATGTTACCGATGCAACATTGCACGACATCCCAACCTTAAAGGAAATATAAAAATCCAATTTTCCAAACGTGACTTCCGTGATACGAGGAGCGCGAGGAGGTTGGAGAAACCATTCAGGTGGAAGCACCGTGGGACTGAGTTTGGCAGAATAGAGTAATGGGAATTCAGGATGTGGGGAGCATGTCAAGGAAAGGCTTAGGCGTGGGATACTAGCGTTTGTGATAGATGAGAAAAGTCTTGAGGGAATCAACCGTCTTAAATGTGCTGCAGTCATGGGTGTACATGAGTCGCAGATATAGTTGAGTCATAAGTGTACATGAGTCGTAGATATGATTGTGTCAGAGAGTACATGCAGAACAGAATGAGATCCGTATAAGACTGGGAGATACTGTATCTGCGTGAGTCTTGCTGCATTCATTCCCGTTGCTGCTTCTCTCTGCAACACGTGTCTTGCTGCCGGTCACGTCAGTCACCCGATCGCTAATAATGCTATTGAGCGCCAGTCCACTATTTGTACAAGCAGCGATCATGAAATGCTCAGCAAATGATTGAGTCTTCCCTCTGCTCGACGACTATTAACTCGAAAGTATGAAAAAACCGCCTACCCATCGATTTTGGTGAGTTTGGTATTTGTAGAGAATGACGGACTCACTGGACCACATGAGTGTATTTCGTTGTTTGTATCCTTCGAGAGGATCTTACACAGAGTGTTACGTGGAAGGGGTGACGTCTTCAAAAGCAAAGAGATATGCAACGAGCTCTCTAAACCATCTTTTCACCTACGACAACTACTTTTCTCAAGAGCCTCTCGAGACAGCATCAAGGTTAAGCTCTATTAATAAAATTCATGGCCGCGCAAGGATACCACTACATATGCGTTCGATCCCCAAACGATACATACATCAGCTTCGTGTGTACCCGATACATGCCCAACGACAGGCAAATTGAGCTCTACAACGAGTACATTGGAATTGAGAAAGTCGAGCATATCGAAGATTTAATTGTTCGTGAAGGGTATGTTACTAGGCCAGGAATCATCGTTGGGCGTCAAATCTTTCGGGAAACAGAACGCAACACGGTCTGGATTTGGGAAGACGCTGAGGATGTACAATATATAAATAACGATGACGAGAGGTCGAGATCACGTGTGCGACTGCCCTCCTTTGACGAGTTCCGTCAGAAATCGGGATATCTGGAGCCAGTCAACCCCGAGGAAGCCGAGAATGAGGACGACAAAGAAGACCGCTGCCCCATCTGCCGCGCGGACTATTTCCCGGAGCCTGGTGACGTGGACGAGGACGAACATTTCGATTACACCGTCGTTAAAACGCAGTGCGGGCATTGCTTCCATCAGCAATGCATACTACGGTGTCTGAAAAATCCACCAAATCCCGATGGTGTGGGCAGGTGTGCTATTTGCAGGAAAGAGCTATGCGACAATTTTCGGCGCTGACTGAAAGGCTTCTAAGGAGTTATTCTTTCGGCTAGTCAATGTCTATCTATGGATCGCTGTGTGGAAAGCCTACAGAGGCTTGTCGGAGTGTGCTCTCTATCTTATCTCATTATATTCAGCAACAGTTTCAGGTCTTCAGTCAATACCGCTGCATACTTTATTCAATCCTACAACTCTCTACAATTAATGCTCTCCTTATTGTTGGCATCAGATTTTGTATGTATGTTTACTTCCCAGCCCACTTCGTCTCGTCAAATTTTGTTTTCGTCAAAACAACTTTAAAGTCAATTGCACTTTTACATTGATCTAACCCCTCAGTTAATTCGAATCTTTAGAGAAGGTAAGTGGCTCAATAATCATAGTCTGGCTGGAAAAGTACACGCAGAAGTACGGTCAGCTCTTGCGACTCTGATGGTGCGCGTGGATGTGCAGTGTCAAGTTATACCTAGTGAGCAAGAATCACCCTCATAACATCCGACAGAAACAGGGCTGAATAGAATGATCTCATCCCATAGAGACAAAGTGCTACCACTTGAACGGTTCTATTAAAAGGCGCCCACCTTTGTCTATAGCTTGCTAATGTCCATAACGCTAAGCTGCACCTTATTCGTGGTGCTAGGCGGAAGCTTTCCACCGCCCATGATCAGCAACTTTGTCGGATCATGCAACACCCTCAGATGCCTCGTGTAATGCGTCGCCTCAGGGCTCGCAACCTTCTTCCATGCGCCTTGTGCTCCGAGCTTCGTGTTGACAAAGATCTCGGTATTCGAGGATCCGGACGCAATGATAGTTCCATTCTTGCCGCCAACGGGGCTCCAGACAACGTAGGGAGACCCGATGGGGATAGTACCGTCCGTGGCCTTGAGTTCCAGGCCGGTCGCAGGACCGAACTTCTCCGGGTCCGACACGATCTTGTAATGCACAGGGAAGGAGTAGGTGGTGGTGTTGTGGAAGCCGCCATACTCGTAGGTCATGATGAACTGACCATTGGGCAGCTTAGCTACGGTCGGCATGCCGGGCCGGTCGGTGTACTCGGGGTAGGCGACATCGTCGATGACGGGGCCCCATTTCTTCAGGTCCTTGGTGGTCTGGTGCACCATCTTCTGGCCGTGGGTGGCGTTGTCACGCTGATCCGAGTAGTAGCAGATGAGCGTATTCTTGTGCTTGTAGAGAAAGGGTTCCCAGACGGGGGTTTCGCCGTTGTTGGGGAGCGCGACGCCGCCGGCCGCGATGTGGGAGACGAATTTCCATGTCTTGCCGCTGTCGCGCGAAGCGTAGAGTTCGATTTGGGTCTTGGACAGATCCTTGGGGATGGAAGATCCGGACAGGAGCACTGTGCCGGCAGGGAATCCTGCCAGCGCCTCAGGCAAGACGTAGAGGAAAGGCTGGTAGCGTAGACCCCAGCCATTCTGGGTGTCTTGTACTCTGGAAAGCTCCTTCCAGGTGTAGCCATGGTCGGTGGATTTGTAGATGGGGAAGTACACCATGGGCGGCTCGGGGCTGTAGTTCTCCCATGTGGCTAGGAGGTCGCCATTGGGCAATTGCGCACTACGAGCGTAGAGAACTCCCGGATCTGTCCAATTCTTATCCCTCGGAGGCTCGAAAACAACACGACGGGCGAAGGTGGTCGGTGTTTTGGAGGCCAATGGTTTGGCAACCGCCGCGGAGGCTAGGCCCAGAACCGAAAAGATGGTCGTGAGCTTCATTGTGCCCTTCGCAATGATAGATTGACTGTAGGGATGCAGTCCGTGATCGCAGGGGCGATCAATTTATATATGCCTGCATCCGAGAGCCTCACTGCGCGCGTGTAAATTTCCAAGATCTCGGGTTGCGCGCAACAATTCCCCGGATTCGCCTCCAGAATGCGGGCGTCGGAGAAACTTGTTGATCTTGCGGGGACTATTTGCGGAGGTGATGCTAAAGTAGGCCCTGACGATATTTGCCGGCTTGGGTAATGGAACAATAGCGCCGAGCCGAGGGGAATTCGCAGCGTGGATAGGTGGAAATTTTCGACGACACCGCGCTGGGCGCGAGTTAGTAGACATGCCATGACGTGCTAGAGAGGCATTTCGGTTGTGAGGGCGACAATGGGTTGCGATCGTGAGCCTCGGTTTGTTGTAGGTACACAAGCCTGCTGCTGATGGTTAGGTAGCTGGAGGATCACGAGGCGAACGTTGGAAGGAGCCGTGGTACGCGACTTCCTACCACCATCCCGAGCCACAACCTTAATTCGACTTCGCTGCGTTTCTTCACATTGTGATGTCGAACGAATTAACCCTTTCCAGCCGACAAGGTCCAGAAGCGCAGGTAAAATGGAGAGCTTCTAGATTAACACGCAAACCTGCGCAAAAGGCCGCAGATTCGCATGGTCAGCGCGGCATCCAATAAAATGAGGGCTTTTCCGCGTCGAGCTCACCACAACCTCGAAGCCTTTTCATCCAAACATCGACTATGCAACACACTTCCTCGCTTGGTTCCAATCAAAGGTTGAATACAGAAGGCTCAAGGCCGCGAAGAGCCATGCATAACCCCGTCGCAACATGTGGCTGCCATGCCCAGCGAAAGGTATTACCTCTCTGGTTCATTGAAACGTAACTCGGAGGGAGCTGAACCCGGTAGCTGAGAAGGAGGCCGCGAACAAGAGTTCGGATGGTGTTCTGTGGTCATCGGCAGAGGCTGTACACCAATCATGACCCGCGCACGCAGCCACCCTCACCCCCGCCATGCGGAGTCTGTGGCAGTGCAGCGGAGGATGCCTTGACGACTGCCCTGCACATCACTTTCCGCAGCTGACTGCAGCCTGCTCGTCAAAAACCAATATGGCCGCCTTCGACTCGTTCTCACCTGCTCTGCTCAGGCATCTCTGCATCGTGCAAAGTTGCCAACGGAGAACATGGTAAGCTGCCCTTCCAATGCACCAGGCTCCAGCAATCGCGCATTGCAAATGAGCTTTTGTATGGGAACCCACTAACCGCCTTCCACAGGCTTCCTCCATAGCCTCACCGGTACCGCGATCGCATACCGCTAGTCGTTCGATGCGCAAAGATGTCGTGAACTTGCAATCGCAGGAAGACGGCCGCGGCACGCCTCTTCCCCAATACGAGAAGACACAATCAGTCCCATTTACACTCACACTACAAGAAGAAAAGGACAAACCAGGTCAATTCCAGTTGGTAGTCAACGTCGATCCCCAACATCAGCATGCCGGCGGCGGGGACCGTTTGAAGGCGTCTCCATCGAAGAAGCTTGTCGCGAACCTACAACAAGCACCAAGCTTAGGCTACGACGTATCGCAATTGTATCAAACACAGAAGTCGAGCCCTCCATCAACACCACAAGCAGAACGGCAGGAGTGGTCGGAGCTGGATGCTATACCTCCGGAATTCCTAGAGAAAGTTGTGCCGGACTGGAAGGTCACATTCTCGCGGAGCGATTCTACTGCTTCGACACAATCGCGCAAACTGGCCGATATCAAAGCGCGCATAAAGAAGAGCGGAAAGGGGTTTGTTGTCAGGCTTTTGAAGGGTTCCAACGCAGATACAAACGAGGTTAGGGAGGTTCACCTGGGTCGCAATTCTGTCAACCAACTGCCGACACTTTCGGAGCTCGATTCTACGGCGCCTCCAGTGGAGCTGGACACTGGCAAAACTAACAATCCCATACCGACTGACGTGTCCAGCGAAGTCTTCGAGATTGGCACGTCTGGGGAGCCCGGAGTGGAGAAGGCACCCCGACCAGCACCTACCTCTGCAGTCTCCTCGATTCCTCAATGGCTCAATCAAACGTCTAATGAAGCTTCAAGGAGGATTTCATTGCAAGAAGATAGCTTTAGCGATGCGGAGACATTGCTATCTGATGTTCGCTCTATCGCAGATCAAATGGAAGATCATGCAGACGTTGAACCGATATCGTCCGATTGCTCCGTCTTGCCGACCAGATCTAGCTCTGTGCTGAGCATAGTCAAAACTCCAACGCGCGGCCTGTCAGTTGTTGGACCGGTACGGCGTGTGGAAAAGGGCAACCGCGTACGAACAAAAGGGAAGATGTTAAGAGGAGATCTCAATCGTACTGGTGCTCGTAAGTCTTTCATCGGTCGGTCTCCGCAGGGCTCAATCTCCGAATCAGTGGTGTCAGACCGCCTTCGAAATGCTGCTGCAGCATTATCATTAACACATGTACCTCGCTCAAATCCTTCGTCCGAGGAATCATCCGATGATGCTTCTAGCAAAAAACGCAACAACCAAGACCGACGAACACGACTCGATAAACCGGATCTGGCGAATCGAAAAGTTCGGCGCCAGAGTTCTCTTCCAGACTCTGTCCCAACAGTGCAGCCAAAAACCCTCCCTCGTCTTGAGACCAATCTTCCTCCTTCCAAATCCGCGAATGCATCACCCACCGCAATGCGAAAACGCTCACCTCGAACCGGTAGAGTACACACGAGAACGAGGGACGATACGTCAGTATCACCTGGCCATGCCCGTGTAATTGATCCCGTGGAAGCTTCACCGGTCTGGTCTGAAGTTGGATCGACTGATGCCGATGAACTTCGCGAAGCACTTGAGGAAGCGTTTGGCACAGTCGCAGATGATCTTGAGTCGAGTCTGGACCGGACGAGAAGATCAATACCAAGCATCAAGGAGCCCGTCAACGATGCTGAAGTGGGAATGCGTCCGCTCTCGCCGGGTCTTGAGATAAGATCTGCGCCTACAACGTCAGGTAATCGGGTCGCCTTGTTTTGGGGTCTTGCGCTGGGTGCTGTATTGGATAAAGTGGTCGAAGGCCTGCAGCATCTGCGCGATACATATGGGAGCGAACCTCCAGTGCCGGCTAATCATGTGCGTGTTCGCTGGACTTGCGTAAGTAATGATCCCGCTAGTTGCTCGTTCACGTTTCCCTGACCTGAGCAGTCCTGTGGTGAGGACCTCTACGACGACTTCATCGAACGTCGGCCGGGCGCTGCTCGATGGCTTGAAGGGTATCTCAACCGCCCACGTGCGCACACCCCGACCAGTTCACATAGTCGCTCTAGCACAGCAACCTCGATGTCATCGGTCTTCGACAATGCCAGTAGAGCGTCTACGTTAGCGACACCTTCCTCGACATACGGTGGATCTTCATCCTGGGGCAAGAGTAACAATAGCTCGAAGTATAGTCCTACACGTGTCAAGAGTAACAACCCGTTCAGCGTGTCGATACATCGACCGGTGGAAGATTCATGGCTGTTGACATGTGCGAATGAGGGGAAGTTCACACCCAAGGTTGTTCACCTTGACGTCAACACACAGCGGATCAGAAGCGACAAAGACCTCGCGATGGTGCTCCGGGAGCATTACGAGCATCTCAATCGGCGTTGGCTGAAGTGGACTAGACTGAGGGGACTGACCACTATTGAATTCGTCCACTTCGAAGTGCACCGTAACCGCTTCGCAGATATACGCGCCACACCGTCGATGCCACCTACGACTTCTTCCGTAAGCGATAAGTCGCCCTCGCAACATCCGTATACGTTCGAAACGGTTGATCTTATGCCCCCCGTAGGGTCTCATTATCTCCTGCATCTATTCAAGCATCCCGAGGATTATGATGGCGAGCTGATAGCGTATCTACGCGCTCCTAAGCGCCGTGAAAGACTGGAATTTGGTATGGGGTGGGGAATCAATCTCGTGGAGGGATTCCTGGCGCAAAAGGTGTGGGCGGTCTTGATAGCTGGCTTCGGCGTTGGGAGTGCGGTCTTCGGTATACTATGGACCATCAAGAAAGATGACGTGCAAGGAGCCTTTGGCGTAGCAGGCTGGATCGTAACGTTGGCGGCACTGGTGCTCGGCGCTCTGCAGGCCTGGCTAGAGTGAAATCACGACCGCTCTCCACGGATCCTCGAATCGATCCTTTGGCATCTATCAGCCGTAATCGCTGGCCGAGTCTTCACGATCGCGCGATTTATTGGCAGGTCCAATTCTCATCTGCGAAGAGACTAAGACAAGCAGGCATCATCTTCCTTAGAGAAGACGCTGCTATCCGCCGATAATTACACAGGAATCGCCAATCTTCGATGTTCTTAGCCTGCCATGTCAATGCCGCGGCGCATCCTCACTCTGTTCTAGCGCGCATGGTCAAGAATCGTCTCGAACGAACCAGAGTCAGACCAAATTTCACGCCATCGCCCATAAGGTGTCTCCCCGCTTCCCGAAAGCGTATGGCGCTGTTTCGCACTCTGCGCATTGACGAAGTGTTCACAGTTTTCTGTTCCCGCAGACGCCGGCGCAGCGGTGAGTTGGCGAAGCGAGCGGCTGCGGTGGGTCTTCTTGGGTGCGTTCGCTTGCACGGCACGGAAGTGTTTCAAAGTCTATAGGTTGAATTTCGCGCCAATGAGAAGTGCCAGAAGGCTCGTTTCAGGCTCGGCGTTGGGGAACACGCAACTTTCGATGACGGGCTTCATTATTGAGGATTTCTTGGGAGTGTCAGCAGGAGAGGGCAGATGCAGTGAGCTTTCCGCGATACTGCCATTATGGAGGACCAGTATCAAGGTAACGGCTCGTCCATGGTCCGAAGGCAGTCGTTGCTTGAAGGTTGCGACGTCGCATCAGGTCATTCCGAGGCATTGACTTCTCTCGCATTGCAATTCCACCCTGGTACGCGTTCAATCAGGACGCCCCCACTGGCTGACGGGCGCCACTCCTGAGGCTAAGGCTTTCGTTCACTCTGTCAGAAACATGCGGACGGCTTGGCAAATGCCATGTTCCTACCGCAATTTTGATAGGGCGCGGAATTCTTGTTTCACGCTCATGCTTCTCGTCTTTGTCGGTTCCTGCATAACGCTGCATCCGCCAACCGGGGACCAGTCGCCCTATCAAGGGTTTTCGCTTGGCGTAGGAAACGTGTAGACCCACGTTCACGGAACACTCTGAGACCCCGTTCATATCGGTTCGAGTGAAACTTAGCAGACATTGCAGAGGCGATGGGGCTCGTCCACTGTTTCCACCAGTCTCGCAGGGGTATTGAATTGCAAGGGTCGGCGTCATGGGCGCTTGATCGAGCCACGCTGCGTGGGCGCCAGGTTGCCAGATAAATAGAGCAGCCCTGCCTTCATCGAAAAGCATCCTCATCGCAGGCTTCAGTCTTTGGTTCTACGCCAGTCCTCTCGTTCTTTCATCACATTCGTTCTTTCAGTCACCTTCACCGTGTGAAGCAGGCAAGACACTCTTTTCCACCACAACATTCACTCCAGGAACAATCTTCTCATCCCAACTTCGACCCTACCAGTCTATCATCAAGCAAACAAGATGTCTTCCACTCTTCTCAAGCTTGTTGCCCTTGCGGCCACCGCCGCCGCTCACGGCACTGTTACTGGCATTGTTGCCGATGGCACCTACACCAAGGGCTTCGACCTCCAGTACTACTACATGATCCAGAATGGTCAGACTCCTCCTGCGACCCCTGGATGGTACGCCGAGAACCTCGACAACGGCTTCGTCTCCCCTGACGCCTACACCACTTCCGACATCGTCTGCCACAAGAACTCCAAGGCTGCCACTTCCTCTGCCTCCGTTAAGGCTGGTGGATCCGTCGACTTCCAGTGGTCTGCTTGGCCCGAATCCCACGTTGGTCCCATGATCACCTACGTCGCCAAATGCGATGCCGACTGCGCCGATGCCGACAAGACTGCCCTTAAGTGGGTCAAGATCGACGAGGCTGGCTACACTGACGACTGGGCATCCAACAAGATGATTGCCAACAACAACACCTGGAGCGTCACCGTTCCCTCCACCCTCGCCGCTGGCAACTACGTCTTCCGCCACGAGACCATCGCGCTCCACGGCGCTGGCTCCGAGAACGGTGCCCAGAACTACCCCCAGTGCTTGAACATCGAGATCACTGGCGGCGGTTCTGACAGCCCTGAGGGTACCCTCGGTACCGCTCTGTACACCCCCACCGACGCCGGTATCCTGTACAGCCCCTACTCTGGCGACAACACTGGCTACAAGGTCCCCGGCCCTGCTCTGTACGGCTCTGGCTCCGACAGCGGCTCTGGCAACAGCACCACGCCCGCTACTCCCGTCTCTTCCTCCCCTGCTGCCTCCGCCTCTGCCTCCGCCCCGGCTGCCTCTGCCTCAGCTTCTGCTCCCGCCTCCTCTACCGTCCCGGTCGCGACTGCCACCCCCACCGTCGCTGACGTCGCTCCCTCTGCTACCGCCACCGCTGGTGCTGGCTCCGGCCTTGCTAAGACCTTCACTGTGTCTACCTTCATCCAGTGGCTCGAGGAGCAGAGCGCGTCTGCCGCCAAGGCCAAGGCTCGCCGCCACGCCCGCGACTTTTAAGCGACTTGATGAATAGAGCACGTTAGCCAGGGGCAACGTGAACGTTTTATGTGTGGAAAATTCGCTTCTTTGTGGATACATATGTTCTTTGTATACATCCTATACTTCTTTGTAGCATAGCGAGTTCGCTCTTTGAGCATCGCATTGGTCTGATGGACTGAATCAAATACTTTTTCTGATCATGAGATGTGCGCTGTTGGCTGTGAAGTGACGTCCTAGTGAGATGTGGTGTCGACTTCGTTAGATGGAGCTTGCAATTGATCACTTTTCCGTGACTTTCCAATGTTTTTTCAACACTGATCAGCTCATGAAGGATAGCGCCACAACTTCCAATAGATCAGTAAATGCAAGTAGAAAATATGACGGTGTGCGTCTCTACTGGCAAGAGTGGCGGGTACCTTACCTAGACGACTGGCATGGCGGAGCACTGAGGGCGCACATGCGCCTTTTGGAACAAACGTTGACTCAACCGCAAGGGGTCGAGTATATGTTTTGCTTACTGCGCCGTATTCCACTCACTGGTATGCACGGTTGTCGCGCCCCTCGTGGCTACACCGGCCAACGAAGATTGATTTCGTACTGATCCTGTGGGCCTTGAATCACTTGATTCTCATTCTTCCAAATAGATCACGGATCCAGGACATTCCGCGCACGCACCAGTAGTTGACCTCACGCATATTTTCCTCGTCACTGTTCCGTAGGTCTTCTGTCCAGAGCCTCCATACGGCGGTTGCTGTGCGTGCATGTGCTTCTAGTTTACGCACCAAGGTTCCTATACAAATGCCCTCGTTCTCTGTCACCTCACCGAGCTCATGCACGAGTTCCGTTCAGCATGTACACTTCACGGGGACCATCACGCCCTGTTTAACGTTCCCGATTGGCGGCTCTGTGATCAAGACGTCCTTTGACAGATTCAAAGCTGTGGCTGGCACCGAGCTGTAATCAATAGTCTGACGAGTCAGTTAGTAAAAAGCATGCAACGGCATCTCGTAGCTCTCATTGCACCGTTCAAATTGACCAGCGAACGGAATGTGAAGTCCCGGTTCGAATTAACTTCTGCAAGGTCAGCCCACCACAGAGGACGCAATGCCGAGTTATTGCGCCTACGCCGTTCACTGGCAATGTTTCGGTACCACCTGTATCGACGGACTGATTGGTCATCTGTATAGTCCATTGATTGTGCGGCCTAGATGATACCCATGTCTTTGACGGTGTCGTGGCTAATTCGTGGCTCCTCGTCATTTCGAGCAGGAAGATAGTATAGGTCCGGCTCACAGGTCGTCGATAGATGGTCAAGCACGGCGTTGGCCTTCTCTTTGACATCTGCGATCTCTTCCTGCGTGACACCTGGGCATGGTGCCAACTACTGGAGATTCGTGTAGTGGTAGACGGACTCTTGTCATGGTAGTGTACAGGACCTGTCTGAACTACTCTTCCGGGGTTATTTCGTAGCAGACCCAGGAATAATGTGGGTGACGGTACTCCCAACGCGAGCCGTTGCGCATTAGGTCCAGCATAACGCAAAATCGTTAATTCGCTCTCTCCACTATGGATAGCTCGAGGAGTACATTACAATGCATGGGTGTGGAGTGTTGGAAGTTGAATGCGCGACAGCGAGAGGTGATCTACGATATGGAGGTTACGAGGGACAGCCCTGATGAGAATTGACAAGGATTATCCATGAGCAGAAAGGGGTAGTTTCGGAGGTAAAGCTGTAAGCAGAAGATAAGAAAGATTGAATAAATCAAGTTGGGGGTTGAAAGCATAATAAGCACTGGTTGCGAACGGTGCTAGCTTACTGCAGAGAGCAAGTCGACAGGGCGGTGACTTTGATTCAGCATGTTCGCGCGCTCGAAGAGTAACAAGCGAGGAGTCACGGGTATTGCGGGCGAATTTTGAGATGATGCTGTTGCGTCGTCATCGATTTCGACCTTGAACGCTGCTTCTTGTTGTTGGGGCTTCACCATGCGTACGGTAAAATTCCCTTTCAACCAATCATAGCTAGGTACGGCTCGGGCGCAAGCGGTCATAATCAACCTTTCATGACAAAGCGAGTAACACAGCAGCTTCTCATCTTGAATTCGTCGGAAAGAATTTGATGTCGCTTATCACTGTGCGAATTTGCATATCAGAAGGAACCGAAGACGGTGTAGATGTTCGGAGAAGCTGTTGGGTTTCTTTCGTTTGAGGACCTTAGCACGACGAAGACTTTGAAACAAGTGATTGTAATGCTCGAGTTGATTCTATGGAAAGCTCTAACTTTGCTCCTCTACAGTGGACCTCACAAATTATGTAATGTCTCTCTTCTGCCTCATAATGATACCATAGGTAGAATTAGAATCCCCATCCTGCAGCTCATACGTCTCAGTTGCAGGTACTTCGGATATATGCTCAGTCACAGTGTCGAGTTCGCCAGCAGCCCGGTGCTTCGACCATCGTGGACTCCAAGAGTGTACACCATGGTCGGTTGCCCTTTCTGTCTGTACAGCATCGAGCTCAGCTTGCGAGCGGTGTGCGCAGCGGTTCAAGGTGATGAACAGCAGCAGGACAAGGGCTCCGAGCAGCGGTATCCCGAGACCGAGCCCTAAACCCAAGCCTAGAGTCCTTTCCATGTCGTTTTCATGACTATTTCCGGAAGAGCTTGTTGACGACGGCGAAGACGCGGATGATGCGATGCTCGTGGAAGACATGGACCCGGTCGAGGAAGAATCCGATGTTTGACTGGCGATCTGACCGATGACGGTGACTGTGCTAGGAAAACCTATCGCGAACTCGGTGAGTCTTTGATCATGGATTGTTTGACGATTGCTTACCCTGGAATTCAAAATAATACTCTTTGTTGCTGCAGAGCACAGTATCGCTCAAGTCTGCCGTTTTGCTGTTGCGGCAATAGTATCGATTGACTTGGCCTCCCCATCGCATCTTCCCACGCCCATGCCACCCATTCCGAGGTTGTCTCCATTCGTTGAGTTCCTGCAGAACTTAGGGCAATCTTTGCTGGACCAAGTCATGTCTGTACAGCCTCCGCGGACATAGAAGGGAGACGACTTTACAACTTCGCTGTTGACCTCTTCTGTAAGAGCGCAGAGGTTGTTGGACAGGCATGCGTATCCTGGTCCGCAGCATGTCGAGTTGGATGCTCCACCATTACATGCGGCGTCATTTGTTGTGTTACCATTTGGAAAGTAGCATGTCGCTGATGCTACACAAAAGATATGTGCGAGGTGGAATAAGACCCTAGTAGCAACCTTCATCGTGTTTGTAAATGATGTGAGTGCCGGGGGTGCATGCTAACGATCCAGAAAGGTTTACATGAAACGTAAGGCATGAGATCTGTGCGGCTGAGCGATGTATATTTATTCTCCTTTACAAGGCTGCGGACATCGCAACTATGCAGAAAGTCCCGAGGAAGAACTTGCTGGTCGCGCGTAGGCCTGTATACAAGGTGTCCAATGGGGGCTATGTTCCCGATGGAGGATAGTCGGGGTCCTGAATGCTGCAAGGTTTATTGGCGATCGCCGGGCTGCATCAACACAGGATCTCAGCCTTGCCAAAATTATACAATTTTTTGCGGTAGAATGCTGCCAAAGATCTCTATACGTCAGTGCTGCATTGCGTAGAATGCTTCTTCAGTCTCATAAAGCTACGACAAATAAGGGCTGCATTGGGTTAAAAACAATGTAATCGACTTGGGAGCCACAAACCGAACGTGTAGAGCAACTTCGGAGAAGCCCGTCACGATCGACACTCCGAACCAATCAGAATATTACCGAGAGAAAATGGCTTTCGAGTGATCCGGATGTAAACCCAAAGATGTGCATATGAATATGCGTGAGTTCGGACTCGGGTCTCCAATTAAGACGCCACCGCCCGTACATGGGAGTCAGATCCAATCAGGACAACTCAAAATCGCGTTAGTCTTCTATCGGCCAAATGGCTATGTCCAAGTTGAGGGGGGCTAAAACATTCTCTATTCCAATGATATGTCTGGCCCCGAATGATTTGCTTGAAGATCATTCCGCCAGGGCCACAAGCTCCCTTATGCTTCTTGAAATAGATATGACGCCGATTCATTTACCTTCTCTCACAGTTCCATCATCAATGCTTCCCACAGAACCCCAAAAACAAAATCCGTGACAGCGCTATTTACGAATCTATAAATCATATCCAGAGACCCAATCTCGACTTGTTCAAACACCCCTTACTTTGACCTTTCATCATCGAGTAATACCACAGTCTTAGAAACGTGGTTCCTTAAGCATTTTCCGGGATGCATTTCATTATTCTCATCGCTTTGGACCTTGTGGCAACCGCAACATGCACTCCGACCCCAACTGCACGCCAGACTCCTAGCAAACCAATGTAAGCTTCACTTACTTTTTTGAATGACCTGCAATCTGATTCCTCTAAGCTTCGCGCACTATATGATTGGCTCCATTACACCAGATCACACGAATCAGGACATTGCCGATGCGAAGAGCTTAGGTCTTGATGCTTCCGCACTGAATCTAGGTATGCCCGTACTCCGAAGAACTTACTGAGCCCCCACTAAGACTCTCGCAGATTCTTTAGACTCATGGGCCACCGACACCGTTGGGCATCTGTTCGACCAGGCTGACGCTTCCGGCTTCGGACTATTCTTCTCATTCGACCACAATCACTTCACTCACCCCTCTGAGTATATAGATTACCTGACCCCCTTTCTCGCGCGACCGTCCTATTTTAAATACAACAACAAGCCCATTGTATCCACCTTTAATGGCGAGTCCGTCTCCAACGATGAATGGACCTCATTTAAAGCCGCCGCAGGCGACGTTCTCCTCATACCGGGGTTCTCCACCGCGACACCCAGTCCAGACTTCTTCACCCCCCGTAGCGCTGTCGATGGAGTGTTCAACTGGAACTCTTGGCCTGATAGCTCAGCAGGAAAGGTAGACGTATCGGATGCGGATGATGCGACATATCTTGCTGCCGCCCACAGCCAGAGTAAGCTCTTCATCATGGGAGTCTCGCCTCTGCAGTTCAAGCATATCGATTCCAGCCAGAACAACTGGTATCGTCGTGGCGAGGGAAACCTCGAAGTGCGCCTCGAACAAGCGCTCAATCTGCAGCCGGACATGATCGAGCTGCAGACATGGAACGATGCTGGTGAGAGTCATTACATGGGAAATTGGTGGGAAGATCCGATTCAAGGCACTCCGATCTTGGACTATGTCAGGGAATATGACCATAAAGGTTATTGGAACATTCTAGGTCCATTCATCCAAGCGTGGAAACGGGGTGATACCACGACGTCAGGTATGGTACCAAGCATGAAGGACGTGCAGGGAACGTTTTGGCATCATACTCTTACGGTGAACGCCGATTGTGGTTCTGACGGCTTCGGAAAGCCTAGGGACTTCGAAAATGCTGAGGATGCTGTTAGCGGCATTGTACTCGTCGCCACTGGAAAGACTGGATTTGTTGCCCTCGTAAATAACGGTGATCGGGAGCTAGGGGCGATCGACCTTGTCGAAGGGTTCAATAAGTTCAAGGTGGAAGGATTGAGTGATGGGCAAGTGAGCGTCAAGATTCTGGATGACAGTGGCGCGACATTGGTAGAAGCATCTGGCCCGCTCGAAGTGTCCAGTTCTGCTACGCTGTGTAATTACAACTTTCAGGTCATCGGGTTTTGAGCCTGGAGTTCAGTCAGGGTTTGTTACAGTCTATTGTCATAAATAGAGCCTCTGTTTTGAGAAGAAAGCTTCAGTGCTTGCCACGCTACTCTGCTTCCCTTCCTATTGTTTAGATAAGTCCAACTGTGGAATCAAGTGCTCCTAGAGCTAGCACCATACAGCCTGGGTAAGTCATGCGTGCGTACAATACCGTCCTCGTTGCAACAAGGAAAATGCTCATAGCAAATGCAGTGGACAGTGCAATAGCAATTGACGAGAATAAAGTCGCCAATGATTTAGACTTCGTGTAAGAGGTGCTGTCTGTTTCTCGCAAGCAAAGGAGCATGCACAGGTCCGAACTGGCAAAAGCCATCGGCACCAGTTCGTTCACCTTAGCACCAACCGGCTACAAAAAGGCGTAGTTGCCGTGCTTGGTATAAAATCTTGGTGGACTTCGTACGACCGTCCTTTGACTCACGCTTTGCAGCTGAGCTACTCGCCCTATATCAACTGTGGGGATGAATGACTTTAGGCAGTATACATACACTGCTAAAATGTTGAAGATAGTAGGCGGGTCAGAATGAGTGAGTAGTTAGGGGGTAAGTGAGCGCGTTAATGGGAGAATGATAGTCCATTCCATGGTGGGTACGAAGGAAAGCAAACCACGGAGGAGACAAGGCAGGAGCAACTCGGTCTGAAGTCGACCGTAGGAACATTGATCGTAACGTGATGTCGTTGCCAACGGCATTGAACCTGGTGCCGCTCCATGTGCCTCGAGTGCTTGGAGTAGAAGTAGAAGTTTGTCGGGCCATCATTGTACGTCATGAGCTGTCGAGAAGACTTTGTAGAGTGTCATCACATGTACAAGTTTCAAGAAGTCGGATGGAGAATCGGTACAGATCACTTGATACTCTGCAGTCCACATCAGAAATAGCTAGTTGAAGCAGACATTAATAGCGCAGCTCATACAGTAGCGGAGCCGCTCGCTGTTACAAAGCTATTGCTACAGGTGGCTGTCACTGACCTATAATTTCCTGAAATGCATTGCTTTTCAAGCCTGAACCGGAGAGGTGCACAGACACCTAGCGAACCGTTGTCGGCGTGTGTTCCAGCTAAGCCCAGGCAGCCTTGTTGTAGTCTCTCACGAGCCCACTAGTCACTTTGCCTTCTCCACACCACACCGACTGCGATTCAGTATGTATAGCCCCATAGAACAATAACACCAGCCTCCTTGTACCTGCTACCACTTGGAAGCCTTCCCAAGGAGTAGAAGTATGCTAACAAGTTATGATAGCTCTCAAAATGTCTAACACCAGCGCGGCACCCGCACCCACACGCGCTCGAAGCAACCTTGATCCCGGCGACATGGTGGACGAGCTGCTACTCAATGTAAGCATAGCACAGTCTGTTGGGACTAATTGTCGCTAAAGACCAACAGGCGTGGGCTCTTCGTGAGCACCGCGAGCAGTTTGTCGCTTGGGGTGGCTCCACCGATAGCGAGTACTACCGCTTGCTCTGCGAGCGCTTCCACGCCCTCGTGAAAGAGGCGCAAGATGGCGTGCGCCGTTGTGCCCGCGTCTACGCGGTATGTCCCAATGACCCAACAACAAGCCTTGATTGTCGTCTGTACCTCATTGACCATAACGCAGGCGGCTGCTCGAGTCGAAGCCCGCGTACGGGCCCGAGAGAGAGAAGAGGGAGAGTGAGGGGAGCGCTGCCCGTCTGCGTCCTCAGGCCGTAAGTAGGACGCATGAGGATACCGTCTTGTGCTACAAAGGTAGAACAAGGGGAACAGACATGGGATGATGAGAGAGAGGTTGAGCTAACAAGTGGTGTGGTTCAACCACAAGGACAGTGCGTCTCTTCTTGCCGGCCGCGAGGCCTGGCCAATTACGCTGTGAGTACTCTCCTATGTATCGTATCGTGTTAGATCGGTCTGACCTGGAGTGAATTATTATAGATCGCCCAAGGCCAGCACGAGCGATTCTTTTGCCCCTCGGGCCCATGATACCCCAGGACAAGGGCGTTTCGGAGGGAAATTTGGGCGTTGAGAGGGGTCGTCGTGTTCTTGTCTAGTTTGAAACGGAATCCTATTTGAAACACATCTTGCTTTCTTAAGTGCCCATAAACGATGACCAATATGAAGCAGAGCACCGCTCTTGAACGAAGAGCAGTTCGAATTGAGTATAACATGAACAGTGAGAGCTCATGAACAGAAATCGATTCGAAATCGATGTGGGCACATTTCGAAGAACGGAAAAGTTCCAGAGATTATGAACGGTGATCTCTAGACCGAGTGAAAGCGGCGTAAAGAAGAGTAGACGACAGGGAAGTTTCACTTTCTAAACCCACGTCTTTCGGCCATTCGTGAGGGCAGCCTTGCTGATAGGTTTGCCTGTCGTTTGGAATTGCGACCCTCTACAGCCCACCCCACACTCGACAACAGCAGTACGTGCACCTCAAGTAGTCTCAGGCCCGTTCATTCATAACTTTTGCTGCTTCCTGTACATCATATCGGTTAACAAGTGGAGCAGATATCTAGCAACAGTAACAGCAACAACAATAGCAGCAGCAGCAGCAACAGGGCCGCGGCGCCGGATACGTCTTTACCTTCCCGCGGATGGCACCCGACGGCAACCGACTCCACGAGGCCATCCGCACCGTAACCGTTGATATAACCACCCGTGAAGTTAACGTAGGTTTAGCTGATACAGAGGAGTGGCACTGCCTAAAAAAAACCCTTGCAGAGCACATCCGCTGGAACGGCGAGCGCGCGCGCTACGACGTGGGGTTGTCCCTCCGGTGTGCACGGCAGAGCGCGTTAGAGGAGGCCCTGCAGGTATCCCACCAGGACCTTGCGGATGGACGACGCTCCACGACGATGCGGTAAGTTGATATATGCTTGGGATTAGATATAGATGATCTAGGGCATACCATGGCTAGATAAACCTCGAGCTTCGAGTTTGGACTCCGAATGAACAGATACGCCGACTCGATCGAGAACCTCAACGGCGGTTCGCGCTACAGAAGAGGACTCCGTGTGCTCCTACAGGAGGTAGTGGCCCGGAGGGAGCAACGTCATGGTGCTGAGCGCGAACCGAGAAACGTAGGACCTCGGGGTCAAGGATTGAGGGCGTTCATGAGGCTGCGGTAGCTTCTCCGTCGGCTGGAGGATCTTCTCGACGATAGTTAGGGTGTAAGCACTGGTGCTTCTTGTTCCGAAAACCTCATCATACATATGAGCAATATCTCTTTCGATTCTTGAACGAAATGATCGGGCGATTGTAAGAATCTCGCCGATTGTGCTTAGATCGACCAAGGTAGCAAGCGAAACTCTCTGCCTACCTTGGACTGGCTTTCTAGGCCGTCGACCAAGACCAGCAAGGGTTCTGTCCTACTCCTTTCGGCTTCATGAATCGGCGGGCGATTTCACGCATCACACTGCGGTGGGCGGGCGGGCGTTTAGGCTTGGGGCAGGAGTTTTTAGTCCCTGTGTGCTCATGATCGCCATTGTACACAAGCTGTTTACTTGTTCACAGATGATAAAATGACTTAGCTGACGAGGAGCCGAAAGGAGGAAGTGACGTTGGAAGTTCAGACGGAACGGAACATCCTCCCCTGACTAATCGTGGCCGATGACGTTTCGGCCCCAATCGATGGCGCGACAGGAGCTCCATGTTCCCCGCCCAAGCTCCCGAGCTACAAGCCAGGGCGCTGGCACGCGACGTTCCCCCCTTACATTCCGATGTCTACGTATGCAGGCAATGAAAAAGCCACCATGAGCGATGAACGCACGCCTCTCATTGCCGTCGTGCAAACACGTCCACACCGCGACCGATACCCGCACCACCGCCTGCGATACGTCTGCACGCTCTTCCTGTCGATTTCGCTTTTCACGGGGCTCATTGCTGCTGTGCTTATTCTCAACTTCCTACCGCTCGGCGACGGTGATTCGGATACAGCTGCGGGGATATCGCGATACTTGCCCGGGAAGCTGCCAGAAGGATGGCCGAACTCGAGAGGGCTGGACTACGAGGACCTGGTGGACATCTTGATGGAGACGCCTGATAGCGAAAAGGCGAGGGAATATAGCAGTTATTACACCAGCGGCCCGCACCTGGCCGGCAAGAACCTGAGCCAGGCTATCTGGACGAAGGACAAGTGGGAGGAGTTCGGCGTGCCCTCGCTGATTGTGGATTACGATGTGTACCTGAATTACCCTAAGGGACACCGCCTCGCGCTTCTAGAGAAGAAGGGCGAGAAGCATATCGAGGGAGAAGACGAGTGGAAGATCAAGTACGAAGCAAGCTTGGAGGAAGACGTACTCAAAGAGGATGCAACCAGTGAGCTGAAGGACCGCGTTCCGACGTTCCACGGTTATAGTGCTTCTGGCAACGTGACGGCTGGCTACGTCTACGTCAACTACGGTACCTACAGAGACTTTGAGGAGTTGCAGGCCGCTAATGTTACGCTCGAGGGCAAGATCGCGCTCGTCAAATACGGCCGCGTTTTCCGTGGCCTCAAGGTCAAGAGGGCACAGGAACTTGGGATGCTTGGCGCGATCATCTACACCGATCCCGGGGATGATGGAGAAGTCACCGAGGAAAATGGATATGCGGCATACCCCGACGGCCCAGCGCGTCAGCCGAGCAGCGTCCAGCGAGGCAGCACTCAGTTCTTGAGTAAGTTGCCCCACCGTGTAATCGTATAGCCGACTGATTCCAATAGGCTTCGCTCCTGGCGATCCAACAACTCCAGGCTACCCTTCCAAGCCTGGTGCTCCCCGTCAAGACACCTCTCACGCGATTCCTTCTATCCCCTCCATTCCCATCTCCTACCAGGATGCCCTTCCGTTGCTAAAGGCCCTGAATGGCCACGGACCCAAAGCCTCGTCGATCAACTGGAAAGACGGCGGTCTTGGATACAAGGGGGTCGAGTACAATATTGGACCTTCTCCAGACCACCTCTCCATCAACCTCGTCAACGAACAAGAATACGTCACGACACCACTGTGGAATGTCATCGGCATCATCAACGGAACGATCCCTGATGAGGTCGTTGTCTTGGGAAACCACCGAGATGCGTGGATTGCAGGCGGCGCTGGCGACCCAAACAGCGGATCTTCGGCTTTCAATGAGGTTATTAGAAGCTTTGGCATTGCTCTGCGTGCAGGCTGGAAGCCCCTACGAACGATTGTATTCGCGAGCTGGGACGGCGAAGAGTATGGGCTTGTTGGTTCGACGGAATGGGTCGAGGAGTACCTCCCTTGGTTGTCGGCTTCCACTGTCGCTTATCTCAACGTCGATGTCGGCACCAATGGTCCGCACTTCAGGCTCTCGGCTGCCCCGCTCTTGGAGAAGGTTGTCGTAGATACGAGTGAGTACACTACCTTTCTTGTTTTGAAAGTCGGAAACTAATAGTAGTGTAGTTGATTTCATCCAATCGCCCAACCAAACCGTACCCGGCCAAACTGTCAGCGACGTCTGGGACAAGCGCATCGCGACAATGGGCTCCGGCTCTGACTTTACCGCCTTCCAAGACTTCGCCGGCATCCCCTCGATAGACATGGGCTTTGGCTTCGACCCGCGCTCCGCCGTATACCACTACCACTCCAACTACGATTCCTTCTCTTGGATGGAGAAATACGGTGACCCCTCCTTCCAATACCATGAGACCATTGCAAAGATCTGGGCGCTTGTCGCCGTGAAGCTTGTCGAGACGCCAGTGCTGCAGCTGAACGCTACGCGGTACGCAGAAGGTCTTCGACGCTACGTCGATAGCGTCAAGAAGAAGGCGTACGAATCAACCGCTAGGCCAGATTTCCAAGCCCTAGATGCGGCGGTCGCACGGTTCCACTTCGCGGCTACCATTCACGACGGCACGGCGGCTGCGCTTCTTCAGCAGCTCTACGATAACGACATTCCGTGGTGGAAGTTCTGGGAGAAATTCCAGCTCTACTACGCCGTCCGCCGCATCAATACCAAATATAAGTTCTTGGAGAGGAAGTTTCTCCATGCTGATGGGTTGGACGGCAGAAGTTGGTTTAAGCATGTTGTGTTTGCGCCGGGAAAGTGGACGGGGTATGCTGGGGCGACGTTTCCGGGGATTGTGGAGGCTATTGATGAGGGGGATGAGGTTGCTACATTGAAATGGACTATTATTGCGACGAAAGTGGTGGATGGGGCGAGTGATTGGTTGGAGGAGGAGTAGGTGACGAGGATAAAGGCTACGCATGTGCATATATGTGTATATATGAGCGAGATACCCAAATTGTACAATCCTTGCGATTAAAGTATTCCTGGTGGCTGTGCTTGAAGTATTTCTTGACGGGAGTGTTCACCTTCTTGAAACGCTGTGGGTGCGTCGTGGTTGCATTGTGCAGGCAGTTAGGAAGGCTTCGTGCCATGTCCTTGAGGCGGACGAAACGCGGGCTTTAAGCAACTACAGCCACTCGAATAATATAAAATCTAGGGGTTGCTTAATAAAGAACATAGCAGCTCTGATAGTTCGTGAGTTCAAGCTGGTATCACTAGAAACGTAATCATTGCGACACAAGAAGAGCATCTGACTCTACTTGCCAACTTATACGTCGCCTACGACGGTCGGACCGGAGGTGAGTAGGCTCTCGGTCGCTGACCACAGCCAGTGGTATCGCTCAATCCGCATCTGCAAGCCTTGGTTATATATCTCCATAGATATTCTGGAAGTACGGAAGCGTGGGAGTCTAGGATGAGCATCATCGTGCAGCTAGTCATGCTGAACAGAACTCGGCACAAGGAAAAGGATCTTGGAGACTTCGTCTAAGGCAAAGCCGTGGAGAAGGACATGAGCTACCTCATTGTCCGGACCTCCTGCTGGCAACCGATGGATGGCGGCGAAGGTTGGGTGGTCACTGGATGGCTCTCATTGGGTATCTGATCGATTTCCTCTGTCGGTCGTATTATGAGCGACCGACTCGTTGGCGAGTGAGAAAAAATTCTCAAGACTAGACTACTACGTTTGGAACGTTCTGCCTTCGTCCGCACAAGGATAATTCTAGATCAAAAACGAGCAGAGTTTACCACTGCAATGAAATTTCAGGATGACATAACACAAATTCAGATTGGATCTTAAATTAAAGCTATGAGGCACTACAATATAGATGGATGTCATGACCAAGTGATGATCTATCTATTGAATGAAACAATCGAAGTAACATGTAGGAATCACTATCTTGCGCAAAGACTAAAGACTCAGTCTAAGCGTCCTTACAGGTCTGCGCCCCAGTAGCAGCTATAAGGCTCCAAGACTAGCTGTATTCCGCCGCTCAGAATAGCAGGTTGTGTTGCTCTACCCTAGTGGTGACACCCACCAGCTATAGCAAAGCATGGCGACCGGGTAACCAGGGCGTCTTCTCATCCATGACAATCCTCAGCGGTCTGCAAAGGACGCACGCGCCAATGATCGATGATTTGGTGCGAAATGTTTGAGCCAATTTCTTACACCACAGACACGAGTCTTAGTCTGGGCGCCTCCAAAAGGTTCTGCGCTACAATCAAGGCACAACCATCGTACTGAGCTGAGGTATGGCGATACCGTCGAGCCCTGGAATCGAGGCTGCACTTTGTTGCAAGTGTAGTGCGCATTTGGTTTATTCTTCCACTCGCTACTGTTACCGACCAGCTACGGAGAAGCGTGGTCGTCGAGTTACCAAGGGTGTCTCGATTGTAGGAGTGGTTTCATTGTGGTTCATGATGATCCTCGACGGCTTTCGAAGGAGGCGATGAGCATGCCAATGATCGGTGTATGGATGTTGAATGTATGGAATTGCCTTTACGCGTATACAGGAGTCTTGGTATAAGCGTGCCATTAGCCCGAACATCAGACCCGAAGTGCGCCAAATCAAACTGAAGGCTGAGGCTGACGGTAAGCCATTCAGCTCGACAGCGAAACTACACCTGGGTCCAACGCTTCTTGTTCTCCCATGCTACCAGAACCCCCCAAAGTGGTTTGCTTTCGGCGGGCAGGGGCAGTATCAATGCTCTCTGCACGTAGCATGGGTGTATGTCCGTTCGTGTTTCTACACATAGGCATGAACCTCAGTCCTTGTGGTGCTTTTGTACAAACGGCTCGATACCACTGCTTGCTCCGCAGTGCAATGGAACAGCCAGTGGCATGATTGTTCTTCCCTCATGTGTTTCTCAACAGGGTCAGTCTGAGCCTGAAGAGTATTGCTAGAGGAATTTCGCTGCGGAGGATCGAGATGAGATCATCGACGACCGTAGCGCGATGGAGGGACGTCGGATTGGGCGCAGATGGTACTCTTGACCATTAAAATATGGTAAACGGGGACAATGTATTTTCGCTGACCGCGAAAGGGGGAAGCAATGGTGTTGTAGCTGTTTCCGTTAGCGATGGCGTGACATGGATCAGGCACGGGTACCTGCGGCATTCTTACTCCAGTTATGGGTAGATGTCCATTAATACAATCGCATCAGGGACATGGACATTTGTCGTGATGCTCTTGCAAACGGCTCGAGACCGACCCGCAAGCCCCGCAAAGTGCAATGGGTTCGCTGGTGGCATGATTGATGTGTCCCATGTAGTTGTTGCCTCAACAGGGTCAGTCTTAACCTGTTGAGGGGCGAGAATGGGAACTTGTCGGCGGAATTTTGATAAACGCGCGTCTGCTACTGCAGCGAGTTGCGGGAGACAGCGATGTAGTCGCGTGTCGTATGGTTGACCTTGCAGGTATGGAACTATGCAAGGATAGCGGACCCTAGATGATTTGAGCGAGTCAGGAAAGAGGACCTGTAACTGCTATGGTGATCAGCGGTGGCAAGGTCTGGAGTAAACGAACAGTAGGTGCCCTGATGAGTGTAAAGAGTTGAAGGCGCAGGAGGTAGTGCTGCGTCAGGGATTATAGGGAAAGGAAGCTTTGAGGAAGGTGGGTGATGAGGTTTTTACAAAAAGAAAGTGGGAGAAAGGTTTTCGAAACTACTGTCGTGTTTGTGTGGACGGGCGGTGAGGGGCAGGTCAGTCACGGCGGCAGGCGCACGTGACTTGCGTGAAGCCGAAATCGTGCAGTCGGATGGGCAGAACCTCGAGGCGCGGCGACATGTCCCGCTGCAGAACGACCTCTCTTCGGGCCATTCTAAAAACCTCTTGTCTGTTTCCTCAATACTAAAAGCCACCATGAGCACTACGTTTTCCTATCCCATTACCGCCAAAGGAGAGCAGGAGGTGCTGCTACCAATCATTAAAGCTTGCGTGAGCGGCTTCGCCGACATCTCCAATGTAGAACTCGCAGAGGCGATCAAAGTTCTCCAAGGAGTCACCCACCGCTCCCCTCTCCTACCTTTCATCTGTCCCTCAGGCATATCGGAGCTCAAAGGGATCTTGCTCGACTCGCTAGAAGAAGAAGAAGACGCGGACATAGAGCGATCTGAGGATGGCTTGCACAACGCCTTGTTCAATATCGAAGCATACAGGAAGGCAATGGAGCAGGTAGAGGAGGCTGAGACAACGATGAAATTCTACAAGGTCCAAATGAAGAAAGCGCAAGAGCTCTTCGTATACACGATCATGTAAGATACAATCCTCATGATCATCTATGTTCAAGCTCACAAAAGAAGGTACCAGAAGAAACAAGAGAAGGCTCGGGAGACAGGCCAAATTGTCACGCCCAATTACGCCGCGTAGGTCTGCCAGGATGACTGTTACATCAGAAGGCTAATCGTGTTCCATAGCTGGCTTACAACTCGACCAGTAATCACACTCGAGGTCATGGAAAAGGAGGATTGGGTGAAGCGGAGGCTGGAGAAGAAGAAGGCCGAACGGAAGACGGGGGTGAGCAGGGAGCAAAGGGACTTCGTCTGTGTGGTGGCAGAGACGCTGAAGAAGAACCGCGTCCTCTTCGAAGGCGATACAGAGATTTTGGGATTGTAGCCATGGTGGTTGCTCCTCTTCCAATACCACTTTCATCATGGCTTCTGTTTTTTCAAACAACATACAATAATATTACTGTGAAAGTGGATCTTTATCGTGATACAGTCCTCGTTTCTAATGGTATGTATCCGCAATCTAACGAAACCCCCGATACAGATCGCTCTCCAATGCGGCCGCTCAACTCACCATCCTCGTGACATCTCAACTCCAAGATGCAGATCTTGTTCTCAGTGATATCCTGAGCCCAACCATACCACTGATTCGTGGTGACTGGAAGACGATTGGTGAAGCTCGGTATTATGTCGGACCCGCAGCCCGTCGCGCTGTATCGGGTCGAGGGTTCGGTTGCCCTGTCATGGAATCGCTGTCCTGTCTGTCCTTTCTTATAGTATCCGCGAAGCGGTGATTCGCTTCCAAGTCTGCGTCCCAGGAATTGTCCATGATAAAACCAACGGCAAAGCATAAGAAGCCTAGCTTCACGTCCTTCTTTGTCTCCACATTTGCCTCGCGAAGCATCACAGGTAGGTTGGGCCGCTTCGGAGACGAGTATCCACGTTCGAGGGCGCAGATATTCATTGGAAAGTGGGGACTGGCGCGATTGTATCTGCTTTCTAAAAGCAATCGAAGGAATTGAGATGACTTAACCTACCGTCAAGCGGCGACCGGGGCTGTCTCGAATAGCTGGCACTTACTCAAGAGGCTCAGGGCTGGGAGCAAGGTGTTGTCACTTCGTTGGATTCGCTCACACGGGAGTTGGCGGGCGCAGTGACGGCGTCACTCATATGTACTTTCAGTTCTGGATCCTGACCCGTGACATGGCTCAACGATCACAGAACGCCACACTCATGAACATTATGGTGTAGCGGGGCAGTTCATCAAACCTGCCATAAGCTTGCGCTAGTGGTGCACCGGTGGCAGGTCCTCCTGCACTATAAACTTCTTGTACACTATAGGCTTAATTACAGGCTGTAACAGCGCCTGCGTACCCTCCTCTTATACTAGACTTCAGTCTCGGGGCTATATACATTAGATACAGAGTGGTATTACTACTTATTTTCGTGTGATGTGACGGCATTTGAGGGCCCCTCGTCTACCTCTATCAGCTCTACGTCGTCACCTCATCACGCGTAGGGGTATGAGCAGCATATAAATGATATGCGTGTATTGCGGGGGCACAGGCTGTCTTTGCTGGGTGCGTCGAATCCTTTTTCAAGGCGTACGTACTTGAGCAAAGCGCTGGCTAAGACTAAACTAAAACTAATCAGAAACAGCTCATACAAATAACTACAAAATACAAATAAAGACAGGATAGCGCTTAGGACAGTAATGCCAGTGAATGTTCCCTTAGAGGGAGGGATAGTGGGTGATCGAGAGACCTATGCGCGGAGTGAGGTGACGATGAAGGATGAGGTTGCTCGTAGGCACAGAGGGTCCTAAAAAACCTCATCTGGGTGATTGCTGAGCAAGCAGCAAGCAGGTGGGATTGTTCTGATCACGCCGTAGAACCAAACATGCTGGTCATGCGCCTTATCCTCCTCCGCCTCATTGTCGAGCATGTAGGCGTCTGCTCTCGGTTTCCCGGTTGTTGAGAGCCACAAGCGAAAGCCTGATACTTCATGTTAGTTACGAACTTTGTATTCAACGAGATAGAGATTACTTGCCTGTGAGCATTCAGGATGCTCGTGCATACTAATAAATCCCCAGGGGGGTTCGCCCTCCAAGGTGTGCAGCATTCAAACAAAATACGTTTGGCGCCAGCCTGCCGGCCCGTTATACGCCTGGGCGTTCGCCGCGCTCATGAAGATTGAGCTGTGACGGGTCGAAAGCCGGCAGCTTGGGGGAAAAAGAGAAGGTGGCGGCGCCTTTAGGAGGCGAATTAGTTGAGGTGGTATATAAGGAAATGTAGAAGTGATTTACCTAAAAAGCCACTGCACCCCTGCTTGAGTATAAGCCAGACCCCCAACCCGAAGTCATGAACATCGGGTTGTAACCGCCAGGTTGGGGGTCTAGCAGCTCGGGGGCGGAAAGAGAAGGTTACGGCGCCCTTAGGAACGAATTAGTGAAGGTACCGTATTGAGCAATATAGAATCAATGTACCTCTAAATACGCCACTGCACCTCTATTCAAGTATGATCTAGACCCCCAACCCGAACTCATGAACATCGGGTTGTAACCGCCAGGCTGGGGGTCCAGCAGCTCAGAAGCAGAGAACGAGTGCTCGCGGCTATCCTGAGTAAGCGTGTTAGTATGGTACACTGTACGGAGAGGTAAAGGAATACTTTACTTCTACGTATGCATCGTCCGACTCTCCGTCTGAGTGTATCCCGGACCCCCAACCCGCATTCATGAACATCGGGTTGTAGTCACCAGGCTGGGGGTCCAGCAGCTCAGAAGCAGAGAAAAAATGCTCGCGGCTAACCTGAGTAAGCGTATTAATATGGTACACTGTATGCAGAGGTAAAGGAATACACTACTTCTATGTATATAACCTCCGTCTGCATCGCCCGGCTCTCAGTCAGGTGTACCCCAGACCCCAACCCGCATTCATGAACATCGGGTTGTAACAGGCCGGGGTCCGGAGTATAACAATGGCCTTGTGCAACGTGACGGTGTATGATTGAGCTTTGCGAATCGTTCGGAAAATACTGCTAGTCTAATCTCAGTTCAAGTTGGTATCGATCATGTTGGAGAAGACTTACGCTTGGTCATTGGCAGCGTTCGGTAAGGGTCACATTCCATTCTGGGATATTCTTCTTATTTCACCCTGCTGCAAGTCTAGGACCCCCGACCAGTTATACGCCTGGGTGTTCATCGCGCTTATGAAAATCGGGTTGTAACCGGTCGGGGGTCCCCGATACTTCCCAAGCCTTTCTGCAACGTGAAGGTGTATGTTACTGAGGTCGTCATATGACGCAAGCTTATGCGGGTTCTGTCGGAGTGATGACTACTTGATATGTTAGCGATCTTACGAATTGTCGGGGTAGAAACTGTCGCACCTCTGAGGATTGTCTAAGCTTGTGCTTGCGACCGCTCACCCTTTAGGTAGATGGCCGCTCAGGCAGTAGAGCGAGTTTCATGTTGTCCTTGAGGTTTCTGTCCTAACGAGATATGGACACTGATAGCAGGCCGAAGGTTCGACCTCGTCCACGCGATCAATTGAAGGCAGCCACAGAAGACGCTTTAGCAGCAAGTCAGTGTTGTCGTGCGGCGCGCAGGAGTGACTCATGTCAACGACAATGCCCGTGGAGGTTTGAAACACAAAAGCTGTGAGGGATATGCCCCGAGAAAAAGAAAGTGCGTAAAGCAAAATTTGAGAAGTTGGGGGAAGAAGGTGATAGACTAGGAAGGCGGGGTTGAAAACAGCGTCACTGTCAGCACGGGCCTGTGATGGAGCACTGACCGGCTTGGAAGACATCAGTCACGCAAAAACGGCAGAACAAGGCAGAATGTGAGCCTATCTTCAACTCTTAGTGGTTTCTTAACTAATCCTAACCAACATGCCATTTTTATGGTGATGTAAACCTCATTCCATCGGCAAACGCCGAGGAAAAGCGTGCTTCATCACCGCCGCCTTGGATCTTACCAGTGACCAGTAAATATCATGCCACATTATGTTGGAGCATTGAGACCTATCGATAGAGTCGGATTTCAGGCTTAGCACTTAATGACCCCTTACCGCACTATAGCAGAGCTCTGTCGCCACTCCGCAATTGGACTTCATGAATCAGTTTACCCACCAGTCTTCAAGATCCCAACACCCCAGACTGAACCGAAGAATTTTCTGCGTGAGTGCGTGTATTCTAGCCTCTTCGGTGGAATCCAATAACGCGTCTTGGCTTCCATTTGGAAAAACATAATGACCACGGCATCAAAAGCTCCAATCTAAGCAACAGCAGTCCCGTTATTCGTGTTATGTGACCTCAATACTTCATTAAGTCGCTCCTTTTACTTGAAACAATGGCTCCAGTCACAGAATCCAGGCCAGTCTGTAGTTTCTCACGCCTCAGACCGGAACATATGGTATGACTTCTTCTCATCAAGCCAAACGAGACATTAGAGAATCATGTCCTGTTGACCCGCCCGACTTGCGTGGCAAGTGCGGTCATCCCCAATCAGGCCCTCGGCTATTGTATCTCCGCCCGCGTTTCCACCAGCAGATTCGTTCGTAAAGCTTGGAGGAGGGTATAAGCTCAATTCGGTGATAGCATTGATCGACTTCGTTCCGGCGCGCATTCGTGGCACAATACAGTGGAAAGGAAAGAATGATAGGCGAGCTGGAGCCTCTGATAGCTAAAACATCGTCAGCAAGTCAACCTCGATAGACGTTCAAACTTCAACCATACCTTCGTTATGGTAAGCCCACTAATGAGTGGTCGAATCCGACGGAAGTAGTGTAGCTGCTAATTTTACCTTTCTTCTGTGCTGTTCTGCCAATGTTGCGCGATAATCTTTACGACGTGGCTCTCAGCAAGAACTCGTAATGGGAGAGCTTATCGAGAGCGGCTGCCAGTGAACTACTCTATCCATCAGCAAGTGACTTCAATGCTTCACAGTGGAAGAAAAGAGAGAGATGTGGAGCTCAGATGGTGCTTGTGTCAACACAAGAGACAATACACTCTGGCTTGTTGGCAATAGGATTTGCTCTTTAAGCGCACCAAAAGTACGGTTCATCATCCACGGGGAACATTGGGGCACAACATGAGATGCGTACCTGTGCGGTTGGTGGCTTTACTTGTTGCTCAAGGTTTGGAACCCTGCTGAAATCATCAGTAACACTTCAACAAACAGTCGACTGAGAAATGTAGTAGAGACAGCTAGTAGTCAGACTGCAGCTGTTATCAAAGAAAACCTAGGCCCAAGGGTACGGCTTTCTCAATTTGTCGATCTAGTGCTTCAAGAAAGCACTCTTCATTTGCGAGAGAAGGGAAAAAGTAGCTGCATGTACCTTGGTCCCTTTCGAGGCAATACCAGCCTGGGATGGCTGTAATCCGTCGTCCCTG